AGAACAATACAAAACCGTGCATAGAGAAAGGTTACTACTCACGATCTTCCGGATCCGTTCAGTGAAGGTGTACGACACCTTCATCTTCGCGCACTGCCGTGACGACGGGCGCATTCCCTGTCAGAGCCGCTCGCGCGCGCGGCCCGACCTACACTTACTAGGGACTCTGTATCACTACAGATGTTAAGCGGACGACTATAGGAACTACAGTGCCTTCAAAGCCCGCGCGCCATGCTGTGTAGCAAACCGTTTTTCCTGATGGTGCGAAGGTGAGCTCGAGGAGGATGGAGTCCTCAATCTCGCGAGCATCGTCGGACGAGTCATCACTAGACGTGATGGGTGAGAGATCGCCGGGGAACGGATCAGCTCCCCCTGAGCCTGAAGCGTGAGGTGCAGGAGGGGCAGATGGAGGAGTAGTGGCCACAGTGACGTTCTGCTGGATACGAGAGGAGCGACGAGTTGGGCTGCCTCCACGCTTGGTCTTGGACCCACGTGGACGGCCTCGTTTGCGCGGGACAGGTTCTGGCGCAGGAACAGGAGGTGAAGAGGCCGGAGCAGGAGGTGGTTTGGACGGTGCCACTGGCGTGAGGCTGGACTTGATGAGAGGAGCATCATCGGTAGGATCGTCCTGAGAAGAGGAAGACGAGGGACCGAAGAGCGAGTCGTAGTAGTGCTCCCCCTCAGCCGAGGTGCTGGGGTAACCGTTCATGTCGTCGTTGAACCTGACGTGAATTGAAGTAACCACCTTCTGGGAGCTAGGGACGTAGACCCGGTACGCCTTCTGTGTGCCCGAGTATCCAACGAACACGCCCTCAATCGCGCGAGGATCCAGCTTCTTGCGTGACGGACTGTCGTTGTAGACGTAAGCACGACATCCGAAACGGTGCAAGAAGGTCGCATCAGCAGAGCGGCCGATGTAGAGCTCGTATGGGGTGCGGCTGCCGAGGGAGGAGGTGGGATTTCGGTTCTTCGTGTAGGCAACGTAGTTCACCGCTTCGCCCCAGAGGAACAGAGGGGCGTTGGCGTCAGCAAGGATGGTCCGGACACGGTCGAAGAGGCTGCGGTTCTGTCGTTCCGCAACACCATTCTGTTCGGGCGTACGAGGTGACGTTGTCTCGAGACGGATTCCGCGTTCCCGAAGGTACGACGTGAACTCGTTGGAGAGGTACTCGCCGCCGTTGTCCGCACAGAACGTGGTGAGCTTGCAGCCGTTGTCCCGTTCGACCTGAGCGAGCCAGTCCTTGAAGGCGGAGAACGCGTCGGACTTGTGCCGGAGGAGCGCGATCCAGACCCAACGTGTTGAATGGTCCGTAAAGGTCATGACATAGCGCTTCCCGCTAGGCGTCTGAACCTGCGCGGGGCCCCAGAGATCCGAAGAAACGAAGGAAAGGGGGTGCTTGGGTCGTTCTCGCGTGGAGGGCGGAAACGAGGCACGAGTCATCTTGCCCTTGATGCACGAAGGGCAGACCGGGTCAGGCGAGGCGAGCTGAGCGGGGCTGAGCTTGAAGCCATCAAGCCGACTGTTGCGGGCCAACTCTCGAATAGACAAGAAGGAGAGGTGTCCCAGACGACCATGAATGAGGATTTTGAGGCGGGAGACGTCGTCAGTTGTGAGGGCGAGCGCAGATTCGGAGGGCTGATCGAGGTGATAGAGCCGGTCGAGACCTTTGCTGCCTGAGAGGACAACGTCGTCCTGCGCGAGGATGTTGCGGAGAAGTGCGCCCTGATCGTCGCGTTTGAACGAGACGCAACGTCTGTGGCCGAACAGCGTGTAGCAGTTGGCATCGTCGAGGCGCGAGATCGAGATAAGACTCGGAGAAGTCTTTGGGGCATAGCAGGAGTCGAGAAGTCGGAGGCGTGTGTTGCGGCCATCAGGCAATCGCGCGATGATGTGCGCTTCGCCGCGGCCTGCGATAGTAGCCTTGCCATTCCCAAAACCGCGGATCGTGGTCGAGCTAGGCCTGACGTCGATGAAATCGGAGCGTCTAGCGTGGATGTGAGAGGAGGTACCGGAGTCGATGATGACGGATGGTGCCGAGGACGTCGAACGCGCTCAAGTCGGGAACGCGGAGTCGCACGCGGCAGGAGAGGTGGTCGGACGGGGGGCGTAGTTGGAAACAAATGCAATAAGCGCGTTTTCTTTGCTTACAACGTTCGAGCTCTCCCTGTCGGACCCCGATCCCGAGTCGTCATCCGCAACGTTTGCCTTCTCCTTCCCCTTCTTCTTCTTCCGCTTCCGCTCCCTGTTCCCACTCCCGCTGCTCGACGCGGGTGACTCCCCGTTGATGCGCTTGTAACACGTGTCAAAGACGTGCCCGAGGTGGTTGCAGTAGCTGCAGAGGGGCCTCTGGCCGCCCGCGCTCGCGTTCCGATTGATGACTGCGAAGGCGGCCTCGACAGACATCGCGGAGTCGCCGGACCCGGTGGAAGTGGGCTGGTGTCCGAGGACGCGACGGCGCTCGTTGCGCGCGCTCGCGATCACGTTGTCGAGCTTCGTGTCCTTGTTCACGATCAGGGAGGCGGACCAGGCGTTCCAGGCCATGCCTTCACCAGGGACGTCGACCAGAGTGGCGACGAACATGCCGGCAGCGGCTCCGATGTCGTCCAGCTTGACCTCGCCCGCGGTGAGGTGATTGATGGCCTCTTGGAAGGCGAGGACGTGCGCATCGAACGCGTGGACGGAGGCGAGCGGGGTGTAGATAGTCTTGAACCACATCGTGAGGGAGGAGTGGGAGGTGCGGCCGTATTGCTGCTTGAGAGTAGCCCACATGGCTGCGGAGGTGTCCTTGTCGGCAATGGAGGGGATGAGGCGACCGTGAAGTGAGCGGAGGATGTAGCCGACGGCGAGGTCGTCCTTCTGCCCCCAGATAGCGATCTGGTCGGCAGTAGCGCCGTTCGCAGAGGTGGGGCGTTGCTCGGCACCACTCACCACATCGACCATTCCTCCGATCTTGAACGCCCTCATCATCATCAGCTGCCAACCCAGGTACCCCGCTTCGTTTTCAAGCTTCGCATTTTCGGATGGGAGAACATCCTTCGCCTCCCGCGCAGGTGCCCAGAGAGGAGTCGATCCGGGCGTAGACATCTGCGGAGAGGGAGCGCGGGAGTTTGTCGTGGGAGGCGGCGTAGTCGATCTGGACGCCGTAGGCATAAGCCGGTGAGAAAGGAACCTTGATCGTAGAGATCATGAGCGCCGCGCGAACTGTCGAGTGCGGGCTTAAGGTTGCTGGATGAGCCGGTGACCTCGATCCGTCGACGATGAGCTTCTCGCGTCTATTGGCGAGCAGCAGGGCTCATAACCTAATAGCACGCAGAGTGAGCGAGTGCTCAGTTGGAATGGAGAGACGACTAATTATATCATACCTAATAGCACGCAGAGTGAGCGAGTGCTATGGGCGACGTAAGTACATGTGTCGTAGACAGAGTACCGTAGGAGACATACCTCAGTCGGAATGGAGAGATGACTGAGGAGAGAAGCGCAAGCGCCAGCGCGAGATAGACAAGAGCGCGGGCGCGGCCGAGCGGAGTACGAATAGTAAGTAAGAGTAAGTAATAGTCCATCTAATCGAGTTGTAAACACCATTCTAACAGTCCCACCCTCCCGAAAGTGACTCTCATAGGTCTCCCGACCCTCCGCGTCCGACTCTCGAGCGCTTCTGCTGATCCGGTGAAAACCTTTCTACACCCCCGGGTCTCAAGAACTCGAGGCGCAGCGCCCCCGATCCCAAGTATGAATGCTGTGCAGCTGTATATATGTGTGTGAGAAGATCCGCCGAACCATCGACTGCTTGATTCATTCAATGTTCACGGACTGAGGGGCGCATCATGGGCCCCATAATAAACCTATTCGCGGTCACGTGGGCGACGCGGTTCTTGCTAATGAGCCGCTGCTGCGGAGCGTGCGCGTGAGGCCTTGAAGTCGTTCGATCGTGCGTGGTCGGCAAGGCCGTCGGCGATGTTACGTGAGCGCAAGGTTTTGAGTCTCGTGCCGTGCTTACATATGCCGTCTGTGAGGACCCTCGCGGTGGGGGTCTGCGACTGCCTGTCACGCAGATGCCTTCCGCGGCGTTCCGCCGTCCGGCACGGAGTGGCTGGCAGGACAGAGCGAGACGAGTTTCCCCGCGGTCTATCGCATCAGCAACAAGGCCGCGATGGATCTTACGGGCGAGCTCGCCACGCCTGGACGCGGTCGAGCCTTCTGCGCGCCTGATATGAAATCGCGCGCGAGGGCCAGCGAGCGCAGGTGACGTCACCCTCTCGCGATTCGCCTCCCGCGAAAGCGTGACGACTGAGAGCGTCTACCCAAAATTGCTTTCGTGGTATCATTCCGCACTTTTTACTTATGTCGAGGGCTCGACGAGGGCACGAGGGGAGAAAGGCGAGCTAGAGAGGCCTTCCCCTCGAAGTTGCGGACGGTCTCCGCGCACGTTCAAGGGGCCGTCGGCACAATCGCACACGCACGACGCATGTAACACCAAACCGAACCAATCTGCATTCCCCTCGTACCACCTAGATCCGCACGACCGCCCACGCCCACCGGCGCGGCGACCACGCCGCACCGCCGCACGTACATGGGTATTCTACAAAGCCGCCGCGACCGCAGCGCCACGCGTCTCCCGTCTATCTCTAAGTAGCTTCTATGCCTCTATGCCATGCCTCTATACGTCTCTAATGATCTATGGGGAAGGGGGAGGGGGAGGGGCGCACAGCGGAAACACGTACGACCGGACACCATACCGGAACAGGACAGACCATCGCGAGCGCGGAGCCGAGGGACCGACAGCATGCCGGCCCCCACGTCGTCGCCGCTCACGTTCAGTGCGCGGCCTGGGGTGCGAAAACCGGGGGTAGGGGGCAGAGGCATTTACGTTCGGACACGGGCATCGGGGTGGGGGATCGAGCATCGGGATTTTCGCCACGGACCACGGACACGGGGGCAGACGGCGGCGGGGAGGCGGGGAGACGGCAGTCAGAGTCATGGACGCGGGCAGGAAGAGAGATCAGTCAGTGCGGGCGCGCTTCTTGCTCACATTCCCGTTCTCGACGCTCGCGAAGTACTCGAGCGAGCCCTTCGGGTCCGCCTTCATCGTCTTCGCGCCCTCGCTCCAGTTCGCGGGGCACACTTCGCCGTGCTCGTCCTGCGGGGAGAGGTCAGCGGGGCGGGCCACGGGGAACGCGGAGGGAAAGAGAGAGAAAGAGAGAGACATACGGTGAACTGGAACGCCTTCACGAGCCGGATCGTCTCCTCGACCGAGCGGCCGACGGGGAGGTCGTTGATCGTGATTTGCCTAGACGCGCGATCAGCCACGATGCCCGAGTCTATGCCGCCCCGCTGCGGACGCACCTGAGGATGCCCTTGGGGTCGATGATGAAGAGCCCGCGGAGGGCGATGCCCTCGTCCTCGATGAGGACGCCGTAGTCGCGCGAGATCGACATGTTGCGGTCCGCGATGAGCGGGAGCTTGAGGTCCGGGCCGAGACCGCCCTGCTTGCGCGGGGACGTCGCCCAGGCAAAGTGCGAGTACTGCGAGTCGGTCGAGGCCGCTGTGGACGTGGCAGGGCTAGGATGAGCGGCTGCGGAACCGGACTCGGCGGAAGGGCATGGAAAGGGGACGGAGTGGGAGGACAAAAAGACGGACCGAGGAGGACGGTGTTGATGGCAGTGAACGCGGGGAGAGCGTCGTTGAACGCGAGGATCTCCGTCGGGCAGACGAAGGTGAAGTCCCTAGACACGAAGGCACCTCCCGGTCAGCGGCGCGCTGACGGAACTCGGACAGGATACTCACATGGGGTAGAAGAAAAGGATGACCCTGCACGCACACATCCATATGGAAAATCCGTTAGCGACAGCGACACGCGCCGCGCAGGCAGGGGGACGCGACGCACCACTGGCCGAGGTAGTCGGAGAGGGCGACCTCCTTGAAGAGGCCGTCGACGATGGCGCTCGCTTTGAACGCGGGCGCGGGCTTCTGCACGGTGGCGACCATCGTTGCGAGCGGTTCGAATGAGAGGTGCGGGTGGGGAGAACGAGGAGGGGCGAAGAAGGCCTGACGCACGAAACGCTGCGGCAAATCGTCTGGGTCCACCTAGCCGGCCTGCAATATTTGTATCCGCCGGCGCGTTCTTTGTGTGTATTTGGCCTCCCGCACGTGCATTGCTTACGACGCGTCCACGCGTGACTTGGCTCTGTCACAAAGGCCGTTGGGCCCGACGGACTCCGAGAACCTGGCCGGAGGACCCGAAAGTCACGAACGCATGGCCGGCTTTGTCGGCGTGCGGCAGGCACGCAGCGTGCACAATGTCGACGCCATGCTCGATGCAGCTACCTGAGCTTCCCATATAACGTCTCCCTTGTCCAGTCATAGTCCAGTCTCGAGATGCGCGAGTGTATCATCCGCTAACACGTCTCTTGAAACGCTTTCGGGAGTCTGGCAAAGCAAATGCCTTCCCCGGAAATCCAAGGAACACTATGCTGGTGTCAGGCCCAATGCGAAGTGTGGTCGTCATGGATAACTGCGCCATATGTACATCATGAACAAGACACTAATTCTCGACAAATTCGGGGCTCAGTTTACTGTACTCGCACTAGGAAACGCTCATTGTCATACCAACATGTGCAAAGCTCAGCGCTCATCTACTTCCATACTCGCCCGACATGAACAGGCGTTCAACGCGATCAGCGTAGGCCTGAGCCAGACCGATCTGTTCGGAGAATCGCCCATGGTTCGTTCGTCGCGCCGTGTCGTATCGTCGCGGCCGGTCCGGAATCGGGTGACGGATGGAGGCGAGGGCGTCGCTCGGGCGATACGCATCGATAGCGCGATCGCACACGCGTCGTGGTCTACAAATGTCGTGTGTCTTAAAAGTACTTTTGGGGTACACACTCGCAAAGGTGAGCGAGGGCCCGACCAGGCTAGCCGATCTCGTGTTCCGCGAGCAGCTGTGCGATGCTGTCAACAAAGGATTCGGGAGGAAGGACGGATGAGGAATGGGGATCGTGGAAGGCGAAAAGAGGACGGGAGAGCCAGGGATTCGATCGCGAGAAGACAAAGAGAAAAAGGAGAATGGAAGCCCAAGGAGGAGGATGCCGAAACACGAAAGCGGTTCGCGCGACCGGCGGGGGAGAGGACGAGCCGGAGGACGAGCACTCACCATGTTCGGGATTCCATTCGAGATCGGATAGACGTGGCCGCAGTTCGCGCACACCATCGCGCCCTCCTCGACATGGATCTGGTGAGCCCAGCGGACGCAGGAGTAAGTGCGAGCGTGAAGGACGAAGAAGGGACGGTGCGCACTTCGAGCAAGACGTGGTGAACCTTCTTCAGGAAGTCCTCGTCCACCATCTCCGGCTGCTCCGCGGGAAGGGATGTATCCCCGAGCTGCAGGCGGTGGATGAGGGTGGGACAGAGATGCGAATCCGGTCAGCTAGTGTGCCTTGACAGTCACAGAACAACCAACAAACCTCGCGTGCGGCGTCGACGAGCGCGAGCCACTCGAGGCGGGGGAGGAAGCCGCGGAGGAAGTCTGCGTTGAACTCAGCGTCGCGGAGCTCGACCGCAACGTCCTTGAAGCGCAGAGGAAAGTTGTTGGAGGTGCAGCCTTTGGCGTGGCACGCGAGCAGGTTGTGCGTGATCAGGCGGACCATCGTGGAGGAGGTGGAGGATGGCTGCTCGTCGTCTTAGATGTACAGAGCCTGCAGCGGTTGTGGCGGGAGACGGGTGGCTGATGACTTATGTAATCAGCGACGGACGCGCACTCTCGAAGAGTTGGACTACAGGCACTTCTTTCAATCATAACTGTGTCGGCTCGCGCTTTCAATAACAAGTACACAATACGAGGCTTTCAGCACAACCACGAAGCTTCCCGCGACCCCGGCTGGCCTGCTTGATGCTTAGGAGGATGAAGTGCGTATTCCATCAACCTCGTTTTACATTTGCGTTCTACAACATTCTCGCATTGAACAGACTTGTCTCAATCTGCCGTATACGCAAGGACACTCTCATTACGGACTACAGCATTCGCGCTTACATCCATCACCTCTGTTCACCACTTCCTTGCAATACCTCTCCCACTCAGCGTCGCACACCGGGGTCAACACTGAACGTAGCGCTTCCATCTCGGCCCTCAACGTGCCAAAGCCACCGATTTGTGCGCGACCACCCGGCTGTCGCGGCGGCGGTCCACGGTGGCGGTCAATGCTGTTGAAGGGGCGGCTCCGGGTCGGCGGGACGGATTGAAGAGTGCAGGAGCTGGCGCTGAGTTCCATGCACGTCTATGGAGAGCGAGGTACATCAAGCTCCGGCGAGTAGTGTGAGTGCTGTTTGCATACTCTATGCGGATATTCATCAATCGGACCCTCATGATTGGCGGTGAGTGTTAGTGGCCTGTTCGGATGTTCTGAGCCTGACGACACTTCGGTTTAGGTGACCCTTGTTGGGGATGCGCCTGAACAGCGAGGGGCCGGGTCAAATTAGCTACGTTCTCGACGCCTTCACTGCGTTATTCGAAGTGAGCAGGAATGCGTCTACCCCTCCGTTATCAGCGGATTGCCTTCTTCGTGCTTCACATTGGCACGCCAACTCAGCCTTTCATGTTCGGTCACACTTCAGCAAGGTATGGCGGGAAGTCCAACTTCATACTCGTACTTATGTCCTCTAGGGCTGTCTCGCTTGCAGTGGCACCTTTCCACAATCTCACAGTGGTGGAAGCGCACCATCGTCAAGGCTGCAGCCGGCACCAGCCACCTCATCGACGCCTCTCGCCCACCGCACGTCGAAAGCGCAAGTCTATGCACATCCAGCCCCCTTTTCCTCTTCTCCGCCTCTCGCGACAGGCCACCCGGGCCGCGCGCTCGATGCACTCCGACGAGCACGCACTTCTCCCCGCGTTCAAGTAGGTCTGCGCGCTCCGGCCTATGGTCTACCGCGCCGCGCTGCGCCGTGCGCGTCGGCCACTGACCGTACACGCACCTCGACCGCACGGGGTCGCAATCCCCTAGACACCGTTGTCGCCGCGACTCCGCCTCTGCGCTCCCGGCCGCAGCCAAGAAGACGGCGCCAACGGTGCCCAACGTGCAGACCTCGCCAGCCTCACGCCGGATGTACCGATTGGGAGGATGGTGGACGGCCCTTCGTGCGGTTCGTGAGGACGGTTGCCCGATGCGCATCGGGAAAGCGGCCCCGCCCGCGGCGGCGCAACCAGCATTGGATGAGCTCCTCGGGAACACGCATGAGCCTGTTCTTGAAGGGCCGGCGTCCAGGGTGGGTGTGGTGAGGTAGCGAGCGCGGAAATGTCGGACACTGGGACTGGTCTGGCACTGTGGCTCCTCCACGCTGTTTCTTTCGATACTTCTTCCGCTCAAATATAACGCGCGAATATCGTCACAGGATTCTTGGCCGTCAACTCCGTGCCGGACGCCTGAATGCGGAACGTCATTTCCGGCGGCTTATGGTGATGGTGAGCGGTCGCGCGGCGTGCCCATGCATCCGAATGGGTGCATTGTGAGGCTGCCGGCCAGCAACCCGAAGCAAGACGTATGGTTGTACAAATTCATCAAGAAATCAAGTTTCAACATGACTGCGATCTACGGGTCCCAAGCAGAGGCCATGGGGTCACTGACACGGCGGAAAACCACATCTCCTGCCCGGTTCGAGATTCCGACCATCACCCCGTCTGCGGAAATCGCGAGCAGGTGTACACTGCGACCGTCTGGCCACCAGAAGACGGTCTTTGTGGTGCCTTCTTCGATGTTCCAGATCGAGCAGATGGAGACGTCGTTTTCTTCGGCCACAAATATTGCCGTCCGTCCATCTGCAGACCACTCCATGCCATAGATATCCGGGGCATGATCGAGACGAAAAGGCGCGGACCCGGTCATTGTGTCCACCACCAACAATGACCGTCGAAAGTCCGGCTGCATCATGAGACGAGCACCGTCGGCGCTGAGGGGTGACGATGGGAACCAAGGTGACTGCGTGTCGGTGACTTTGTTGCTGTGTGTAGACAGCTGTGTGACGATGGTGGCATGCTCCCCCGTTGATGCGACCTTCGAATTGCGCAGAGTTCCATCCTCGCATACTGAGATGACATGAAACTGGTCTTCTCCATGTGTTGTGTTCCATAATGTACTGCCGATAATAGGGCTATGGTCGTCGGTCGACTTGTAACGGCAGGTCCCTGTGCTCAAATCCCAAACAAAGGTATAGTTGCTCGGAGTCCCATCTACTGGCGGCGGCGTGAATCGTAAAGTTGAAAGAACGCAATCACCGGCTGAAGACAACCTGAGCCAGGACTCTCCGAGGGGCTGTGAGCACCCATGTTGAATAGCGGCCAGTTCGGAAGATGGTACGAGGAGCGAGCGGAGATGCGCGAAAGTCGAAGCGTCGAAGACATGCACTCGAGCGAGGGCGTCTTGAACAAACATCTGTGTGCCATCCAGCGACCAGAGAACCCCGACATAACGCGCGTCCGTAGCATCCACTGGAAGGCACCCGATCTTCTGGGGGATCTTGCCAGATGGTGTAGAGCTAGTCGCAAGGGGGAGAGAGAACACGTGGATAGCTGCGGAGGAAGTAAACACACATTGCGCCTCGTTGGGGGAAAACGCAACACGATGGGGTAGGTCATTGAACCGGTCGCGTTCTTCGTACCAGTCGGTGTGTACGGGGATGCCTGACTCGGTGTCCCAAATTATGAGCTCTGTTGTGGGCCACACATGCACGATGCTTGCTGCCCAGTTTCCACGGGGACTGAAGACAAGGCAACGGAGCTGGTCCGCAGATCCGTAAGGCGTGCAACGCCTTCCCGAGATGGTCCCTGTCATTCCAGCAGTCAGTGCTTGCTGTTTGCGATATTATGGCAAGCAAACGTACCCGGGGTATCCAGAGGTAAGATATGGAGAAGGTTTTGGTCATGAAGAGTTTGGAACCACCGCACGAACAGGGTTGTCCATCGTGAGAGGTGATTCCGTGGAAGGCTGTTAACTGAACACACAAGACCGGCAGAGCGTAGACGATTGTGACGAGATAAAACCCGGGAGAATTCTTCAATAACTTGTTTTTGTTCATCCTCGCCGGGATCGTTATAAACGCTGAGGGAGTAATACACTAGACGGAGTGTGCGTAGCGAGTCCGGGAGCTTCATACAAGCGCGCAACACTACTGTAGTATTGCCCTTGAGGGAACCCGTGTGTGGCATCCAGACGGAGAGCGACTCCATGTTGCAACACAACGTGATGTCGAAGCCTGGGAGTCGGATGTGTTTCGGAGTCAGTTGCATTCACGTAGCAAGTGTCAAGCTCTCGCACCCTGGAGCCAATGACCTGGCACTTCGACGACCACAAGCGCCGCAGCGTTCTTGACGAGCAGCAGGGTTTGCCCATCAATGACCGGCCCCCAAAAAAGGTGCTGTGGATGGGTTGCTATCAGCTTGATTCCAACGATGTGGATTCAGCACTGGATATCACCTCGAAGAACCGAAGCCGCCGCAAGCCCTGTCGTCTGCCATGCGCAGACAAAAGCGACTGATTTTGCGGAGGAGGAAGATTATACATGTTGTCCGCGATGATTTCTTCCAGGGCAGGACAAGCGTACAGGAGGGAGAAGAAGTGGAAAAGGGTCTTGAACTGTACATACTAACGGAGGGTCACTCGTTTTACATCCCGATACTGGCCCAGGGCAACCAACGTCGCTCGTCGGAGTGGAAAAGTTGTGTGTCCATCACCGAGAAACTCCCAAGCCTGGATGTGGATGAGGTATGGGAGGAGGAGGATCGGGGCAGTGACGAGGAAGGGGCGCCTGTGGCTCTTCACCGAGCGATCGGGCTCCAGCCGGACAACTTCGACCAGGGATTTCAGAGTGGGGTTCCGGTCGAACGTGGCGCAGATGGTTGGGAGTTGCTCTCTGCTGGACACCGTGAGCGTGCGCCAGAGATGGATGCGGGTCCGGGGGATCCAGCCCTTGTGTACCCGGATACAACGAGTGAGGGCCGCGGTCTCTTGAGCTGCACCGAGTTCATCGATGATTTGCTCGATGATCTCGATGGGGACGCGGGGGGACGACATGATAGGACGGTACAGGAGAGAGGACGACGACGGGCTGCGAGCGCGGTCCCCCAGCGCGAACCTTATCGCCTCGGGCGCCGTGGGGAGTTCGGTCTGCGGTGACGGACGTCGCGCGCGCTCAACTCCGAGGGGAGAGACATTGAAGCCGACGGCCGCCATGCCCTTTCCAAATCCGAAACCACGTCATGGCACGAGCTCGTCGTCGGAGCAGACTTGTTTTGGAACGCAACACTCAAGTGCTCACTCCTCGTGCCTCCGTTTCATTTGTCAATTCGCAGCCACTCACACACGTTCTGCAGAGCGTGGTACTTGGAAGTAAACGTCCGGCCATCGTGAACACCTCCCCGCGCGCATCCACCAACCCCACCATCGACCCGCCCACAGACAGCGAGACCAGCTCCTTCTCGCGCGGCGCGCCCGTCTCGACCTCCCAGACCCACCAGCCCGTGCGCGCCGGCATGGGATCCACGAGCACGCCGGCGCAGGCTGCAGGCATCCGCGGAGAGCACCGCGCACCGAGGGAACCAGCTGCGCGCTGGGTGGTGGTCGGCGGGCAGGGCGAAGAGCGCGGTGCCGGTGAGTGTTTTGAACACCACCGGTGACTCGGGGGCGAGAAGGTGCGCCCTGTCTGCAGAGACGAGGCGGTGTTCGTGAAGGTCCGCCGCGGATGATACGGCCTGGTGCAAGATCGGAGGCCGGATGGTGGTGATGACCTCGAGGCTCCGGCGAACAGACGTCCGCAGAGAGCAGAGCGCGATGGCGTTCGTGCGTTCACGCCCCGGAAGTTGCGACGATGTATTTGCTGGGTGCGCTCATCCCGCTATAGTCCCTAGTGAAGGTGAAGAATTAAATGGTGTCGGTGAGTTGTTTCCGGACGTAGTTCCTGTCCTCGTGCTTCACAACGTCGTCGTAGTGCATGCGTGAAAGGAAGTACTGGCCGTCCCAGGAGGACGAGACCTGGGCCGAGCGGGTCGCGGTGTCGTCGTCCCCGAGCCCTGTGATTTCGTCGATATCGTGTTGAGGGGAAGAAGCGCAGGCACGCGAAGGCGGACGCACGGTCAAAGACGTCGACGTGCGCAATTGAACGAAGATTTGCGTGCCGTCAGATGACCAGGCGACGCCGGTGACGACACTCCAGAGCTGCTACTCGCGGCGTTCGGATAGTCTTGCGGGAGGGGAAAGGGAGATATTCTTGGGAATGAGGACCCGAACGGCGCAAGAGAACGATTGAATGTGCACGCACCGCAAATCCCGCTCAGTTTCTCGTGGCTGGAAAAGATGAGCTTGTGCCAGAACTGGTAGGGACTGCGAGCGGATCACGACACGCAGACCAGGGCACGGCGTGCGAGAGTCTGGGGGTCTCCTTCGGCAGCCGGTGCGTCAATGGCTTCTTCAACGGCATCGATGCGCGCGCATGAAATGAAGTACAACTGGTTCAGCCGGGGTTGGCTGACCTGCGCGTCGGAGTCATCGTCTACCACAGACCGTCCTGAGCTGCGGGGCGCGCAAATTGTCAAGAAAATGACCATTTCGCTAGAATGCTGACTTACGAGGCTCGTCGCGTGCGAACACCGGGCATTTCAGAGGCAGCGATCCAGCGCGAAAAGCGCACGCTGCAGCCGGACGTCCAAGGAGAAGCATAGAGAGGTCTGTTAGACCGGCGGTGTACATCAACATTTGAGCATGCACCTTTAGACTCCCGATGAACTTCTGCCCGACACGTCCTTCCCTCATGCGGACTTGCTTCATGCGGACCATGAAGCGTTGGAGGCGCTGCCTGCCAGGACCCCTCTCGTCGTGTCCGAGTAGTCTGGGATTTGAAGGTCCCAGCGGCGGATGGTGGGTAACGAGACCGAATGAGATGGGATTCAAGGCGACTACGGGATCACGGAGATTGAGGCGGAGAATGCACATGGCAGCAGATAAGCGAGAGGAAAGACGGAGAAAGGGAAACGAAGCAGAATGTTATTGCGAGCAGAGTAGCTGCAGACTGCAACTGGCATGAGAGATCGGAGGAGCGGCGCGGCGGGCTCGGACGCGGACTCGCGTCCCGTCACACGTTCCGTCACGGTCACCCCTCTGGCGTATGGCTGCGCAGTCATAATCACTGTGTGCCCTCGAAGAGGTGAAACCCACCTGTCACATCACCCGGCAGTTCTGGGTGGCATCGACCTCCAGTCGTGGTGGGAATAACGAGGTTTGGGTCATTAGCGCCAGTCGGTTTCCGCCGTCTGACTTAGTGAACCGAGCAGGGTATTTTGAGTAAGATTTTGCGTCCATTCACCATGTTACGGCCGCACCCAGAAACAAGGTGGAAACTCACGTGCATCTGGTCGAGTATCGAGTGCGCAATTGACAAGTAAATGAGTGAAAATGCGCTCATTGGAAAGACTTCGTTACCGTCCTATTTTCACCACTATTACCAGCCGTTACAGCCATCACACAAGGACGTTTTGCACCAATAAATGTGATGAAATTGAAGCACACGGTATTCGGGACAATCAATAGTAATAACGCGATGATTTGAATACGGGGTACAACGCCACAGGACGTCGACGCTCGCGATCAAGCTGCAGCCTGCGCGGGCGATCGACCCACAGGCTCCGCCAGAACTGTGTCCTCACCGCCGTGGTACCCGCTACCTCCTGTGCCCTGATCCGTCTGTCCTTCACCATCAGCGCCTTATCGTCATCTTCGTCATTCGTTGTCCTCGCTCGAGACGGTGTCAATGGGCTCGTTGACGTCCATGTCGCCGCAATGGTGCTACCGGCGCACGCGGGCCCGTTGCGCATCCGACTCTGCAGGTGAGTGAGTTGTGACCGTTCGGAGAAGGCGCTTGACGAAGAGCATGCTCACGACAGGGGAAGGTGGCTGACGTTCCACGAGCGACGGCTGCCGGGAAGACCAGCGTGAGTGAGAAGACGGATCCTAAAGGACCTTGTCAAGTGGGTCGAGACGTTCGTGCTGCTCGCGCTGCCGCCGCCGCGCCTTGAACTGCAGGTCGAGGGTGGAGAACGTGGGAGAGGATGCTCGGAGGCCGAGGGCGTTCTCCTGAACGTGGCTAGTGGAGGCTGAGAAAAATTCTACGCCGCTGCAGGGACCTCCTTCTCCTTGGGCACGCCGCGGGCGTTCGCACGTGAGCTTGTTCCACAAGTCCCAGCAGAGGAGGTTGTACAGCAGATGCATGTTGGGCTGGATCAGCACCGACAGACGTCGTGAGCGAACGAGGAGATAAACGTCGATGAAGGGGAATTGGGGGTACTTCTTCATGTCCGTGATCTGCACGCAAACCGGAAGGAGCGTGGAGATGACGGTCAGCGGATGCCCATGTTCGCCGGAAAATGACAAAAGAACGCACCGCACCCGTTGCGCCTTCCAAATGCAGCGGTGGTAGTACGGTACAAGCGTGAACGTGGGTTGAAGATGAGCAGGGGAATGGACGGGAGATCGTGGCGGGGCTACTCACAGATCGCTGAGACGTTCTTTGTAAACTCGTGGTCCAGGTGCTTCTTGCTGGCCTAGGGACACAGCGCAAGATACGTGGACAAATGGCATGGGTGAGGGTAGTGGAGGAGACACTAACCTCGAGCTCATGTTTGCGCGCCGCCTTGATTAAACCAGACGTGGGTCTAGTGGATGTGTGTAGATGACCTGACGCGCTTATCTGTGACTTCCTGGATCGATGGCGAGAAAGGCGGTGAAAGGCGTAGTCTTAAACGCGTCGATGAAGCTGGTGGTGGGCATGGTTGCGATGGGGAACGGTGGGTGGCAGCAGGCGGCTGGCGGCGGCGAGAGGAAGGTACAGGGGTGTGGTCCAGAGCATGGTTGGTGAGATAGTCGAGGCGGGGTATCGAAAACTGGGCTGCCGCGAACCACGATACTGCTAGAGGATGGGGAGTTGATGGAGGAGGAGGAGGAGGAGGAGGAGGAGGAGGAGGGGGAAGCTCGCACGGCGCGGGGACGCGCGTCGCGCGTTGCACTTGCACGTGGCGTGTGAATCTAGACTCCAGTACCCGACCCCGACTACTGCCAAGGCCTGATGGCCGCTTTCAGTGTTCACGCTTTCAACACATCCTAGTCTCACGCCATATACATACTCTGGCTCGGTACAATATGTACCACCTACTCGTCAAATTCCACCTGGCCCCTGCATCTCCCGCGCTGCCCCCGGTCCCCTCATGCCCGGTGTTTGCTCCAAGTCGCCCCCACATACCCTGCATCGCCCTGCGTCGCCCGCATCTCGCGGGGTGTCCGCAAGCCCGCAAGCCACCTCCTGCTCGCCTCCATACAGGACTCGGCCTCACCGTTATCGTCCGGTACAACGAGACTGCAGCTGCCGGCCATGTTCGAAACCACGTTAACTTGCCCACCTCGATGACTCCCGCGGCACGCGGTCGTACGATGTGCTCGACGATGGCTTGCGCAATGGCACTGTGGCACTGCTGACCTCGCGCTCAAGCTCGCGGGCGAGTCCCCGCAGAGCGACGTCCGCGTCGTCGGCGCGCTCGAGAGGAACGTCGGCAAGGGCGGCGGCGTCCTCCACGGATGCTCCATGGGCGCCGGCGCCGGCTGCTCATGGTCAATGTGCACGGGACGAGCCAGTTTGAGGACCTGGAGCTGCTATGGAAGGCGATGGATGGGTTTTCGCCTGCTGGGGAGGCTGCGCTGGCGGTCGGCAACCACATGCCTGGTAAAGACAGGCAGTGGTCAAGGTACGTCGTTGCGTCGCTCGTATTCTGCCATACGTACTAACGTCGCCCATAGCGTTCGTTCATCCGCCATGTACGGTCTCCATACCATCGTCCGCATCGTCGGCCTCAGACACATCCGCGACACGCAGTGCGGCTTCAAGCTCCTCGCGCGTAGAGCTGCGCAACAAATCTTCTCGTACTGGCACCTCACCACGTGGATATTCGACGTCGAGCTCCTGCTACTCGCCAAGGCACAAGGGACCCCAGCGGTGGAGGTCCCGATTGAATGGCACGAGGTGTCAGGCTCGAAGCCGCACGTATTTTCGGACTCGCTGCAGATGCTCCGCGACCTGTTTGTCCCCCGGGCGAAACTCGGAGCCGTACTTGTGGCACGCCGCAAGTGCGGCGAAGGCTGAGCGCTGAACCTCGGTTCGACCGGGTGACGATGGATGTGGTCAGGTGTTCGAGCGGATCGGCGGATGTAAGTGCGTCTCTCCTTTCTCCACTCCGCGACCGCGAAGAGCTGACGCAGCTGCATGCGTGCAGGGTGGAGTGGCACTTAAAGGAGGGCGGCACGTTCGAGCCCGTGAACCACGTCGCGAATGTGCGCGGACCCGTCCGGCAGCTCCTCGATGAACGCCGCGTCACACCGGGCGTGCTCAGCGCACGCTGCAGCCGAATCGCGACCAAGTAAGCCCCGGACCCCTCCCCTCCCCTCCCCCAGCCTCCTTGCACAACGGGACGAGGCACCGATGCCGACCCACACAGGCAGGTCAAAGCGCATCAAGAACCTCGCGCGCGCGAACGGCTACACAGGCATCGTCACCGGCACGCGCACCACCGGGTCGCAGCTGATGAGATCACATGACAGTGTGTGCAGGTGTAGGACAGGGCACGACGGGCAACGGCCCAGCTTCGGAGCCCGAAAAGGCGTAGAAAAAGCCTGTCAAAGGTGTCATTTCCGGCAGGTATTTTTCTAGGGGAGAAAAAGGGTGGGAAAGGCGAACTTTTATGTCAAGTTTGTGTGTGTCGTAGAGTATCCTGAAAGGTGACGTTTTGGGTGAATGTTTTGGCACGACAGAATACTGTGCTCAGAACAAAGACAATAGAATTCATTGTAAAGGCAATAGAACGTGTATTGTATGTGAGTAAAAAACAAGTGAGTACGAATGATAAGTAACGCGCGTTATTGGAATGGGTACCAAAGGTCTCTTTATCGATCGTTTTCGGCACCCCGTAAATCACACGGAGAAATTGCCCATTTTAGTGCCTTTTTCACACGCGCACAAAAGGCTGCAGAAAAGACACCTTTGACAGGCTTTTTCTACGCCTTTTCGGGCTCCGAAGCTGGGCCGTTGCCCGTCGTGGGGAGCGAGGGTGTACAGGTCTACACGAAGGAGGATGGCACAACGCAGTGTGTAGACACAGTGTACTCAGAGACTACATGTACCTAGCGTACTAGAACACTGCGCAGTGCGCAGCTCTGATCACCCAAAATGTACTGCAGGAATCTGAAGCTAGTGAATTGTGAATGTACCCGCGCAACGCGTGGTAAGTGATAACTCAGAACTGGGTGCTTGGGTAAGAGAATTCGGCGCTCAGAATGGGGTGAACAAACACAGGACAGGCGGTGAATCCGCGCATAGGAAATTTCGCCTGTCACATCACCCGTCACCCACTTATCCCCAGGTTCGAGGGTGATCAGCGCTTTTCACCCAGCATCTGCGCTCCTGTCACTGGTTGACAGGCCCACAGTGAATATCGTCCCGCTCTCACTGCGTCGCCCATTCTCAAGGCCTCACCGTTCCGCCATTGCTGCCCTGTGCGTCTTCCGATGCCCTCAACCGTGCATACTGGGACACACCAGCCGTCATCAAAGGCGGGGAACGGATGTCGCCGAGACGACGAGATCGATCCTTCTCTTAAGGACACCGACCTGAATATGCGATGGACGGCAGACAATATGCATGTGAGAGCGATTTCCAAACGCGAAGTCGCCGCGATGGGACTGACGATGTGCAGCCGCAGATGACGTCCTGCGCGCGGTTGCAGGCGCACGAAGACGCGCACGTCCCGCGAGTCGACCTTCTCTTACTCACCCACGCCCTCTCGATCGCCCAGTACTCCGCTGTCCTGGCGAGGGCTCTACGCCGTCCTCTCGCTCACCCCTGTCCCGGCTGCGGATCCGCGGACGCGACGGTTCGTGCCCGCTCGACACCCTTCCCTATCGCCCCGCTCGCCCTCGCCCTCTCGTGCACTCCGCCATCCTGGCGCCCTCTCCCCCGCCTCTTCACCATCCCGCCGTCCTCTCCCTCGCCCCTGCCGGCGCCGGTTTCGGCCTGTATGCACCTGTGTGCCCTCCTCAGGCCTCAGGTGGGCGCTTGAGCGCTGCCTCCTCTCCGTGCGTCGGTGTCTGACACGGCAATGTCCTGGTACCCACACGGGATTGTCGTTACTGCAGGTCCTCGTCCTCGTCGTCTACTACGATACCCCAATACAGCTACCACTGTGCTCGACGTCTTCGCGCGCACGCTGTTTTACATTAGGCGTCCTTAAGATCAACGCTCGGCAGCCGGGTGGCTCAGTGAGCTACGGGTGCGTGGTGTACATCTCCCCCGCTCTCCTAGTGCTCGCGTTCATCGTCGTTCTGTACCTGCTCGCGGGACTCCTCCCCATCGCTCGCTGGCTGACGCCGCCTCCGCTCTGCCCACACATATACACTCCGTCGCGCGACGTCAACCTTCGTGCGCTTCGCCCGCTTTCAGCTCACGCAGTGGACGCGGCCGACGGAACGAGCACACACTCAGCGCCGAGCAGGACCAGTTGGGCGTGCTCTCGGAGACCTTCGTTCTCGTGCAAGGCTATGGTGCCCATCTTCGACCCCCTTCCTCTGCAGGACGCCGTCCACGCGCTCGACTCGGACTCCGATGGCGATTCCGGGCCGCGTCCAGAGCGGACGTTGAAGACGCATGTCCTTGACGTCACCCCCTGCCTCGCACCCGCGCCCGTATGTGCCTGTATGCTCACGCCTCAGGTGAGCCGTTGCCCTCTTCTGTCCCTGTAGCTATAGCCTAAACGCTTGTTTTTCCAGCCCACGAGTTACCTGCTCCTGCCCAACACGTACCGCTGCACCACCGCGCCTCGTCCACGACGTCCTGCCGAGCTGTAAGTCAGCGTTCACAGCACCGGCGAAGAGAATGACGACTTACAGAGCCCCTTTCCTCTACAGCCGTCCGACTTGAACAGTCAATTCAGCAGGAACGCAGGGGTGACGACGCGCAGCGCAAGCCTGAGCCGGTCCAGGACTTACGCACACAGCCGGGGGCGCCGAGAGGGTCTCAACACCTCGTCCGCTCATCCCTTTTGTACCCGTCCCCGCCCGCGCGCCCGCAACCGCAATCGCCTTCATCTGTAGCCGGCTCATGACCCTCGCCCGACGTCCATCACCGATTTCCGCGCGTTGCCCGAGCTTGTTCCGCGCGGATCCTTCCAACAAATGTCCGCGGAGCTTGTCCCACCAACCCTAGGCGGACGCAGGCCGTCTAGTCCACCCTGGGCGCCCGACGACCCTGACACGTACACCAACCCCGCCCACGAGTACGGTTCCCGAACATTGGAATACGTTGCAAGGGTCCTACTCGAATCGTAAGTGCCCACTTCAGTTCCACGGAAATGGCGCGTTGATCACACATTGCCTAGATTCATTTTGTGACTGCATCCAGGACATGCCTGGCACTCATCGACACCGGCAGGCATGCCGCTTTCGCCAGCGACGTCGGTGGGGAACACGTAAAGCTCTTTGACGCACCCGCCGACAAGGTCACTCGTAGGAGCGCGGACGACGCAACGCTCCGCCACGAACGCGACGTTGATGGGGTGTGTTGGCCACGTCCGCAGCGGCCTCGACCGACTCGCGGCACTTGCACCTTGCCTGGGCGACCTCACCGTGCAAGCAGGGCGGTCTCGGCCCGGACCTCAGGCTCCCACTCATCGCGGACCGCAACGTGTCCATCTCGCTCGACTGCGGCGTACTCATTGAGGACGAGGGCATCGCCCTCCGTAGCCTCTTCATCACCGACCCCAAGGGCATCTTCAGGTGCGTCCGCAGCGGAGCGGCACGGGTCCGGGGATCGTGGCTGATCGTGCGTTCAGAAAAATCACGTCCGACGACCTCGCCGTCGGTCGGTCGAGGGGACGGCCTGGCTCGTGAAGGCGTTCCAGTTCACCGTACGTGTCTCTCTCCCCCCCTCTCCCTCTGCATTCCCCGTGGCCGCCCCCGCTGACCTCTCCCCGCAGGACGAGCACGGCGAGGTGTGCCCCGCGAACTGGAGCGAGGACGCGAAGACGACGAAGGCGGGCCCAAATGGCTCGCTCGAGCACTGTGCGAGCGTCGAGAACGGGAATGTGCGCAAGAAGCGCGACCGCACCGATATCCTCCTGCCCGTGTCCCTGGCTCTGACTACCCCTCCGTCTCCCCGCTGCCGTCCGATTCCCGTGTTAAAACGTACATGCCCCTGCGTACCCACCCCCGTTTTCTCATTCCAGGCCGCGCATTGAACGTGAGCGGCGACGACGAGGGCCCCGGAATCGTCGGTCGCGCTCGCGATGGTCTCTCCCGTCCCGGTTTTTGGTTTGGTGTCTGGTCGTACGCGTTCCCGGTGTGCGCCCCTCCCCCCTCCCCATGGATCATTGGAGACGTATAGAGGCATGGAATAGAAAATAGAGATAGATGGGAGACGGGCGGCGCCATTGTAGAATACCCATGTGCTTGCAGCGGTCGGGCGCGTGGTCGCCGCGCCGGTGGGCGGGGGCGGTCGTGCGGATGCAGGTGGTACGAGGGGAACGCAGATTGGTTCGGTGCGGTGCTACGTACATGCATCATGCGTGTGCGTGTGCGACTGTGCCGACGGCTCTGCAAACGCGTGCAGAGCCGTCCCCAAGGCAGAGGCCTCTCGTCTTTCTCGTCCCGCGCACTCGTCTCTCGCCAGCTGTTTCATCGTCATCGCCTCCCTCACACGGCGCTACCGTGTCACCGCGGCCGGTCCGGGATGGGGTGGGGAAGAGACGCAAGAGCGGCGCTCGGGCGGTGCGTATCGATAGCGCGATCGCGCACGCGTCGTGGTCTACGGACAGTGCCGTGTGCCGCAGAGTACCTTTGGGGTACACGCTTGCAAGGGCGAGCGGGGGTACGGCCGAGCTAGCCGATCTCGTTTTCCGGGAGGAGCTGTGCGAGGAGGGGGCATCGTCAGCAAGGGATGCAGGACGGAGGACGGATGCGGAGAGCCAGGCATCGGAAATTATGCTAGAAGGGGGGAGATGGAAGCGCGTAGGACGCAGAAAACCGTTGAAGGAAGTTCACGCGACGGGTAGGGGAAAAGAGCGCAAGAGGACGAGCCGGAGGACGAGCACGCACCATGTTCGGGATGCCGTTCGAGATCGGGTAGACGTGGCCGCAGTTTGCGTACACCCTCATCAACATGGATACGGCAGGCCCGGTGGACGTAGGGATCAGTGCGAGCGTGGAGGACGAAGGGAGGGACAGGGCGCACTTCAATCAAGACGCGGTGCGCCTTCTTCAGGAAACCGTCGCCCGCCATCTCCGGCTGCTCCGCGGGAAGGGATGATCCCCAAGCTGCGGGCGGTGGGTGGGGGTAGCACGGGGATGGGAAGCTGGTCAAATATTGGGCCATTACATTCATAGCAAGAACAACGGACCGAGCGCGGGTCACTCGAGGCGGGGGAGGGAAACCGCGGAGGAAGTCGGCGTTGAACATCGAACGTTTGAACTCGGTGTCGCGGAGGTCAATTGCGACATCCATTTTTTTGGAGGTGCAGCAAATTTGGCGTGGCGCACGGGCAGGCTGTGCGGACCATCGTGGAGGAGGAGGGCAGCTCGTCGTCTCAGACAGCGGCCGCGGCAGAGGACAGACGGGCGGCTGACTCCGGAATCTCGCGCCGCTGGCGCCTGGCCAGCCCTGCTTGAACTCCAACGTCCATGGTCCTGCAGGCCGGCGTCCCCGTCTCGCAATGGCCGCAATGACGCATACAGGCCGAGGGACGGATGGCGTCGAGGCGACCGGGATCGACCCTTCCGCTTCTCTTCCCAGTCTGGCCCGTCGATGTCCCGACTGCATCCGTGCTCCGCTCGCGCGCCCCGCCGTCTTCTCCTGCGCCTTTGGCCAACCTGTTCACATCCCGCCAACCCCTCGTTCACGCGTTCACGGCTGCTCCTTGCTTATTCTGACGCCTGTATGCGCACTCCTCAGGTGAGCCCTGCCTCCTCTTGCTGTGGCGTTGTCTGACACACTATGTCCCAGTGCTCACATGCGTCGTCGTCTACTGCTACGATCCCCCACTTCAGCTGCAAACCTCCACGTATCACTGCACACTGCGCACGATGTTTTCGCATGCGGTCTCCAAGGCGGCCTATTTGACACTCGGCACGGTCTTCAAGCTTTCAACTTTCAAGACCAACAGCTCGCAGCCGCGCAGCTCGACGGCTACGGGCGCGTGCAATGTGCGGTGGCGTCGTACATATCTACGCCCGCTCTCCCGATCCCTCCACGTCCCCAGGCGCGCTGGCCGTCGCCGCCGCCGCCGGGCATACCCCCCGTCGCGCGACGTCAGCCCCCGTGCGCTTCGCCCGCTTTCGACTCACGCAGTGGCCGCGGCCGACGGAGCGAGCAGATATTGGGCGTGCTCCCCGACGCCTTCGATCTCGTGCCGCCCCGTGCTCGTCGTCGACGCCCTTTCTCCGCAGGACGACCACGCGCCCCACTCGGACCCTGATGGCAATTCCGGGCCGCGGCTGGGGCGGACGTGCAAGACGCATGTCGCGGGCCCGTACCGCCTCCGTTTCCTCGACGTCACCCTCGTCCATGTACACTTGGCCATTCCTTCCCCTCGTTCCGTACCGTGTCGGATACGTAAGTGCTGAATGTTCTCGACAGCATATCTCATTGACGATCGGTGCGGACTTCTCCCGCGCGACCACCACGGCGTCAGTTGCATCGTCGATAACAGCAGTGACGGACATCGCGCTGAAGCGCGAGCCATGTGCTTCTACCGTCCCACCCTTCGCGTCGTTAACAGCCTCAACCAAAGCACACACGGCGCCTTTCCTTCCGTCCCTTGGAACTACGCCCATCGACACCCCGTTGGAGCGCCCCTCCCACGCCCGCGCCTGAATGCGCTTGCCTCAGGTGAACCGTTCCCCTCTTCCGTCCTCGTAGCTGCCTAACTGTAGCTTGTATTTTCAGCCCGGAGTGGCCTGCTCCCATTGAGTACGGGCCACTTTACCACCGCTCCCCATCCACAGCGTCCGGCAGAGCAGTAAGTCAGCGTTCGCAGCACTGACGACGGGAGCGACGACTTACAAAGCCCTTGTCCTTTCCAGCTGTCCTACTCGAACAGTCAAACCAGAAGCAGCGCAGGGGGTGACGACACACAGCGCAAGTCTGAGCCCGTCCAGGACGTATGCACACAGCCGGGGGCGCCGAGCGGGTCTCGACACTTCGTCCGGTATCCCTTTTATACTCGTCCCCGCCCGCGCCCCTGCGCCCATAAGAACCTCCATCCGAAGTCCGTTCACGACCATCGCCCGACGTCCGCGCGTCGTCCGACCTCGTTCCGCACGGATAGTTCCAGCACCATGCCCGCACAGCACGTTCCGCCAACCCAGCGCACGCAGGCCGCCTAGTCCACCCTGAGCCCGAGGTCCCTGACTCGAACGCCAAGCGCCGTCCACGACTGTGGTTCCAGAACGCCGGAATGCGTTGCGGAGGTCCTCCTCTCGTAAGTGCCCACTCCAGTTCTACGGAAACGGCGCGCCGTTTCGCCTAGATTCGTGTCGCGGCGGCGTCCAGGACACCCCTGACATTCATCGACACCCGCCAACAAAACCACCCGAACGACGCCGCCCTCCGCCACGAACGCGACGCCAACGAGGTTGACGATCACCTGCGCACCCACGGCCACCAGGGCGTGACCGTCCGCCACCGCGGTCCACGTTTCGACCCGAGTGCGCGACTTCATTGCGACTCCGGGCGCGTCGCCGTCCCGGCCGCCCTCGCCGTGCGCCGCCCTCGCCACCGCGGACGCGCGACGTGTTGACGCGTGCAAGTTGCCCGCGATGGGATCGCGATACCCTAGACACCCTGGTCACCGATGCGACGCCTCTGCGCTCCCGCCACGGCCAAGTAGACGACTCTAACCGTGCCTGACGTGCAGAGCTCGCTGGTCTCGCGCCGGATGTACCGGCTGGGAAGACGGTGGACGGCCCTTGGTGCGGTTCGTGAGGACGGCCTCGATGCGCGTCACCCGCAGCGGCGCTACCAACATTGGATGAGCTCTCTTCGGGCGAGAACACGTATGCACATATCAATGAAGATTTGGCGTCCAGGGTGGACATGATGAAGTAGCGGCGAACGCGGAAATGTCAGACACTGGAACTCGTCTAGCACTATGGCTCCTCCACACCTTTTTTTTCGATACCTCTGTTCACTCCTTCCGTTCATATAGGACGCGCGAATTTCGTCACGCGATTCTTGACCATCGACCCCGCGCTTGCATCCGGAACGTCTTTTCTGACGGCTTATGATGATGGTGAGCGGTCCTGCGACGTGTCCATGCATTCGAATGGGTGTGTCGTGAGGTTGCCGGCTGCACCCCGACGCAAGACGTATATAATAGAACAAAATCTACAGGTCCAAAGCAGAGGCCATGAGGTCACTGACACGGCGGAAAACAACATCTCCATGCCAGCTCGAGAATCCGACCATCGACCCGTCTGCGGAAATCTCGAGCCCGTAAAAACCGGAGCCGTGCGGCCACCGAAAGACGGCCTTTGTGGTACCTTCTTCGATGTTCCAGATCCAGCAGGTATAGATCCCGTTTTCTTCGGCCACAAATATTGCCGTCCGCCCATCTGCGGACCACTCCATGGCATCGATATCTTCAGTGCGATTGAGACGAAAAAGCGCGAACCCGGTCATCGTGTCCACCACCGACAATGAACGACGGTTCAGCAGCACCAGGACTCGACGAGCACCGTCGGCGGTGAAGGGTGAGGAAGAGAAGGGAATTTTGGTGCTTTCCGAAAACAACTGCGTGACGACATGGGTATCCTCGACCGTTGATGTGATCTTCGATTTGCGCAGAGTTCCATCCCCGCATACAGAGATGATATGTAACTGATCTTCTACTTGTACCATTTCGCTCCACAATTTACTGCCGAGACTAGGGCTCTGGCTGTCGGTCGACTTGTAACGGCAGGTCCCGGTGCTCGAGTCCCAAACAAAGATATAGTAGGTCTTCGCCTCGCCTTCCAGCCGGAATCGTAGAATTGAAAGAATATGGTGGCCGACTGCGGATAAGCCATGAGACCGATCGAAGAGGCTCTCGCACTGAATCTCGGCCAGTTCGGAAGATGGTACGAGGAGCGAGCGGAGATGGGCGAAGCTCGAAGCGTCGCAGACATGCACTCGAGCCAGGGCGTCTTGAACAAATATCTGTGTGCCGTTCAACGACCAGAGAACCCCGACGAAATGCGTGTCTTGAGCATCCAGTGAAAGGCGACCGATTTTATGGGGGGCATTGCTAGATGTTGTAGAGCTAGTCGCAAGGGGGAGAGCGTACATGTGGATGGCCGTCGGGGAAGCAAACGCGAATTGTGCCTCGTCGGGTGAAAATGCAACACAATGGGGCTCATAGTAACTGCCAGGGTGGTTTTCTTCGTACCACTCGGTGAGTACGGGGATGCCCGGATCCGTATCCCAGATCGTGAGCTCCGTTGCACTGCCACCAGGACCATTGTCGTCGTCCGTGATGCTTGCTGCCCAGTGTCCATGGGAGCTTAAGACAAGGCAACGGGGCCAGGTTGCAGATCCGTAAGGTGTGAAGCGTGTTCTCCACATAGGCACCAACTCTGCTGTCGTTTTGGCAGTCAGTGAGGCTTGCTAATTGCGAGATTATGAGAAGCAAACATACGTAGGGTTTCTAGAGGTAAAACATGGAGCAGGCTTTGATCGTGAAGAGTGTGGAACCATCGCACGAACAGATCCTTCCATCTTGGGAGGTGATTGCGCGGGAGGTTTTCAACTGAACACACGATACCGGCGGAGCGGAGACGGTTATGATGAGATACGACTCTGGAGAATTCTTCAATGGTTTCGCTCCGTCCTGCCAGGCCGAGATCATGTTCAAGCCAGTAGTACACGCCTTCGGAGGGAAACACCAGACGGAGTGTACATAGCGAGTCCGGGAGTTTCATACAAGCGTGCAATATTGCCAATACCCTCTGGTCCAGTATGTTCTCTTGGCCATCATTCGTGCTTGGCATCCAGATGGAGAGCGACTCAAGGTGGTGACACAACGTGATGTCTAAGCCTGGTCGGACGCATTTCAGAGTCAGCTGCATTCACTGAATAGGTGTCGTGCTCTCGTACCGTTAAGCCAAAAGCATTTCAATTCAATGGCCACAAGTGTTGCAGCGTTCTTGACGATCAGCGTGGTTGCCACAGAAGGGATTTCGCCCCACTGTAAATGGATGGCTATCAGCTTGATCCCAATAATGTGGATTCAACAGATGTCACCTCCATGAGCCGAAACCGCCGCAAGCCCCTTGGTCTGCCATGTGCTGACAGAATCGACTGGTTTGACGGAGTATCAAGCCCACTTAGGTGCTCCATGATTACTTCTTCCATGGCAGGAAAGGCGTACAGAAGGGGGCAGAGGTGGAAAATGTTCTTGAAATGTACTTCGTAGAGGGTCACCCGCTTCACATCCCGATACTGGCCCAAGGAAACCAACATCGCTCGCCGCAGTGGGAAGGTTGTTCTCCAATCACCAAGAAACTCCCAAGCCTGGATGTGAATGAGGTATGGGAGGAGGACAATCGGGGCAGTGACAGGGAACGGACGCCGGCGTTGCGCATCAGGCTTCACCGAGTGGTCGGGCTTCAGTCGGACAACTTCGACCAGGCATCGCAGAGTGGGGTTCCGGTCGAACGTGTCGCAGATGACTGGGAGTTGCTCACGACTAGAAACCGTGAGCGTGCGCCAGAGATGGATGCGGGTCCGGGGGATCCAGTCCTTGTGTACCCGGTTGCAACGAGCGAGGGCCGCGGTCGAGTATTCAGTCGCACCGAGTTCATCGATGATGTGCTCGATGATCTCGATAGGGACGCGGGGGGACGACATGACAGGACGATAGAGGAGTGAGGACGATAGTCCGTTGCGAGGGCGGTCTCCCGTCGGAGGCTTGCGGGACGAGGCGAGAGAGCAGACCCAAGGAGAGCGCGAACCTAATCGCCTCGCCATGGGGAATTCCGCCTGCGTCGTGCATGCTCAACTCGGACATAGACATTGAAACCGACGCCCGCCGTGTCCGTTCCACATTCAAAACCAGGTCATGGCGCAAACTTGTCCTCAAAGCAGACTTATTTCGGGACAAAACGCTCAAAACGTTGCATGGGTTCTGCATTCGTCCTTTCGCAACCACTCACACACGTTCTGCACAGAGCATGATAGAAGTAAATCCGTCCGGTCATCCCGAACACCTCCCCGCGCCCATCCACGATCCCCACCACCGATCCGCACACAGACAGCGAGACCGTCGCGGGCACCCTAACATCAACCTCGCGCGGCGCCCCCGTCTCGATCTCCCGGACCAACCAGGCTGTGCGCGCGGCACGGCATCCACGAGTGTGGCCGCGCGGGCGTCCACGGAGAGCGCCGCGCCCCGAGGGAACCAGCCGCGTGTGGGGTGGCGGTCGGCGCGCAGTGCGGGGGACCGGTGGGAGACCCGGGGGTAAAGAGGCACATCGCGTCTGCAGAGACGAGGCGGTGTTCGTGAAAGCCCGCCGCGGATGACACCGCCCAGTGTACGATCAGAGCACGGCCGGTGGTGATGACCTCCGGCGAACAGACGTCCGCTGAGAGCAGGGAGCAGCGGCTGCACAGCGTGCGCTTACGCCCCGAGGGTTGCGGAAATGTACTCGCTGGGTGCGCGAGCGCCGTTGCGGAACCTGGTAAAGTGCGAGTGACGGGTGCCAGTGACTCGTTTCCAGATACTGTATAGGTAGTTCTTGTCCGTGCGCTTCGTAGCGTTGTCGTAGTGTATGTGTGAAAGGAGTTACTGGCCGTCGAAGGAAGACGAGACCTGTGCCGAGCGGGTCGTGGTGCCGTCGTCCCTGAGCACTGCGATCTCGTCGATCTCGTCTGCGGACGGGAGAGGGAAGGAGGGCAGGCGCGCGAAGGCGGACCGTACGGTCGAAGACGTGGACGTGCGCAACGGCATCTTAAACGAGCACTTGCATGCCGTCGGGTGACCAAGCGACGCCAGTGACGACACTGGAGAGCTGCCATCCGCGGCGCTCGGATGGTCTTGAGGGAGGGGAAAGGGAGATATTCTTGCGAAGGAGGACCCGAACGGCGCCATGGCCAGGGAACGACTGGAGTGTACGCACTGCAAATCCCGCGCACTTGCTCGTCGCTGGAAACGGTGAGCTTGTTCCAGAACTGGCGGTGACTGCGAGTAGACCACGATACACAGACCAGGGCACAGCCTGCGAGGCTCGGAGGGTCTCCTTCGGCAGCTAGTGCACGAATGGCTTCTTCAACGGGGTCGATGAGCACGTAGGGGACCACACGTGCGTGAAATGAAGTGTACCTGGCCCCAAACCGGGGTTGACTGGCCTGCGCAGTGGAGCCATCGTCTGCCGCGGACTGTCCTGAGCTGCGGGACACGCAAATCGTCAAGAAAAGAACGATTTCGCTAGAATGCTGACTTACGAGGCCCATCGCGTGCGAACACCGGGGATTGCAGAGGCAGCACTCTAGTGCGAGCAGCGTACGCTGTTGCTGAACATCCACGGAGTAGCAGAGAGCGGTTTCTTAGACAGGTGATGTGCATGTAAGTATAAACACACCTTTCGACACCCGATCATCCTCTTCCCCGACATGTCCTCTCCTCGCGCGGAATTCCCTCATGCAGAGCATGAAGCGTTGGAGGCGATGCCTGCCAGGGCCTCTCTCGTCGTGTCGCAGTGGTCCGGGGTTTGAAGGTCCCAACGACGGATGGTGGGTTGTGTAACGGGGCTAAATGAGATGGGATTGGCGACTAGGGGGTCACAGAGATTGAGGCAGACAGTGTGTGGTGACGGATGAGCAAAAGGAAAGACCGAGAAGGGACAACCAAACGGAGTGGCATTGCGAGCAGAGTGGCTTCAGACAGATTCAGACCAGCCGAGAGCGGCGCGGGCATGCCATAGGCGCACCGTCACCAGCGCGGACACGTCCCGTCACACACTGTGTCACGGCCGGCAGCGCTAGTCTCCAGTACTTGCCAGCGCGCGCTGGCTTCGAATCGATCCTGCTCTCAATATGTCGCCCATACTGACAGGCACCCTCAGCCACCGTCGCTGTCTAATGCATCTCGCGATGGACGCAGTTATGCAAAATATTGGACGCACCAGCCGTCACCGCAAGGCGGGCACAGATGACAATGTCGCCGAGACGACGGGATCGACCCTTCTCTTGACACCGACCTGATCATGAATCCGCTGACGGAATGGGGCGACAACTATATGTGAGGGCGATTCCCAAACGCGTCGCCGCCGTGAAACTGACTATGGCCAGTCGCAGATGTCGATGACGTCTTGCGCGCGGGTGCAAGCACACAAAGGTGCCCGTTTCTTCCTCGCCCACAGCGCCCTCTCGTTCGCCTTGTGTGCACCTCCGTACTCCTCTCGCTCACGCCTCTTCCGGCTGCGGATCCGCGGACGCGACGCATTCGTGTTTACTCCACCTTCTCTTTTACCCCGCTCGAGCTCGCCCTCTCGCATTTTGCGTACTCCGCCATCCGCTCCCTCGCCCATGAAGGCACCTGTATGCCCACCCCTCGCGTGGCGCGTGAGCCCTGCCTCCTCTCGGTGCGTCTTCGTCTGACACGCCATGTCCCGGCACTCACATGGGATTGTCGTTACTGCAGGTCCTCGTTCTCGTCGTCCCCGCTTCGACTGCCCCTGCGCTCTACGTCTTCACGCGCGAGCTACCCTACGTTAGGCGTCTTCAAGACCAACACTCGGCAGTCAGGCAGCTCAGCGGGCAACGGGTGCGTGGTGTACATCTCCCCCGCTCTTCCACTACTCGCGTTCATCGTTGCTTTGTACCTGCTCGCGGAACTCCTCCCCGTCCCTCGCTGACTGCCGTCGCTGCCGCTCCGCTTGCGGAAATGCATCCCGTCGCGCGACGTCAACCCCCGCGCGCCTCGCTCGCTCTCAGCTCACGTAGTGGACGCCGCCGACGGAACAAGCACATGCCCGACGAGTTGGGCGTGCTCCCAGACGCCTGCCGCCCGTCGTGCTCTTCGTCGACGCCCTTTCTCAGCGGGGCGTCTCCGTGCCCGACTCGAAGTCCGATGGTGATTCCGAGCCGCAGCTACAGCGGACGTGGGAGGCGCATCTCGCGGTCCCGTACCGCCTGCGTTTCCCCGACGTCACCCTCGACCACTCGGAGCAGCCCGGTGAGCCCCTCGTTCCGTACCGTAATGGTCCAGTACTAACCCCAATGTTCCCAGCAGCTCACCTGTCATTGATTCCTCCCGCACATACGCACATGGTGTCAACTCGACTGTCGCCATCTGTCTCGGGTACTAGGTCCTGCGTACGTTTGCCGTCCTCTCCAAAATTAAGTCGCATTGATGAACGTGTCTTATCACCAGGCAATCTCTCCGTTCAAATTGACCACAGTTTTTGTGCCGAATGGGTGGTTATCGCGTTGATCACTGTCGCCTTCAAGAACGACATGTCCGGTGCCTACGGTACAGAATCTACGGCAAGGCGACCGTCAGAACGTGGTCAAGGAGTACGGTTCTCAGCAGTGACGGTCCACGGACATTGCGTTGAAGCACGAAGCACGGCTGAGCCGTGTGCCTCTTCTGCAGTCCCACCATTTGCGCTCACAACAAGGCAGTGTGTTCCGTCTCCTGGCACTACACCCATCGACGCACCCCCTCCTGCCCCACGCCCACGCCCACGCCCGCACGCGCCTTTATGCGCTCGCCCCAGGTGAGCCGTTCTCCCCTCACGTCCTCATAGATTCCTAACTGTAGCCTAGTCTTTCCAGCCCCCGAGACCCCAACCCCATCCAGCACGAGTCGCTGCATCGCCGCTCCCCGCCCACGACGTCCCGTGGGGAGGTAAGTCAGCGTTCATGGCACCGACGGGTTAGATGACGACTTACAGAGCCCCTATTCACTCCGGCCGTTCTAATTGAGATGACGAATCCGCAGGAACGCAGGGGGTGACGACGCGCAGTGCAAGCCTCCGCCCGTCCAGGACGTATGCACACCAGCGCCGAGCGGGTCTTCAATAACGCCCCAAGAGAGCCTCGTCCGCTCCTCAGTTTTATACTCGCCACCCGCGCGGCCGCACTCTTCAGCACCTCCTTCCGGAATGGCTCACGACCCTCGCCCGGAACCCGCGCGTCGGCGGAGCTCGTTCCGCACGGACCGTCGCAACACACCCGCGCAGCCCGTTCCATCAATTCAGACCGGACGCAGGCCGCTTAGTCCACCCTGAGACCGACGCCCTCATAACCGCCGTCCACGAGTCCGGTTCCCGAACGTTGGAAGGGTCCTTCTCTCACAAGTGCCCACTCCAGTTCCACGGACACGGCGCGATAATCACGCATTCCCTATATTCATTTCGCGGCAGCGTCCAGGACATGCCTGGCACCCATCGACATCCGCAGGCATCCCCTTTTCGCCAGGGACGTCGGTGGGGAATACGCAAAGCTCCTGGACGCACCCGCCGACCAAATCACTCGTAGGAGCGCAGACGACGCTACGAACGCGACGCTGCTGGGGCGTGTGGGTCACGTCCACTGCGGCCGCGACCGACCCCCGGTACTCGCACTTTGCCTGGGCGTTCTCGGCCCGGACCCAAGCTCCCGCCCATCGCGGACCGCAACCTGTCCATCTCGCGCGACCATGTCGTCCTCATCGGGGTGCCGAGGACATCGCCCTCCGCGGGCTCTTGATCATCGACCCCAAGCGGAACCTCAGGCGCGTCCGCAACGGGGCAGCATAGGCTGCATCACGGCTGACCGTGCGTTCAGGCATATCACGATCAACGACCTCCCCGTCGGCCGCTCGGTCGAGGAGACGACCCGGCTCGTGAAGGCGTTCCGGTCCACCGTGCGTCTCTTTCCCTCCGCGTTCCCCGTTACCGCCCTCGCTGATCTCTCACCGCAGGACGAGCACGGTGAGGTTTGCCCCACGAATTGTAGCGAGGGCGCGAAGACGAAGAAGGCGGACCCGACGGGCTCGCTCGAGTGCTTTGCGACCGCCGAGAACGGGAATGGGAGCAAGAAACGCACCCGCTCCGGCTGGACTCTTCCCGCCCGCGTCCCTGATTCTGACTGCCTTTCCCGTCTCCTGTCTCTGTCTCGCAGCGGCGTTGTAGAATACCCGTGTACTTGCAGCGGTCGGGCGCGGTCGCCGCACCGGTGGTCGTGCGGATTTAGGTGGTACGAGGGGGATGCAGATTGCTTTGGTTCGGTGCTACGTACATACATCGTGTGTGTGCGACTGTGCCGACGGCGCCGCAAATATGCGCAGAGACCCTCCGGGAGGCAAAGGCCTCTCGTCTTTCTCGTCTCGCGCACTCGTCCCTCGCCAGCTGTTTCATCGCCATCGCCTCCCTCACGATGTGCTGGCATGTCGCCGCGGCCGGTCCATAATCGGGTTCCGGGGGGGGAGGTACGTATCGATAGCGCGATCGTGCACGCGTCGCGGTCTACAGGTGCCGTGTGTCGTAGAGTACTTTTGGCGTACATGATGGCAAGGGCGGGCGAGGGTCTGGCCAGGCTAGCCGATCTCGTGTTCCGCGAGGAGCTGTGCGAGGAGGGGGCGCTGTCAAGCAGGCATGGCGGACGGAGGACATATGAGGAGAGAGAGGAGAAAAAGCGGTAGATGGAAGCGCAAGGGAACGCGGAGGACGCAGAAACACGAAGGCGGGTCGCGCGACGGCCGGGTGGGGGAAAGAGCGCAAGAGGACGAGTCGGAGGACGAGCACGCACCATGTTCGAGATGCCGTTTGAGAGCGGGTAGACGTGGCTGCAGTTTGCGAACACCGTCGTGCCCTCCTAGACGCGGATCTGGGGAGTCCAAGGGGCATAGGGGTGAGCGCGGGCGTTGAGAACGTCAAAGGGAGGAACGGGGTCCACTTCGAGCAAAAGGTGGTGCGCCTTCTTCAGACAGTCTTCGTCCACCATCTCGAGCTGGCTGCTCCGCGGGAAGGGATGTATCCCCGAGCCGTAGGCAATGAGTGTATGTACCACAGGGATAGAGAACCGGTCAGCTAGCGTGCCTTCACAGTCACAGCAAACACAACGGACCTCGCGTGCGGCATCGACGAGCACGGGCCACTCGGGGCCGGGGAGGAAGTCGGGGAGGAATTCGGCGTCGCGGAGGTCGACCGCGACGTCCTTGAAGCATAGCGGGAATTTGTTGGAGGTGCAGCCTTTGGCGTGGCACGCGAGCAGGTTCCGTGTGATCAAGCGGACCATCGTGGAGGAGGAGGGCTGCTCGTCGTTTCAGACAGAGCCCACAGAGCCTCGGTTGCAGCCTGGATCACAGAGATTGAGGCAGAGAATGTATGGTGGCGGATAAGCGAGGGGAAAGACCGAGAAGGGGAAATGAAGCAAGCATTGTGAGCAGAGACGTAACTGCAGACTGAGAGCGGTGGCACGGGCAGGCCACAGGCGCAGCAGCGCGGACACGTCCCGTCACACATGCCGTCACGGTCACTTCTTGTGCCGCTGGCGTCTGGCGCCCGCGCGCTCCATGGGCTCACCGCGACATTCATCTTCACCATCCTGCTGTCTCTGTCCAATGTCCTCACGGAAGCCTCAGTGTTGCAGGTGGAGACACGAGCCGTCACCCCAACACGGGGCGCGGATGTCATCGAGACGACCGAGATTGGCCCTTCCCTTGACAATTGAATGCTGCGAATCCGCCGACCACATGGCCGGCCGATAATATGTGAGAGCGATTCCCAAAAGCGACGTCGACGTCGACGCCCTGAGACTGACGATACCCAGTCGCAAATGACGCAGACGTCGTACAGTTGCACGAAGACGCGCACATCCCGGCTGCGTCGACAAGCTTCTCTCTTCCTCGCCCACGCCCTGTCGCGCACTGTGCTGTCCTGCCGCCCTCTGTTCGCCGTCATCTCGCTCACCTCTGTCCCGGCTGCGGATCCGCCGACGTGATGCATTCGCGCTCGCTCCACCTTCTCTCTCGCCCCACTCGCCCACGCCCTCTCGTCCACTGCGCCGTCCTGGCGCCCTCGCCTTCGCATTTTGCGCACACCGTCGTCCTTGTTGTCTACTACGATCCCCCCACTTCGGCTCCCACTGCGCTCGACGTCTTCACGCGCGGGCTGTTTTACATTAGGCGTATTCAAGATCAACACTTGCAATTGGCAGCCAGGCAGCTCAGCGGGCTATGGACGCTTGGTGTACATCTCCCCTGCTCTCCCACTACTCGCGTTCATCGTCGTTTTGTACCTGCTCGTGGGACTCCTCCCCGTCCCTCGCTGGCCGCCGCGGCCTTCGCTCCGCTTACGGACACGCATCCCGTCGCGCGACGTCAACCTTCGCTCGCTTTCAGCTCACGCAGCAGTGGACGCCGCCGACGGAACGAGCACACGCCCGACGCGGAGCGGGACTACTTAAGCGTGCTCTCGGAGGCCCTCGAGCTCATGCAAGCCCATGGTGACCACCTTCAACACCCTTCCTCGGCAGGACGTCCACGCGCTCAACTCGGACTCCGATGGCGATTCCGGACCACGGCCAGAGCGGACGCATGTCGCGGGCCCGTACCAGCTGCGTTACCTCGACGTCAACCCCTGCCCCGCGCCCGCGCCCGTATGCGCCTGGATGCTCACGCCTCAGGTGAGCCGTTTCCCTCTTCTGTCCCCGTAGCTGCCCAACTGTGGCCTAAACGCTTGTCTTTCTAGCCCCCGAGTCACCCGCTCCCGCGCAACACGTACCGCTGCACCGCCGCTCCTCGTCCACGACGTCCTGCCAAGCCGTAAGTCAGCGTTCACAGCACCGACGAGGGGAATGACGGCTTACAGATTCCCCGTCCTCTCCAGCCGACCTATCCGAACGGTCAAATCAGCAGGAACGCAAGGGGTGACGACGCGCAGCTCAAGCTTGAGCCCGTCCAGGACTCACGCATTCAACCGGGAGCGCCGAGCGGGCCTCAACACCTCGTCCGCTTGACCCTTTTGTACTCCGTCCGCGCGCCCGCACCCGCGAAGACTCGCGATGGCCTTCATCCGGAGTCGGCTGATAACCCTCGCCCGATTTCCGCGCGTCCCCCGAGCTCGTTGAGTCGTTCCGCGAGGATCCTTCCAACGCAGGCCCGCACAGCCCGTTCCAGCCCGTTCCACCAACCCCGAAGGCCGCCTAGTCCACCCCGGGCCCGAAGTTCCTGATACGTACACCAACCCCGCCCACGAGCCCGATTCCCAAACGTCGGAATGCGTTGCAGGGGACCTCCTCTCGTAAGTGTCTACTCCAGCTCCGATCACGCACACCGTCTGACTTCCGATTTCGCCGCGGCGTCCAAGACATGCCAGACATCCATTGACACCGGCAGAATTGCTGTTTTCGCCGGCGACGTTGGTGGGGAACACGCAAAGCTGCTGGACGCATTCGCCGACGAAATCCCCCGTAGGAGCCCGCGCTGCGCCACAAACGAGACACTGACGGGACGTGTGAGCCACGTCCACGGCGGCCTCGACCGACTCGCGGTACTCGCACTTTGCCTGGGCGACCTCCCCCGTGTAAGCAGGGCGGTCTAGACCCAGACCTCAAGCTCTCGCTCTTCGCGGACCGCCTACGGCGTCCCCATCGAGGACGAGGGCATCGCTCTTCATCGTCAACCCCAAGGGCATCATCAGGTACGTCCGCAGCGGGGAAGCATAGGCTCGCGATCGCAGCTCATCGTGCGCTCAGGCCAATCGCCCTCAACGACCTCGCCGTTGGCTGCTAGGTCGAGGAAATGATCCGGCGATCCGGCTTGTGAAGACGTTCTAGTTCACGGTGCGTCTCTTCTCCTCTGCGTTCCCCGTTATTGCCCTCGCTGATCTCTCCCCGCAGGACGAGCACGGCGAGATGTGCCCTGCGAACTGTAGCGAGGGCGCGAAGACGATAAAGCCAGATCCCGGCTCGCTCAAGTACTTTGCGAGCGTCGAGAACGGGAATGGGAGCAAGAAGAGCGACCGCACTGACTGATGTCCTCCTCCCCGCATCCCCGCCCCCTCCCGTCTCCCGTCTCCGCCTCCCCGCCCCTGTCCCCGCTGCCGCCGCCGCTCACCGTGCAACGCCCGTGTTCAAACGTACACGCCCCCACCCACGGTTTCGCACCCCAGGTCACGCAAAGGACGCGAGCGGCGGCGACGACGTGGGCCCCAGAACCGTCGGTCGCGCTCGCGATAGTCTGTCTCGTTCCGGTGTTTGGTTTGGTGTTGGGTCCGGTCGCACGCATTTCCGCTGTGCGCCCCCTCCCTCTTCCCATGGATCGTTAGAGACCTATGGAGGCATGGAATCGAAACTAGAGATAGACGTCCTCTTTGTAGAATACCGATGTACTTGCTGTGGTCGCCGCGCCGGAGGGCGTAGGCGGTCGTGCGGATCTAGGTGGTGCGAGGGGAATGAAAAATCTATTCGGTTCGGTGCTACATACATACGTCGTGCGTGTGCGACTGTGAAAGCGGCCCCTCGAACGCGCGCAGAGACCGTCCGCAAGACCAAGGCCTCTCGCCTTTCTCATCCCACGGACTCTCGTCGCTTGCCAGCTGCTTTGCACCTCGGATCGGCGCCTCCACGCTCCGCAGCCGTGTCACCGCGGCTGGTCCAGAATCGGGTTGCGGAGGGACGCGAGAGCATCGCTCGGGCGATACGCATCGATAGCGCGACCGGACAGGCGTCGTGGCCTACCAACGCCGTGTATCGCCGGGTACCTTTGGGGTGCGTGCTTGCAAGGGCGGGCGAGGGCGCGTCCGGGATAGCTGATCTCGTTTTCCGCGAGGAACTGCGCGAAGAGAGACGCAGTCAGGAAGGGATGCGGGACGGAGGACAGATGCGGAGAGCCAGGCACTGGATAGCGAGAAGGGGGAGAGATGGAAGCGAGGAGGACGCGGGAAACACGAAGACGGTTCGCGATGGGTAGGGGAAAAGAGCGCAAGAGGACGAGCTAAAGGACGAGCACGCACCATGTTTGGGAAGCCGTTCGAGAGCGGGTAGTCGTAGCTGCAGTTTGCGCACACCATCGCGCCCTCCTCGACGTGGATATGGCAGGCCCAGCGAATGTAGGGATCAGTGCGAGGGTAGAGGACGAAGGGAGGGACGGGGCGCACTTCATTCAAGACGCGGTGCGCCTTCTTCAGGAAGCCCATCTCCGGTTGCTCTTCGGGAAGGGGTGTATCCCCGAGCTGCAGGCGGTGGGTGAGGGTAGTACAGGGATGGAAAACCGGTCGGTTAGTGTGCATTTACAATCACAGCAAGACAACGGACCTCGCGTGCGGCGTCGACGAACGCGGGCCAGTGCCACTCGAGGCCGGGGAGGAAGCCGGGGAGTTTGGCGTGGCGTACAGGCAGGTCGTGCGAACCGTGGTGGAGGAGGGCATCTGGTCGTCTCAGACAGCCGCGGCAGAGGACAGACGGGCGGCTGAATCTCGCGCCGCTGGCGCCTGGCCCTGCTTGAAGCTTGAACTCCAACGCCCATGGTCCTGCCGTCCCCGTCTCGCAATGGCCGCAATGACGCATACAGGCCGAGGGACGGATGGCGTCGAGGCGGCTGGCCGGGATTTTCCCTTCTGCTTCTCTTCCCAGCCTGGCCCGTCGACGTCCCGACTGCATCCTTGCTCCTCACATCCCGCCGTCCCCTCGCTCACGCGCCACGCCTGCTCCTCGCCTATTCCGACGCCTATATGTGCACGCCTCAGGTGAGCCCTGCCTCCTCTCGCTGCGCCCTTGTCCCATACACCACGTCCCAGTGCTCACATCGGATCGTCTTTACTGCAAGTTCTCGTCGTCGTCTACTGCTACGATCCCCCACTTCAGCTGCAAACCTCCACGTATCACTGCACACTGCGCACGATGTTTTCGCATGCGGTCTCCAAGGCGGCCTATTTGACACTCGGCACAGTCTTCAAGCTTTCAACTTTCAAGACCAACAGCTCGCAGCCGCGCAGCTCGACGGCTACGGGCGCGTGCAATGTGCGGTGGCGTCGTACATATCTACGCCCGCTCTCCCAATCCCTCCACGTCCCCAGGCGCGCTGGCCGTCGCCGCCGCCGCCGGGCATACCCCCCGTCGCGCGACGTCAGCCCCCGTGCGCTTCGCCCGCTTTCGACTCACGCAGTGGCCGCGGCCGACGGAGCGAGCAGATATTGGGCGTGCTCCCGGACGCCTTCGATCTCGTGCCGCCCCGTGCTCGCCGTCGACGCCCTTTCTCCGCAGGACGACCACGCGCCCCACTCGGACCCTGATGGCAATTCCGGGCCGCGGCTGGGGGGACGTGCAAGACGCATGTCGCGGGCCCGTCCCGCCTCCGTTTCCTCGACGTCACCCTCGTCCATGTATACTAGACCATTCCTTCCCCTCGTTCCGTACCGTGTCGGATAGGTAAGTGCTGAATGTTCTCGACAGCATATCTCATTGACGATCGGCGCGGACTTCTCCCGTGCGACCACCACGTACGCCCATGGCGTCAGTTGCATCGTTGATAACTGTCTTGTGTCTCTACCGTCCCACCCTTCGCGTCGTTAACAGCCTCAACCAAAGCACACACGGCGCCTTTCCTTCCGTCCCTTGGAACTACGCCCATCGACACCCCGTTGGAGCGCCCCTCCCACGCCCGCGCCTGAATGCGCTCGCCTCAGGTGAGCCGTTCCCCTCTTCCATCCTCGTAGCTGCCTAACTGTAGCCTGGTATTTTCAGCCCGGAGTCGCCTGCTCCCATTGAGTACGGGCCACTTTACCACCGCTCCCCATCCACAACGTCCGGCAGAGCAGTAAGTCAGCGTTCGCAGCACTGACGACGGGAGCGACGGCTTACAAAGCCCTTGTCCTTTCCGGCTGTCCTACTCGAACGGTCAAAACAGAAGCAGCACAGGGGGTGACAACACATAGCGCAAGCCTGAGCCCGTCCAGGACGTATGCACACAGCCGGGGGTGCCGAGCGGGTCTCGACACCTCGTCGGGGATCCCTTTTATACCCCTTCCCGCCCGCGCCCCGCGCCCGTCGGAACCGCCATCCGGAGTCGGTTCATGACCCTCGCCCGGCGTCCACGCGTAGCCCGACCTCGTTCCGCACGGACAGTTCCAGCACCATGCCCGCACAGCACGATCCGCCAACCCAGCACACGCAGGCCGCCTAGTCCACCCTAAGCCCGAGGTCCCTGACTCGAACGCCAAGCGCCGACCACGACTGTGGTTCCCGAACGCCGGAATGCGTTGCGGAGGTCCTCCTCTCGTAAGTGCCCACTCCAGTTCTACGGAAACGGCGCGCCGTTTCGCCTAGATTCGTGTCGCGGCGGCGTCCAGGACACCCCTGACATTCATCGACACCCGCCAACAAAACCACCCGAACGACGCCGCCCTCCGCCACGAACGCGACGCCAACGAGGTTGACGATCACCTGCGCACCCACGGCCACCAAGGCGTGACCGTCCGCCACCGCGGTCCACGTTTCGACCCGAGTGCGCGACTTCATTGCGACTCCGGGCGCGTCGCCGTCCCGGCCGCCCTCGCCGTGCGCCGCCCTCGCCACCGCGGACGCGCGACGTGTTGACGCGTGCAAGTTGCCCGCGATGAGATCGCGATACCCTAGACACCCTAGTCACCGGTGCGGCGCCTCTGCGCTCCCGGTCGCGGCCGAGTAGACGACTCTAACCGTGCCCGACGTGCAGAGCTCGTTGGCCTCACGCCGGATGTACCGACCGGGAAGACGGTGGACGGCCCTGGATGCGGTTCGTGAGGACGGCCTCGATGCACGTCACCCGCGGCGGCGCCACCAACATTGTATGAGCTCTTTTCGGGCGAGAACACGTATGCGCCTATTCACGAAGAGTTGGCGTCCAGGGTGGGCGTGATGAATTAGCGGCGAATTCAACGCGGAAACGTCGGACACCAGTACCGATCTGGCACAGTGGCTCCTCCACGCTGTTTCTTTCGATACCTCTGTTCACTCCTTCCGTTCAAATAGGACGCGCGAATCTCGTCACGCGATTCTTGACCGCCGACCCCGCGCCTGCATCCGGGACGTCTCTCTTGACGGCTTATGGTGGTGGTCAGCGGCCGTGCGCCGTGTCTATGCATTCGAATAGGTGTATCGCGAGGTTGCCGGCATCACCCCGACGCAAGACGTATATAATGGGAAAAAATCTACAGGTCCAAAGCAGAGGCCATGAGGTCACCGACACGGCGGAAAACAACATCTCCTAGACGGTTCGAGAATCCGACCATCGACCCGTCTGCGGAAATCCCTTGCGCGCCAAAACTGAGGCCGCCTGGCCACCGAAAGACGGCCTTTGTGGTACCTTCTTCGATGTTCCAGATCCAGTAGGTACCGATCCCGTTTTTATGGGCCACAAATATTGCCGTCCGCCCATCCGTGGACCACTCCATGTAATAGATATCTTCAGCATGATCGAGACGAAAAAGTGTGGACCCGGTCATTGTGTCCACCACCGACAATGACTGGGAGTCCAGCAGCACTAGGAGACGAGCACCGTCGGCGGTGAAGGGTGATGAAGGGAAGTTCCGTCTGCTGCTTTCCGAAAACAACTGCGTGACGATGGGGTTGTCCTCGACCGTTGACGTGATCTTCGATTTGCGCAAAGTTCCATCGCGGTGTACTGATACGACATGCAACTGATCTTCTCCTTGCGTTTCGTTCAACAACGTGCTGCGGATCATAAGGTTCTCGTCTTCGCCGGTCAACTTGTAACGGCAGGTCCCGGTGCTCGAATCCCAAACGAAGATGTAGCTCTTCACCTCGCCTCCGCGCAGCCGTAATCCTAGAGTTGAAAGAATATGATGACCGACTGCGGATAAACCATAAGACCGATCGAAGCGGCTCTCGCGCTGAATCTCGGCCAGTTCGGAAGATGGTACGAGGAGCGAGCGGAGATGCTCGAAGCTCGAAGCGTCGCAGACATGCACCCGAGCCAGGGAGTCTTGAACAAATATCTGTGTGCCGTCCAGCGACCAGAGAACCCCGACAAAACGCGCGTCTTGAGCATCCAGTGGAAGACGACCGATTCTCTGGGGGATCTTGCTAGATGTTGTAGAGCTAGTCGCAAGGGAGAGAGTGTACATGTGGATGGCTGTAGGGGAAGCAAACGCGAATTGTGCCTCGTCGGGTGAAAACGCAACGCAATGGGGCTCGTAACCGCCAGGGTGGTGTTCTTCATACCACTCGGTGAGTACGGGGATGCCCGGCTCCGTATCCCAGATCACGAGCTCCGTTGCAGTGTTGGTACCTTCTTGCGCGATGCTTGCTGCCCAGTTTCCATGGGAGCTCACGACAAGGCAACTGGGCTTGGTTGCAGATCCGTAAGGTGTGAAGCGTGTTCTCCACATAGGCGCCGATGCTGTTGTTTTGGCAGTCAGTGCTTGATGTTTGCGAGATTATGACAAGCAAACGTACGCAGGGTGTCTAGAGGTAAAACATGGAGCAGGCTTTGATCATGAAGAGTGTGGAACCATCGCACGAACAGAGCCTTCCATCTTGAGAGGTGATTCCGTGGTAGGTTGTGAACTGAACACACGATACCGGCGGAGCGGAGACCGTTATGATGAGATACGACTTGGGAGAATGCTTCAATGGCTTCGCTCTGTCCCTCCTCGCCGAGATCATCATGCCCAAGCCAGTAGTACACGCTCGTGGAGGGAAACACCAGACGGAGTGTACATAGTGAGTCCGGGAGCTTCATACAAGCGCGCAATACTGTCTGGTCCAGTATGTTCTTTTGGTATAATTCTGGGCGCGGCATCCAGATGGAGAGCGACTCAAGGTGGTGACACAACGTGATATCTAAGCCTGGTCGGATGCATTTCAGAGTCAGCTGCATTCACTTAACACGTGTTGTGCTCTCGTACCCTCAAGCAAAGAGCCATTCAATTCAATGACCACAAGCGTCGCAGCGTTCTTGACGAGCAGCGTAGTTGCCACAGAAGGGATTCTCCGCTGTAAATGGATTGCTATCAGCTTGATCCCAACGATGTAGATTCAAAAGATGTCACCTCGATGAGCGGGAGCCAAAGCAGCCGCAAGCCCTTTAGTCTGCCATGCGCGGACAGAAGCGACTGGTTTGGCGGAAGGTCAGGCCCATTCACGTAATCCATGATGATTTCTTCCATGGCAGGAAAGGCGTACAGGAGGGGGTAGAAGTGGAAAAGGTTCTTGAATTGTACACCGCAGAGGGTCACCCGCTTCACATCCCGATACTGGCCCAAGGAAACCAACATCGCTCGCCGCAGTGGGAAAGTTGTTCTCCAATCACCAAGAAACTCCCAAGCCTGGATGTGAATGAGGTATGGGAGGAGGACAATCGGGGCAGTGACAGGGAACGGACGCCGGCGTTGCGCATCAGGCTTCACCAAGCGATCGGGCTTCAGCCGGACAACTTTGACCAGGGATTGCAGAGTGGGGTTCCGGTCGAACGTGTCGCAGATGCCTGGGAGTTGCTCACGACTAGAAACCGTGAGCGTGCGCCAGAGATGGACGCGGGTCCGGGGGATCCAGTCCTTGTGTACCCGGATGCAACGAGCAAGGGCCCGGGTCGAGTATTCAGTCGCACCGAGTTCATCGATGATGTGCTCGATGACCTCGATGGGGACGCGGGGGGACGACATGACAGGACGATAGAGGAGAGAGGACGATGGTGCGCGGCGAGTGTGGTCTCCCGTCGGAGGCTTGCGGGACGAGGCGAGAGAGCAGACCCAAGGAGAGCGCGAACCTAATCGCCTCGCCGTGGGGAATCCCGCCTGCGGTGACGGACGTCGCGCGCGCTCAACTCGGACATAGACATTGAAACCGACGCCCGCCGCGTCCGTTCCACATTCGAAACCATGTCATGGCGCAAACTTGTCCTCAAAGCAGACTTATTTCGGGACAAAACGCTCAAAACGTTGCATAGGTTCTGCATTCGTCCTTTCGCAGCCGCTCACACACGTTCTGCACAGCGTATGATAGAAGCAAACTCGTCCGGTGATCCTGAACACCTCCGGGCCGCGCCCATCCACGAACCCCACCACCGATCCGCACACAGACAGCGAGACCAGCGCGGGCACCCTAACATCAACCTCGCGCGGCGCCCCCGTCTCGACCTCCCAGATCAACCAGGCTGTGCGCGCCGGCATGGCATCCACGAGTGTGGCCGCGCGGGCGTCCACGGAGAGCGCCGCGCGGCGCGCACCGAGGGAACCAGCCGCGCGCGGGGTGACGGTCGGCGCGCAGTGCGGGGGGACCGGTGCCGGTGAGTGTGTCGAACGCCATGGGAGACCCGGGGGTAAGGAGGCACGTCGCGTCTGCAGAGACGAGGCGGTGTTCGTGAAGGCCCGCCGCGGATGACACCGCCCGGTACACGGTCAGAGGCAGGCTGGTGGTGATGACCTCCGGCGAACAGACGTCCGCTGAGAGCAGGGAGCAGTGGCTGCACAGCGTGTGCTTACGCCCCGAGGGTTGCGGAAATGTACTCGCTGGGTGCGCGAGCGCCGTTGCGGAACCTGGTAAAGTGTGAGTGACGAATGCCGGTGACTCGTTTCCGGACGCTGTACAGGTAGTTCTTGTCCGTGCGCTTCGCAACGTTGTCGTAGTGCATGTGTGAAAGGAGTCACTGGCCGTCGAAGGAAGACGAGACCCGTGCCGAGCGGGTCGTGGTGCCGTCGTCCCTGAGCCCTGCGATCTCGTCGATCTCGTCTGCGGACGGGAGAGGGAAGGAGCGCAGGCGCGCGAAGGCGGACGTACGGTCGAAGACGTGGACGTGCGCAACGGCATCTTGAACGAGCACTTGCGTGCCATCGGGTGACCAGGCGACGCCGGTGACGACACTCCGGAGCTGCTACTCGCGGCGTTCGGATGGCCTTGCCGGAGGGGAAAGGGAGATATTCTTGCGAAGGAGGACCCGAACGACGCCAGGGAACGACTGAAGTGTACGCACCGCAAATCCCGCGCACTTGCTCGTCGCTGGAAACGGTGAGCTTGTGCCAGAACTGGCGGCGACTGCGAGTGGACCACGACACGCAGACCAGGGCACAGCGTACGAGGCTCGGAGGGTCTCCTTCGGCAGCTAGTGCACGAATGGCTTCTTCAACGGCGTCGGTAAGCACGTAGGGGAACACACGTGCGTGAAATGAAGTGTATCTGGTTCTAAACTGGGGTTGAGTGGTCTACGCAGTGTAGTCATCGTCTACTGCAGACTGTCCTGAGCTGCGGCGCACGCAAATTGTCAAGAAAAGAACGATTTCGCTAGAATGCTGGCTTACGAGGCCCTTCGCGTGCGAACACCGTGGATTGCAGAGGAAGCACTCTAGTGCAAGCAGCGTACGCTGTTGCTGAACATCCAAGAAGAAGCAGAGAGCGGGTTCTTAGACAGGTGGTGTGCAAGTAAGTATAAACACACCTTTCAACACCCGATCATCCTCTTCCCCGTCATGTCCTCTCCTCGCGCGGAATTCCCTCATGCGAACCATGAAGGGGTGGCGGCGTTGCCTGCCAGGGCCGCTCTCGTCGTGTCGCAGTGGTCCGGGGTTTGAAGATCCCAACGGCGGATGGTGGGTTTTGTAACGGGGCCGAATGAGAAGGGATTGGAGATTGGGGGATCACAGAGATTGAGGCAGAGAGTGAGTGGTGGCGGATGAGCGAGTGGAAAGACCGAGAAGGGACAACGAAACAGAGTGGCATTGCGAGCAGAGTAGCTTCAGACGGCTTCAGACCAGCCGAGAGCGGCGCGGGCAGGCCACAGGCGCACCGTCACCGGCGCGGACACGTCCCGTCACACACCGTGTCACGGTCGGCAGCTCTAGAGGCTATAGAGCTAATACCTGCCAGCGCGCGCCGGCTTCGATCCCGCTCTCAATGCGTCGCCCATACTGACCGGCACCCTCCTGCCGTCGCTGTCCGATGCATCTCGCGATGGACGCAATCCTGCAAACTTGGACGCACCAGCCCTCACCGCAAGGCGGGCACAGATGTCGCCGAGACGACGGGATCGGCCCTTCTCTTCAAGACACCGACCTGATCATGAATCCGCTGACGGAATGGGGCGACAACTATATGTGAGGGCGATTCCCAAACGCGTCGCCGCCGTGAAACTGACTACAACCAGTCGCAGATGTCGATGACGTCTTGCGCGCGGGTGCAGGCACACAAAGGGCTTCTTCCTCGCCCACAGCGCCCTCTCGTTCGCCTTGTGTGAACCTCCGTACTCCTCTCGCTCACGCCTCTTCCGGCTGCGGATCCGCCGACGCGACGCATTCGTGTTTACTCCACCTTCTCTTTTGCCCCGCTCGAGCTCGCCCTCTCGTTCGCATTTTGCGCACTCCGCCATCCGCTCCCTCGCCCATGAAGGCACCTGTATGCCCACCCCTCGCGTGAGCCCTGCCTCCTCTCGGTGCGTCTTCGTCTGACACGCCATGTCCCGGCACTCACATCGGATTGTCGTCACTGCAGGTCCTCGTTCTCGTCGTCCCCGCTTCGGTTGCCCCTGCGCTCGACGTTTTCACCCGCGAGCTACCCTACGTTAGGCGTCTTCAAGACCAACACTCGGCAGCCGGGCAGTTCAGCGGGCTACGGGTGCGTGGTGTACATCTCCCCCGCTCTCCCAGTACTCGCGTTCATCGTTGTTTTGTACCTGCTCGCGGAACTCTTCTCCGTCCCTCGCTGACTGCCGTCGCGGCCGCTCCGCTTGCGGAAATGCATCCCGTCGCGCGACGTCAACCCCCGCGCGCCTCGCTCGCTTTCAGCTCACGCGGTGGACGCCGCCGACGGAACAAGCACATGCCCGACGAGTTGGGCGTGCTCCCAGACGCCTGCCGCCCGTCGTGCTCTTCGTCGACGCCCTTCCTCAGCGGGGCGTCCGCGCGCCCGACTCGAAGTCCGATGGTGATTCCGAGCCGCAGCTACAGCGGACGGGGTCGGCGCATGTCGCGGTCCCGTACCGCCTGCGTTTCCCCGACGTCACCCTCGACCACTGGGAGCACCCCCCGGTGAGCCCCTCGTTCCGTGCTGTAATGGTCCAGTACTAACCCCAGTGTTCCCGACAGCGTACCTGTCATTGATTCCTCCCGCACATACGCACATGGTGTCAACTCGATTGTCGCCATCTGTATTGGTACCAGATCGTGCGTACCTTCGCCGTGCCCTCCGAAATTCAAGTCGCATTGATGAACGTGTCCTATCGCTAGGCGATCTCCCCGTTCGGATTGACCACGTTTTTTGTGCCGAACGGGTGGTTATCGCGTTGATCACTGTCGCCTTCAAGAGCGACATGTCCGGTGCCGACGATACAGAGTCTATCAAAGAATACGGCTCTCAGCAGTGACGGACATTGCGTTGAAGCAAGAAAGCACGGCTGAGCCGTGTACCTCTTCTGCCGTCCCACCCTTTACGCTCACAACAACGCAGTGTGTTCCGTCTCCTGGCACTACACCCATCGACGCACCCCCTCCTGCCCCACGCCCACGCCCACGCCTGCACGCGCCTTTATGCGCTTGCCCCAGGTGAGCCGTTTTCCCCTTAAGTCCTCGTAGATGCCTAACTGCAGCCTAGGATTTCCAGCCCCCCCAACCCCATCCAGCACGAGCCGCTGCATCGCCGCTCCCCGTCCACGACGTCATGTGGGGAGGTAAGTCAACGTTCATGGCACCGACGGGTTAGATGACGACTTACAGAGCCCCTATCCACTCCAGCCGTTCTAATTGAGGCGACGAAGACTCCGCAGGAACGCAGGGGGTGACGACGCGCAGTGCAAGCCCCCGCCCGTCCAGGACGTATGCACACCAGCGCCGAGCGGGTCTTCAATAAGGCCCCAAGAGAGCCTCGTTCGCTCTTCAGTTTTATACTCGCCACCCGCGCGGCCGCACTCTTCAGCACCTCCTTCCGGAATAGGCTCACGACCTTCGCCCGGAACCCGCGCGTCGCCGGAGCTCGTTCCGCACGGACCGTCCCAGCACATCCGTGCAGCCCGTTCCATCAACCCAGACCGGACGCAGGCCGCTTAGTCCATCCTGGGACCGACGCCCTCATGGACAGGTACACTAACCGTCGTCCACGAGTCCGGTTCCCGAACATTGGAAGGGTCCTCCTCTCGTAAGTGCCCACTCCAGTTCCACAGAAATAAGCTGTTGATAGCGCATTGCGTCCGAATTCGTTTCGCGGCAGCGGTCATGACATCCCTGGGATTCATCGACACCCATAAACATGCTGCTTTCGTCGGCGACGTCAGCGGGGAACGCTCAAAGCTGCTGGGCGCACACGTCGATCAAACCACCTGGAGGAGCGCGAACGAGATCGTGTTCCGCCGCGAACGCAATGCTGACGGGTCGTGTGGGCCACGTCCACAGCGGCCTCGACCGACTCGGGGTACTCGCATTTGCCTGCCAGCCCGCCCGCCCGCCCGCCTGGGCGACGCCCCTACACAAGCAGGGCGGTCTCGGCTCGGACCTCAAGCTACTGCTCATCGCGGACCGCAACTTGTCCATCTTGCGCGACCATGGCGTTCTCATCGGGGACGAGGACATCGCCCTCCGCGGGCTCTTCATCATCGACCCCAAGGGGAACCTCAGGCGCGTCCGCAACGGGGCAGCATAGGCTCGCGGATCACGGCTGACCGTGCGTTCAGGCATATCACGATCAACGACCTCCCCGTCGGCCGCTCGGTCGAGGAGACGACCCGGCTCGTGAAGGCGTTCCGGTCCACCGTGCGTCTCTTTCCCTCCGCGTTCCCCGTTACCGCCCTCGCTGATCTCTCACCGCAGGACGAGCACGGCGAGGTTTGCCCCACGAATTGTAGCGAGGGCGCGAAGACGAAGGCGGACCCGACGGGCTCGCTCGAGTGCTTTGTGACCGTCGAGAACGGGAGTGGGAGCAAGAAACGCACCCGCACCGGCTGGACTCTTCCCACCCGCGTCCCTGATTCTGACTGCCCTTCCCGTCTCCTGTCTCTGTCTCGCAGCGGCTTTGTAGAGTACTCGCATACTTGCAGCGGTCGGGCGCGGTAGCCGCGCCGGTGGTCGTGCGGATTTAGGTGGTACGAGGGGAGTGCGGATTCCTTTGGTTCGGTGCTACGTACATGCGTCGTGTGTGTGCGACTGTGCCGACGGCGCCGCAAATATGCGCAGAGACCCTCCGGGAGGCAAAGGCCTCTCGTCTTTCTCGTCTCGCGCACTCGTCCCTCGCCAGCTGTTTCATCGTCATCGCCTCCCTCACGCTGTGCTGCCATGTCGCCGCGGCCGATCCGTAATCGGGTTGCGGGGGGCGGTACGTATCGAGAGCGCGATCGCGCACGCGTCGTGGTCTGCAGGTGCTGTGTGTCGTGGAGCACTATTGGGGCACACGACGGCAAGGGCGGGTCAGAGCCTGGCCAGGCTAGCCGATCTCGTGTTCCGCGAGGAGCTGTGCGAGGAGGGAGCGCTGTCAACAAGGCATGGCGGACGGAGGAGGGATGCGGAGAGAGAGAAAAAGGGGGTAGATGGAAGCGCAAGGGAACGCGGAGGACGCAGAAACACGAAGGCGGGTCGCGCGACGGGTGGGGGAAAGAGCACAAGAGGACGAGTCGGAGGACGAGCACGCACCATGTTCGAGATGCCGTTTGAGAGCGGGTAGACGTGACTGCAGCTTGCGCACACCGTCTTGCCGTGGATCTGGAGAGTCCAAGGGACATAGGGTTGAGCGCGGGCGTGGAGAACGTCAAAGGGAGGAACGGGGTCCACTTCGAGCAAAAGGTAGTGCGCCTTCTTCAAGCAGTCGTCGTCCACCATCTCGAGCTGGCTGCTCCGCGGGAAGGGATGTATCCCCGAGCTGTAGGCAATGAGTGTATGTACCACAGGGATAGAAAACCGGTCAGCTAGCGTGCCTTCACAGTCACAGCAAACACAACGGACCTCGCGTGCGGCATCGACGAGCACGGGCCACTCGGGGCCGGGGAGGAAGTCGGGGAGGAAGTCGGCGTCGCGGAGGTCGACCGCGACGTCCTTGAAGCACAGCGGGAAGTTGTTGGAGGTGCAGCCTTTGGCGTGGCACGCGAGCAGGTTCTGTGTGATCAGGCGGACCATCGTGGAGGAGGAGGGCTGCTTGTCGTTTCAGACAGAGCCCGCAGAGCCTCGGTTGCAGCCTGGACCACAGAGATTGAGGCAGAGAATGCATTGTGGCGGATAAGCGAGAGGAAAGACTGAGAGGGGGAAACGAAGCTAGCATTGTGAGCAGAGTAGCTGCAGACTGAGAGCGGTGGCGCGGGCAGGCCACAGGCGCAGCGGACACGTCCCGTCACACATGCCGTCACGGCCACCTTTGGCGTGCGCGCGCGCTGAACTCACCGCGACGCCCATCTTCACCATCCTGCTGTCTCTGTCCAATGCATCTCGCGGCGGCCTCAGTTTTCATGCGCAGCTGGAGACACGAGCCGTCACCCCAAAACGGGGCGCGGATGTCATCGAGACGACCGAGATCGGCCCTTCTCTTGACAATTGAATGCTGCGAATCCGCCGACGGGACTCCTAGTAGGCGGCCGATAATATGTGAGAGCGATTCCGTCGACTTTGTCGCCCTGAGACTGACGATACGCAGTCGCAAATGACGCAGACGTCGTGCAGGCGCACGCGCACGTCCCGGCTGCGCCGACAAGCTTCTCTCTTCCTCGCCCACGCCCTGTCGCGCACTGCGCTGTCCTGCCGCCCTCTGTTCGCGGTCCTCCCGCTCACGTCTGTCTCTGCTGGGGATCCGCCGATGCGATGCATTCGTGCTCGCTCCACCTTCTCTCTTGCCCCACTCGCCCTCGCCCTTTCGTCCACTGTGCCGTCCTGGCGCCCTCGCCTTCGCATTTTGCGCACCCCGCCGTCCTTGTCGTCTACTACGATCCCCCGCCTCGGCTCCCACTGCGATCGACGTGTTCACGCGCGGGCTGCTTTACATTAGGCGTCTTCAAGATCAACACTTGCAATTGGCAGCCAGGCAGCTCAGCGGGCTATGGACGCATGGGGTGCATCTCCCCCGCTCTCCTAGTGCTCGCGTTCATCGTCGTTTTTTACCTGCTCGCGGAACTTCTCCCTGTCGCTCGCCGGCCGCCGCGGCCTCCTCTCCGCTTACGGAAACGCATCCCGTCGCGCGACGTCAACCCCCGCGCGCCTCGCTCGCTCTCAGCTCACGCAGTGGACGCCGCCGACGGAACAAGCACACGCCCGACGCGGAGCGGGACCCCTTAAGCGTGCTCTCGGAGGCCCTCGAGCTCATGCGAGTCCACGGTGACCACCTTCAACACCCTTCCTCGGCAGGACGTCCACGCGCTCAACTCGGACTCCGATGGCGATTCCGGGCCACGGCCAGAGCGGACGCATGTCACGGGCCCGTACTGGCTGCGTTACCTCGACGTCAACCCCTGCCCCGCGCCCGCGCCCGTATGCGCCTGGATGCTCACGCCTCAGGTGAGCCGTTTCCATCTTCTGTCCCCGTAGCTGCCCAAGTGTAGCCTCAACGCTTGTCTTTCCAGGCCCCGAAGCACCCGCTCCCGCGCAACACGTACCGCGCACTGCACCACCGCTCCTCGTCCACGACGTCCTGCCAAGCCGTAAGTCAGCGTTCACAGCACCGACGAGGGGAATGACGGCTTACAGATTCCCTGTCCTCTCCAGCCGATCTATCCGAACGGTCAAATCAGCATGAACGAAAGGGGTGACGACGCGCAGCTCAAGCTTGAGCCCGTCCAGGACTCACGCATTCAACCGGGAGCGCCGAGCGGGTCTCAACACCTCATCCGGTTGACCCTTTTGTACTCCGTCCGCGCGCCCGCACTCGCGAAGACTCGCGATCGCCTTCATCCGGAGTCGGCTGATAACCCTCGCCCGGTTTCCGCGCGTCCCCCGAGCACGTTGAGTCGTTCCGCGAGGATCCTTCCAACGCAGGCCCGCACAGCCCCTTCCACTAACCCCGAGCGCACGCAGGCCCCCTAGTCCACCCCGGGCCCGACGTTCCTGATATGTACACCAACCCCGCCCACGAGCCCGATTCCCAAACGTCGGAATGCGTTGCAAGGGACCTCCTCTCGTAAGTGTCCACTCCAGCCCCGATCACGCACACCGTCTGACTTCGTTTCGCCGCGGCGTCCAAGACATGCCAGACATCCATTGACACCGGCAGAATTGCTGTTTTCGTCGGCGACGTCGGTGGGGAGCACGCAAAGCTGCTGGACGCATTCGCCGACGAAATCACCCGTAGGAGCCCGCGCTGCGCCACAAACGAGACACTGACGGGGCGTGTGGGCCACGTCCACAGCGGCCTCGACCGACTCGCGGTACTCGCACTTTGCCCGGGCGACCTCCCCCGTGCAATCTAGACCCAGACCTCAAGCTCTCGTTCTTCGCGGACCGCCTACGGCGTCCCCATCGAGGACGAGGGCATCGCTCTTCATCGTCAACCCCAAGGGCGTCATCAAGTGCGTCCGTACCGTGGCAGCATAGACTCGCGATCGCGGCTCATCGCGCGTTCAGGCCGATCGCGCTCAACGACCTCGCCGTCGGCTGCTCGGTCGAGGAAACGATCCGGCGATCCGGCTCGTGAAGACGTTCCAGTCCACGGTGCGTCTCTTCCCCTCTGCGTTCCCTATTACTGCCCTCGCTGATCTCTCCCCGTAGGACGAGCACGGCGAGATGTGCCCCGCGAACTGTAGCGAGGGCACGAAGACGATGAAGCCGGATCCCGGGCTCGCTCAAGTACTTTGCGAGCGTCGAGAACGGGAATGGGAGCCAGAAGAGCAACCGCACTGACTGATGTCTTCCTCCCCGCATCCCTGCCCCCTCCCGTCTCCGTCTCCGCCGCCGCCGCCGCCGCCCACCGTGCGACGCCCGTGTTCAAACGTACACGCCCCCGACCACGGTTTCGCACCCCAGGTTACGCAATGAAGGCGAGCGGCGACGACGAGGGCCCCAGAACCGTCGGTCGCGCTCGCGATGATCTGTCCCGTTCCGGTGTTTGGTTTGGTGTCCGGTCGTACGCGTTCCCGCTGTGCGCCCCTCCCCCCTCCCCATAGATCATTTGAGACCTACAGAGGCGCGGCATATAAACTAGAGGTAGATGGGAGACGGGTGGCCTCTTTGTAGAATACCCTTGTGCTTTTACTTGCCATCGGGCGTGCGGTCGCCGCGCCGGTGGGCGTAGGCGGTCATGCGGATCTAGGTGGTGCGAGGGGAAGGAAAATTTATTCGGTTCGGTGCTACATACATACGTCGTGCGTGTGGGACTGTGCCAACGCGCAGAGACCGTCCGCAAGACCAAGGCCTCTCGCCTTCCTCGTCCCCCGGACTCTCGTTGCTTCCCAGCTGCTTTGCACCTCGGTATCGGCTCCCTCACGCTACGCGGCCGTGTCACCGCGGCTGGTCCGGAATCGGGTTGCGGAGGGACGCGAGAGCGTCGCTCGGGCGATACGCATCGATAGCGCGTTCGCGCACGCGTCGTGGCCTACCAACGCCATGTTTCGTAGAGCACCTTTGGGGTACACGCTTGCAAGGGCGACCGGGGGCCATGCCGGGCTAGCCGATCTTGTGTTCCACAACGAGCTGTGCGAGGATAGGGGCTCTCAGCAAGGGATGCAGGACGGAGGAAGGATGCGGAGAGGCAGACATTGGACGGCGAGAAGGGGGAGAGATGGAAGCGAGGAGGACGCGGGAAACATGAAGACGGTTCGCGATGGGTAGGGGGAAAGAGCGCGCAAGAGGACGAGCTAAAGGACGAGCACGCACCATGTTTGGGAAGCCGTTCGAGAGCGGGTAGCAGTAGCTGCAGTTTGCGCACACCATCGCGCCCTCCTCGACGTGGATAAGGCAGGCCCAGCGAATGTAGGGATCAGTGCGAGGGTAGAGGACGAAGGGAGGGACGGGGCGCACTTCATTCAAGACGCGGTGCGCCTTCTTCAGGAAGCCCATCTCCGGTTGCTCTTCGGGAAGGGGTGTATCCCCGAGCTGCAGGCGGTGGGTGAGGGTAGTACAGGGATGGAAAACCGGTCGGTTAGTGTGCATTTACAATCACAGGAAGACAACGGACCTCGCGTGCGGCGTCGACGAACGCGGGCCAGTGCCACTCGAGGCCGGGGAGGAAGCCGGGGAGTTTGGCGTGGCGTACAGGCAGGTCGTGCGAACCGTGGTGGAGGAGGGTATCTGGTCGTCTCAGACTTGTCTCAGACAGCCGCGGCAGAGGACAGACGGGCGGCTGAATCTCGCGTCGCTGGCGCTTGGCCAGCCCTGCTTGAATTCCAACGCCCATGGTCCTGCCGTCCCCGTCTCGCAATGGCCGCAATGACGCATACAGGCCGAGCTCGGGACGGATGGCGTCGAGGCGACTGGCCGGGATTTTCCCTTCTGCTTCTCTTCCCAGCCTGGCCCGTCGACGTCCCGACTGCATCCTTGCTCCGCTCGCGCGTCCCGCCGTCTTCTCCTGCGCCTTTGGCCAACCTGTTCACATCCCGCCGTCCCCTCGCTCACGCCTGCTCCTCGCCTATTCCAACGCCTATATGTGCACGCCTCAGGTGAGCCCTGCCTCCTCTCGCTGCGCCCTTGTCCCATACACCACGTCCCAGTGCTCACATCGGATCGTCTTTACTGCAAGTTCTCGCCGTCGTCTACTGCTACGATCCCCCACTTCAGCTGCAAACCTCCACGTATCACTGCACACTGCGCACGATGTTTTCGCATGCGGTCTCCAAGGCGGCCTATTTGACACTCGGCACGGTCTTCAAGCTTTCAACTTTCAAGACCAACAGCTCGCAGCCGCGCAGCTCGACGGCTACGGGCGCGTGCAATGTGCGGTGGCGTCGTACATATCTACGCCCGCTCTCCCAATCCCTCCACGTCCCCCGGCGCGCTGGCCGTCGCCGCCGCCGCCGGGCATACGCCCCGTCGCGCGACGTCAGCCCCCGTGCGCTTCGCCCGCTTTCGACTCACGCAGTGGCCGCGGCCGACGGAGCGAGCAGATATTGGGCGTGCTCCCCGACGCCTTCGATCTCGTCCCGCCCCGTGCTCGTCGTCGACGCCCTTTCTCCGCAGGACGACCACGCGCCCCACTCGGACCCTGATGGCAATTCCGGGCCGCGGCTGGGGCGGACGTGCAAGACGCATGTCGCGGGCCCGTCCCGCCTCCGTTTCCTCGACGTCACCCTCGTCCATGTACACTAGGCCATTCTTTCCCCTCGTGCCGTACCGTGCTGGATATGTGAGTGTTAAATGTTCCCGACATCATATCTTATTGACGATCGGCGTGGAATTCTTCCGCGCGACCACCACGTACGCCCATGGCGTCAGCTGCATCGTCGATAACTGTCTCGCGCCTCTACCAGATCGTGCGTACCCGTCGCAGTGTCCGAGCTGACCTCAGCCGGGTCTCAGGGGTGACGGATGTCGCGCTAAAGCGCGAGCCATGTGCTTCTGCCGTCCCACTCTTCGCGCTGTTAGCAGCCTCAACCAAAGCATACACGGCGCCTTTCCTTCCATCCCCTGGGACTACGCCCATCGACACGCCGTTGGAGCGCCCCTCGCCCGCGCCTGTGCGTGTGTGCGCCTGTATGCGCTCGCCTCAGGTGAGCCGTTCCCCTCTTCCTTCCCCGCAGCCGCCTAACCGTAGCCTGGTATTTTCAGCCCGGAGTCGCCTGCTCCCATCGAGTGCGTACCACCTTACTACCGCTCCCCATCTACAACGTCCGGCACAGCAGTAAGTCAGCATTCGCAGCACTGACGACGGGAACGACAACTTACAAAGCCCTTGTACCTCCCAGCTGTCCTACTCGACCACTCAAACCAGAAGCAGCGCAAGGGGTGACGACACATAGCCCAAGCCTGAGCCCGTCCAGGACGTATACGCACAGCCGGGGGCGCCGAGCGGGGTCTTGACACCTCGTCCGGCATCCCTTTTATACCCGCCCCCGCCCCCGCCCCCGCCCCCGCGCCCGTAAGAACCGCCATCCGGAGTCGGTTCACGACCGTCGCCCGGCGTCCGCGCGTCGTCCGACCTCGTTCCGCACGGATAATTCCAGCACCATGCCCGCACAGCACGTTCCGCCAACCCAGCGCACGCAGGCCGCCTAGTCCACCCTGAGCCCGAGGTCCCTGACTCGAACGCCAAGCGCCGTCCACGAATGTGGTTCCCGAACGCCGGAATGCGTTGCGGAGGTCCTCCTCTCGTAAGTGCCCACTCCAGTTCTACGGAAACGGCGCGCCGTTTCGCCTAGATTCGTGTCGCGGCGGCGTCCAGGACACCCCTGACATTCATCGACACCCGCCAACAAAACCACCCGAACGACGCCGCCCTCCGCCACGAACGCGACGCCAACGAGGTTGACGATCACCTGCGCACCCACAGCCACCAGGGCGTGACCGTCGGCCACCGCGGTCCACGTTTCGACCCGAGTGCGCGACTTCATTGCGACTCCGGGCGCGTCGCCGTCCCGGCCGCCCTCGCCACCGCGGACGCACGACGTGTTCACGCGTGCAAGTTGCCCGCGATGGGATCGCGATACCCTAGACACCCTAGTCACCGGTGCGGCGCCTCTGCGCTCCCGGTCGCGGCCGAGTAGACGACTCTAACCGTGCCCGACGTGCAGAGCTCGCTGGCCTCACGCCGGATGTACCGACCGGGAAGACGGTGGACGGCCCTGGGTGCGGTTCGTGAGGACGGCCTGGATGCGCGTCACCCGCGGCGGCGCCACCAACATTGTATGAGCTCTTTTCGGGCGAGAACACGTATGCGCCTATTCACGAAGGGTTGGCGTCCAGGGTGGGCGTGATTAATTAGCGGCGAATGCAACGCGGAAACGTCGGACACCAGTACCGATCTGGCGCTGTGGCTCCTCCACGCTGTTTTTTCGATACCTATTCCGTTCAAATAGGACGCGCGAATCTCGTCACGCGCTTCTTGACCGTCGACCTCGCGCCTGACGGCTTAGTGATGGCGAGCGGCCGTGCGCCGTGTCCATGCAATCAAATGGGTGTATCGTGAGGTTTCTGGCCGCACCCCGACGCAAGACGTATATAATGGAACAAATTCTACAGGTCCAAAGCAGAGGCCATGAGGTCACTGACACGGCGGAAAACCACATCTCCTAGATCGCTCGAGAATCCGACTATCGACCCGTCTGCGGAAATCCCGAGCATGCCAAAACTGCGGCCGTCTGGCCACCGAAAGACGGCCTTTGTGGTACCTTCTTCGATGTTCCAGATCCAGCAGGTATAGATCCAGTCTTCTCCGGCCACAAATATTGCCGTCCGCCCATCCGCGGACCACTCCGTTTCAGAGATATCTGCAGCATGATCGAGACGAAAAAGCGTGGACCCGGTCATCGTGTCCACCACCGACAATGACTGGGAGTCCAGCGGCACTAGGAGACGAGCACCGTTGGCGGTGAAGGGTGATGAAGGGAAGTGTCTGTTGCTTTCCGAAAACAACTGCGTGACGATGTGGGTGTCCTCGACCGTTGATGTGATCTTCGAGTTGCGTAGAGTTCCATCATTGCATACCAAGATAATATGCAACTGATCTTCTCCTTGTGCTCCACCCCACAATTTACTGCCGAGCATAGGGCTCCGATGCCAGTGGGTGTCGGTCGACAAGTTGTAACGGCAAGTCCCGGTGCTCGAATCCCAAACAAACATATATTTCTCCGGCTGGGCTGACAGCGGTGTGCATTGGCGTAGAGCTGAAAGAATATGATGACCGACTGCAGATAGACCATGAACGAATGCGTGCAATCGGTCGCGCTGAATCTCGACCAGTTTGCAAGATGGTACGAGGAGCGAGCGGAGATGCGCGAAGCTCGAAGCATCGCAGAGATGCACTTGACCCAGGGTGTCTTGGACAAATATCTGTGTACCATCGAGCGACCAGAGAACCCCGACAAAACACGTGTCTTTTGCATCCAGTGGAAGGCGACCGATTTTCCGGGGGATATTGCTAGATGTTGTAGAGCTAGTCGCAAGGGGGAGAGCGTACATGTGGATGGCTGTGGGGGAAGCAAACGCGAATTGTGCCTCATCGGGTGAAAATGCAACGCAATGGGGCTCGTATGTGAGGTGGTGTTCTTCGTACCACTCAGTGAGTACGGGGATGCCCGGCTCCGTATCCCAGATTGTGAGCTCTGTTACATTTAGGGGACCCCGTTCGGCGACACTTGCTGCCCAGTTTCCATGGGAGCTCAAGGCAAGGAAATTGAGCTTGGTTGCAGATCCGTAAGGGCAGCAACGTGGTTTAAACATAGGCACCAATGCTGTCGTTTTGGCAGTCAGTGAGGCTTGCTTATTTCGAGATTATGACAAGCAAACGTACACAGGGTGTCTAGAGGTAAAACATGGAGCAGGCCTTGATCATGAAGAGTGTGGAACCATCGCACGAACAGAGCCTTCCATCTTGACAGGTGATTCCGTGGGGGGTTTTCGACTGAACACACGATACCGGCGGAGCGGAGACGGTCATGATGAGATACAACTTGAGAGAATGCTTCAATGGTTTCGCTCTGTCCCTCCTCACCGAGATCATCATGCCCAAGCCAGTGGTACACACTGTCGGAAGGAAACACCAGACGGAGTGTACATAGCGAGTCCGGGAGCTTCATACAAGCGCGCAATACTGTCTGGCCACGTATGTTCTTTTGGCGATAATCCGTGCGTGGCATCCAGATGGAGAGCGACTGAAGGTGGTGACACAACGTGATATCTAGGCCTGGTCGGATGTGTTTCAGAGTCAGCTGCATTCACTTGGCAAGTGTTGTGCTCTCGTACCCTCAAGCGAAGAGCCATTCAATTCAATGACCACAAGTGTTGCAGCATTCTTGACGATCAGCATGATTGCCACAGGAGCGATTTCGCCCCGCTGTAAATGGATTGCTATCAGCTTGATCCCAGCAATGTGGATTCAACAGATATCACCGTGATGAGCCCAAGCTGCCGCAAGCCCTTTATTCTACCATGCGCAGACAGAAACGACTGGTTTGACGGAGTATCAAGCCCACTTATGGACTCCATGATTGTTTCTTCCAGGGCAGGAAAGGCGTACAGAATGGGGCAGAGGTGGAAAAGGTTCTTGAATCGTACACCGGAGAGAGTCACCCGCTTCACATCCCGATACTGGCCCAGGGAAACCAACATCGCTCGCCGGAGTGGAAAAGTCGTTCCCAAACCACCGAAAAACTCCCAAGCCTGGATGTGGATGAGGTATGGGAGGAGGACGATCGGGGCAGTGACAGGGAACTCGTTCCCGCGATTGGGCTTCAGCCGGACCACTTTGACCAGGGATTGCAGAGTGGGGTTCCGGTCGAACGTGTCGCAGATGACTGGGAGTTGCTCACGACTGGAAACCGTGAGCGTGCGCCAGAGATGGATGCGGGTCCGGGGGATCCAGTCCTTGTGTACCCGGATGCAACGAGCGAGGGCCGCGGTCGAGTATTCAGTCGCACCGAGTTCATCGATGATGTGCTCGATGACCTCGATGGGGACGCGGGGGGAAGACATGATAGGACGGTAGAGGAGAGAGGACGATAGTGCGCTGTGACGGCGGTCTCCCGTTGGAGGCTTGCGGGACGAGGCGAGAGAGCAGACCCAAGGAGAGCGCGAACCTAATCGCCTCGCCGTGGGGAATTCCGCCTGCGGTAACGGACGTCGCGCGCGCTCAACTCGGGGATAGACATTGAAACCGACGCCCGCCGTGCCCGTTCCAAATCCGGCACGAGCTCGTCCTCAAAGCAGACTTGTTTCGGGAGAAAACGCTCAAAACGTTGCACACACGTTCTGCACAGAGCATGATAGAAGTAAACCCGTCCAGTCATCCTGAACACCTCCCCGCGCCCATCCACGAACCCCACCACCGATCCGCACACAGACAGCGAGACCGTCGCGGGCACCCTGACATCGACCTCGCGCGGCGCCCCCGTCTCGACCTCCCGGACCAACCAGCATGTGCGCGCCGGCATGGCATCCGCGAGTGTGGCCGCGCGGCCGTCCACGGAGAGCGCCGCGCACCGAGGGAACCAGCCGCGTGCGGGGTGGCGGTCCGTGCGTAGTGCGGGGGGACCGGTGCTGGTGGGTCTGTCGAACGCCATGGGAGACCCGGGGGTAAGGAGGCACGTCGCGTTTGCAGAGACGAGGTGAAGGCCCGCCGCGAATGACACCGCCCGGTACACAGTCAGAGGTCGGCTGGTGGTGATGACCTCCGGCGAACAGACGTCCGCTGAGAGCAGGGAGCAGTGGCTGCACAGCGTGCGCTTACGCCCCGAGGGTTGCGGAAATGTACTCGCTGGGCACGCGAGCGCCGTTGCGGAACCTGGTAAAGTGTGAGTGACAGGTGCCGATGACTCGTTTCCAGACACTGTATAAGTAGTTCTTGTCCGTGCGCTTCGCAACGTTGTCGTAGTGCATGTATGAAAGGAGTTACTGGCCGTCGAAGGAAGACGAGACCTGTGCCGAGCGGGTCGTGGTGCCGTCGTCCCTGAGCCCTGCGATCTCGTCGATCTCGTCTGCGGACGGGAGACGAGAGAGAGAAGGAGCGCAGGCACGCGAAGGCGGACGTACGGTTGAAGACGTGGACGTGCGCAACGGCATCTTGATTCTTGAACGAGCACTTGCGTGCCGTCGGGTGACCAGGCGACGCCAGTGACGACACTAGAGAGCTGCCATTCGCGGCCCTCGGATGGTCTTGCAGGAGGAGAAAGGGAGATATTCTTGCGAAGGAGGACCCGAACGGCGCCAGTGAACGACTGGAGTACACGCAGAACAGGGCACAGCGTGCGAGGCTCCGAGGGTCACCTTCGGCAGCCAGTGCACGAATGGCTTCTTCAACGGCGTCGGTAAGCGCGTAGGGAACCACACGTGCGTGAAATGAAGTGTATCTGGTTCCAAACTGGGGTTGACTGGCCGGCGCAGTGGAGCCGTCGTCTACTGCAGACTGTCCTGAGCTGCGGGGCACGCAAATTGGCAAGAAAAGAACGATTTCGCTAGAATACTGACTTACGAGGCCCTTCGCGTGCGAACACCGGGCGTTGCAGAGGCAGCACTACAGTGCGAGCAGCGTACGCTGTTGCTGAACATCCACGGAGTAGCAGAGAGCGGGTTCTTAGACAGGTGGTGTGCATGTAAGTATAAACACCTTTCGACACCCGATCATCCTCTTCCCCGTCATGTCCTCTCCTCGCGCGGAATTCCCTCATGCGGGCCATGAAGCGTTGGAGGCGTAGCCCGCCAGGGCCGCTCTCGTCGTGTCGCAGTGGTCCGGGGTTTGAAGATCCCAACGGCGGACGGTGGGTTTTGTAACGGGGCCGAATGAGGAGGGATTGGCGATTAGGGGATCACAGAGATTGAGGCAGAGAGTGCGTGGTGGCGGATCAGAGAAAGGAAAGACCGAGAGGGGACAACTGAGCAGAGTGGCATTGCGAGCAGAGTAGCTTCAGACCAGCCGAGAGCGGCGCGGGCAGGCCACAGGCGCACCGTCACCGGCGCGGGCACGTCCCGTCACACATTGTGTCACGGTCGACAGCTCTCTTGCCAGCTGTCTTCGATCCCGCTCTCAACGCGTCGCCCATACTGACCGGCATCCTCCTACCGTCGCTGTCCAATGCATCTCGCGATGGACGTAGTTATGCAAAATTGGACGCACCAGCCGTCACCGCATGGCGGGCACAGATGTCGCCGAGACGACGGGATCGGCCCTTCTCTTGACATCGACCTGATCATGAATCCGCCGACGGAATGTGACGATAATTATTTGTGAGAGGGATTCCCAAACGCGTCGCCGCCGTGAAACTGACTATAGCCAGTCGCAGACGACGTCTTGCACGCGGGTGCAGGCACACAAAGGTGCCCGCTTCTTCCTCGCCCACAGCGCCCTCTCGTTCGCCTTGTGTGCCCCTCCGTGCTCCTCTCGCTCACGCCTGTTCCGGCTGCGGATCCGCGGACGCGACGCATTCGTGCTCGCCCCACCTTCTCTGTTGCCCCGCACGCCCTCACCCTCTCGTCCACTGCGCCGTTCTAGCGCCTTCTCATTCGCATTTGGCGTCCTCCGCAGTCCACTCCCTCGCCCGTGCCGTCGCCTGTATGCGCACCCCTCCGGTCTGTCCTGCCTCCTCTCGGTGCGTCTTTATCTGACACGCCATGTCCCAGTACTCACATGCACATGGGATTGTTGTTATTGCAGGTCCGCGTCCTCGTCGTCTACTACGTTATCTCCCCCAACATTCAGCTACCACTGCGCTCGACGTCCTGGTACCTCAGCGGGCTACGGGCGCGTGGTGTACATCTCCCCCGCTCTCCTAGTGCTCGCGTTCATCAGTTTTGTACCCGCTCGCAGAAATCCTCCTCGTCCCTCGCTGGCCGACGCCGCCTCCGCTCCGCCCACACATATACACTCTGTCGCGCGACGTCGACAACCTTCCGTCGCTTCGCCCGCTTTCAGCTCACGCAGTGGACGCCGCCGACGGAACGAGCACACGCTCGACGCGGAGCAGAACCAGTTAGGCGTGCTCCCGGAGGTTTTCGTGCAGCTGCAAGGCCATGGTGCCCATCGCCCCTCCCCGGCAGAACGTCCACGCGCTTGACTCGGACTCCGATGGCGATTCCGGGCCGCGGATGTGGAAGCGCATGTCGCGGGCCCGTACCAGCTACGTTTCCTCTCCGTCACCCTTTGCTCCACGTCCACTCCCGCGCCCGTATGCGCCTGTATGTTCTCGCCTCAGGTGAGCCGTTACCCTCTACTGTCCCCGTGGCTGCCCCCGAGTTACCCACTCCCTCCCAACACGTACCGCTTCACCACCGCTCCCCGTCCATGACGTCCTGCCGAGCCGAAAGTTAGCTTTCACAGGACCGACGAGGAGAATGACGACTTACTGAGCCCCTGTCCTCTCCAGCCGTCCGACTCGAACGGTCAAATCAGCAAGAACGCACAGGGTGACGACGCGCAGCGCAAGCCTGAGCCCGTCCAGGATTTATGCACACAGCCGGGGGCGCTGAGGGGGTCTCAACACCTCGCCTGGTTATCACTTTTACACCCGTCCCCGCCCGTGCGCCTGCCCTCGCGATCGCCGTCGGCTCATGATCCTCGCTCGAGCTGGTTCCGCGCGGATCCTTGCAACACAAGCCCGCGCCGCCCGTTCTACCAACCCCGAGCGCACACAGGCCGCCTACTCCACCCTGTGACCGACGCCCCTGATACGTACACCAGCCCCGCCCACGAGCCCGACTTCCAAACGTTGGAATGCGTTGCAAGGGTCCTCATCTCGTCAATGGCCACTCCAGTTCCACGGGAATCGCGCGCTGATCACGCATTATCTAGATTCATTTTGCAACAGGGTCCAGGACATGCCTGGTACCCATCGACATCCTGCTTTCGCCAGCAACGTCGATGAGGAACGCGCAAAGCTCCTAGACGCACCCGCCGACCAAATCACCCTCAGGAGCGCGGACGACGTCGCGCTCCCCCACGAACCCGACGTTGATGGGGCGTGTGGGTCACGTCCACAGCGGCTTCGACCGACTCTCAGCACTTGCACTTTGCCTAGGCGACCTCCCCGCGCAAGCAGGCGGTCTCGGCCTGGGTCTCAGGCTCCCGCCCTTTGCGGACCGCAACACGTCGATCTCGCGGGACCACAGCGTACCCATCGAGGACGAGGGTATCGCTCTTCGTCGTCAACCCCAAGGGCATCACAGGTGCGTCCGCAGCGGGGCAGCATAGGCTCGCGGTCGCGACTGATCGTGCGTTCAGGAAAATGACGATCAACGTCTCCCCTGTCGGCCGCTCGGTCGAGGAGACGATCCGGCTCCTGAAGGCGTTCGAGCACACTGTGCGTCTCTCCCTCCACCTACGCGTTCCCCGTGGCCGCCTCCGCTGACCTCTCCCCATAGGACGAGCACGGCAAGGTGTGCCCCGCGAACTGGAGCGAGGGCGCGAAGACGATGAGGGCGGGCCCGACGGAGTCGCTCGAGATCTTTGCGGGCGACGAGAACGGGGATGTGCGCAAGAAGCGCGCCCGCACTGGCTGATCCCCTCCTGCTCCCGTCCCTGACTCTGACTGCCACTCCCGTCTCCGTCTCCCCGCCCCCGCCGGATCCCCGTGTTCAGACGTACATGCATCTGCGGCCCCACCCCCGTTTTCGCATCCCAGGCCGTGCACTGAGCATGAGCAGCGACGACGAGGGCCCCGGAACCGTCGGTCGCGCTCACGTTAGTCTCTCCCGTTCCGGTGTTTGGTTTGGTGTCCGATTGTACGTGTTCCCGCTGTGCGCCCCTCCCCCCTCCCCCATAGGTCATTAGAGACGTATAGAGGCATGGCACAGAGGCATACAAACTAGAGATACACGGGAGGCGCGTGGCGCTGCACTCGCGGCGGCTTTGCAGAACACTCATGTACTTGCAGCGGTCGGGCGTGGTCGCCGCGGGGCACGATCGTGCGGATCCAGGTGGTACAAAGGGAATGCACATTGGTTCGGTGCTACATACATACGTCGTGCGCGTGCGACTGTGCCGACGGCCCCGCGAACATGCGCCGAGACCGTCCGCGAGACGTATCGCACGAGCGACGCTCTTGCGTCCCTCCGCAACCCGATTCCGGACCGGCCGCGGCGACACGGCAGCGGAGTGTGAGGGAGCCGAAAGCGAGGTGCGAAGCAGCTGGCGAGCGACGAGTCCGCGAGACAGGAAGGACGACAGAGGCCTTCGTATCGATAGCGCAATCGGACACGCGTCGTGGCCTGCCAACGCCTTGTGTGTCGTAGAGTACGTTTGGGGTACACGCTCGCAAGGGCAAGCGAGGGAACGGCCGGGCTAGCAGGTCTCGTGTTCCGCGAGGAGCTGTGCGAGGAGAGGCGCAGTCAGCAAGGGACGCGGGACGGAGGTCAGATGCGGAATGTGGATCGTGGAGGGGCGGGAGAGCCAGCAATTGGATCGCGAGAAGAGAAGGAGCAAAAGGAGGATGAAATCGCAAGTAGGGGGACGCGGAAACGAAGGTGGGTCGCGCGAAGGACAGGCAGGAGGCCGAGCACGCACCATGTTCCGGATGCCGTTCGAGACCGGGTAGACGTGGTTGCGGTTTGCGCACACCATCACGCGCTCCTCGAAATGGATCTGGGGAGTCCAGGGGACGTAGGGGTGAGCGCGAGCGTGGAGGACGGAGGGAGGGACGGTGCGCACTTCGAGAAAGACGTGGGGCACCTTCTTTCAAGAAGTCGCCGTCCACCATCTCCAGTTGCTCCGCGGGAAGGGATGCATCTACAAGCTAGGGTGGGTGGGAGTAGCACGGGGATGGAAGGCCGGTCAGATAAGTATTGGGCCTTTACATTCATAGCAAGAACAACGGACTGAGCGCGGGCCACTCGAGGCGGGGGAGGAAACCGCGGAGGAAGTCGACGTTGAACGTTGAACGTTGAACTCGATGTCGCGGGGGTCAATATTTCAATCGTGACATCCTGGAAGCGCAGTGGGAATTCCTCGGAGGTGCAGCCTTTGGCGTGGCGCACGAGCATGTTGTGTGTGATCGAGGAGGGGCCCGCACTGTGCGCAGAGTCTCGGTTGCAGCCTGGATCACAGAGATTGACGCAGAGAATGCATGGTGGCGGATAAGCGGGTGGAAAGACAGAGAAGGGGGAACCAAGCAGAGTGGCATTGCGAGCAGAGTGAGAGCGGCGCGCGGGCAGGCCAAAGGCGCAGCGCCGGCGCGGACTCGACGCGTCCCGTCACACATACTGTCACGGTCACCTCTCGTGCCGCTGGCGAGATCTGGCGCGGTGATCCCGCTCTCACTGCGACGTCCATCCTTGGCCTTGGGCCTCATCGATATCATCCTGCCGTCGCTGCCCAATGCATGCGTCTTGCCATGGCCTCAACCGTGCATTCCTGGACACACCAGCCGTCACCACAAGGCGGGAAATGGATCTCGCCGAGACGACGAGATCGATCGGTCCTTCTCTTGACACCGACCTGAATATGAATCCGCCGACGGGATAGGCCGACAATATGGGAGAGCGATTCCCAAACGCGACGTCGCCGCCATGAGACTGATGATAGCCAGTCGCAGATGACATCTTGGGCTCGGATGCAGGCGCACGAAGACACCCACGTCCCGGCTGCGGATCTTCGCTTGACCTGCTCTCTTGCCCGCCCGCGCCCTCGACTCGCCCACGCCGCCGCCGGCCGTCTTGGGGCCCTCTCGCTCGCCTTTCGCCCACCTCCGTCCTCTCGCTCACACCTGTCCCGGCTGGGGGTGCGCAGACGCGACGCATTCGTGCCCGCCTCTCCTGCCGCGTTCACGCTCGCGCTCTCGCTCACTGCGCACGCCGTCCTGGCCCCCTCTCCTTCGCGTTTCGCGCACCGCTTCATCCTCCCGCCGTCCTCTCCCTCGCCCACACCGGCCCCTGCATGCGCACCCCTCCGGTCAGCCCTGCCTCTCGGTGCGTTGTTGTCTGACACGCCATGTCCCAGTGCTCACATGGGATTGTCGTTGCTACAGCTGGTCCTCGTCCTCGTCATCTACTACGATCCCCCACTGCAGCTGCCACCGCGCCCGACGTCTTCACGCGCGTTCTGTTCAACATTACGCGTCTTCATCGTCAACCAGCTTGGTGGACTACGGCAGCGTGGAATGTATGGTCCGCTCTCCCACCACTCGCCTCCATCGCGGGTTTTTAGCTGCTCGCGGAGCTCTTCCACGTGCACCGCTCGTCGTCGTCGTCGTCGCCGCCGCCACTCCGCTTACGGGCATACGTCCCGTCGCGCGACGCCGGCTCACGCAGTGGATGCGGCCGACAGAACGAGCCACACTCGACGCCGAGCGGGACAAGTCCCGGAGACCTTCGATCTCGTGCAGCCCGTCGTGCTCGTCCTCAACGTCTTTCCTCGGCAGCACTTCCCGGCGCCCGACTTGGACTCCGATGGTGATCCCGGGCCGCAGCCAGGTTGGAGGTGGGAGGCGCATTTCACGGGCCCGTACCGCCTACGTTTCCTCGGTGTCGATCACTCCGAGCACCCCGGTGAGGCCCTCGTTCTATATCGTGGTGGACAGCACTAACCCTAATGCTCCCGCCAGCGTATCTCATGGACGATTCCCCCCGCACAACTGCCACCTACGCCCATGGTGTCAGCTTGACCGTCGACAACTGTCTCGCGTACGAGATCGTGCGTACTTTCTCCTTCCTCTCCGATGTCGAGATCGCATTGATGACCGTGTACCATGGCCAGGGAAGCACGGCTGAGCCCTCTGAGCCCTGTGGTTTTTCTGCCATCCTGCTCTTCGCGCTTTCAGCAAGGCAGTGCGTTCCGTCTCCTGGCACTACGCCCATCGACACGCCGTTGGAGCGCCCCTCGGCCGCGCCCGTGGGTGTGTGCGCCTGTATGCACTCGGCTCAAGTGAGTCGTTCTTCTCTTCTGTCTTCGCAGCTGCCTAACTGTAGCCTAGTATTTCCAGCCCCCGAGCACCGCTTCACCACCGCTCCCCTTCCACAACGTCCCGCAGCGCAGTAAGTCAGCGTTCGCCGCCCCGACGAGGGAACGACGACTTACAGAAACGTTGTCCTCTTCAGCCGCATACTCAAACGGTCCAATCACCGGAAACGAAGGGATGAGATCGACGACGACGGACGGCGGAAGCCTGAGCTCGTCCAGGACGCATGGACACCGGCGCCGAGCGGGTCTCAACACCTCGTCCGTTTGCCCGTTTTATACCCGTACCCGCCCGCGCCCCCACACTCGCAATCACCTCCATCCGGAGTCGGCTCACGACTCTCGCCCGGCGCCCGCACGTCGCCCGATCTCGTTCCGCGCGGATTCTTCCAACACAAGCCGGCGCTGCCCGTTCCACCAACCCAGATCGCACGCAGGCCGCCTAGTCTACCCTGGGCCCGATGTTACTGATACGTACACCAACCGCCGTCCACGAATCCGGTTCCTGAACATTGCGAACTTTGGAAGGGTCCTCCTTTGGTAAGTGCCCACTCCAGTTCCACGGAAACGGCGCGTCGATCACGCATTCCCTAGATTCATATTTCGGCCGCGCCCAGGACATGGCTGGCGCCCATCGACACCCAGGGGCATCCCGCTTTTGCCAGCGACGTCAGTGGGGAACACGCAAAGCCCCTGGACGCACACCTGTAGGAGCGCGAAAGACGGCGCCCTCCGCCACAAACGCGACGCTGACGGGGCGTATGGGCCACGTCCACAGCGGCCTCGACCGACTCGCGGTACTCGCAATTTGCCTGGTTGACCTCCCCGCGCAGGCAGGGGGACCTCAAGCTCCCGCTCATCGTGGACCGCAACCTGTCCATCTCTCGCGACTACGGCGTCCTCATCGAGACCGAGGGCACCACCCTCCGCGGGCTCTTTATCATCGACCCCAAGGACATCCTCAGGCGCATCCGCAGCGGACCGGCATACGCTCAAGGATCATGGCTGATCGTGCGTTAAGGCAAATCACGATCAACGACCTCCCCGTCGGCCGCTTGGTCTAGGAGACGACCCGGCTCGTGAAGGCGCTCCAGTGCACCGTGCGTATCTCTCCCTCAATTAGCGTTCCCCGTCGCCGCCACCTGCTGACCTTTCCCCGCAGGGCGCGCACGTCGAGGTGTGCCCCGCGAACTGGAGCGAGGGCGCGAAGAAGTTGAAGGCGAACCCGAAGGGCCCGCTCAAGTACTTCGCGAGCGTCGAGAACGGGAATGGGAACAAGAAGCACGTCTGCACTGACCGACCTCTTCCACCCCGCGTCCCTGATTCTGACTGCCCTTCCCATCTCCGTCTCCCCGCCGCGTTCAGACGCACATTCCCCTGCGTCCGCACCCCCGGCTCCACACCCCAGGCTACGCACTGAACGTGAGCGGCGACGACGCGCGGGCCGGCAGCGTCGGTCCCTCGGCTCCGCGCTCGCGATGGTCTGTCTCGTTCCGGTCGTACGCGTTCCCGCTGTGCACCCCTCCTCCCCATAGATCATTAGAGACGTACAGAGGCACGGCATAGAGGCATAGAAGACAGAAATAGACGGGAGACGGGCGGCGACTTCGTAGAATATCTATGTACTTGCTGTGGTCACCGCACCGGTGGGCGGGGGCGGTCATGCGGATTTAGGTGGTGCGAGGGGAATGAAAGATTGTTTGGTTCGGTGCTACGTACATACGTCCTGCGTGTGCGACTACGCCGACGGCCCTGCGAACGTGCGCACAAAGCGTCCGCGAGGTAAAGGTCTCTCGTCTTTCTCGTCTCGCGGGCTATCTCGTCGCTCACCAGCTGGTTCCCCATCGACTCCCGCACGCTGCGCTTCCATGTTGCCGCGGCCGGTCTGGAAGGGGTGACGGAGGGACGCGAGAGCGTCGCGAGGGCGATACGTGTCGATAGCGCGATCGCACACGCGTCGTGGTCTACAATCCCGTTTATCGTAGAGTACGTTATGGGTACACGCTTGCAAGGGCGAGCGGGGGCGCGTCCGGGCTAGCCGATCTCGTTTTCCGCGAGGAGCTGTGCGAGGAGAGACGCAGTCAGCAAGGGACGCGGGACGGAGGACGGATACAGAGAGCCAGGCATTGGACGGCGAGAAGGGGGGAAGATGGCAGCACAGAGGACGCGTAAAAACGAAGGCGGTTCGCGCGACGGGTGGGGGAAAGAGCGTATGAGGACGAGCCGAAGGACAAGCACGCACCATGTTCAGGATGCCGTGTGAGATCGGGTAGAGGTGGCTGCAGTTTGCGCACACCAACACGCCGTCCTCGACGTGGATATAGGAGGCCCGGTGGACGTAGGGATCAGTACGAGCGTGGAGAACGAAGGGAGAGACAGTGCGCACTTCGAGCAAGACGTGGTGCGTCTTCTTCAGAAAGCCGTCGTCCACCATCTCCGGCTGCTTCGCGGGAAGGGATGTATCCCTGAGCTGTAGGCTGTGGGTGTATGTAGCACAGTGACGGAAAACATGTCAGCTAGTGTGTCTTTACAGTCACAACGAACCTCGCGTGCGGCGTCGACGAGCGCGGGCCACTCGAGGCCGCGGTGGAAGCCGCGGTGGAATTAGGCGTCGCGGAGGTCGACCACGACGGCCTTGAAGCGTAGCGGGCAGTTGTTGGAGGTGCAACCTTTGGCGTGACACGCGAGCAGGTTGTGTGTGATCAGGCGGACCATGTGGAGGAGGGCTGCTGGTCGTTCCAGAAAGAGCCCGAAGAGCCTCGGTTGCAACCTGGATCACAGAGTTATTGAGGCAGAGGATGCATAGTGGCGGATAAGCGAGAGGGAAGACCTAGAAAGCGGAATGAAGCGGAGTGGATGCATTTCGGGCACTGGCCACGGCCCACAGGTGCAGCGGCGCAGACTCGCGTCCCGTCACGCGTTCCGTCACTGTCACCTCTCGCGCCGCGCGAGTCAGGCTCACCGCGACGCCCATCATCCTCACCATCCTGCCACTGCTGTCCAGTGCAAGATCTCGCTGCAGCGGTGACTCTCTCGGTAATTATTCACGCACACCTAGAGACACGAGCCGTCACCACAAGCCGGGGCACGGATGTCGCCGAAACGACTGAAATCGGCCCTTCCCTCGACACCGCCGAGAATATTTGCTGCGAATCCCCACCGGGATAGGCCGACAATATTTATGTGAGAGCGATTCCCAAACGCGATGTTGCCGCCATGAGATTGACGATGCGCAGTCCCAGATGACGTCTTGCGCACAGGTGCAGGCCCACAAAGGCACCCACTTCCTGGCTGCGGGTGCTCGCTCGACCTTCTCTCTTGCCTGCCCGCGCCCTCTCGCCCACTGCGCCGTCCTGGTGCCGTCTCGTTTTCCCCTTGCGAACCTCTTCACTTTCCCGTCGTCCTCTCGCTCACGCCCGTCCCGGATGCGGATCCGCGCACGCGAGCCATTCGTGCTCGCCCCACCGCCGTTCTCTCTTGCCCCCCTCGCGCCCGCCCTCTCGCGGTGCATTGCGCCGTCCTGGCGCCCTCTGCTGCGCACCCCGCCGACCTCTCCCCCGCACATGTCGGAACCTACAAGCACACCCCTCCGGTCAGCCTTGCCTCTTCTCGGTGAGTCGTTTTCCGACACAACATGTCCCAGTGCTCACATGGAATTGTCTTTACTGCACGTCCTCATCGTCGTCTGCCACGATTCCCCACGTGCTCTGCGCACGACGTCTTCATGCTCGATCTCCAACACTACACATTAGGCGTCTTTGAGATCAACAGTTGACGGCAGGGGAGACGGTTCTTTCGTCACCGCGGACGACCGTCAGAACGCGGTCAGGGAGTACGGCTCTCAGCAGTGACGGACATTTCGTTGGAGCACGAAGAACGGCCGAGCCGCGTGCCTCTTCTGCCGTCCCTCCCTTCACGCTTACATCGAGGTAGTGCGTTCCGTCTCCTGGCACTACGCCCATCGACACGCCGTTGGAGCGCCTCCCCTCGCACCTGCGCCACGCCCGCGCCTACCCTCGCATGTGCCTGTATGCGCTTGCCTCATGTGAGCCGTTCTCCCCTTCCGTCCTCGTAGATGTCTAACTGTAGCCTTGTATTTCCAGCCCCCGAGTCGACCGCTCCCGTCCAACACGCACCGCTGCACCACAACGTCCTGCAGAGCAGTAAGTATGCGTTTGTAGCACTGACGAGGGAACGACGACTCACAGAATCTCCAGCCGTCCTACTCGAACAGTCGGATCAGCAGGAACGCAGGGGCTGACGACGCACAGTGCATTCCCCAGCCCGTCCAGGTCGTATGCACACCGGCGCCGAGCGAGTCTTCAATACCGCCCCAAGAGAGCCTCGTCCGCTCATCAGTTTTACACTCGCCACCCGCGCGGCCGCACTCTTCAGCACCTCCATCCGGAGTCGGTTCACGACTCTCGCCCGGCCCCCACGAGTCGCCCGAGCTCGTTCCGCACGGATCGTTCCAACACAAACCCGCGCAGCCCGTTCCACCAACCCAGATCGCACCCAGGCCGGCGAGTCCGTCCCGCGCCCAATCCCCCTGCCAACACCCACACCAACCGGCGTCCACGAGTGCGGCTCCCGAACGTCGTAATGCGTTGCAAGGGTTCTCCTCTCGTAAGTGCCCACTCTGTTCCACGGAAATGGCCCGTTGATTGCGCATTCCGTCTAGGTTCGTTTCGCGGCGGCGTCCAGGACATTCCAGGCATCCATCGACACCGGCAGGCATGCCGCTTCCGCCAGCGATGTCAGTGGGGAACACGCAAAGCTGCTGGGCGCACCCGTCGACCAAACCATCCGTAGGCGCACGAACAACGCTACGCTCCACCGCGAACACGACGCTGACGGGGCGTGTGGGCCACGTTCACAGTGGCCTCGATCCACTCGCGGTACACGCACTTTGCCTGGGCGACCTCCCCGCGGAAGCAGGGCGGTCTCGGCCTCAAGCTCCCACCCTTCGCGGACCACAACACGTCCATCTCGCGCGAGGACGAGGGCATCGCCCTCCACGCGCCCTTCATCATCAACCCCGGTAACGTCGTCATGTACGTCCGCAGCGGGGTGGCACGGGTCCGTGGATCGCGCCGGATCGGCGAGCAGAGCGGAATCAACCAGGTCGCCCAGATGAAGGCTGAAGTGGACCGCTGCGACGAGAACCTCGTGAGTAGACCTTGCAAAGAAGCGTGCATATGCATGCATTCACACGGCGCTCGGAGGATGCTCAGATGCCGCCGGGTGCAGAAAAACCGTGGCTCGAACCCGCCGCGTCGCCGCACTCCGAGCCGAGACAAGCTGCAGCCACGCGGGCGCGCCCGAGCCAGAGGAGATGCGTGCGGGCCTTGGGTGAGATGGAGGTGGAGATCAAGCAAACGTGGTTATCGAATGTTCGTTGTCAGAAATACGTATGTTCCAAAGATATTGCAACGTCTCGTCGCACTGCTTGTCTAAGTATTTTGTTCCGAGTACGTACATCATGGACCCTACATCCATATGACAGGTGTTTCCAGAGCTACCTCGCAGCCGGTCTCCTTCCCCTGCTGCAGCGCCGTGACGGAGGCGACAAGGTCCGGAATCCGGTCCCAGGACCCCAAGCGGTCGCTGAATGGTAGGTCTCGCGCCCTCAAGTGCGGAAAGGCGGCCACAAGCGGCGCGACATCTTGATCGTCCGCCGTCGGATCTAGAACCGCCAACCGGAGCGCGTGTATGCCCGACGGCGACGGCGCCGCGTCCGCGGTGGCGGCAAGCCCTGCTCTGTCGCCAACGGGAGCGGGCGAAGCGCAAACCGGGCCGGGATCGAGCGAGAGGAGCTGGAGGTGGCCCAGCTGAGGCAGCGCGCACGCCACCGCGTGCACCGCCGCGGCGGTCGGGTGGTGAAATTTTGAAAGTGGAGCGGGGGATGTGAGCGGTCGAGATAGGCGTCGTTGTGGGTGGACTGGAAGAACGCGGCGATCAGGGCAGGGAACTGCGGGGGTGGGCACGACGAGCCGGCACATGGAGGTCGACATCGGCGAGCGCACCCGACGAGCTGGAAGGCAATGATAGGGAGCGATTGGGTTGCGCCCGCGCGGAGCGCGTCGAGCGCGAAGCCGGCGGGAAGAGGTGCGGAGTGAGAATCGGGAGCGGGGAAGAAGGTGACCTGGTCGAGGGTAGGCCCCAGGGTGGAAGCGATGGCCGTGAGGTCTGTGGCGGGGTCATCCTCTAGTGAACGGGTACTGTCCGTGGTCTCGAAGAAAGCGAGGTTAATGAGACGCTGTGTCGTTCCGGTGGTGCTGAAGAATGTGGAGAGGTCTTGGAGAGTTGCGGAGATCTCGAGATAATGAAGGGAGGGGAAGCTTCTGGGCGTGGGGTGACCACGGGAGTAGAAGGCTGTCGAAGAGAGAGAGAGAGAGAGAGGGTGCTGTCGACGCTGTGCATCTGGACCGCGAGGTATAGCTTGCGGAAAGCAGGGAGAGACATGTGCGAAAGTGCCATCCGCTCATTCCAGTTCGCAGTGTGCGTCACAACGAGGGTGCGCAACTCGGAGAACGTCCGCCTGGTGTATGTCGACAAAGGCGGGGCTCAGTCTACTGTAGTCGCACTAGGAAACAATCGTAGTCATACCAACATGTACAAAGCCCGGTGCTTATCCACCCCCCTCCACATTCGCCTGACATGAACCCGCTTCCAGCTCAATCGAGGCATGGCTGCGTAGGCATGAGCCAGAGCGATCCGTCCGGAGAATCGTCCATGTTTGATTCGTCGCGCCGCGCCGTGTGGCCGAGGCCGGTCCGGAATAGGACGACGGGAGGAGGCGAGAGTGTCGCTCGGGCGATACGTATCGACAGCGTGATGGCGCACCCATCGTGGTCTCCCATTGTCGTATGTCGTGGAGTACTTTTGGGGCACGCGCTCGCAAGGACGAGCGAGTGCGCGGCCAGGCTAGCCGGTGTCGTGTTCCGCGAGGAGCTGTGTGAGGAGGGGGCGTCGTCAGCAAGGGATGTGGGACGGAGGACAGATGCGGGATGTGGATCGTGGAGGAGTGGAAGGCGAGAGAGCCAGGGATGCGATCGTGGGAGGAGAGGGAGAAAAAGGAGGATGGAAGCGCAGGCAGGAGGACACGGAAACACAAAGGCGGGTCGCGCGACGGGTGGGGGGAAAGAGCGCGGGAGGACGAGCCGGAGGACGAGCACGCACCATGTTCGGGACGCCGTTCGCGAACGGGTGGACGTGGCTGCACCCCGTCGCGCCCTCCTCGACGTGGATCTGGGGAGCCCAGGGGACGTAGGGGTGAGCGTGAGCGTGGAGGACGACGGGAGGATCAGGGCGCACTTCAATCAAGACGTGGTGCGCTTTCTTCAGGAAGCCGTCGTCCGCCATCTCCAGCTGCTCCGCGGGAAGGGGTGTATCCCCGAGCTGCAGGAGGTGTGTGAGGGTGGTACGGGGACAGAAAGCCGGTCAGCTAGGGTGCATTTACAGTTACAGTGAACAGAACGGACCTTGCGTGCGGCGTCGACGAGCGCAGGCCACTCGAGGCGGGGGAGGCAGTCGCGGAGTCGGAAGCCGGCGTTGAAGTCGGTATCCCGAAGCTCGACTACGACGTCCTTGAAGCGCAGAGGGAGGTTTTCGGAGGTGCAGCCGTTGGCGTGGCGCACGAGTAGGTTGTGCGGACCATCGTGGAGGAGGAGGGCTGCTGGTCGTCCAGGCAGAGCATGCAGAGCCCGCGGCAGAGGACAGACGGGCGGCTGATCCCGGAATATCGTCCCGCTGGCGCCTGGCCGTGCTTGAACTGCAACGCCCATCCCCTCGCCGCGGTCTCGCGATGGCCTCAACGACGCGTGCAAGCCGGGGGACGGATGAGGTCGAGGCTACCGAGATCGACCCTTCCACTTCTCTGCCCAGCCTGGCCCGTCGCCGCCCCGGCTGCATCCGTGCCCGTCTCTTGCCCCGCTCGCGCACGCCGCCGTCTTGGGACGCTCTCCTTCGCCTTTGGCCCACCCGCAGGTTCACATCCGGCCGTCCCCTCGCTCACGCCTGTCCCTCGCCTATTCCGGCACCTGTATGTGCATGCCTCAACTGGTGGGCGCTTGAGTGCTGCCTCCTCTCGGAGTGTCCTTGTCTGACACACCACATCGCAGCCTTGCCCACATGGGATGCACGTCCTCGTCCACGTCTACTACTGCGAGCCCCCGCTTCAGCTGCCACACAACACGTGACACTGAACACTGCGCACGACGTTTTGACATGCGGTTTGCAACGCGGTCTCGTTGACAATCGGCACCGTCTTCAATATCAACAGCTGGCCAGTCGGGCAGCTCGACAGGCTACAGGCGCGTGCAATCCGCGGTCGCGTCGTGCATACTCTCCCATTGCTAGCGGGACTCCTCCACGTCCCCCGCTGGTCGCCGCCGCCGCCGCCGCCGTGCAGACACCCCGTCGCGCGACGTCAGCCCCCGTGCGCTTCGCATGCTTTCAGTTCACGCAGTGGAGACGGCCGACAGATATCCAATGCGGAGCAGGCCGACGAGTTGGGCGTGCTCCCGGACGCCTTGAATCTAGTGCAACCCGTCGTGCTCGTCGTCGACGCCCTTTATCCGTAGGACGTCGACGCGACCCACTCAGACTCTGAAGGCGATTCCGGGCCACGGCCACAGCGGACGACGCGTCACGCATGGCGCGGGTCCGTACCGCCTCCGTTTCCTCGACGTCACCGTCGACCACTCCGAGCACCCCGCGGATGAAGCCCTTCATCCACGTACGTTACGCCATTCTTTCCTCTCCTTCCGTACCGCGGTGGACAAGTGCTGAATGCTCCCGACAGCATATCTAGATCGCATTCACGATCGGCATGGGCTTTCCCCGCGCGACCGCCACGTACGCCCGTGGCCTCAGCTGCATCGTCGATAACAGTGCACAGCGCTCGGAAGCGACGGACATTGCGTCCAGGCACGAAGCATGACTGGGCGCCGAGCCGTCCCGTCCTTCGCGCTGTTTGCGACCTCGATCAAGGCATGCACAGCGTCGTGCCTTCCGTCTTTTGGAGATGCGCCCATTGACACACCATTCGAGCGTTCCCCGTGCCCACGCCTGCGCCTGTATGCGCTCGCCTTGGGTGAGCCGTTCTCCTCTTCCGTCCCCATAGTCGTCTAACTGTAGTCTGCAGCCTTGTATTTCCAGCCCCCGAGTCGTCCGCCTCCATCCAATCCGTGCCGCCGCACCACCGCTCGCCGTCCACAACGTCCTGCCGATTGGTAAGCCAGCGTTCACAGCACCGACGAGGGGAATGACGATTTACAGAACCCTTGTCCGCTCTAGCCGTCCTAATTGAATAGTCAAATCAGAAGTATCCAGGGGGTGACGACGCACAGCGCAAGCCTGCCAAGCTCGTCCAGGATGTATGCAAACAGCCTTGTCCGTTTGCCCGTTTTATGCCCGTCCCCGCGCGCGCACACACACTCGCAATCACCTCTATCCGGAGTTGGCTCACGACTCTAGCTCGCCCGGCGCCCGCGCGTCACCCGATCTCGTTCCGCACGGATCGTTACAACACCTAACCCGCGCGACCCGTTCGGCCAACCCGGCGCACGCAGGCTGCAGAGTCCACCCTGGGCCCGATGTCCCGGACACGAATACCGACCGCCGTCCACCAGTGCGTTCCCCGGACGTTGGAATGCGTTGGAATGGTCCTACCCTTGTAAGTGCAGACTCCGGTTACACAGAAACGGCGTGTTGATCACCCGTCGTCTCACGGCGGCGTCCAGAACATCCATCGACATCCGCAGGGATGCTTCACTCGCCGGCGACGTCGGCAGGGGACACGCTGTTTGCTCCTAGGTGCACCCGCTGCGTGAACGACGCCCCTCTCTGCCCCGAAAACGACGCTCCCGACTCAGGTCGACGATCACCCACGGCCGCCGGGGCGTGGCCGTCCGCCGCTCGATTTCCTTGCAACTCCGCGCACGCCGCCGTCCCTGCCGCCCTCGCCATGCGCCGCCACCGCGGGCGCGCGACGTGTTAACGCAGACAAGTTGCGCGCGATGAGATCGTGATACCCCAGATATCCTGGTGACCGGTGCGGCGCCTCTGCGCTCCCGGCCACGGCCGAGCGGACGACTCCAACCGTGCCCGACGCACTAGCCCCACGCCGGGAGGCGCGCGAAGAAGGGGTGCGAAGGGGATCGCGTGCGAGCTCGTGGAGCTTGTACCGCGGGAGGTCGGCCCGGCGCGAGAGGAGAAGACGAGCGCGTGGAAGAAAGGGAGGATGTGCGATGTGCGCGGAGACGATGCAGAGGACGGCGAGACGGACGGCGGCGGATAGGCGGAAGGCGGAAGGCGGAAAGCTGGAGGCGGAGGCGGCGGCGGCAGGCGGACGTGGACTTGGGTGAGTAGCACGCGCTATGGGGGCGTCGAAACTGTGGATAGAGTGTGCAGCCTAGTAGAATAAATACATGACCAAGTGCGAGATATAGCAACAAAGTCCGTGCGGGCTGAGAGCGGCCCGCATGCCGGTGAGGAAGTGAGACAGAACGGTCTAAACGAACATGAGGAGCAGGACAAGAGAGAGTACTGTAGAGGCCGCGCAGCGGCAGCGTGGGCACGAGAGATAGTAGCGAGAAAAGCGAGGGGTGGTTGGTAGCAGTCGGAAGTCTGAAGAACATACCGAAGTGGCTGGAATATCGTATGACTGGGACAACTTCCTCTTTTACCTCTTCCTGTTCACACAAAATTCGCGAGTCTCGCGATGCTTTTCCGTTTAACCCGCGCCTGAATGTATTGGACGTCTCTTCCAGCCAGGTTATAGTGAGCGGTCGTGCGGCGCGGACGTCCATGTGTCTGGATGGGTGTATCGTGAGGCTGCCGGCCAGCAAATCGAATCGAGACGTATGCAATTATGCAAATACATCAAAGAATCAAGCTTCAATATGACCGGGATCTACGTAAGGGTCCCAAGCAGGGGCCATCATGAGGTCACTGACGCGGCGGAAAACCACATCTCCTTCCCAGTTCGAGAGTCCGACCATCGATCCGTCTGCGGAAATCGCGGACTTGGCTACAAAGCGGCCGTCCGGCCACCGAAAGAGAGCCTTTCTGGTACCTTCTTCGATGTTCCAGATCCAGCAGATAGAGACGTTGTTTTCTTCGGCCACAAATATTGCTGTCCGTCCATCTGCGGACCACTCCCTGTCATAGATACCCGCAGCATGATCGAGACGAAACAGCGTGGACCCGGTCATCGTGTCCACCACCACCAATGACCGAATGTCTGGTTGCACCCCCAAAAATGACCGAGGGTCTGGCTGCATCATGAGACGAGCACCGTCGGTGGTGAATGGTGACGATGGGAACCAGGGTGCCGTGTCGTTGACTTTGTTGCTGAGTGTTTGAACCACTGCCTGTGTGACGCTGATGACATGCTCCACTGTTGATGCGACCTTCGAATTGCGCAGATTTCCATCGTCGCATACCGAGATAACATGAAACTGGTCTTCTCCTCGCGTTGTGTTCCACAATGTACTGCCGACAATAGTGCTCTGGCCATCGGTCGACTTGTAACGGCGGGTCCCGGTTCTCGAATCCCAAACAAAGATATAGTTGTTCGGATGAGTCCCATCTAGCAGCGTGAATCCCAAAGTTGAAAGAATGTGATTGCCGGCTGAAGACAGTCTGAGCCTGGGATCGCTGCGGGGCTGTGAGTACCCATGTTGAATAGCGGCCAGTTCGGAAGATGGTACGAGGAGCGAGCGGAGATGCGCGAAGCTCGAAGCATCGCAGACATGCACCCGAGCCAGGACGTCTTGAACAAATATCTGTGTGCCGTCCAGCGACCAGAGAACCCCGACAAAGGGCGCGCCTGTGGCATCCAGTGGAAGGTACCCAACTCTCTGGGGGATCTTGCCAGATGAGCTCGTCGTAAGAGGGATAGAAAACAGGTGGATAGCTGCGGAGGAAGTAAACGCAAATTGCGTCTCGTCGGGGGAAAATGCAACACGATGGGGGTGGTCTTCTGAGTGGTCGTGTTCTTCGTACCAGTCGGTGAGTACGGGGATGCCTGACTCGGTGTCCCAAATTATGAGCTCTGTTATGGGCCTCACATGCGCGATGCTTGCTGCCCAGTTTCCACGGGAACTGAAGATGAGCCAACGGAGGTTGGTCGCAGATCCGTAAGGCGTGCAACGACTTCCCGAGATAGGCCCTGTTGTTGCAGCAGTCAGTGCTTGCTGTTTGCGATATTATGACAAGCAAACTTACCCAGGGTGTCTAGAGGTACAACACGGAGCAGGTTTCGATCATGCAGAGTTTGGAACCATCGCACGAACAGGGCTGTCCATCTTGAGAGGTGATTCCGTGGAAGGTTGTGAACTGAACACATGAGACCGGCAGAGCGTAGACGATTATGACGAGATACAACCCGGGAGAATTCTTCAATAACTTGTCTGTGTTCATCCTCATCTGGATCGTTCCATTCCCAATAAATGCTGAGGGAGTAATACACTAGACGGAGTGTGCGTAGCGAGTCGGGGAGCTTCATACAAGCGCGCAATACTACTGCAGTAGTGTCCTTGAGGGGAAAATCCGTGTGTGGCATCCAGACGGAGAGCGACTCAAGGTTGCAACACAATGTGATATCGAACCCTAGTCAGGTGTGTTTTAGAGTCAGCTGGATTCACGTAGCAAGTGTCATGCTCTCGCACCCTTAAGCCAATAACCTGGCAATTCGACGACCACAAGCGTCGCAGCATTCTTGAAGAGCAGCGGGGTTTCCGCAGCAGGGATCTTATCAGACCTAAACCGCTGTGAATGGGTTGCTATCAGCTCGATTCCAACGATGCGGATTCAGCAGATATCACCTCGAAGAACCGAAGCCGCTGCAAGCCCTTTCGTCTGCCATGCGCAGACAGAAGCGAGTTATTTGGTGGAGGAGGAAGCCGATCCATGTTATCTATGATGATTTCTTCCAGGGCAGGAAAAGCGTACAGGAGAGGGCAGAAGTGGAAAAGGGTCTTAAAATGTACATCGAAGAAGGTCACCCGCCTCACATCCCGATACTGGCCCAGGGCAACCAACGTCGCTCGCCGGAGTGGGAAATTCGTGTATCCATCGCCGAGAAACTCCCAAGCCTGGATGTGAATGAGGTATGGGAGGAGGACGATCGGGGCAGTGACAGGGAACGGACGCGGGTGACCTCGCACATCCTCCACCGAACGATTGGGCTTCAGCCGGACAACTTCGACCAAGGATTGCAGAGTGGGGTTCCCGTCTAAGATGGCGCAGAGGATGGGGAGTCGCTCACGGCTAGAAACCGTGAGCGTGCGCCAGAGATGGATGCGAGTCCGGAGGACCCAGTCCTTGTTTACTTGGATGCAACGAATGAGGGCCGCGGTGTCTTCGGCCGCACCGAGTTCATCGATGATGTGCTCGATGACCTCAATGGGGACGCGGGGGGACGACATGACGGGACGATACAGGAGCGAGGACGATAGCGCGCCGCGAGCGTGGTCTCCCGTCGGAGGCTTGTCGGGCGAAGTGAGAGAGCAGGCCCAAGGAGAACGCGAACCTAATCACCTCGCCGTGGGGAATTCCGCCTGCGGTGACAGACGTCGCGCGCGCTTGGCAACTCGATAGACATTGAAGCCGACATTCGCCGTGCCCTTTGAGAATACGAAACCATCTCAGAGCACGAGCTTGTCATCCCAGCAGACTTATTCCGAGACACCACGCTCAAGTGCTCACTCCTCGTGCCAACGTTTCATGGGTTCTACATTCGTCCTTTCATAGCCATTCACACACGTTTTGCAGTGCATGGTATAAGTAGACTTGTCCGGTTATCCTGAACACTTCCCCGTGCCCATCAAACAACCCCACCACCGACCCGCCCAGACAGCGAAACTAGCGCGGGCACCCTGGCATCGACCTCGCGCGCGTCCTCGTCTCCAACTCCCAGATCCTGTGCGCGCCGACATAGGATCCACGAGTGCGGCCGCGCGGACGTCCACGGAGAGCGCCGCGCACCGCGGGAACCAGCCGCGCGCTAGGTGGCGGTCTGTGCGCGGTGTGGGGAGCGCGGTGCTGGTTAGTGTTTCGAACACCACGGGCGAGTCGGGCAAGGAGGCGCCCCCCGTCCGCGGAGAAGAGGCGGCCTGCTGCAAAGTCGGAGGCCGGATGGTGGTGATAACCCCCGCTGAACAGACGTCCGCGGAGAGCAGGGAGCAGTCGCTGCACAGCGCGGTGACGCGCGTGCGCGCGTGCGCTCACGCCAGGGGGGTTGAGGCAATATACTCGCTGGGCGCGCTCGCGCCGTTGCGAAACCTGTTAAAGCGTGAGTGACGGCTGCCGGTGACTCGTCTCCAGACACTGTATAGGTAGCTCTTGTCCATGCGCTTCGCGACGTCGTCGTAGTGCATGTGTGAAAGGAGTTACTGGCCGTCGAAGGAAGACGAGACCTTGGATCGCAGTGCCGTCCTCACAGAGCCCTGAAACCTCGTCATACGTCCGGACGGGAGAGGGAGGGGGCGCGGGCGCGCGAAGGCGGGCGTACGGTCGAAGACGTCGACGTGCGCAACGGCATCTTGAAAGAGCACTTGCGTGCCGTCGGGTGGCCGGGAAACGCCAGTGACGACACTGGAGAGCTGCCATTTTTGCAGCGTTCGGATCTTCTTGGGAGGGAAAAGGGAGATGCTCTTGCGAAAGAGGACCTGAACAGCGCGAGGGAACGACTGGAGTGCACGCACCGAAAATGCCGGGCAGTTTCTCGTCGCTAGAAAGGATGGACTCGTGCCAGAAATGGTAGCGGCTGCTAGCTGTCCACGACACGCAGACCAGGGCACAGCGTGCAAGAGTCTGGGGGTCTCCTTCGGCAGCCAGTGCGCCAATGGCTTCTTCAACGGCATCGATGCGCACGAAGGGGACCACACGTGCGTGAAATGAAGTGCATATGGTTCCAAGCCGGGTTTGACTGACGTGGGCGTCGGCGTCATCGTCTACCGCAGAACGTCCTGAGCTGCGGGGCTCGCAGATTGTCAAGAAAATGACCATTTCGCTAAAATGCTGACTTACGAGGCTCTTCGAGTGCGAAAACCGGGCATTTTAGAGGCAGCGATGCGGTGCGAAAAGCGCACGCCGTAGCCGGACGTCCAAGGAGAAGCATAGAGAGGCCTGTTAGACCGGCGGTGTACATCAGCATTTGAGCACGCACCTTTGACTCGGACTCCCGATGAACTTCTGCCCGACATGTCCTCCGCCCGTGCGGACTTGTTTCATACGAACCATGAAGCGTTGGAGGCGCCGCCTTCCACAGCCCCTCTAGTCGCGTCCCAGGAGTCTGGGGTTTGAAGGTCCCAACGGCGGATGATGGGTCTTGCAACGGGGCTGAATAAGGTGACTACGGGATCACGGAGATTGAGGCAGAGAATGCACATGGTGGCAGATAAGCGAGAGGAAAGACGGAGAAAGGGAAACGAAGCAGAATGGCATGACGAGCAGAGTACCTGCAGACTGCAATCATGAGAGCGGCGTGGGCTGGCTGGCAGCCGCCACAGGCGCAGCGGCGCGGACTCGCGTCCCGTCACGTCACACGTTCCGTCACGGTCACCCCTCTACGTACATGGCTAGCTGCAGGTGCGCAGTGATCCCGCTCTCACTGCGTCGCCCATTCTCACCGTGGCGCCATTGCTGTCCAGCGTATCTTCCGATGACCTCAATCGTGTAGGTCTGAAATTTATGCGATGGACGGCCGACAATATGTGAGCGATTTCCAGACGCGAAGTCGCCACGATGGGACTGACGATGATGTGCAGTCGCAGATGACGTCCTGCGCGCGGTTGCAGGCGCACGAAGACGCGCACCTCCCGCGAGTCGACCTTCTCTCTTGCTCACCCACGCCCTCTCGATGGCCTAGTACTCCGCTGTCCCGGCGAGAGCTCTACGCCGTCCTCCCGCTCACCTCTGTCCCGGCTGCGGATCCGCCGACGCGATGCATTCGTGCTCGCTCTACCTTCTCTCTTGCCCCACTCGCCCTCGCCTTCGCATTTTGCGCACCCCGCTGTGACCTGTCCTTGTCGTCTGCTAAGATGCCCCACTCCGGCTCTCACTGCGCTCGACGTCTCCACGCGCGGGCTGTTTTACATTAGGCGTCTTCAAGATCAGCACTTGCAATTGGCAGCCAGGCAGCTCAGCGGGCTATGGACGCGTGGTGTGCATCTCCCCTGCTCCCCCGCTCTCGCGTTCATCGTCGTTTTTTACCTGCTCGCGGAACTTCTCCCCGTCCCTCGCTGGCCGCCGCGGCCTCCGCTCCGCTTGTGGACACGCATCCCGTCGTGCGACGTCAACCCCCGCGCACCTCGCTCGCTCTCAGCTCACGCAGTGGACGCCGCCGACGGAACAAGCACACGCCCGACGCGGAGCGGGACCCCTTAGGCCTTAAGCGTGCTCTCGGAGGCCCTCGAGCTCATGCAAGCCCATGGTGACCACCTTCAACACCCTTCCTCGGCAGGACGTTCACGCGCTCAACTCGGACTCCGATGGCGATTCCGGGCCACGGCCAGAGCGGACGCATGTCGCGGGCCCGTACCAACTACGTTACCTCGACGTCAACCCCTGCCCCGCGCCCGCGCCCGTATGCGTCTGGATGCTCACGCCTCAGGTGAGCCGTTTCCCTCTTCTGTCCCCGTAGCTGCCCAACTGTGGCCTAAACGCTTGTATTTCTAGCCCCTGAATCACCCGCTCCCGCGCAACACGTACCGCTGCACCGCCGCTCCTCGTGCACGACGTCCTGCCAAGCCGTAAGTCAGCGTTCACAGCACCGACGAGGGGAATGACGGCTTACAGATTCCCTGTCCTCTCCAGCCGACCTATCCGAACGGTCAAATCAGCAGGAACGCAAGGGGTGACGACGCGCAGCTCAAGCTTGAGCCCGTCCGGACTCACGCATTCAACCGGGAGCGCCGAGCGGGTCTCAACACCTCGTCCGGTTGACCCTTTTGTACTCCGTCCGCGCGCCCGCACCCGCGAAGACTCGCGATCGCCTTCATCCGGAGTCGGCTGATAACCCTCGCCGGATTTCCGCGCGTCCCCCGAGCTCGCTGAGTCGTTCCGCGAGGATCCTTGCAACGCAGGCCCGCACAGCCCGTTCCACCAACCCCGAGCGCACGCAGGCCCCATAGGCATGCTACTCTCGGACGTCGGCGACACGCAAAGCTTGTGTTTGCTGCTTGGCGCACCCGCCGACCAATCCAACCGTAGGAACGCGAACGGCGCCGCCCTCCGCCACGAACGCAACGCTGACGGGGCGTGTGGGCCACCTCCAACGCGGTACTCGCATTTTGCCCGGGCGACCTCCCCGCGCGAGTAGGCGATCTCGGCCCGGACCTCAAGCTCCCACTCATCGCGGAGCGCAACGTGTCCATCTCGCGCGACCACGGCGTACCCATCGAGGACGAGGGCATCGCTCTTCGTCGTCAACCCCAAGGGCATCATCAGGTACGTCCGCAGCGGGTAGCATAGGGTCGCGATCGTGGCTCATCGTGCGTTCAGGCCGATCGCGCTCAACGACCTCGCCGTCCGCCGCTCAGTCGAGGAAACGATCCGGCGATCCGGCTCGTGAAGACGTTCCAGTCCACGGTGCGTCTCTTCTCCTCTGCGTTCCCCGTTATTGCCCTCGCTGATCTCTCCCCGCAGGACGAGCACGGCGAGATGTGCCCTGCGAACTGAAGCGAGGGCGCGAAGACGATGAAGCCGGATCCCGGGCTCGCTCAAGTACTTTGCGAGCGTCGAGAACGGGAATGGGAGCAAGAAGAGCAACCGCACTGACTGATGTCTTCCTCCCCGCATCCCTGCCCCCTCCCGTCTCCCGTCTCCGCCTCCCCGCCCCTATCCCCGCTGCCGCTGCCACTCACCGTGCGACGCCCGTGTTCAAGCGTACACGCCCCCACCCACGGTTTCGCACCCCAGGTTACGCCATGAACGCGAGCGGCGACGACGAGGGCCCCAGAACCGTCGGTCGCGCTCGCGATGGTCTGTCTCGTTCCGGTGTTTGGTTTGGTGTCCGGTCGCACCCATTTCCGCTGTGCGCCCCTCCCCCCTCCCCACAGATCATTTGAGACCTACAGAGGCGCGGCAAATAAACTAGAGGTAGATGGGAGGCGGCCTCTTTGTAGAATACCCTTGTGCTTTTACTAGCGATCGGGCGTGCGGTCGCTGCGCCGGTGGGCGTAGGCGGTCGTGCGGATCTAGGTGGTGCGAGGGGAATGAAAAATCTATTCGGTTCGATGCTACATACATACGTCGTGCGTGTGCGACTGTGCCAACGGCTCCTCGAACGCGCGCAGAGACCGTCCGCAAGACAAAGGCTTCTCGCCTTCCTCGTTCCCCGGACTCTCGTCGCTTGCCACCTGCTTTGCACCTCGCTGTCGGCTCCTCCACGCTCCGTGGCCGTATCACCGCGGCTGGTCCGGAATCGGGTTGCGGGGGGACGCGAGAGCGTCGCTCGGGCGATACGCATCGATAGCGTGATCGCACACGCGTCCGGGTGGCTTACCAACGCCATGTTTCGTAGCGTACCTTTGGGGTACACGCTCGTAAGGGCGAGCGGGGGCCATGCCGGGCTAGCCGATCTTGTGTTCCACAAGTACGAGGATAGGGGCTCTCAGCAAGGGATGCGGGACGGAGGACGGATGAGGAGAGGCAGACATTGGACAGCGAGAAGGAGGAGAGATGGAAGCGTATAGTACGCGGAAACGCGGAGTCGGTTCGCGCGACGGGTGGGGGGAAAGAGCGCGAGAGGACCAGCCGGAGGACGAGCACGCACCATGTTTGGGAAGCCGTTCAAGATCGGGTGGACGTGGCTGCAGTTTGCGCACACCACCGAGCTCTCCTCGACGTGGACATGGCAGCCCCAGGGAACGTAGGGATCAGTGTGAGCGTAGAGGACGAAGGGACGGAGGGTGGCGTACTTCAATCAAGACGTGGTGCGCCTTCTTCAGGAAGCCGTCATCCGCCATCTCCGGTTGCTCCACGAGAAGGGTTGTATCCCCGAGCTGCAGGCGATGGGTGAGGGTAGCGCGGGGATGGAAAGCCGGTCAGTTAGTCTGCCTCTACCGTCACAGCAAAAACAACCGACCTCGTGTGCGGCGTTGAACTCAGCGTCGCGGAGCTCAACCGCAAAGTTGTTGAAGCGGAGCGGGAGGTTGTTGGAGGTGCAGCTTTGGCGTGGCGTACGGGCAGGTTGTGCGGACCATCGTGCAGGAGGAGGGCAGCTGGTCGTCTCAGACAGAGCGTGCAGAGCCCACGGCAGGCGGCTGATTCCGGAATCTCGCGCCGCTGGCGCCTGGCCGTGCTTGAACTCCAACGCCCATCCTGCCGTCCCCGTCTCGCAGTGGCCTCAACGACGCATACAAGCCGAAGGACGGATGGAGTCGAGGCGACCGAGATCGACCCTTCCGCTTCTCTTCCCAGCCTGGCCCGTCGACGTCCCAACTGCATCCGTGCTCCGCTCGCGCGCCCCGCCGTCTTGCAATTAAGTCCCTCTCCTGCGCCTTTGGCCAACCTGTTCACATCCGGCCGTCCCCTCGCTCACGCCTGCTCCTCGCCTATTCAGACGCCTATGTGCGCGCGCCTCACGTGAGCCCTGCCTCCTCTTGCTGCGTCCTTGTCTGACGCACCATCATGTCCCAGTGCTCACATGGGATCGTCTCTACTGCAGGTCCTCGTCGTCGTCTACTGCTACGATCCCCCTCTTCACCTGCAAACCTCCACGTATCACTGCATACTGCGCACGATGTTTCCACACGCGGTCTCCAACGCGGTCTCTTTGACACTCGGCACGGTCTTCAAGCTTTCAAGACCAACAGCTGGCAGCCGCGCAGCTCGACGGCTACGGGCGCGTGCAATCTGCGGTGGCGTCGTACACATCTACGCCCGCTCTCCCATTGCTCGCCGAATTCCTCCACGTCCCCCGGCGCGCTGGCCGCCACCGCCGCCGCCGGGCATACGCCCCGTCGCGCGACGTCAGCCCCCGTGCGCTTCGCCCGCTTTTGGTTCACGCAGTGCCGCGGCCGACGGAGCGAGCAGGTACCCAATGCGGGGCGAGACAAGTTGGGCGTGTTCCCCGTCGCCTTCGATCTCGTTCAGCCCCGTGCTCGTCGTCGACGCACCTCCGCAGGACGACCACGCGCTCCACTCGGATTCTGGCGGCGATTCCGGGCCGCGGCCACACCGCACACGCAAGACGCATGTCGTGGGCTCCATTTCCTCGACGTCACCCTCGTCCATGTACACTAGGTCATTCTTTCCCCTCGTTCCGTACCGTGTTGGATATGTAAGTGCTAAACCTTCCCGACAGCATATCTTATTGACGATCGGCGTAGACTTCTCCCGCGCGACCGCCACGTACGCCCATGGCGTCAGCTGCATCGTTAATAACTGTCTCGCGTCTCTGCCAGATCGTGCGTACCTGTCACAGTGTTCGAGCTGACCTCAGCCGGGTCTCAGCAGTGACGGACATCGCGCTGCAGCGTGAGCCGTGTGCTTCTGCCGTTCCACCCTTCGCGCCGTTAACAGCCTCAACCGAAGCGTACGCGGCGCCTTGCCTTCCGCCCCTTGGAACTACGCCCATCGAAACACCGTTGGAGCGCCCCTCCCACGCCCGCGCCCACATGCGCTTGCATGCGCTCACCTCAGGTGAGCCGTTCCCGTGTTTCTTCCCCATAGCTGTCTAAACGTAGCCTAGTATTTTCAGCCCGGATTCGCCTGCTCCCATCGAGTGCGTACCACCAGAGCAGTCAGTCAGCGTTCGCTGCACTGACGATGAGAACGACAACTTACAAAGCCCTTGTCCTCTCCAGCTGTCCTACTCGAACAGTCAAACCAGAAGCAGCGCAGGGGGTGACGACACACAGCGCAAGCCTCAGCCCGTCCAGCACGTATGCACACAGCTGGGGCGCCTAGCGGGTCCCGACACCTCGTCCGGTATCCCTTTTATACCCGTCCCCGCGCCCGCGCCCGCGCCCGTAATAACCTCCATCCGGAGTCGGTCCACGACCCTCGCCCGCCGTCCGCGCGTCGTCCGACCTCTTTCCTCACGGGTCGTTCCAACACCATGCCCGCACAGCACGCCGCTCCGCCAACCCAGCGCATTCAGGCCGCCTAGTCCACCCTGAGCCCGACATCCCTGACTCGAACGCCAACTGCCGTCCCCGACTGCGTTCCCGAACGTCGGAATGCGTTGCGAAGGTCCTCTCGTAAGTGCCCACTCTAATTCTACGGAAACGGCGTGCCGTTCCGCCTAGATTCGTGTTCGCGGCGGCGTCCTGACATCCATCGACACCCGCAGGCATACTGCTCACGCCAGCGACGTTGGCGGGTAATACACAATGCTTGCGTTCGCTGCCGGGCGCACCCGCCGACAACACCACCAGTAAGAGCGCGAACGACGCCGCCCTTCGCCACGAACGCGACGCCAACGAGGTCGACGATCATCTGCGCACCCACGGCCGCCGGGGCGTAGCCGTCCGCCACCGCGGTTTCCGTTTCGACCCTCGCGCGCGACTTCATTGCGACTCCGCGCACATCGCCGTCCCGACCGCCCTCGCCATGCGCCACCACCGCGGATGCACGACGTGTTCACGCGTGCAAGTTGCGCGCGATGGGATCGCAATACCCTAGACACCCTGGTCACCGGTGCGACGCCTCTGCGCTCGCGGCCTCGGCCAAGTAGACGACGCCAATGGCAACAGTGCCCTACGTGCAGAGCTCGCTGGCCTCGCGCCGGATGTAACGGCTGGGAAGATGGTGGACGGCCTTGGTGCGATTCGTGGGGACGGCCTCGGTGCGCGTCGCCCGACACGGTGCCACAAACAATGGATGAGTTATTTTCGGGCGAGAACACGTATGCGCATATTCATGAAGAGTTGGCGTCCAGGGTGGGCGTGATGAAGTAGCAGCGAACGCGGAAATGTCGGACACTGGGGCCGGTCTAGCACTGTGGCTCCTCCACGCTGTTTCTTTCGATACCTCTGTTCAATTCTTCCGTTCAAATAGGACCCGCGAATCTCGTGACGCGATTCTTGACCCTCCACCCCGCGCCTGCATCCGGAACGTCTTTTCCGACGGCTTATGGTGATGGTGAGCGGCCGTGCGCCGTGTCCACGCAATCGAATGGGTGTATCGTGAGGTTTCCTCCCGCACCCCGACGCAAGACGTATCTAATGGAACAAACTCTACAGGTACAAAGCAGAGGCCATGAGGTCACTGACACGGCGGAAAACAACATCTCCTAGATAGTTCGAGAATCCGACCATCGACCCGTCTGCGGAAATCCCGAGTAGGCCAAACCTGCGACCGTCTGGCCACCGAAAGACGGCCTTTGTGGTACCCTCTTCGATGTTCCAGATCCAGCAGGTAAAGATCACGTTTTCTTCGGCCTCAAATATTGCCGTCTGCCCATCTGCGGACCACTCCATGCCATAGATACCCCGGGCACGACGGAGACGAAAAAGCGTGGACCCGGTCATCGTGTCCACCACCGACAATGACTGGGGGTCCAGCGGCACTAGGAGATGAGCACCGTCGGCGGTGAAGGGTGAGGAAGGGAAGCGTTTACTGCTTTTCGAGAACAACTGCATGACGATGGGAGTGTCCTCGACTGTTGGTGTGACCTTCGATTTGCGCAGAGTTCCATCCTTGTGTACTGAGATGATATGCAACTGATCTTCCCCTTGTGTTCCACTCCACAATTTACTGCTGAGAATAGGGCTCTGGCTGTCGGTCGACTTGTAACGGCAGGTCCCAGTGCTCGAATCCCAAGCAAAGATATAGCTCTTCTCCTCGTCGTCCCGGGATCGTAGAGTTGAAAGAATATGATGACCGACTGCGGATAAACCATAAGACCGATCGAAGCGGCTCTCGCGCTGAATCTCGGCCAGTTCGGAAGATGGTACGAGGAGCGAGCGGAGATGCGCGAAGCTCGAAGCGTCGCAGACATGCACTCGAGCCAGGGCGTCTTGAACAAATATCTGTGTGCCGTCCAGCGACCAGAGAACCCCGACAAAACGCGTGTCTGTAGCGTCCAGTGGAAGGCGCCCGATTCTCTGGGGGATATTTCTGGATATCGTAGACCCGGTCGCAAGGGGGAGAGAGTACACGTGGATGGCTGTGGGGGAAGCAAACGCGAATTGCGTCTCGTCGGGTGAAAATGCAACGCAATGGGGCTCGTAACCGCCAGGGTGGTGTTCTTCATACCACTCGGTGAGTACGGGGATGCCCGGCTCCGTATCCCAGATGATGAGCTCCGTCGCAGTGTCGGTACCCTTATGCGCGATGCTTGCTGCCCAGTTTCCATGGGAGCTCACTACAAGGCAACTGAGGTTGGTTGCAGCTCCGTAAGTTGTGAAGCGTGTTCTCCACATAGGCACCGATGCTGTCCCTTTGGCAGTCAGTGAGGCTTGCTGATTGCGAGATTATGATAAGCAAACATACGTAGGGTGTCTAGTAGAGGTAAAACATGGAGCAGGCCTTGATCATGAAGAGTGTGGAACCATCGCATAAACAGAGCCTTCCATCTTGGGAGGTGATTCCGCGGGGGATCTTCAACTGAACACATGATACCGGCGGAGCGGAGACCTTTATGATGAGATACAACTTTGGAGAATGCTTCAATGGCTTCGCTATGTCCCTCCTCTCCGAGATCTTCATTCTTAAGCCAGTAGTACACGCTGTCGGAGCGAAACACCAGACGGAGTGTACATAGCGAGTCCGGGAGCTTCATACAAGCGCGCAATATCTGGTCCAGTATGTTCTTTTGGTCATAATACGTGCGGCAGCGTGGCATCCAGATGGAGAGCGACTCAAGGTGGTGACACAACGTGATATCTAAGCCTGGTGGGGCACGGTATTTCAGAGTCAGCTGCATTCACGTAGCAAGTGTCATGCTCTCATACCGTGAAGACAAGAGGCATTCAATTCAATGGCCACAAGCGTCGCAGCGTTCTTGACAATCAGCATAGTTTCCACAGAAGGGATTTGTTCCCACTGTAAATTGATTGCTATCAGCTTGATCCCAACAATGTGGATTCAACAGATATCACCTGGCTGGTGAGCCGAAGCCGCCGCAAGCCCTTTATTCTACCATACGCGGACAGATCCGACTGGTTTGACGGAGGATCAATCCCATATATGTACTCCATGATTATTTCTTCCACCGCAGGAAAGGCGTACAGAAGGGAGCAGAGGTGGAAAACGTTCTTGAATTGTACGCCGTAGCGGCTCACCCGCTTCACATCCCGATACTGGGCCAGGGCAACCAACGTCGCTCGCCGGAGTGGAAAAGCCGTGTTTCCATCGCCAAGAAACTCCCAAGCCTGGATGTGAATGAGGTATGGGAGGAGGACAATCGGGGCAGTGACAGGGAACGGACGCCGGCGTTGCGCATCAGGCTTCACCGAGTGGTCGGGCTTCAGCCGGACGATTTCGACCAGGGATTGCAGATTGGGGTTCCGGTCGAACGTGTCGCAGATGACTGGGAGTTGCTCACGACTAGAGACCGTGAGCGTGCGCCAGAGATGGATCCGGGTCCGGGGGATCCAGTCCTTGTGTACCTGGATGCAACGAGCGAGGTCCGCGGTCGAGTATTCAGTCGCGCCGAGTTCATCGATGATGTGCTCGATGACCTCGATGGGGACGCGGGGGGACGACATGACAGGACGATAGAGGAGAGAGGACGATACAGCGCTGTGAGGGCGGTCTCCCGTTGGAGGCTTGCGGGACGAGGCGAGAGAGCAGACCCAAGGAGAGCGCGAACCTAATCGCCTCGCCGTGGGGAATTCCACCTGCGGTGACGGACCGCGCGCGCGCTCAACTCAGGGATAGACATTGAAACCGACGCCCGCCGTGTCCGTTCCAAATCCGGCACGAGCTCGTCCTCAAAGCAGACTTGTTTCGGGACAAACCGCTCAAAGCGTTGCATGGGTTCTGCATCCGTGCTTTCGCAGCCGCTCACACACGTTCTGCACAGAGAATGATAGAAGTAAACCCGTCCAGTCATCCTGAACACCTCCCCGCGCCCATCCACGATCCCCACCACCGATCCGCACACAGACAGCGAGACCGTCGCGGGCACCCTGACATCGACCTCGCGCGGCGCCCCCGTCTCGACCTCCTGGACCAACCAGCATGTGCGCGCCGGCACGGCATCCACGAGTGTGGCCGCGCGGGCGTCCACGGAGAGCGCCGCGCACCGAGGGAACCAGCCGCGTGCGGGGTGGCGGTCGGCGCGCAGTGTGGGGGGACTGGTGCCGGTGAGTGTGTCGAACGCCATGGGAGACCCTGGGGTAAGGCCGGTAAGGAGGTACGTCACGTTTGCAGAGACGAGGCGGTGTTCGTGAAGGCCCGCCGCGGATAACACCGCCCGGTACACGGTCAGAGGCCGGCTGGTAGTGATGACCTCCGGTGAACAGACGTCCGCTGAGAGCAGGGAGCAGTGGCTGCACAGCGTGCGCTTATGCCCAAGGGTTGCGGAAATGTACTCGCTGGGCACGCGAGCGCCGTTGCGGAACCTGGTAAAGCGTGAGTGACAGGTGCCGATGACTCGTTTCCAGACGCTGTACAGGTAGTTCTTGTCCGTGCGCTTCGCGACGTTGTCGTAGTGCATGTGTGAAAGGAGTTACTGGCCGTCGAACGAAGGCGAGACTTGTGCCGAGCGGGTCATGGTGCCGTCGTCCCTGAGCCCTGCGATCTCGTCGATCTCGTCTGCGGACGGGAGGGAAGGGGCGCAGGCGCGCGAAGGCGGACGTACGGTCGAAGACGTGGACGTGCGCAACGGCATCTTGAACGAGCCGTCGGGTGACCAGGCGACGCCAGTGACGACACTGGAGAGCTGCCATTCGCGGCGCTCGGATGGTCTTGCGGGAAAGGGAGATATTCTTGCGAAGGAGGACCCGAACGGCGCCATGGCCAGGGAACGACTGGAGTGTACGCACCGCAAATCCTGCGCACTTGCTCGTCGCTGGAAACGGTGAGCTTGTGCCAGAACTGGCGGGGACTGGGGGTGGACCACGACACGCGCACCCCGGCATCGACCTCGCACCCGTTCCTGTCTCCACCTCCCAGACCCACGCGCGCCGGTCTGGCATCCACGAGCATCTACGAGCGCGGCCGCGCGGGCGTCCGCGGAGAGCACGACGCACCACGGGGACCAGCCCCGCGCGTGGTGGCGATCGGAGGGCGATGCGAAGGGCGCAGTGCCGATGAGTTTTTTGAACACCATGGGAGGAGTGGTGATGACCTCCGGCGAACAGACGTCCGAGCAATCGCTGCGCAATGCGATGACGTCCGTGCGCTCGTGCGTTCACGCCACGGAGGTTGCGGCGATGTACTCGCTGGCCACGCTCGCGCCGTTGCGGTGGCTGGGCAAGTGGGTGTAACAGGTGCCGGTGACTTGTTACTAGACACGGTATGGGCTGTTCGTGTCCACGTGCTTCGCAACGTCGTCGTGGTGCATGTGTGAAAGGAGGTGCTGGCCGTCCAAAGAAGACGCGACCTAGGCCAAACGGATCGCGGTGCCGTCGTCCCTGAGCCCTGCGATCTCGTCGAGATCGTCTTCGGAAGGGAGAGGGAAGGGGAGCAGGCACGCCAAGGTGGACGTGTCAAAAACGTGGACGTGCGTAACGACATCTTGAACGAACATTCGCGTGCTGTCGGGTGACCGGGCGACGCCGATGAGGGCACCGGAGAGCCTCCATTCGCGGCGTTCGGGTGGTCTTGAGGGAGGGGAAAGAGGACCAAACGAGCTTGACCGTAGTCGAACACTGTGGGCCAAGAAACGGAGAGAACGACTGGATGTGCACACCGCAAATCCGCAGCAGTCGCTCGTGGCCAGAAACGATGAGCTTGTGCCAGAACTGGTAGCGGCCGCGAGCGGTCCAGGACACGCAAACCAGGGCACAGTGCGCGACGATCTTGCAGTCTCCTTCGGCAGCCAGTGCGTCAATCGCTTCTTCAGCGGCGTCGGTGAGCACGTAGAGGGCCACGCGTGTGTAAAACAAAGTGTATGTGGTTCCAAACCGGGGTTAACTGGCCTGCGCGTCGGAGCCATCGTCTACCGCAGACCGTCCTGAGCTGCAGGGCGCGCAAACTGTCAAGAAAATAACATTTTCGCTAGAATGCTGACTTACGAAGCTCTTCGCGCGCACACACCGGGAATTGCAGAGACAGGTATAGTGCGAGAAGCACACGCTGTACCTGGACGTCCGAGGAGAAGCGTAGAGAGGCCTATTAGACCGGCGGTGTACATCGACATTTGAGCACGCACCTTTGGACTCCCGATGAACTTGTGCCCCGACATGTCCTACCCTCGTGCGGACCGGCCTCGAACATAAAGGATTGGAGGCGCCACCAGCCAGGCCCCCGGTCTGATCGTGTCCGAGTGGCTTGGTCCCAACGGCAGATGATGGGTCTTGTATGTACATAACGGAGCCGAATGAGATGCGATTGGCGACTACTGGATCATAGTGATTGACACAAGGGATGCATGGCGACGGATGAGGGAGAGGAGAGACCCAGAAGGGGGGAAACCAAGCAGAGTGGCATTGCGAGCAGAGTTGTTGCAGACCGAGAGGCGGCGCGGGCAGGCCACAGCAGCGGCGCGGACTCGCGTCCCGTCACACATTCCGTCACGGGCGCCGTGATCCCGGTCTCACTGCGACGCGGGCCGCGGCATAACGCCGTGATGGGACAACTCGACCAGGCCCAACGGCGGGCGACGGCGGGCTTGTTCTCCTTCCTCTTCTTTTCCGTCTCCAACTTGGTTAACTTCGCCTTCGGCCCGCAGTTACTCACACTGCGCTGTTCTCTCCTGCACTCTCGGCAAGACAGGAGCGACTCCGCGTGAGCATAAACAAGGACCAAGTGCGTACTGCTAGAACTTCATCTGACCCCAGCTCCCCGACCGACACATCCTTCCTCTTGGGCTGCCCTGCGGATTGCTCCAAGCAGACCTGCACTCCTCGCCTCATTCACGCGGGTTGCAAGACCGGTGTCGTGTGTACATGGTCAACTTGTGAGTTTATCATTCGTCCCGATGTTCTGTGGCGGGGCGAGAGTGTCGGGACGTACCCCCGTATCATTATGTTCGCAATCAAAACACCCTTTCTTATACTTGCTGTTCGCACGTTGAGCTGAGCGTCGGCAGGTGGACTACCTTACAAGTCGTGACATCCCGGTGGAAGGCGATGGGTCCATTCGTGGCGGTTGCGTGCGACTTTCCAAGTTCCGGGGTACGGGTTTGGTTGGGCATGCTATCACATCACCACCGCAGTACTGAGAGACGATCAACCCCCTAGGACCCCCGGCTCATGCTTGTGATCCCTACAGCCCGAATGGTGCTCGAGACAGTCGTCTCGGGAGTCTTGACGACTTGATCAAAACCTGGATCTGTGCCACTCCCGGCTGACTAGGGGGCGGTCGCGGTGCTTTGTCTGTCGAAACCACCGAGTGCGTCCGATCCACGCTTTAACACAATTCCTCGCAAGGGTGTGACGTTCAGCCATACATACGAGGTGCGCGTATGCGTCGATGCTCGTGCCAAGGCACATGCTCATCTTATTGTTAGCTCGTCTTCAAGCAGTGACTGCAATACTCCCCAACCACGGTCAACATCCACCCCATCGCGTCGTTAGGTGCGCAGGGTGGAGTTTGATATGGTCGCATGTTGAATTTAATCCTAGGTGGCCGCCAATTGGGAGAAGAACCAGCCATTTCCGTTATGATACGAGGCACTTTGAGTGCTTAGTAGGTCTTTTTTGTGCCATCATCGATATCAATCTGACACGGGTCCGCAGTACGTTGGACAAGGACATTGCTACCATTGGATACAGCAACGGTAATGCTCGCGCAGCGCGTCTCATTACCCATCGCGCATCTGGCATGATGGACAAGATAGTGTTCGACATCGCACAGAGCGCCGAAGGTGAGCAGTAGTTTCCCCTTCCCCAAACATATATAGCCAGCTCGCACTGAAGCCCGTTACAGCCGTCAAAACGCGTCCGAGACAGCGCGATACAGTGGTCGCTCCCCGGGGGCGATCATAATTTGCCTTTTAGCTGTTTGGCTGGAGTGGACAAGACCGATCGCGCTCGATCAAGCCGTCGGACACTGCACTCGATCTTGGTTGAATGAGCGACACGGAGAATTTTCCAGCCCTGCGCCGAAGCACAACAGTGAGTGTGTTGCTACTTTTTGCGAGGCGGTAGGGAATTTGAAGGATGACAGGGCCCTGCTTATTTCAGCCTGCATCCATCTTGCATTGCGTCGTCCGTTGCACCATCACGACAGCATCCTTTAGGCGAAGTGTTGACACTAAAGGCGTACCTAGGCGAGGTTCTGCTTCGGTATGTAGCAGTGCACATGCTCGTCTACCGTAACTTAGAAAACACGCGGTACATACAGCTAATGATCGGCTTACGGATGAGCGTTGTTCCGTAATGTTCCCGGCCGGCACATTATAACGTGCCTCACAAGATCCGGGTCCTCGTCTCGTGGCCAGCTATGACATTTTCCGGAAATTTTTCAAATCAGACTACGCGACGTTGGAAGCGTGTGCGCACCATGTGCGCGTCGATGGCCCTCGTTCTGAAAGAGGTGCTGGCGGCCCACCCGCCTACCTTGCGCTTAAAACTCTTTGATCACAGTCGAGCCAACGAGCCAACGCCTCCGTCTTCCTCTCTTCGCAACTCCCATTATCTTGGTCGTCTGCTTCGTCCCGTCACATTCGCCCCAATGGATAGAACAGCAACTCCAGCGGTTCAAGAATATCCAAGTGTCGAGCTGACAGACTTCGCTCAAGAGAGCGGTCGTCAAGCTCCACCGCCACGGAGCGGCCAACCAACGCCATTACCTTCGAGTGGCACCTTCTCAGCAGCGTCCTCTCAAGCGGCGCTGAGGGGGGCGTTAGACGACGGGCCGAACGTGCAGGAGCTCGCGCCTGTCGATGGCGGGGTCCAAGCGTGGACGTTCTGCGCCTGCGCGTTCATCCTCGAAATGATGATCTGGGGGTACTGCTTCAGGTGAATGACGCTCACGCGGCCTGATCTTTCTGGTGGATGACCACGCGCTGACTACTCGAACAGTTACGGCATTTTCCAAGGTAAATATGCATGCGCCATGGGATGATGCCAAATGGAGATAATTAACTTACTCTGCTACGTATGCAAACAGACTACTATACCACCCATGCGCCCTTCGACCGGGCCTCCAGCATAGCCATTTCCGCAGTCGGAACAACCGCAATCGGTTTGCAGTATGCCGAGGTGAGTTTCACTGTGTCATGAGATGCGCCAGACGCTGATAGCTTCATCACGTAGGCACTCATCTTCTCGTGTTTCTTCAGTCGCTACCCCGACTACATGATGCTGTCCATGTGGTGCGGGCTTGGACTGTCTGTCGCGTCTATTTTTGCGTCTAGCTTTGCGACACAAGTAAGTGGGAAGCTATTAGCCCGCCAAGCAACAGCTAACTTGTCCCTTCGTAGGTCTGGCAGTTGATCTTGCTCCAAGGAGTTGCATTCGGAGTTGCCGGGGGCCTCCTGTATGCGCCTGTACTCAAGCTGCTCCCCGAATGGTTTTCGGCACGGAGAGGGCTCGCAGGAGGCATCATCTTTGCTGGTGGAGGTGTTGGAGGCGAGCTCTCTCGTCTCATGCTTCGGATTCGCAAGAGCTAATATTCTTCGTGCCAGGTTTCATCTTTCCCTTCGTCTGGTCAATCCTCCTAGACAAGCTTGGTTTGCAGTGGACACTCAGGTTATGGGCTCTCCTGACCGCCGTCTTTTGCGGCTTCGCGCTCTTGGGCATCCATCCCCGTCTTCCTGTACCCAAGTTCACGGGTGGGAGGCCGCGCCCGCGCTTCATCCCTCTGCAGCTCGGCTTCGCCTCCAGCCCGCTCTTCTGGAGCGTCGTAAGTCGACCCGCGCCTCCCCACGTCGCAACGGCTAATCGAAGCTCCCCGCAGTCGCTCACCCTGCTCCTGCAAGGCTTTTCGTACTTCCCCGTCTCGCTCTACATCGCCAGCTTCGCGCGCCGGCTCTCCTCGCCGCTGACCGCGACGGTTGTCCTCTCCGTCTTCAACTCTTCCGCCGTCGCCGGCCAGGTGATCCTCGGCCACCTCAGCGACCGCTTCCCGTACCCGTGGGTGATGTTCTGCAGCGCGCTCGGCTCGAGCGTCGCCGCGTTCCTCCTCTGGGGCCTCGCGAGCGGCCCGACGCCGCTCTACCTCTTCGCAATCATCTTCGGCGCGCTCGTGAGTCCCCCTCCCTCCCTTTCCCTCCCGTCCTCCAGGCGCGGCTCGCTGACCGCCGCTTTCGGACCGCGAACGCAGAGCGGCGGGTTCTCCTCCACCTGGACGCACGCCGCGTTCGAGTGCGCGCGCGGGCAGCCGGAGCACACCGGGATCGCGTGGGGCGGGACCGCGGTCTTCAAGGGCGTCTCCGCCGTCGGCGGCCCCATCCTCTCCTCCGTTCTCCTCGACCTCGGCGGCGGGCGCGCGCTCGCGGGGCCGTTCGGGCGCCAGGGGTTCGGCGCGGTGGAGGTCTTCGTGGGCGCGTGCGCGCTCGCGACGGCGCTGGGCAGCCTCGCGATCGCGGCGGCGCGGCGGCGCGCTGTGGTTCGGTTCTCGTGAGGCGTGTAATTATCGGGAGAGTGGGTGGGCACGCGCGGGTCGGGGGTGTTTGTGGAAGCCATGCTGGTCTTCGAAGTCTCAAGGGCTCTATTACGCTCCCGGTTCCATTCGGCGACGAGATGCTAAGAGATGGTTTTGGAAGTAATATCCCCATACTCTATCACGGCTTTCCCGCGCCCACAAATCCACGCCTTTTCCACTCCGCCGAGCGATGTTGGTTTCCCTGAGCCAATATCGGGATGTGAGGCCCTCTTCACATTCTTTCATGGTCAAGTTATCCATAGTCGGTCATCATGTTCTTTCAAGTTTACGCTTTTCGTGGCCGCCGAAGATCTACAACTATGTTTGGGATTCGAGAACCGGTGGGACCTACCGTTACAAGTCGACGGATGGCCAGAGCTCTGTCATCAGCAGTACGTTGTGGGGCGGGACACAAAGAGAAGACCAGTTGCATATCATCTCGATACACAGGGATGGAACTCTGCGCAATTCGAAGGTCGCATCAATGGTCGAGGATACCCCCATCGTCGGGCAGGTGTTTCCACCTAGCGACGACGTCATCCGCCTCCCTTCGTCACCCTTTACCGCCGACGGAGCTCGTCTCATGGTGCCACCGGACCGTCGATCATGGTCGGTGGTGGACACGATGACCGGGTCCACGCTTTTTCGTCTCAATCATGCCGTAGATATCCAAGATGACATGGAGTGGTCCGCAGATGGACGGACGGCAATATTCGTGGCCGAAGAAAACGCGGCCTATGTCTACTGGATCTGGAACATCGAAGAAGGTACCACAAAGGCCGTCTTTCGGTGGCCAGACGGTCGCAAATTTGGCAAGTCCGGGATCTCGGCTGACGGGTCGATGGTGGGTTTCTCGAACGGTCTAGGAGATGTTGTTTTCCGCCGTGTCATTGATCTCACGGCCTCTGCTTTGGACCCGTAGATCACAGTAATGTAGAGTGTAGGAAGACATTCGCCCGGAATGATCCAGTCGCAGTCGGCGGGGCGCGCGCGCAGACAGAAGTCCATTCTGAAAGTAAATAAGCAAATGAAAGTGTTGTGAAAAGAGAGTGTGTGTATCGTTGTGTCTGTGTAATAATGATAGTGCATACCAAACCCAATCCCGCGAGTCAGCTCTCAGCCCTCACGCGCGATCTCGTCCTCTCCCTCCGCAGATCCGTGCGGCGGCGGCGTGGGCACCGGCGGGGCCGTCCACGCCGCACGCGTCGACGCGACCGTCTCCGCGAATCGCGCCGACCGCGCCGACCGCGCGCCCACGCTGCGCACCGTCTGCACCGTGCGCACGCTCGGCGCCCGCCGCGCGAACCCCGACAGCGGGCTCGGCGTGTTCGGCACGCTCGTCGTCGCCGTCGCCGTCGGGAGCGGGGGAAGAGGCGTCGACGTGATCGGGGTCTCCGCGAGGATCCGGAGCGGCCGCAGCCCCGGGCGGGACCGCGCGCGCGCGAGGGGCGACGACGGCGAAGGCGAGGGCTGCGCGGGTGTCGCGCCGTCGTCGTACCGGCTGATGCGCAGAGGGGGTGTCCCGGGGATGCTGAACCCGTCGCAAGCGGGCGTCCACCGCGACGAGGGCGTGCCTGACAGCCCGGGCGGCGTCCAGGGCATCGGGGGCGCGGGCGACGTCGGCGCGCGCACGTCGAGGGAGTCGCACATCGTGTGCGATGACGCGGAGCTCGCCGCGCTGCCCAGCGCCCGCTCGACGTGCGTCCGCGGGACGACGGTGACCGGTGGGGGCCGTCGCGGGCGCTGCATACCCTTCGCGATCCCCGTGGGCGGCCGTGGCCACGCGTCCTCCTCCCACACGAAGCGCGGGAGGCGGTCGTACGCGGCGCTGCCGTCCGCGGTCGGGGAGAACATGCGCGAGAACGAGCGACGGAGCGCGTCGGTCTCGCTCACGAGCTCCGCAGTCGCACGGTCGAGGCGCACGCTTGCGGGGCGGGATGCGGGTGCGCAGGATGGGGCGAGGCAGGCCATCTGTTGAGGCGCCCGGAGATCCTTGGAGGCCGGGAGGAGGAGCACGTGGTCGTCGGAGTGCGATGGGCACGCAGAGGGCTGGCGCGATAAGCGGTGCGGGAGTGAGAACGGACGTGGGGCGCGCAGGTCGCGCGTGTACTTGTGCTTGCGGCGCGCGATGCGCGAGAGCCGCCAGGTGAGGACGGCGAGAATGAAGAGGACGAGGCCACCGGCGCCTGCTGCGGAGATGATAATGGTACGCTCAGTGGCCGCAGAAGGTTCGACCTGTTGAGAGGTGCCACTGAAAATATGCCAGTCAGCACAGGCCTAGTTACACGTCACACTACACACCTGAACTGCCCAGTAGACTGCGCGGATGCTTGTCCGAATATTTGGGCATGAGAAATGCTCAGATCACTTGCCGATGTGGATTGGGCATACGGGCTGTTCTCGATGCGAAGGGTGTGAGGTCCGGGGTCAAGATCGTCGGTCATGAAAAGAGCGTGGGTTTGTTGGGAGAGTGGGGCGACGGCGGTGTTTGGAGTAAGAGAAGATATGGTCCAGCCATCGATGGACACGTCGAACGACGCGCTTGACGCGTTCAGATAGCCATACAACACGACGCCAGTACCTGATAAAGTTGTTGAGCGACGTTAGAGAGAATATGGACGCATATAGTCACCCTGGACCGGGCAATTGTCAATCAAAAGACGATGCAATTCGCAGATGGTACTCACTGTGAAGCTCATGTCCATGAACCCTGCGCCGTTGTTGGTCGTGCTGGTTCACCTATGAGAACATCGTATCGCGGCGGAGCGTCGTACGGGACTCACTGTGAGCTGTCGTCCACTTGCCAGACACCTTCTGATTGCGGGAGCCAGCTGCAAGCAGCGTCCGTGTGTTGCACTACGTCAACATCGTCCATGGGACTCTCAAAAACGAGCTAAACGAGTCAATATGAGCCGATAGCAAAACATAGAAGCTCAGAAGACGACTCACGTAGTCGAAATCCAGTACAGACTGGTCCGGGTGCTGGCCAGCGTTCGTGATCCTGACCTGGTGAGGTCCGGCAGGGAGGCTCGACGCAGAGTAAAGCACTTGATCCAGGGATTCTGGTCCTCCGGAATACCCTTCGTACAAGCTCGGCCGCCCGTCATCAATGACGACTTGATATGAGCCCGATCGCGTTCGGTGGGCACCGTGGATCCTGTTCCGCGGGCGTCGGTTGATTCAGCGCACATCAGCCTGAGAAATGCAAATAACGCACCAGATACCTGGCGAAGAAGTGGATCAGTCTGGATATCCTCTCAGAAGCTCGCCGACACACATACCTGTGCCCCACCACGAGAAGACGAGACTGGCGTTGCCCGAAACAGAGCCATTGGTAGCATGGTAACTCTGCGTCGTGTACTGGGTCTTCATGCCCAGTGGTGAAGGTCAGCAGAGCACTGAGCAGAAGAAGTAGTGACGCACCACATTAGGATCGCTTTTTGGCGTGCCCTCGAACCAAGCGCTATGCGGGATGTACGAAACGAGTGGACTGACATTCGAGACGGTGGTGTTCGTCGGCATCGTGCCGTAGAGGCAGAGGGCACGAACAGTGTCAGCGCCGACGTCGAGGGTGAAGAGGGTGGAAGAGGAGGGGGGCGAAGTGGTCGAAGAAAGAGACGAGGACGCGGAAGGTGATGGGGGGTTGTGATACAGGCGGGGGCCTGCGCCCCGCATGAGCAGGGCAGGGAGAGGGGAAGGGGAGGCTATTCATCACGTCCATCGACGGTCACAGCTCCACATTCATGATGTTTGGCCCTCATTGACTATGATGGCCAACAGGGTTGTCCTAGTATGTGGGTAGACTTTTCGTTAAGTGTGGCGCGGGTATGAGGTATATGTTTAATCCACTTACCAATGCGCTCTCATGTGCGAGTGTAGCGGAGACAAACGCCCCGGGGAGCCAACATATTTCGAGCAGGCACTGAAACCTGTGCGGGGTTGGATGGGAAGACGTGCCAGGAAGACAAGGCTGGACAGAGAAGCGGATTCGCAGCATTCATCTCGGTGTCAAGAGAGCGGCCAATCTCGGTCGTCTCGGCGACATCCGTGCCCTGTCTTGCGGTGACGGCTGGTGTCTCCAGGTATGCATTGGACGGCGACGGCAGGATGGTGAGGATGGGCGGCGCCGTGAGTTGGTGGAGGAGGAGGAAGAGGTTGGAGGTCAAGTGGAGGTGGGATGATTGATCGATTGCAGAGATCTGGCCCTGCAGACGCTCGCGAGCGGTGACAGTGACAGACTGTCATGTGACGGCGTAAAGCGTGACTGCGCACGTGGCCCAGCCTCGGCATGGGGGCCCACCTGGCGCCCGTGTCGACGCCCAGCGGAACTCCGAGTGGATGGGATCTTATCTTATCCCGGCTGGATGCTGATGAAGCGCAAGTCTGGACTTCGGGTCGAGTGAGCTGACTGTGAACTACTCACGCTCCTCATTCCCTCGACGACCCTCTCTCACCTCCACACCGCTGCCTGGTTCATGTCTATCCTCGCGCTCCCGACGGAACTCGTCGAGGAGATCCTCATCTCAACCGCGGAAGAAGGATTCCCACTCGCCATCTCCGCCTTCGCCCAGACATGCAAGGCCACCCGTTCGACGGTCTATCAAACGGATGACAATCACCTATGGAGAAGCGTCTTCCTGACGACCTTTGACGACCCTCGCGGCTCGGGTGGAGGACCCGGGTGGACGGCGTGTATGGAGTCGGCGGGCGCAGATGCGGATGAGTTTGAGTGGGGTACGCACTTTAGACGTCGGATCTGGGCAGCAAACCACTTCCGAAGACATGTCGGGGCTCTACCCTCAAACCCTCAGCACGCAGACGACGTCGACGTCCTGCAAAATGTCCGCGTCTTCGACTCTTTGCTCTCCGTCATCAAGACCGCCCTCCCCTGCCCCCCGACCATCGTGCTCTCCTTCCCCACCCCACCCGACGCCGCCGACCCACCCACAGTTCCTGCCTCGTGCTACCCCACATTCCCACCCTTGCCTCATGCTCTCAGCAACATATCCCCTACCGGCGGCCCCACCACCTCCGGCCGCTCGTTCGGTGCGGCCCTCCGCGCGAAGAACACAGTGTGGGTCGAGTCCCTCCTCGCGAACGGCTACCCGTCGCGCATCAGCGCGCTCTTCTCCGGCGATAGGTGGCACGGCGGTCTCATGGGCCAGGAGCTGCCCGAGCATGAATTCCGGGAGATGCAACTTGCAGGACACCTCATCGCCTGCACCGGCTTCGTTCCCGCCCCCTCCCCACAGAAGCCCTCGCCGTCTCCCGCGTCCCCCACGTCCTCCCCCGCTGCTTCGACGGACTCAGCCACGCCGCCTTCGTCCTCCTCAGCTGAAGATGAAGCGGACGCGGAAGATGACCACATGAGCAAGGAGCGGCAGCTGAAGCGGGCGCGGCGACTCGCGCGTAAGCGCGTCTACAACATGCACTACCTTTCGTCCGCCCGGCATTGGGGCCCGTACCTGCGCGTCCCATCGAACCGAGAAGTGGGCGCCGCGGACGGTGAGGACTTCCTCCAGCACATCCTCGCGCTTTTCCAGGTGCAGCCTGGGCCGCCGCCGCAGCATGGAGAGGCCGATGAAGATGACGAAGACGACCAGGCGACACTGGGAGATAATGATGACGGCGACGACGACGACGACGACGACGATCCGAATTATGACCCAGAGAAGGACGATACCCATGTGGCCGGAGAAGAGTCAGAGACGTCGACCGCGGGCGGAGTGGACGAGGACGAGGAAGAACAAGTCGAGCCTGGGACGCCGCCGCCGCCCACGCAGCTCCGCGCAGACTGGGCGTACCTTGCCGCGGTGCGTGTGGTGGTCGAGGCGAACCTCCGGGAGTCGGTTGGGAGCGGACACGACTTGCGCGGCCTGTTCTCGCTCGACGGGCTTCGGCCAGGGAGCGCGCCGTGGGACGCGGCTTGGTACAAGCAACACTCGGACGCAGACGCGATCACGAAGGCGGCGAGCGTCCTAAAAGGGAAGGGCAAGCACAAGGAGGATGCTGAGGTCACCGGGTGGGATTGGGCTGGGGTCACCGGGATCTGGAAGTGAGTCTGAACTTGAACTTTTACATAGCGGGTGCAAGGCTCTGACGATTTCTCCTCCGGCGCATACCAGACGTTGCGTTTGCTGGATGGATTACCGGCATTTGATCTGTATGTCTGTGCTTTGTGGACCTCCCTGCGGTACGCTGATGCTCGTTTGAACGGCTCTCACAGTGCACAATGTAGGTCCAAAATCCGTGCGCCGATCCAGACCAAAGCTGATTCGTTAGCATCCCTACCAACGGTCCGGTGAATTTGAGGACCCGCGCTTGCAAGAGGCCGTCCGGATCATCACCATGCGCCTGCGCGTCAAGTCGTACTCCCCTGCGGACAACCCAGACTTTGCGCACCTGCCCAACATCCACGTAGAAGGCGAGACGCTAGGCTCCCTTCCGGGGCCTCCGCGTCAGATGGAGGGGACAGTCTCCGTCATCGCGGACGGCAGCGTGCGCTGGCAGCTCGTGAGTCGACCGTATGCGTGCTGTGGCCGTCGCTGATGGCTCTCGATCGCAGTATTCAAGCGTCGAAGGCGCGCGGAGCTACGAGTGGGTCTCGGAGGGCGTCCAATTGGGCGGAGTGGCGTCGGCGATGGGCGTTCTGGGGATGTGGACGGGGGCGCAGCACGAGCGCATGGATCCGCTTGGTGAGTGCCCGGTCTGGACGACGTGTTTTTTCCTTATTTATGCGTGTCTTAGGGCCTTCGTGGGCATGGAAAGTGGGCTGAGAGCATCTTCCCGACCGGTGCTTTTGCTTTGCACACGACTATGTATCGACATGCTTATTCATCGCGTGATCTGCACATACGAAGTGAGGTTACTTCGTATATCTCCATCGGCGACGCTTCTACTTGAACCCGCATTCCAGCAGTACCATGCATGTTTGTACGCCCTGGAACATACGTTCGACGCCTGGCTTGTCCTGCAGCAGGATTTCATCAAACCGTCAAACGTCGCTGAGAATGCGTCTCGCCGCAGGGTGCTGTTTCAAGTCGGGCGTTCGGGGGTCTGGCAAAACACGCGCAGGCGCGCTACGAAGTTGGCGGTGGAGGACACTATCGAGGTCCCGACGCCAGATCGGGAGTGATGTGTCGGGACGCACAATTGCAAGGCACCGCGGCTGGAGGACACGAAGTGACAGACGATACTTCCGGCGCGGCAGATAGTCGGGTACTAGATCACACAGAACGTCGTGGATGAGATGCGGCGAAGAGAGGACATATGGTGTTAGCTAGTTCACGCAGTCCCCCGCGCTGCGCAGCCAAAGCGAAGTGCATGAACGTGCGAGCATATTTTACAGCTCCTTGCTTCCTGACATCATATGGACCAAGAGCATGATCAAGTTGTCCGGCAGATGTTGCCTTGTGTCTTGAGATTGGAGCTGTGCTGGTGCGTCATGAGTTAGGAAAACCGCCTACATAAGTGAAGTCTGCCGAAGATGCGCAATAGGATTCCGAAGTTCCAAACAATTCTGATATCTCGCTAACACGCCAGCACGCGACCAGTACATCGAAGCGGCACTGATATTAACAGAGTGATAATATATCGGAGCATCCGCAGTATACAGCTGTAGGTACTGACATCAGTCGTCCTCGTCGTCAGAACTGCCCTGAACATAGTCATCGCCAGAGTCCTCGTCACCATCGTCGTCCGAACGCTCCTCCTCAAAGAGGGGCTCCTTCGGCTTGTACGCGTTCTTCTCGCCCGGCACCAGCGCGGACACGGCCATCCTGGGAGGCGGAAGCCGTGAGCGGGGCGTCGGCGACAACTGGCGCAGCTCCTCTGCCGAAGTTGCGCGCCGGCTGGCGCCGGCCTCCATCGCCCTCCTCTGCTTCTTCCTGCCCCGAGGGTTGACGGTCGCTTGGTGCGTTATCGGTGGCCGCCAGCTTGCAGGCACCCGATCGAACTTGAGGTCGCTGTCGTCGACCTGGACAGCGCTGTGGGCGAGAGCGACGGAGATCTCTGAGATCATGTACGTGTGCGCTTGCGCATGCGACGCTGTGAGGCGGTCCTTCTCGGTCGGCTTCCACTGGGCCGGGTCGGCGGTCGCTTCTCGGCTGACCTGCGCCTGTGCGCCTCTCGAGACTGCGGGCACGAAAACAAGTCGGCCAGTGCGCGGTGGGGCTGCAGCGGTCTCTTGGGCATTATTCTTCAGCGTCTTCTGTCGCTCATCGTATTTTCGGACACGGTAGAGCCGAGAGAACCGCCAAAGCAATGTGCGCATGAGGGTGTCGATCGCCTCGTTGCCGAAGCGGAGGAGCTCCTCATCCATCGACAATATCGAGGTTCGGAGCTCGCCGGAGATGATGGTGTTCTTCTTGAAGGTGCCGCAAAGCCACTCGTCTTCACCCGTAACGCGGTTCTTCATCCTGACGTACTGGTCAAAGTATTGATCGATGAAGCGCGCGACAGCTTCAACGTCAACCGCGGCAACCGGAGGCAAGAGACTCGTGGGCATGTAGCGAACAAGCTCGTAAAGGAGGACGTGCCAGATAGACTCCAGCTCTTCTGCAATGCCCGCGATGTGAGGTCCCCAGAGCAAGAGAGAGACCGCCTGGTATTGCCACGTTCCCTGTGAAGACATGTCTGAGCCTCGAGTACATATCAGAAAGGAGTGGAACTCACCGTGCGCGGGGGCTGACGTGCCTTCTCGCTCTCTCCCGGTTGCGCAAGCCTCTTTGACATTTCCCAGTCGGCAAGGATCCCAGACCGGCGCAGAAAGATTTTGCCGTCGTCCGGGCAGTAAACCTTGGGATAGATGAGGATATTTCCCGCGCTGATGTCACGGTGAAGGCGGGGCTGTTTAAGCTTTCCCAAGCCGGGCTCGGAAGAAGAAACGGCCTGATGGGCTGCACGGAACAGTCAGTCGCATGTTCGATGTTCGACAAGTCGACAAGTAGATGGGTGACATGCCTTCAAGAACATCTTGGATGATATCCAAGAGCTCAAACGTGTGCTGGAACATGCTGAGTGGCATCGCGACCTCCGCCACGACCATCCGATAGTGACGATGAAGACGAAGCGGGCAGGCGTCGACCTGGGGCTCCTCGGCTCCTTTGTCGGCGCCGCGCTTGCGCTTGGAGGAGGTACTTCCAGGCTGAGCCGGGGCCCCGGTGGCCGAATCTGAGATCTCGTGCGCGTGAACGACCTTCCACCACATCGGCGTGATCGTGCGCTGCTCGCCTACGTCGCCGTGACATACGAGGGTCGGGACGTTCGGGACACCGGCGTCGTTGAGCTCCTTAAGGATTGCACCCTCCTGCTCGACGAGGATGTACTCCGCGCGCCACGAGTCCTTGAACCACCGGAAGCGGCCTGCGTCAATGTGGTACGCGACGTACCCGCGAGTTGCCCGCCCGGCGAGGCCCTTCGCAACGAACGAGGGTTTGGCGATCAGGAAGGTGTGCTTCTTGCCAGCTTCGTCGATCAACTCGACGAGGTACCGAGGCCAGCCCTTGACGAGGGAATCGGCCCACATCTGGCGGACATACACGAATTCACCGGGGCCTAAGGACGTTGAGTCGAGTGAGCGCGCATCGTGAAGGATGTCTTGCGCAGCGTGGGCGGCCATGTCCGCGAGGTTGTCCATGAAGCGGAAGTATCCGTCGCCAGGACGAAGGCGAATCGCGGTGTCGTCCATCCCGAGCTGAGAGTCAGAAGCGTGTCCCAAGCGCCAGAGGATGTCGCAAAATGCTTCGTGGTCCTTGTAGTAGTCGATAGCGTTCGTAGCGATCGCGCCGGAGCGGTCCCAGTAGACGAAGTGACATGTCCGGCCGACCACGAGGAGGGTGAAGAGCTCACAACGTTGCTGCACAGCGAGGATGAGTTCGCCGTATGAGATGATCTGACCGCGAACGGTGGTACGATCCTTGGCCGATGCGAAGTTCCCCTCATTGTCAAAGGGGTCCTTCCGCCCCGGCCCACCTTTCTTGAACTCGACGGAAATGACTTGGTCGCCCCAGTTGGGTGTCTCGTCGTTGGGGAGGTACTCCTCGTGGAAGAACGCAGCGTCGCCCTTCTGTCTGAAGGCGTCGATACCCGTGTTGGCGGGTCGATCGCTAGATATTGCCATCTTGAGACCCGCCGCAAGTTCGTGCTGATTGATGACCTTGACCTTGATCGCCCGCAGTCAGCTTTGCTAATTTCGAAACATAGGCAGAACGAGACTCACAAATTTTTCCTGGAGCTTAGATTCCTTCCACTTCTCCGCTTCCCGGAAGCCCGCGAAAGGATTGAGCTTGAGAGGCACCTTTCTCTGGGGTATATCGGAGCCAGCGGGGAAGAAATTGTCGCAGAAGGCGAAGAAGTCAGCGGGGACAGCCATGTGGGCCATGTCATTCGCGGCTTCGGCGCGGTGTTGAGCGAGGTCCTCTCGACCCTCTTCACCTCCAAGAGCCCCAGCGTTACGAGTGCGTAGGCTTTGGCTATTGGGGGTTGAGAGATGACTGCCAATCGCAGCAACAGGAACGGGTTCAGCGGGGTCGGCCATAGGGAGAAGAGGAAGGGGGTGCGGACGAACCTGTGGTGGGGGCTTCTGCTGTCTTATAGTGCGATAACGGCGGTGGTCAGAGGCAATATTTGTTGGATAAGTAATGGTCGTGGTCGAAGTTGAAAGTGAACACACGCGGAGCGCTCGTCGGCTACCAGGGTGCACGGCCCGGGCGCGAGGCACCCGACTCCCGCACTGGAGTTCAAGCGAGCGCTGTTCCCAGGCATTGTGCCATTCGATCGTCTGGACAGTCAAAACGTGTTGCTGTCTTCGCCAAAGGATCAACTCCCCAAGGTGTAAGTTTGGTGGAAGTTACCAGCTCAAGCTCAGTAGGCTGTTTACTCAGGTAAGTACAAGAACGCCTAGCGAAGTGGGTCAACTTAGGGTGAACTCCGGCCTTTCTCTCCGGCATAATCCGCGCACGCACACACAACGTGCATGGCCTTTGTTCTCCTCCTCAGCCTACGCTCTGACTCAGAGCGGCCATAATGAATGTTCCATTCTGCGCGCGCGTGATCAGCACTCACCCAGTGCGTGAACTGGACCAGGCGAGGCTGGACAGTGATCTGCGACGGAAGTCAGGGAGCACGGAACTTCGATTGCGGCTCCAACTGGTGGAGGTTGAACGTTGATGGTGAATCGATAACTTTCGAGGCCAAGGAAATGGTGTACATTGATCTTTGAGTAGACCACGTGGCCGCGTTTTCATTGAACGCGTCGCGTTAGGGGCGCTTATTGCATCCCCTTTCTTTCCGTCTCATCCTCCTCCCCACCCACCTTCGACTCCCCGTCGAACACCAAGAATGGACAACCACGAAGCGAAACCCCTGGTACTACTACTCTGCCTCCAGTCCGGCGACGTTTTCCCCGCCCTCAATGCCCACCTCCTTTGCCAGCTCGTCAGCGAGGTGGAGCTCGTGAACGCGGACTCCGTCGAGCAAGCAAAGCGCCATCTCACAAGCACCATAAGACCTCACGCCGTCATCGTCGGCGACGTCGCGCTCCTCACTCCCCAGTTCCACGACGTTCTCACCCTGCTCATCGACTACGTCGCCGTCGGTGGCACCGTCGTCCACGCCGGTCTCTTCAGCGGCCTAGCCTCGCGCCGCGGCGACGTCGACGTCGGGGCCTACTTCAAGCGTGCGTGGAACCTCCCGTGGCACACAGGCTCACGTCGCCACACTCGCGGCCCCACGCGGCTGAACGCGATCATCCGCCAGCGCCACTCGTTCGCGCCGCGCCTCCCGAAGCAATACACGCAGGCGGCGGTCTTGGTGAACGATGTCGAGCTCGAGGATGCTCTCTACCTAACCGAGGACGACTTCAAGACGCACGTCTCTCAGAATAACGGCGGGAAGAACAAGCCTGCGGGGTCCCGAGCGTGCGTGCGAGCTGCGGCCGCGTTCGCCAGAGTCGGCGGGGGCCACGTCGGATACGTGGGGGATGTGTTGCCCCAGCACGCCACGTCGACCGTCGTCCTTGGAATGTGCTTTCATCTCCTCTCAGGTCCGCCAATGGCCCCTGGGTCTGCCGGGAAGGTGTTGCGTCGGACGAGGGTAAGTGACTTGTTTCTTCGGAGGTTGTCGTGATCCTCAGTGTTGCTGCGGATGGCCAGGAGACTCAGGCTGAGTCGTCCACGCCAGCACCTATCAAGAAAAACTCAAAGTACAAGAAGGGAAAGGGCAAGCAGGCGAACCCACAGCCCGTCGCACTGGGGAAGAATATCTGGGACCCTCAAGCGGCTGAACGCGCCGTGGCCCGCCGCACGGAGCAACGGGCCAGAACCCACCAGAGGAAGAGCCAGGAAGGAGACGGACTGAAGGACGAGGTTCGTGGCTCGTTGTGTGCGGGTAGTCGAGTGATGTTGATTCCACCCATCAAGGGCAACGCGCTGTTCAGGGCAGGCCACTGGGCCGCGGCGGCGGAGAAGTATCGCGCCGCTGTGCAGGTTGTGGGTCCCCAGCCCATGTATCTCTCGAACCTGGCTGCGTGTTTGCTCAAGTTGCACATGCGAGTAGTCTTCCGCTCTCCTTTGAGATCTCATCTGACTCGCGTGCAGGTATGAAGCTGCCGACAGTGCCGCATCTCGCGCGCTCATGTACGAGCCCAATCATCTGAAGGCTTTGTACCGAAGGGCCCAAGCGCGCGTGGAAATGGGCAGACCGAACGCCTCGGAAGTCGGTAAGTCAGTTCCCATTGCGCTCGGGATGCTCGAGACTCATCCAGAACGAAGACTTGCTTCGTCTGCTCAAGATAGACCCTGACAACGGCGCTGCTCTCGCGGAACAACAACGCTTGGAGGTTCATCGCAAGGAGGTCGATGAATTGGGACCTCTCGACACCGATATCTCATGGGAAGGGGACCCCGACGACGATGCCGCTGTCGCTGCCGCCGTTTCCGAAACCATCACCCCGCTACCCATCGAAGACGAGGACGAGTCCGACACGGAAGACTTTGCGCACAACGGGAACGGCACGCCCTGCAAGTTCTACAACCGCGCTCGAGAGGGCTGCCGCAATGGTGTGCGGTGCCCATACCGCCACGCGCCTGACGTGCGCAGCGTCCGCGACAAGCTGTGAGTCGCGATTTCGCTCCCTCATCTCCAGTGGTGCTGATGCACATGCTCTCGCAGCGGGCGGAACGTCTGTCTGTACTGGCTCGTCGGCGCTTGCAAGTTTGACAGCCCGGAGCGCAGCCAGTGCGTCTACTCGCACCACGACAACTACCTCCCCGAACGCGGGTGGTGGAAGGACGAGGCGCGGCTCTCGGACATCCGCGCCCGCTTCCGGGACGCGGTGCGCGCGCAGCCCCTCCGGCGGATGTGGCTCATGGGACGCCGGGAGGACATCATCGCGGAGGCGCCGCGGCCCACGTCGTGGCGGCGCGACCTGTGGGCCGTGCTGGGGCCGTATGACGAGGAGGGGGAGCGCGCGCTCGCGACGGAGGACATGATGGCGGACATGGTCAGCCAGTTCTTCTCTGATCCGGAGAGCCTCGTTCGAGCCCACTGTGGGCACCACGGGGACGAGCAGGACGCAGACGACGCTTCCTCGGAGGAGGAAGACCGATGGCTCGAGGCGCAGAAGGCCCGAATGGACAAGGACGCGACGACGTGGTCCATGATGGCGGAACAACGGGAGGTGCTTGGGTACTGGGCGACGCCGGACGTCTTCGAAGACATGGCGGAGTATGGGATCAGTCCTTTTGAAGAGGGAGCATATGTGAGTGGCTCCTCCGTCGTGAACGTCACAGATCTGACAGGTAATGTGGCCAGGATATATTAATGCGTGCGCGCGCCGTGCTCGAGGACTATTGATGCTGTAGTGCCATGGGTTTGGCATGTACGGCCGATATGCGGATTTGTGCTCTCGTATCTTACTAACACTCACTGCGGAATGTCATACCTATCTTTTCACTCCACGCCGGGGATTCCGGAAGACAGCTTTCGACGGCGCCTGGAGGGAACACAAAGTTTCGGAAGGTGAGGCCGAGTTCCCGCGTTTGTCCCATTACACTCTAACTCCTGTCAACTCGCGCGCGAACTGACCAGGTATGCACGCCGCTCCATACGGTGAGAGCATCAACAGCTTCTCATATGACTCCTCTTCGGTTCTGGTTTGTCGCCCACTGCCATATACTTGATCTTGGGACGCCACTGACCCGGGGCGATGGCACACGAACACGATGGTGAGTCACCGTCGCTGATGACCCGTTCTCAGTCCGGGTCTGTGCAGCTCGGCCCCTGCACAACTTTCCCCACAGGTGTGGAACCTGACGTGGGCGGCCGGTCTGAGGGAAGAAGAACGTCAAGGCATCTTTATACCGCACATCGGGGCGACCATCTTTTTATAGCCACATTAAAGCCGAAAGCAACAAAGTAAGGGCTTCTATCGCACATAGCTTTTGAACCTTACAAACAAGCTCCCAGAAAATGCTCGCCCCGGCGTGCGCGTGCCGCCAACGGGCTGTGCAACGTCTCACGCCCACTCGCGGTTTTGTGGGCCACAACCTGGATATCTCAGAAAGCCGGTGCTGCTGAGCGCCGAGTCGGTGCAGTGGTTCTCCTCGGTCGCCACTCAGGTCACTGCTCCTCCAATATCATCCGATGGACAGGAGCGCCAGGCTGCCCACGTTGCCGACGCTGTGTTCATCACACACCTATCATCCTGCTGACACGCAGCGGCTCTATATATGCCGGGGCTGAGCACGGCGCCCCGCCCAGTGGACGATACACCCTCTCCATGGACAGTAACACCTCCAACGCCGCAATGAAGTCCACTCCCAGTCTGGGCATCACTTTCGGCGCGTTTTTGGTAGGTACTTTCGTTGCCTCCATGTAAGTCAGGGGTGCTCTCCACCACTTTGTGTCTCTCTGATGACTTTCGTCGCGCAGACAATACGGATTTTTGTGTCACCAAGTTGCCAACTATTTCAACAGGTTCCCGCAGGACTCGCGGTGGCTGAAATACCATGTAAGCGTGTAGATGACTCTGCTTGATCGCCTCGGTAACACGTTCTAGGTGATCGTGGTCTTGTACGTGTCCGAGGGCTGGGGACCTCTGCACTCTCTTACTGTCTACAGGTCCCTGAGCACGGTGGTCGTCGCGCTCTGCATGCACGTCAGGTCAGGATTCGTTCAATGATTCAACACCGTGTGCTGTTTTTGAAACCGCTCTTCGCAGCTACCATTACCTGGTGTCCAACTTCTTCGACCCTCAGCGACTTGAAGTTAGCGTCTGGTGAGTCGTCCACCAATAGAACGTCCGAGAAGATGTCTTTATCGTCCCGTCTCCGTATTGCAGGTCTTTCAATGTAAGCCGCCTCTCAGACTCTCGTTGCTTTCACTACCCCTTACCTGGTCGTTCCAGCTGCTCGGTCTTTTCGCGGCGAGTCAAGCATATCTGCTTGCATTGACCACATTTTCGCTAATCTCTTCGGTGCAGGGAGCTCTGGCGTCCACAAGCGAGATGTGAGTATTTTTTCGGGTCTGATGAGTGAAGTTCCACCCAATCCTCTCCAAGGTTCTTCATCAGACGAGTATACTTGAGTATGTTCGTCTTAAACTCTGATTTAAATCGCCTCACCCACTGTCACAGTTGGTCGGAAGTTTCGTCCTTTGGTGGCACTTGCGGTGCGTGCATATGGTTTTCTTGCTTTCGGCAAGGATTCTTATCTTTATGCCAGAGTTTCTTCGTAGCCGGGGAATGGAGTGAGCCTCAACGGATTTATGTTCCTGCTCTCCACTCACTTGAGCTGATCAAACGCAATGCTAGTACTCGGAATCAGTACGTCGTATCCATGTTGATTTCAGACGACGCAAAGCCGCTGACCCGAACATCTCCAGCGGCTTCAATCCGGGGGTGAGTGGTCGTCAGAAAGTCCTCTATGACGTCATCGCGTAACGTCTTCGTCAAAGTTTCTTGAACTCAGACGCGAAGTCTGGTTACGGAGACGCCGTGAGTATACATTTATTCACAGCGGAAGCCTACATCCAGTTTACCATCCCCGTTCTAGCTCTTGTCCTCCATTGGAGCTCTCTGCATGATATCTGCGGACGTTCTGATCACCTCCACGCTCATCGTGACACTCCGGCAAAGTCGAACAGGGATCAACCAGTGCGTGATCATTGTGCACTATCTATTCGGAATGCTCACTCTAAACACTTGGCAGAACGGACTCCATCCTTGACCGTTTGGTGCTCTACGCCGTTAACACTGGTATGCACCTATTCCATATGCTGGTATTTACGTGAGCTCACGGGCAATAACAACCTCCAAGGCTTGTTGATGACGTAGGTTCTGATCTGTGATTTTAAATGCGTTTGCACTCACCTCGACGTTAAAACATAGGTTATTCAACATTGTCTCGTGTGCCTTTGTACATTGTTTGTTCCGACTCCTATAACTGCAATCCGCTCACATGATATATTTTAGGGCTTCGTGCTTCCCGGAAACTTGATATACGTCGGTATATCCATATCAGACATTCTATGTGCGTTCCTAGCGCTCTTCGCACGCGCTGAAAACCTCTGCTTACCTCCGCGTAGTGTACGGAAACTCAGTGATGACGGCGTGCGTCCTCAATGCGATGACTGCGCCACCTTGAGCTTACCTCGCGTCGCGCAGGCTGGTCACCCGACAAGAGCTGGCCGACAGCGCGTGCCGAGTGAACGTCAACCTTTCCGACTCGTTCAACATGAGTCCTCTGCGGAACAACCGCGGTACCCTCCGAACGCCACCATCTGACGAAACTCCGGTGAGCACTCCACGGATTTGGAATTTTGATTGATGCTAACTGACGCCTCTTGCTCACAAGCCGTCGATATCTATAGGCGTTACCATTTCGAAAGTCGTCGACTCGGACCGCGCATTCGCTCAGACCAGGAACAAAACGTGCGCTGATGACATAGCATAGCTCTGATGGCGGTGCGAGGTGCCTGTAACTTTGATAACGTCCAAGATACTTGATCCAGTACACCCGCGTTGATTAGCTCGCCACTCGTGCATTCGGCTGTGCCTATCCCGCACTTTGTTGAAAGCTAACTTGGTCCGACTGGGATTCGAACTGGGGCATCTGACACCAGGCGTCAATAAGGCCGCACATGATGCATCCGACTGTTCGTTCCTCCGCATACTATCACCATCAACTACCTCAACGCAACGCAATGATGGCTACGCGCTCACTTCAACCTGGGGTAGAATCAAAGTCCGGGCGCTCCTCAGCCCGTGTTATGCCATTCGGTGGTCTAGTCACCTGAATGCTGGCACAATCAATCGCACAGGGTGCGTTCGTCTATGTGTGCTCCATAATCATCTAAGCTGAGCAGGACTCATGTTTGCTCTTATCGCACGCTTCCTCAGATGCGGCATCGGAAGCAGTGCTCCATCTGCTGGCTGTCTAGCAACGCTCTCGAATCTCGATATTGGATAAGCATCATGGCTTGCTTCCGCGCGGTCTTTGCAAGCTGCCATAGCACTAGCCCTTCTTCAGCACGCTCCACCTCCAATCTCGATTGGCGGTTCACCATACATATGACGAGGCGCGTGACCCGTGGCATACGTATCATCCAGGCCAGCATAAGCAGGACCCCCGAAAGCGCCTATAGAGGGACCGCCGACCATCCGGACAAAATTTGACGATTTTTGACCCTCGGACCAGTCGCGATCCGGACATCAGGAGGGCCTGTCCGGATGACCTGGCTGCCGACGGTCCGGACATGAGCCATAGGGCGACCCCGGGATCCGTCGGAACATCCGGACGTGATAGGGTGGCCCCAGGTGGCCAGGGGGCCGACGATATCTGGCTCGTAGATAATCTATGCAGATAATGGTCCAGATAAGATCAGACTGTGGCGATCTGGACTAATGCTCGTTCTAGTCAACTTTGTATGAATGATAGTCCGTAGATCAATTGGAGTGTGGGCGGTCGCTCTTTTGCACGCATCCCACTGCTCAATCATTTTCTCAACTTCTCCACACCAAAAATGCCCTCTATCGACTCGCACGCAGGTGTCACTCAGGAAGACGAAAATGTGATAGACCTCACCACCGAGGACTCCTCAAACAACGCCCTCTTTTCACCTGAACTCCTCCTGTCGGACTCCGATCTCAAAGCACATGTCCCTGGCCCCGATCTCCCCGTACAGCTCTTCAAGCAGTTCATCCTACCGAAGATTTCAGCCTCTCGAGTGACTGCGAAGGTCGAAGTGTGGTTCTCACCTGACCCCCCTAATCAACCACTCAAACGCCTGCTCCAACGCGATATCCCCGCGGACGTCATCCGTGCCGATCTCAATCAAGCAGCGGAGAAGCAACTCAGGGATGGCCGCCGGTCGATCTTGCTACCGGGAGCCCAGCTTGAAGAGCGCTATCCTCCTGCAGCTCTTGACCTATGGAGGCACCTCGCAACGGCGCAAGACGCGAAGCTCCGATGGGAGAAGACGACGAAGTGGCTCACAGACTTGGCTGCGGATCGGAGCCTCGACCCTTCCGTCTGCACGGAGGCAAAGACGATCTGCGCGACAATCGTCGACCTGCCGTGGAAGGGGAAGATGACAGTCAGTGGAGTTCGCACATGGTCCCTTATGCTCACTCGCCTGCTCGCAATGGAACCGCTCTGTGACGATATCATCGACATGATGATGGCGACATTGAATCAACGGGCACAAGCGCGGCGGGGCTCAAAGCCGCCGTTCATCGGGACACTCGCAGTCATGAATGAGATTGTCAAGTTCGGAAACAGGCAAGGTGACACTTACAACATGCGGAACTTCCGAGTTCTCCACCGCATCTCCGATAACGTCAGCAGCGACCCGTCCTTGCACCTGTACTTCCCGTCTCTTGTCCGCAAGAACCACTGGATCGCTTTCCACGTTGATTTCGAATCTGGGAAGATCGAGTATGGTGAGTAACAACGTCATTCATTACGAGCAAATGGACCCATACCTGTGCTCCCTGCCAGCCGACTCCCTCTCGCTCAACGTTCAGCCACCAAAGTCGGAGCTGTCTGCCGTCGAGAGATGGCTGAAGGCAGTGTTTCCGCACTGGAAGTTTATCAGAGATCGACGTGACGTGGCAACAATGGAACAAACTCCCCAGCCCGATATCATCTCGTGCGGGCTCTATGCAGCCAGAGCGGTCGCCCATGCTGTGTTTGGTGACTCTCTCCTCCAACCGGCGGATCTTGTTCGAGAGCGGCTTCGTTGGGGGTCTGAGCTGCTCCGGCAGCTACCCGGTCAAAACCCAATCGCATCCACAGTGACGGTCAGTAGACACTCTGACCAAACTCGAACATCGTGGCTCACCCGCATACCAGGCCGACGTGGAAGCAGCGCAAGCCGGAGCTCTAGCCACGGTGGCGCCAAGCTCAGTAGCAAGCAACGTCGCAGTCGTCACCAAGGCTGTCGCTGTAGATCATCCAGAAGCTGGACGTACCAAAGCTGTCGTGAATGATCTCCCTTGTGACGCTACTCGACCTTCCGAGGTCGATCTCCCTTGTGACATCGCTCGAACTTCGGCCTCTCCTACTGCGTCATCTGGCGTTGCTGTCACCGTCGTGCTAGCCACAGAAGAGACGACTACAAAAAACAGCATCAGCACGCAGAAGAGGGACACCCCAACAGACGCTCCACCTACCACGGCGGTCGACGTGCAAGCAACTCCGGTGTCAAGCATCGGGAACGCACTGCCGTTGTCGGCTTCCTTGTACTCGATCTTCTCTGGCGGGTTCCGGGATACCACAGCACCCACCAAGGGCAAGAAGCGGGCGGCGATATCAAACGTGTCCGAGGGGATAGCATCGAAGAGGCAGAAAACTGAAGGGAAAGCAGTCGGTACAAGCAAATCAGCCATAGCGTCCCGAAAAGCGCGCCAGCAGGCTGCAGAAGGGACTTACAAGTGGAAGGCCAATCTTCTCGCTGTCTGGAAGGCCAAGATCCTGGAGATCGATGAGTACGCGACCATACACAAGGACAACATGAATGTTACGTGCTCACGGTGCATGTCCCCGACCCGTATCAAAGAGCCATACGATGCGAGTCGCTTCAAAGCGCACTGCAAGACGTGTCATCCCCTTCGCACTCACCGTCCGGTGACTCTCAAGGCTACAGTGGTGAATCGCCAGGTGCATCTGTTACCATAGCCTATCGGCAGGTGCAGATGCACCTGGTGATCCGGCCGGCCCGGTTGCATTGTGCTCACGCAGCCGCTCGCGACATTGCCCCAAGACATCCGGACACCGGCGCCTCAGGCCCTGCCACCTGAGCTCACCGTCTCCGACAGTGAGCTCACCTCCTTTTTTGTTTCACATCACACTTTGTACATACTTAGTGATCAAATATATTTATCAATAAACTACTACACAGGGACGCAGAGGCGAAGGCGGGTGCGGGCGGGCGGGCGATGCGGGCGCATGAGAGCGACGTGGCGAGGGGGAGAGGCGGACGTGGACGAGGCAGGCGCGGAGTAGAGCGACGTGGCAAGGCAAAGGCGGGCGCGGAGGAAGCAGACAGGCGGGAGAACGCGGGCCAGGCAGGCGGGAGGACGCAGGCCAGGCGCAGGTGGACGGCGAGGTGGACGGAGAACGGCGACGCGGAGGGCGACGCGGCACCTGGTGACTCAGGCGTGGAGGAAGCAGGCAGGTGTGGGGGATGCGGGTGAGGCACGGACGGACGGTGAGGTGGGTGGAGAAGGGTAACATGGCGAGGCGGGCGCGGAGGAAGTGGACGTGGAGGAGGGCGAGGACGTGGGCGCCGAAGAGGACGACGTGGCGACGGGCGACGCAGAGGAGGAGGGCGACGCGAAGGTGGGCGACGCGGAGACGGAGGACGCAGAGATGGAGGGCTGCGTGGGCGCAGATGGGCGACGCGGGCGGCGCGGACGCGGAGGGCCGGGACGCGTGGAGGAGGGCGATGCGGAGGAGGGTAAGGTGGAGGGATGGGGCGAAGCGGCGGCCAAGATGACGTGGTGGTGGGCGCCGCAACACCGCGGAGGACCAGGGTGACGCAGGCGGGCGACGAGGGCGTACGCAGGCGGCGCGGAGGTGGGTTGGAGGTGGAGGGCGGGCGGCGTAGGAGAGGAGGGTGGCGCGAAGGAGGCGGGCGGCTCAAAGGAGGCGGCAGGCGCGGGCGGAGTAGAGCGAGGAGGAGGGCGGCGCAGGGCAGCATGGAGGGGGAAGGCCACGCAGAGGAGGGCGAGGAGGAAGGCAGAGAGGAGGAGGACGTCCGCCCGGACGTCCTCGGCCTGTTGTAGGAGCGGCAGGTGGGCGTTGGGAATGCGAGAGGGCGTAGAGGAGGACTCACCAGAGCAGGGGCCACGGTACATCGCCGCGGCCCCATATTCCAATCTCCATGCTTGGATGGACGTCCGCGCGGATGCGCTCTTGACGTTGTGAGGGCGGCTGGCAAGGTGGGTGAAGGGCGGGATTGAGGTCGAGGCCGAGGGAGGTCAGAGGAGGGAAAGGTCGGTGTCACCTGGTGACACCGGAGTCCAATAGCAGACGACAGTCGACCGTGTGGTCGCTATCGTCTGCCTGGGCTGAGCGGGAGGATGGAAGCGGTGAGGGTGTAGTGGAGGAGGAGGAGGAGGAGAGCAAAGGCGGCGAAGGGGAGGGACACGTGGCGTGCATCACAGCCACGTGTTGATGCGCGCCACGCCCAGCGAGGAGCGTCTACACGGGCGCGCATCACGGATCAATGGGTGCATCTGTAGCTGCCGATGGCACTGCGGGCAGGTGCCCTATTTCCCACGGGGCGATAGCCATGTCGTGGCGATGGTATAGGTTTCCTTTGTCTTGAATGGACACATGGCTGTTGCGCGACGCGACAGTTAGACTTTTGTCTGCCTTGCGCATCGCTGCCCCCCGCTGGATAGCTTTCCTTGCACATGACTATCCCTCGACTGCCTCTCCACTCTCACCCCACGTGACAGGCAGACTGCCACTTGACTATCACCCCACGCGAGAGTTAGACTGCCGCTTCACTGTCCCTTGACTGTCGTCCCGCGCGCAAGGTAAACTGTAGCTTCGCTGTATCTCGACTATCGCCACACGTGCGAGGCAAACTGCTGCTTCACTGTCCCTTGACTATCGCCCCACGCATGTGGTAGACTGCCGCCTCGCTGTCCCTTGACTATCGCCCCGGGCGTGAGGTAAACTGCCGCTTCGCTATACCTCGACTATCCCGTGCGCAACTAGTCAGGCTATCACTCGTGTGCGCGTGGGATGAGTGGCGCCGTGCGCAGCGGGCAGTGACATGCGGGACTCCGGTAGGATCACCACACCCTTGGGCTGCCCGTACCCTTACCCGCAGATACCGTGACCCGTGTAGCGCGGATAAGGGTACATGGGGGTCTGCTGGTTCAGTCCGAGGGTCTACCTCCACGGGTTACCATCAGGTAGTGTACTGGTATCATATAAAGATTATAAATAGTAGATATTAGTATACAACATTGAGTATCTAAGCACGGCCGAGAGACCGTGGAGTACGAGAACATGCTCGCCGCCGCCGGGGGGAGCGGGCGCGCAGGGAGCTCTGAGGAGCGCGGGGGAGGACGAAGCGGAGGGCCAGGACGAGGCGGGGGAGGCGGTGGGTGATCTGAACCGAGGCAAGCGAGGCGGGCGGGCGGGGCGAGGCCGTCTGCGGGTATCTGCTGCGCGTGGGGGTCTGCGGCGTAGAGCCGGGGGCGGTAGGGGGGCGTGCGGGGAGGGCTGCCTGGGGCGAGCGACGTGGTAGGGCGCGGATACAGCGAGGGTGTCCGAGGAGCAGGCCAAGGTGGGTGTGGAGAACTAAATCGGAGCCCGAGCCCGAGCGCAGACGTCGACGCGGACGTCGGGAGGCCGTGGCCCGATGCGCACTGGGACGCGACGAGCGAGCTCGCGTCCGACCCGGATGCGGACTTGGCGGGCGTGAGTGAGCGGAGGGAGACCCTGGGAGAGCGGTGGGCGGTGCAAGGGCGACACACGCGGAGGTGGGCAAGGCGGAGGACACCGGTGAAGAGGAGGACGAGGCGGCCAGACGGAGAGCGGCGCTGGAGGAGGCGGGCAATGGGGACTCGGGTGACGCGTGCAGAGGCGGACAAGGAGGGGGTGGGCGTCGTAGATGTGGGTGACGCGGAGGCCGGTGCAGAGGACGACGACGCAGAGGGTTGACATGACGCGGAGCCAGAGGACCTGGAGGAAGAGGAGGGCAGCGCAGGCGCAGGCGGGCGACGTGGACGTCACCGCACGAACGAGCTGGACATGCAGGAGAGCAGAGGGGGGTGAGGCAGATGGGTGACGGGCGTACTCACCGAACTAAAAAAGGGCGCCGTAACTCACGGCAACCTCAATATCCTCATCTCCGGGGGGAGGACGTCCTCCGGATGCCGTAGGTGTCGACGCGGAGAAGCGCAGCGCGGGCGAGGTGGTGGGTGGTGAAGAGGTGGGGGACGCGCGCGAAAGTGGACGAGGCGGAGGTGGGCGACAAGGCCTTGGTCCAGGACCTGCGGCGCGGTAGCCCGCCGAGCCCCCCCCCCCACGCCGTCGCCCCACCTGCGTGTGCCCGCCTTCACGCGCAGCTTCGCGCCCGCGTGCGTCTTGCGTTCCCGCGCCGGTGCCGCCGACGCTGCAGCGGGCGCGGGCGCGGGCGCAGGCTTGGGGGCCGGCGCGGTGCTGCTCCCGGCTTTCTTCGTGCCCTGCTGCACGGTCAGAAGGGGAGCGGTGTGAGGCGGACGTGGCTCAGACGTACATTGCGTTTGAGGAACTTTGCGCTTGGACGGGGGAAGTCGAGCAAGGTGGTTGCAACAAGAAGTTGGTCGTCGATGGCATATGGAGGATGGCGGCATCAAGGGGCGGCAAGAGACGACAAGCAGAGAGGTTGAACGGAGGGTGAGCGGACGAGAGGAGCAAGGCGGGTGGGATGGGGTATGGCCAAGATAATGGGCGGAGGAAAGAAGTCTATAGACGCAGGCTGACGCACGGCTCCGAGTCGCAGGGGACGCGCGCGATGGTCACGTGCCCATGCGTTCAAAATGTGCGTCTGCGCGTCTGGACCTCCTTTGCGCGTGCCGCGACCGGTCGCATCTCCGTCTCCTTGTCCGGGCCTACCTGCAGCGTGGCCTGGCATGGATGTTGCCCCCTCAACGGTTCAGGCGAGCTAGCCTCGTGTCCACGAGGGGGCTTGGAGACGCGTATGTGGGGGACTTTGCGTCCCCCACGGGTCCTGGAGCTTCGTGCTCCAGAGGTACGCGTCAACTTCCGTTTCACAGGCATTGTTCCCTCTGGAAATATGTGAGTATTTACCCTTCGTTGAAAATGGTGGCTCATACGCTCTGCGACAGACACCACTACACCAGATATCATTGCGTGGCAGGCCAGTCTATTGTCCCGCGAGGTGTTTGGATTTTGTACGACGTGAATCATCTGCGCGACGCACCTAGACCACGCCACCGATATTTAACTCGCGTGTTTCACAGGACCGACGCACGCGTCGTGACACCCTCGAATGGACGCCCAACACTTCGCGTTCCCCCTTGCAATAAAGTGTCCTTCTACACTCCCCGCTGGTGACTCCCTCGCTATCTCAGTGCCTACGGTTGCTGACGATATTGTAGGGCACTTGGATAGTGTGTCAGCAAAGCTCACAGTGCGACATTGTTGGAGTGGTGGGAAGCGAGGTGCAACACGGTATGTCGTCTGTTGTCTGCCACTGTATCTGCATTCGATGTGCTGGAACCAGGGCATGCTTCTCCCAAGATGTATCAAGCACGGTGGATGAAGGGAAGGTTCGGCTGGAGCAGGGGAGCTCGAGGCCTCCGTTTGGGGCTACTAGTTGCAAATAGTAGCCTCAAATGGAGTGTGCTCAACAGCGCCCTCGCATTTATTGTTTCAGTGAGACTTTGATTTGACTTGTGCACATGCGGCGACTAGGACTGACCGCTGTCGGTAGTGCAGGCGACCGGCGCCTATTGGTCACACTATCACACTATGAACAACTAGTCATACTATTCAACCACTATTTTTCACCTCTCACAACTATGTAGCTAGTAGTAGCAGTGAGACTTCCGCTTCGCTATACCATACCTCGACTGTCCCCGCGAGCATACCCATCCTCAGGGAGGTCATGAATCACTGGGTGCAATGCAGTTCCTCAGAGCAGATGGGGGGCGGCACCGGCGGCGGCAAGGTCGGTGCGCTCACGTCAAGAGACTCGCACAGCGCATATACCTACATGGCGCTCGGCACGCCCTCAACCGTGTGCGTGTGGGACGGCTAAGATGGGAACTTTGACAGAGCAATGACACGTCGCTGCGCCGTCTACGACGCTCGAGGACAAGCTGTGGGCCACGCGAACCTCCGAACACCCTCCGCGTCTTCACGGTGGGGTTGCACGGTCGGCGCGCAGGCGCGCTGGAGGAGGCGAAGCAAGCCATCCGCACCCGCGGCGCACGGGACAGGGAATGCAAGGTTGTGCGGGTGGGATAATAGGCCGGTGCCAGACGGGGCAAATGCGGAGGAGGTATAGACAATGAAATAAACTTGAATGTAGTGGCTTACAAAGCTGAAAACGGCCGTCACAACGGAGTCCCCCACTCCCCGTTACTATGCTTGAACCAGTGACTCCGACCCCCTGCCGCCCACACCGTGATGTGAAAGAGCGTCGGATGACGGGTTTGATGCGGTTTCAAGCCATTGGCCCACACACTTGCCAGCTTCGGAAGGGAGTAATTGGATGGGACTTTGATATTGTTCACAGTTTGCAGCTCGATCTCTTCCAGGTTGGAGAGGCGAAGAAGGGCTTGGTGCCATTCAGAGAGATGATGCCATGGTCCGATATGATCTCTGTCCTGAGGAGCGAAGCGATTGTGAATCTCTGCTCGCCGTTGAGAACTAGACCACACACCTGGGCACCTGGTTTTTCAATCAGCCTCAGCGCCTTGACGTTGGGTACGGAGGTTGCAACCTTCGTCAAGATGTTGTAGTCGTGTGAGAAGAAGTCGATGACGAGGCAGTGAAGTGGGGATGTGGCCAAGGCTTGAACGGCGACGGAGACGGAAGACGCAAGACGGGTGAGGTTGACAGTGGCACGGCGGACTTGACCGTCCGCGACGTGCGTTACACAGCGAGCGGGACCGTGAATATCTGTGATATGCCGTAAGTCCAGTCTTCGAAGGGGACAGTTGAGGCTGAGTCCGCAGGCTTGAATGGACAGCGCGGTGATAGACAGATTGTAGAGGAGGAAGGAGGCGATGCATCGGTGAGGGAGCGAAGTAGTGAACACGGCGAGCTTGGGTAGCAATATTCCAGATAAGATGGTGGGTGGAGTGGGGCGTGGTAGATGAATTGCAAGGACTTCGACGTTCGGGGTGAGGGAAAGACACCGTTGTATGAGCTGGCCGGGATAGATCGAGTGTGGAGGAAGTGATATCGTTACTTCATCGACGCAAAGTCCGAGATCAGCTTCTTGGCTAGCAAAATCTATGAACTCGGTCAGGGATTCTGTGTTGAAGAAGCGACGTGCAGCGACCCTGCTGGCACTGCGAGCCCTCTAATGCCAAATCAGCTCATCGTACCACACATATGGAACAAAGACTCACAAGGGCCAAATTCCTACGACGCTGGCTACGGGTTGGAGAGCTTGAAACTACGGTTTCGCGTTGGACAGGCATGCTGAGTTGGGAGGTGGCGACTTGATGGAGAGGATGGACGGAGCGGAATGGGACGAGCTTGAGCGGGCAGAAAAGGGAAGACGAGGCGATGTGGACGGTCGGAGAACTAAGACCTTTGAGAAGTGTTCATCTCCAGATCCTTTGTGACAAAGAAGCGAATACATACCACTTCGCATGTCACCAGCAAAATTGATCCAAGCACACATGAAGATCATCCCTTCGATAGATGGTTGTTTACGCAGTTTCGAGTGCGGGAGATGAGGGCGTGAGCATCACCGCGGCCGATGCGAACTTGAGGCAGGGCGAGCAGATTGTCCGATGTCGCGGTTCCGGTAGTTGTGTATGGCAGAGAACCGCATCCTCAGACGATTCATGTCCAGGGATCGGTCGAAGGCTCTTGCGAGTTGACGAGAGGTCACAAGAGAGGTTGGGCGGTCGAGAGTCGGGGGTCTAGTGCGGGGGCGATGTGTGAGCAGATTCACGGTAGATGAAAGTAATGATTCACATGGTTGCTGGACTACGAAGGCATCGCAGCCATAGAGATAGAGCAAGAAGGAGAGAGGTCAGAAGGGGCGGGTGGTCAGCGTGCTGGGTCGCGCGAAGCCTGAGTTGCGGCACCGCGGGTCCCTGGCGCTCAAACCGCGACACGCACACCGACACCGCGTGCTCCATCCCTGTAAAGAATTCCTGCTCTCTCTCTAGATTTGTCACCGCTTCCTCGCCAACTGCCCCAGATGAGTCTCCAGTACATTGAAGCCGCACATCTCTCTCTCGGACACAAATCCAATACCACGGCAGTCGCTTTTAGTCCCCAAGGCACGTTTCTCGCATCAGTCAGTCTCAATGGCGAAATATGTGTATGGTGCATGGAAGACTACTCGCTAGTACACAGAATATCTCAGAATGGCAACACACCCGTTCTCTCTGTGGCCTGGGTGCCTCCGGACGAAAAGAGCTTCGTGTGTGGACTCAGCGATGGTACGATCATCCATTGCTTCATAACAAAGGTGAGTCCCTAGTGAACATCTCGAGCGTACCCTATACCCACACAACGGGCAGACAGAACTCATAGTATCTGGATTTCTGGCCCATTCCTTCCCGGTCGACTGTCTGGCGGTTGCTTCTTCACGTCGCTTTGCATCTGGAGCAGGAAGTGAGGTTCATGTCTGGAAGCGGACGGCACAAGGTATCAGATCAGTCCTCAACTCATACGTATTCTAATTTCTCTTGCTAGATAACAACCCTTGGACCGAAGACGCGAGGGTTCCTGCGCCTCCTCTAGCACCTTCGAGCCGGGAGGCTCTCGTGGCGACAAGTTTACATTGGCTGACACCCGATCAGTCACAGCTCCTGGTGACATTCATGAACCACGGCATCCAGTGCGTTGTGGATATGCACCATCTTCGCTTTTCTGACGTAGGGGCAGTTTCGTAGATGCCGTCACATGGGCGCATATTCGCAGCATCAATATCACCGGACGAATGTGCGTATTTGCACCCGAGCATTTTACCACCGTGCTTATCCTTGTCTAGTGCACACGCCTCTCTAGCTCCCAACCGAAGGCTTCTTGCTGTTTCGAATATGATCAGTGGGTTTGATGTGTATTCCTTGGATTCTGAGGTTCCCGTGCGCTCGTTTTCGCATCCAGTGGCTCCCAATGCCCTTCGAGCTGTGCATGTCCGCTTCATCCACGACAACAATGCGCTACTCGGTGGCAACACTGTGGGAAACGTTCACGTATGGGACATCGACACATCAGAGAGGCTTGCTCGTCTCGCCCTTGGAGGTAAGTGTTTGATGCTACAATGTCATTCGATTCTCACACGCCCGTTATCAGACCGCAACATCGTGATCACAGTCGACGTACGTGTGTCCACTCGGCCTGTCTTTGTAGCACGACACTCAGTAATCCTCAGTCGTTCTACAACCACTCTCAAGACACGTTCTACATCGCGACAGGCATTGCTGAGGGTCCGTCGCCGACAGAAGTAATCTTGTGGAAGACTGAGGATGTGTGTGCGTGTCTTCGAGCATTTCATGGAAATTCAGACTAATCAACTTGCAGTGCGTTCGAGTCTCCCTGCTAGTATCGGAACCGCGTCCGGCGGTACGGTCAGCCGGTTTTTTTTCTTTGTGAAGGCGGCGCTTGGTCTTGCATTGGTGTTCGTCTTCATGTCGGTCGGGCAGTTGTACCAATTGTACTAGTTTGCATGCATATCCGTCGTGACCAATGATAAAAGCAACTCGACCACTAATGCACGCGTGTGCATCTACCAGTTGGCTCACAACCCCGCCGTCGACCGACGCACGCGGCTCGACCGTGCGTACCTTGTCGCGCCCCCCCGTCTTTTGTCCCACAATGTGTTTTAACACAATGCGCTATGCCGACAAGGGTTCCTATCAAAACGCGAAGCGCCACGCGCTCTCCGTTGACTCTCGCGCGGCGCGCGTGAGCCGGTTCTCCCTTCACCCGTTCGCCCGCCACCATCGTGGTGCCCGTAGGCGCCCTCTAGTCCACGATCGCTTGCTGCCCTTGCGCCCAACCTCCTCCTCCTCCTCCTTCGTGTTTGCACATCCCGTCCGACATTCCTTCCACGATAACCTTAGACCGCTCCCTCAATCTTCATCTTGCTTTGCGTGTCGTGCGTGCGCTGAGGATCGCTGGACGTGGCCATGACACAAAGCTGTTGTATATTGCCACTCGGGCATCTGGCATAAAGGTGAGCCGAAGTGCCACTTCATTCCGTCCTTCCTATCCTCCCTATCCTCCCTCTCTTCATGGCTCTCATCGGTCTCAGTGTTTCATTTGTAGCTGTTTTTTCAGCATGTGTGGTCTTGCGGTGGCTGGTCTCCCGTACTCCCACTCGTCGCAGTGTCCGCACTGCCAAAGATCCTCACATATTTTCTATCCGCACCCCCATCCATTCAGGACAGACCACCAGTGTCGTTGTCCCGGCACGTCCATATCCCGTTCCTCGCTCCAAGTTTACTCCGACCGTTCTGCAAATATACAATCCGTGAGTTCTCGTCCTCATTGGCGTTTCAAGTCAACTAATAAATCATACATCATTCATCCAGAAAGCGCGAAGATAAACCTCGACAGCCTATAGACCACAAATCCATCTCGCGATCCTCGCACAAACAGCCGCACAGCCTCAAGAGCACTGGTGTCAGGGCGAGTTCCGCTGCAGCTTCCCGGTCTCGCCGCCCTCCCACAGCCAAGGTGGATGATCCCTGTGGTTCACTGGTAAGCACTCTCGGTCTAAGCGTGAGTCTACTGATTATTTCTGTGAGCAGCCCCGGTACAACCGAAAAGACGGGAAACATGGTGGATGGGCCGTGGTAGATGCTGACGAGCCAGTGCCGTCTCCGCCGGCGTTTCAAAACGAATTGGCAATTGCGATCGGCGACATCCTGTGTTGGCGCACCAAGAAGTACTGCCAACTCTGGCTGCGGGTCCCGAACGAAGGAGATCAGGGGTCTTGGGAGAACGTCTCGCCAGGGTACGTCCGTGCGGATGGACTAGTGCTCTCAATCACGGAACATCGTCGTGATCCATCCTGGGTCACAACGAAATGGGGAGCACAACGTCTAGCGGAAAGTGCGTGGATCATTTCTTCTATGTCGCCGTCATGCTCACTCGTTCTGCCTGTCTTGCAGTGAAAAAGTGCGCTACTGGCTATTCCTCTGCTCCCGAGGTGCGCCACAAGGACACCTGATCGTAATTGTTGTTGTTGTCTTTATCTGTAGCTTGAAGGATCTCTTTTCACAACGCATTGTGTTCAGTATATGCGATTGATAAAACCCTTGTTCGCGATCAAAGCAATTCGCTCGTGCAGCACCCCATGACGCCCCACCACCTGTCTCATTCACCGGCCCTTCCCCGGTCTGCGAGTCGAGGACACGCGCCAGTCCTATGGCACGAGCGTGGACACACGCACGAAACAATGCAATTACCCACAAGGTCTGCTTTGTTTTGATTGAGATTGGTCTGTACCTGGCGCTGGGTGCGCATCGGGGCAGTGTCTAAGACGGTCTTCAACGCGAATATATGTGTTTGTTTTCAGCGAAAAGATATATATGTCGAAGACGCGAAGAGATGCCCGGTACCTCGCACTCAGATTACCTTCGAACTATGCAGGCGAGTCGCTTCCCTCGTACGCGTGATTGGCGTGTAACTGATAGCTCGTTCATTGTGGCGTTAGATGGAGCAGACATCAGCGATGCGACACCAGGTACGTTTGCGCCACTTCGCCCCTCAGTCACGGTTCTGACCTTGCATCAGAACGTCCTGTGTATCAGGACGATCGCCGAATTGGAGGCCTTCGTCAACTTCACGTCAGCTGCTCCTCAATTCGACTTTACACCGGCTCCTCCCCAATTCAAGTTCATCGTCCGCGAGTACCAGCAAGCCGTCATCGAGCTCAGCCACTATACGCTCGTGCCTTGGCCTCAAGTACACCAAGCCCTTCGCCTCGTCCCTTCTATCCAAGAGTTGCAAGTTATGCTTCCAAACGGCGCTCCCCCGGACCTATTCGACCTCATCTTCTTTCCCCATCTTGTCGACTTCCTCACCAACGTGCAGCCCCACCTTCTGAAGACGTTCCTATGGTCACATCGCAATATCCGTACACTCACCTTGACACATGAGGAGACCACTCCTCCCTATGCCCTCGCGCCATTGGCCGCCGTCGAACATTTAGTCTGCTCCATTGGATGCCTCGATCGTCTCTACCTCCCGCTTCATGACCTGGAGAAGCTCTACCTCGGCCTCAGTCGCGGCCATCGTTCGATGTCCGACCAACTTCAACATCTCACATCCTCAGCTGCGGGACGGGCGCTGTTTCCGCGTCTCTATCAGCTTACTATTCAGGTCGCTCCAGACGATCATCTCGTCATACACGATATTGCGCGGATATTTCCTGGTCTGGCGGACCTGTATCTGGTCGAGACGAGGGTGGCTTCGGTAAGCACAAATTCTATCTCTACAAAGACCGTTCGCTCAGTGATGACCACGTGCAGCTGGTCGGCAGGCGCAGGGGTGGCTCGTCGCGCCGCGCTTGGAACGATTACACCGGATGGTACCGGGCGCTATGCGATCTCGACGTCCTGGTACATTTTTTCCTGTTGGCCATGTCCCCCCTGCACGGGACTGACGCCGGGGATGAGGAGGCCGAACGAGGCGTCATTACCCAGTGGGTCGGAGGGCGCGCAGGAGTTCCCCATCCTGCCTTGCACAGTATTCACATCGCCTACTCCTCGGAGCCAGGCATGGACCCAGAGATCTTGTCGAAGTGGGAGTCTGTCACGGGGAGCCTTGAGGACTGGACTCGGATTAGTACTGTTGAAGGATCCCAGGCGATCGCCCAAAACTTCTGGGACAATTACTGGATCTGATTATGTTGTATTGCAATGATATGAAGCGTGTTTGTAGGGGCTATGTTTAATAGTTGGCGCAAGTGGGGTTGATGGAGTTGTCATTTAAGGCTACTAGAGGAGTATGAATGCAAGCTATGACGAGGAAGACGTCCAGAGTGGCACGCACAGCTCACTCGCGGTGCATGACACGAGCTGTCACACTGTGACGAATCGCGCAAATCTCGCCCCGTTTCTTCCACTCCATCTTGCACCTCCCCCGTCTTCCTCTGTATCTCTAACCGAATGGCCAATCGTTCTGTGCAAAGCTCTCCGTTCCGCTCGTCGCGGTTTTTACATGCGGCTCAGCAACCACTTCCAAAACCCCACACAGGTCAGTGTTTATCAGCTATGGCAGACACAAGTGGCTCATCATCCGACAGCTCAATCCCTTCAGTTGTCGAAGTCGTGCACACTCGTCACCGCTCGTACTCGCTCAAAGAAATACCACCGGGCCATCCGTTGCTATGTGCCACTGCTCCTTTCCGTCGTGGCGGCCGCCTTCGCCTGGATCGCCTTTGCCACTCCAAACCTGTCTGTCGCAGTCCAGTCTGTCCGGGGAGTTTTGCAAGAGATACCATGGCGTGATTTCAACCACGGCGTCCCGTCCATCCCGTCTTACCGGCTCATTCCGCCCTTCTCGCTCATCCCACCCTTCTCGTTCATCCCGCCTCTCTCTTCTGCCAAATTGGCCTGTCGATGCGAGCAAGATAATGGCGATGTTGTACAACGGGTTCTGCAACGTGTCTCCCGACCCTCTGTCCTCATGCGCGACTTCGCGCTTGGGGTGGATGGAGGGATGATATACCCGACCTTCACCTTGGTCGACACTGGAGCCGCCCCTCTCCTAGGTCCGGACGCCATCCTCGAGGAGGATACCAGGATAGGGCAATGCTGGCGGACTACTGTACCCTGCCAAGTAGGTATCTCTACGCCTGTCCTGATCTACCCTTCGAACATTACTATCGATCATATCCCCCGAGAAATTGCTGCTGATATTCGCCGTGCTCCTCGGCATATGATACTCTGGGGCGTAGTAGATGGAGACATGAACAAACACCGGCTGCACACATTATCTCCATCTCTGACATCTCCTCGCATACTATCCGGACATTCTCTCATCGCACTTGTGGAGTTTGAGTACGATATACATGACAGTGCCCCGATTCAAACATTCCCGGTTTTTGATTATATCGCGCTCTCTGGGATGGACTTCGGTATCTTCCTCCTAGATATCACGGACAACTGGGGTGCGTCAGACACATGTATATATCGTGTTAGGATTCACAGGCAGACCGCGCAGTAGAATAATCATGCACTCGTCGTACATGTCTCGAACCTGTGGCCTCGGTGTAGACGCTGGCGAGTATATGCGGGTTTTCGTCTTTGACGACGCCACTCTTGCACCCTTGCCGTCTTTTGGCTCCGGTGCCGCACTTCTTTGCTTGCATCTTGCCACAACTATCTGCCCTACTCGCCGAACAGGATGTGGATCAGCATGGACTTTGTCAGGCTAGGTACGCATATATTCATGGCAGCAGATTTTGTTTCTAACCTACCAGCCCGCTCGTCCATCGTGTTCTATGGAATCGCCCACTGACCACCATATGGGTTCGTCGGAATCACCTGTCGACCATCCAATGGACCAATCGGAACCACCTCCTGACCACCAAATGGACTCCTTCGACTCTCAGTTGCAGTCTTCCCAGACGACACACAGCGGATCACAGGCTATGGACGGAATTGAAGAGGAGAGGCGACCTATCGGGTACGTACTCATGTGAGTCATCGTCTCCTCCTTCCACTGATGAGATCTTCACAGTCGTAAGCATATCCCCCGAGATCTGCCGCATGCGTTTGTTAATGGCAAAGTTTTACGCCAAGACAACTCGGTATGTCCTTCAGTTTGCTGTTGACGTGCTGGCTAACCGCATTTCCAGACCCACGTTCCACCTTTGAAGCTCAGGGACACTAGTTATGGAACGGAAGGTCCCAGAAAGTCGAAGATTGCACGCACGACTTCCGCTCCCAACATGGTTTCCACTGTGGTTCGCTCGGTGAAGTCGACTTTGCCTTCGGTGGCGGAGGTCCCGGAGCCATCTGAAGGGCAGGAGGCGGTGTCAGAGGTGAGCTTGAGGGTTTCTTTCGCACTGTTCTTGCGCTTATTGTGGAGATTTCTGAACAGCCTGGTGGGAAACCGCCACTCTTCACCGACGTGCGTTGTTATTTACTATGCATGCAGCACTCGTTTCTGATGCTTCTTCTCAGAAACACGACGAGAATGTGCAATACTGGAGGGACATCAGCGCCCGAATCACACTCCCACTGAGCTTCCCCGTTCAGCCTCCAACTCCCAACCACTTGGGTCGTTCATCCAGTTTCAGTGCGTTCACCTCGCCCGCGAAGCCGTCTGCATTGGTGAACCGTCCATTGCCGACCATTTCCCCCCAACCCAAACGTCCCTTACCTGCCCCTCCTCTCTCCCACCCAAACGCACCCCCTCACCCACATTTCCCGCTACCGTTGCACCAGCTGCCCACCACCGGAATGCCATTTACAAACCCTAACCCTACGCATATGTCGTCGAACGGGTCTCCACTATGGACTGCGCCCCCACAGACAAACCCATCCCCGTCATCGACCACAACTCCGCAGACGATTGCACACCCGCCTTCGAACGCAGCCCCACAAACGAATGCAGCCCCGCAGACGAACGAAGCCCCACAGTCGAACGCCTCCGGCGGGCAGACAAACTTCGCGCACCTGCCGTCGAATGCGCCTGGGCAAACAAACACGCCCCTGCCTACGAACTTCCCTCCACCACGGGATGCGCCTCCACCATCAAATGCGTCTGGTGGACTGACCAACGTGCCCGCGCTGTCAAACGCAGTTCCGCAGACAAACGCGGTTACGAATGAAGCCACACAGACGAACGCGCCGTCTGGGCAAACAGACACGCCCCTGCATCCAAGCATTCCTCCGCCTTGGGGTGCGCCCCCGCTGTTGAATGTGTTCCCGTCATCAAACATGACCGGTCAACAGACGAACCCGCTGCCGCACACAAGCATTGGCCCACCGACAAACACACCGTTGCAGACGAACGCTTCAACACAGATGGGCAGGCATTCGCAGACCGCCCTCCTGCAGGCGCACCCTTTCCATGCGAATGTATCCCCCCCAGCAAATTTTTATCTGTCCCCTTTCACAACCGCGCTTTCGTCTGCGCTGAAACCGGCAATTCCTTCACAAACCGACCTCGCTCGTCTCTGGGGGAGCTCGCAGCCCGGACCTCCTACGCAATCGCATCTGCCGTCCGGGCCCGACGAGCCTATGCCACTCGCGAACCAATGCAACCCAGACCCGCTTGCCAATCCACCTTGGTCTATGCCTCCCGAAAACCAAGACCAGCTCATGCTGCCAGTAAATCAGCACCCAGAGCTTGCGCCTCTCAACAACCATAACGAGGCCACGCTTCTCGAGGGGCAAGACCAGATCATGCGTTCCTTTCATCCTATCCAACATAGCGCGCCCATACCACACCAGCACTCGCAACCTGCGCAACCTCCTCTGCCCTCTTCGTTTGCGGCGCCCATGTTCCCCAGAGTTCCATACTCGGTTTCGCCGATGGCAGCCCAAATGTCGGGAACGTTTGGAGTCTTCCTGCTGGAAAAGCTTCAAGAGAGCCATGACCACCTCGACAATAAGATAGACAATTTGGTGGTCGAACAGAGAAGTATGCAAGATCGTATCAGGTGAGTTTATATGCGTTTTCCCTCATATCATGACTGATCGATCAAATGGTAGATGCGAACAGGACGCTAAGCAGGCCCAGCTAGTGTACGTCCCTTTTCTCGCATCGTTTACAAGTAACTGATTTATTTGCAGCGCTCAGTTCGTGGCCGAGGTTCGATCACTGGTCACTCCAACTCAAGCAACATCAAGTCAATCGTCATCAACTTCGGTGTCGACTTCAGCGGCGTCAGTGGCAAAATCAGCCACAGCGTCCACATCGTCAGCGACAGTACCGACATGGTTCAAACCGGTACTTCCTTCGAGAAGCCAACATTCTGCACCCGCGTCGTCGTCACGAGTACCTTCGTCTTGTTCGGCGGACAAGAAGCTCAATTCAAAGACGACGAACTCTGAAGACCTGCCACCTCTATCTGCCGTCTACGATGAGATTAGTCTGGACAAGCTGCAGGTATGTTATGATTCCGCCATCTATCATCTCACACTTATCCTTTACAGAAACTCACGCGCAAACATCTGCAAACTATGCTCAGATTCAAGTCATGGCCCGACTTAGTCAAGCGTTGCCCACCTCTGACCGAGGCAGAAATGGACAGAATCCTCGGTGTCCCCGGTGAAGATATGCTGGTCGACGTCGTCGGTTTCCGCATCGACTTCATTCAAAGTTGGACTACGTTCCTCCTGAATCGAGATGCTCGGGCGGTTTTCTGCTCCAATCTCCACCAGGCTTTGCAAGGCGGTACCTACAAGCTTCAACCTGAAGGTCTCGCTGCACGCGTCACTCTCGATCAGGTAAGCTCCTCTATTTTGTCTCTCTTCGGCGCGTTCTCAGCTGTCCTCCAGATTGGTCAACTTATAGACGCTCACATGAAGCACTGCCGGCGCAAGTATCGTGAACATATGCGCGACCCGAACGCTGACTCGGACGTCGATGATGAACAAGCTTCGAAGGCGCTCAAACAGAAGCTGAGGAGGGCCGCGAATGCACGCAACCAATCCGTATGTACTGTCATATGACGCCGTTTCGTGCTGCTGCTCATAACACCTGTTTAGCTCCTCGAGATTCGCGTGTTTGCCGTTACGTATCTTGGGCTCGAGCGACACTTCGTTCTCATTGACAAGCTAGAACCTCGTCACATGAGCAGCGACGAGATGGATCCAACCACCCTTCCTGGGTGCGCCAAGATCTTCTACATCATCGAGTGCCGTTGGCAGAGCCAAGAACTGAAGCTGTTCCTGCGCGGACTGGACGAAATCTACCACACCCACGTTCTGACCCGCGGAGGTGGCGGAAACCCGTTTCGCCAGAGGCAGGAGGCTCAGAACCCGAAGGTGGTGGATGGATGTGCGCCCGAAGGTTTGTGGCGCAATTGCTATGACAGGGATTGGTTGGACTCGCTCAAGCCGTATCAACGTCGTGAGCTGAACATCATCGATTCCCACTACAATTTTGACCTTACGCAGGAGTTCGACAGCGATGTAGTGATGTAGTGATAGTGGTTGAATACCGTCTTATTCTGTTATGAATGCATTATTCGGGCAATCATGCAAACACAACCAGCACCATGCTCGATGAACAGTCCAAAACGTCCGTCAGGTCGTGACGGTGTGTCACGTGATGCGGCATTCACCAAAGGCTTTCGTGGTTGCTTCCACTTGACCACCACCATGATTTTGACCGCCTCTACCCCTACACTTCCGCCACCCTGTGCTCTCGGAGCCCCCTCACGTTCTATCTGCGTCATTGCCATCTCATCGAGGGTGTCATCAACATCGCGATGGACACGGTTGTGATCTCGGCTGGGTGAGTTCGGACCAGATTCACCTGCTTTTGCCTTCTGAGGTTCTGCGGACATCGGCGCACCCTTCAGTGGCGACAATATCGAGTGTTCCACAAGACACTCTCAAGTTCAAGCTCGTATCGACGAGATATCAGAGAGCAGTATAGAGCTGGTCCGCAGAATCTCGATGCTGAAACGGGAACAGGTGCGTATCAGCCAGCTCGATGTCTCCCAACTCTTGTGGTAACGGTGCACAAGGCTAGAATGGCAGCTCGAACGACCACGCTGGAAGACAAGGTCAAGGAGACTCACGAGAAGATTGACAACGTATCTCAAGTTTTGCGGCGGGTGCTATCGGACACCAAAGGTAAGTCACAGCGCATATCATGTGTGCTGTATGTTCACAGTATGTTGTGCAACTTCTCAGAGCACGCAATGCAAGAGAGGCAGCAGACCCATGACAATTTGGATCGTTTGGCGCAGACGGTCAACAGTCATGCTAACAGCATCGCGCAGCTGACGCTCGAGCTGAATGTACTCAAATCTCAGCGACGCAGTGACCAGCTCAGAACCGACCGGCTCGAGCTCACCATCGATTCCTTTTATGCCAGCATCTCAAGTGTATCAGCCGCAGTGCAATGCATGGAACAGGCCATCACACGGCTCGAGATTACCGTCGAACATACCCAAGCCGTTGTCGACGAACTTAGGGGCTCAAACACCGAAGATCTCCCCATTTTCGTGCGTGATGAATCGTCGAGAACTTTGGCCGAAGAGGTGGTGGTCTCTTCTGCCGCAGAACCTCTGTCATGGCCCAGGGAAAGCGGTGAGTCATTTGACATAAATTCACCTTGGTGTCTGACGCGATGTGGCATGGGCGATTTGTGGTCGATGGCCAGCCATTGTCTCTCCGGCTTTACGCTATCCTGTATCAAGCTCAGAACTTGACTCGTCGTCCAGCATCGCATCATCCCACCTGTTCGAGAAGGAACTTGAGCACGCATCCCCGGGTGACGATCGTGCGGCGCTTCAGTGGCTCGTCGTTGTCCTGAACGAGGCGGAGAAGATGGGTAGTATGCTCAGTGCACTCGTACCTGTCAAGCAGACGTGGATGGTAGAGGTGAGTCTTTAGCTCTGTTTGATTATGCCCGCAAATGCGCTAAACGTCCGTCGCGCGTCTCCCACGACGAAGGGCATCGCGCAGGTTATACTCATGTCCTACTCCACCGCAAGCGTGATCACACATCTTTCGAAGTTGGCGGCGGAGTGTGTGCCGTTCAGGGTTGAAGGCATAGTGGCCACGGTACTCTGATCCTTCGACTCATCTCCCATCAACATACTGATTCCTGGTTTCCGCAGGTTGCATCTTGGTCCAAGTTGAAGCAGAATTGTGGCCAAGCGCGGCCAGTACTCGTTGCTGCCACCATCGTCTGTATCACCGCTGCGTTGCTGTACATGTGCGAACAATGCCACCACGATGTTCGTAGTACTGTAAACAGCCGGCCTTTATGGGAGCACGCCCGCATGCTAAGGTAGAAGATATATGTCGATGTATTGTTGCGCGAACAAAGGCTTGATTATCAAATTGGAGGCTTTCAACCATCTACGCGCACGTTAGTCCACGTCTCCTGTCCTCCGTGCCACAGAACCACCCCCTCTATGCCGAAGCAAAAATCCAAACGTCCATGTGTCTGCTCAAAATGCTCTCTACACTCTTATGTCGACGAATACGGCGTCACCTGCCAGGGCGTTATGCAGGATGCTAGTGTGATCCGGCGCCACGAAAATTCGGACAGAATGCTCGCAAGACAACGCGGTATTCAAGCAGAAGTTGCGACTGAAGCTTCCGAAGCCGTCCAGGCTGCAACAAATTTAGTCTTTTTGGCGACTGTCGGCCAAGACGTACTGATGGCCGAGCCCCAAGACGAGGCAGTTATTGAGAAACCGGCGCCAGCGCCCGAGCCACCGTCACCACCACCATCCAATCCACCGACCAACCCCCCCGTCCAGGCGAGCGAAACCGCTGCTGATATTGTACGTGATTTTTGCTGCACTCTGTCTCTCATCTAACGGAGAATAACGCAGCAACAAAATGTCCATCACAGTGTTCAGACGCGTCTCACTGTTCTCTCCCTTATTGAATCGCGACTTGCCCACCATCCCTCCATCCCTCTTCATGCCATTCATATCACATTCCCCGCCTCTCCAAATTCTCTTGAGGACCCACCCCCTACCATTGAGCCCACAACCCGTGCAAATCAGGAGATCATAAGATCGCGCGAATGGCTCACTTCAACCCGTGCAATGCTTGCCAGGCTTCCTCAATTACACGACACCAACGCGGACGGCATGCTCGCCTCACTGACATGCCGGATACATGATCGACTCAAAGCACTAGAGAAGAGTGTGAAGGAGTCTTGGGAGCTTGAGAAGGTGAAGGGCGGACTATATGATCTGTCTGCGGATGGGACATGCGGTCCGCTTATATTCAACACCAGTGAGTAGCGCAATACCTCTCCCAACTCTTTCATAACGTCAAACCTGCTATAAAGGCACATCACGGCGTCCCAATTTGCAACCGTTCATCGCCGCCGCGCTCGTTATGGCCACCATCTTGCACGCCATTGCCTCTGTCTCCCAGACCCAAATGACCTTCATTCTCGCGGTCGTCCGGGTCGTCCTATCCGGTGCCCTTATGTTCCCCGGCTCCGCGAACACGCTCACCCCTGAGCAGGAAGAGCTTGTGAAAACCGTGCCTACAGATGTACGAGCCGCATTCAAACTGTTGAACATCGGTCCAGACTATGTCCGGTACGCATGCTGTCCTGCGTGTTTCGCCATCTATCCACCAGATCCGTCCAATCCCAAAGATCCCTACCCTCACGTCTGCGACTTTCGCGAGACCAACAAGAAGCCATGCGGAACCCCTATAGTTGTGCGGAACGGTGGCCAGTTGCCTCCCTTTGTCTACATGGCCGTCAAGACGTTTCCCTTCCGAAGTGCTACGTCCTGGCTCGCGTCACTTCTATCCCGTCCAGAGATCGAGCGTGTCCTCGTCGATTCATGGAAACAGCCCGTTCCACCTGATTCCAAGTGGTCCGATATCTTCCAGGCTCCTGTCGTCCAGCAATTCTTAGGTCCAGATGGTCAGCCGTTCTCGATGGAGCCACACGGGTCAAGTCATCTCATTTTCAGCCTGTTCGTCGACTGGTTCAATCCGTTTGGGAACAAGCAGGCCGGAAAGTCTCATTCGATTGGCGCGGTCTATCTCGCCTGTCTCAACCTCCCACCCCACCTTCGATTTCGCCCCGAGAACGTCTACCTTGCCGCTATCATTCCAGGACCTAAGGAGCCATCCCTTCATCAGCTCAACCACGTTCTCCGTCCGCTTATTGACGACTTTCTCATCCTTTGGACCCGTGGAGTTTATCTCGATCGTACTTCCCTCCATTTCACCGGTCGCCTTGTCCGCGCTGCGATCATCCCACTCGTCTGCGACCTTCCGGCCATGCGCAAAGTTGGTGGGTTTGCAAGTCATGCGGCCAAGCTCTTCTGTTCGTTCTGTCGTCTCGAGAAGCCAAACATCGATAATCTCGTACGACCATGGCCCACGCGGACAGCCGATGAACACCGCAACCTCGCGTCCCTCTGGCGCGATGCTCCCACGGAGGCGGATCGGAAGTCCCTCTTCGACCGACATGGTATCCGGTGGTTGGAGCTACTAAGATTGCCGTATTGGAATCCAGCCCGCTTTGCAGTTGTCGACGCAATGCACAACCTGCTCTTGGGTAATTTGCGTCATCACTGCATGGAGGTATGGGGAATCGACGTCAAGGGGAAGGTTTCCACGGATTCTGCGAAGAAGGTCTCCGCGCACACACCAGAACAGCAAAAGAAATCCCTTCAGCAGCTTCGGGAAGGTGTTCGATGTGGTTCGGCGACGGCGCTGGGGAAGATCCGCGTCGGGTATCTCGCAACGGTCGCTCAGATGAACAACCTCTCACCTGGATCGCGTGTTACCAAGAACCACTACATCCAGGCGCTGCTTCAATGGGTAAGTTTGGTTCGTCTTTCCTTTCAGCGATGTGTCTAATTCCCCACGGTTCAAGGCGAAAACCCATACCATCGACCAGCTCGTCATGCCGCCCGTGCTCGATGAAGACACCGATGACTTCCACCTTGCCAACGGTCCCTACGACATCTCCAAGTTCCGAATTCTTACTAAGGACGTGCTCAACACCATCCGTCGCGATCTCGCGCGTACGACGTTCCCTTCTTGGTTAAACCGCCCTCCTCATAACTTTGGCGATCCGTCTCATGGCAAATTGAAGGCCGACCAGTGGCGAACGGTCTGCACTGTCAGTCTCATTATCACTCTCGTGCGTCTATGGGGTCACGCCACGGAGTTCAGCAAAGATCATGCAGTGCTGCAAAACTTCATGCACCTCGTTTCCGCAGTGGAACTCGCCACTCGACGATCCATGGATGCTGAGCGGATTCAGCGATTCGATGATCATATGCTTGCTTATCTCACCGGTATCAAGGCCATCTTCTCTCACCATCTCGTTCCAAACCATCACCTTTCCCTCCACCTTGCGGACTGTCTCCGCTCCTTCGGCCCGTTCAAGGCTGGTGGGGCTTTCCGTTCGAGCGGTATAACGGCCTGTTACAGAATTTCAACATCAACAATCTCACAGGTAAGAGCATTCACTTCTTCGATACAATATCTTGCTGATGCTGGTGTACTCAAATAGCGACAATTCCATTAACTTTCATGCACGGCTTCTATGCAGGAGCCGACGCGCGAAGACTCATGGAGACAACACAGTGGCCTGACTCGCCAGTCTATCGTGACATGGTAGACTCGTATCGACATGCCTTCCAGGACGTAGTACGAGGAACTCGAGTAACAGACACCCTGTCTATGGCCAACGACGGACACGCCTTCAACGCACTGTACGACGAAGAGAAGGCAGTTTTACTCGATCAGGTCTTGTACGAACAGCTCTTGCAGTGGTTCCCATCTACGGTTGCATCCCACTATGCCCCATTCGATAACACGCTTCCACGACTCTCTCCATACATTCAACGCCTCCCACGTGTCTCTCATCTAGGCGTCACCTTCGCCACCGAACGCTCCGGCCGACGGAACTCGTACGTGATGGTCAGCAACAGTGCAACTCAGCCAGCCGCTGGACAGATATCCGACCTCTTCCTGCACCGTCGCCTCCAAGAAGGTTCAACTCACGTTGCAGCGTTCGCTGTTGTAGACCTGTTTGATGAACTCGCCGACACTGATGCAAAATTGGATCCTTGGCGCGGGTTTCCTGATATCAACACTCGTCTGTACTACCACTCCTCTACCCGACGAGTCATCGTACCCCTTCATCATATCACTTGCCACGCCGCTACCTTCCAGTTTGAGCCTGAAGATATCAAGCAACCCTGCATTGTTGTTCGATCTCTTGACAGGGTATGTTGCTCTTATTACAAGATCTGTTCGACCAGGCTAACATCGGGTTATAGGGTTGAATCATCAGCGGCGGTGGCAAGGTCGGCGCCCTCGCGTGAAGAGACTCGTGCGGTCCATACAGTGATCACACAACCGGCGGTTGCACGGTCAAGCCGCATGGTCAGCGTGAGGGCGCAACGGACAGAGCGAAGCAGGCCATTCGCTCTGGTGGCGCGCACAGGACGAAGAGTGCATGGCCGCTCAGGTGGGATAGGCGTGTGGTAACCTCACGTGGAAGCAGGGGCGGGAGGATAACGGAGTGGTCATCCTTGGGCTGTTGATCAACTTGACCGTATGCATATCAAGCAGCCTTTCTGTACGGCTTGTGTGTAGGCCAATCGGAGGTCTACACCTCACTGAGGATGGGTATGCTCACGGGGACAGTCGAGATATGGTATAGCGAAGCGGAAGTCTACCTCGCGCGCGGTGCAATAGTCGAGGTATAGCGAAGCTGCAGGCAACCTTGCGCGCGGAGTGATAGTTAGGGTATAGCGAAGGTACAGGCAACCTCGCGCGCGGGGCGATAGTCGGGATACAGTGAGGCGGAAGTCTACCTCGCGCGCGGGGCGATAGTCAAGGGATAGCGAAGCAGCAGGCAACCTCGCGCGCGACGCGACAGCCATGTGCTAGTCTACCTATCACGTGGGGCGATAGTCGGGGTATAGTCAGGGTATAGTCATGTGCAAGGAAAGCTATCCAGCGGGGGGGCAGCGATGCGCAAGGCAGACAAAAGTCTAACTGTCGCGTCGCGCAACAGCCATGTGTCCATTCAAGACAAAGGAAACCTATACCATCGCCACGACATGGCTATCGCCCCGTGGGAAATAGGGCACCTGCCCACAGTGTGGGCTATGGCAACAGGTGTCCCTAGCGATTCACTGCTGCTCCTCAAGGTCCACTCCGAGTGGTATGGCTGGACGTCCACAAAACCCTTCTTGTCTATCACTGCCGTCACCGCACCCCTTGCTCCTATGAGTGCTCCCACCGCTCCCATCGCTCCCGCCCCAGTACTATGTCTTGGACTGTCGGTCGATGACAATGCTAAGATTGGATTGTACATGTCGCGCCCTATTGCCGGAGGAGGAGGGGCCCGATCGCTGGTCGTCATCGCCAAGGAGAAGAATGAGGGCAAGTTGTTTTCTGAGCTGACTCGAGAACAGAAGCAAGAGGTCGTTGACTGGCAGATCAGCGAGTACAAGTGGCTGAACGACCAACGGCGCCAACGCGTATACTCGACAGCCTGTATGGGCGCCCTTGTCATATCTAGCAAGTCTCCCACACCGGCTCGGCTCTCTTGCGGTGAATGTCTAGCGATACTCAAGCTCGACTCCTTCCGGCGTGCCATCTCGCGACCAGTTCCCGAGCCCCACAATTTCAAGTATGTAAACTTTATATACCGCGATGAAGCTCTAGGCAAATTATACGCGAGAATCACCGGACTACAAGACCTCCTCAACCCGAAATCGAAGACATCTACGTCTCCATTCGTACGCTATGCTTTAGGGGCCATCCGTGGAAAGTTCAAGAACGGGCAGGAGCTTCTGGGAGGTATTCTTGAGGGCTTCATGACGATTGAAGACAAGGAACGGCGCGGGGTTGGCAAGCAAGGCTTCAAGTGGTCGGAAAAGTGGGCCCGCATCTGCCATGTGATCGCCATTGACAGCCCGAAAGCGTACCGTTCCCTAGCACAGTATCTTCCTGTTCCTGGTTTGCGGGGTCTACAGTGAGTTATTTCAACTGTTCGTCGTCTTATTACAATCGGCTAAACTGGGAGCTGTGTTTGCGCAGAATCAAGGCAGCCACCCAGCCAATGATTCCGTTCGAGATCTCTCCGCGTTGCTTGGACATGACTGTGGACGTTCTGAAGGGATATGATTACCCAGGGCTAGTCTCCCTTTGTGTCGATGATACGAAGCTTCTTGCGGCTGTCAGGCTCCATTACGACCCATCCACCAAGACAAGTTTCTTGATCGGAGGTGTGGACGGCCCCATCGCCGTCGCGGACCCCGACAACATGCAAACTGCTTTAGAGCTCGCTAAGTCACTGGCTGCTCCAAAGGTGCGCTGCTGGTATGACAGATTGTAGTACGCATCCCTGCTCACAGGTATACTTTCAGATGCGTCTGTGGTGCGTGCAAGTCCCGATGCCATCAATCATGCCACACATTGTGGCCGCTGTCCCCATCGCCAACAAACTCAAAGCTCCGGACCTAAACAAGATGTCGGAAGCTGTTCTCCAAGGCCTACTCGAACGCGATGTTCCTGTTGTATCCTACGTACATGATGGCACCTCGGTCGAACGTAAGGACCAGCTCATGTCCTATAACCACGCGGACTCCTACTGCGACTTCTACGTTCCCGCTCCCACCGGAAAAGGCTCCGAGTACAGTTTGAAGATCAAAGTCGCATGTTTTGGAAAGCACCTTGTCACGTTTCCGCAAGATCACGGACATGGGCGGAAGACCGCTCGCAACAACCTCTTCAGTGGAGCGAAGATTATAGCACTCGGGAACTTCACTGCTCTCTACCGTCGTATCCATCAAGTGGCCTTTGAGCCTGACAGCCCGCTCTACCATCGGGACGTCGAGAAGCTTGATCGACAGGACGACAATGCAGCCGCCCGACTCTTCTCTGCGAGCACTCTCAAGTACATCATCACACACCATCCAGAGTACTTGGGAGAGATCATCTATCTGTTCATCTTTGGCGAGCTCATCGACGCCTGGCAGAACCGGAAGATGACGCACACAGAGAGGGTTGTTCCAATCCTACGTGCGTGGTACTTCATGAATATGTGGCACGTATTTTTGGAACGCGCCGGCTATGCACGTGGCCTGTATTCTTTATCCCATGAAGCCTGGGACATCTTCCGCATCCTCATCGAGTCATATCTCGCCCTCCTCTTCATTCATCGTCACTACAGTGCCTCTCGTGGCTTCCCCTTCCCATTCTGTCCCTGGCTGCACTCTACCGAAGCATGTGAACACTCCTTTGGACTCGCTCGTCAAAATGTCAAAGACTTCACGGCCATGGACTTCTACTACATGATCAAGCACATCCAGATCAAGCAGGCCGAGGCGTTTCGACTTGGACAGACCACAGATCCACATGCGCGGGCTAGCGGCTACAACCATACGTACGTCGACTCCCGTGACGTCGATCTCTGTGCTCTTGCGACATATCCCGACGACGACGCAATCCAGAAGGCCGCGGACGAGGCGTTCGCGGAGGCGGAATCGCTTGTCGTGCTTCTTGGGATTGCCCCGAGTGAGGCACATTTCCCCCGACCTTCGACATCGACCAGAACCTCTGGGCCCGTTCCGAACTCTCTCAGTGACCTCCTGAACGTACCGCCCTCTGGCCATCATGTATCCTCGGAGGAGAACGTGGTTGACTCGACTGAGGAGCTCGCCACAGCTGACTCTGAAGAGTCGGTGGATAGCGCCAACGAGCTGCAAGCTGCTCTGGATCGCGAGGAAAGCGCAGGGACGAACATGAAGCGCTCATCTCAAGAAGAGGACGGCGTTGAGAACGTCATGCTCGCGGCCGTGTCCGTTGCAGTGGATGACATGTGCAAGGTGTACGTATTTCCTCCCGTTTTCCCTTCTGCTGCGTTCTCATTTATACCGCTGGGCCTTAGTTCTGAGCTCGCGGAGGTCGATGCTGCACCACTCGAGGAGGCACGCGCCGAGGGATGCGCTGCTATCCGGGAGGGCATGGGGATTGCAGCTACAGCTCCTCTCCCCAAGTATGTCCCACTAGTCACCTCGAGCTCCCAGTCCAATCTGCCGCCGCCTGCTCCCCTCCCTTCTCGCTTCCTTCGAGTCTTGAAGCCACAGCAACTCGAACTAAAGCATCTGGTTGAGCTGCGCGTCCGCCATCAGACACGGCAAGAGGCAGACGGGGTACGCATACGAAGCTCGAAGGCCGACTCCGTGCAAATCGACTCCGACACTGATAACGGGGGAGGATCGATTAGCCCGAAGTCAATTCGTAGTCAGATCTTGGCGAAGTACTACCAGGTGTCGCGCGAGCAGCGTATGGAGCGCGGAGCAGGTACTGGCGTGGAGCGACAAGTGCGGTGGAAGGGTGACATCGCGTCGGGTCTCACAGGCAACAGCGCGAATGCGGCCGCCTCCGCTATTGCGCGAGCGGGTGGAGTACGTATCATAGTCCTTCTGTCCGGGTTTCTTGCATTCCTGATTGTGTTGTTTGTTCAGGGCGCGAGGTTGCGGAAGAGCGTTTTTGTAAACAAAGCGGAAGTCCCACACGCACTGCAGCAGACCGTGATCTCAGCGCGCATCACACAGTTGAAACCCCTCCGAATTGACGACTTTGTGTTCGTCTTCCATGACGGCTGTATCAAGCTTGCTAGGGGTAAGCATCTCCGACGGCATCTCAATCCCTATTGGCTGAATCATTCCGATCTAGTGGATGCACTGTACTCGAAGACAGGCGGGAAGAATGCCACGCACGCATCCGTCGATGCATGTTCAAACGTTGCGGCACTATCCAATGTCGGTGTGGTCCTATACAAACACTCGCATCAGCACCACTTCCTCAATGCGTTGACACCAAACTTCCACACGAGACAAATCGCCCTGCTTGCCGGACCCTTCGTGCTGTGTGCCCTCGCGACTGCGCCAACCCCAGAGGCCAACGGAGTTATGACCACTCTGTCCGACTCTTTGCTTTTCGCAGAGCTCGCCGATGCAGAAGAAGCCTTCAAGGTTGCGGCCAAGGAGTTCAACAAGAAGCGCCAACAGGCCGACGAAGCTGAGGATGACGTGACAACGGAGTGATGGATCCGAGTTTTCCCTATGCTGTAGAATGGACCTCGTTTGGACCTCGTACGAAAATACAGTACATGTATGCTCAAAAACCGCTTGTTTTCACGGGTTTACACGTCTATGAACATGACTACATGACTGCCGAAAGTCCGGACATGGCAACGCCTGGGCTTCGGACGGTCGCCGAAAGTCCGGACACGGACCCCCAAAAAGTCCGGACACGGCGGTCGAAGATGTGGGCGTCTAGCGGCGGTCCCTCTATAGGCGCTTTCGGGGGTCCTGCATAAGCCAGCATCCACCACGTTTTCATCAAAGGCACGACAGGGCCGTTCTGATCCCCGTCTTGCCGCCCGGGTTTCTCGCCGACGCCACCAAAACGGCGCAACCGTCGGTATATCTACGCGGCGTAGGGAGCTCGTCCCCGCTCGCGACTGCGCCGGACTCGGTTCTCACTGACTGACTGGCTGATTGGACCTGGCCTTCTGACATGAACTCCTCCACAACTCCGGCCGGCGCCGCCGGCGGGCTTCTGCAACTCCCGGCTCTGAACAACACCTTCGGCGCGCTGGTCATCGGGACGTACGTTGCCTTGATGTGAGTTCTGCCGTTGTGTGGTTGAATGCGTACTGACCTGCCCGCGACACAGCCAGTATGGGTGGATGCTCTACCAGGGATATCACTATTACAGCTTGTACAACAACGACGTACTGACGCTCAAGCTGCTGGTACGTACCGGGACTCTTCTCGGGCCAACTCATGGATAACATCGGTTTGACGTCGACGCCGTAGGTCGCCCTTGTACTGTGAGTCCTCATGCTTCCGCGGCAGGGGCGATACACCCTTAAAACCTATGATGTTCGCAGCGCTCTGCAGACGTTCCACACGTTTCTAGGCATGCATGCTACGTGAGTGGATGATGACCTCCTCCGGTCATCCGTTGATCGTGCTAAATTATAATCAGCTATTACTACCTTGTTTCCAACTTTTTCAATCCGATTGCGCTTCAAACTGCCGTGTGGTACGTTGTTTTGAAGTTTCGTACGTCTTCAGACAGTGACCAATGACGAGCGCGTCGATGTAGGTCGATCAATGTGAGATCTGGCGATGAGAACCTGATTTCCCCCCAGACACTGACTAAACGCGTGGATTTCAGTCGATGGGCGTAACAACAGTACGGTCTGAGACTCGGCCTCTTCTCTGATTCTCGGCTGATACAAGCGATATACGTCAGGGTGCTACGATATTTCTCTCACAATTGTGCGTTATTCTATACGTTCGTATCGTGTTGGTATTAGCTGATTCCCTGCTGCTAGGTTCTTCCTTCGCCGTGTATATAAACGTTCGTCAATGCAATCGTAAGGTCATTCAGCGCTCTAATAATCGACTTTAGTTGGGCGGAACTTCATCCCTATCGTGATCCTCGTGGTACGTCCTATACATAATTGCCCCTCACTCGCTCGATCTTCAATACGTATCAGCAGGGTTTGCTTCTTCTGTCGGAGCTCGGTGCGGCCATCTGCTCTCGCATTTATAGTCGTATATCCTAGTAACCTCTACTTCACCACTCCTAGGCTTGGCGATTGGTATGTTCTATCCGCACCGTGCGGCGGATGCATCATCTCATCGCCGTTGATCTCCAGCTGTTACTGTCGACATTTTCGTCAGCAGCACTCTTCATAACTCTACCCAATCGGTGCACCGTCTCCATTCAACATATCAATTGGTATCTGATTTGAATCCCGATCCGTTGCGCAGTGGATGAACTCGGCTGGCGTCGGAATCTGCTCCCTTGCAGACTCCATATTGACTGCCACGTTGATCTTCTGGTTGCGTCAGAGTAGGACAGGAATGCCCAGGTATGCTCGCCGCTCCCTTGGCGTGTTGGGAGTATATCGGCGGCTAACACGTACTTCAGAACGGACTCGATCATCGACGTCCTGACGGTGTACGCGATCAACACCGGGATGCTTACTCTGTGAGTCAAGCGGCACCGATTATTTGATTGAGCATGTCGACTGCAGGTTAACACAGACCATCCCAGCATCGTCAACACACTCTCCTTCATTTTGGTACGCCCACAAGTCTGACGTCTTGTGGTCAACCGCTCACTGCCTGAAAGGCTCTGAAAATGCCGAACAACCTTATCTACGTCGCTATCGACTTCATCGCGACGAAGCGTGAGTGTGCCTGCAGGCTCACAGTGTCAGATGACTGACGCCGAATTTGTTGCTCCAGTGTACGCAAACACCCTCCTGGCGGTGTGAGTACTCATGAAGTACTGCTGGCGTCATGTTGCAGCTGATCTCCGACCAAGGCTTCTCTCGCGACGATACCTGGCTGAGCAAACACCCGGCGGCATCGTCCAGTCGACGTCCATCGACCTCGGCTCGACCAGGGGCATGCGCTTCACGTACAATCACCACATCAATGACGACGGTATCACGGTGGATGCGAAGAGAGCTGCCACCTCCTCCGAAACCCATCCGTCCTTCTTCCAGGATGGTGGCAGCAAGTTCAACCACACCATGTAGATTACGCAAGTCAGAAGTCTTGTGATCGTCCATGTCTGTTGTTATTCCATGTTTATTGTAACTATTCTGCGCATGTCCTATGGCGAGCTTGGATTTTGTCCACGTACGATCATTGTGTGCCAAAATATAATGTTGCTGCCAGGACTTGAACTCGCGGCTTTGATACCGTCCGGACCGCCTGAGCCGGCTACAGGCTCCGATGCCGGGTCGACGCGCGCGGCGGCACCGCGAGACTGTACCATACACTGCGGGCAGGTGCCCTATTTCTCACGGGGTGATAGCCATGTTGTAGCCATGTTATAGGTTTCCTTTGTCTTGAATGGACACATGACTGTCGCACGATGCGACAGCTAGGCTTTTGTCTGCCTTGCACATCACTGCCCCACCGCCGGATAGTCATCCTTGCACATGACTATACCCTGGCTATACCCTGACTGCCGCCCCACGTGACAGGTAGACTATTGCATGGCTGTCCCGTCGCGCGCGGGGTAAACTGCTGCTTCACTATACCTAGACTACCTATTGCCCCGCGCACAAGGTTGCCTGCCGCATCGTTGGGAGGACTTGCCGAGGTCATGGTGTCAGGTGGTGGAGCTGTCGTCGGGGACGAGGCTAGTGCGCGCGGACCTGAACCGACCCGCGACCATAGGCGCCTTTGGGCCTGAGAATAGCTACCCGCGGGAATAATCGAAGCATAGCGCAGCGGAAGTCTACCTTGCATGTGGGGCAATATTCGAGGTATAACGAAGCGGAAGGCAACCTTGTGCGCGGGGCAATAGGTAGTCTAGGTATAGTGAAGCAGCAGTTTACCCCGCGCGCGACGGGACAGCCATGCAATAGTCTACCTGTCACGTGGGGCGGCAGTCAAGGGTATAGCCAGGGTATAGTCATGTGCAAGGATGACTATCCGGCGGTGGGGCAGTGATGTGCAAGGCAGACAAAAGCCTAGCTGTCGCATCGTGCGACAGTCATGTGTCCATTCAAGACAAAGGAAACCTATAACATGGCTACAACATGGCTATCACCCCGTGAGAAATAGGGCACCTGCCCGCAGTGATACCTCCTCATCCACCTCCTCACTACTTCCTCAGATCTCGGACCTCCTCCAATGCTGGCCACCAGGCTTCGTTGCGTCGCACGTCCTCCCTCCCTCTCCGCCGCCAAGGCAGCTCGATCATCGACACACGGCGCGTCCAGCGCGCCACGCGCTCTCCAAGCCGCACGCGTTCAAGTCCAAGCACGGCACGCAAGCTTTCGCTCTGGCCGCAACTACGTCAGATTCGACGGCAGCAGCAGCTCGCGGAACATCCCGCGATGGAACGACCGGCGTATGCAGATGGTGTACGGCGTGACCGCGGCCGGCGTCCTGTACTATGTCTCGCAGTACGTATGTCGCCGCCCTTTCCTCCCCTTCCTCCCCCTCCCCGCCCCCGCGCCCCGCTGGTTCCCGCACAGGTGGCTAGGACGCTCACGCACGCCTTTAGTCTAGAGCAAGTGCCAGAATCGGGCCGCTGGCGGTTCATGGACGTCTCACTAAGCACTGAGCGCAAGGTACGTCCCCCGCACCCCTCTGCACCCCCACCCCCAACCTGCATCCGCTCACCCGCCCCACGCGACATTCCGCCAGATGGCCGAAGAGGCGCACAAGATGGTCCGAGACGAGTTCCATGACAAGGCGCTGCCCCCGAACCACCCCGTCACCCGGCACGTCCGGCGCGTCGCCTCGCAGATCCTCGAAGGCTCCGGCCTCGGCCAGCTCGATGTTGCGGAGCCCGGCGAGGCAGGCCAGACGCCGCGCGGTGCGTGGAGCGCGGACGGGGGCGCGCTCGATGAGGTCCCGCAGGATGCGGAGGGGACGCCGAAGTGGCGGCTGTACGTCGTCGACGCGCCGGGGATCCCGAACGCGATGGTCACGTACGGTGGGTGCACGCGGAGCGGCGGTCGAGGCTGAGCGCGTGCTGATGGGGTGGGGTTGTCAGGGTTTATTGTGGTGTTTACGGGCATCTTGCCGATAGCGAAGGATGAACATGGACTGGCCGCGATTTTGGGACATGGTGCGTGTGCTAGCTCCTTGGGCGCACGGTGAAGCCGCTGACCTTGAGGCTTTGCTTGCAGAGATTGCGCACACAGGTATGTGATATCCCTCTGAAGTGTGTCCGCATGCTCATCGCGCTGCTGGTCCACACAGTCGCACGACATATGTCGGAGTCGCAGTCAATGTACAGAGTTGTCTTGGTGTTCGCAACCCTGCTCGATGTGATCGGAATTCCGCTTTCCTCTGCTCTTGCGAATTTGATTCTTAGCTTGCCTCATTCTCGCACACAAGAAAGTGAAGGTAATCGTCATCTTTGCGCCGTTTACCGCGCATGACACCTGCTCATCCTCGTCTCTCTCAGCGGATACCATCGGCATGCGACTTTGCGCGAGAGCCTGTTTCGACCCCGAGGCGGTTCCCAGGTACTTGCCCCATCTTACGTCGCTCCTCGCACCCGCTCACCGTGGTCACATTCCCGCGCCAGCATGCTGACCAGGCTGGGCAAGCTGGAGGAAAGCGGCTCCAGCTTCGACTTCCTCAGAACACATCCGTCCTCGTTGAAGCGCGTCGCGGTATGCCTCGTGCTCCTTCGGCGTTCGTGAGGGGCCGTCATACTGATTTCCTTTCTCTTGCAGGCAACGCAGAAGATGCTGCCTGAAGCGTACGACATCCAGGCTTCCAGTCCACGGTGCGGCGGGCTGGTAGACCACATCGCCGCGTTCAAGGACAGGTGGAGATCGGAGCCCGAGCCCTCAGGTGGGGAGACGGAGGTGGTGTGGACTTGAGCGCACTCGTGTTAGCGTAGATTGGTTTAATAAATGAGACACATCTCACCCTACCCGCTTGAGCATTGTTGAGGAGGGCATCTGTGTGTGACACGAAGTAGCGCCGGTCTCGCCCAGTGGCGCCACGGCTTTGCATCTTTGACTTGCTCCATCATCCTCTCCCGTTTCCACTCTCGCCCCCGCAACACTTAGTTTATGCGAAGCCGCATGATGCACATAATGTCGCAGGAGATGCCATCGTCGGGATGGGAGTTTGAACGGAGGCTAAGGGAAGAGTCGGGGAAATTGCTTATAGGTGCGCACACAGCGCTCCCTATCCTCACCGTAATCTTGACCATGACTATTGTGGTAGCTCATGAACAGGCCCAACGGCCACTACAATGGCTCGGCATTGTCGCACCTCCGTAGCGAGAGCGGTACTAGCCAGCGGCTCGCAATCTCACTTCTTCGAGCCCTCAGTTCATCAGGCCCGTCCAATTCTGTCGCGCATCACCCGTGACAAAAAAGCGGGTCGGGATTCGGGTTCGCCCTTTCCTCGGAACCCGTGTCTCTCCTTCCCAGAGAATTGCGCCCACGGCCAGTTAACCTCGGTCCTCAACGCGTCTTCTTCGATGCGATTTGGTTACGCACACTTGGGACGCCGGAGAGTCAGAATCTATGAACGTACGTCTCACGCGTCAGTCAGCTTCAGTTCGAAGTTGGTAAGTTTTGCTCCCCCGGTTAACAGGCATCGCAGTCCTGCTGTGTCCGCACCAACGTGGATGTCTTTGTCTAGTCACTGTCAAAGTAGTGCGTTGCCGCCGGGAGGTCATGTACACACATACGAGTCCCTGATGAAAAGACGTATGACCATTGACGTATGAGAGTCCTCTAAACAACCAAACGAGTCCTATGATAACGGTGGTGGTATCGACACCATTCAATCATCCACATCAACGGAAACTCTTGTTCAGGATCCTGTCCCGCCTCTCCTTCTCAGCGCAACCGCCTTCCTTGACAGCCCGACCGCCTGCGTTGCTTCGCAGGCTCGCACGTACCAAGTAGGCACGGTTCCCATGATTTGCGTGCTCGTCGAACCGAATATCCCGGTCCAAAAGAGGGTCTCTAAAGTTCCCCACACTCCAGAAAAAAGCACCTCTCCTGCTTCAGTCGCGAACCCGACCACCGAAGCGTCCGGGGATAGCGTCCATTTCCTCACATTCGGTCTACCCTCGTGGCCAGGCACTTTGCACAGCGTCCCGTCCTCGAGCCTCCAGAGCCACCACTCCGACCCCACCGAGTCTCTGATCGCAACAACGTGGCCGTTGCTCGACAACTTCGCTCTCGCGAAAGTGCCCGTATGGGGGGAGAGGCCGCGGCGGCCGTCGAGGGAGGCGATCGTCGCGCCGGTGAGCGTGTCCAGGACGAGGGAAACCGAGGGGCCCATCGCGTGGAAGACCAACACGCGCGTCCCGTCGGAGGAGAAGGACGCGGCTTCGAGCGACTGGAGGTCCGCGGGGAGCCCCGCAGGTCGGATGGTCGCCGCTCCGTCGGGCGCGCCGACCGTAGCGGTGAGCAGGGTGCCATTTTTGCATATCACGACGACGTGTGGGCGGCGTTCTGGTTCGGGACTTGAGCCTGAGTGCTGGCGGAGGGCGGTCGCGTAGATGTCCGCGTTGGCGATATCTGGGGTCGAGCCGTCTTGGTATCGGAGTAAATGGGGCTCGCAGGAGCCATCGGCGAGCGTCCAGACGCAGATCGAGTTGGGGGAGAAGGGCAGTGCGACGTCGGAGAGGAGGTATCGCTCGTCCGCCGACAGCGCAAAAGTGCCCGTGTGCCGTCCATGGAACCAGCGTCCGGGAACATCGCCGGACGTCGCCGTTGAGATGGGAGGGGGTGCGAGGGTACGGAGGTGCGTGAGTACGAGAGCATCATAGATGTGGACATTCGCTGCCGAATCTTGAGCGAATATCCGGGTGCCGTCCTGAGACCATAAGAGTCTCATAACCAGGCAGTCCAAAGGAAGGACGATGCGCCCTACGGGTTGAAACTGATCTGTAGGTCTTGTCGAGGCAGTCTCGACCGGAAGAGGGAAGACAGTTATGTCGTGGCGCGATGCGATGGCCCAGTGCCTTTCAGTCGGACAGAACGCGAAGGGAGATGGTGACGTTTCGTAGTATTCCTGATCTCCGAGGCGGTACCAGTGTGAGGCATAGGGTGTTCCGGTTTGACTGTTCCACACGATGCATTCGGACATGCCCGGCGCAGACTCCGCCCGCAAGTCGACACCCCACTGCAGGGTGCTTGCTGCCCATCTCCCACTAGGAGAAAACACGAATCGACCCGGGTCTTCAGCATGGCCGTACTCTGAAATGGGATCCTCGTGGGCTGATTTGAGCGACACAGACAGGTATCAATCCGCGTGTGCATCATTTTCTCAGGGTAACTGGCAATACGCACACGAGTAGTCCGGGGGAGCGATACGCAACAGGCCTCTTGCTAACAACGGCGAGAATAGTTGTTCTAGCAAGGCTTTCCAACGAGGCATATGGTTCCGTTTGGGCCTCTCTATGACGCACGTCAGGCCTGTCGATTGGAGGCCGACGTGTTGCGATATCACTTGGATCAACTGCTGTACGATGGCTATCTGTTCTTGCGTCGAACCAGCGCTGTCCCAATACACTGCATAAGTCCGGAATATTAACGCAAACGAAAGAAGTGAAGTAGGGAGTTTGAGACAGGATTTGTAAAATCCGAAGTCGGGGCCATCGACGGTTTGCAGAACTGATAGATGCCTCAAGTCTGTGAGAAGAGAAATCTCGAAACCTAGTGCAAAGAGAACGTTAGCAGAGTACGCGTCAAATAAGCACAAACAACCCGCCAGATTCCACGATGGTGCAGCTGGGCAGCGTTATATCCAACAGTGACTCCTTGTTGAAGGTTAACAGCGCGGCACACTGTAGCTGAGTTGCAGACACCTCACAGCCTCGGGATCAACCACGAGGTCGGGTTCAAGTCGGACAATCGGAAGCCGCGCACCTCATCCAGATGTAGCGTTTGCAGGCCCCATCGATGCGCATTGGGCGTAAGGAGGGATATATTTAAAAGTCGTTTTTGAGATTCCAGACGATCCATCCAAACCTCCTTCAGCGCAGGAAAGGCACTGACAAGACGATGGAGATGCCGAGCAGTCTTGAAAGAGTAGTCCCGGAGGACGAGCTTCGTCACAGCACGATATTGTCGCAGACAAGCTAAAATCGTTCGCGACATCGGAAAATAAATGTGGGTGGAAGAAACCCGCCCGTGGAACTCCCATATGGTGATGTGGCCTAGGTGAGGAAGAAGGTCAACGATGGCGACGATCGGGAGAGGTACATCTGAGTGATCCTCCAGCCGGACGATCTGGACCATCAAGCACAGAGAGGTGTCGCCTGCGAGGGTATTGCAGATCGCGGGTAGCTGCTTGCGCTCTGAAATGATGAGTCTGTGATAGAGACGGTAGCGGCCTCGGGGAAACCATGACTTGCACACCCGGATGCAGCGCGCGACTGTGGTGAGATCACTGCGAGCGGCGAGGACATCGATGGTCACTTCGACAACACCGATGGGGATGCGCGAAGGGCTCATGGAGATATTTGACCGAGGTTGGAGAGTACTATGGTTCACAGGAAGGTGAGAGTAGGCAAGGTGAGAGTACCGAGGCAAGGACTCGAAGGCGAACCGCGGGGCGTTGCACCATGATCGGAGGTTGTCAGGGGACGCGCTCAATCAAATATGTATCGTCGGCCCGAAACATGGACGACTCCGACCAGGAACTGGGGCGGGAAGCCTCGGTAGTAGACTGGGCAAACCGCCACCATGAGGACCATGGTCGTGTCGTGAACCCAGAGATATCTTTCACCATGTCCCCAGCATGTACGTCGCATCGGCGCTCAACGAAACGCGGATCGTCGGTCCGTTCGGCTCCACGGTCATCCTTCTCCCCGGGCCGGCCTCTTGCGTTTCTGGCATCCTCTCTTTCCCTAGTCCTCGCCCCGTCGCCGTCATCCTCGCAAGTATCCCCCATTCTCCCCCGATACGCTTTCACATAAACGACTTCATATAGTCCTTGTGGCTGCATATCTTGAGCAGCCTTGGCCGGAACGAGCCTTTCCGCCCACACCCTCATCGACAAAACGCCGCGTCCACCAGAATATGGGATGCCTAGGAGAGACTACCATACCCCTCAATACCGGAACAAGACTTCGTCCATCGCGCGTTCAAGCACGCTCCGCCCCTTTATGGGTGCACCATGTTGGGTGTGCGCCCGCCCACCCTTAGCTTTGGCCAGAACTCGGGTGGGTCGAGTGCGCGATGGGCAAAACGCGGTAAGCCAGAGCTACATATCTCCCGCCTCGCGCGTCGCACGAACGCACGAACGCGCGCTCGCATCGCCCTTGATGTGCTCACGCAGGTAAACGGGAAGATGCCAGTCCACCCCCACCCGAGCGGCCGTTCGAGGGCATGCTCACCATCCACTCCGAGCTCTTCCCTATCGCGGCGAGCGAGTACAAGTTCGGCCGGTAGGTACGTGCGCGCGCTGCGTCTCCGACCTGTATGTCTCTGATGGTGGCGGCGCGCGGTGTAGACTATCGGAAGAAGAGGTGACGGTCACGCCCATGCTCGACAAGCTCCTGTGGCGGAGCGACGCGGCGGACAAGGAGCCTGTGCGTGCTCGCGGGGTGACGGGTGCGTGTCTCCTTCCCTCTCATGCCCTCTCATGCCCTCATTCAGACTGGCGGCTGGTGAGACGGCAGGTGTGGCACATCCCGTTCACGATCCACGTCCTCGCCGACGCGGGGAACATGGTCGACTGCGCGTGCCTCGCCGGCATCGTCGCGCCCAAGCACTTCCGAAGGCCGAAGGCCGAGGGTGAGGGTGAGGAGCTCACCGTGGTGCGTTTTCTTTTCCTCTTCACTCCATGATCTCCCTTTCCCTCTCTCCCTCTCCTCGCTGTGGCCCAAGTTCAGACCCGCCGCGCATACACCCAGCATCCCCCGTCGGAACGCGCGCCCGTGCCCTTGTCCATGCCCCGCACGCAGGCGTTCTACCCGGACTCGGACACACCGCCCCTGCCCGACCCGTTGCACCTTCAAGAAACGCTGAGCGAGGGGCTGCTCACCGTCGCACTCAACGCGCAGCGGGAGCCCTGCGTGGCCCAGAAGGCGACTGGTATATACAGGATCGTGGAAGCGCAGCTCGTGGTGGACTGGAGGGGAACAAATGTGGAGGTGCGGTAGCCGTCTGTGTTGCGTGTTCTGCATGATAATCGACTCAACTCATGTACGTGTACCTATATCACATGTAGGAGATCTTGCGTTCCCACCTTTTGGACTGCATGGCAAGATTAGTGAAGCACGATACTATTCCGAGACCCGTTTTACGTCAGAGTCCACTGGTCAACTCGGCATGCGACTAACGGGCTGAGTCTGTTCTCGGCGTGTCTTCTTTATAGTCAGACTCAGAATGTTTGCCAAGTCAAAACGTCGGCCTGCCCGCGCGGAAATTCACCGCGTCGCCCCTTGCGTTAATCATGCAAGATAGAGACGGTGGATGTGCGTGGTCGCCATTACTAAAACCACTGGATCCCAAGGCCCCTCGCACACCGTCTCCCCTACAACACCTTTCGGCCCCGGGATCCGCCTTGGCTCTGGGACCACTTACACCAACATAGTCAAGAACTGAAAAAGACCACTACCGACAACATCAAGCCGAAGACATGGTGCCAAAGTCTCCTCAGAGGTTCCTCGTCGACTTCCTCTCCAGATATCGCCGACGACGACGTCGCTGCTCTCCCTCGAGTGAGTCACCTTACAAGGAAGAACCCTTTTGAGGGCGAAGGATATCTCGGAGAAACAGCTGACCTCCAAACTGGTGTGTAATTTTTTGCCTCATGCCACTATACCTCCTTCTCACCCGCGCTATGCAGACCAGCCCCATGAATGCTGAAGATACATTTGAAGACCTTAAGGCGTTCTCAAAACTTGGTGCGTTTCCTCTCCGCATCATGTCTCTGTATGCGCATTTATTCGATGGCTGTCGTAGCCCAATACTCGTTCATTTCGCCGAAGGCGGGCGAGCCCATCTGCCTCTGCCCTCTACCCGGCATGGATGGCTTTCATCTCATCTCAACAAAGCATTGCACACTAGTTCCAATTTTCCTTCGTCGTGCCTGAGGCAAACTGATCAATGATAGTGACACAGGAGCGACATTCGCCAACAATCGTCTTCTACGGCAACTCTATTATGGCCGTCTCTTCAATACAGCAGACAATGACCTCCACGTGCTCCGCTGAGCTGGCAACTTATCTGTGGACTGGGGGGCTACCATAAGTCTTCGATTTCTGACCGAAGCCGTGGAAATTAGTAACGAGCAAGTGTGAAGGCCATCTGCGACGTACGTGCCTACTACAAATTGGAGAGCGCTTACTGGTCTCGAGCTCCGTCTGATACTAGGACAGCACAACACCGTGATCCAAGATTCTGCTGGACCGCGCGATGAAATTGGTGGGAAGCATCTCTCCGCAAAAGCCAACTGGGCCCGCATGCTCCGTCCCGACCGACCGGTCTGCCCCTGCGCACGCCCGAAGCGTTTCACAAGACAATAAGCCTTGGTGGCTGTACCCCCACGCGGCTTCTCCGTCGACCTTTCTGCGCACCGAGCCCCGGCATCCCCGCTGCACGCTCCGAACACAATACGACCGCCGGGGGACGGAGAGGAGCGCACCACAGAGAGCCGGCGCACGCACAACCTCACACAGCGCAAGACGCGCGCGAAGAGGCTTCATCGGGCGAGAAGGTTCCTGCAGAGGAGCCAGGCAGGCGAGGGAAGGCGATCGCCCGGGCGATCCACACAAGCCTCGTCGACAAACAAGGCTGGAGCCATCCGAGGCGCGAGATGGGCTGAGATGGGACGCCGTGCCCACGCGCCCGGGAACTCAGGAGCATCCCGCCAACCCTGCCCGCACCCTCTGCCCGGTCGCATACATAGACGACCGACGGGACATTGTGGCCCTCCCGCCGCCCGCTCTCCACCACCACTGCGACGCGCACACGCTCTCCCGCCATGGCCCCGCCCTTTGCGCCAACACGCACCCACGACAGTCAGGAAGAGCTGATAGAGCTGGGCCACAACTGGTGAGCGGTCCCCCGCCGGCTCGGGAGCGGTCTGTGCTCACGGACCGCCACCCTGACAGGTTCCTCCACAACCCGAAGCATCGAGCGGTGCGGCAGCGCTACGAAGCGATCGACGCGAACCACCCCGCGCTGCCGGTCACCGAGCGCGCGCTGAACGGCGTCGCCCGCGTCCTCCTCCAGGTCCCTGGCCTGCGCGCGACGATCGTCCCGTGCCTGCACCGCGCGACGCCCGCCGTCCCGTGCGACCCGTACGAGGACGACGTGGTGGGGGTGGTGCTGCACGCGACGCTCCTCCACGTCGAGATCCTCGAGCTCGTGCACCTCATGCCCTCCGCCGTGCCCGTGCACCTCTACATCGGCGAGCCGCTCGCGACCGGCACGCCGTTCGACACCTACAGCCCCGACCGGCTCGTGCCCCCGAAGCACCTCCTCCCAGGGGACCCGCTCTTCTGCGGCGGCACCGAGCGCACGCTCGTCTTCGGGGCGTACCTCCACCCCGCGAACGCCCCGGACGACGGCGCGCTGTACGGGCTCTCGGCGGGCCACGCCGTGGTCGCGTCCCCGGCGTTCGCGCTCCACCCGCGCCTGCAGCCCGCGTCGGCTGTGGGGGGGAAGAAGGGGCGGAAGCGCGTGCGGAGCTCGCAGGTCGCGCTGCGCGCGCTCGGGCGCCCGCTGAGCAGCCCCGCGCCGCGCGTGGCGGAGGCGGCGCTGCGCGCGTTCGAGCTCGAGAAGGCGCGCGTGTTCGCGGAGCTCGAGCGCGTCGGCTACCAGGACGGGCCGCTCATCGTCCAGCGGCGGCGGCTGCAGCAGCAGGAGGGGGACATGGCGCGCCTGCGGGGCGCGCTCGCGCGGCCGCAGCGGCTCGACGTGGGGCACACGTGTGCGGCGGAGGCGTTGGTCCGCCCGTGCTCGAGTGCGTCTTCCTCTTCCTCTTCCTCCGAACCAGCGCTGAGCCGCACCACAGGCTCTGACCACGGACACAAGCGCCACCACGCGCACCGCAGCTCCGGCTCCTCCAGCGGCAGCTCGAGCGCACCCGACGAGCACACCCACCTCCTCTCGTGGACGCTCATGCGCATGGTCCCCGCGCGTACCGCGTGCAGCGGCAACGGCCCCGCGCTGCACGCGTACCCGGGCACGCTCGAGCGCGGCGCGCCCGTCTCGATGCACGTCCGCGACCCGAACGCGGAGCGCCCGCTGGGTCCGTACCGCGACGGCGTCGTCAACGGCGCGCCGGCGACGGTCGTCCTCGGGGGCCACCTCTCGCGCGAGTGGGCGGTATTCCCGCCCGCGGGGAAGCGTGCGGCGCGGTTCGCCGCGCGAGGGGACGCGGGCGCGCTCGTCACGACCGCGCTCGAGGGCGAGGGCGACGGGGAGGAGGGGCTCGCGGTGCCGCTCGCGATGTTGTACGCCGCACCAGAGCGAGGGCCGTACGGGCTCGTCACGCCGCTCACGACGATCCTCAGGCGAATCCGGGACGTGACGGGGCTGCAGATGCGCTTCCAGAAGCCGGACTGGGGGGTGGATGAGTAGGATTCGGAGTCTGTTGAGACACCGCGATACCCTTGTATGTGGCCATACCCTTCACGAGCGATTACATGGTCTAGTCGAATAATGTACACAAAGCACAACGAGTCACTATCAAACGAAGAAGGTCGGAACTGCGGGCTCTCAGCTACATTGGGGACAAAGAGAGTGGGTTGGCATACCTGCAAGCTATCGTCGACTCCCACCATTCAATAGCGAAGTCGTGGCGAACGGAGGCGGCGACGAGAAAGAAGGTTTTGCTGGGGGCGGCTTCGGGGAATCTTTGGACGACTTGGTGGTTTTGGCGGTTGCCTTCTTCGCAGGCGGAGCAGATGCTTCTAAGCGTAGGCGTCAATGGCAGGACGCAAAAGCTACAGTTACTGTGACGCACCCGGGTCCGCAGTGGATCTTTTCCTCTTGACTGTAGACTTCGAAGTTGTCGTGGAGACCTTTTTCGTCTTGCTCTTCGACAGCAACTGCGCTTTCTCTGGGAGCACCTCGTCGTACGCCACCACGATGTTCGCAGGGTCTACGTCAAATCTGCTGGGTTTGGTCTTCAAAATCCACGACATAAGGAGTTTCATGCATCGAGTGTTCTGCCTGATGTCCTTCTCGTCCTTGCGAATGTCCTGCCGCATCGCCGTAACGGCCGCCGAGAGCTGCGCGAGACTCATCTTGCGCATCTGAGAGTGGATGAGGAGGGCGACGGCGACGAACTCGATCGGTGCGACCTTCTTCACGTTCTTCAGTCGGAAGCAGGCGCTGAGCCTCTCGTCCTGGGCGAGCGCACAGTAGACCTTGAAGACGTCGTTCACTTCTTCCAGCTCGTCTGGCTCTCCTGCGATGTCTGTCTCGTCCCTAAGCCACTTCTCGAGGACCGGGACCGTGGGATAGGTGACCCCTGGCCACAGCAGGATGCAGTAGATGGCGACTGCGGTCATTCGGAAGTCGTTTCCGCGGGCAGTCTCCCAGTCCATGTAGACCGCTAGTTTCTCGGCGACATATTCGTCCATTACTTTCCGCACGAAGCGATTCTGTTCGCCGGTTATCGCCTGCAGTTTCTCTGACGGGAAGATTGATCAGAGGACGAGGCGCATCGGCGACAGAATGATTCCTACCTGCAGGTGTTAGCGCCATGCCGAGTTGCACTCTCTGGAACTGGCGTCAGAAGATGACAGCGCATCGGATGGTTCGATAGACGCACCTGGAAAATTTCCCTTTCGTTTTCCTCGGTAATGTCAGAATACTCCATGCAAACCTTGACGAGGCGGTGAGATTAGGATTGTGCAAAAGCGCTTTGTACGTACGACTTGCTTGGTCATGAATAGCTTCTGGTATCGTTCAGGGAGTACTTTCGAATTCTTAACCATGCCGATATCTTTGAACACGAATTTGACGTTCGATATACTGAGGCATAGATGTGCGCTTACTCTTGGAAGGAACGAGAGCGTACTCACGGGTCTTTATCTGAGTCGACGTTCGCATACTGTCAATGGAAAATGGAAGGAGTAAGAGTGAGGCGGGGCTCACATGGAATCTGAGGTGAACAGGTGAGTAACTCGCCGGACCACAAGTGAACGCACAGATTACCTCGCCACTTATGAACCTGAGGACGCGATGTCACGACGATAGTGCGGATGAAGGAGTGAACGTGACACACCTATGTATTGACGTCAACCTCTGTTTGCCATCTACGCAAGTCCGCCGCTCTCCTCCGTCATCTGAGCTGTGGACCACTACAAACGGCGCCATGAAAAGCGGTGCCGTGAGTAGAACACGATGCAATTACGGGAGGGCGTACGCACCGAAGATGACTGGAGGGATGTAGTAGTTGCGGAAGATCGAGTCTATGAGACCTGGCGGAGGTTCAGCACATGTTCGCGCATCTCGAGGCCCCAAAGCATGCCTGATTGCTTCGCGTCGGACCACACGACGTCTGACGCGTGATGTAAGAGAACTGAGACGCGCCACACGAGAAGCGGGAACATACCGCGCTGGTACTCCGGTTGCAAATTAATGTCTCCGCCGTGGATTTGTTCTGTCACGGACACGCGCACACATAAGACGCAGGGCACAAACCTCATAGTTCCCAACCTACGATGCAAGTGCTGGCATGTGAACGTCGCGGCGCGAGGGACCTTGAGGGCCCCATGGATTTTGTAGTCGTCCAGGTCAATGACCTTCCCTTTGCCTTTCGACTGGCCGCTCGGGGCATAGTCTTCGCCGTCTTCAAAGTCCAATTCCGTGAGTTCAGACTCTCCGTCGCTCATGGCTGCTCGAGAGGGGTGTGTAGAGGTGCGGGAGCGGGTCGGGGTGCGCGAGGTGGGGGAGGAGCAAGCCGTGATGGGCGCTCGGTGCGCTTGCCAGGCGCGACTTCTCCGCACGCGCTCTGCGCCCGCCACTGCGCACTCTCGACCGCCCCTCGACCCCCTTTCCCCACCACGCGTACCGTGCTTGCCGCGTCCCCCACCATGGCCGGCCGCGGAAAGACGACGACGGTCCCTGCAACGCCAATGACGCGCTTCTCCGCGCGCACGAACGCGGTGAAGCGCGACTCGCTCGCCGCCGAGCTCGAGCGCGGTGAGTTGTCTACCCCGGAGACCACGAGGCCGGCGACGCTCACCGACCCCCATCACGCCCCCGTCATCCCCTGCTCGCAGATCCACAGCTTTCGACCGCCAAGCGGCAACAACGCACTCAGGCGTTCTCTTCGCACATGGCGCACACGTCCCTCGAACGCCAGGTTGCCGCGGCGCAGACCGCGAAGCTCGAGCTCGAGACGAAGCTACGAGAGAAGGAAATGCTCATAGAAAGGCTCGAAGGGGACCGAAGGTGGCTGGCCGAGCGGGAAAAGGAGGAGAGGGAGGAGAAAGAGAGGGAACGGGAGGAGCATGCCGAGGACACGGTGCGTCGTCTGTGCTCTGCGGCATTGAAACCATCCTCAATCGCTCTCAGAGGAAGACCGATGCCGAAATTCGAACACTTCGTAGCTCCTTGGCGACATTGCGCGAACAACATGTCGACTTGGAGGAAGAACACTCGTCGCTGTCCCGAAGCGCGTCGCAGAGCATCACCTCTCAGAAAGGACAGATCTCGGCACTCACCAGCCAGCTGTCTCTCGTCGAAGCCGAGATGACGCAGTTCAAGCAGCTCGCAGAAGAGCGTTCACGGGCTTTCGAGCAGCTTCAAGCACAATTCGACGATCTCAGCGCGAACCAAAGCTTCACACTTCAGTCGGGGCAGGATGAAGATTGGGGAGTTGTTCGCGAAGAGCTTCACCGACAAGCCAAGTATATGCGTCAACTGGAGAGCGCCAACGCAAGGATGACCGGCGAGCTCAACGTCCTCCGTGAAAAGCAGACGAGCGTCGAGGTGCTGAAGGAACAGAAGCGCGAGCTGCAGCGCAAGCTTCAGGGCGCAGAGGAGACACGAGAGAAGATGGCGAGGCTCGAGGCCGAGCTCGAGGCCGCAAGGAAAGAGCGAGAAGAATGGTACGCTTGCTACTTCGTCTTCCTTTGTGTTCTTTGTCACCGACTCTGTTATGTAGGGCATCACAGGCTACCGAGCCCGCCACTCCGTCCAAGACTCCTGTCTCCGTCACACAGAGTCTCGCCACCCTGCGTCTCACTCACGCGAAGCTCATGGAAGAACACGGTTCGAACGTCGCGCTGCTCAAGCGACGGGACCATGAATTGGCGGAGGTGCAGGAGCGCGAAGCGGCCGCGCAGGAGACCATCAAGAAACTTCACGCAGAGGTGCGGACGCTAAAGGACCGCGCCACGCGAAGTGAGCACAAGGTGACGCTTGCCGACCGTGAGGTCAGCTTCTTGCAAGCTATGCTGGTGAGTACATTCACAAAGGGTCATGTGTTGTTCTGAGCGAAGACATGTGCAGGCAAGCTTCAGTGCAGAAGAAGCCGCGCAGGATGTGAAGTCGGAGAACGACCCATTGAAATCTGTTCAAGATGCAGAAGCCTTGATCAAGGACTACAAAGCGACTGTTGCAAGCTTGGAGCGAGATCTGGAAGGTGTACGTGCTCGTTCTGTGACGCCAGAAGACGCCGCTGCCATGAAAAAGCTCCGTGTCGAACTTCAAGAGGCCCGCACTGCGAAGGAGGAAGCAGAGAGAGGTACGTCATCAACTCTGATCACCATGAATCACATCAAACCCCCTTCTTCAACCACAGCTCTCGAGGAGGCGGACGCGGACGCGGAGAAGCAACTCGAGCAGATCGAGGAGCTGGAACAAACCCTCTTCGAACTTCGAGGAGAGACCGGGGCAGGACGTCATCTTCCTCCGGGTGTACGGGTGCTCAGCATGCGCGACAATCCGGCGCAGCAGTGGGAAGACCTGAGCCGTGCTGCCATGGATCGCTTGAAGAACGAGAACGAGGCTCTTCTCAAGCGCTTGAAAGACCTTGAAGACAGCGGCATTCGCGGAGGAGGACAAAGTGCTCAGGGCGACGACCTGGTGCCCCGTGAGAGTTGGGAGGTTCTGAACGAGGAGAAAGCCAAGCTGCAAGACGAGCTCAAACAGAAGGAGAAGCGATTGCTTCGATTGCAGCAGGTGCGCTCCGTTTTGCGGTTTCGTTTCTGCGGTTTATAACACCGCTTCGCCGCTCAGGTCTTCACTGCCAAGAGCACCGAGTTCCGGGAAGCCATCCAGAGCATCCTGGGGTTCAAGCTCGCATTCTACCCCAACGGGCAAGTACGCGTCACGTCGACGTACGACCTCAACGCAGCCTTCGTCTTCCAGCCACAAGGCCAAGGCGGCGAAGGTCCACGGATGCAACTTGTCGCGCAAGGAGAGGGCGGACCAGAGGAGCTTCCTCAGCTAATGCAATACTGGGTCGCACAAGAAGAGTGCATCCCCGGTTTCCTCGCAAGCGTCACGCTGGAGTGCTATGAGAAGAGCAAACGCGACCGCAGGTTGATGGCCAGCCAGTAGGTTCGGGTCTTCCGTCTTGGCCGTCGATGTGCTTCCCCCTCTAGGACAATTTACTATCCTTCCAAGAAGAACTGTTGTATTATTTGGAGTATATACTGTCTCGATTTGTTTAATCCCTCAATTTATGACAGCACCTCCGAACGATACGTTGGTCATCCATTCCCGCCATCACTTGGGCTGACCCATCCTCGCAGTGAGCACTGTCAGCGATTTTCCCGACACCTTGCTTCGAAATACAGCACCTTCTGTGGCCGCCGTGTTCGATGCCGATTTCCCCGCACATGGTGTCCGCGCCAACCGCGCCAAAGCGGGCAGACGCGTTCTCACCCACCCCGCCCAAGATCCCCACAGTGAGAACAGGGTCGAAATGATCGCACTTGAACCTCCTTCAGCACATCCTGCATGCCCTTGCAGACGTACCAAGGCGGGCACGGCACGGTGATCCTGCGCGGATGGTGACTGGTGGTTCCGAAATTGTCGGTCTGCTGTGGCGGTTAGTTCAACAACTTTGAATGTGACGGATGGAGGAAGACCTAGGAGGCCGGTGATTATGCCGTTTTATGCCGCCTTCTAACTGGTATAGTTGCGACGTCACCTACACTAGTACAGGAAGGCTAATAAAAGCTGACGCGATCCCCACTTAAACCCTTCCATGACCGTACTAACGGCGGGACGAAGGAGGAGAGAGTTTGCTCGTGGCAGCAGTACGGTGACAAACCCAGTGGGAAAAAATCTTGCACTATGTAACGCCCCTCTGCTTCAGGTTTGCATGGGCATGTCGGTGAGCCTTCTGGGATCGCCGAAAAACGTGACAGATGACGGAGGTGGTGTGGGGAGGGGCCGGAAGGACTACGGATCCGTGCGCGCGTGTCGAGCACCAAGGCAAAGAGTTACTGAAACCCTGGCATACAGATGTGGTCCAAGCTCGTGAGCCTCTCACCAGAACGATATATAACGTGCCTGGCGTTGCACACCATCGTCCTCACACAGCCCACCCGCACACCCAACCAACACACCCACCATGTCCACCCGTGAGTCCCTCCTCCGCTGGGCCTCCCACCCCCTCAGTGATCTCGCCCCCCAGCGACGCTCGGAATCTTCCTCCCCCTCACAGCCAAGCCCGACCAAGCCGCCGCGCTCGGCCAGTTCCTCCTCGCCGGCTACGACATCCTCGCGCCCGGCGTCGAGCCCGACACGCTCCAGTGGTTCGCCGTCAAGTACGCGTCCGGCGCGGAGCCCGTGTACGCCATCTTCGACACCTTCGCCGCCGAGCCCGGCCGCCAGGCGCACTTCGCCGGGCCCGTCGCCGCCGCGCTCCAGGCGAACGCGGACGCGCTCCTCGCCAAGGCGCCCGACTTCGCGCACGCGCCGTGCGACGTCCTCGCGAGCCTCGTGCGCGCCGCGCCGGCCCCGGGGGCGGTCGCGAAGGGGCTCCAGAGCGGGCTCAGGGTGCTCGTCAGGGCGAAGCCGGAGAAGGTGGACGCGGTGCGCGAGTTCTTGAAGGTGCGTGCGCGGCGGGGCTCGGGGCGCGGCGGCGGGACGGCGCTGACGGCGGGGCGGACAGGGCGCGCTCCCGCTGGTCGAGGCCGAGCCGCTCACGGCGGCGTGGTACGCGATCGAGTTCCCGGGCACGGGCGCGTTCGGGATTGTCGACTTCTTCCCGTCCCAGGAGGGCCTCGACGCGCATCTCAAGGGCGAGGTCGCCAAGGCGCTCTTCGCCAACGCCGACGCGCTCCTCACTCAGGCTCCCGACGTGATGACGCTCGAGGTCGTCGCGGCGCTGGTCTAAGGAGGGACTATATTCGTAGTAGTGGTACAAGGTTTATGAATGTTATGCGCGTCTCCGTTCGTCTGAAAAGCAACAGTGAGGTCGGGACAGTAGAAACGCGAGAACGGTTCTCACAAGGCGTGATCAAAGGTTGGTGTCCCCGTCAAAGATAACGTTGAGCCACGCAGCGAGGCGGTAGCCCTGCTTTGCGAGCTGGAGGTCGATCACAGGCACCGCCTTGTTGTAGTATGTGCCCGTGCAGAGGTCCTGGCCGCTCGAGTATGTGAAAACCGTCGACTGCAACGAGCGCGTATCAGCCATTTTCGCCTCTCGTCGCACAAGAGAACGTCGCTCACGCAGCAGTACGCGTTCGACTCCTTCGCCCACACGAGCGGGCACTCGAGCGGGGTAATCGTCGCGCGCTTGTCGAGGAAGCGGCTCACGTCGCGGTCGACGGTGTACGGCACGTGCGAGAAAAAGCGGCGGCGCGACGCGGGCTCGGTCGTCGACGAGCACTCGAGCCAGTCGTCAGTGAGGGACTTGTACGTGCCCGTCTTGATGCGCTTGATGAGCGCGGCGGCATAGTTGCTCACTTCGCCGTCATAAGTCGCATCGAGGTTCGTCTCGAGAATGCCTGTGTCCCAGGCCTGCAGGGAGGATGGGTCAAGAGAGAGGATGGTATGGATACGTTAGGGAGACTCACGGAGTGGAGGTTGGTGCTCTTACCGCCACAGACGGCGTCGATGTCATTCCCACCAACTTCGTATGCCTGTGGAAACGTCAGCGACATACCACCCAGGCTCGGGTAAGAAATTGTACTTCGACGTGCAGAGGCTGGCCGATGTCGCCAAGGAACTGCAAGAGGCACGCTGTAAGCAGCAGCCCATTCGGGGAGCAGCGAATGTACGCACGTGGTCTGTAATAAGGGATTAGTCAGCGCAAGCAAGTGGACTAGGATGAAGGTACCCACCAAGGAACTTGAGAGCCTCCTGGCGCTGGGCCTTGCTAAGAGAGGTCTTCGCGATCCGCGTTGTGTAGTTGGCGATGGCACTCACTGCAGATGAATTTGAGCGCGTAGACTCCAGAGGCACCACAAGGGACTTACGGATGCAGTCACCGTCGCCGCAATCGCGAGTCTCGGATACAGAGCATGATCCACTGAGAGGCGAGTCTAGAGTGGCTCATTAAAATGAGCGGATGATGACGAGCAGGAGAGAGGTAGCACCCTCCGCGTCAACAAAGTGGAGTGGCTTCGACCAGGTATAGCCCGGCGTGTACTTGACGCTGTCGGCCCACTAGTTGAACTCAATCAGTCAACGGGACACCGAATTTCACGATGACATACCGTGGCAGCAGGTCCAAGGGACTCGTTGTAGGTCGAGCCCAATGAGGTTTGCACAAAGTCGAGTGCGTTTGGCGCGAGGAACGCCTGGGCGACGTATCTGCACGGTCAAAGGTCATTCCCAAAGTTTCTCGGCCAGGAGCTTGAATTACTAACCCTACAGTTTGGTGACCGAGATTGCCCCACGCAAAGGCAGTCTGTGTGCAGGCAGCGGCCACGGCAAGGCCAGCAACGATGATTCGAGCCATGACGAGATAGATGTCGTGAGGGCTGAGGGCTGAGGGGGTCTGTCCATGTACGAGGCGTCCGATTGCATTTATGGATACCGGCGATTTTGAGGATAGACGGGCAGTCCGGTGGACCACGCGGGCGACGAGCGCCATTGTCGTAGAGACCGTGCGGTGGAGGAGCTTCTGCGCAGTGTTCCATCACGCGGTCGACAAGGGCGCCAACGCCGCGAGCCCCACGTTTGAACAGCGATAAGCACGTTCGGACGCATCAACGCTAGTGCGGCAGTTGGGCGAACGATGGACGTCTGTCCGGCGGTGCTAGGGGCTTCTTGTCAAGGGCACTGTGGGCAGACGGCCATGCGAGCATGCGGGGTAATATTACAAGCGACCCCGAAGAAACTTCCGTTGGATTGATAAGTTGCTGTCTAGTCGGGAGAAAGTGCTGAACACGGCATTCCTGAAGCTCACCCAGAGGAGATATGCCGTCGGAGCTCGAAAAACTCGACTCACGTCTGGCAGTAACACGGGAATGTGTCAGCAAGACGGGACGAGCGCGAGAGGGAGCCACTGGCCAGGCCTGCTCACCTGGCAGCAGCACGGAAAGGTTGAGCTGGCACGAAGCCGCCCTGTGCGCTTCACATCCTGCCTAGCGAGGGGCTTGTGACGCGCGTGCTTTGGGCTCACCAGGACCCAGGGGACCACCAGGGGTTGTGGCCCCGGGCTGTGGAGTGCGTCGGAACGCAGACGTCGTGGCGCGCGCACACCTCCCAGAGGTCACACCGTGGTGCGCGCACGTACCACCCGGAGGGCGCGCGTGAGCGTGGTGAGCCCAGAGCGTCCGCTGCTGGGGACAGGCCGTCGTCGTGACGCGCGGCCCGTGCTGGCCCTGCTGGGCCACTGCTGGCCAACTGTGTCGAGCGGGGCGATTCAACTTGCATACTTGAGGCTCGTTTGAAACCACGACTTGACTGTCAAATACGACTAGTATCGGCTGTTGAAATCAACACCCACTCAACCATACGGCAAATAATCACCCACCACATGTATTTAGAAGACTTGATAGATACGATGTCCACATTGGCTTTTGCTAGTCGTTGGTGAAAAGAGGAAGCCAATGGTGTAAGCGCTTGAGGCGTTTCGCCGCCACGATCACAACAAGACCAACGCTTGGATCGAGATCCTAAATTTCGGGCCAGTCGAGCGCGCCGCCAACGCCTCAGCTCCAGCACTTGCTCACCGTCAGCGACAACGAGCCCCCCTGAGGAGATGTTGCGCGCGGGCATCTTCCAGGCGTGTCTGCGGATACGGTCCCCACACTCCTTCTCTCCCTCTTCGCTTCCTGCGTTATGGACCTTCCCTCGCCGACACGCCTCGACCGCTGCCACCCCGGTGAAAGCCTACCCGGTCTACGAGCTCACGGACGAAGACCACAAGCGTATGCACTTTCAACGGAACATTGGCGTCTCTGCCCACATTGACTCGGGCAAGACCACGTTGACCGAGCGTATACTGTACTACACCGGCCGTATTAATGCTATTCACGAGGTACGTGTCTCCATGTCCTGGCATCTCGTGTGGGTGTGTACTGACGGGCATCGCGTGGAACAGGTTCGCGGACGCGATAACGTCGGCGCGAAGATGGACAGCATGGAGCTCGAACGCGAGAAGGGCATCACCATTCAGAGTGCGGCCACCTACTGCGACTGGGAGGCACATATGCCCGCGACCGGTGCGAAGGAGAAGTACGCCATCAACATCATTGATACTCCTGGTGCGTGCACGCGCTGTCCATCGGTGTGTGAGAGTGCTCATCTCGCGCGTAGGTCACGTCGACTTCACTATTGAGGTTGAGCGCGCTCTACGCGTACTGGATGGTGCTATCCTGGTCCTCTGTGCGGTATCTGGTGTGCAGGTGAGTTGTTTCCTCTGTATCGTCGCGTCGACCCACGTACCTTGTGCTTTTCCAACGCACGGCCTAGTTGCCTGTCCGTGGTGGGGATACTACACCACTTTGAGGCAAATCTTAGGCTTCCTGGGGTTGCCCTCGCTCTGTTTGCTATGACGAGACATGCTGACGCCGAGCCTGCAGAGTCAAACCACCACGGTCGATCGGCAAATGCGGAGATATGGCGTTCCTCGGATATCTTTCATTAATAAGATGGACCGGTGAGTTACAAGGACGTACGCATGTGCTCGCGTTGCGTCACTACCCGCCCATTCAGGTTACTCATGACTGTATAGGCCCGGTGCAAACCCTTGGCGCGTCATCGGCCAGATTCGGCAGAAGCTCAGGATCGGTGCCGCCGCTGTCCAGGTACCTATCGGCGTCGAGGACGATCTGCGCGGTGTCGTCGACCTCGTTCGGTGGAAGGCCATCTACAACCAGGGTGAAAAGGGCAACGAGATTGTCGAGTCGGACGAGATTCCCGCGGAGGCTCTAGAGCTCGCCAAGGAGAAGCGCCGCGAGCTCATCGAGCAGCTTGCAGAGGTGGACGACGAGATTGGCGAGATGCTCATCATGGACGAAGACCCGACCACGGAGCAGCTTGTGACCGCGATACGTCGCGCGACCATCGGGCTCAAGTTCTCGCCCGTCTTCCTCGGCTCGGCGATCAAGAACACCGCGGTTCAGCCCATGCTCGACGGCGTGTGTGCTTACTTGCCTGCACCCTCCGAGGCCAAGGTCACCGCGCACGACACCTCGCTCCCGGTTTCGGCCCCGCCTGTAGAACTGACGCCCGCTGCCGCCGCACCGCTCGTCGCGCTTGCCTTCAAGCTGGAGGAGGGCCGATTTGGTCAGCTCACGTACATGCGGGTGTACCAGGGCTCGATCAAGAAGGGCCAGTTCATTTACCACGCGCGGACTTGCAAGAAGGTCAAGGTCCCTCGTCTCGTCCGTATGCACAGCAATGAGATGGAGGTGAGTTTTTTTCCGGCGAGATTGGCGTTTGCATTCGCTGATTGCCACCAGGACATCCAAGAAATCGGGCCTGGTGAAATCTGCGCCATTTTCGGCATTGACTGCGCTTCGGGGGATACGTTCACGGATGGCGCGACTGCGTTCTCAATGGTGAGTGTTAATGTAGGACGTCATGTAACATTTGCTCATGTTCGTTCAGACTTCGATGTTCGTCCCGGAGCCCGTCATCTCGCTGTCGATCAAGCCCTCTGGCCAGGAGACTCCGAACTTTTCTCGTGCTCTCAACCGGTTCCAGAAGGAGGACCCGACGTTCCGCGTGCACGTCGACAAGGACAGCAAGGAGACGATCATCTCCGGCATGGGCGAACTCCACCTGGAGATCTATGTGGAGCGCATGAAGCGCGAGTACAACGTCGAGTGCGTCACGGGCCGGCCGCGTGTCGCGTTCCGCGAGACGATCACCCAGCGCGTCGACTTCAACTACACGCACAAGAAGCAAACGGGCGGTGCGGGTCAGTACGGTCGGGTGATCGGATTCCTCGAGCCTATGGAGAAGGACCCGGAGACGGGCAAGGACACGGAGTTCCTGAACCAGATCATGGGTACCGCCATCACGCAGAACTACATCCCCGCTGTCGAGGCCGTACGTCGCTTCATGTCGGTGGCTGCTCTTGTGCGCTGACGTTTTTTCTCGCAGGGTTTCTACGAGGCGCTGGAGAAGGGCACGCTCTCCGGGAACACGGTGTGCGGGATACGGTTCGTGCTGAACGACGGCCAGACGCACTCGGTGGACTCGTCGGAGCTCGCGTTCCGGCTGGCGGCGATGGGTGCGATCCGCGAGAACTACGCGGCGACGAAGCCGATCATCCTGGAGCCGATCATGACGGTGGAGGTGGTCGCGCCGGCGGAGTTCCAGAGCGCGGTGATCGGGACGCTGAACCAGCGGCGGGGGACGATCGTGGACTCGGAGGTGCGGGACGAGGAGTTCACGGCGGTGGCGGAGGTGCCGCTGAACGACATGTTTGGGTACTCGAGCACGCTGCGGGGGGTGACGCAGGGCAAGGGCGAGTTCAGCATGGAGTACAAGGACCATCGGCCGGTGCTGCCTAACGTGCAGACGGAGCTGGAGGCGGCGTACAAGAAGTCGATTGGGCAGAAAAAGTAGTGGCCTCCACTCGGTATCTTTATTCGCGGGCGCGCTTGCTCACCTTCACGACCATCATAGACGCATGCACATATACATCACACCCCACTCACACGCTTTGAACTGGTTTGTTAGACCACACTACACAATGTTAGCATCCATGTATAATGATATAGAACTAATTGCGTTGATTCGGCTGTCCGTCGTTTGCTAGGACTTCGCAGTATGGGTATGAATGTTGTGATTCAGAGTCGAACGACACAGGCGGCGAGGGCGTCCCCTTGACGGGCGGCTGGCGCTCATGTGGCTTACTCCCCTCCATCACCATCATGCACGACCATCCCTTGCGCACTTGTCCCAATGAGGTACGAAGAAAAGGAACAGCAGCGCCAATGACTGATCTGCAGACCAACGGAGATCCGGGAATAGGCGGGGGGCGAACTTATGCTCGACGAGGAATGGGTCTAGCCGCCAGGCGTGCGACACGGTTCCATCTCTGAGGTTACGACCTCACCCTCACCATGGTCCTCATGTTTCATGGTGGGCATTCGTTCGGCCTTGTAGTAGCAATCCTTTGCGGTGGTTCTTGGGAGTCGTGTATGTGTAATAGTCTATGGCTGGCAATTGAGCGCATCGCCCAACCTTATCGTGCAACGCCCCACGGTGCGCCTGCGAGTCCTTGTCTCTGTACTCTCACCTTGCTTCCTCTCACCCTGCTGTGCATGTGAACCATCGTACTATCCGACATCGGTCAAATATCTCCATGAACTCTTCGCGCATCCCCATCGATGTTGCCGAAGTGGTCATCGATGTCCTCGCCGCTGGCAGTGAGCTGACCACACTTGCGCGCTGCATCCGGGTGTGCAAGTCATGGTTTCCCCGAAGCCGCTACCGTCTCTATCGTAGGCTCGTCGTTTCCAGAGCCAATCAGCTACCCACGATCAGCAACACCCTCGCAGGCGACACCTCTGCGCTCGATGGTCCAGATCGTCCGGCTGGAGCGTTGCTCATCTGCACCTCTCCCGATCGTCGCCGTCGTTGTGCTTCTTCCCCACCTAGGCCACATCGCCACCTGGGAGTTCGACGGGCGGTTTTCTGATGATTTGTTTCCGACGTCGCCAACAATTCTGGCTTGTTTGCGACAATATCGTGCTGTGACGAAGCTCGTCCTGTGGGACTGGTCTTTCAAGACTGCTCTGCATCTCCACCGACTTATAAATGCCTTTCCTGCGCTGCAGGATGTCAGGATGGATCGTCTGGAATATGGGGACGTCATCTCAAATATATCCCTTCTCACGCCCCACACACATCGACAAGGCCTGCAAACGCTGCATCTGGATAAAGTGCGCACTTTCTAGTAGCCTGAACCCGACCTTGTGATTGATCCCGAGGATTTCAGCTCTCTGAACGTGAGCTGGAGTTTACCGTGCTGTTAAATTCAAACAAAGAGTCACTGTTGGATATAACGCTGCCCAGCGGCACCATACTGGAGTCTGGCGGGTCGTTTGTGCTTATTTCACATGTCCTCGGCTAACGTGAACTCTGCACTAGGTTTCGAGATGCCTCTTCTCGCACACTTGAGGCATCTATCTATTCTGCAAGAATCCACCAGCCCAGACTTCGAACTTTATAAAGCCTGCCTCAAGCTTCCGGATTTGCTACTGTCTTTCACGTTGATATTCCCGAGTTCTGTAGTCTACTGGGACAGCGCTAGTTTGACGCAAGAACAGATGACCATCGTACAACAGTTGACTCAAGTGATATACCAACACGTCGGCCTCCGATCGGCAGGCCTCACGTGCGTCATAGAGAGGCCCAAACAGAACCATATCCCTCGCTGGGCAGCCTTGCTAGAACAACTATTCGCGCCGCTGTTATCAAGAGGTCTGTTGCGTATCGCTCCCCCAGACTACTCTCGGAGTACGTATTCTTCCTTTGAGAAAATGCGCACGCGAACTGATTCCTGTCTGTGTCGCCCAAAACAGCCGGCCACGAGGAGCCCGGTTCAGAGTACGGGCATGTTCGACCGCCGGATCGATTTGCAGTGTTTTCTCCCAGTGGAAGATGGGCAGCAAGCACTCTGCGAGATCCCACCCAGAGGTTTGCGCCGGGCATGCCTGCGTCGAGCATGTACGAATGCATTGTGTGGAACAGCCAGATCGGAACATCCCACGCCTCCCACTGGTACCGCCTTGCAGCTCCGCGTTCCTACCCGAGTTTTCCATTTCCCGTTGCGTTCTGTCCGACAGAGAGGCACTGGGCCATCGCATCGCGCCACAACATAACCGTCTTCTCTCTTCCAGTCGAGCCTACTGTCTTGACAAGTCCTACCGATCACTCTCAACCCGTTGGGCGCATCGACCTTCCTCTGGATAGCCTGGTTGTGAGACTCTTGTGGTCTCGGGACGGCGGCCAGATATTCGCTCAAGATCTGGCAGCGAATATCCACATCTACGACGCTCTGGCATTCACACACCTCCGTACCCTCTCTCCCCCGCCCATCGACATGGTAATTTTCGGCAAGCATATCCCCCGACCTCTGGACCTTGGACAGCGTGCGGGCACTTTGGCGCTGTCGGTGGACGAGCGGTACCTCCTCTCTGATGTTGTGATGACATCCGACTCCTCCTTCGCACGCAACTCGATCTACGTTTGGACACTCGCCACCGGTTCCTGCGAACCCCACTTTATCCGACACCCCAACAGCCCAACCCCAGAGACCGACACGGAGATCTATGCAACCGCCCTTCGCCAGCACTCAAGTCCCGAACTCGAGCACCGTCCGCACGTCGTCGCGGTGTGCGAAAACGGTACTCTGCTCACCGCTACGGTCGGCTCGCCTCACGGAGTGACGACCGTCCGACCTGCAGGGCTCCCGGTGGACCTCGACGAGATCTCATACCCGTCCAACTTCTCCTCCGACGGGACGCGCGTGACGATCTTCAAAATCGGAGTGCTGTGCCTCGTCGTGGACACGCTCACCGGCGCGACGATCGCCTCCCTGGACATCGGCCTGTGCCCCGCCCTCTTCAGAGGCGCCCACCGGCTCGCGGATCTGTCGGGCGACGGCCACGTTGTGACGATTGGAAACCAAAGTGCAGAGCGGTGGCTCGAGGGGCGACCAGAGTGGTTGCTCTGGAGGCTCGAGGACGGGACGCTGAGGAAAGTGGTCGGGTGCGAGGACGGACCGGTTGTGTTGATATATGCGCTGTCCCCAGATGGGTCTGTGGCTGGGTTCGCCACTGAAGAAGGAGAGGTGTTTTTCCGGCAGAATCTGTGAGTCCTCGGTCCAATCCCTAACCTGTAATGCGATAGCTTGTACGAATGTACATTGGCTCTAAGAGGGTGGGACACTGGCCCTTTCCAAATGCTTCCAAATGCTAACACATCCGAGTCAACCTCCGGGGGCGTTGAATCATCCAGCCGGACGATGTGGGCCATCGAACAGAGACTCGAACGCCGCGGGTGAGTGCGCGGAGCCCTTCGCGACGCGCGGCGCGGTCGTGGGGGGGGCTGGCGGGTAAGAAACGGTTGGTCGCGATGGAAGACTCTATAAGCAAAGGTGGGAGACTGGGAGTATGGATTCAAGGAGAGTGCGAACCAGTGCTAAAGAAACCCGGCCACTGCCTGCGCATGCTTGCACGTAGTAGTCGCGCGCAGTAGAGTCAAGCGAGCGGGCGGTTTCGTTGCAAGTCTATGGCACTTCGAAGTAACGCATGGTGGACGTGTACCATGGTGGCTGGAAACGGAGAGAAGGACGTGGGCGTACAGGCTGAGCCGCTGAAGCTCCTCACGTCGGCACGTGACCAATCCCTCCACGTCGCCTCTGGCGGGCCCTACGTTGCGCGCCTCAATCCTCCGTCTTTCCTCCACTCCGTCCCTCTGTAACGCTTTACGACCAGCCATGGTCAGTACGCGCATCCTTGAAGCAACATCACGCTCACCTTCTCCTAGCCTTCCGCAACAACAGGGGAGCCAGTCCCCATCGAGACCTCGCATGAGGACATGATCGTACGCATCCCGTGTCGACTCCCTGGAATGCGCGCTGAACTCGGCTTAGCACGACGCCCAACTTGACTACTACGGGAAACGCCTTGCGACCTGCTCCTCCGACAGGACGGTGAAGATCTTTGAGGTTGTCGATGGCGAGACGCAGCGGTCGAATGGGCACACATTGAAGGGGTATGTGTTTTCTCGGTAGTGTGGCATTACACCTCTTAACATGCCGTCCTTTGGAAAGGCACACCGGCCCTGTTTGGCAAGTGGCTTGGGCACATCCCAAGTTCGGCCAGATCCTTGCGTCTTGTTCTTACGACGGCAAGGTCATCATTTGGAAAGAGCAACAGGGCCAGGGTGCAGGCGCGGCAGGGTGGTCCAAGATCAAGGAGCACACTCTTCACAAGGCCTCTGGTGCGCATACATCCCATATTCTCGCCGTGATACTTTTCCTAACGCTTTACAGTCAACTCCGTGTCATGGGCGCCGCACGAGCTCGGTGCCATCCTCGCATGTGCCTCCTCAGACGGCACCATCTCCGTCCTCACCTTCAAAAGTAAGTCCCCTCCCTTCTTCTCCCGCTTTCCCCACACCCATCCTGCGTGCACACAGACGACGGGACCTGGGGCGCCGACGTCTTCGAGGGCCACGCCATCGGCTGCAACGCCGTCTCCTGGGCGCCCGCCATCCAACCCGGCTCACTCCTCGTCCCCCAGCCCGCGACGCTCCCCGGGCAGGCCCCGGCCGCGCTCCCGAGCGCGAAACGCTTCGCTTCCGCCGGGTGCGATAACCTTGTCAAGATCTGGGGCTTCCGCGACGACAGCCAGTCGTGGGAGGCGGAGGAGGTCCTCGACGGTCACGCCGACTGGGTCCGCGACGTCGCCTGGGCCCCAAACATCGGCCTCCCCCGGAGCTACATCGCGACCGCGTCCCAGGACAAGACGGTGCTGATCTGGACCAAGGACGGGCCCGCCGCGCCGTGGACGAAGACGGTGCTCGACCCCGCAGCCGCGTCGGTGTCGCCCGCGGCGGCGGCGGCGCCCGCGCCCGCAGGCAAGTTCCCGGACGTCGTCTGGCGCGTGTCGTGGTCCCTCGCGGGCAACATCCTCGCGGTCTCGTGTGGGGACGGGAAGGTGACGTTGTGGAAGGAGAACCTGAAGGGGGTCTGGGAGTGCGTGAGCGACATGACGAGCTAGACGTTGGGTGCGATTTGGAGGAGGACTATGGAGGTGCCCAAAACAACTGTGGTGGTCTGGGCGAACGTGCGCGTGAGTCCCTGTCATTTACTAGTATGGAACGCATTGTTGTCATCATATTGTGCCATACCTTCGAGCTGATGGCTCTGCTCACTCAAGCTTCAAGGCTGCCCACCCAAACAAATGGTCGCCACGGTGTCGGGGGGAAGTTCCCTTCACTGAGTCCACTCCGACTCTGCCCTTGACTTCAAGGCATCATTGTTCACATGTTTTCACAATGGCCGGCGTCGGACTCCTAGAAAATCGCTTTTGGAGTTTTTGTGGCTACACAGTGATGATACGACGCCACATGAAGACGAATGCAAATGAGCCATTTCCGCTGTGCGCACGGGGAGCGCGAACAATACTCGATCATCTTCAGTTATTCGAAGATCATTCATGTGCACCTCTTCCTCCAATCCAGATGCTATCTTCGGTCAACTCCCTTTCCGTACTATGCTTTTGGTAGACCGGGAACCGGCCGGGATCGTCTTCAAGGCTTCAGCTGCCGTGGCCACAGCATTTCGTAGCAACAGTGCGCACCTCTTGGAGTGAGGTCCCAGGATCCTGAGTCGCCTGAACACAACGCGTATCATTCATAGCCGGCGTACAGGTCGTCGCCATTTTCTCGCCGTCAAGGCACATCGGCCCGCTGCTTCAGCGAGACGTACTCAAGGTTGGATGGTCTCCGCGCGCATCGGCACAAGCTCACGTCGGCCGAAACATAAGTACAACAGTAAGATAAAAGCACTACAGACATACAATAGCATATAACGCACACTACATACAGCGACCTCGCCGCCCCGCTACGGCTCGAGCCCATCGAGCAGCTGCCCGCCCGCCGCGGCGCGCTCGATCCCGTTGAAGAAGACCTCGACCCGCTTTTTCTTCCCGTCGTCGACCTCCTCTTCCTCCTCGTCCTCCTCCCCCGGCCGCGCGGCCATGAACTCGGCCACGAACTCGGCCATCTTCCGCTCCCCGAACTCGGACAGGGCGCGCGGGCCCCACCGCCACTCGTACGCCGGCAGCTGGTCGTCGCCCGCGCCGCCGCCGGACCCACCTGCCCCGCCGCCCCGTGCGCGCTTCGCACCGCGCTTCCCGGCCCCGGGCCCGACATGCAGCTTCTCGAGGTAGCCTTGGCGGAGGAGCTGCGCGAGGAAGGCGTCGACTGGCATCACGGGCGACGTCGCCTGGCTGCTCAGCGGGACGTGCGCGGCGGAGGGGAGCTGCAGGCGTTTCAGCATCCCGCGGAGGTCCGCTGTACGGACCGTTAGCGTTCGCGTCCAGACTCCGGGGGGGACAGGTGGGAGGAGGAGGGAGGCGGTGCTTACAATCGGACACGGCGCGGCCCTCGACCAGAATTAACGCGAGGATGGTGAAAAGCACGCCGTCGGCGGCGAGCTGGTCGGCGTGATGCCAGGCGAGGATGCTGCCCGTGGACTGCTTGCCGACCGGGTTGTCCTCCGCCAGCTCGTTGTTCTCGTCCGCGCTCTCCTGCTGCTCGATCTCGCGGATGTCTGAGTCTGGGGCGCAGGCGAGCTCGACGAGGGCAGGATCTAGACATGAGCGGAGGATAAAGCTTTTTGTGCCAGACGCTGCGGCTGCATATGGACCATGTGTGAGAGGACATCCACCCTGACGAAAGAAATCACGTACATTTCTTTTTCACGCCTGTATTCTTGAGGAGGTCGGCGTCTTTCTCGCTCATCTCTTTATCTGCATTGATATGATGCAGCTCGACGAGCTCGAAGCCGAAAGTGAGCTTCAAGATCCTATTCGCTGCTTGCAGCACCGCAGGGAATGCGCGAGAATGCGACCCTATGACTGGGCAGCGCACGCAGTTTAGAGAACGGTGGGAGGCGCATGTAAAAGAGCCAAATCGCTCACCCTTTTTCGAGATCTCATCCCTCTTCAGCGGTATCCGGCGCTGCTCGTGGAAGAGCGCGAGCCGGACCAGGTCGCGAGCCTTACGCTCGGTCTCCTAGAGCATCCGTCTAGCACTCGAGCATACTTACAGCCAGCGGGAGACTCACAGCATCACCCCTGTCTTCCCCATCCTCCGCCATCGCCGCGTCAATGTCAATGTTCTCTTCGTCGTCTTCTTCCGTGGTTGCGCGACGGGCCTGAGTGGCTCGAGGGGCTTGAGACCGAGACGCTTGAGGACGCTGAGAGCGACCTGGACGCGGCATCGTGACTATGGCGTGGTGGTGTACTTGCTTTGGCGGTTGTTCCAAATGCTTGACAAGACTGAGGGGCAAAGCAAGACCGGCGCGTCTTGGACGCGTCGCGTCGCGTTGATCTCATAAACGCCGGTTCTGCAGCAAAATGAAAACCATGATCTGATGCCCATTGGCTGGATTGAACAACCGACCTCACCATTACGAGTGGCGCGCTCTACCACTGAGCTAAACGGGCGATATCTTTTGTACACAAAACTTTTACCCGTACTCAAAACTTAAAAGTCTGCCTAGCCCTTCGCCGCCTTGTGCTAATAGTCGTAGCTCAAGTTTCTTCTCTTCCAGTCACTCATTTAGTCTGTCTCATGGCGTCGAGTTCATCCCAGGGCCAGATCAATATCGCCGACCTCGACGTTCCACAACTAGCGGATGTTCGACGACAGCTTGAGGAAGTGAGTGCCCGACTTCATGCTCTCTATGCGCGCAACTGACGGCGCTCGCGCGCACCGTCATAGGAGCTGAACCACCTCTCAAATTCGTACGCACAGCTACGACAGGCGCAGGCCAAATTCCGCTCTTGCATTGACAACGTCGCGGAGGTGAAGCCGGCGAATAAAGGTACGCCCGTCGCTCCGCGCGTGATGCAGAGACTCGGAAAGCTGATGAATCCGCGCGATCGCGTGCGCCCGCCGCGAGTGCAGACAAGACTGTTCTCGTCCCTCTCACCAACTCGCTCTATGTTCCCGGGAAGCTGACCGATGTGGAAAATGTGATCGTGGATGTTGGAACGGGATACTTTGTGAAGAAGGTGCGTGTATGCAGCTATGCGGGCATTCTCTCCGCTCATTCTGCAACATTCCCTCGCGCTGTCCTCAAAATATTCCACATGATGTGTTTATTCGTCGGGCTTCTCAGACGCGCGCAGAAGCTACCAAACATTACGAGTCCAAGGTCGAATACATCCGGACGAACCTCGAAGCGCTACAGGAGACGATCCAGAAGAAGCAGGAAAACATGAACTACCTCATCAACATCCTCCAAATGAAGCTCCAGCAACAGGCGGGTGGGAAGGACGGAAAAGCCAGTTGAGGTGCATGGATACTTATGAAGTAGATAGCGGTGAGTGAAATCATGCTGCATACATCATCATCGTGTTTAGTTTTTCATCCAGAACCCCCACAAATGTACGCATACATGTAACAATAGCGCTTTCCTTACACGAACATGAACGAGGCGCGAAGCTGAGCTACTATGTCTTCACTGTCGTGTCTTGCACAGGATGCAGAGTTGCAAGGTAGATACTCCACTACAGGGGTTTCCTCTGTCATTCAACACTCCCCGCCAAAACTGCTCGGCTCACTAATTTCTGGCACATGTTTGGCTCGACGTGCCCGTCGAATTTTTCTTGATGTTGTGGCTCTTGTATACTAATCCAGCCATGACTACAAGGTATCACTTCTTACTGCTCCAGCTCAACTACTTGAATTCATATCGCGAGTAAGTCGAATAAATCACGAACAGTTTCTTCGGTTCCGTCGGATATGCCGGGCCGTCGCCGATAGAGGCCGGCGGTTACGCAAGGTCGTGACTGACTGCCTGTGACTCTGGGTGACGGTGCCTCAATTGGGAACGGGCGCAGCGGTGGCTGAGCGCTGAGCGAGAGTGTGGATCCAAGCACTCCTTGCCCCACAACCACCACCATGGCCGACACAAAGGTCGCTTCCAGCAAACTTGCCATGTCCCGCGCTCTCGGCGCTGCCTTCCTCAGCCATCAAGTTGAGCAGCTCGAGAAATCGGTTACCACCGGCAACTGGCGCGACCGCCCGAAGCAGGACAATTGGCGAACTCCGGATCCCGCCAAACGCAACTTTGCCGGCCCAAAGATCATGAAGAAGCGCAACGAAGGCTCCCCGGAGGAGAGGGGGAGGTTCCAGGGTGCCGGGCGAGGCGAGAAGGAGCACGATAAACGCAGCGAGGAGCGTAAGGGGCAGAAGGATGCGGACTTCATCGTACTCGATGCGAGCGTCCTCATACACGGCATCTACCATCTCAAGCAGTGGAGCAAGGACGGGAGGGAGGAGGTTGTGATAGTGCCACTCGAAGGTGCGTTGCCAGGCCCTCACACTCGTTCGTCTCCCCTCACCGAGCCACAGCGCTCAACACCCTCGACCTCCTCAAGAAGGGCACCAGCGCGCTGGCCCAGCGTGCCCGCAACGCCTCGCGCATCCTCGAGGCCCAGGTAGGGACAAACCCGCGCATCCGTGTCCAGCAGGACGACGCCTTTGTCCTCTGGGACAAGATTTCGTTTGACGACCAGACCGCCGCCACTCCCAACATGGCGCCCGAGTGGGTTCGTCGCACGATCTGCTGTGCTCGCTGGGAGGTCGAGCATGCCGCTGAAAGGGAGGCCCCTTTTGCGGGCGAGAAGGGGCAAAAGAAGCTCGCTCCCCGCATCGTCCTCGCCGTCGCTATCCCGCCCGCCGACGCGCAGTTGGACGCACCCACTCCCGCTCCTATCTCTGCGTCCCCCGTCCCTCTGCCCGCTCCCCAGGCCAACAGGCACGAGAGCCGCCTCGCTGGTGCTCTCGTCTCCCGCTGGGCTGCCAAAGCCGGCGTCGAGGTCGTCGAGGTCACCACTGCGCCCCCGCAACCTGCAGGGGGTGCTCCCACCGAGGCCAAGGGTCGCCGGTCCGGCGAGGCCCATGCGAACACACCCGGAGGCGGCAACGGCAGGCGTTCTGGGGAAGAGGACCGGGCGAAGCGCGGGGGCACCGCTGGGCGTGGGCGGCGCAACTCTCGCGGCGCTGGAATAGGCGCCGGAGCTGCTGCCCGCGCGCCCGCCCCTCCGGCGGTGAACTCGAGCCTCGTCGAACGCCCCGCAGCGGTGATGACGATGATGGAGATGGTCACGCAGCCGAACCGCGTCGTTCGTGTGCTCGCGCGTGGCGAGAAGCTCGACCCGTAACGGCGTGCGCCGTGGCGTCATACACCAGGTGCGTCTCGTAATCTCGACCTTCTCATGGGCCCACGAAGATTCATCGTCGACCGTCGTCGCAGATAACACAATTTGCCTGCTGGCTCCAGCCTGCTTCACAGGATCAGTTCAGTATCCCGCTCCGGATGCGCCCGGCCGACTGGTTCCCTGTGCGCGGTCGACCCCTGCTCCGTGTGGCCTCTATTCGACTTGCTACCAAGCGCGTGCGCTGCGGTGGCCTGGCACGACGGCACCCCTTTGGCGGATCTCGTAGATCCTGACGCGACGACGTACGACCAGCACCACACGCATTCCCGCCCGCGACCCACAACACTCTCACCCTCCCCGTCTCTCCGTTTCGTTTCGGCACCGGCAGGACTCAAAGCAGTTGAACGCTCACGTACAACGCCCGGACCGAGGTGTCGAGTCGCATGGTGAGGTGCCCGGTGTTAACTTGTCATGTGGTGAAAGCTGACAAAGTCCGTGTCCGCAGTTGCCTGTTTCTGGTTATGGTCCTTCGTGTATGCGGACGATATCGTCACCTATGAATTCTTCTCCTTGTCCCTGTATCTCCGGCTCGTTTCTTGTATGTTCCGTCCCTCGTATGTTCGTGAATATATGCTTGTTTCTCCTTTCCGACGTGCAAGTGCCTATTGCTGCATACCGTCTGCCGGGGTTCATTGATCAACCACGGTGAGCTACGTTCACCCCGGCCCCGCGTATTCGCATGTTCCATGCTGACCTGAATGATTATCAAGCCCAGGCGCCTAGCGGTCTTGCGACATGTGCGGTGCGAAGATCCGCATGTCCGTCATGCCGACGACGGCCGGGTCGCCAATGCAGGCTTCGACGAAGTCGTTTCATTCCCGTTCACCACCGGCCAGCTGGTCAATTTCATCTCCGTATGTGTTCGATATCTCGGCACGCGTAAATCCAGACCGTGACCCCGGCGGCCACCCAGAGACCCAATGAGCTCATGTTGGGTCACTCAAACCCTCATGCTGACTGCTCTTGCAGTGGTGTGGCTAGTGGCCCCTGAACGGAAGCAGCGTCTGACCAGATACGACCGCTGGGATGAACGTGGCCCCGGAATTCGAAGGTGAGGACCGGCAGCCTTGTACTTGACGCTTTCCATTCACGCAGGTATTTCATAGCATTTTCTCGCAAACGTCATTACTATGCGAAAACGAAGCCGCGAAGTTCGATTCGCGTAAATATGGCGCTCATCGTCCCTCCACCTTGCCTCCACCGCTTCGTGTTCAAACACTGACGTCTTCGTCGAAGGGGGCGCCCATCGGAAAACTCGCTCCGGCGGTGATGTCATGACCGACGGCGCCAGCGTATATATGCGTGCTCCCAGCCATCCGGGCCCCACATTCTCCGTCTCTCTCTGCTCATTATATTGTGGTGGACACCCCGCTACGACAGTACAACACGAACATGGCACTCTTCTACGTGTACGTGGTACCGCCATCCTCGTTTCCATGTATCCTGACTTACATCACTCCAGCGAAGGCCTACCCATTGGGTGGATAGCCATCATGCTCGCCCTCCTCGCGTCCATGGGAGGTTTCATCTTTGGCGTGCGTCTGTTGATCCCCTTCTGCGCCATTGTTGCACGACTTCTGACGCGCGGCGTGCGCAGTACGACACCGGTCAGATTTCCGACATCCTTCTCATGGATGACTTCGTTCTGCGCTTCGCACAGTGCGGCGACCCCACAAACATCTCAACGTGCCAGTTCTCTGTAGTCCGCGAGGGTCTCATTGTCGCCCTCCTCTCTATCGGCACCCTGGTTGGCGCCCTCCTCGGTGCGCCGTAAGTCCACATCCGCACTCACACGTTGACCCGCGTTTAACCTCTCCTATGTCTTCGGATCCTGTGATCGCCCACGATCGTTGTAGTACCGCTGACCGGCTCGGACGCCGATATGCCATGACCGTGGAGTGTGGTGTATTTATGATCGGGGTCATCATCCAGATCACGACCTTCCACTCCTGGGTCCAGTTCGCGATTGGCCGCCTCGTCAGCGGCCTTGGTGTTGGCTCGCTCTCTGCCGCGGTGCCCATGTACCAGGCGGAGACGGCGCCGCCGCAGATCCGCGGGACGCTGACCGCGACGTATCAGTGAGTGCCCTTTTCGCACCTGCTCGATGGAGAGAGCTGATGCGAGTGTGGCTTGCAGGTTATTCATCACCTTCGGCATCCTTGTTGCATGTGGGCTCATATTTTCGTGAGGCTTTGAAGTGTATGCACGCTGACTCAGACTTGGGACAGACTGCATTTCCATCGGTGCCCGCGAAATTCCCGGCTCCGGCTCGTGGCGCACCGTCGTCGGTATTGGCCTGTTGTGGCCAATCATCTTGGGGATCGGTATTCTCTTCATGCCTGAGAGCCCGAGGTGCTTGTATTCTGTATATGCGCACACTGGGCGCTAATGTTGTCCAGGTGGCTTGCTGCGCACGGCCGTTTCGATCAGGCGAAACGCTCAATCGCGCTCGCTCGTGGTATCTCTGCGGAGGAGGCTGATGACCATCCGTTGATCCATCGGGAGGTGCGGGCTCACCCTCTGTCGCGTCCTACACAAGCTGACTCGAATGCCCTACTCAGATCGAGGGGATGCGTTCTGCTATAGACTACGAGAGCAAGGTGAAGGCGGGGTGGCTCGAGTGCTTCAATCCCGAGCGCAAGCAGCTCTACCGCACCCTGTTTGGTATGACGCTTCAGATGTTCCAGCAGCTCACTGGCGCCAACTACTTCTTCTACGTTCGTCCCATCTGCTTGGGCTTCACAGCGCTCTGCGGACTGACACGTACTGTGGCCATAGTACGGAGCGACGATCTTCCTGTCGGTTGGTATCTCCGACTCGTTCGTTACACAGATCATCCTCGGTGCCGTCAACTTCGTCTGCACGTTCGGTGGTATGTACGTCATGGAGAAGGTGCGTCTGCCTCTACATGAACCCACGGCGCGCACTCAGGTCGTTCGATATAGTTCGGGCGCCGCTGGCCGCTCATCATCGGCGGCATGTGGCAGTCGGCATGGTTGTTTGTTTTCGCCGCTGCGGGGACCGCTAAGGATCCAACGACCGACCAGAGCATCGGCAAGCGTGAGCAACCAACTTTCTTCGCAGCACATGCAGACGTTAACCTCGCTTCAGTGATGATTGTCTCCGCTTGTCTCTTCATCTTGGGTTATGCCATGACCTGGGCCCCGTAAGCGCTCTCCTCCCTAGCATACCCTCATCTCCTAACCGTACACTTTCATCCAGCGGCGTGTGGATCCTAATCGGCGAGACTTTCCCTACGCGCACGCGCGCGCGCCAAGCCTCGCTATCCACCGCGTCGAACTGGCTGTGGAACTTCCTCCTCGCGTTCTTCACGCCGTTCATCGTCAAGGCGATTGGCTACCGCTACGGCTTCATCTTCGCCGCCTGCAACCTCACCGGCGCGGTCATCGTCTACTTCTTCCTCTACGAGTCCTCCGACCTCTCCCTCGAGAGCGTCGACATGATGTACTGCGACCCCAGCTGCAAGCCGTGGACGTCGCGCCGGTGGGCACCTCCCGGCTTCCGCGACCGTAGGGACTTTATCCAGCAAGGCCGCGCCGCGGAGGCGGGGAAGCCGCTCGAAGAGGCGCGGTTGGAACATGCGGAGGAGAAGGGGGCGGGGAAGGGCCCGTATGCTGGGGCGTCACCGAAGGAGGCGGGAGAGCCGTAGTGAGGCTCACTCGATTATGAGAACTCAAAATGATCAACCGTGGATGCATATTGGCATGCATTCTCACTTACTAGGTACTTTACAATCGTTTCCGCTGTAATATAAAGGTGCCGTGCAGTACAATGCGCTGATCTTTCAAGGTTGAAGTAGAGTGGATGGTTAATAAGCACTTGAATTGGTTTTTGTGGCCACAAGGAAAAAATGCAGGCGCTACCAGGGGTCGAACCTGGGTTTTGGGAATAACAGAACAGCGTCAGCGAATCAGAATCCCAAGTACACTATAGCGCCACAAGCATGCCCATTGGCTGGATTGAACAACCGACCTCACCATTACGAGTGGCGCGCTCTACCACTGAGCTAAACGGGCGTTGGATAATAACTCCCTATTAACATTTTGACATTTGTAACCGACTCGATCTCCCAGCACGCAAGACGTCACTTGTTAGACGCGTTCCCTCCGAAGACGCGTGTCCCTCCCTTGAGCCACTGCTCAAGCACCTTTCTTTCTCCAATCTGCCCATCATGTCCAACGACGACAACCCCCCACGACGCACAGGTAGTCCTTGGGCTCTTCCTTCAAACAACGGCCCCCGGATCGGCCGCGTTGGTGCGTGGGGCTCTAACCCGTCCTCTAGGTACGTCTCTCTGCTCTCCGCCATATTACGGTATTTTTCGAGCATATAAGCTGATTTTAGTAGCGGAGGATCTTCAGGTGGCCGCCGCATTGCAACGCTTGGCGATATCGGCGGCGGCGGGCCCTCCTTGGGTGGTGGCGGCCATGGTGGTCCCAGCGGGCACGGGCACGGACATGGAGACGACGACGAAGAAGACGAGGAGGAGGACGCTCCTGGGGAGCGTGGTGGGGAGAATTGGTATGCTGGTGGTGAGCGCAGGTGTGTACCCTGCATATCATCCAGTATTGTCTTCTGAGCCCGAGTATCCTTCCGCGTATACCCTATGGATACAGTGGAATCTCGGTCCAGAACCCCGACCGTGGAGGTGCTCCTGGAGGTGATCTCGTCCGTGACCTCCTCCGGCGTGCCCAAGAGTACGTTGCACACCATCCTGCCTCCCACCCGCGACCGTACGCTGATTGGTGAAGTGCTGCTAGGGCGGGTCCACCCACGCCTCCGACTGGCGGCGGTCGACCTCCACGAAGCTATGCGTTTTTCGGCGGCGGCCACACCCTCGGCAGCGACGAAGTCGACAGCACCTTTGTTCCGGATCCGAATGCTGCTCCCCCACGTACGTATCCGTGCTTGATTTTGACACGGAGGTGGGGGTGCTCATCTGCGGCGCACGCAGAACAAGAGGGCGAGACTGCCGTCCGTCATCTTACTTTCTGGCGAGAGGGGTTCACGGTTGAAGACGGTGAGCTCATGCGGTACGATGACCCGGCCAACGAGCAGATCCTGGCTGAGATCAACTCTGGGTGAGTTCATATATTCTGTTCCACGACCTGCAAAGGGGGATGCGTTGCCCAAAGGCTTGCACCACGTCCCCTGGACCCGATGCCGGTCCGGTCGTTCTCTCACTGGGAAGGGCAATCTCCAGCTTTGCCATCGTGTTTCCTCTGAGTTTGCAGGGCGCTCACGTTGATCACCCTTCTAGACGTGCTCCACCTCAAATTCTGAATGTACAGCCCGGCCAGCCCGTCGAGCTCTGCGTCGTCAAGCGCCTCGACGAAGCCTACGTGCCCTCCGCCCGCGCACAACAAGCCAAGACGTTCTCCGGGCAGGGTCACCGCCTAGGTTCCCCTGTGCCTGGTATCGTGGGCGCAGGCGAGAGCAGCGGCGCGGTCCCCGGAGACTTCCCTGTCGCGAGCGGTAGTGGTGGTGGTAGCATGGCTGCAAGCATCAGCACCCGCTTCGAGGTCGACCAGACGAAGCCAACTACAAACATCCAGATCCGGCTCGCGGATGGCTCGCGGATGGTGGCGCGGATGAACCTGACGCACACCGTCGGGGACATCCGCAACTACATTAACGCGTGAGTCTTTTTCTTCGCTCGTGCTGTGCCGCGACCTGGTGCTGATGCACGGGCCGACGAGATAGATCGCGCCCGGAGAACCACGCGCGGGCGTATGCCATAATGACGACGTTCCCGAACAAGACTCTCGAGGATGACAACCAGACCATCGAGGCCGCCAAGCTCGCGAACAGCGTCATCGTTCAGCGTTGGGAGTAGAGTCTGGGAGGACATTTCCGGGGCCGGTTGTGCATCTTGGATGTGAAGTTGCGAGTTGAGTGTACCATATGAGGTAGATGAAGGTCTTTGCAACTGTATATCGTCAGTATCACGATCTCGCATGGATCATTCAGACGCACCGCTCGGTGTATGCTCTGCGACCCCGAAGACAAAGTTTGTAAGACTTTTAGTACGGCGATGTCGCGTTTGAGAAATATTTTCGGGCTAATATTTGACGCCCTCGTCACACCCATCCCGCCCGTCGTCGGCCCCACCACCACACCCTTGTCTTTCCCCACCACCATCTCTCATAGATCTCATTCTTCCTCGTCGCCGTACGCGCTGGCGCGCCGTCCGCGTCGTGCTGATAGACCAGGAAGTGCGCACAGAGGACGATAGCCCATAGGCCCGTATACTAGCGAGTCGCGTGACGGTCCACGCGTCTGGGGTGAGCACCATGTACATATTCCGCGACCTTATGTATGCGCGCCAGCTTATGCATTGATTGGAGCAGATTGCGGGGCAGCTCCCAGGCCACGACGCGTTATCGCGCTAGCCGCACGACATAACGTCGGCCGCACCTCTTTCAGTGCTCGCTTGCCAAATCATCGCGGACCACGACTACAGGCCAAGATCGCGGAACACGACCGCAGGCGTAGAAACCACAGACCACGGACGCCTACAATCCATCGGTAAAGTCATGAGCGCGTCCGCGGTGCTGCAGCCCCTCAGCATGCCTCACTCAAACCCTCACCTGAACGCGAACCGGACGGAGCGAGTGCGCGGCAGAGCGCAAATGCGGACGTGCGGGCGCTGCACGGCCGTGCTTGAGATCGGCTCCAGGAATACGTGCTGTCCCAGCTGTCGAGGAGTGCGTGCGGGCCCGTCGCGGCTGCAGAAAGTACAGAGGCCAGGGCAGAAAGATTGCTATGCGGTGAGTCCTTTGCCCGCGTCGACTCGCGCGTTCCGGAGCGATGGTCGCTGAGGCGATCGCACACCACAGGTCGTGGCGTGCGCGGCGTGCAAGACCCCGCTCTACACCGTGCCGCTCAGCTCGCCCGACGCCCGCCTCCAGCTGCTCTGCGTTTCCTGCGGTACTGCGCGTCATCATGGCGCACCCCATCCCGTGGCAGGAGTTGCGCCTATCCCGATTCCTTTACCACCAGGAAGTGCACCCATCCCAGGACACCCGCTTATGCGCGTTGTGCCCGTCTCTATCCATCCACCGTACAGCATCGTGCCCATTCCTGTTCCTCGACCTCCACCCGTTTCCAGACCACCCCGCACAGCTCCGCCCCCTCCCCAAGCACCTCCGTCATCTCATCACTCAGTGCCGGTCCCACCACCTCAGTCGGCTCGCTCTGTCCCACCCCAGCAACCACATGATCAGCAATCACAATCCCAACGACCACTACCACCTCGCAGTAAGGTCTCGCACGCCTTCCTGCGCGGCGGACAAAGCTTCTACGATGTGCTCGCACCCTACGTCGACCCGGAGTACCGCTACGTGCTGCAGGATCGTGCCATCCCATTACCACCCGGCGTCATTCAGGTTCCCCCACGCCCGTACTGGGAGCCCATGAGTGAGGAGGAACGCCGGAAGGCCGTCGCGATGCCGCACTTCAACTCGAGGGGTGAGATCATCGCGAGGATGAAATCGCCCCACGACGTGCCCGCGCCGACGTGGCCTACCCGCAGCCTGGTGGACTTTCCGGCTGCTGTGTCTACGAAGGCCCTCAGGCGTCCTCAGGAAGAGTCGGAGCGAACCGGGGCGTCACAGAGATTGGAGCCTGTTGCACAGGAACCGGTGAGTTTTGACTGCTTTCCTGTGCACGACAAGTGCTTATATGTGCGTGGTATAGATTCGGATCGACGCGCCCTCTGTGTCTGCGGAGGCCCTGAAGCATCTTCAGGAAGAGCCGGAGCAAACCGGGGCGTCACAGATAATGGAGCCAGTTGCACAGGAACCGGTGAGTCTTGGCTGCTCTCCCGCGCCCGACAGGTGCTTATATGCACGTGGAATAGACTCGGATCGACGCGCTCCCAGCGGGATCGCCGCCGATCCAGCCCCCGGACCTGTTGGTGAGCAACCGTTTTCCGTATTTTCGCACGTCCCTCGCCAACTTTTGCGCACAATCAGACGCCGACCCCGACGCGTCCAGACGGCCCATCTCCGCGCAAGAAGCGCAGGACCACCGTCCGTGTATGCGCGTCAGCAGAGTGCGACCTGCCCATTCCGGGGGGGTTCCGTGGGTCGCTCTGTCCGGAGTGCGGGTTCGCGCGGTGGCGGACGCAGTTCCGGACCAAGTTCGCGGGGGTGCGCGCGCAACTTGCTGCAGAGCCTGCGGATATAGCCCACGCGGCGGCTCAACTGCCAGCAGAGGTGGAAGGCGATGGTGATCACGAACCCCAGGTCAAGGTTGAGGAATCGGTCGAGAGTGAGGGCTTTTCCATCGAGCCTAGGAAGGCAAAAAGACCCGCGGTTGTGCCCAAGAGGGTCATAGTCGAAATACCCACGACGGGAGCAGCGCACCTGGACAAAGACGACGGGTCCGAGTCGGACGGTCTGCCGCTGGCTGCCGTGATCGTCGCCAAGAGGAAGAAGTCGCCACCGAAGACCAGCACTGCGGAGAAAGAGAACCACGGCCGACAAGAATACTCTGACTCGGAGATGGACGTCCCTCTGTCTAGTATGCTTTCAAGTCAGTCCGGTCGCTTGTCAGAACCCGAAGAAGAAGAAGTTCCGGTCGCAGAGCTCCTGCCCAGTACTCTTCAGAATGCGCCCGTTCCGCTGTTCCCTCCCAGGGTCTCAGTGTCTGTTTCTGCCGTCCCGAAGATACCATTGCCTCGACGAAACATATTTCTTAGAGCCGCCCCTGCTGGCTGCGTTTCAATGCCTTCTACCCCGGCCGACTCACCTAGGTCTGCCGTTAGTCCTGCAGGGCCTGTGCGCCTTCGTATTGTTGTTCCGCCACTCTCCCGTTGCTCGCCCAAGAAACCAACACACCCACCGCCCCTCCCGCAGGAGCTGGACCTCACCGAACCGGAACCGGAATCGGAATCGGAATCGGAGGGGGAGCTGGGAACTGAGGAGTCGCATTCGCCCCTCGATCCCGGGGGTGCAGCTACCACCCCGCTTCTGGAACAGAGCCCCGAACGAGAGGATCCTGTCCTGAGACTCGCACCTGTCCTAGAACTGTCACCATCCCTCGTCTCCGCTCCACAGGTGCGCGTCCGGTGCCCGGCCGCGCCGACACCAGTGAAGCCTTTCTCGAACATCCGTCGCGTTCGTCTCATCTTGGGTCCCAAGCCCCCCGCCCGCGAGCCCACTTCGTCGTCGTCACGCGATTCGTCTACCGAGCGTTTACCGAGTCCGTCTCCATCGCGGCGGGTACGGCCGTTGGGGAAGCTCTCTCTCGACTGGGACTCGGACCTCTCGGACCTCACCCCGCTCGAGGACTCGGGCGAGTCCGAGATAGAGAGCGACGCTGAAGACGACGAGGAAGACGTACCTCTTTTCACGGGGCTCCTTGCCCGCTCTCAGCTCGCGTCCACAGCTTCCACCGAATCTTCCGCGGTGGCGACCGCAAACCCACAGAACGAGAAGCATCGTTGGCAGTGCGCCTTCAGCGCATGCGCGAACTTGCTTCCACCGGGCTGGAAGTTCCGGCAGTGCCCGAAGTGCCGGTACACGGCGCGGCAGGAACGTCTACACCTTGCGCGTGGCGGCGTCGATGCCAAGCGTGGGCCGAGGTGCGAACAACGGCGCGAGGAGCAGGAGTTCGAGGTGCGTTCCCGGGTCGTTTCTTTTTTCTCACGACAGTGCTGACGCCAGGTGCACCGACAGCCTCCGGCGGACGGCGACTATTCCGGATGGCGCAAGTGCACCAAGAGTCGCTGCAGCAAGATGGTGCCAGGCGAGGAACAGTACAAGTGGCGCCTCTGCCCGCGATGCCGCCGCCACATGCGCGAGAGCAATAGCCGGCGAGCGCGGCTCATCCGCGAAGAAAAGTGGAAGGCCACGCAGGTGGACTGGACTGCGATGCGCGCCGCCGCGGAGCAGGCAGACCGGGACACGCGCGCAGAGAGCGCATCCTCGGACGTGTCGTCGCGCACCGCGGTCACGGCTGGTAAAGAAGGGGGGCTCACCGCCTTCGTTGACGAGGTGCGTTTTATTTTTCCACCACAGCGGCTCACGACCCGGCTGAGACACACCCGTTGCTCCATGTAGCCCCAGTACCAGCACTTCGCGGCGCTGCTGCTCGCGCTCCGCGGGCGCTTCGACACATTCTGTGCGGCTCAGACTCGCTACCTTCTCTGTACCGCGCGCCCGCCGCCACGACAGATGATGTTCGCGTTCACGGGCGAGTACTCCGTCGTTGCGGACCCCGGCGGCGGCGCCGTCGACGCCGTCGTCGACGTTGTCGTACGCAACGTGCACGCCGCGCTCGGGCTCGCTTTCTCGTGCGCCTCCTCCTACACTCGTCCGTGTCCAGCAACTGACGCTGCTCATCGACAGGATGGCGGGCGTGCGACCTGGACCTGAGGACTCGATCGTGGCGACCTTTTCGTGCACGTACACGGCGCGCATCCCTCCCCCCACGACGTCCGCGCCTCCGCCCACTCCTACTCGCGCGGAGTCGGCGCCCAGTCCGGGCGCATCGGCCGATACGGCTGTCAAGGATGGCGACTCTACGCCTCCGGGGGGCGAGCCTACCGTCCGGGGTGGCGACTGGGCATCCCAAGGCGACGAGCCTACCGCGGATGACCACGCCCCCGCTCTCGTGCCGGAAGGCTCTGCCAAGAACGAGAAGGACGCGCCGCTCGCAGTCACCATGAAGGGCGAGCTCCAAGTCGGCGTCGCGTGGGACCGTCGGCACCGGTGGTTCCCCGGGCAGCGGATCATCGTTTGTTTCAGGCTTGTTGGATAGAGAGTGGACCTGCCTCTTCGCTTGGTGAATGCGGTGCGAGTATGCCTTCGTTTTTGCGTGTCTACGTGTTGTATCAGTGTAATGCTTTCCGCTTCCTTTCGCTCTCCTCGACCGTACCCGTCCCGCCTACGTCGTTCCGGTTGTCGGAGTGCATATCTTTATGCGTTCAATATGCCGTCGAAAAGTTCTAATTAGTGTATGTTCCCTTTTTGGTGTGCCATTCCTGTTACAGTCCTGAATATGCTTTATTGTGTTGCGCTGCCAAATCCTACTGAACGTCTAAATAAACGAATAGCTCTGTTCGCGGATATCTAGACCTAGATGAGCAAGCTTGAGGGACGGAAATGACAAAACATTTCGATAAGTTATCGATTATGCCAGGAGCGTGGATTGAACACGCGACCTCCAGAACTTCAGTCTGTTGCTCTCCCAGCTGAGCTATCCCGGCGTTGTTGAACAATAAACAACAGCACATATCAGGTTATCATACAGGCCGTCGCATCCGTAATATGCTTCACGATCGCGAGCCCCTCAGAATGCGCGCTACGCGAACATGTCCGCCCCCCCCTCCCCCCCTGCCTCACACGGGCGACCGCGCGAGCCGCGGCAGCGGCGCCAGCTGGCTCCCCGGCGCGTCCTTCGCGCCCGCCAGCTCCCGCTCGAACTCGTCCGACTCGCGGCCGTCGGCGGCGCGGAGCAGGTCCCGCTTGCTGAGCACGCCCGGGTCCGCTGCGCCGTGGAGGCGCCGTCGGGGCGGGAGCGCGAAGTCGGTGGAGCGCTCGACGGCGACGGTGCGGGAGACGGTGAAGGCGACGAGGCGGGTCGCGCCGGGGTCGTGCGGCGTGGGCGGGTGGGCGAAGGAGAAGCCGAGGCCGACGCGGACGATGATGAGCATGAAGGAGATGCCGGTCGCGGCGGGGATGTTGTGGAACGCGAAGGCCTCGAGGAGGGACTGGGCGGCGTAGGCGCAGAGGAAGAAGAGCGTCCAGAAGCTGCGGGTCCGCGCGTGAGCCGGCGCGCGCGCGCGAGGAGGAGGAGGGAGAGGGAGAAGGGGGAGGGGGAGGGGGAGGGGACGCACGTGTAGAGCGCGGCGCTCTCGACGAAGATCACGAACGCTTCCTGGGTGCGTAGAGACCGGGGGGCGTGAGCTGCGGGCCGACGCGCGCGGCGGGCGGGCGACGCACCGTGAGGCTCATCCCGGGCAGCATCATCCGCTCGTTCTTCATCGCCCGGTTCGTCGTCCATATCCGGTACGCGATGGACACTGCGAGCGGCGCGCGCTGTCAGATCCCGCTGCGACAGATGTGCACGGGCGGTGCGCACCGGATCCATAAATGTTCGTGCTGCGGCGGGGATCACGAAGCAGCGTGGACGGCGGACGAAGGGTCAGCGGGCGCGACGTCCGGCCGGACGACGGGGGCAGACGCACGAGAGCGTGAGGGCGACGGTCGTGATGACCCGCCGCTGCGACTCGGACACGAAGATGCTCTCGCCCGGGACGAAGGTCGCGAAGAGCTGGACGACGCTCGTCCCGGACGCTGTGCCGAATTTCTCGGGTCAGCGCGCGGTGTTGGCGGGGATGAGGGCGGACGCGCGGGGTGCGGGTGCGACGGACCTGCATAGCCCATGGTGCAGAGCGCGGGGAAGATGATCATGGACCAGCGGTGCCCCCAAACGACCCATATGCGATAGATCTGGGGCAGGGTTCGAGTGAATGGGGTTCAAGGGTCAGACGAGAAAAACAGACTGACGAGAATGATGTCGCCGACGATCACCGAGGCGATGACGAACGCGGTGGACGCGACGTGCGTGGCGGCCTCGATCTCAAGGTAGTACGTCGCGGGCTCTTCTCCCCCGTTTGTGTACACGTACGCGTCGAACAGTCGGCGCACCGTCAGCAGCCAGTGCTGCCACACGTCGATAGATGATCAGCACTCATTCGTGCCGTAGAGATGAATGCATGAGATGCCCACCGCGCTGACGGTCATGAGCAGGATGACAGTGGCGAGGAAGAGCGGGCTCCGGAGCGTCGCGCGGAGCGAGAGCGCGGCGCCGGCCGAGTCCTGCCCGTGTCGGACGACGAGAACGGCGAGGGAGGTGACGGCGAGGACGAAGAAGACGCCGTAGAGCGCGCTCTCGACGCAGACGAGCGCGAGGTTGACGGTGATGATGCTGAGGCCCATCGAGCGTTGCGCGGGAGTAGCGGGGACGAAGACGAGAGAAGGAAGGCGGCTGCGCGGAACGGACGGGGAACGCGATATATACCACATAGAAATGCAGGATATCTTGGTTGCAGGGGAGCGAGGGCAGGAAGGCGATGCCGAAACGCGCGACGGCGCCGTGGGAGGCGAGAGAGCCCGCGGGGGTCGAGAGATCACATCGTGGCGTTGGAGCAGAGATTGGGGAGCGCCTCGGGGCTTCGTAGAGGAGTGATCTTCGACTGAATTATGAGCGTCCCGAGTGCTTCACGCAGGGAAGCGAAGCGACGGATCGTTCTGGTGAAATCGATGGATATAGGGCCGGAAAGGTCGTCAGGGCTGTGAATGACGGATGAAAGCCAAAGAGACAAGAGCTTACGGCACTTTGCAGCATCTGGAGACACATTGTTACGACCGGTCGCAGCTGAATATGCGGGTAGCGTGGGCTGAGTGTGGACACCGGGGTATCCGGCCAATAAGCGTTGGCAAGGGTTCATTCACCTGATGCTGAGGACGTTGAAGTGAACAGTTCAAATCTGAGGCGTGTCCGGGTATGGATGCGACGTTCACAGGATCGGACGTGGAGAAAGTAGAGGACGACCGGCCGACGGGGACTGTGATCCTTTTGATTTCCGCGGTGGCATAGAGTTCGGCAGAGAAGTGATTGCGGAGGCTCGCTGCTCGTGGTCGAGAGAGGATGCGGAAGAGCTGTGGGACGCTTCGTGATCCTCTGTCGCTCACGATGACTGTGCACGTGATGTCGGTGCTGGTTATCTAATCTGCATAGCCTGCCAATGTTGACGACATACAACCAGTCAGAGGCTCCCTCCACGGTCAAACTTAGCTCTAGTCTCACATCCTCCCATTCTCCACCAGCTTCTCAGACATACCCAGCACGGCGCACGGGCAACAAATGTGAGAACAGCGCGCTTTATTTCCACCCACCCTCATCGCACGGCGCGGGATGAGCTCATCGGCACGGATCCACGTACGTCCATCACTCCAAGGCGAAGGCCAGGAAGGTTGATGTCGGAGCTGCTTGGGGCGCATCTCGCGGGACGTTGGGTTTCTTTAATATTCGGGCCAATGACATGGATGAGAGGTGCGTTTTTCAAGCCCGCGAGTTCGACCTGAGACGTCGCTCCCAGTGGCCAGAGAGACAGACGTGCATATTCCCGCTCTATCTCCACACACAAACGGTTTTCGTGTAGGGCCGTCACTGAGGACGACTCTGTGCTTCGGATATCGGAGGGGCAGTGGATAGTGGGTGGGCCCGTCTTCTAGTTCGGCCGCTCAGGGAAGGTGGAGTCCCACAATCGTTGATGCCTCAAGGCTTCGCGATGGACCAAGCCGCATCCTATCCTCAGCTCCAATGTGTACTCATGCTCCTGCTGCGCTTCATGAACACAAAACCTCTCTACGGTTGGTATGTATTCTTCCCGACGTTTCGAGTTTCTCAGCCATTATATGCGACATGAACGCAGCCCAATTTCCGTACCAAGCCGCAAGTCCATCCCCAACCTCCCACTCTCCTCCTTCAAACCACATCGTTCGGCGGCCCCTCCAGTCCGACCGCGGCCTCAAACGCACTGACGACCGCCTCCGCCGCGCCCCCCGTCCCCGACGCCTCCGCCTCCTTCGGCTCCACCAGCCACTTCACCGCCGCGCTGCAAAAATTTCCCCAACGCCCCGCGTCAGCCCCCGCCCGACGGTCCCAGACCCCGAGACGCGCACTCACCCCGACGGCTCGTGCGCCGCGACGGACGAGAGGCTCGCGGGCGGGACGTGCGCCCGCACCGCGTCCCCGATCGCGCGCGCGAGGTCCGGCGAGTCCACGCCCAGCGCCGCCGCGAGCGCCTCGATCTTGCTCTCCACCGACGTCCTCCCGTCTCCCCCTTCTCCGTCTCCTTCGTGCTTGTGTTGGTGTCTGCACCCGTACCCGTGCCCGTGTGCGTAGTGCGCCTCCCGCCCGTGCTCGTGCCCGTGCCCGTGCTCGCGCATGGCGGGCGTGCGCCGGCCGAGCGCGAGGTTCCACCAGCCGCCGACCTCATGCTTGAACGCGACGAGCCGGTACGCGTACACCGCGAGCACGGCGAGCGCCGCGAGCGCGAGCGCGTAGTTGAACCGCCGCAGGGACGTCCCCGCGAAAGGCGGCGACACCGACCGGAGCATCTTGCCCTCGCGCGCGGGGGGCAGGTCCGACGGCGACGTCTTCGCCGCGCGTTTGCCGTCGTCGCTGGGGGCGCCGGTGGGTGTGGGTGTGGGTGCGAAGGCCATTGTGCGCGGTGAGCAGGTAGGATGAGAGGAGCGGTGGGTAGGCGAGTGGGGCGCGCGATGGGTGGGTTGTCTGGCAGAGCATACGCGATGGGCGTTATGTAGGTGGCAGAGGGAGCCACTCCAGAGACGGATGACATCATGAACGACGACACCTTGGTCCCGGGTGTCCGTTGTGCAAGCATACATAGTCAAAAGCTGCGTAGTTTATATCGCCGGGATAGCTCAGCTGGGAGAGCAACAGACTGAAGTTCTGGAGGTCGCGTGTTCAATCCACGCTCCTGGCACTGAGGGATAGATATGAGACTTTTTTCATCGGCCCGCTCCACAGCGGCGCCGGTACATGTGTGCTGTGATCTAACTTAGGCCCTGGTCGGCTGCCCGTGGGATGGGCTCCCGCGCCCACCGAGACGGGCGTGTACCCATCCCGAGCCCGCAGCCCATCGTGCTGCAGGATCATTTTGGCGGGAACCCAGCCCATCCCACGGACAGCCGACCAGGGCCTAAGTGATACCTTGAAGCTGCAGTTACACAAAACCCCACAATGAAGCGACGCATGTAAAGTACAATACTGAGTCGGGCAGTGGTCCTCTTGAGCTTCATTCTCGGCCGTTGCTTGTCTCTCTCAACCATTCCATGAGCCTACGCTCGCCCCCGACGTCGGAAGCGCCTTGGCGAGCCCTCTGCCAGCCGCCTATTTGCGCACGGGCTTCAGCCGACGGCTCGTCTCCGGAACCACAACTTTGTTCTCATTATACACGAAGGACAGCAGGGGGGACGGGAGCGGGAAAGGCTACGGGATACATACGCGCACCAGGCCGCACGGCGAGCACGTACCCTACGGTGCTCGACCGGGCGCGGGCGGGAGAGTCCAAGATACGTCTGTCGGGTCCGTCTGGCGGCCCGCCGGGGGTCCGGTGCTCGGGGTCACTGTCTATATATGGGGAAGGGAGGGAGGGGGGCGCGAACGATCAACGGGGAGGCTGGGCGGGGGCGGCGGGGCAGCGGGGAAGGGGGGACGGTGGGTACCAGTACAGCCGGCGGTATCGAACTGCGTGTTTACAAGGCGGGCGGCGTCGTCTTCGTCTTCGGTTTCGGTTTCGTCGTCGTCGTCGTTATCGTCGTCGGCTTCTACTTCTGCAGCGGGCTTTGGAGGTCCCCTCGCGTCTCCGCTCCGGGGGGCTGGAAGCAACTCCTGCGTCCGTCCGGTCGTCTAGACCGTGCGCCTCCACACCCCGGCCTCGACGCCCATCGGGTAGTCGTACATTTGTTCCGTGTTAACTTCGTATATCACCTGATCCACGGGGTCGTGTCGTCTCGGAGAATGGGGAGTCGAAAGGGGGAGGTGAGGGGGAGCGAGGAGAACGGGGGACGGCGCTCTTTGAGGACACCTCGAGTCTCGAGACAGGAAACTGCCACACCCCGTGCGTGCAGCGCCGACGCGAACGGTGAGGGGTCCGCACTTGACGACAGCGGGCGCCGACGCGGAGTCGGAGGCGGAGGCGGAGGCGGCGGCGGGTAATGGGGTGAACGGGGCCGGTGGTGAAACTGCGAGGGCGGAGGTCGGGAAAGGTATCCAAAGCCGAGTCCAACGTCGGTAAGCGCCGTCCGCTCCGGCGGGCGGCGATAACGCGAGGCGTTGGAGGAACGCGCGTCGTTGAGGGCGCGCGCCGACCGGGACTGGAGTGAGAATATGTGAGCGCTGGTCCGCGAAGCGGTCAGAGGAGGAAGAAGGTCAGAGTGGGGAGGGAGGAGATAACGAGATGTAAAGGTAGGCATACAGCGAAAGGGGAGCCGAGAACATCAAGTAGCTAGGGCACGAATCAACGGGCACTGGGGGGTTATTGTACATTTACAAGATACGCTGAGACGCAAATCGTACATTATGGCAGAAGGTGAAAGGAAGGGGGAGCATATGTGGAAGACCAGGCACGGAATAATGAAACACGATATCGCCCAAGAAGTCGTCACTCACGGAGAAGTATCGTACACATTCGTATCGTCGAGCCGAGATAGCTGCGGATTGGGACACCGGGTCGAAAACTAGGACGGTGGGAAGCAGAGAGAGCAAAGGCGCAAAGCATGCACATACATACGCTAGCCAGAGACAAGACAGCGGTCGAAAACATGTCGACGAACCATGTGCGAGAAAGAGCAGCGGAGAGCAGAGGCGGGGTGGATGCACTGCAGTCGCGAAGCCCACTCACGCGCCACCGCCGGCTCCCCCACTGTTTCGCACGTCGCTCTCCGTGATATCCTGGATGGTCGTGTTCCCAGACGGCGCTGCTCCCGCGCTCTGCGAGTATCCTGTGTATGGCGGTGGCCAGTGTACCGGCTGGTATGACGGGTAGCCGGAGGCAGGAGGCGCTGGAGGCGCAGGAGTAGAATAGTACGCCGGGTAGGCAGCCTGAGTAGACGAACCACTCGCCGTATCCGAGGAATACGGGTACGACGAAGACGCAGCCGGGGCAGATGCTGGGGGTGACGGGCTGTCTTGAGGGGGTGTCGTGGTCCCAGGGGCAGGGAGTGGTGGCTGGTAATGCCCCGGGGAGTAGGCGTGAGGAGGTGGGTATGTAGGAGGATTCACGTAGTAGCCGTAAGGATACGGCAGGCCGTTGTCTGGGTAAGTAGTGGGACCGTGGGCAGGGGCGCTCAATGGTTGCGTAGGAGATTCTCCACCAGTGGCCTCCGAAATGCTGCCCGCCGAATTATTCTTCTTACGGGTGCGTTTCCCGACGGTCGAAGGAGCGTAAGGGTCGAACCTCTTCTGACGCTTGCTCGACGACCCTGAACCGTCGTAATAGCCCGAAGAGAGAGGTGCAGGGAGGAGACGGGGGGAGAGTTCGACATCGTCGGCCTCGCCACGGTAACGCGGAATGCCGTCGACACCAACTTCGACCTTGGGAGGGTTGCGGAAGTGAGTCTTGTCGAGATATTCGGGGCTGATCGTCAAGGACGCGAGCTCTGGCAGAGATGACGGAGAGCGTAGGCGACCCTGTTCGACGTCTTCGATCTTGTAGTAGGAGATCAAATGTTGAGCAACACCCCCGATAGTGAGCGAGAAGGTCTGAGAAACATGCGGTCAGCGACGGAGAAGTTACGGCGGCAGAGGGAGATGGAGAGGAGGCTGGGAGGGCGATGATACCAGAGCTGGCTCCTCGTTCGAGGGAGCCAATAGCAAGCGACGGCTGTCAGCCAGATATAGCTGCGCTATCTGCCAACCAACTGACAGAGAAGACCAGATGAGAGCGCCAGGGCGCAAGTTTGCAGCCATTCCCATGAGCGACCACACGGGCCACAGGAAGCCACCCAGAGACCAGGCTGGACCCTTCACACTTACGGCAGGAGAAGTGCGTCATCAAAGAATGCAGTGGCACGGCGGCGCGTACGCGACCGGTCGCGGTCGCAACTCGCGAGCCGATGCGTTCGGACATGGGGACGGCGATGAAGGTGACGGTAGCGCAGGCAAGAGACAAGTCGCGTCGCGAGCGCTCGGCGAGGTGTGAGACACAGGGCCATCGCGCGACGAAGACTTGGGGCCATCGAGGACCCGGCGAAAGCCATCCCATCGTGCGCCCACCTCTTTTCCCGACACCGAGTGAGAGCATCTTCCCAGCGCCTCGAGTCTGGCCAATTGCCTGCAGCCGGCGAAATAACAATGGCCGGACGAGGGCTCGCCATCGGGTCCCGTGGTGAACGAAGACGAAAGTGCCGCACTCGCGATGATGCCGCCCTGATGGGGGCGAACGACCGTGCGTGTGGCGTGGGTGGTCCGAACACTGCGGTAGGGAGGCGCATCCACAGAAGCAGAGACCATAGACAGCGCGCCTGAGCCAAGAGGTGTAAACCGAGTACGGGGGGACGCATGCGCAAGGTATGCGCCCCGAGCCGCCCATAACACCCAAAGTAGCAACGGATATGGTGGGGTAATATGGGCGGTTCAAGGCGTATACAGCCGCAATGCGTGCGCAATTGCGATACGCAGAACGAGGTAATGCTTATCGGATTGTGCCCAGCAGACGCAAGACGACTGCAGGACACGACCCAGCGGGAGCGAGCGTAGAGCGATGGGACCGCGAGTGGGGGAGGTGCATAGAGAGTGGAGACAATAAGCGACTGAGGACTCACTTTCTTCATCATGCCGCCTTGCTTGAACTTGTAGCTGTTCGTGAGGCTCCCAACCAGGATCCTCTCCCTCTGGCGGTCGATGCCCAACCTTGCCGCTTCGCTCTTCGGCCGGGACAAGGTCTGGCCCTCCGACTTGGGTACATCTGGATCGTCCGTGTTCGCTGCTGCTTCAGCGCGTGCACTCCTGTGGCCGGCGCCGCGTTTCTCGGTTTCGCGATAGAGGAGAAAATTGCCCAGGATCCTGCTCGGGCTCCAGAAGAAGCCGTCGGTCCAGCGCTTGATGCCGCTCTCGTCCTCGTCGAAGACGAAGACAGAGCCAGAGGTGATCATCTTGCGCTCCGAATCGACCAGGCGGCGTGTGACGCGCGGAATTAGACCCCTCCGCGCGGCCTCCAGGATGAGCAACGCGTCGCCAGTGGTCTCTATCCAGCCCGACCACGGCGGCTCCGTCCACTGGGTGTTGTTCGATTGGGGATCGTGGCTGGACATGGTGATATATGCGCGGGGAGTGATGGAGGCTGGAGGTCGTTGATCATGGCGCGTACGACAACCAGAGCACAGAGGGCAGGGTGGAGGGAGGCGTCGGGGACGGCGCGGTCGTCAGCGACAGCCCGGAGAGAGTTTGTAAACAAAGTTGACTGACCGCGAGTTAGATTCGGAGGGCTGGTGGGCGAGGCAAAGAAGGTTCGCGCCCCGCCCTGCCGACCCCGCCACAATTGGACCCCCTCCGACGCGCCTCTTTTGAGCTCCGCCTTCACTCCGCCCCCAAACTCCGACGCTTTCAGCCACAACGCCCCGCCGCCTGCGCTTGCCATGAGGATTGTCCCGCCCTCGCGTCCCGTCGGAGACCGTTCTCCATCCTGCGGCGCTCGGCGGACCCTCCCACAGCATCGCATCAATTTTGGACTCCGAGGCGCATCTAGGTTTCGCCTATGTCGCGGAATATGAACGCGGGATCTAACCCAATCTAGCCGAAGGCATCTCCTGCGAGCGCACCCCCGCGTAGAGGATCATAGTCTGGACCTCTCTCATCATTATCTGCCACTGCGCCCGTCCGGAACCACACTGATTTGCGTCTTGACTCCCAACCGTGCACACTGCCTTTCGCTGATCATACCCGCCCGCGCAACCGGCCCCGGTTCACCCCGCCGTCTCCTCGATGTGCGGTCGCTCGTGGTCCCCGGCAGGGAGCAGCGCTATCGCCTTGGCCTCGAGTTATCTTCGGCGAAGCTCGAGCAATGTGCCCTTCACGCCCGCAAAAGGCCAGCGCGCCTTCCAGTCGCCTCAAAATGCGCATTTCATTCACGTCGCTTAAGCATCTTCCATCCCGCCGCCTGTCCCTCCCACGCGGCGATCTCCACGCTCGAAGCGCGAGCTGCCATGCGCCGATCTTCTTCGCCATGGGGCCCGCCTGGTGTCTTACACGGTGCGGCCCAGGTTTACGCGGAGTTGTTGCTCAACTCCGACAGCAAGGCCGCGCGCTGCGTCGCGAGTCAATTATCGGGCCGTTTGATCAGCGGGGTGACAGACGAATGGCCCTCATCCGAGCCTCCCTTCTGGACACAGCTTTCAGGTGACTGAGACGCAGAGTTGGCCTGTATCTACAGCGCGAGTGCTGCGCAAATCAGCAGTCGAGTTCTACAACACTCGCCCAGGAAACGATCTGCTAAACACCGAGGAACGGTTCTCTCTGCCGCCTCCGCAATTAGGCGCGTATATCAACCAGAAATCCACGATACTATTTCCGCACCTCCGATTGGACAGTATCGTCTGCCCACTTCTCCACGCGACATTGACGCAGCAAACCGCCCGACAGACGGCGAAAAAGGGAGACATCTATGCACAAGTGCACTCACCATGATGTGCAGCCAACTGAGTGATCGGGTACTTCGGATGCCAGGGAGGTGGAGGAGGAAGCCACAGTTCCGGTCATCGAGGCCCAAGATAAGTCTTTCGAAAAGCACTCCGCCGACATGTCTAACAGCGTGTATTCAGAAGGGGCACGGTCAGAACATGTCCGGGAAAAACTATGGGAGCTCTGCACACATAACAAATCCGCGCTTCCGCACGGTGTCAGTCACCACAACGAGGACACAAGCGGTTGTGTGCGTTCAGTTTGCATCCTGTTGTTTTTTGTCGGGCTGTGGTTCATAGGACCGAGAGGCTGGCCGTGGAATGGTGGAAGGGGACACACCAATACCGTCTCTCTTCGCGCGGTCAGGTTCTATGCGCCCAAGTTTGGTGGCATGCCGAAACCGCTCGACAGTGACTTCGGCTCAGCGTGTGTAGAGTCTTTTCGAGGAGGGTCCGCGTGTATGCGAGATCGGTGCTGTGAGACACATGGATACATTACATAGCGAGCCTTGATGGAGTCAGACAGACAGGCTTGCCGGTTTGAAGAGTTGAGGGTGAAATCACACACCGCTACTTACATATGAACTTTGTTTCCGCCGAACGAGTCGAAATGTCTGTCCTATTGTGTTACGGCTACTGTTGTGATACGCACCTTTCAGTTGTAAGGTCGAAACTGGAGTCCAAGATGTCCTTGGTGGACTCAGTTAGGGATGCCACAACGCAAATATGGCCAAACTTTTCCAGCCGGAAAGTGCCGGAGCACGGACCATGGCTGGATTTGAGCGCTCGAGCGCTCCTTCAGGCTCGCTCAATCTTACCCAGCTCCCCGTTCATCAACCTCTTGAGCAAGGCAGACGACGCATCTAGCCACTGTTCTCATAAAATGACACGGAGCCTTAATCACCTGCTTCAGTAGGAACACTCTCCATTATACCTTAGGCCATACTCTTGACGATTCCTTACCCTCAGCTGAAACCGTCCTTTTCCCGATACTAACATTCAGATACCTTATGGGATAGATCGTCAGCATCAAACTTAACTCTCCTTCGCGAGGAGCGCTCTTCGCATCCGTCTGCGATAACATGGGGCCCACAGTAAGCCATCGACTTCGCTGTATGTGTTATACTTGAGTAACGAAACGTGCAGGTGGACTATGGGGAGCGAACTCCCCCGCCTCTTACGTATCAGTAACGCAAGGTCTAGCAGGCACTTTCGAGTTCTCTCGGGAGTACCTGTGTCGGTGCCTCGCCGGTCGGAGGGGCCGCCGCCACTTCACTCTAGTCTCGGTATGCAGAAGGTCATGCATTACCCGATCAGACCGCTGACTTGTCTCTCAGTTGAATGCGATGCGCCCTGTGCCTTAGAAGACCCATCCGAAGAGCAAGGACTATTAACGGCCACTGACGGTTGACGTGATTTGTTTCATTTAACGCCCCTGCCTTCTTTCTTTCATTGTCCTGGCAGTACTGCACCCACATCCAAATCCGTCAAACCCCTGTGCCGCCCTTGTCATGCGGTCCCGCGTGAACACTTCCCATACCAAGGCACACTTTCCTGATCCGACGTCCGTTCATGTTCTCCGATGCTAGCGTCCTTCTTCCCCGGCCAGGAGTGAAGGCTCGAACGCCCGCGCTGCCGCCCTGACAGTTCCGTGCCTACTTATGACTACAACGCCGCGCATCTCGACGCCCGATGACCGGCCCTCCAAGTCCCCCAGCGGAAGGCCCAGCGCTCAGCGCTCAGCAAGCGCGCCCCGCTGATGTAGCGCACATTCTTGGTCGGCACCTACCCTGACCGCGCGCCCGCATCTGGCGCGCACCATTCGGGCACAACGCGCGACCCGCTCGTTCATGGACCGGCTGGCCACGCCAAGTCCGCGTGCGGCCTCGGGGCCCGCGTGGTGTCGGAGCGCTAGAAATGGACACAACGCCCACAGTCTTCGCCGCCTTCCGCCCGCCATCCTGTCGCCGGTCGCGATCCCGACTGCCATCTGGAGGCGTCTCGGCGCGCAGCCCGCGCGAGGGTTCTCGAGTTCGTGGCGCGCGGGGGAGACGGCGCGCACACCGGAGATGACAACGACCCCGAGCGAGATCCGTGCGAAGGATGGGTGTGGGCGCTGCGTCCCGCCAGGGCGGCCGGGCTCGGGACGTCGGACAGGAACTGCGCGGACGAGACACTTGGTCAGTCCGCACTTTGCTACCCATTATGATCATTTTTCACACCATCGATCGTCAGGTCAGTCTTTAAGATCCGGCCTCCCCGTGCTGTCAACAAATGAGGCAGGGCTATTGCTCGCTGTCCGCGCCCTGTATTGCCATATCTGATAAAAGATCTGCGGCCACATCGTTCCTGTGCCGTCTGGCGCGCGCACCGTGGCATCGGCTAAGAAGATCACAGGGAAGGCCACTCATTCTGTGCAGCGACGGCATATATTGTGTGGGTATCCGTACTGGCACGATCCGAACAAGTCATTGACGCTCTTGTTCTCAAGCCTCATGTGCGTACTGGGTCTGTGATCCAGATGCGCCAGGCGTTGCGCCAGGCGCTGCGGAACGCGCGGTCAACCGCACATCAAGCACAAGGTTCGAGCAGTCAAAAATGGGCCAACAGCCAGCCATAGCAGGCTTCATGGCGCTGTCAGATGACCTGCTCAAGCCGCGCGACGCCGTGTGTGCCCAAAGTGATCCGATAGACACAAATGGTTAGTGCGCGCCGTCGGCGCAAGCCACGAAAGGCCCGAGGAGAAGACACAGAAAGCCACACGCGCCGAGAGTCCATCTCGAATTCCCGGATCCATTGGCTCTAGACGACATCAAGGCCGTCCTCGACTCTTCCAGCGCCGTGCAGGGGCGACTTCACTTCACGCCGGTTACGCCGGTCGTTGGCAGCTTGGTTCGCGAGGGTCAAGCCTTCCTGGAATATCCGCCGCCGGCCGGCCATTCCATGATAGTTCGGGTGACGCCTTGGACTCACAGCCTGCTGCTGCCGCTCGCCTGCCGTGCTTCTTGTGCGGCGGAATGGACCTACTTATACCGCGCCGCGATTATACCTCACTCTCCACAGCACCCCCATATCCTCCAGACATCGGGTTGTGCTCACCATGACCGCTCTCCTACATCTGACGGTGCTCGCACTGTCACTTCCACCAGTACGCGCTGACTCTCTCTACCGCTTGTGGTGTTGCACTGACCATACCGACGTTGCAGATCGCACATGGTTCCGCGCTGCGTGCCCGCCAGGCTCCCACCAGCGTGTCGGGCACCGATTACTCGTTCTTCGGGTGCTACACGTACGTCTCTCGTCGTTACGTGCAGGCTTCGGCATGGCATGCTCGCGCTCGCGCTGACATCACGCCCCATGGGCGCCATCCTTATTCTAGCGACCAAGGCGCGCGAACGCTTGGCGCGGCCACGTTCACGAACACGACCGGCATGACAGTCGAGTCGTGCGTCGGCTTCTGTTCGCAGCAAGGCTTCAACTTCGCGGGCCTCGAGTTCGCACAGGAGTGCTGTGCGTGTCCAACACGCCCACCGTGCAACAGATCGCCCACTCACGCCCGTCCACGCGCTATTTTTGTATCCATGCAGGGTGCGGCGACTCGCTCGCGAACGGCAGTACCAACGTCACGGAATCCGACTGCAGCTCTCACTGCACCGGCGATGCCCTTGAACTCTGCGGCGCCGGGAGTAAGGACACTTTCTGCTCAGATTGCGCAGTACTGACCTCCGTGCCACCGTTGCTAGACAGGCTCAGCGTTTACTGGAATGGAGTCGCACCACCGCCTCCTCCCATCACGGTTCCATCTGTCGGTCTTTGGGAGTCCCTCGGATGCTACAAGTGAGTTGATCCCATCTCAGACCAAGAAGCGATCATTCTGACACCATTCTCGGCCCACAGTGACTCAGTCAATGCTCGCGTGCTCTCTGTCGGCATTAACGTCCCGGGCAACTTCACGGTCGAAAGCTGCACGGAAGCGTGCTTTAATAGCAATTACCCGCTCGCCGGGATGGAGTTCGCGACCCAGTGCTGTGCGCATCATCGCACCTTATGTCCGCGCCCGCACTCGCGCTAACGTCACCCGTTTCAGTCTGCGACACCGCGTTCCGAAACATGGGCGCACCTACGCCGCTTTCGGACTGCAACATGGTGTGCGCCGGCAATAGCTCCGAGTTCTGCGGAGGCCCGAACCGCTTGAACGTGAGCGTCCCGCTGACTCTAGCTCAAGCGCTGGCGGTACTGACCCTCGCGCGCGCGCCCACAGGTTTACAACTATACCGGCACGATCACAGGCACCCCCACCGGGGGCAACGGGAACGGGAACGGGAACGGGAACGGAAACAATCCGAGCGTCGCGCCCGTCACCACCGGCCTGCCTGCGCCGTGGGCGTACGCGGCGTGCTACGTGTAAGTGGCGCGCGGAGATTCTGCGCGCGGGCTCTGGCTCGCGCGTTCGTATTGCAGCTGGGTCTGACGAACGCCCGCCGCGCGCGGCGCTTCCTCTCCCCAGCGACAACGCGCACGGGCGGATCATGGGCAAACAGCTCGACGACGACCAGACTCTGACCGTCGAGAGCTGCATCAACTCGTGCCAGGGCATGAACTTCACTCTCGCGGGCATGGAGTTCGGCGTCCAGTGCTGTGAGCGGCCCACATCCTCGTTTTCCTGTGTTCTGCCGAGGCTGACTGTGACACGTCGCGGCCAGTCTGCGGGAACACCTTGATCGACGGCGCCGTACCGGGGCAAGAAGATACGTGCAACATGGCTTGTGGTGGGAATGCGACGTCAGTGACGAGTAGTGCCTCCGTGTGTTCGTAACACTGACCGACTTTTCAGCGAGGCATGTGGCGGGCCCAACCGACTTTCCGTACGGACCCTTTCACGATATGTCCGCGGGTCTCTGATTAAAAGCGCCGTCTCTATTCCAGGTCTACACTTCGACAGGGGACGTTATCGCTCTCCCGGTTCCAACTGCGCAGAACACGAGCCTTCCTGGTACGTTTTTCGCAAGCGCCTGTGAACGGGAAGTGCTTACGGTGCCCATCCGCAGGCCAATGGCAGTACAAGGGATGTCTTCAGTGAGTAGCCACTCGAAGAAGTTGCGCTCGCAGCGTCTGACATGTGTTCTATCTACAGGGAGCCGCCTAACGGTGTTCGAATCTTCCCTTATCAGAACATCTACACGAACAACATGACCATCGATCTTTGCCTCAACCAGTGCGCAGCCTTCGGATACCCAGCTGCCGGTGCTGAATTCGGAGACGAGTGTTGTGAGTGCCACCATCGAGACACTTAGAGCGCGGTGCTCATGATGTTCCCAGGGTGCGGAGATGTCTCCGATACGGCTGCGAGCCCAGGATTCGCGCCTGAGACTGATTGCAACCTCCCGTGTGCGGATGATCCTATCCACCTCTGTGGTGGCGCCGCCCGCATTCAGTACTATGAATGGAACGGCGTCATGAACGACTGGCACACCCCTGCAAACACCGGTCGCTACGAGGTAGATCCCGAAACCTCCTGATCACTGCCCGCGCGCTGATGTTCCTCAGTTCTTCGTTCCCGGAGTTGTCGTCCCCCTGCTCGTCACGCTCGGCATCAACAACAAGGTCACCTTTGTGGAGAAGTTTGGAACGAGCGAGTTCGACAACTCCACCGGAGCTTACGAGCTGGACCTCAGTCTCGTCAACGACTTCTCCAAGACATGGCGCACGATGCACGTCGAGACGGACGTCTTCTGTGCAGGAGCTATCGTACTCCCGGATCGCGCCGGTCGGCAGCTTGTCGTCGGTGGGTGGTCGCTCGACAGCACTTTCGGTGTCCGCCTGTACGCTCCCGACGGAAGCTCTGGCGTCAATGGCACCAACGACTGGGAAGAGAACAACCAAGAACTGAGGTTGCAGGTATGTGGTCGCGGCTTCGCCACGGTCACGCTAAGACTGACGAACCTTTGTAGCGCGGTCGCTGGTACCCGACAGCCATGGTCATGTCGAATGGAAGCGTCCTCGTCGTCGGTGGAGAGGTGGGAAGTAACGGTGCTCCTGAACCCACTTTGGAGATTCTCCCGACCCCGGCAGGCGGTCCCACGTACCTCTTCATGGACTGGCTCGAACGCACTGACCCCAACAACCTCTATCCGTTCATGTTTGTCCTTCCCAGCGGGAACATATTCGCAGGTGAGCTTTGTGCGGCTGATGGGAGTAGAAGATCCTGATCATTTTGTCAGGCTACTACAACGAGGCACGCATCCTCAACCCCAACACCTTCGACACCATCAAGACGCTCCCCAACATGCCTGGCTCCGTCACCAGCTTCCTTGCCGGCAGGACCTACCCGCTCGAGGGTACCGCAGTCATCCTCCCGCAGCACGCCCCCTACACCGACCCGCTGGGGGTCCTTATCTGCGGTGGCTCCAACTTCGGTGTCGCTCTTGACAACTGCGTCCACACCCAGCCCGAAGTGGCGAACCCGCAGTGGGTGCTTGAGCGGATGGTACGTGCTTCTGGCGTCGTTCGCTGGATTCGTGTCCCTGGCTGACTTCGCTGGATCCAGCCTTCCAAGCGTGTCATGACGTGCATGGTGAGTCTTCGCAGCGATTGTGACCTAAACCAACGCTAACTGGGCTTTCTTCTTCTTTTAGGCTGGTGCGTTCTTCACGAATCTGCACTGTTATCATGGGATATTAATACACTGCCGCAGCCCTTCCCGATGGTACCTTCCTCATCGTCAACGGCGCCCATCAGGGTGTTGCGGGCTTTGGTCTCGCCACCGACCCGAACTTCCAGGCACTCCTCTACGACCCGGCCCAGGCCGTCGGTTCTCGCATTTCGATTCTCAACAGCACCATCGTTCCGCGTCTGTACCACTCTGAGGCCACTGTGCGTCCTTCCACGCCTTCGTCGCTGATATCTCGGCTGAAACGTTCTCCATAGCTGCTTCCCGACGGCCGCGTTCTCATCTCTGGTAGCGACCCCCAGACGCCCGGCTTGCCTGAGGAGATCCGCGTCGAGGTTTACATCCCGCCTTACCTGACCGCCGGGCACACGCAGCCCAGCTTCACGGTGGATCAGAAGGACTGGCAGTATGGGGGGAGCTACACCATTCACGTCACGCTCCACCAGGGTACTACGGCCACCATGAAGGTGTCCCTCATCGCAGGTGCGTCAGTTCTATTCTGTTCTTCCGACTTGCAGCTGACACGAGGCGTGATGCTCCACTCAGCGTCCTCCAGCACGGTCCGTACACTCCGGTTTAGAGCTCTAACGTCCTCGAAAGCTGACATTTATTCTCCACCCCCCCTCGCTTGCATCCACAGCACGGTACGTCCTACCTTCTCCTTTGCCTACCCAAACACTGACCACCGCCTCAGGCAACCAAATGGGCATGCGCACGCTCTTCCCCGAGTTCTCCTGCTCCGGCACGACTTGCACCGTCCAGGCGCCCCCGAACGCATTCGTCTCCCCGCCGAGCTGGTACCAGGTCTTCGTCCTCGACGGGCCGACGCCCTCGCACTCGCAGTGGGTGCGCATCGGCGGCGACCCCGGCGCGCTCGGGAACTGGCCCGCCTCCTCCGACTTCACGCGTCCGGGCGTCGGACCGCTTTAGGGGCCGTTCGGAGAGAAAGAGATAGGAAGACAGGCATGGTCATGAACTACCTAAGGGATTGTGTTTTAGCGTCAGACTGTTTGGTTCGTGTTTGTAGAATGCGCGACTCGTTCATTGGGATAGTATGTACCTGTCGCTGTATACTACCTGTTGTGGGAAATCAAGCTGTAATCTGCACTTCGTATGACTTCTATTGGACGATGAGAATTGGGAGCAAACTTGAAATTGTGAATGGTTGTTTCGACAGCCTGAGTCTCCCTCTGCACAGAAGCACATTCGGTATCTGGTCTATGATGCACACAATCCAATCTAATCGCTCAAGGCCGTCTGTGGGTAACGTATCCTGCGCTAGAGACGCGAAAAAGAGGGGACAGCAGCATTCTGGGGAGTCAATCCGTGGGCTCAGCAGCCAGAGAAACCCTACGGCGGAGAACAGAGTACATGGGTGCAACTCGATGGGTGTGGGCCATCGCCAGCAGTGCTACGCGTCGTACGCGACCCACTTCTCCCGGGGGTGCGTGACGGAGGGGGCGAACCGGGCGAGGAAGGCGAAGAGGGGGTAGATGCCATTTGCGAGGCGTCGGGGCGGGTGGAGGTGGTGGTGGACGGGCGCAGGGCAGTGGGACGCGATGACGAGGGCACGACGCGGCCGCGCTAGGAAGATAAATGCCGCGAGAACTTCCGCTGGGATGTGTTTCTTGCGGGGACTGGGCCGGGCGCGCGAGGCGGTGGGCGAGGTGGGGAGCGCATGAGGTGGGTGGATCGGGGAACGCACCGAGAAGGGCACGGCGGCCTGATTCGAGTCGAACTTGCAAGCACCACGCACCCCGCTGAAGAACGTGAGCACCGACGTCTCGTCCCGGCTTGACATGGTCGGCATATGGTCGGGCTTGCCAGGCGAACTAATCCCCGGGGATCGGGCTTGTGGCCTGGGTCGCCGGAGATCATCGCCTGTTCAACCCTCTTGTCGCGGGCATAGCCAATCTGGCGAAGCAATAGCCGCATCTCAGTGAAGTCTTCAGTGAAGACAATTGCAAAGCGTCGGCGCGCGAATGGCTGATCTCCCGCCCGTCGGCGATCACGTGCGACGCCCTTAGGTCAGAGCGTGAGCGTCGTCTGCCTGTGTGACCGTGCGCAACACGCCGACCAGCCGGAGAATGGCTCAAGCGTTTGCATTCACTGCACTTCATATGATCACGCCGACCGGAGAATGACCTGGCAGGCGTTTTAAGGCTTCGGTATGTACCGCCCGAGTCTACTAAGTATACTATCTGATGGTGATATGCCTTTTCAGTCGCAACAGCTGCAAAATGAACAAGGGCATCGGAAGTGGTTGTGTTGACGATGCTGATGATGAATTCATGCCAAAACCTGTAAGTACCAACGTAGAGCTGGGTACCCCGATACTCGGAGAAGAGCGCCTCACCTCTTGCACCGACGGAAACTCCTTGCTCCGACTCGGTGCCGCCTCAGCTCAAGACACTGGAAGAACAGGAGATATAAAAGTTCGCGCGGCAGCTCAACTCTCCGACAACTCCATCCCCATCCGCCAAAGAAACAATGTCGGTGATCACTCGTTCTCTCGGCAGCTCCCGTGTCTCCGCCATTGGCTACGGCGCCATGGGCATCTCTAGTTTCTATGGACCTATTCTGACTGATGAGCTACGTATGAAGGTACAATTTATCTCTTCATCTACATAATACCCATCGCTAACTGCGGTGATGCACTTATCAGGCACTCGATGCTGTCTATGAGTCCGGGTGCACACACTGGGACACCGCGGATGTCTACGGAGACAGCGAAGAGCTCATCGGCAAATGGTAAACTCACACACGACAATGCAATCTTGCGTCGTTAACCATGAGATCCACAGGCTCAAGAAGACCGGAAAAAGAAACGACATATTTCTGGCCACCAAATTCGGCATGACGCTGAACCGCTCGGAGCCAGGCACTCGACCTGTAAACGGAGAGCCGTCCTACGTCGTTTCAGCAATTGATAGGTCTCTGAAGAGGCTTGGTGTCGACTTCGTCGATCTCTGGTATCTTCACCGGTGAGAGACGCTTTTAACTTTGCACCTTTGCTTCGCCACTAAAACCCCGTGTTCGTACAGCGCCGATCCCATGGTTCCCATAGAGGTGCGGTTTCTGAGTCAACGGAGCTTCCCAAGGTACCCAGGGCTGATGTGACTCCGCTCTCTCAGCTTACCGTCCGCAAGATGGCGGAGCAAGTGAAGTACGCTTCGGCACAATTCTGCCCCCGATCCCCCTGCTGACGCGTCTCCTATTCTCGCAGGGCTGGTAAGGTCAAACACATCGGCCTGTCCGAGGTCTCGGCCGCGACGCTGCGCCGCGCGCACGCCGTGCACCCGATCACCTCGATCCAGGTCGAGTACTCGCCCTTCGCGCTCGACATCGAGCAGAACGGCGTGCTCGTGACCGCGCGCGAGCTCGGCGTCAAGATCGACGCGTACTCCCCCGTCGGCCGCGGCCTGCTCACGGGCAAGATCGTGCGTCCTCTCGCCCTGCCTCTCTTCGCTGGGGACCGTACGGCTGACCAACCCACCCCCGGCCCCAGAGGTCGCCCGACGACCTCGACCCGATCGACATGCGCCGGTTCCTCCCGCGCTTCGCGGCCGCCAACTTCCCCAAGGTCCTCGCCGTCGTCGACCGCATCCAGGCGATCGCGGACGCGCACGCCGCGACGCCGAGCCAGGTCGCCATCGCCTGGGTCCTCGCCCAGGGCGACGACTTCCTGCCGATCCCCGGCTCGACCAAGCCCGCGGTACGTCCCTCCGTTCGGCTTCACATGGCGTGCGAGCGCTCACGGTGCACCACGGGGCAGAACATCCACGAGAACATGGCCGCCGCGGCGCTGCAGCTCACGCCGGAGGAGATCGCCGAGATCCGCACGCTCGCGGAGGGCGCGGACATCGGGGAGCGCCACCCCGCCGCGATCGCGCGCCTGATCAACGCGGAGTCCCCCGCGCTCGTCGAGTAGTGGTGTGGTTGCGTGGTTGTAGTTGGATTATCCAAGTGTCTGCGTCGAGCGCGCGTTCCTGATTGAGTTGGACGGACCTGCTGCGACGACCTGGCACCTCAATTCGGCGAAAAAGAGTGCTCTTCCTTCGCGGAGCAAGGACTGACGCACTGAACGCGAATAATATAGTCTACTAGACTACAAAAGACGACGGAAAGAGAGAAGTCACCAGGAAATAATGAATGAAGTCGTCCTAATGGATCCTGTATTTCCCTTCGATCGGCACAGCAAGGACAGACGGAGTCACGAATCTAAAGAAAAGACTGATACCTGGTGTTAAACAGTATACGATTGGCAGCGATCGAGAGCACGTACTTCGTCATTCAGACGCGGGTCAAACCTATACTTGAGGGTATTCTTCTCGTCCTCGTACACATGCCGTGGCCTGATCGGTACAGCAATGAACTTGACGAAGGGGCGGTAGTCCTGGCTGGGTGTGATCAGGCGAGTTCCCGAGACTTGATCTTCTACAATTTCGCGTCGCCCAAACAACATGTCTCCGAGCCGGTCGTGCAGCCCTTCGTCTGACGGCCAGTCGATGGCCGGACCTAGCAGGATGTTGAAGGCCTCAATTGCGCCGAAGTACGTGGAGAGCATATCGTTGTCTGCCAAGTCTTCTGGGGGTGGCGCTTGTGGTAAGTCGCTCTGGTTCAACACATCCAACAAGTCGAAGCGAAGTCGTTGCGGGAGAGGTACGAGGGTGTCACGGTGTCCGATGGAGGGCTTCGACTTCTTGGCTTCGTAGTCCCGGATGCGAGTGCGCGCGCCGATCCACTTGAACACCACCCTCGTCGCGGCGTTGAGTGGGTTGTTCGAAAAGGAGTCCTTGCCAAACGAGAGAAGCGCCTCTCTGAAACGCAGTGCTCCCAATTTTCCGACCCTCCACCGCGTGTCGCTCGCGAGATCGCCAGTCTCGGGTGTCGACCAGTCGAGGTCAAAGTAATCCTTCAGGAAGGACTCGGTGACGACGTTATGTGGCAGGTATTTGACGCCATTGTACAACAGAACGTTCGCGTGGGACTCGATCTCGTCCGCGACGGTGACGACGTGCTTCGGGTCGCTCAGGGTCGCCAAAGACATGTACTTGAACGTGCCCTACGTCGCCTGTCAACTAGCGCGTAGGCAAAGCGCCGCGGCCACTCACCATCCTTTCCGTACGCTGAGGTGAGGCCGCATTCGAAACGTATCTCGCCAGCTCCCAGTCATTCAACATCCCGAACCAGTCGACGCGTAGAAGGCTGTCCTGGGACAAGTCGAAACCGGGGCAGATCAAGATATTGCCGCTGCTGATGTCGCCATGGATCAGCTTGCAGTATACGATAGCGTCAGATTCCGCTGTGTTTAACACGGTAAGTAACCCATGTCAGATAACTCCGAAGGCTCTCAACACATACCCTCCATGCTGTCCCGGATGATCGACAACAGCTGTCGACTGCTGCGGAAGACGTCCAGTGGCAAGCACACCTCCTCTACCACGATGCGGTAGTGAGCGTAGCGATGGATGGACAGCAGTTCGTTGTCGTCACGAGGGGCTGGACGTTTCGACGGACGTTCGTCAGTAGCGACGTCCTCATTCGATGTGCAGTGACTCAAGTGGTCGGCGACGCGAGTCGTGTGAGGGGAGGTCCCAGGATAGCCGTGAGCGACGAGCGTGGGGACGTGTCGAACTCGCGCCTGGTTGAGAATGCTGAGCACGGCACCTTCTTCCATTCGGTCTTCGTGCAACCGCCGCCAGGTGTCCTTCAGAAAGCAAAACCGCCTCGTCTTCGGGTTGTACGCGACATAACCCTGTGTGCCGCGGCTGACAACGCTGTCGATCTGGTAGAGCGGGCGGCCGACCCAGTAGTGCTCTCCGTCGAGTTTGATTGCGTACCACGGCCAGCTGTGGTCGAGGGAGCGCGCGAAGAGAAGCCTCGCGTGGGCCCAGACGAAGCTCCCAGGTGCCGGATGTTGGGTGTGACGCACAGGACGCTCAGGCGACGCGTCGGGAGGTGGTGAAGTACTTCGCTCGGACGATATTGGATCCTGGCTGGCCGCTTCTGGAGCGCCCTGGGTGACGTATCCATGGTCGAAGACGTCGACAGGATGGCGGGCGACGTCGTCCGGGACAACCGAACCTGGCTCGTACGAGAGCTCCGGCACGTCGAAGTAAATGGGGTTTGTCCCTACACGCTTCATTTCCTCCCACTCTTTCGTGGCCTCGGGGATGAGCCTGACCGAGGGATCGATGCCCTGGGACTCGGCGTCGAGCATGAGGAAGCCTGTGAGCAGCTTTATCAGCGTCGTGGGGTCCTTCACGTAGTCAATCCTCTCCGTCACGAACACCCCCGAGCGGTCCCAGCGGAGGAAGCGGAAGGTGCTGTCGAGGACGAAGAGGGAAAAGAGCGCGGTGCGGATGCGGTAGAGGAAGGAGCAGCCGACTGAGGCGATAATCTGCCTCCGTACATGGGCGCGATTGTTTGCGGGTGAAGAGGCGGCAGCGGCGGCGGAGTCGTCGAAGGGGTCGAACGCGGCTCCGCCGGTCTTGAAGGTGATGAGGAGACGCTGATGGTGCCAGCTCGGACGGCCCTCCTTTGGTTTGGTGCCTTCGAGGTACAGTGCAGCGTCGGACTTGCTAACCCAGTCTTCTAGTGTTCCGTTACTTTCCCCAATTGTTTCGGAGAAATACCGGGGAATCGACCCGACTGTGTTGAATCGTGAACAGGAACCTTGGGTGGCGAGTCTGGTAGGGGAGTGGGATGCCTTTGACTTCGCATGCGGTCGTGGCGACTGATTGGGCACGGGCCTCAGCGTCAGTGCTTCAATCACATACTTGTTGATGACATCAAGCTATGAATGCTGCAAGGTAAGCTGAAGTTGCCGATGAGATACCAGTGCACTCACAAATGTGCTGGCAAGTTCCTCCTCGCTTTCGAGACCTGTTTCTTCGGCGAACGCTTCCGCGAACTTCTCCGAGATCATTCTCGTGGTTTTCTCATCTAGTGCAAGATACGTGGGTGGCTCAGGCAGGTGAGCCTCTCGAAAGGTGTCGGCGGTCAACTTGACCACGCGTCGGAACCCCAAGACCATGCTCCCGCGACTTTGTAGTGAAGTGAATATAGGATATTCGGATTATTGCGTATCTTGTCGTCGGTTGAAGAGTGGTGGTACTTGCTGACGCTTCCGGTTGCCTCAACTTGAACGGTGGCTCGGCGCGAGCTGCGTCAGTGCTTAGTCAGCGAAGGACGGCCCCGGCCCGGCGCGACTCAGCCTGCAAGGAGTGCGGAAAGTCATGCAGGTGCATTCTAAAGTAGTACTTGATCTACTCTTCACTGCTCCCCGCGCGGGGCCCTCAGACCGTCCTCCGATGCGAACGACGCGAGGACGTGGTCCGCAGTAGACTTGGCGTGTATTCGGCAAAAACGAAAAGGGTGTCTCGAACCCTGCTCCGGATGAGTGTGAGCACAGCTGAAAAAAGTATGGCACACATGAAGTACTTACGTTGTTGGTCCCCTCAGGTCGCACTCCCTCTAAGCTTGTCAGCGTCACCGCATCTAAACGGAAAATCCGCGAGGATAGGCAGGCATGGTGGATGCCGGAAGGAAGCGCAATGGGGATGATGTGGCATGCCCTGATTATGACATCATAAGCGAAACCATCCAGCACAAGACCACCGAAGCAAAGCCTTGCAACGTCTCGTCGAAACCGCACCGAAGCGACATCGTACAGAGCACAAAGTCACGCCCAAAGGTACAAGACAATTGTCTGAAATATCGGGGAGGGCGGCACCAGCCGCGCGGGTGTGATTGTGTACAGGGCGGCGCGCGGCGCAAGGGAGGGAGTGTGCGGGATAGAGGACAAGTAGGGCACAATACATTGTAGCGTACGTCATGAGGGGCGGTGTGCGGGGCACAAAAACAATTCAACAAGTGAGATCATGGCGCGTGCGAGTATGGGCGATGTGATGCGGGGGCGTGGATATGGATATGAAAACAGCGAAGGGTACGGACGAACGGGGCGCGCGGTGGCCGCGGCATGCCTTGACTACGGAAGCGAGACGAGGCGAGGCGAATGAGAGCGTGAGAGAGGTAGCATAGCGAGGGCGAAAGACGACGGAGACTCTGGCTCGGCGAGCGGGCGGCGGGCGCGGTGACAGCGACGGCAGACAATTAATCCGAGAGGAAATCAGAGAAGTACGGGTGGAGGAGGGCGCGCTTCGCTGGAGCCGGAGCCGGTATGTCAGAGTGAGGCGCGGGGAGAAGCACGGAGAAAACACACACCGGAGATGCGCTTCGCAGTGTCGTACGTCAACATCAGCTAGGGCCAACGTCAGCGTCGTGCAAAGTTGGGTGCAATGACGGGTGGCGAAGCTCGAGACGCACCTGGAGCAAGTCGATGCCGTCGTTGTCTAATGTCGGCACCGGCTCCCGGAGATCCGTTGGTGACCAGTGCGGGAACGAGGGCTTGTAGTCCGGCAGCTGATGCACGCCAGGCCATACCTCTTCGTTCGGTGTGCCCAGAACCCTGTACCACCAAGCTGTCAGCGACATGCGACCATCTAAACGGGTAGACGCGCGACGGACCTGAATATCTTGAAGATTTGATCAATCTCCGAGTCTCCAGGGAACAAGGGGTGCCCGCGCATGCACATCTCGGCCAAGATACAACCCACGGACCACATGTCGATGGCGGTGGAATAGTGACGGGAGCCGAGGAGAACCTCGGGCGCGCGATACCAGAGCGTAACGACCTGATAAAGGGGCTCAGTGCGACGCTCCTCCGCGACGTGATGCACGCACCTCGTGCGTGTATGTGCGCATGGGAATCCCAAAGGCGCGCGCGAGCCCAAAGTCGGCGAGCTTGAGGTTGTCATTTTTATCGATCAGCAGATTTTGAGGCTTGAGGTCGCGATGGAGGATCCGGTGCGAGTGGCAGTAGCGCAAGCCAAGGTTGAGCTGGTACGTGAATTTCTGCAGGGGGCGTCAGCACATTGGCTCCGATAGCGCGCATCGCGTGGGCGCGGTGACGCTGTCACGTGACACGTGAGATATATACACCCGCGCACTAATGACGTTCCGGAGACGCGTTGCGACGCGACACAATGCACAAAGACGCGTCGCAGACGCATGTGAACGCGCAAAATGCATGGAGGAAGCGGGAGGCGGGGAAGAAGAAGAAGAACGTCGGACGAACCTTGGTGAGATCGGCAGTGATTGGACGGCCGGCCTTGTTCGCATTCTCCATGTACCGTTTGAGATCGACGTCGAGAAACTCGCAAACAAGATACAATTTCTGATCGGCGTGGACGATGTCGAGAAGTCTGGAATAGACAGCAGCGGAAGCGTGAGCGGCTGCATAATGAGTAGGTGGGGAGGAAAAAAGTGGCGCGAGAGAACAAGACGTGGGTATATGCGATCTCACCTGACGACATTCTCATCCTTGAGTTCCTTGAGTAGACTGATCTCCCGGATAGCCGTGGACGGAACGCCCTCGTCTTCCGCCTCCAGTCTGATCTTCTTGAGAGCGACCACCCTGTTCGTGTGGATATCCCGAGCCTTGTAGACGACACCGTAGGTACCTGTGTGGTCATGGATGACGTAGACGGGTGGCAAAAAGCACGAGGGGAAGGGGTTAAGGGGGGACGATAGCGCAGACGAGGCACCAGACGTGAGACACGGGTGGAGCATGCCCCAGGAACCAGCGCAAAAACTCACCCTCGCCTGAGATCCCGCCAAAGAGGAAGAGCTGAGTTTCTGCCGCGTGGACCGAGGGAGGTTGAAGAGGCACTCACCGACTTTCTCGATCTTTGAGTAGCTTCAGAAAGCATTAGCTTGCGACTCGCCACACGCCAAACAAAGAGCTCACCGGTCCATGTCGTGAGGTGTTGAGGGGGAGAAAGCCGAGGGAAGGTCGTCTCTTCAAGACGCGAGCGGGGCGGGTGCCGGGAGAGGAGCGGGGGACGGGCGTGCGGGAGTGAGGGAGCGAAGAGACGGCTGGGCGAGCATGGACTTTATACGCGCTTACCTAACCCGAAAGTGCAAATCCGGAAAGGGCAAAGACATGCGGTGCGGAGGGCAACGCGCGACAATTGCCCTCCGCGGCCTGTCAACACCCGCCATCTGCGAATTCTACGCCGGCCACTCGCCCGACGTCTTGCCCCGTCTTGTGTTCTCGCCGCCAGCCTTGTGTGCATTCTTGTGGCGGGCACAGGCACTAGACCATCAACAACAACCTCCGGCTGATCCACTCGCCGACGGTCGAGGCAAATCGCCAAAAAGTCTCCGCCTTTCTCCGCACAAGTTGTCGCCATCTCAGCTTCGCCGAGTACCTTCCAGCTCACACTTTCGACTTTCGCCCGAATCCAAGGATCCAAGGATCCTCGAACCTACACACGTGCCTTCCGGTGCCGTCACCACACGACCCCCTCCTCCGAGTCAGATCAGCGACGCCATCCACAATCGCGCGTGCGCAGTCGACGGGAGCGCACGATCTCCGGTATCCTCATCACGATCTTGGTCACCGACGTCGTTCCTTTGCGGCTTTTTGCGGCTGCTATATCGAGCGCGCGACGATCTTCCGCGGTGTACAGAAGCCACCCCCTTCGGCCCCGAGTCGGTAGAGTGCCATTCAGCGAGCAAGATGCGTCGATTGTGAGGACACAGGAGCACAGCGTGTGCGTCGGGGCTAATTTGACCGACGTGACATCGATGCATCATACAGTGCGCCAGGGCTACAGGACATATTGCACCACATCACCAGCTAGTACAATTTTGGTTCTTCTCCAGTAATTGCGCCTAGAAGAGGATAAAAAGTGAGACAGCGATCGAACGTGAAACGAGAACCACTGGGCCGACCCCGCCTCGCCAGACGTCGCGCGACGTCGCGCGCCGAACAAACACCTCTGGACATTGCGGTTCCAAGCATGCCACAAACGGGCTCGTGGCTCACTCCGACACCTGCGCATTGTTGGGTCGCCGAGTAGAGACGCGTCCATGCTCCAAAGTAACTTCCGTAAAGCACGGCCGCGCAGGTACGTAACCCGCCCCCTTGACGTTGCCCTCAACAAAAGCGCGGTGGCGACCACGTCTCCCAAGCTCAAAGTCCGCAGGCCTCCGCACCGCCACCCCGCCCGGCCTGAAGTCGCGAGGCTCCATGTGCGCCGTGGAAAGGCCCGCTAGAACACGCGGCGACTCGGAAACAGGATGCGAACTCACCTCGCCTGCGCGCGGTTCGCGCTTCCTAACCTGGCCGTGGCCACGCCATGCCCGTGTCGTTGTGGGAGCGCATGCGCGTTACGTCAATGTACCGTCCCGCCCAGGAGTCCTCGCCTGATCGTGCAGGCACAGGCGTCAGTAACCACCGTCTGCGGGGCGAACACGACAGCAAGAAGCAGCAGTCGACCTGCGGAACGCGCGCCAGAAGGCACATGTATGGGATCTGGCGGCCGAGGGTGGATGACCGGATACCAAACATGCGCGCGCCGCGCGCGCCGCAGAGCGAGGACGGCATCTGGTCGTCGTGCGTGAGGCGAGAAGGTGGAGCACGCACTGCGGTCCACGAGGTTAACGTCAAGGTCCTCCCCTTCGTCCTCGTCTTCTTCCATTTCAGGGTCGTATTGGTCCGCCCGGGCTGCGGCGGGATTACGCTCGCGGTCGACGGCGAGGTCCCCCATGAACCTGTTCAGCGAGTCCGACTTGAGGTCGTTGAGGGATTTTTCGCGGGCCTCCTTCGCCCGCTGGAGTTCGGGGATGTACTCCCTGTCGTAGGGATGAGCACGTTTTCCATGGATAATGGACGCAGGACTGACTTTTCATACTCGGTCCGCGAAGCTTCGACGGCATCGAAAAACTCCTTGATACCAGCGCCAGTCATGCTCGATACGCCGACTGCCTAAAGATCCGTCAGAACAAAAAGCTAAGATGCTGGTGTGAGATCTCACCGTGAGGTGTTTATAAAACTCGTCGAGCACGAGACTCATGCTGTTCATCAGGCTGTTCATGTACGTCGGCTCGCCATCATCGTCCGTCGTTCCCTTGTGCGCCGCAAGCGCCTCTTGGAACGCCTCGAAGTCTTGCATCCACTCGATCGCGAAGTCGTGATGTTGCACGTCGATCTTGTTGAACACGAGAATAAATGGCAGCTTCGTCTTGTATAGGATACTGGCAACGAATGGAGTCAGAACACTTAAAACTACGCCGGGTCGACGAAGAGTGACAGAAATCATGGATCTATGATACTAGCCCGAAAATCTCGAGCGCAGGGGGACTAACACGGCTCACAAGGCCGAAGATCGAAACGAAGTCGCGGGCGCTTATAAAGGTCCGCTCAATTGGGGCGTCGAAGTGGCCCAAAAGGAACTTTCTGGGAAGTCTGTGATGGCCCAGAAATTTCAAGTCTACCTGAATATAGCGGCAAAAAGGCGGTCAAAACGGTCCTTGCAAGCTTACCTGCACGCATACAGCATATTTGACATGAAGGTAGCTGGGGCGGTCGTCCGAGGAGTGTCGATGACGTAGGCCACAACTGTAGGTAGTGAAGACGCGACGGCATCGGTGATTATGGCTCCTGATGCGGACCAGGTGAAGATCTCTATTTGACCTGGGGTATCCAGGATAACGTAGCTGAAGACGACTCAGTATTGCACCCAAGTTTGACGAGACAAAAATGCTTACTCGACCGTTTCCGCGCGCTTTTCCACGATTTCAAGGACCTGGTCGAACTTTGTGGTGAAGAGGTTCAGCGCGGTCAAGATGCCTCCGTTGGGCCCAAGGTTATATCTGGAAAATGACTCGCTGACGTTAGTGCGGTTACAATCGCAGAGACAAGTACCCACTCCTTCATGACCTTGTGGTAGTCAACTGTATCTCTAATATCGATGTTGGCCTCAAACGGGGTGCTTGTGACCGCTGGATCCAGATTGAGTATATATGGTGGCGATGGTGGCTCTTTCGAGTGAAGGTAGGAATTTATCCGCTGCACAAAGGTCGATTTTCCAGCGCCAGCCATGCCGATGGTGATAATGACAATAGGCTTCCTTTGACCTGCATTTGAGTAGGAGGCCTCTCCTGCAGATGGTTGTGGTGTCGCTTCGGGGTCCATCCTGGTGAAAGTGTCGTCGAAGTTGCGGAGCAAGGCCAAGTGGCCGAAATAGGCAGCAGGGGCCGTCCAGGTCGAGTCGGACCGCCGGGGCCGGAGTCACGCGTTACCAGATGCGTTACCGGTGACGCCATATCAGGCAGGCTCCCGCCGCGCAAGCAGCGGCTGCGATTATCTTGCCTTTTCCCCTTACCACGAGCACGAGGACACACAGAGCGTCGAGCACGCATCAACATACATCGAGCACAGCGTGATCACCAGCGAAGCGTAGCAACACCGATGGACGCAGCGGGCGCCACCGAGAGCACGGACATCTCAGGTGCGTATCTTGAGCTCTCGGCGACCCCTCCGCCGTTGCTCAGGGGACCTCAAGGCATCGTCCTACACGTCGATGGGCATGGGAAAGACGATGCCGAGGTCCTCACCTTCAGGAAAGCTCTCTCCCACACCGTCAATGTCGGCCGCAAGAGCGCAGGGCCTGGCGAACGTGGGGACGATGGGGAGCTCCGAGTCCTCTCCGACTCCTACCGCGCCCTCTTTCGATGCCCTGTAGTAAGTCGTCGACATGCCAGGTTCGAATTCACAGAGTTTGGAAACGTACGTTGCTCTCGATCCTGCGTATATGCACCGACCCCCTCACATGCCTTTGTTCTCCCCTATAGGTATACATCACCGACCTTCACTCCCACCATGGGACACACATCCTACGCCCTGGGGAACTCGTCTCCACTTCACTGAAGCCGGAAACGCCCACTGTCATCTCCGATGGCGATTTGGTCACCTTCGGCAAGTCGGTCGGTCGGGATGCTTTCCTAGTACGCCCCGTCGTCGCCCGCGTCGAGCTCGTCTTTGGCGGGGGCACTCCCTCTCGGGCACCCACGCCCCCGCCGAACCTTCTTGCGGGTATCCCTTCTCCCCGCTCCGCCCTCCTATCCTACCCTCCTCTTGCGCCCGACGATATGGCCGACCACGGCTCCCCACCTCCATCGGGACGCGCGGGCCGGTACGGAGTCTTCCTCCCCTCTCCCGAGTCATCCCCCTCAAGCTCGTCAAGCGAGCCAGATTCGGACCACGAGGCGTCTCTCCCCGCGTCGCCCCCACCCTTGCGATTCAGGCGTGGATGCACGACCGGGATTGGGCTGCACGGCGGCAGTCGCACGCGCCTGAGCCTGCTGCAGCGCCTGCTGCCTCCCATCCACCAGCTGCCATTCGCAGATGCAGAGCTCGATCCCTTCCCGACGCTGGTACCCCCCGTGTGGTACCCGGGCTGCGACAACGACGCCGAGATGGAGCAGGAGGAGGCGATGGTGCAGGAGACCAATGAGGAGGACATGGACCTCTCCTCCAGCCGCTCACGGTCTCCCGAGGTCCACGAAGAAGCGCCACCGGTCGAGTCGAACGAGGTCGAGGAACTGAGCGTTGTGGGTGCCTACCCCAACTCCCCCGAGCGAGACTCAAGCTCCCCTGAACCCTCCCACTCCCCCGAACCCGTGACGCCCAAGCCTGTCAACATGCACAAGGAGATCGAGATTTCAGACAACGTGATCCTCATCTCGGACGACGATAACAACGAAGTCAACACTCCCGACGACTATGAGAGCTCTCCGGAGGTCGAGATTGTGGAACCCAATAAGAGTGCACGTGAGTGGATGCCGTTCATGCAGGCCCAACCAATGGACCTTCTGCGCGGTGTCGCGGAGTCGGTCGAGGACGCGCACAGCCCGGCGCCCGAAGCCGAAAATGAGCACATCGTCATCTCAGAGTTCGGCATCCAGGCCGGCGACGGCGCCGCGAGCCAGATCATCCTGGAGGCATCCATCCTCAAGGAGCAGATCGCGGAGACGTCTGTTAGTATTGCGCCCCATGCTTCTCGCCTGAACATCACTGACGCCCCGCAGCACGAGCTCACTCTCCTCCGCGAAGCGCGCGAACGCGACGACGAGGCGTTCGGCGAACACGTCCAGGACACGAAGGAGCGCATGGACTCGCTCGGCGTGCGGGTCGACGATGCGTACACGAGCATCGCGGCGCACGACATATCGCTCCTCGACGCTCAAGCGCGCCTCCAGAGCCTCGGCGCGGCGGTGTCCGACCTCCATCGGCGCACGGCGCTCGCCGAGGGCATCGATGAGCTCACGCGCGAGGTCAGCGCGGCAAAGGATATGCTGCTAGGTGTGTACTTTTATATCGCGCACGCGTTGAAGAGACGCTGATGCCCCTGACAGAGACGTGCGAGCTGCAGCGGCAGACGCGCGTGCAGATGGAGAGGGAGGTCCAAGCCGTCGTGGCGCTGCGCGCTGAGGCCAAAGCTGCTACCGATGAAGCCAAAGCTGCCACCGCCGAAGCCAGGGCTGCTGCCGCGCAACTCGAGGTATGCATCTTTGTCCCTGGTATCGCGCCCACTCATGCCCACGCGCGCGATCCACCACAGAGCAGCACTGCGGCGTTGAAGCGGAAGCGGTCGTGCTACGAAGACGACGACGCGAACGAGAGCGCGAGTGGGGAGTGCGGACACATCGCGCCGCTGCCGAAGCGGCGCCGGGTCGCGCAGGTTGTGTCGACGATCGCGCAAACCACGACCGTCGCCGCGCTCGGTGCTGCTGCCGCGTGGGCCGCCCTCGCTTTCTCGTAAGGTGGTGTCAGTTTGTGAAGATGGGAGGGGTGTGTATCATCCTCTTCTTTCACGTATATGAGTATGCTCACCCGACTTTCTTTGTAGACACCCTTTTGGCCCTACCTGAGTCCATTCGTCTTTCTCGCAGACGCTGAGACGAGCACCGTCTCCCTTTCAGCTATGGACTACCCCCATGATATCTCATGATCAATATCCGCCTTTTTCATCTTCATATGCTTGTATGCTACTTTCAAGTGGATGGGTCCGGAGTCATAAAGAGATGTAAATTAGCTAGTGTAAAATACATGCCCTTTCTTCCCTCTCTCTCTCGCTATCTCTTTGATGCTGGCCTTCGTCAAAGTGGCATTCTGATTGGGACGTGCCAGACCCTTGCGACAAGGCCATCGTTGTATCAAGTGAGGAGGCTTGGTCAGGGCGCTGACGTAGGTCTCGGGTGCTCCTGCGCGCAAGACGGTTATGGGCGTCTACTCTCCTTTCCCAAAACGAACAGCCTGTCAATGTCACCTGTCTCGAAACTCAAGCACGTACCAAGGAAACACAGACTGTGTACACATGCTGGGGAGTATACGGGGCTGGCCCGACTCGCGACATGTCGTCCACTTGACGGCCGATGCGTTTCAAGACGCTCATCTCCCCGAGGTCCCAAATCATCTCCTACCGGACCCCTGGAAAACAGCGGCTGCATCTACAGAGCTGAAAACCGTTTTTGAGCGCAGCGGGTATGCTGGGGACGGCAGTATACTGGAGAGCGAGGAGATGCTTGCAAGCTCATTCGTGCGTACCACCCCCGACCCTGCCAGCTAGTCATCACTACGTTTAAGTCTGATGTTTATTCTGACTTTCCCAGATGAGCGTTGTTACCGATCACGTTCTAAACGCATTGGCATTGAGGGAGATCTCTCTTCAGTCGCGCCGCCCGAAATCCGGCAACGCCGCCACGGAGAGCCCGCCTCCCCTGCCGATCACAGTCCAGTCGATTCCTCAGTACGTCGGAAGGACATTTCGAGGAACATTGGACAGCCCGGAGGTTCAAGGGAGGACCTTCAACGCTGCACTGTGCCTCGAAGGCACCGAGCCAAAGGAGAACTATCCGAGCTGGCACCATCAGCGTCTCCTCATCACGTTCAAGACCGGCGGAGCCGCGTTCGACCCCTTCGACGACTCCCCCACCACCGCCGCCGTCCCTTCACCCGCAGACACTCGCGCTCATGTACGGAGACAGATTCTCGCCTCCATCGGCCGCGCCTTCCTCTACCGCATCCGCACCGCCCTTTTCTCCCTCTTCATCCTCGACAGTACCTTCCGCTTCCTCCGCTGGGACCGCTCGGGGGTGTTCGTGACGGAGAAAATGGATTACGTTAAGGATCCGACGACACTGATCAAGCTGCTCACAGGCTTCCTCATGCTCGACTCCGAATCCCAAGGCGTCGATCTCTCGGTCAGGCTCATCCCCGAGGCCACGGAAGAGTGGGAGGAAATGAAGCGTGTAGGGACAAACCCCAATCACTTTGACGTGCCGGAGCTCTCGTACGAGCCAGGGTCGGTTCTCCCGGACGACGTCGCCCGCCATCCTGTCGATGTCTTCGACCACGGGTACGTCAACCAGGGCGATCCCGAGCAAGATACCCACATGGATCACATGTCATCTCCCCAGAAAGTTCCAATCTCCCCCGAGCAGAATACTTCACCTCTAGATGTGCCACCGGAACGTCCTGTGCGCCACACCCAACGCCCAGTACCTGGAAGCTTCATCTGGGCCCACGCGAAGCTTCTCTTCGCGCGATCCCTCGACGAGAGCTGGCCGTGGTACGCGATCGAACTCGACGGAGAGCAATACTGGGTCGGCCGTCCTCTCTACCAGATCGACAGCGTTGTCAGCCGCGGCACACGGGGTTATGTCGCGTACAACCCGAAGACGAGGCGGTTTTGCTTTCTGAAGGACACCTGGCGGTGGTTTCACGAAGACCGAATGGAAGAAGGTGCCGTGCTCAGGACTCTCAACCAGGCGCGAGTTCGACACGTCCCCACGCTCGTCGCTCACGGATATCCAGGAACCTTTCCTCACACGACCCGCGTCGCTGACCACTTGCTGAGCTACTGCACATTGGACGAGGGCGTCGCTATTGACGGACGTCCGCCGAAGCGTCGGGCCCCCCGCGACGACAACAAAGTTCAGTTTATCCACCGCCATGCTCACTACCGCATCGTGGTAGAGGAGGTATGTTTGCCACTGGACGTCTTCCGCAGCAGTCGGCAGTTGTTGTCGATCATCCGCGACAGCATGGAAGGTTTGTGATGCGAGCCCTCAGAGATGTCGGACGTCCTGTGCTGACTGCGATGAACCCAGCCGAATCCGACGCCATAGCGTACTGCAAACTGATCCACGGCGACATCAGCAGTGGCAATATCTTGATCTGCCCAGGTCTCGACTTGTCCCAGGATGGGCATCTACGTGTTGACTGGTTCGGGATGCTGAATGACTGGGAGCTGGCGAGATACGTTTCGAATACGGCCTCACCTCAGCGCACGGAAAGGATGGTGAGTGACCGCGGCGCTTTGCCTACGCGCTAGTTGACAGGCGACGTAGGGCACGTTCAAGTACATGTCTTTGGCGACCCTGAGCGACCCGAAGCATGTCGTCACCGTCGCGGACGAGATCGAGTCCCACGCGAACGTTCTGTTGTACAATGGCGTCAAATACCTGCCGCATAACGTGTCCACCGAGTCCTTCCTGAAGGACTACTTTGGCCTCGACTGGTCGACACCCGAGACTGGCGATCTGGCGAGCAACACGCGGTGGAGGATCGCAAAGCTCGGGGAACTGCTGTTCGGAGAGACGCTTCTCTTGTTCGGCAAGGACGGCTCTTCAAATCTCCCACTCAACACCGCGATAGGGCTCGCGTTCAAGTGGATCGGCGCGCGCGCTCGCATCCGAGACTACGAAAACAAGAAGTCGAAGTCGCTCGCCCAACCCCGCGACATCCCCGCTCCTTCCCAGCGACTCCGCCTCGACGTGTTGAAAATGTGGAACAAGAGCTACATGCCCCCAGCGCCGACGCCAGACGATCTAGAAGACGACGATCTGCTCGCCACGTACTTTGGCATCGTCGAGGCGTTCAACAGCCTGTTGAATCCCGCCGTCGAGTGGCCTTCGGACGAAGGGGTGCACGACCGGCTCGGAGGCATGTTGCTCGGGCAGCTGGAAGATCAAGTCCCGGGAAATCACCTGCTTACTCCGAGCCAGGACTTCCATCCTGTCAGCAAATTCATGGCTGCGCCGCCGGTCCACCCCAGCTATGTGCACGAAGGCGATCAAAACACCCCCGTACGCACGTTGCGCCCACCTGTGAACGCCGCAGTACGTGAAGTCAATTCCATCCTGATCACACCAAGCTTATCATTATTTTTTTATTCAGGCTAATGACTAGTGTTGACGGAAGGAGAGGTGTTTGTCTCGCCGGTTTCGTTGGCATACTCCTGTAGCACGATCATGTAATGTAGACACTTCGACAGAAACCGATAGATAGAGCAACAATGTACGATAAGATACAACGAAAGCGACAACGGCACTGAACTTCTAACTCTCAAAGTCGACAGCAATATTATAGCACAGACAGGAACTACTTGTACGTCTTCATCACGCTCCGCGTGAGCTCGCGCAGCATCGCGACCGTCACGATCGGCTTCTCGCTCAGCTCCGTCATCGCCGTCGTGCTCGGCGGCGGCGAGATCGACTGCGACGTGTTGGCATCCGTCGCGTCTTCGTCTGGCGTTAGCCGCGCGCGCTTGGACGAGGGCTCGAACGCGCTGCTCGGGGGCATCAGAACGGGGGTCCACTCGACAGGCGGAGGGAGACATACCCAAGATAGCGGAGGGCCTCGTTGGACGAGCGCCGCTTGGGCAAGGGCTCCCAGGACTTCTGGGTGGCGGCCGCGACCGCGGCGGCGCTCTGGTCGGCGACCAACTGGCGGAGCTTCTCGGCGTGGGCGTTGATGACTTTCTCCAGCTTCGACGCCGCGAAGTCGATGATGTCGCTGGGTAGAGAGAGGGGCAGTCGGGCACCGACCAGTTCCCGTGCCGACGATGTTAATAGCTTCGATAAGGCCTCGATGTAGTCCTTCGTAGCGTATGCTGTAACGAGTTCATCCATTAGGACAAACCTCAGGGGAAAACTTGAGAAGAACTCACCTCGACCAAGTGCAGCTGGTTGGGGAAGGTCCTCAGGGATCTCAACAGAGACGTGACTAGGAGTGTCGTTGAAGAGACCCAGAATGGCACGGAGGGCGATATTCAGAACATCTTCAATGCCGCTCGACGCCAGATCATAACGAGCCCAATTCACTGCACAGGGTGTCAAGTTCGCTCGTGGAGGACGTAGTTGAATGACTCACGCTCATCATCCCGCCAACAGCAATCGAGCATATCCGCAATCGCAAGCTCTACAGGAGCAACGAAAATAGACTGGACGTCTACACGCGCGTGTGAGAATCATGAAGATGTTGACGGGAGTATAACATACCTTCCCAGCCGAATGACACCGATAGCTGGTCTTCGGTGTCTAGAGGAGTCTTCTGCATCGCCTCGGCGAACTTATAATCCACCTCCTTGGCCGTTGCAGATACATCAAAATATGAGATATACCTCAGCACACCATCTCGGACGAGCTCGTGGGTCTGAAAAGAGATCAGGCCACGCAACAGAGAAGAGATGATCGGACGTACCATATCCACGAAGTCCTTCGTCTGCTCCCCATCCACCTTGTCCGACCATCCGATGACCATCAGGCAGGGCACATACCTCCGATCGTCCTTAGGCGGCAACGTTGCGAGGATGTCCCGCAATCGGGCGCAATCGTCTAGAACACGGTATTTTCTGCAACGGGGATGAGCGCCCGCTCGCACAGAATAACCAAGAGCACCGACCTCTCGATCACATCATCCACATCCTCGAGCGGCGTCCGCTCAAAAACGATCAAACCAGGGGACCCCGCGCTGTCCATCTTCGTGAACGCGGGGATCGTGAACACGTGTTCCGACATCCAACTGCCCGAATCCGGCACGTCGAACTTGGTCTGCAACCAGATCGCAGTGTTGTCGTTCTCCGCGTTGATCGCGAGCCAGACCGTCCACTCTGCGAGCTCAACCCCGGCCGACAGGCGGGACTTGAGTGTGTCGACGATCGTCTCGCGGAATGACCCGTGCGCCCACCGCTTCTCGTTCTCCGCGTAGTTCTGCCCATTCATTCGCTCCATGAGCATCACAATCCTAGACGTCCTCCGACAGATGCAAACACAAAAGCAAACGCACCTTCTGCAACCGCTTCGCGAGCTCCGCGTCCGTCAGAGGCTGGACGAACTGGTTCGATTTGCGCCGCTTGTGCCGCCGCGCCTCGATCGGCGCCGACTCCCGCCGCCGCTTCTGCATTGCGGACAGTGGCCGCCGCTCGCGCACCGGCCCCGACGTGGACGCGCTCAGCTTCACGCTGTACGCCTCGCTCCGTCGGCACGCGCCCGCCCAGGCACGCGCCTTGCGCCAGCGCGCCCAGCAGTCGCGCACAACGCCGCTCGTGCGCGCGAATGCCAACGCGCGCGCCTCGCGCTCGGCGTCCAGTGAGACGGGCACGACGTCCGCCTGGGTCTCTTTCTCCTTGCCTTTAGCAGAAGGGGCGGATGGTAGAAGGGGCTGGGAGATGCCGTTGGTCTTGATCCCCAAGATCGGCTTCTTGCTCGAGGTCGCGGATGTCGGGGTCTGGATCGGAGTGGTCGGAGTGGTCGGTGCAGGGGAGGGCTGAGGGGCGATTGTCGTGGTCGAGGTAGACGCCACTGGCTCGTCGGCTACGAAAGATTGAAAGAGCGAAGACTTGCCGTTCGTCTTGGACGGGAGCTTCTCTGGGCTGGGGGTGTTGATGTGGATGGGGCTGAGGACGTCGGCGGGGGTGGGGGAGGGAATGGTGATGGAAGGAAAGTGTAGAAGAGATCGTTTCTTGGACAGTGATTCCGGGAGTGAGGTCGATGCAGGAGGATCGAACCACCTGGCGGTGGGAGTGGGAGGCAGCTCCATAGGAGGTTGGCGCCCCAAGGAAGGCGGTCCTGCGGTTGGCGAGATGGGAGTTCGAGGTTCGACAGTCGTCCCCGGTTGGGGCGTATATGTCATCCGGTCTTCCTTGAGGCGGTTGAATGGAGAGGACGACCCAGGCAGATCCCATAGAGTCTGTCGACGTTCAACGATGCGGGAGGGTGTTTCGGGCGGAGCGGTGGGGGGAGTGGGCTCTTTCTCGGGGATCGTGTCGGGCGGGGATTCTAGCGTAGGGATAACGGGGGAGCGGGTGTTGCTGTCGGGGCGTACAGGGGAATGTCAAAGATACTGGAGGAAGACTGTACAGCGGGCGGTGCAGTGGGCGCACTGGTAAGGCCGAACGGTGATGAATGTGAGGCGGTTGAAGGTTGAGTAGAGGCGAACGAAGGAGCCGTAGGGTTTAGAAGGGAAAAGGGAATTGAGGTACTTGGAGGTGGAAGCATTCCAGTGAAGCCGTTCGACATCGGCGCATCCGCTGGCCAGGTGGGCTGAGACGTGACGGGATGTTTGGAAGGGGGCGTAGAGGTTGTGGGTGGTGCGGAGAACGCCGACGATCCATTGCCAAACGCGCTGGTGGTTTTGCCGAATGCTGACTGGGGAACGTTGGGGTTGAATGCCGATGTGGACGAGCTTGAGGTAGGGCCAAACGTCGCACCACCGAACGGTGACGCCTTCGCGGTGGAGAGATTGCCAAAAGCTGAAGTTGATGCACTGTCGAACCCAAAGGCGGAGGTTGTTGATCCGAGTCCGCCGAAGGCGGATGCGGAAGGTTGTGTATACGGAGGGGGGTTGTTGAAATTGTTCGCCAGCCACTCGGTCGCGCTCGGTTCGACGACCTGGGTCCCCACGGGAGGGGCCATCGTGTCCGCTTCGGTCTCGCTGAGCACCTCGGTCATGCCGGATGGGCTGACGGTCTCTACTGCTTCTTCTGTGGTCTCTTCTTCGTCTGCGTATTGTTGGGGGGAAGTGGAATAGACTCCGTCGATGATGTCGGGGACGCTCATGTCTCCACGTAGGCCGTCGATGCTGTCCACGGTGTCTTCACCGAAGAGGCCTTGCATGATGCATGCAACGAGAAACATCATGACAGCGCTGCTATCTTGCTCCCGAAGAGTTGTGATGAGCTGCCCAAAGATCTCCATGGCTTGGCCGTCCACGATGAGCTTGGATGCTTTCGTGATCGGCTTGCTGAGCGCGTGGACCCGGTCGCGGAACTTGGTGGCGAGCTGGAAGATGGGCTGCTGGTTGACCCAGTCCGGAATGACGTCTCGATCGAAAGCACGGATCAAGGTTAGGCGTCGGTACACCCTCATCTCGAGCTCCGCCGGGGATTGGTAGCCCTTATAGTCGTCGTAGAACTCCCGAAGACTTGTGAGTGCTACGACTCCTGTAAGCGATCGTCTCGGACCCTACAGAGACTGTACATACTGTTCTGGAGCTGCATGATTTCCATAGCTTGGTCGTACACCGGGAGCTTGCGAGCCATGTGTAAAGCCATGATATGAAAGCGCGCGCATCGCTCGTGACATTCGATTGCAATTGGGCCAATCTCATGTTGGACCGTAAAGTCGTTTCGCACCGCGCGAGAACGATCACGAATGAAATCGTGAGTACGCTCGAAGCCTTCTGTCGCGAGCAGCTCGTGGAAGAGGTAGTCGAGAGTCTTCTGCTCTTGGGGTTGAGACTCGGAACGGGTAGAGGGACAGCGGTTGACGGACCTTCAGCACTGGTGGAGGACGCAAATCCGACGGGATGACTTTGTCGCCAGCGGCACGTTCGTAAATCTTGACGGCGCGTCTATGGTCGACGCGCTTCGTACCAGGTATCTTGGAAGAAATCAGCGTCCGCCAGAACGAGGGAGGTGCTGTGGTGTCGGAGGTCGCATGAACACCCTCCGGATATGCTGTATCGCGAAGGGTTGCGCGCTGCGGGGTCACGCGTGCTACTGAGGCGCACCGTCAAGCGTCCTGCGTTAGTGGAATGAGCAGCATGTGATGAAGGAAGGGCGCACCCGACGTAACCCCCATCGACCTCCGATACCACAGCAGCTCCCAGCGTCGCAACGTAGAAACAACGATGAACGTACAACTTCCCACTTGTCCAGATTGTGTTCCCGCATCCTCCGGTAGCGCTCGAAGCGTGGACACATGTCCATGCACGTCCCGACCATCGTAATGGCGTCCTCCAGTCTCTTCCGGACGTTCGGGTCGTCCATCTTGCCTTCTCGAATGGCCTTCTGCCGCTCCACTTCCCGCGCTTTCACGAGCTGCTCAAAATTGAGCCCAAAGCATTAAAGCAAAGCAGGAACAGAGACGTACCTGTTGGTATACCGCCTCCGGGTCCTCATCTGGCTCTTCAAATGGTTCGTCTAGCCCGGGATCTACCACCTCCACCGCACTCGCATCATCGTCGTCCGTCGTGATTAGATCGTCTTCGTTGTTGTCGGGGACAGTGAGGTGCGTTCCGTTTTCAAGGGGGGCCTGAGAGCCGCCTCGACCACTTCTGTCACCACCGCGTCGATGCCCCCCTCGGTCCCACCGCTCCGCGTCGGCACCCCGTCCGTTGCGCGTTTCCGCTTGACCGGAGACCCACTTCTTGTTCTTGTGCTGTGCTACTTTGCGGCCGTTCGCGGCTCCGTGAATATGCATTGTTGTGGCGACGACGCGAACGGGTCCGGGGGAAGGCAGTCTGTGGGGTGGGGGAGGATTCTACAAGAGCCTCCAGGCCAAAAAGCGTCGTTTGTCGTGAAGCGCGTCAGGGCCGAGAGAAGCAAGGGAAGGAAAGCAGAGAGGGGATGGGAGGGAAGGGGGTGGGTTGAGACAAGAAGCGCAGGTGGAGAGCAGACGCTCATACGTTGGACGCGGTGCTTAGTCAGCACACAACGCTCATTCCGAGTCCGCAGGGCCGCCGCCGGCTAACGACGACTACGACCTCGACCACGACCACGACGCCGACGCCGGCAGCGACGACCGCGACCTTTGTGCCGCACGCACCCGCCGCGATTCCCGTAGGCCGCGCTTGATATCCCACCATCCTTCCATGACTACGGGAGAGTGTGCTGTACCGCGAGACCTCGGTGCGTTCGTACATCTCGATTCTGCTGCTCGTACTCAAGTCCTCTCCAGTCGCCGTGTTCCATGCTTCGTTTCACCGCACGCAAGGCAGCATCATAGACTGGTCAGTTAAAGCCAGCGAAGGTGAGCGTTCATAGGATGCCTTTTCTGGCCAGGCACTACATCTTCGCAGACATCGACCTATCAAATGTCGAGTTCAGCTGCCTGCCCAGTGGTCTACATCTAGTCGACCGCGATGTCGTGTCAGTCGTTCTCTTTCTACTCAGTTTGATATACTCACTACGACCACAGCTACTTCACCAAAGACGATTACCAGGGTGTATGCGTCTTCCGGCGGCGGCGCACACCGGAGGATGGCCACCGCGGATTTCGCCTTTCCTCCTTGGGCATCCTCCTTTCCAAGTCTACTCGCGCTCGACCATGGGCCCACGTCGCGGCGCTGAAAACTTTGGTCAGCTCACTTTACGACTCACTAGAGGATCGCGATACGTTGGAGCCGATGGACAGCGACTGGGAACCCGTGCGCGCGTTCTTCGATGAGCGCAGAGTAGCCGAACCGCGGGGAGGATGCTCGAGCAGCTGGGAGGGATGGGCATCGGAACTGGATGAAACACGGTCAGATTCAGCTCCTACCGTTCATCTCCCCCACCTCCTGCGCATCCTCGGCCCCTCCTCCCTGACGTTGTACAAGCATATCCTCGGTCGACGGCGCGTTCTCATCGTCACCATCCCTCCGGTTGAGGCCGCCTGCATCCTCTGCCACGTCGCGGCCGACACCTGTTTTCAAGAGCAGGTTTCCGAAGCCGTCTCCACATACGACGATGACAGCCGTGAAGATGACGACGACATTGCACCGTTGAAGGGGAAGAACGCGGCGGGCGTGAAAGTGCTTGGCATGGTCACCCTGAACGACTTGGACAAGCTTGACTTCGAGAGCAAATCGGGACGCGGGTGGATAGCTTGCACCACCGACGCTATTTTCTTGGACAAACCCGCATACTATGACCTTCTCATCGACCTACGCTCTGCGACACCCAACACACGACCCACTTTCTATGTGCCCAAAGCTGCCGACCAGCCTAGCGGCCGCGGCCCCACTTATCGTCTATCCACGATACGCTTTACGTGGAGTGACGTTCGCCTGGTACGTGCTTGTCTGCTTTCGTGAGAGCGACCTCGTCCTGATATGTGCCTGCAGTGGACCGAGCTCGACCGTGTCCTTCAGTCCGAATCCGAAGACCACCCCGACATGTGCTGCGACCCGTCGCACTTGCACTCCCAGCCACGCAACAGCACAAGCTCCTCCTGGACCGACGTCTGGCGCGTCTACGAAGACGTCTGCGTCATGTGCGCCGGGCTCTGGATGGGTGCGTGGCGTGCCTCCTCTGGACCCACAAACGCATCCTTCGGCCCCCCCTACGCGTCCTTCCCCCGTCGCGCAGAAAGCTGGAACAGCAACCTGCGCCTCGACGGTGGCCCCGACGACGACGCGATCTCGACGCGCACCCGCTCCGAGTCCCACGTCCGCGCGCTCGGCCAGGGCATCGAGGGCCGGCCCCCGCCCCCCGCGAACGGGCGCACGTCGCGTGCGCTGCGCCGCGTCAGCACCAACACGCTCTCCGCGCTCACGCGCGCGACCAAGGGCAACGGCACCGACCCCCCGCGGACGAGCACGAGCACGCTTACGATGGGGAAGGGCACCCCGTCGGTCTCGACGTCCGTCGTGCCCGTCGCAGACATCGCGCCGACGCCCTCCAGCCAGATGTTCATCCCAGGCGAGCGAGGCCGGCAATTTCCCGACGCGCCGCCGCCTCCCGAGCGCCGCGCGCGGCAGGTGGCGACGACGCTCGCGCTCCTCGACGCGTTCCATGCGCACACGAGCGCGGTCTTGACCCGCTTCAGCGTCATCCTGGAGACGCGACGGTGGGAGGCCACCTCGGGCGGGTTGGTGTGCCTCACGCCGAAGGACGTAATGTCGTTCGAGCTTGGGCCGTTCAGTGGGCTCGACGCGCGCTTCGTCGAATGGCTTGGGGAAGAGTACGGAGGGGGGGTGCGGGTGTGTGTAAAGCGGGGATGGAAGGACCTCGTGGGGCTCGTCCTGGGCTTTGGGTAGCACGTCGACCTTGGACTCGGTGGAGGATCTCCTGTTTATTATGATACCCTGATTTATGTCTAAGCTCATCAACATCATCTCAACACATCCCCTCCACATCGTCTAGTGTGCAAAAATCGTTAGGCCCTCGACCGATGCATCAGCGGGGAGTCGAACCCCGAGCTAGGCCAACCTCCATGGGAAGACCCAATGTTACCGCTACACCACTGATGCATGTTTATTTCTAAGCATTTTTATACTATAACAAATAAGTACACACTCTCACTAAAGCATTATGATTGATACTCTACCCCCCCCCTCCCCAACTTTCGTTTGGCTGGACTGTCCTCGTTTTTTCCAGCCCATCTCTGTTAAGTCCAGCTGCGCCTACTGAGAGGCTGAGTGCCGATCTGTGCGGTCACGGCAGAACCCGCGAGCGCGTCATCGCCCCACCCGGCACGGGCGGGGTCTCAGCCGCTTTAGAGCGCCCATCCCTGCTTTCTCTGCCACCACGATTTCCGCCTTACTAAAATCCTGCACACGATGGCAACTTGGTTCGTTTCTGGCTTTACTGCGTTTTTCAACAGCTAACAATCATTAATGAACGCTCACAGGGTCGATTACGCTGCTTTAGTCCTGGTGCGTGATCGGACATACGGACACAAGTGACAGCCTAGACTTGCAGTTCACTTGCTTTGCAGACGCTTGCGTTCTTCGCCGGTATGGGCTACATGTATCTCTACATGCGGAATTTTTGGTCGGGCGCCGTCGAAAATACCAAGGGCTCGTGAGTGACGGACGACCGACAGCGCAGTCCTCATCACCACCCTTGACGTCGCTTCTATCCCCAGGCTGCAGGACAAGGGATTCAGCCTGTCCAAGAGCGGCGTGTCCGTAAAGACGGACAAACGGTTCGACCACGAACAGTACCTAGATGCCACGCAACGGTCTGTCCCCCGCACGGCACCTGGAGCGCTGCAGCTGACGACGAGCTCTCACACACTGACAGGGGCTTCATCAAAGCGTTCAACGCCTCGTCGGCAGGCAAAGTAGATCCGGACGCGGGAGCCAAGAAGAGCAAGCGCGGGCTGTTTGGTCGCCGCGCGCAAGTCGAGAAGACATGAATATTACTGCCAGCGTTGGTGTTGAATTTCTTCCGGGTACATCGCACCAAGCACTTCAGCGTACATGGGTTATGAGGGGCGTGTGGCTGATTGACAGATATAAAGACTTGTATACTTGACAAGGACACTATTTATACTCTTGACTGCGATCCACCAGGCAATGCTCTGGCGTGGGTCAAGCAGTTCAAGAACGGACCTATTGCATCGAGCCTGTTCGAGCCAAATGAATTGCATTTGCACCCCAATCTTACTATTCTCCAAACTACTCATCACACAATGCTTAGTGGCAGGATTTTTGTGCTCACATCCTACCGCCTTCTCTCCCTACAACGTAATAGCCGTTATGCAACAGAAATTGACTCATCGGTTTTGCGATTGTACTCCTGCGCACAGCCGTCAAGCTCTCGATCACAGCTGGAGCCTTCACCGACTTCGGCATTCGTCCCCAGTATTGTTGTAAATTCAAACAGAATCGCCCGTCTCGATGGTCTTGCAATAGATGCGACTTTCGAAGCCATATTCTCAACTCCTAATTTGTCTCACGCGGCACACTGACCCCTCACCTCAGGCTCCGGTATCCAAACGGCGTTACTGAGCGCGTCCGTCGAGAACTATCCGTGGGCTGATCTCCATCATCGGACGTAGCTACAGTCGCACCCGCCCCGCCATGCAGTGCGTTCTGCGTGCTGCTGATCTAGTACATCCGTGCAGGACAGCTCGACCCGTCGTTCTACCATTGATTCTGATCCCGCGAGCATCACGGCGGCCATGGACGAGATCAACAGCCCGCGTTCCGACCTGTGCCCCGTCGCGAGTTGCCCCACGGCGAGTCCTCCTCTTGGACGCGGACTCCGTCCTCCTGCATCCCTCCGTTCCTCCAGCTTTGCAACCGCGCGGAGCTTGTCGGGTAAGTGGGCTCGATATGGTTCTCGCGTGGCGATAATTAATTGTCGCCAGGGATTAGCGCCCGCGGTCGATCGAGTCACGCCTCCGTCTCGCATTCGAGCTCTCCACACTCACGACCGTCACCTGCGGCGTCCTGCCACCAGGCTTGTCGTGCACGCTTTGTCTTGGATCCCTCCTCTTCCTTGTTCTCTCTTGTCTTTCAGCTACCCAACGCGCCTCCTCAGCACCTCCCGCCATGGCAGAGGTTCTCCCACATAGCCCGATGCCCCACGGCGCGACCTTTGGCAGCGCCCCCCGTCCTCGACGCCCAAGCGAGGCCCGCCCTCTCCCCCCTTCTGCCCCCAACTCGCAGCCCGGAACACCAAATCGCATCAACAAAGCACTTCCCGCCGTCCCACAGTCATCTAAAAAGCCAAATGCAGCGGCGACGAGGTCCAAGACGTCCTTCCCCACACGCCGCCCTACGAGCCCCGACGTCGAGACGATGATCGCAAAGACACCGCGCCCGCGACGCCAGAGCTCCGCAACTTTTCACCAGCTGCCTGGCGGTGGCATCGGTATGGCTAGTGGGACGCGTTCGCGCACGAACTCGTCGGCAGTCGTGCCGTCAAGCTGGCGCGGCGCGAAGACGAACCCCAAGCAGGATACTGGAGCGCCACTTGAGGAGAGCGAGCCGGTGGGTTCGGACTTGCTAGAGAAGGCGGAGGAGAGCGAGGAGGAGGACGGCGGGAGCGAGTCCGACTCGAGTATCGACATCCACACTCCTTTGCCGTGAGTCTGATGTTTTGCCTGGCTGCAGCCCCCGCTGACGGTGCGATGGGGCAGACACCTTATGTTCCGCGACGGTCTGCTCTCCCCACGCTCCAAGCTGCTTCCTGGCGGTGGTTCGGCGACGCTGTCGATGTACTTGGACAACGACGAGCAGCCTGCCACAGGGATCCGCGCGAACAGCGTCCTAAGTCTGGTTTCGACCTGTGCGTACTTGCTCTCTCGTTCCACGCACTTCACTTTAGCTCAATCTCTCCGTCGGTGTTTCTGGCAGCTGGCAGCACTATGACCAAGTCGGGGGTGCACCGAGACCCGCGTGACACGCAGCGGAGAAGAGTCCGGCACCGTGACCAGCAGCTCTTGCGGGCGGGGATGGGTTTGACGACGGGACTTGGTTGGAGTGACAGGTGTGTACTGTTGTGGGGCCCACGTCCGCGCGCGATCCGCAGAACTGACCCCTCGGTGCAGCGAGGACGAAGACGCGCCGTCGCTCCTCACTCGCCGGCTCATCAACACCAACCTCGCACGCCAGCCGTCGGCGAGCGCGTCCCGCCCGTCATCCAAGCTATCCAAGTCGTCTTCCGTCGGCCATCTCCCCCATGCCCCGACCTCGTACTCGCCCGTGCCCCGCTCCGGCGCGCGTACAGTCGCCCGCTCGGCCTCCCAGACCTTCTCCTCGCGTCTGAGCATCGTTGAGACGGAGAGCATCACGTCGATCGACCTCCCGTCCCGCCCCCGCTCACAGTCGAATGCCTCCGCGTCCTCGCTCATCTCTTCAGCCTCCCGCGACTCGAGCAGCGCCCCCCACTCTGTGGCGTCCTCGCAGAACGCGCCCTCCGTCTCCGCTTCCGTCCGCTCTGCGACTTCGGTCCCGCGTCCGCTCCGCCTTCCGCAGACCGCGGGCAAGCAGGGCACGGTTGCAAGCGGCCACTCCGTCACCCGCTCAACATCCGCCATCGCCCTTTCCGCGACGGCAGCTGCCTCTGCGACCGCTTTCGTCTCCCCGTCGGCGTCCACGGCCACGACCAAGCCGGCTCCCATTGCCAAAGCCGCCGCCGCTGCCCCATCAGCCCGCACGCGATCACGCACACACTCGAACCCCGGTCCCCGCCCGATGCACTCGCTCGTCACCGGCGTCCCCCGCCCGGCCGCCTCCAAGGCCATCTCTCCCCGGGCTCTCCAGTCCGCCGTCATGGCTCCCGTGCGCTCCGCCGCGCCTTCCTCCGGCACGTCCACGCCGGCCCCCACGTCCGCATGCGGGCCCGGCGATTTCCCCCTGCCCCCGACCAGTACGCCAGCGGGCTCGTTTTCGCCCCTCTTCGCAGGGGTCGTCCGCCCGAACCCGATGGTGAACATCAACTTGCGCACGATGGCGTCGTCGCCGTCGCCGATGTCTTCGGTTGCATCGCCGCTGGCTTCGAGCGTGGGCACGGGCGCGGGCGGGCGGGTGCTGAATACCGTCGGCGTCGGCAGGCGCCCACCGAGGACAGGCACGGGGATGGCGTACCGGAACAGCTCGTACTCGAGCATGTACGAGACGTCGCGCCTCGGCGGGCGCACATCCATCGCGTCGTAGGCAGTGAGCGGACTCGGAGCTCGGTCTGGATACCAGTGTAGATGTAGGTTTGGGGTCCAGTCGCTAGTCGTCGCCGGTGATGTTTCATGCTTTCCTCTTGCTTTCTTGCGCTCCCGAGTCGGTCCCTACACACACACACGCCCGTTTCCCTTCTTCTCCTCTCTGAATCTTCTAGATCAAGAACTTGTGCCGCGCAGTCGGTCTCGCATCTCACATCGCACGCCGTAACATACAACCCCCGATCGTTTTTCTTGCATCCTCGTTGCTCGCTCGCGTTCCGTATGCATATGCTGGCTGCTTCGCCCCGTTTCTTGCGCCTAGTTGGTTACTCTGCTGCTGTACGCGCGCGTCCTGTCGTTCACTCTATTTATCGCATTCTGCTTCACCCAACGGTCTCTCGATCGCCTGACCAAGCAAATGGAAACCGTGATGCAATCGTCCGACATTGCGTATTGAAGAAGGACCTTTGTGAATCTGGAAGTTGGAGCTCTGAGGCCGTGTCCCCAGCTGCTGCACATATCCCCCCGCGAGCGAATTCGCGTACTTTTCACCACTAGTGTGGCTTTCTGGAGCGGCTGTAGTCTTGAAAAGAGCAGAGCCATGTATTCGGCCCTCAGATGAAGCAACGACCTCATATTATATAGTCTTTGTATCCGATATGGTGTAGTGGCTAACATTATCGCCTCTCACGCGATAGCCCGGGGTTCGATTCCCCGTGTCGGAATTCATGATAATGGCTTCAGTTTTGCTATTTGAATCTTCAACCAAGTGTGGTCCCCTGGCCTATCGCGTTGAGAGGCAAATGATTGATCCAATCCTACCCGGCCGTCTATGAGAGTTGACGTTGAGTACTTGAGTGTGCCCGGTGCTGAGTGTTTTCTCCGTGACCGTGTGGCGTAGAGTCTAGACCCGCCTGGCCCGATGCTCTGTTTCTGTTCTATTCTTCGGTATTGCTGTATGGACTAGTACTTACTGCTTTCGCAGGCCCGCAGGGCACGCTCTGCGCCGGCACACTGAACTCGAACAGAGGGCTGGGTAGGAGCCTGCTTCGACCCCACACAGCCTAGTTTCCTTGTCCCCTTTCTCTCTCAGTCCGTCCGTCGCCCGTTCGCCCGTGCCCATCGCCCCAACATCGTTCGTCCGCCCGATAGCCGCCGCCCGTCTCTCTCGTCTCTCTCTACTCTCTAGCTTGTCACTTCATCTCTCGACGACTCTACGCGACTTGGGACGACAACTCTAACACCGTGCACATCGGAGTGCGACTCGGATATGGATATTATGGAAGACAAGGCAGGCTTTGTACGAGCACTAGAGGCTCCCCTTGTCCCAATCAGGATGATATCGTCGTCCGCTCGGCGAGCTGTGAGGTACAATGACGTCTATATTGGAGACGGTACACAAACGATACTTAAGTATATATGTGCGAGTATAATGCCTGTCAACTGCGGCCCAGAACACATGTATTACCCAAAGTTACTCTACTATGCACGAAACGACCGAGATGCCGACGGTCCTCTATAACCACAGCGTCCAATGTCCAAGACGAGATCATGACAGGTCGTTAGCACAACTCCCACATCTTCACGGAGTCGACGACCATGGCGCGGTCGTCGACGTTCTGAGGCCACGTCGCGTACCAGTCCGACTGCTTCTTCGCAAAGTCCGTCGTCGCCGCTGAGAGGAACGCGCCGCACGGGTGAGCAGCCAGCCAAGAAAAGCAAGAGCGCGCGGGAGGACTCACTGAGCGACCCGTCGAGCCACGGCTTCCCGCCCGCGCCGTCCGGGAACCAGCCGTTCGTGCCGCCGACGGCGACGTTCATGATCAGGTAGAAGCGCTGGTCGAACGGCGCGACGTTCTTCGTCCCGTTCGACCACGGGTTCGGCGTCTGGATGAAGTCCGTCCCGTTCTGGACGACGGTGGGGAAGCCGCCGCGCTGGAAGAACGGCTCGTTGAACTTGAGGTTGAGCATGTACGTGAGCCGCGAGTCGACGTAGATCCGCAGGAAGCGGTCGTTCCACTCGAGCGCGTACGTGTGGAAGCCGTCCGCGAACGTCTTCCGCCGGTTCGTCCACCACCCGAACGTCTTGCTCACCCCGTTCAGCCACGAGAACGGGCCCCAGTTGAGCGAGCCGCGGACGTAGTCGACGCCCCTGAACACGCGCGCGCGTCAGCGGCGGGGCGAGGGGAACGCGTGGAACACAGAAGACTCACTGTGCAGGGTACTCGGGCCCGTTCCCGCGCGCCTCCATGATGTCGATCTCGCCCGAGCGCGGCCACGGCCCGTACGCGTCGTCGACGGGGAGCATCCACAGCGCGGGCCAGAGCCAGTCCCCGCGCGGGAGCTTGGCGGAGATCTCGACGCGGCCGTACTTGATCGCGTGGTGGCCGAGGGTGTTGATCCGCGCGCTCATGACCGGGGGGATGACCGTCTCCGCGGTCGCGTTCGACACCGCGCCGCAGTTCGTCGCGTTCGCGTCCGTGCAGCCCGTCAGGTTGAACGTGAACGGCGGGCTGCCGAGCACGTTGTCGTACCCGATCACGTCCGAGGTGAGCGTGGGGACGAGGAAGAGCTTCCCGTCCTGGACGAAGGAGTTGTTCGACGAGGCGGTGGTCATCTCGAACTCCTGGTTGCTGCGTGCACAGCGTGCCGCCTGTCAGCGCTCGTGTCGCAGGTGGGGGTAGCGCGCGCACGTACCCAAAGCCGCTCATCGTCACCTCGTGGTTCCATGTGTTCGCGGTGTCGAAGGTGTCGAAGGTGTCCTCCATCACGAGACACAGGTTCCCGAGCCGTTCCGTCGACTTCCAGGTGAAGAAGCACCGCACCGCACCGCCCGCGATCCCGAGGAAGGCGATGAAGTAGACGAGGACGTTCGAGAGCCCGAGGCGCTTGTCTTTGTTGGCCAGCCACGGCTTCTCGATGGGGCCCGTGAGCATGGTCGAACGCATCGGCTTCTTGGGACCCTGGACGGCCATCGACAGCCGCGAGGGCTCACGCGTGCGGTTCATCCCTGGGCGCATGGGGCGCGGGGCCATCGTCGAGAAGCGCTTCGAGTTGGGGGTGCCTGGGGGCGACGGCATGTCTGGGGCGTCGCCGAATGTGGACTTGCGGAGGATGGACTGGACGGAGACATGGCTGTCGTGGCGGCGGAAGGGAGGTTGGTCTGCGAATCCACTGAAGCTGACGACGCTGGAGGGCTTGGAGGCGTCGGGTGTCTGGAAGGGATCACGGGATACGTCGGGGGGTGGTTCGGAGACGGTGGGATTCGGGCGACGCTGGATGGTGAGCGGGGCAGAGGGAGCACCAGAGGTGGATGTGCGAGGAGAGGAGTCGGTGGAGGTGGAGGGGGATTTGGGATCCGACATGGTGGGCCCGAGGGTGCGGCTGAGGAAGCCAGGGGAGATTTCGCAGTATATCTACCCAGGCGAGTTGAGGAGATCCCCGGTCCGCCGGAAGACGTCCGGATGATACTTGAAAAATCGGTTCCGACCAAGACAGCAGTTGCCCAGGGACACGCGCTAGCGTCCCGAATAACGCTGCAGACGCGATACTGCCGGGGACCTGGGACACGTTGTCGAGGTGACGCCGAGGCGCTACAGATACACTCCTTCTGTCAAACAAATGGCGACTGTCGGACAAATTGAGCTCACCGGTTCCAGCGCCTACATACCACCTCATCGACGCCGAAGAAGGAATGCCCTGCAGTCCTGCATCTAACACACGAGGAGGGCGCATGATTGCCATAAGGCGAACCTGGGCGACCGTCTCAGGACAGCAGGGCGGCTTGAGATGGGATCCGAGCATCGTGGAGCGCCAGCGGCCGTCGTGCGCAACTACCCAGGCTCACTCGGCTGGCGATAGGGAGTGATCGTCCCGGAAGGCAATGACAGCTGCCACTCAAACACCTGGCGCTCATGTGAAGGGGCTTTCCTCCTCGCTGACCAGTGTAGAAGTACGCAAATATCTGAGTAAGCCACCTCCGCGTCCCAGTGACAAGAGTGCGACTCACCAACAGTCCGGCCCGACTCCAACGTGCATTGCTGTGTAGTATAAAAGTTGGAAGGTGGATTCAAGAGCATGAGATTTGTTATTGGCTGAAGCGTGGGCCCCGGTGAACGCGGTCAAGAGTCGACTTGCCTCAAGCTCAAGTCGATCATGATGAGCTGGCCGGCCTGCCGGTCCGCCCGAGCGCCCGCTGCCAGCCCGTCCATGAGAGGCGTCCTCTTCTTGTTCCACAATGTGCACTATTGATGCACTCAGTGCGAACGGACGGAAATCCTAGAGGAGTCGAATCGCGGAAATGACCTTCCAAAATTGTGGATGCAGTAAGATATGTCGTCATACTGTTGTCGTGAAAGTTGACCCTTGAATACCGTCCTTCTTTCTCAGGGTTGACGGGGTCTGTCATGGGAAACAACGATGGCGTGACGAAGGCCTGGTTACTCCCCGAGTCCCGATGACATCTTCCAAGACTCGTCCGCGCGACAGAAACGAGTGGCGAAGTCCACAAGGCTCACGTCAGTAGCGTTCTCCAAATATTGCAGTGACCTTAGAGGTCGTGCAAGTTCCATATTTTATCATCGGGAGAACAGGGTAGGAATCAGGTGCGGTTTTTGCTCTTCAATCACGAGAGCTCTGTGTTCGAAACGCTCTCAAGGTTGTGAGGTCACTACGCGAACAGGGCCGCAGTAATTTGAAGGCATGCCGTTGCGTGCAAGTCGTCCATTCATCCTGTCTCATGATGCTTATCGTGCATGCCAGGGTTTTCCGAGCTCTCAGGAATTGAGGATGAACATCCTTACCAGCCAGTCGCCGGTCGCTCAATTCCCACTGTCACGGCCAAAACGCGCCTCCGCCAACTTCCGTCCTCACACGCCCGAAATTGCACCGCGCCGTTTCACCTCCGGCCCTCCCCCACAATCGCATCCTTCAAACTCTGCACAAGGCCGCCCGAGGACAGATGGTCCCAATTATAACGTTGTCGAGCGCGGCGCGCGCAGTGGGAGCAGCAACCGCAATCGCCGCGTTTACTCCAGGGTTTTGAGGATGTTCTGCGCCTCGCTCGAGGAGGCGCCAGACTATCTCTACGAGAATCGCGTATGCCGCAGAAGAGATTGGAGTCGGCATCGTTGCTGCGCTCCGCGCCCACTTTTCCTCCGCGGATGTGATCAGGCCGTGCGCGGTGCTCTACACCGTCTCCGACGGCACTCGGTGGAAGTCGCGTCCACAGCGCCCACGCGCGCGCGCCATCCCATTCGGTGTCTGTGTGGAGCCATGATCCCGAAGTAGTGCAAGCACGCAAGCAAATGCCCGCACATCGACGAACGTTCTCTGCGCGAGGCGTGCCGTATCGCGCGCCGCCGGGGCGCGCGCGAGGTACGCCACCCGTTCATAACCGCGGCCGCTGACAGCGCGCAGGTGCGGCGCGGCGCGAGGCAGCCAAGCGTCACCCACGCCCCCGAGTCCCCGTCGACGTCGGCCTCGCGCCCAGCCGGCGACCAGGCCGCGGGCGACCCTCCCGAGCGATCGCCGCCGCGGCCCACGCTTGCCCTGCGCCTCATGAAGACCACCGTCCAGTGCCGAGACCTGCGCGCGGCACAGCGCACGGCTCCGTGCCGCGCGCGAAACGCCACTGGTGCGTCTCGATGGGGGCCACCATCGCGCGCGGAGGAGACGCGGGACGACCCGCGCGAGGGGTCAGGGAAGTCACGGCCGCGCTGACGGCGACTCCGTCCAGGGTCCGCCGCGCAGCCTTGAGACGCCAGGAGGGCGTGTTCCTCGGCATTGGTATCGTCGCTGGGCGCTGAGCCATGGACGCCGAGTCTCGATTTGTGCGTGCGCGGAGCGACGGCGTCATGGCGTCCGTCGTGCGTGCTTCTGCGCCCCACTGGTCGGCGAGTCGTCGCGCGCCGCCAGGCTCGAGCTCGCCCAGCCTCGGCCGCGGAGCTTCACGAACGCCGAGGACGGCGAGGTGAATAAGCAGATTAGTGTAGTCCGCGCGGCCGAGTTTATCCAGGCTCGGAGCGGGAGTGGGAGAAGAGGGGCAAACGGATTGTCGTATCATCCGTGGAGTCGAGGCGGGCGAGAATCGGCGGAGGCACATATTTTACACTCTATTGTAGAACGCGGGTATGTACTCGAGAGACAATCCACAGAGAACGTCGAACCGGGATAATCAACAGCGTACAAAGCTACCAAGTGTGTTAGACAGAACCGTACCTTCAAATGGTTCGTACGCGGCACAAGATAGGGTGTATGGATCTCAAAGTCGCGTCGGCGGATGGTGAGTGTACGTAGCGGGGCGGGAGTGTCCGATAAGGAAAGGAAGCTACAGGCGGGATTTGGAACCTAGCAGGAACATGGGTGAACTCGAGCCGAGTATGAATGCCGGTCGCCTGTCGCCGACTGACTGGAAAGAGGACAAAGAGCGGCTGCGCACAGCCCTGGAAGGAGTCACATATTTTACACTCTACTCTAAAACGCGGGTATGTGCTCGAAAGCGTCTAAAGGGTACGCCAAAGCGGATAATCAACAGTGTACATAGCTACCAAGAGTATTAGACAGAACCGTATTTATAATCCATGAGATAGAAAGGATGGGAAGTCGTATGCGGCACAAGGGAGGGTGTATGGATCTCAGACTCGCGTCGGTGAATGGCAAGTGTACGTAGGGGGGCGGGAGTGTCCATCGTCCGGTGAGAAAAGGAAGCCATAGGTGACGTAGGTGAACTCGAGCCGAGTATGATATATGAAGGCCGGTCGCCTGTCGCCGACGGAGAAGAGAGAACCAAGAGCGGCTGCTGCGGGGGCAGCCCTACATAGGATGAATCGATGACCATCAGGGAAAGTGTTCTATAGGGGGACGTGAAAGTGACACATGCGACGTCGGCGACGCGCGGTAGCAGGATAAGGAGCGGGGCGGCGCAAGGAGACCTGGATACAAACATCACCTCTCAAAGTCCAAACGTCCAAGAAGCATACGTATACAGCGCCTCGACGGGGGCGTGTCATCAAAAGTGCACAGGCCCGAGCCCATTTATCACGTTCGCGGAGAGCGCCTAGCAGCGCTGCCACATCTTGACAGAGTCGACGACCATCGCACGGTCCGCGATGTTCTTCGGCCACGTCTCATACCAGGTGTCCTGGGAGTACGCAAAGTCCGCCATGGCAGCTGCAGATTGATATGCGGTGAGCTCGGCGATGCCTCCTGTCGAGAAGCAGATGGTGGGTACGCACTCAGAGAATGGTCGAGCCACGGCTTCGTGCCGGCGCCGTCGGGGAACCACCCGCTCGTGCCGCCGACGGCGACGTCGAGGATGAGGTAGAACGGGCGGTCGAACGGCGCGACGTTCTTCGTCCCGGTCGCCCACGGGTTCGGCGTCTGGATGAAGTCCGTCCCGTTCTGGACGACGGGCGGGAAGTCGCCGCGCTGGAAGAAGGGCTCGTTGAACTTGAGGTAGAGCGTGTACGTGAGCCGGGAGTCGACGTAGAGACGGATGAAGTCCGGGCTCCACTCCATCGCGAACGTGTGGAAGCCGTCCGCGAATGTCTGCCGCCGGTTCGTCCACCACCCGAACGTCTTGCTCACCGCGTTCAGCCACGTGAACGGTCCCCACTGCAGCGAGCCGCGCACGTAGTCGACGCCCCTGTGGAGTAGGTTAGCACCGCGCGAACCCAAACGGATCCACGAGTGGACTCACTGGGCAGGGTACTCCGGCGGGTTCCCGCGAGACTGCGCGATGTCGATCTCCCCGGACGCGGGCCACGCGCCGTACGTCTCCTCGAGCGGGAGCATCCAGATGGACGGCCAGATCCAGTCCCCGCGCGGCATCTTCGCGACGACCTCGACCTTGCCATAGGTGATCGCGTGGCTGCGCTTGGTGGAGATACGCGCGCTCATGACCGGGTTGATGACCGTGCCCGCGGTGATGTTCGAGACCGCGCCGCAGCCGTTCGTGGTGTTGACGGAGGTGCAGCCCGTGATGTTGTACGTGAACCCATCGCGGACCGCGGCCTCGCCGATGACGTCAGAAGTGAGGGTCGGGACGAGATAGAGCTTGCCGTCCTGGACAAAGGAGTTGTTCGGCGAGTTGGTCGTCATCTCGAACTCCCCGTTACTGCAAAGCGAGCCTATCAGCATCGACGGTTCGTACAGCGCATGCCAGAACTCACCCAAAACCGCTCATGTCGACCTCCTGGAACCACGTGAAGCCGGTGTCGAACGTGTTAAAGTCGTCGTCCATGACCAGACACAGGTCGCCGATGCGCGGGGTCTGCACCCACGCAAAGTACACGCGGAGCGCGCCGCCGACGACGCCGAGAAACGCGACGATGACGGTGATCCAGTACGAGAGCCGGCCGTACGTGTCCTTGTCCGTCAGCCACGGCTTCGGGATCTCGCTCGTGAGCATGTTCGAGCGCATGCGCTTCGCCGCGCGCGCCGCCACCGCCGACCCGTCCGAGCCCTCCGGGGACATCATGGTCGCGCGCCGCGGCATCGCGGGCGGGGACATGAACGAGCTCCGCGCGTACGCGTTCACCGAGCTCCGGCGCGAGCGCGTCGCCATGCGCGGGCCCTCGCGGATCGTCACATGCAGATCCGTCGACGACGACTGGCCGGACGCGCCGGTGTGGGGGCGCGAGGGGGTCGCGGCGCCGCTGTGGGTGGCCGGGAAGGTGAAGTACGGAGCGGAGGGCTGCGAGCCCTGGAGGTTCTGCTCCGAGCTGAAGTTGCGGACGCTCGCGGGCGGGGAGAACGGGTTGACGTTGCTCACGCCCGAGCGCGGGGTGGCCGGGACGGAGGCGTCGGGCGTCCGGAATGGGTCCGCACGGATGGCGTTGATGTCGTCCTGGCTGAAGAGTGGCCGCGGAGGCTGCAGCGGGCGCTGGCGGTTGGAGCCCATCGTGGTCGACGGCACGGGGGGGATCGTCGGGTCGTCCTGAGCAGAGGAGAGCTGCTCTGCGGAGGAGTAGACGGAGGCCGAGGTGGAGGGAGCGAGACGGTCGGCCATGTTGCAACGGGTAGATGGAGCCTCACGCGGGACTAGTGAGGAGCGTTGCGGGCGGTGAAGGCGGTTTGAAGGCGGAAGGGTACCTCACAGAGGAGGCTTCGCGATGGGCCCTTAAGAGGTTTTGTATGTGCGAGAGCGAGCCCGACTAGGGGAGCCTGCACGCCCGGTTCTCCGTACGCCGTCTTCCACGCTCCTGGCGAAGCTCTAACGCCGCGACAGCAGGAATGCTTCGGTCGTTCAACGTTCAACAGTCTAGGGCTGTTTGATCTGGCAGGGAACAGGGCAAGAGGCCGCCGCCGGTTCGACCCATCGTTCCTGGAATTTTGGCAGTGCTTCGAGCGGACTCGGCAGTGGAAGAATCGCCCCAACGCGAGTGCGTCGGCCTGGACCTTTGGTATCTGAATGCGAGATACAAAGCCTACGGGAGTGTGAGAGAAGAACGAGCGTACAGCCTGCCGTACACACCCGATCTTCTCGTACTGTCCATGTACTCTGGCCGCTGCCCCAGTGGGCCCGGTGGGCCAATCGGAGAAAGATTCGCGTTCGGTCAACGGCGGAAAAGCGGAGTTTGCAGCGGGCGCTCATATGACGCGGCTGCTGTGGCATGTCAGCCCCGCGGAGATTGGCGGAGAACAAATCCACCGACGCCATGTCATGTCTTGTCATGTCTGATGCACTTGAGACCGAATAAGTTATCTAGAAGGCGCGCAATCGTCAATCGTCTCATCATGACAGAGAAAGAAGATGGTTTACCTCACCTTCGAAGAAATACCACCACAAGGGCTGATTTCATAAATTCAGGGGGATGGCCGTGCTTCGAAGCTTCCTCGCACACGTTGACGACTTCGTGCGCACTTCGGGGGAGCCGGGTCTGGGTTGACCCGCGAATCACCGACAATGCGTGAGATGGCGTCGGGGCTCAGCGGAAGGGTACTCACGGTTTGTTTGCTGATACAAATGTGCACAGCGATCCCCTCAGGTCTACATTGAGCGCATACATATGGTCGTAGTTGCCGTATCCGACGAACGAAAAGCACAGAGATCTATGGCGGGCGCCGTCGGGGGCTGGGAGGTGCTGGGCGCTGGGCTGTGCAGCGCTGGGCAATTGGGTCTGGCCGGGTCTCTGCACGGGAGCTGAGATGGCAGCCCTGCACCGATTCTTTCCGTCCCGAATACGCCCCTGGTGGCATGCGATGAGGCACAGGCAACGCGCGCGGAACGAGTCTACCACGTACCGCCAGGTACAACGTTCACAGCGGCTCCGGTGCAGACGAATTTTCGCGTACTAGAACGTGCCTGCCGGGATGATTTGAGTCGAGCTCTGCTGAGGGCAGTCAAAGAAAGCCTGAGATCTCCAGTTGCAGGAAGTTTGCAAAGACACATCTATGGTGCAAGCTGGGATCAAAGTGCGGCGAGGCAAGGCGGGAAGGGAATGTACCGCGGAGCGACATTGAGGCCCCGCCTGAGAATTATGTTCGGAGATCAAAAGTCGCAGAGCGACAGTGATTCGGGGTTTCAACGATATGTGCTGGGCGCCAATCATTTTCACCAGCCGCGACTTAGACTCAGCAACGACCTTGACTGCCTTTGGGAAATAAAGTGAGGGCTGTTTTTCTTTGATTACTGAATGCTCTACGGCAAAGAACAGCACTTTCATGAAACACGACTTCATCGGGCAATATTTGGACGGTCTCGGAGATACTAAAACGTCAGAACGCATACCAGGAACTACTGCCTCCGCTCAACTGTACAAAGTGTGAATGTGGTTCCCCTTCCGTTTTCTCCAGGTCCGGTCGAAGCGGGCGACGGTGTGCGCCACGAAGGTGCGCAAGCGCACGTGTTGACGCCACGTCATGAAAAGTTTCTCATGTTCGCTCATGCTCGAACAACGTACACGCGTCAAAGCAGTCTCGGTGAGACGTGTGTAAACCGGGTTCGTCTTCGCGATTTCCCGTTGTGTGCTCTGTGTTCTTGACGAGGCTCATGTTCCTACGCAGACGCACTTCTGCATCGCCCACGATGACAACTCGCCGTGGGAATCGGACCAATGGATATGGTCGAGGCAGCACCGAGGCCGCTCTTGCTTCTCGGTGAGTGCCGCCTCGCCTCGTCCTGCCCATGTCCACCAAAAGGCCGATTGAACTGATTGACACAAATCCGCCAACGGCTCCGGTCTCGGAACGACAGCCTCGAGGAGCTCCATCGCCTTCTATACAGGCACCCGCGTCCCAACACCGGTCCTCTGAATAGCATAAGGCACCCGACCAAGTACTACGCGACCTGACACCACCACGCCGGCTTGGCCCCTCCCATACATGGAAATGCACGCTCAGGACCACGACGGCTGCGAAGTTAGGTTCAGCTAGTGGTCCTGACGGACATACGCTGTCATCATCAATAGGAAGAACCTTCACGAAGACCGTTCGGACACCGATGTCGAAAGATCGCTTCTGCTCGCGCTCTGGAATCGCGCGAGATGGCCGTCTGGCTCCTATAAGGTGACGGTGCACAACTTGGCGCTCGTCTTCATCCACCGGGCCCGCGGACCACCTTCCACGCTCGCACCTCGTCATCGTTCTTCCCCAGGATGGACTACGACGCCTATGACGCCCTCTTGCATCATATATTCAAGCAGGTGCGTCTTCTTCCTTCTCTACACTATTCCCTGCTCTTCTCTGACGGTGAATTGCGTCTGGTAGACGCAAGGGGATGCTTGGTTCAAGCCGTCGGAGGAAAACGTCCACGCGGGTGTTTGCCTCCGGGTCGACAATGGCTTCTTCCGCGTCTTCCCGTACGAGAACGAGCATCTCGAACCCTTCGAGGCAGCCATCAGGGTCCTCAATCCAGTCGTCGCCGTGAAGGTCAGGAGTGCCGCTATCCACGCTGCGCTCTCCGCCTTGTCAGTCATCCCCCATCACGGCTGCACGACATGGTCGCTCACCAACACTTCTTCACAGGAAGGAAGATGCGGACTGCATCTTCGTTGACAACGACACACGTATCCAAATCGTGGAGACAATGGCATACCTTCCTCGGGCGGATAAAGAGCAGTGTGCCGCCTTCATCGTGAGTTTCTTCGCATCTATCAGTCCCCATCGCTGACCTGCCAACCCCCCACGCCCCCCAGCGTGACGAGCGCGTCATGGTCGTTTGGACGTATGACTTGGACAGCATCATCCCCACGTGCCGCGACTTCGAAGAGAAGCTCATCAAGCTCGTTTGGAACCGCCGGTCCGCCATTACTTCCGTTGTGGGCTCTCTAGCTGCGTCGGAGCTTGGCTCAGGTTCCGACGTGAACCTCAACGAGAAACGCGCGAACAAGGAGGAGGTCGTGCCTGCACCCAAGGAGAAGGGCGCGGCCCCGAAGAAGCGCACATGCGGCATCTTCGGAGGATACTGGAAGGCTGACGCCAGCGACCTCGAGAACGCCGCCGAGGGGCCTTCGCCGCGACCGACGCGACTCTTCGCCCCTGTCTACTGCGGCCTGGGCGCCGGGTTGTCCCTTTGTGCGTCGTCCTCGTCCACGCCTGTCTTTATTTCGGCGCACTCACACGGGCCGTGCAGTCTTCGTGGGTAGTGGCGCGAGCGTGTTGCTCGAAGAGTCGATTTTGGACGGCCAATGGGCCCGCTTTGCGCTCCTCGTGACCGTGCCGTTCCTGTTTTGCGTGTCGCTGGTGCGTGCTCACTCTAGACGTTCGCTCTACGCATGCGCCGAACACACGCATCATCCGCCTTGCAGTTTTTCTCGCTCATGATCGTCACGAACATCACCTATGTGTACGTCCACCCCTTCCGCCCCTGTGTCAGGAATACCTCACGAACTATATTTGTGCGTACTTGCAGCCTCGGGCCCGTCGCGCAGTTCCATGAGAACTCCAAGTACTATTCCGCCAAAGCCCCCGCGCCTAACAAGATCGTCGATGAGAACCTTCCTCACATGACCATCGAGATGCCGGTCTACAAGGAAAGCCTCTCGGAAACCATGTGCGTATCTCGGACCGCTCCTCCCGTTATACCCGTTAGCGCCCCCTCTAGTTCAAGCCAAGTGCGGCGTCCTGGGGAGGCGGTGTGTCGATCACACATGACGCCCCCGCGAGTGTCTCAGCGTACCGGCGGCGCACATACCGCCTTTGCCTTTTGGCTCGCGCACCCATGATCCGAGGCTAGTGTGGCTGACGCCGACCCCACAGCGCGCCCTCGGTGTACTCGCTCAAGAAGGCGATGCAAACCTACGCCCGCCAGGGCGGCACCTCCTCCATCCTCGTGCACGACGACGGGCTCCAGCTGCTCTCTGAGGACGACCGCAAGGCGCGCATCGCCTTCTACGCGGACCACAACATCGGCTGGGTCGCGCGCCCGCCGCACTCCGGCGCGGCCGACGGCTACAAGCGCGCCGGCCGCTTCAAGAAGGCGTCGAACATGAACTACGGCCTCGCGCTCTCGCTCAAGATGGAGGCGCACATCGCCGCGCTCGAGGCGTCCGGCGCCGCATTCGCGGAGGACGGCGAGGAGTCGCTCGAGGAGCGCGCGCTCGCGCTCGCGGTCGAGGAGACGTTCGAGGAGAGCGGGCAGCGCTGGCGGCCGTGGGCGTGCAACGCGCGGCCGCTCCGCGTGGGCGAGATCATCCTCATCGTCGACTCGGACACGATCGTCCCCGAGGATTGCCTGCGCGACGCCGCGCGCGAGTTCGCGGAGTGCCCCGAGGTGGCGATCATCCAGCACGAGTCGGACGTGATGCAGGTCGCGCACCACTACTTCGAGAACGGGATCACGCACTTCACGCGGCGCATCAACCGGTGCATCTCGATGTGCTGCGCGAACGGGGAGGTCGCGCCGTTCGTCGGGCACAACGCGTTCCTCCGGTGGGCGGCGCTGCAGGACGCGGCGTTCATCGACGAGGCGGACGGGAAGAAGAAGATCTGGTCCGAGTCGAACGTGTCGGAGGACTTCGATATGGCGCTGAGGCTCATGCTGCGCGGCTTCGTCATGCGCTGGGCGACGTACTCCAATCGCGGCTTCAAGGAGGGCGTGTCTCTGACGTGCGACGACGAGCTTAACCGCTGGCAGAAGTACTCGTATGGTGAGTGGTTCGGCGTCGCTCATGCGCGGAACGAGTGCTGACGCAGTCGTAGGATGCAACGAGTTGATCTTCAACCCCATCGTCCAGTGGTGGTACAAGGGCCCGATTACTAAGCAGCTTCGCACGTTCATGTGGTCGAACGCACCGGCGCATTACAAGATTGGAATGATGTCCTGTAAGTTACCGTCTTCCATGGCGAGAGGCACTGACTGAGATGGCATCGCAGATATGTTCTCATACTGTACGTGCTGCTTGATCGCTAGCGCCATCGGCTTTCTGACCGGGACTCTTAGACGCGCTGTCGGGCGCCTTCGTCCTGTCGCTCATGAACTACTTCCTGCTTGGATGGAACCTTCCGGTGAGACCGAGTTCAACGGCGCCCATGTGTTTCGCTGATTGCGCTCTCCAGGTTGACGGTTACTATGAGCACAGTTTCGAGATCTGGCTCGCCTGCACGGTCGTCTTCCCTGGTGCAGGGAACCTCGGCTTCACCATGCTCGAATACCGTCTCGGCAGCCGCCCCATTCTCGATGCCGTCATAGAGAACCTGACCTGGATCCCGTTCTTGTGAGCTCAGTTCCGCTGTCGCTCTCCGTCTCGACGCCTCGCTCACGCCTCGTCTCCGCCCAGCTTCTTCTTCTTCGGCGGGCTCAGCATCCATCTCTCGCAGGCGCTCCTCGCTCACCTGTTCTCCTACAACATCACGTGGGGCGCGACCAAGAAGGAGGTCGAGCGCTCGAACTTCTGGCAGGAGGTCCCGAAGATCGTCACGCGCTTCCGCGTCTCCCTCATCATCTGCATCGTCACCGCGGCCGCCATGATTATCCTCACGACGGACCTCATCCCCATCGGCTGGCGCATCTTCGGCTGGGACTGGGCGGTCATCGTGCCCCTCGCGTGCGTACCCATCTCCTCTCGACCCGCGAGCGTCTCGTCTGATATTGTCTGACGCGCAGCATCGTCGTTGGCTGCCACGTCCTCTACCCCGTGCTCTTAAACCCGTGGCTCATGATCTTCTCATACTGAGCCACCTCTCTCCGTCTCTCGTGCTTGAACATGTGGACACTGCGTCTTTTTCACCACTGGGTATATGATGTCGGACTAATTTGGGTTATCTGTCTTTGTTGCGCTTTCCTTTCTATCGACTCTCGAGGCGGTGTTTTGCACGTCTGTACTCTCGTTCTTGGACACCCGTGTCAAACCTCACGTAACCCTCAGCTTGTATGATCGCTCCCGTTTCTTGTATCGACTGTTGTATGAATCCTACTAGCGTGACCCCAAAGTTGAGAAATGGGAGCGCCCGCAAGATCAAACCATGAGAATCTCGACCATCCCTGCTGCGATAGTCTTCGGATTTTGTACACATTGGTAGTGTCATACGAAATCAGTGTGCAAAGTTTCAAAGGAAACTGGTACGTATTGCGCCCCCAGTGGACGAACCAGCCGCGGACCCTAGAGTTGAGAAATTTCGCCGAGGCTCAGTCACGGCGCGGGTCACGCAGCCGACATCAACTCCGCTCGGCTGGGCTGTCAGATACGTCCAGGGATGACAGCATCCTCCCCGACGGCAACGTCGGAGACTGAAATTCACTCACGTTCTGTGGCCGAAGTCACGCTTGAACTGACCCAAAGTGCGTTTTCGCCTCCCTCCCACAGATATCGTGCTGGAGAATTCGAATTGGGGCAGCCATGCTTCATCCAATGCCCCTCGCGCGGCTTCAACATAAGCGCAGGTCATGGGATCGTAGCTGACGGGTATCAAATCTTCGACTTTTCTCATTTGAGAGATGTTTGCGAAAGATCGGGCTTGTTTCTGCACGGAACGATGTCGTTCTTTTTGCAAACGAAAGTGAGAACATGTTACTACTAGCGTGTAAGTTTTTAACATTATTGGACGGGATCGCCATACCAGATTTTTCAACACTGGGGGCATTTCTCATCACTGGGGTCGGACTAGTATTTCGCGCCGAACGAGCGACGGAAACAACAAGGAACATGTCGAACGCACCTCTTTTCGGCCGGGTGCACAATGGCAAGGTTCCTGCGGCGCACACGCATATCAAACATAGGCTCCTTCTGCGACGTCGGCCGTGCCTGTGCGCAAGCAAAACGCTCGGCGTTATGTCTCCGGCTACGCGAACTCCCATGCGCAGGCGAGCATCGTCCCGCGACATTCGCGGAGCCGCGGAAGACACGGCAGTAGAATCTCGAGCACAATGGACCAGAATGTTCAATGGACCCGGGTGATGGGCCATGGCGCCGGCGGGTGCCTTGTCTTTTGGAGGCGGATCTCGGAGTTCGCAGACGGAGCGGGAGCTTGGCGGACGCGTCGGCCAGTGCCGGATTCCCGGTGTCACCGTCGACGCACTGGCCCTGGAAGGGAAGTAAGCACTCGTAAGCTGTGCCTCGCGAGGGCACTGGGAGATTAATCTCGAGACCGACGGGTGTGAACCCGTGGGAATTGACGATCTCTTTTGCCGCGCCGAAGGACGCGTCGATTACGTTGGAATGCATCGTGCGTACCTGAAGGCATGAAGGGCCGCGGCAGCCCAACAGTCAAACGGGGCAGGATGAATGACCGAGATAACCGGGGAGCTTGAGCCGTGCTTGCCAGCTCGGATGGCACTTTGAAGGCTGGTAGCTAACACGCCCGCCGGCCCCGAAGAGGAGCCAGCGCAGCTTCATCCTCCTACCGGTGAAACACGAAGTATCCGTACTATCTTGACGCACGGTGTCCGTCACCAAAACAGCTCAAAGCCAGTCGCGCTGCCCCTGAATGTTGAAGACTGGAAGTTACGCTGATGTTACGAAACAGACAATCCCGATTCCCCGATGCTCGTATCGATAGATAAGGAGGCCGCTCACGGTCGCTCGTGTAGGCCTGAGTGTCGGTAAAACGGTGGCTCGACGGCGGCGGTTAAAGCTGAAATGATTTCGGGCGCCAATAAATATTCGTGCGCCTCGCCATGACACGTGGCCGCCTTGTGTTGCCTTCAACGGCGACTCGCCGTGCCGTGTTCTCGCGCTTTGGCCTGTGAAGACCAACAAACGTTCGAACGAAGAAACGCTGAAGGCCCATTCACATCTGGCTTCTAAGATGCGCATCAGGCCCGACCGAACGGACTCCCAAGCTCTAGCCCGGGGCCAAGCTACAGGCGAGGCTCTCTATTCAACGCGGCGACAATTGCGCATAGCCTGTGAGTTGAGGGGCAAACAGATTTACTATTTTGCACGCTCACAAAAGGCGTTTGATTAAAATCGTGGTCTCTTGGCTGTACGAGTTCAACAGTGCGACCACAACGCCCATCGATCACTTGACGGTCCACACCGTCCAACGTCCGCCAGTCGCCTTGCCGAGGACGATGCATCGGCAACAGGAACGCCCCGAGGATGGCCTTTGGTGCGCCCAATCCGCACCTGCCTCCGCGCGACAGCGGGAATGCGACGCAATCCCACCCTGCACAGTGCCCATCTTCGCCGGGGGGCCCGTTTGGCCATCGAGGGTCCGCGGCGGTATATCGGCCTGCGCGCAGCCCCCACCGCCGCACTCTCCTCGCCGAAGCCGCCCCGAACCACACGCCCGGCGCGCGCGGCAACGCACCTGCGCCGAGCCCGCCCGGAATTGGACGCCTCAAACATAGCCGCCTGGATCGGCCGCGCGCTCTCGATAGGCCTACAGGACGCGCGACGGCCCTGCCATCCTGCCACCGTCGCGCCGCGATAACACGCCCTGCCTGCCGGGCGTGCTTCCCTGACTCACGTTCCGGACTTGTCGACAGCGGATTTGTCCCGTTCCAGGCGGGCGATGCCTGCGGCCGTTCTTCCTTCGATGAACAACGCGCGCGCTGTATATGTATCCAGACGCTTCTGCGACAACTCCGCAGGTTGGCTGCGACGAGCCTCCCCACTCTTTGCGCGCGGATTCTCTTTCTCTGTCCTGTCCTTATTCCGGTTCTCTCCTTCTTCCTTCCCCAGCCATGGATTACGATGCGTACGACGCCTTGCTGCACCACATCTTTAGACAGGTATGTTCGGCCGTGCTCGCTGAGGTCGTCTCTTTCTCACGCGCATCTCTCCCCAGACCCAAGGAGATGCCTGGTTCAAGCCCTCGGAGGAGAACATCCACGCCGGCGTCTGCCTCCGAGTCGACAACGGTCTCTTCCGTGTCTTCCCGTACGAGAACCCCCACCTCGAGCCCTTCGAGGCCGCGGTCCGTTCCATTAACCCTGTGGTCGCCGTCAAGATCCGGAGCGCAGCCATCCATGCTGCACTCGCCACTGTGTTCGTGATCCTCTCATTCCTATCTCGATAACCTTCACTGATTCCGTCGTCGCTTGCAGACGGCCCGACGCGGACGCGATCCACGTCGACGACAACACGCGGATCCAGGTCGTCGACTCCATGTACCACCTCTCGGGCGCCGACAAGGAGCAGTGCGGCGCGTTCATCCGCGACGAGCGCGTGCTCGTCGTCTGGTCCTACCAGCTCGACTCCATCATCCCCACCTGCCGCGACTTCGAGGACAAGCTGATCAAGCTCGTCTGGAATCGCCGCTCCGCCAACGTCTCGATGATCTCCGTCGGCGACATGGAGGACTCGTCTGGCGCGTCGGACGTCGCGCTCAACGAGAAGCCGTCCCAGGCGACGGAGACGAAGGAGGCCGCGGCCGCCGCGGAGGCTGCCACTTCGCGCGCGCAGAAGCCCAAGAAGACGCGCTTTTGGGGGCTTGCGTACTTCGTCACCGACAAGGACGACATCGAGAAGACTGCGGAGGGCCCGTCGCCGCGCCCCGTGAAGCTCTTCGCGCCCTTCTACAACGGTCTGGGGGTCGCTTTGTCTTTCTGTGAGTTATTCCGCGGCGCTCAGTGTTGCAGTTGGCTGATGCTGTACTACAGTCTTCATCGCGACCGGTATCTCTGTCTTGCTGCAGGAGTCGTTGCTGGACGGCTCGTGGACTCGGTGGGGTCTCCTTGCTACCACGCCGTTCCTCTTCTGCGTGTCGCTGGTGAGCCGCTCGCGCTTTCGACCCCGTTGAGCGGCCCGCTCACTTCCGATGTCAGTTCTTCTGTTGTCAGATCATCAGCACGGTGTCCTTCTGGTACGTCTCTGCATTCTCCCGCCGCACATTGTTACTGACTATTTATCAGCATTGGCCCGGTTGCGCATTACCACCAGAACTCGAAGTACTACTCCGCCATCAAGCCCGCGCCGAACAAGGCCGTCGACACCAATCTGCCCCACATAACCATCCAGATGCCCGTGTACAAGGAAAGCCTAACTGAGACTATGTGAGTACCTTCGCCTCTCCCACCCCTTCGAGAAACCGTCGCATGACGGCAATGAAGGCCCCGCGTAAGGCAATCAGGGCACCCATCCCCCTGAGCGCCCGTCCGATAGGCACGAGCCCGCGCTTCTTCCATTTTCTGCCGCCCATCCTCCTCGCGCTCGACGCTGACCTTTCGCTCTCTCAGCGCGCCCTCGGTGTACTCGCTCAAGAAGGCCATGCAGACCTATGCGCGCCAGGGCGGCACCTCCTCCATCTTCATCAACGAGGACGGCATGCAGCTTCTCTCCGAAGAGGAACGCCAGGCGCGCATCGCCTTCTACGCAGACCACAACATCGGCTGGGTCGCGCGCCCGGCGCACAGCGGCGCCCCCGACGGGTATAAGCGTGCCGGTCGCTTCAAGAAGGCGTCGAACATGAACTTCGGCCTCGACCTCTCCCTCAGGCTCGAAAAGCACCTCGCGTCGCTCGAGGCGCTTCAAGCTGCGGGCGGCCTCCCGACGCCCCCGCGTGCCGACCGCGACTCCCAGGACGCCGCCTCTGCTCACGGTCCCGAAGAGAGCCTCGAGGACCGCGCGCTCGCGCTCGCGATCGAGGAGGTCGCCGCGGAGAGCGACGGGCGCTGGCGGCCGTGGGCCGCGAACGGGCGCTCGCTCCGCGTGGGCGAGGTCATCCTCATCGTCGACTCGGACACGATCGTCCCCGAAGACTGCCTGCGCGACGCCGCGCGCGAGCTCGCGGAGTGCCCGGACGTCGCGATCATCCAGCACGAGTCGGACGTGATGCAGGTCGCGCACCACTATTTCGAGAACGGCATCGCGCACTTCACGCGCCGGATCAACAAGTGCATCTCCATGGGCTGCGCGAACGGCGAGGTCGCGCCGTTCGTTGGGCACAACGCCTTCCTCCGGTGGAGCGCGCTCCAGGACGCGGCGTTCATCGACGAGGCGGACGGGAAGAAGAAGATCTGGTCCGAGGCGAACGTGTCCGAAGACTTCGACATGGCGCTCCGCTTGCAGCTCTCGGGCTACATGATTCGTTGGGCGACGTACTCTGACGGCGGCTTCAAGGAGGGCGTGTCTCTGACGTGCGACGATGAGCTCAACAGATGGCAAAAATATTCGTATGGTGAGCACCTCTCCGCGACGTCGTGTATCGTTTTTCGCTGACACGGGTTGCAGGTTGCAACGAGCTCATCTTCCACCCGCTCATCGAATGGTGGCGCAAGGGCCCGATCACTAAGCAGCTTCGCACGTTCCTCTGGTCTGGGGCTCCGATGCACTACAAGATCAGCATGATGGCCTGTGAGTGCCCTTTTACGGTGTTGCATTAACCCTAGCTGACCTTCGAGCACAGACATGTTCTCGTACTGTGTGTATTTCGCTCTTTTTCTCCTCGGGTATTTGCTGACAGTATACTTCAGACGGTCTCTCGGCGTCTGCGCTACTCTCCGTCGTCAACTACTTCCTCCTCGGGTGGGACCTCCCGGTAAGGAATTCGCATTTGTCCTACTGCCTTAGTTTTCGACTGACCTTCGTTTCGCCAGGTGGACGGCTACTACGAGCACAGTTTCGAGATCTGGCTGGCGTGCACCGTCGTTTTCCCGGGCGCCGGTAATATCGGCTTCACCCTCCTCGAATACCGCCTGGGCCAGCGCAACATCCTCGCGTCGCTCGTCGAGAACCTCACCTGGGTCCCATTCTTGTGCGCTTTCCATTCTTGTTGGAAATACGTGATCTAACGTCCGCGTCGTCAGCTTCTTCTTCTTCGGCGGCCTGAGCATCCACCTCTCCCAAGCCCTCCTCGCCCACCTCTTCTCGTACAACATCACCTGGGGCGCGACGAAGAAGGAAGTGGAACGGTCCAACTTCTGGCTGGAGGTGCCGAAGATCCTCAAGCGGTTCTGGATCTCCTTCGTCCTCAGCTTCGCCATTTGCATCGTCATGATCATCCTCACCACGGACCTCGTCCCCGTCGGCTGGCGCATCTTCAGCTTCGATTGGGCCGTGATCGTGCCCCTCGCGTAAGTCCCCCGCGCGCTCCTCTTCTCAGCCGTGCGCTGACCCGGATCCCTCGCCAGTATCGTCGCCGGCTGCCATATCGCGTATCCGGTACGTCCCGCTCTGCTCCTGCGAATCGCGCGGCGGCCTGCTGACCCCGTTTGGCAGATCGTTCTCAATCCGTGGTTCATGATTTTCTCTTATTAAATTGTGCTGGCGGACTCTTTCGGTTGTACTGGCGCCTTCTCCCCGAAGCGTCTCCACCCGACCCATTGGACTTGAACGACTGTGTACGCCGTCCTCTCGTTTTCCGCCCCCGGTTCCTCTACCCACGGACTTTGCCTACCGTGGCCTCATACTCGCATAGCTACACAGCATTCTCCCTTCTAGTATTCACGTCATAGACTTGGGCTTTCGGGGATTTATCGTACTCGCACCTACATACTACTGCGCGCCGGGAAACGGACTCTCGGACGTGCTGGCTTCAACCGTTTGCATGTGTTCCCTCTTTTGGATGGGTTTTTCCCAGGTTTTTATCGGACTCTGTATACACACTCTCACACATGCATACTATTCTAATGCTCGTGTACTACCAACGATATTAGACTGACTTGCGTCAAAACATTGCCGACCCGAGAGTGTGTTCTTCCGTATTTGAAACGTGGCAACTTGGGTTATGGTTGCATCGCGGCCGTTTCGTTCGGCGCCCTTGTGCTCGTACTTGCTCCCAAGCATGTGAAGTTGGGAACCTTGGCGCGTCCTCTTTCCCTGAGCCTGTCTACCGAGCCGTCTGAAAGGAAACGATGGACGCGTAATGTGCATCGCACATGTGGTGGGCGGGTTGTGAATGCGGGCGCTGAGCACCAGGCGCTCAATGATTAGATTATTATCAAGCGCCTACATTGCGCTGGTGACTTGCTTGATAAGACTTCGTGTATAAGGCCAGCACCGGGCACGTCGCACGGGGCTCTCCTTCATCCTCGCTCATGGCGGCACGCCGGCAGACTTGGGGAGACAATGAGTCCAGAGGAACGTGCGGCGACTTCTTTCGACAGCTCAAGTCAATACGACTCTCTCGCACATGTCGGCTCAATCACGACATTCTCCTCCTCATCCTGGGCACATTCATACAGCACCCGCGCGGATACGAGCATTTCAGAAAGGACATCCTTCCTTTGTGTCTGTCATGCAGGGACTTCAGGGATATCTGCTATCCTCTCGTCTTCTCCCGAGCAAGAGTAGGATGGCGTGAAGGCGGCGACCGGGATAAGGACAATGTGTGGGATATCCCTGATCACCTGCATCCCTTCTCCGCAAATGTGCCGCCTCCCCCGGTCTGCGGCTCACGAGGCTCGAGTTCGAGTTCTGCGCGAGCTCCCCCCGGTCCGACGACGTGCTCCCGCTCGTCGTCGCCTCGTTCCCGCATCTGGAGGAACTGACGTTCTACCGGTACCGCCCGTACGACATCGCTCGCCCCGAGGACGAGCTCGCACACGAGACCGCGGTACGCTCCTCCCGCCACGGCATTACGAATCTCACTGACGCTCCGCAGGCCGCGGTAATGCCGCCGCTCGCGGCGCCCGCGTCGTTGCTGTTGGAATCTGCCCGCATACATAGCAAGCTCGGTCGTATGGTACCAGCGCTTAGTTATCGCGTAGATAGCCGCCGTCCCTCGTCCCGCACTCGCCTCACGCGTTTGCCCTTCCCCACCACCTCGTTCTCCCCCGCGTCCGTCTGTACTCGCCTCCCGGTGCCCATAGGGACCAACCGCGTCGTATCGATTGCCTTTACCCCCTCGTCCGACCTTGTCCGAACCGCCGACTTCTAACAGTTGCGAGTTCTACGCGCCCACCTCAACTTCGCCTTCACACCCGACCCGCTGCGGGTGTTCGGGCCCCGCCTGATCACCTTTCACTGGAACCCGAAGGACAACGTGTGCCGATACGGGACCATGCGCGACGTCGCGCTCGTCACCGCCCACCAGCTCGCGCAGACGTTGGAGGAGGTTTGGTTGTGGATGCCGGGTGCATACGGACTCGGGCCGGGGTGGTTGGAGGCGTTCGTGGTGGAGCGAGCGGCGGCGGAGGGTGGAGATGGGAATGAGTGGTATGCGAACGTCCGGCAGGAGAGGGAGGTCGTCAAGCCGCGAGCCTTCATGTTCGGCTGATTTATGTATGGCAGACCTCAGCAGAGCGCCGAATTGTATACCGTACAATGATATATTGTGTTGTTGATCGCTCACATTTTTGACTCGAATAAGTATGTAGTTCACCGGTGAATCTCGATGTAGACTCGGGCGAGATAAAAAAAGAGTGAAAGTACACGCTTCCGACACGGGGAATCGAACCCCGGGCTATCGCGTGAGAGGCGATAATGTTAGCCACTACACCATATCGGACGTAGCAAGTTGCACCTGAGTAAAGTATAGATCACTAGTTGTAGCGCCCGCCGCCATGGTCATGTATTATGTCATCCAAAATTTCGGATACGGAATGGGCGCTTGCTGGGACGGCGAAATCGCTCAAGCAGCCTATTGCCTTCTCTCACTCCTCCTTTCACCCAGGGCTCGGCCCTTCAAAAACACATCCACCGCATTCATTCCTTACTCTACTCAAGATGTCTACCAGTGGCTTAAAGGCGATTGCGCCGGTGCCCAAAGCATCGGACTTCCTCGACATCGTCCTTTCGAAAACACAGCGGAAGACTCCAACAGCAAGTTGTACTCTGCATGCATCTATGAAACATCCCTGACATACGTGCTACAAAGGTCATCCATAAAAATTTTAAGATCAGCCGGATCCGCAACTTTTATATGCGCAAAGTGAAGTTCACTCAGGATTCGTTCGACGAGAAGCTTGGATCCATTCTGGAAGAGTTCCCTATCATTGATGTACGTGCTCGGCTTTTATATGCGTATATATGCGTTTTGGATCAGTCGTGTGAGATGGGTGGTGGGCGCAAGAGAGCTGAGAGAGACTTCGGCGACGCGAGGTGCGGTCCTGACTTTCTGCGCCTCCTCAGGATCTACACCCCTTCCTCTCCTCTCTCCTCAACGTCTTGTACGACAAGAACCACTACAAGCTTGCACTCGGTCAACTCCGCACTGCCCGGCACCTCATTGACCACGTCGCTAAGGACTATGTCCGCCTCCTCAAGTTCGGCGACAGTCTCTACCGATGCAAGCAGCTCAAGCGCGCCGCGCTCGGTCGCATGGCCACCATCATGAGGCGCCAGAACGAGGCCCTCGAGTTCCTCGAAGAGGTCCGCAAACACATCTCCCGTCTCCCCGCGATCGACCCCACCGCGCGCACCCTCCTCATCTGCGGCTACCCGAACGTCGGCAAGTCGTCCTTCCTCAACAAGGTCACCCGCGCGGACGTCGACGTCCAGCCGTACGCCTTCACCACCAAGTCGCTCTTCGTCGGCCACCTCGACTACCGCTACATGCGCTGGCAGGTCATCGACACCCCCGGCATCCTCGACCACCCGCTCGAGGAGATGAACAACATCGAGATGCAGAGCATCACCGCGCTCGCGCACCTCAAGGCGTGCGTGCTCTACTTCATGGACCTCTCCGAGCAGTGCGGGTACTCGGTCGAGGCGCAGTGTCAGCTCTTCCACGCCATCAAGCCCCTCTTCGCGAACAAGCCCACCGTGCTCGTCATCAACAAGATCGACGTCGCCCGCCTCGACGACCTCGCGCCCGAGCGGCGCGCGCTCGTCGACGAGATCATCAACGCGGAAGGCATGCGCCACGTCCAGGTCTCGTGCTACACCGACGACGGCGTCACGACGCTGAAGACGGCCGCGTGCGACGCGCTCCTCGAGCACCGGGTCGACGCGAAGCTCAAGGGCAACAAGGTCGATAGCATCCTCAACCGCTTGCACGTCGCGCAGCCCAAGGCCCGCGACGATGTCGTGCGCGCGCCGTTCATCCCTGACGCGATCAAGGACCGGAAGGCGTACGACAAGGAAGACCCGAACCGCAGGAGACTGGAGCGCGACATCGAGCTGGAGGAGGGCGGTGCGGGCGTGTACAACATCAACATGAAGAGTGAGTGCTCCCCCCCCCCGCGCCTCTGCGTTTTGTGCCGACGTCTGTCCGCAGAGAACTACTTGCTGGAGGACGAGGCGTGGAAGAACGACGTCATGCCGGAGATCTTCGACGGCAAGAACGTCGCCGACTTCATCGACCCCGACATCCTCGAGAAGCTGGACGCGCTCGAGCGGGAGGAGGAGAAGCTCGCGGCGGACGGGTTCTACGACGACGAGTCGGACATGGTGCGTCCCTTCCTTCTCCTCTTGAACCGCCCCCCAGCGCCAACACTACACGCAGTTCGACTCGGACGACGAGCGCGATGCGGCCGCGATGAAGTACTCGCGCGAGAAGAAGGTCATCTCGCAGAGCACGAAGATGGCGATGAAGAACCGCGCCGCTCTTCCGCGCACCGCCGGCCTCCGCACCCTCACCGAGCTCACGTCCGAGATGACCAAGGCCGGGCTCGACCCGAGCCGGATCCAGGAGCGTGCGGAGATACTCGCAAAGGTCGCAGGCGCGAAGCGCAAGCGGATGCGCGAGGAGGAGGAGGCCGAGATGGACGTCGACGAGGACGCGGACGGCAGCGAGGACGGCGAGGGCGCGTGGATGGACGTCGACGGGGAGGCAGCGCCGACGCTCAAGAGGACGAAGGCGAACTCAGGCGCGGCGGTCGCGGAGAAGCGCAGGCAGCCGCGGTCAAATCGGCAGCTCGCAGGCCTGCGCGACGAGGAGGTGCGTCCGGTGTCCGCTCGGGTCGGCTTGTGGGCTGACGGTGCGCTCAGCAAGCATCAAAAGCCAACAAGCTGCGCAACCTCGGGCAGAGAGGGCGCAACATGCAGGCGCGCGCGGGCGAGGCCGACCGCGCGATCAAGACCAAAATGGCGAGTGTTTTTGCGTGTCTTTGTTGGCACCCTGCTGACCGGACATGCAGCCAAAGCATCTCTTCGCGGGGAAGCGGAAGATGGGCAAGACGGACCGTCGGTGAGGGGTCATTTGGGTGTGTCTTGTATTGCTGGCTTCCCTGTTGTACTATTTGCTTTCGTGACGATCTTCGTGACTTCATCTTCTCCGGTCTGTTTGATTTTTCGGCAAACGAGCGGCACCACTTCAAGCGGGAATTGGTCAAGTGCTACACATCGTCAGAATCTTTCTTGCTTGACGGCTGGTGGCACAGGATTTGTAGTCGTCGTTGCGACAAACAGTTGTATTTCTGAGCCGTCGTGTATCAGCCAAACGTGAAGGGTCGTGGATTGACCACCTCCCTCTCCTGCCGGACGTTCACATACTTATCCTCCTCTCCGCCCCCCGCCGTCGCTCGCTCCACCACGAACACCTCCCACCACCCCGGCCCGAACTCGTATGCGCCTAGCATCCACAGCCAGACCTCCTTGAGTGCGGGTGCGAGCTGGCGAGCGGTCACGAGCGCGACGTCGCGCATCGTCCCATACCGGAACACGTTGTCCTTCGGGTTCCAGCGGCAGGTGGTGGAGAAGCGGATCTCGGAGAACACCTGCAGCGGGTCGGGTCTGAAGTCGAAGTCGAGGTGGGCGCGCAGGACGCGCAGCGCCGCGAGCGCCGCGAGTGGCTCCATCACCGCGGCCTGTGGACTCTGGAGCGTCAGTGAGATTCGCGATGCCGCGGGAGGCGCGTACCGCGGTCTCGTGTGCGAGCTCGTCACTGTAGCCGTCGCCATGGGAGGGGCGGTACCGGTAGATCGTCAGCTCCTCGAGATGCGGGAACAACGCGGCGACGAGCGGGAGCACGTCGTCGGACCGGTGGGAGCTCGCGCGATATTCGATCTCCAGCTTCGACAGCCGCAGACCGGGTGAGGCGGCGCACCGGCGCAGGAGAGATGCTGTGACGGGAGAGAGCGGTGGAGAAGGGTTCTTTGCGTAGGGATGAGGCAAAGAGAAGTCGTGTGTGGCAAATATGTGCAACGGGTTGCACAATACAGCCAGTGAACGGAGGGTGTGGGGCAGCTGTCCGTACATCTGGTCGTCTTCTGGTAACGGCACGGGGAGGGACAGATGTTCCAGCTCTGGCCAGGGAAATGGGGCGAGGCTCGTCGGAGCGCTGGTGATGTCGAGGGCCTTGGCGTCGAGCAGAACGTCTAGAGAGAGCCGACGCAGGCAGGACATGTTCGAAAACACCCGTGCGTATGGTGCCGGCGGAGACGGAGTCGTTTGGCCGCGCACGGTGAAAGTGTGCAACCGTGGCCATTCCAAGTGCTGTATGAGCGGCAGGGAGACGAATGGAGCGGAGAGAAGTAGTGTCTCGACAGTCATGTGTATCGCCCTGAGAAGTGATGAAAGCACCAGCATATCCGGCGCGGCGTTCTCAATGGGATCAGTTTTGAGGGCCATGTAGTCGAGATATTTCAACGGGGCGATGCCGTTGAGGGAGGTGAAGGAGCCGGAGAGTCGAAGGCCTGAGACGGAGAGCTTGCGCAGCGTGGGTGCCGATGCGACCATCTGGAGGAGCGTCCACGGATGGCGGTGGAACGCAGGCGGTTCGAAGAACAAGGCAATCTCGTATAGATGATGCATAGAGAAGAGAACGAGTTGAAAGAACCGAGGGGGGGCCATTGGCTCACATAGCCACTCGTTTCTCCTACGGCCGGTGGCGATGACGGCGTTGTAAACTCCAAGTTGGTCGCGTGAGCAATTATACTGAACTTTCAGGAACCTGCACATTGTAGGTCCAGGATCATGCACCTCAAAAGATATGATCACACATACCTGACCAGTGGACGGAGGGAATTGGGGATATTCCACATGGTATCTTCGCCAGCTCCACGCCATCCTACCCTCGTACGGGCGAAAATGATGGGATAAAACATGTCTCTGAGGCTTTTGCATGTCTGGCACAAATACAGCACGTCCTGTCGGAACTTGTGTTTGCGCGTCCCTTGTATGAAGATATTCAGAATGAGGAGGAGGACGTCAGCGTTCAGACGACCTCTGCAGAATCTCGGCATTTGAGCAACTGGAACGACACCAAGACTTTGTGGACTCACAGGTTTCCCAGTCCTTCGAGAGTATGTCTCATAGCGACGACAGGCTCCTATTGAAGGTGGACGGAATTCAAGCCGGTTTAAGTGGCGCTGACGGATATGAAGCGTTTGTTCGTAAGCACGTGTTTCCACCCGGGCCGGCGCACGCAAACCCGCTGCTAGCTTAAGTACAACGGCATTGCACGTATTCTCCCCGAGGCAGACCATGTATTATGACGTCGCACGCCGCCATCATTCCAGGAATATAGAACTCTCAGATCGTCTTCCCATCCGATGTGAAGTCCACTCCAGCCAACGCGATATCAGCGACGCACGGCCGTGCGAGGAGGGAGCGACGAACGGTGGGGTTGATGAACCCGACGAGGCTCTTGTCGAGCGCGAGGCGCGCGTCGTTGACCGCGCGGGGAAGATGGGCGAGAAGGCGGAGGCGCCGTTGATGTCTCTGACTCCGAGGCTCACGATGGGTCCGCTGTCCGCGCGAAGGCGAGCAAGGTATATGATGAGGAAATGTAAACAACGCCCGGAAAGGAGAGACGCACGAGTTGGCGGAGATGTTTGGGAACGCGCGCCCTGAGTGGTTGCATGTTCCAGCGGGATATGCGGGCGCAGCGGGACCGTTGAGGTATGCGGCGACCGTGCCGTTCCGCGAACGTGTTCGGAGGGCCGCCTCTAGGCTCAGGTCCGAATCGGAATGACACGGCTTCGGGGTTCAGTGCCTGCGCGTGAGCGTTAGCCTTCGGAAAAGGTTGACAGAAGGGATACGTACTGAACCTCCGTTGGGAACGGCGGTGCCGCCGACGGTGGAGATGCATGGACATCACGTGGGGAAGCCGCCGACGAAGGACAAGTTCGGGGGGTCGCTGTCGACGAGCGTACTTTGGTAAGAGGTGCTGACATTCCGGAAGTAGGTGGGTGGATAGCAAAAATGTAGAAGGGCAGAAAGGCAGTTGCATCAGCAAAGCACCAGGAGAGCATGACTACGAGACTAGTATGAACAGTGTGAAGATCCTTGATGAGAGAAACCTGGGGGTTAACGAGGGTTAACTGAGGAGATGGAGATAAAGAACGAAAATAGCAAACTCACCAGCACCGAAGGGTACCAACGGGCTCAACTAGCTAAGAAGATCGAGGATTCTACATAGGCGGATGAGGCTACGGTTGCCTCTCTTGCACAAGCGGCTCTCGCTCGCTAGGGTCGATAGTATCCGACGCACAACGACGAGGTGCTGCGTGCATGGATGTTCTGTATGCCACAGCAGGTGTAAGCAGTGAAGATCACGACTAGAGTAGATGAATGCTCACAGATACCCATGAAATGGCCAAAGCACTCACAACGGTTGAGGCGATAAAATCGTCAGACATGGAGAAGATGGTGGGGGGAAGACAAGGACGAAAGACTTATTCTACTCCATCGTACATCATCCACACAAAAGGCGCCTGCGCTCAACCCATGAACGTCTCCCCCAACCCCTCGACTTCATCCACCTCCATCCTCCGTCCCGCCGCACGCGCCGCGCGAGTCGCCGCCTGCCGCGCCTTCTTCGCCTCTCGTTTGAGCACCCGCCGCCCGAGCGGGTTCGCGCCCGCCATCCCCCGCTTCGCCGTCTCGTCCACCTCCGCGTCGCGCGAGCGCCGCAGCCGTTTCGGCGCGTGCGGCCGCGCGCCGTCGCGCTCGCTCGCCGTCGGGGTCGCGACCGTGCTCACGGAGGGCGAGCGCGAGCGTTTGCGGGGGACGCGGTGCGCGAGGTCGTCCGACTCCATCTGTCGGCTGGCGGAGACGCGGACGAGGCGAGGGTCAGCACGGGCGGGGAAGGGAGGGGGGTGGGGACTCACCCGTCCTCGTCCATGGACTCCTCCGCCGGCTCGCCCTCCGGGGCGTCCGCAACGTCCATGTCCATCACCGCGTCCGCACCGTCACCGCCGAACGCGCCCGCGTCCGCGGCGCCGAAGAGGCCTGCGAGCGTGAACGCGGGCGCGAGCTCGGTCACGATCTGCGCCTGCCCGACGGTCTCTGCGCCTGGCGCGACCTGTGCGCCCGCGGTGCCGGGCACGGTCGACGGCACGAGCGAGGGGTGCAGCACGGGCGGCTGGGAGAAGTACGGGATCTTCTGGTGGTTCCAGTCGTTGAGGACGTGCCGGGCAGTCGCGAGCAGGTCGGGGGCGCCGCCCTTCGCAAGCCGGCCGGAGACGAGCGCGGCCATGGTGAGGAACTCGAGGGGCGAGGTGTAGTCTTCGACCTTGTACAGCTTCTTGATCAGCTCGGGGTCGGTGCGCGCGAGGATCTCTCCCACTGCGAGAGGGGAAGTCAGGGACCGAACTTAGGAGGAAAAAGGGGGCAAGGAGCGCACCAACTTCGACGGGGTCCTCAATGTCTTCGACCTTGACGACGTTGCGGAGGAGCAGGTTACCCTTCCGCTTGCTCTTGCCGTCGTCAAAGTCGTCTTCGTCGAACACGACTCCAGGCGAGTCGATGATGCGCAGGCCGCGTTCAAGTTGCACAGTTTGCAGCTCTTTTGTGTGGCCGGGCTGCGCAGCAACGGCGCACACCTACAAGAGATCCATGAGACCCTGGCGACAAAGAGAGTCGCGCATATATGGACCCACCTTCGAACGCTTGAGCGAATTGATGAGGCTGCTCTTACCGACGTTGGGGTAACCGACAATGCCAATCGTGATGCTCTGAGCCGTAGGCTTGTACGCCTTGAGCAACCTCATTAGCGCGGGCGCAGTCGAGGAGGAGAGGTTCGATCGTTGATTGTTGCTCGCCGACTTGAACGGCAGTGTGGGGGTAGCGTGCCGGAGAAACGCCAGCCATGCCTGCGCGTTCTCCTTGGGGATAAGGTCTGCAAGACACCCCTGAGCTGCTTGTGCGGGTTGCGTGTGGGGAGCTGAAAGAAGGACATACCGATCTTGTTCAGCACAAACACCAGCTTCTTGCCCTCGCTTTCTCTCCGACGCACTTCCTCCTCCACGAGCCTGCTTCGGCAGCCCTCCGGATCTCGCGCATCCAGAACGAGCACGATGATGTCCGCATCGTCGATGACCTTGTGCAGGGCGCGAACGTAGTGCCGGCGCAGCTGCTCCTTTGACCTCGGGGCGCCCTTCGAGGACGAGGGGTCTCCGGGGGTGGTGTATGCGTCGTCATCCATGATATACGACGCGGCTTGGGCGGCGAGCGATGATAGTGTCGGCTCCGAGGCCATTTGGGTGTCGAGGTCGGCGCGAGGAGGCTGCCCACGGCAAGTCGGGGGCACAGAGGTTGGCGCGGGGGGCACGAGGGCAAAGGAGGAGACATACAGGCTGTGCGCGTCGTTTTCCTGCATTACGCTCCTTCAAACTAGGGAGGCGAGGCACGCCAGGGTCTTTCTTGAGTTCTGCGCACCCGGGGAACGATCAGTGATCTCAGCTTTTAGAACTGTTGCAAGGGGAAGCTCACTAGACCTGGTAGGTACATCGAGCTTATGAGATTCTGGTAGCATATAAGCACGTCGCCCTTTCGTAACCAGGATGCGCACGCACTGTTGCGACCCATGGTGGATGACGGACAAGAGAGGAGATGTGGATGAACGGCGCAGATTAAGTGTAGAGTTTTTCCTCCGAACCCAAGACAGGGGTTAGGGTTTATCGGGTGTGAGTACTTGAGTCGCCGCATGCGCCTTGTGGAGCCTTTCCTCCTCCCCCACCACCTTTTCCCATGTCTGACGATTTTATCGCGTCAACAGTCGTGAGCGCTTTGGCTACAGTTTGTATTGGAGGAGTGTATGATTTTATGGGTATCCGTGAGCATTCATCGGCTCTAGTCTTGGTCTTCACTGCTTACCCCTGTTATGGCATATAGAACATCCATGCACGCAGCACCTATGCTCGTGTCGTTGTTGTGCGTCAGATACCGTCGATCCTAGCGAGCGAGAGCCGCTTGTACAAGAGAGGCAGCCGTCGCCTCATCCGCCTATGCGGAAGCCTCGAGCCTCATAGTCTGTACCCTTCGCTGCTGGTGAGTTTGCCGTTTTGGTTTTTTATCTCCATCTCCTTACTCTACTTTCAAGTTTCTTTCATCAATGATCTTCACTCGCGGTCATCCTGTCCTGGTGCTTTGTTGATGCATCTGTATTTCTAATTCACATTTGCTATCTATTTCCTGAGTCCGGAACATCAGCACCTGTATTGACGTGTGGTTCAATGGTGAGCCCTTTGCTATCTCGCGAGAGAAAAGGTCGAACTGCTGGACAACAGATCTTCAAACACTACGAGACGTTCTTGATCCGGGCACACTCTGGGCTGCTCTACCGTTACGGCCTACCGCTGCTCGCCAGGCGCTCTCTCAATCACTGTCCTCGCCTACCGCACCCTTCCATCCCTTCGCCCACCTCGGTCCCTGGAGATGCAAGCTTTGCGTGCGGTAGACCGTCATGGTCTCGTGGGGCTGGTGCACATCGAACGCCTGCATGAGCAATACGGCAACGTCGGAGGATGCGACCGAGCGGCGAGGACTTCGTCGCGCAAAAACCTGACCTTCAGGAGACGATAGAGCGACCCGGACGTCGGAGACGGTTTCGACTTGTACTCAGAGTTGCAGGCAATGAAGATGAACGGGCTATATGCTGGACACAGGATGTACGAGAGCGAGACAGCAAAACAAAACAGGGATGAGTGCAAATCAAAGCCAGCAAGAAAACATGTAGAGTCCGTCAGGTCAACATTTTTAGCACCGCCGCGTTGAGCTCGCCGTACTCGCGCTGGATCCACGCCCCAAACTCGTGGAACGTACGTGGCGGAGCGGCGGAGAGCCAGCGGGCTTCGTGCTCGTCCTCCTCGGCGATGGCGAGCGCGAGCCTCACGGGGCAGGGCGAGAAATTGAAGGCGACGGACGACGACGACGTACTAGAAGAGCTCCCAGACGGCCCTGTCGAACCTTCGTACGCGCTCTGGTCGCTGTCGCGCCCCTCGCCCTCGCCGTCAGGCTCACTGAGGGTGTCGTCGTCGCTGGTCAAGGAAGACAGCTCTGACTCGAACGCGTCCATCTCCATCTCCACATCATCCCCCAGCTCCTCTTCCTCTGCACCCCTCTCCTCTTCTTCCTCTCCTTCCTCCTCCTCCACAACCACCCGCGTCTGTCGTCTCCGCCGCGGCACCCCTGGGCCCCGCGCCTCACGCCGGTGCGCGTCCTTCCGCTTGTGTTTGAAATACTTCTGCGCGTGCGCGACGCCGAAGCCAGAGCACCCCGGCAACCGCGCGACGGTCCGCGCGAGCGTGGCCTTTTGCGCGCGCGAGGGGTACGCAGTCGTGTGCTCGAAGAAGTCTGCGCGCGAGGGACGCGTCAGCGCCAGCGGCGTGAGGGAGGAGGGGAGGGAGGGGGGGACTCAGACGCGGTACGCAGCACGCACCGCCGAGGACGTCGTACGCGGCGCGCGGCCAGTGGCTGTTGTTTGCGTTCCGTCCGCTCGCCGCGGGGATGGGGGTGGGGGCGGTTTTGGTCCTGCGCGCGGCGAGTGTTTTGGAGGACTTGACCGCGCCCATGGGAGATGACAGACGCGGGTGAAGGAGCGCAGTGAGTCGAAGAGCACGTACGCAAGGAGATACATATGAGGACGGTCACGGTCGTAACTGCGGTAGGAGTATCCGAGTCGCCGACCGTGACGTCATCAAAGTCGGGCGCTTGAACTCGGTCACTAACTATCAGATATCATTCTGCAGTCACACACTGGGTGAATTGCCGGACACCAAAACACTCGCACTGTGTCATCTTCCTATCCAAACAAAAACTGGGGCACCTTCACCGCCCACCGTCGCCGATGCACGTCCACCGACTCCCTCTCTCTCGGCCCCCCGCCCAGCCCGGGAAGCACCTGGAACACCTTCCACTCGCCCTGCTCGCACACTGAGCCCGCGCTCGGCGTCCACAGCCAGATTTCTTCCAGCGGCGCCCCCGTGAGTTCGCGCGCAGCGGCAAGCGCGACCCGCTGCATCGTCTCGCGCCCGAACCCGTCGCCGTCCCCCTCCGGCCAGAACGAGGAGTCGAGCGGGGTGCGCACGACGCGCAGACGCGTGAGCGGCGCCAGCGCGGCACACACCGCTGCCTGTCGGAGACCAGTGAGCGCGGAGTCCAGACACGCACGACGACGACGGGACGCAACGCACCGCGGTGGCTTCGGGCGCCTCGTACGCGCCGTCGAGGCGGTAGCGGAACAGCGAGAGCTCCTCGAGACGCGGGAACGCATCCGAGACGAGCGCGAGCACCGCGTCGTTGTCGTCGTTCGCGTCCGCGACGTACTCGACCGAGAGCTGCGTAAGGCGCAGGCCGGGGGACGCGGCGCAGCGGCGCAGGATGGCGGCCATGGCCCCCGTCGACGCGGGCAGGGGGAAGTCGCGGCGGCGGGGGAGTCCGGTGTCGGCGGTCGTGGCGCAGTGCCGAGGGTAGCAGAGGAGGGAGAGCATCTCGAGCGTGGACGGCAGGCGGGCGTACGCCGGGTCGTCCTCCGGGAGCGGGAGCGGGAGGGCGAGGTGGCGGAGTGCAGGCCATGGGAACGCGGTGGTCCCGCCGCCGAGGGGGGTCGTCGACATGGAGGCGAGCGAGAGCTCGAGGGAGAGGCGGTCGAGGCGAGGGGCGAACTGGGGCAGAATCGACGCGTACGACTCGACCTCTAGCCGGACCATGCCCGAGACGGTGAGCGCCCGGAGACGCGGCCACTCGAGCTCGTGCACCCGAGACCACGGCACGAGTGGGGCGGAGAGGTGGAGGGACTCGACGGAGTTGTGGGTGGCCTCGAGCAGCGACGATAGAATCTGCAGATTCCGAGCGCTGTCCCTGACTGGTCGCCCTGTTTCGCCGACGAGATATGTGAGCGACGTCAACGCCGGGACGGCGCACTCGAGCGCACAACTGTCTTTCGGCGCAATTTCCAGGCCACGCACAGAGAGCCCGCGCAGCGTCGGTGTCGAGACCAGCAGTTGGGCCAGCGCCCATGGGTGACAGTGGCCTGCAGGTGGATCGATATCGAGCGTGATCTGGCTCAGCTGATGCATACTTGCGAGGATCTCGCCGAAGCACGGAGGCGGCAGAGGTTCGCAGTGCCACTCGAAGATTTCTTCGTCCGAGTCATCAGCCATCCACTGTCGCCCGCGACGGCACCGCAGTTGGAGGGCCAGGTGTCTGGAATACAGTCGTGTCAGATCAATCCCACCAAAGGTGTGCACGACTCACTTGACCAGCGGGCGCAGCTGAGGGGGGACGTTCCAATGTGTTTCGTCCAGCTCCCCACCCCACTCTATTGTGATATTGGCATAGATGAGAGGATTGCAGATGTCCTTGAGAGCCCTGCAAGATCGGCCGAGAGAGAGCATAGCGTCTCTTGTTAGAAGCGAACTTCCGTGCTCCCATTCATTCATCAGGGCTTTCGCGATGAGTGCAAGCACGTCGTCCTTCAGGCGGCACCTAGAAAGCGAGCTGAGTAAGTACAATGCACGGTATCTTCGAGTCTCACCTATCCATGCAGGCTGGAGACACAGATTGGGGCGAGACGTGAGAGGGGAGTTGGACTACGTCCGCGCATCCAGCCCCGTTGATTATAATCGGACGCTCAGGAACATTATCGGGGATCCCGAGTGGCGAGGAGGTCGTGAAAGTGCATATATGCGATCGTCACGTGCGGTAGCAGGTCAAGCAAAATATCGACATACAGTAGAGGACACAATAACAGGGCGCCGCTCTGCCTTTGTACCGCGACGGCTACGGCTCCGGGATTGATCGCCCGTAGTACCGTCAACTATGCCGGTCCTATGCAGGGCGAGCGTGCGCGTGGACGCTGCAGGAGTGAAAGCGCGTGAGTCGAGGCCGGACTGGCCGGATCGGGAGCGGGTGCGCTGGCGATAGAGAGCGCGAAACGCCGCGTTGGTGGTTGCCCATTCAAGAGGGCGCGACGAACGCATGCTAACGCCCGAACTTCGGGTGCTTCCCCCTCTCCTCGTCGAGCTGCGTCCCGGATGAGGAGATCACAGCATCGTCCATGTCTGATGAGCTTATTCCTGCCGTAATCACAGTCGTGAACTGCAAAGACGGTGAGCGTGTGGAGGGGGGGAGCGTGGGGCGGGACAGAGACAACACACCTCGACGCCGCCGTGCGTAGGGTCCACTGACGTGCCTGCGGTCCGGAACTTGCCGGCGGGCCGGGTCTTGCGCACGAGACTGCGAGAATTCAACGTCGCGAGCAACGAGTTGATGTACACTGCCGACGGCATGATGAGAAGACGCGGGCGCGGGAGGGGGGAGGGGGCTTACTCTTGCTCAGAACGAAGTAGAACGCGAAGTAGATAAACTTGTGTGGCGCGACGGCGTACTTTTGGGACACGCAAGATCAGCGTCGGCTATACTACTTTGGGAAGGCTACCACTGGATACTCACCGACACAAGCGCGCCGAGTGCGCAGAAACTTGTCGGGCATTCAGATATCAGCAAAAGAGCCTCATTCCTCGCGTGATATCACATAAAGCGGGACACATTACTTACCTTGTCAGCAAACCGGTGTTGACGCTGTATGCCATAAGACTCGCGATGAGGTTGTCCGTACTAGAAAGTGCAGCCGGTGAGTTTAGATCCTCCCATCGAGCACCTCCACGTACTTGCGGATACCAGTTCGGTAGCTTTGCAGCAGCAGGACCTGAGTGGCCGCGACGATGAGGTCGACAGCGACCTCAACCGAAAGGCCAGCATAGAGACCCCACTACACTTTCGCCGTCAGACGAAGCGAACATGAGTTCAATCGGAAGATACGTACGGAAAATTTACTGATTTGTGCATAACTGTCGAGGCCCAGTCTGCATCGAAAGTTAGGCACCGTCATCGAACAGAGGTGTAAAACTACAGGGGACGTACAATTTCACCGCGAAGTCTTCAAGGTCGTCGGGGTAAACGGGGATCATCGCGCGCGAGCGAGCGATTACTCACAGGTGGCATCGACTGAAAAGGGAGTTCAGCGTCGAATACACGCGTTGCGTCGAACTGGGAGCTCACTTTCGACGTAGGCTGAGCAAATGGCCTTGCAGGATGTCAGAGAACAGGGTAATATGCGCGGTAGATGTACGCACGATAACAGCAGGAATGATCCACCTTCCACCCCCAACTGTGAACATGATGCTTGTCGGCGTGAAAGCAGGCGGTCAGGACACGAGCATTACTTACGTTTGTATATTCGGTACGCGAAGCAACTGATGGACGAGACGTTACGTGAGTGTGGTTAGGCACGGGTGGGCGTAAGACACTTACGCTCGAACAAGGGTATTGCTTGCACTCTGGAGCAACGAGATGGGGTTGGAATGCGGATATATGCGCTGACAGAGAGAAAAAGACTCACTGACACCATGATCATGACCTAAAGCCCAGACGAGCACCCTCAGTCATTCGCGGAAGCGTGGACGTTGCGAACTTCGACTTACACAAATGGACCTGTAGGTGGGGGGAAAACGGTGGACTCAGATCTTGCGGGAAACGGCAAGCATGTGAGCTTACCAGACAGGCTTTTGGATGGCCAAGAGATTCGTAAAGTTGGACACGCAGTAAACATACATGGTGTGGGTGACCAGCGTGACATGAAGGCCATCGAGGAGCCTAGTACGGGTCAGAATATGCAGCCCTCAGATGGTGACCATGTCGAGGGTACGCACCAGAGGAGGAGGATCTGGAAGATGGTGGAGGATCGACGCGAGAATCCTGGAAAGCGGAGACGAGGACGTACCGAGTACCGAGTAAACCACCCATCCGAAGAACGGTTGCGGTAGTAGGTGTATGCTTGAAGGGTCGTGAGGCCGTAGAGCCTGCGTGGGGGGCAGGGGTAAGCAGCGAGGTCATGAGAAATCAAGACGCGGCGCGGCGTACACAGCTGAGACAAAGTGGCCGAGAAAGGCGGCGCCAAGGGTGCTGTCGAGCGCGGGTACCACGAGCCCGGCGGCAGACATGGCGGGCAGGTCGTCGAAAGGATTGTGCCGACCGTTGACCGGCTCAGGGAGGGAAGGAGAGCCTGTAGCGAGCGGGGACGGGCGGCATCTTAAGCTTAAGCTCAAGTGAGCGGAGAGCGACGACTCGCGCGCCGCGACGGTCGGTACGCCCGCAGTTCCTGATCGCGTTTTGAATTTCCGAGATCTACGGGCGCCAGCGGCGCTAGTACCCTCGCAGGCATTCGCGCCGCGTGAACTCTGACCCTGCCTTGGCTTTCGAAGCCAACATACCCGAACTTCTTTCGCACCCATCTCATCTGTGCACAACGACACAGGGGGACACTGGCAACTCATGCATATGAGCTGTTGAACCACGTCGCGTAGGTTGGAGTGCACTAGCACGCGGGGTGGCTGCGCTTGTCTGCTGCATCATAACGGCCCCGCTACATAGATCTGCAGACGCGCCCCTATCAGAAAGCTATTGCGGACACGGGATGAGCCTAAAGCCGTCTGGATGTCTACCGGGACTACTTAGGACTACCTGGGACAATGCTCGCTCTGGGCCCATTGAAGCGTGTTCAAACCACCGCCTGGGCGGTATGTTTCATTTCCCTCAAGCGAGGTGTCCGAAATCTGCCCAGAGGTAAATGCATGTATATAGCCGCGTCCACCTCCTGTTCTCACACTCGTCTTGCGGACCAAGTGCGAACGTTGCTGCAGGTCTGAAGACTGAGGCTTGAGGCCAACGGTAGGTACCGCGCTCTGTGTGACCGCACCGCACCACCGCCTACACGGGCGGTACAGAGCGACTGGGGACAAGGCCAAACGTCGCCAGGGTCATACAGCTGTTATCATACATTTGTCGGTTATGGTGAGCCGGAGTGAAGCGCGACTGGCTCTATGTGCGATCTGCGGGAGGTGCCCATCTTTATGATAACAGCTGTGATGTTCATACGAGGAAGTACGCGAGCCCTGCGATGGTTCTGGATTTGAACGACGTTTCAACCAGGTGCTTCAACCGGGGCCCGAGCTGACTTCCTGAGAAGTGAAGCGGCGCACTTTCTGGAGTGTGTCAGCCAAGAGCCAAATTCCCAGCCCCGACACAACAGAAAGCGAGGAAAGGTGCCCAGGTTTGAATGGCGAGTCCGCTGTGCGCACTCACATCTTTAGAACTGGCTGTGAGAGACGAGGTGTATATTTGAAACCGAGTTCGAGTCGACAGATTCGAACCATACACTGGATCCTGGTCCAGCCCAATGAGAAGGAACGGTGACAATGACGGACTTCCGAGCCACGGCGCCCGTCATAACAACTCTCTACCCTTGGTCAACAGCGTCCGGCTGCCTCGAAACCAGTCGGGTGGGTGTCTGAGAAAGTGCAAGGTAGAACGGGTTCGGCGCGCGCGCGCGCGTTCTACCCACCAAAAAAACCAAAGGAATGTGCGCACGACGCATATACCTGGTAACGGTTATCTTCTGCTTTCCGCTGAGCAACACAAACAGACGTGGGAGCAGCAAGCGGTGCATAGATTTGTATATGCGGTACCCTAAAAGTATGGTCGAGTGAGAACTAGCTGGGCTACGGCTCGCGCATACATACCAAGATGAGCACTTACGTATGCTCCCTTCAGGATGTCACTCGCGCACTTGTGTGAGAAACGTCGTCAGAACGTGACTATATGCGCAAGGTGAGGCCATGGTTATGACCTACAGCCTGACTGGACGTCTTTAGATGACGAGAAGAGTGGGTTTCATAACACAGAGATGATGGACCTGCATGACAAAACAGCGATGGTGGTGTTCGTAATACTAGATACATGTATACCGCATGGGCTATCGATGCAACGACCCTGGGAGGTGTCGTAGATCAGACCAATCAGACCTTCAGATCTTGAAGCACCAACGTGATAACGCACTAGAGCACGAGAATCTGCGCGACGCAAAAGATATGTGGGGTTAGCGAGGTACTTAAGGAGCAGAAAACAGGAGCAGAATAAGTACGCAGTTTCACCCCGCCTCAAGAAACGATCATCATACCTTCTCCAGCTGCACATGGCTCAACAACGTTCAGTTCACTCTGGATATCCTACAATTCGGGCCGCGAAGGAGTCGAGAATCATGAACATGTCCATATGCTTGAGAGACGCGATAGAGGCAAGCGAAGATCGGGACGTAATACGTCCTCAGTGCTCAGTGCACTCCGCCCACAGTTCCTCATCGTCGTCTGCCAAGCCCGCCGCGAATGCCTGTCGCCATTGTTCAGTCGCCATGAAGTGCAAGATTGCGAGCAATCGTACCTCCAAGTCGGCCTGCGAGATTGCAGGTGTACGATGCTCACCGCTCGACACCTGGTGATCCTGTGGCAGACGCGTCAGAAAAGACCTCATTTGAGCACGCTCGTCGTCTTGGAACGCACCGGGGTCTCCTCCTGGAGCGCATCCGTTAACGCGTCCCAGTCTCGCTCCGGGGCGAGAGGCTTCTTGACTCCTTGGTTGGCCTCGTAGTCTGCACCCTCGTTGCCTATAATGCCGGCGTGACCCTTGACGTACTGCAGATGCACTTTCTGTCCGCGCCGCGCACGTTGATCGAGGAGCGCGTCAAGGTAGAGGATGAGCGACCGATTTTTGACCGGTTCCCCGGAGGACGTCTTGAAATTGCTCCGTTTCCATTTGGGGAGCCATTCACGAAAACCTGTGCCCAGAAGAGAGTTGAATGGTCGGGTCAGACTTGGCTGAGGGAGGCGTATGCTTACAGCTGATGCTGTATTTGGAGTCTGTCTTGATGAGCAGTGGGTGCTTCGAATGGGGCGTTGTTTCCAACACGCGCACGATAGCCTACAAAAGCTCAGCACCTGGCGGCCGTGAATTGAGAGCATGACCAACTATGAGCTCCGCGCGGTTGTTGGTTTGCGCGCCGGGACACCTCTCCGCGATATTTCTGCAAGGATATATGCGCATACAACAAGACAAGCAAAGAAAGAGCAAAAAGCTAACCTGGAATCACCCGGTCCCCACCACACCCCCACGCCTGCAACCGACCCGGCGTTCCCGTTTCCCTTGCATGCGCCGTCTGAATAGACGACGTTCCAGCCTGACTCGTCCTCGACGACCTCCGTCGAGAGCGCCGACCACCGGGACTTCGTGGAGCCCGCCTTCTCATTTGACCTGCTCATTCTAGGTTTCTTTGAAGAATGTCTTTCGTACGGCTTCGTCCCGTGGTTGCGTGATTGGTGTGACTTCGAAGACGATGCAACCGCCGGTAGCGTAGACGGAGAAGCAAATGTGGTGCGGTGACCGCCACTGACACCGTTTTCGGCGAGATAGGCATTGGCCGCATCTAACGTGTTGAACTTCTTATGCAGACACCCTTTGAATGCTTTTGTTTGCGCCTCGCAGTCGCTCCTGCGGTTTGTAAGGGGGCTTGCATGGGTATATGCAAGGCAAGATTCCAGTACTCACCATTCAGTGTATACCCCCGGGACATGGCCCCGGGCGACAGCATAGAAACCAGGCTTTCCCGCTTTTCCCATTAGAAGGGGGTGGCAAGAGTGAATGGTCCGAGAGGTGGGATAAGAAGTGAGCTCGAGAACCGATCGCTGGGGGATCTTGAGATTGGCAGCACGCAGTAGTATACGATAAAAAGCCAGGACGACAATGTTTAAGGCGAAGCGAGGCCAAGAGGGGGTGGTGAGGGTCCGAGAAACAGCCACACTGCGCGCGTAACGCAGCATCGCGACTCGCGAAGGTCGACGCGCGGCGAAGGGCGAGCGCGCGCGATGATTAGCTTGCTCCCTACTACCAGGTCCACCACCACTTTCCTCTCCATTCTCCTACATCTCGTCTTCTCTGCAAGCTTCCTGCGCCGGGAACAGCGCGCCCCAAATGTCGAGCTATGAGGAGCTCTTTGAAGGGAGCGTCCTCGAGGTGATTGCACCTCCACCGTCGTTCGAGTTTCCGGCCAATTACTCGGGCGACAAGGCCGCCGAATGGCTCACTCATATGCGCGAGCCCATCGTCGACAGGAAGACAGCGTTTTTTGGTGTGTACCGCGCTTTCCGCCTTATTTCATCCTCTCATTCGCGCACCTCACAGACGAGAACCTCGACTTCCTGCTCGCCATCCGCCTGCCCCCGCCGGCCGACCAAGACCTCGTCAATGTCATCCCGTTGCCTCCAGCGAACCTGCTAGGGTACCTCACGCACCTCCAGATCTCGTACGAGGCCGCATACATCTCGCCCTCGTCGAACGCCCCGGACACGAACGGCGGGTCGCGGCTGTCGATGCCCCCGCCGCGCAACAGCTCGATGCAGCGCAACCGCCCCGGCGCGCTGTTGGCCGGGGGACCGTCAATATTTCCACCACACACTCCGCATCCAATCCCGTCCGCGGCGGAGGCAGACCTCAAGTACGTGCAGTCGCAAGGAACCCCGCTAGTGTCGGCGATCTGGGGCGAAGGAGAACAGAAAGAGAAGGAGGCCTTCGCGCTGCTATGGGATGCGGCGGAGAGGTCGTGGCTTGCGGTGTACAAGATGTCGATTTTGGTAGGTGAGTGTTCTTTTACATCTCGGCGGGGTGTATATGCGCGGATTTTGTGAGCCGCGGGATGATGAGGAACAGCGCTAGGGAGGGAAAGGTTGGCTTTATGCTGACCGACCAACGCAGTGTTCATGATCACCAAGGAGCCGGACCCTCTGCTTGCCATGACGGTGTCGACCACACTTCGCAACAAGCCTCTCGCTGTTACTCCCCCTCGCAGGACCCTTGCCGCTCTCATAGACTCCATCGGCGGACTGAGATCGGTCTCAGACCGTCTACTCTCGCCTACCTACACGAACGGAGAGCAAGACGATAACTCCGACAGCGAAGACGAGGACTTGATCTATGGTCTGCAAGAAGTGAACCTGCTGGAGGGTCTCACGACAGGTACGTTCCTTTACTTCGCCATGTCCCTGTATTGAATGACCTCTCCCACCAGCTCCAACTTTTGCGGAGGCTCGCAAGCGGCTGTCCATGCCCACGACCCGCCTGGGTACGTCAACCCGCGCCCACGCGTTCTCCCTCCCTCCCCTGCCCAACGCCCCTTCCGCGGACACCCCTGTTCCCTACTCTAGTACGACCGCCGAATCTTCCATGGGTAGCAGCCTGCCGCGCGGCACGACCCTTCGCAAGTCGTTCCGCAAGACCCTGAAGATGCACCAGGGCTTCCGCGTCCGCATGCGGACCGTCTTCGTGCCATACTTTCTCCTTCCGCAAGATCCGCAGAATGGGAAAACATCGAAGCCGCGGGCGACCCCTCGCCCATCAGGAGACTCGGACAAATCTGATTCGGACTCGGACATTGACGACGACATCCTGGAAGAGCGCGAGCAGCGCGAAGCTGGAAACGAGGAGCATACAGTCGTGTTGAGCGTCGAGGTCGAGAACCTCTTCGCCAGCTCGGCTTCTCCCTCATACCACTTCGAGGTCGAGCGGCTAGACGTTGCTATCAGCGGGTCTGGTGCGCGAGCATCGTTCATCGGATGGGGGTCGTATGGTGCCGACGTGTTCCCTCTACAGGTTGGCCCACGCGAGCAAGTCAACCTGTTGTATGCAGTTTCGTTTCTGCGGGGCCCGGACACGGACGAATTCTCGCTTGCACGGCCACCAGGTCTGGACAAGAAGAGTGGGCCGGGAGAGGAGCTCCAGCGCGCGGTAACGATCCACCTCATCGTACGACCGTTTGAGGAAGTGGAGGCCAAACCGTTCTTCCCAACCGAGGTCTACCCGTCGCGGTGGAATTGCGTCCTTGATCTCGCATCTTCAAGTATCTCCAAGCAGAAACGACAGTCAGCACAGATCGAAGTGGAAGACGAAGACAATCAAGAGTACTTTGTTCTGCCTACCCCAGCCTCGCCGTTCCCCACCGCCCCGCTTGTTCCTCCGCAGCGTACTCTCACTCCTCTCACTGTCAAGAGCGTCATCCCGCTCACCGCCGTCGCTGGCAGCAAGCGCCACACCTTCTCTGCCTTCGGCGAGACCCCCGCCGCGGAGTATGCCCGTCGGTCTCCTATGAACTACGCCAGCCCGACCGCGATGCTCAACCCCCAGAACCAGCCACCCGCCCCTCCCAACTCCAGTCCGACGCCCACCGGCCAGACGCTACCGATGCCGCACCGTGCATCCTACATCCCTCCCTCCGTCGCCTTCCAATCAAGCTTCCAGCGATCTCCTACAACCTACAATGCCCCTAGCCCGCCGCTGCCTCCGCCGCCACATGCTCTTGGAGGTTTCGCTGCGCAGCTGCTCTCCCCTGACGTCTCCGGCTTCGGCTCGGGCACTGCGCTCGCGTTTAGTCCCGATACGTCCGTGCCACGCACGCCCGCGTACCCTGCGTACCCTTCCTCGCCCGCTCCGGCCCCCACAACGCCGTTCTGGCAAGCGCCGATCTCGCACCAGTCCGGGCCCGCCGTCGAGCCCAGCGTCGACATCCGCCGCTCGCGCGGTGGCAGCGTCCCGCAGACCCCAGGACCGACCGTCGGCGGCTTCGGCACGCTCACCAACCCGATCGGCATGGCCGTGGCCGTGATCCAGCCACCGCCACCAGGGCAGCTGCCGCAGCTGAGCGTGCGCACGGAGGCGGATGGGCCGCTGACGCTGTCGGGGGGCGAGCCGGTCGTGGTGTCGGTCGGGCTGCATCTCGGGCCAGTGCGGAAGGGGCAGAAGGGCAAGCACGCGCACGGGACGGGGGAGCTGTACCCACTCGAGACGTTCACGCTCGACATCTTCGTCTTCAACCAGTCGTCGTGGACGCGGCGGTTCGAGGTGACGTTCCCGGAGGAGCGGCGGCGGCGGCGACGGCGGAGGGCGAAGAAGGATAGGGAGCGGGAGCGGGAGGCGGGTGGCAAGGACGAGGGGAGGCCGCCGGGGATCGTGCCGCTGGAGAACCGGGTGCGGATCGGGTACGTCGTTTTTTGCTCTGTGCGCACAGGGATCGGAGCTGAGCAGGACGACAGGCCGCTTCTGCCGTCGACGTGTCAGTCGGTGCGCATGGACTTCCTGGCCCTCGCGCCGGGCGTGCATTCGATCGACACGCTGGTGTTGACGGACGTCCAGACGAACTACCAGATGCATTTGAGGTGAGCAGCTTCCTGCTTAGCTCGAGTTGAGGCTGATCGGGTGAGCAGGAACGCACTTGATATTATTGTGCACGAGCCTCACCGCGAGGAGAGTTGATGTCTACTCGTAGTAGTTTATCTGTTGCAGTGGAGCTACCATCATTTTCAGGAAATTCCTTCTCGTGGGTATGATCTATGCACCTCGCTCGTATTGCAAGGGAAGAGACCGTCTGGAGCGCTCCGAGGAAGCAGGAGTTGAGGACAGCTTTTGAATGTCCCGGCGTGTCAACAAGGCAATCGCGCCCGTAGCCAGGTATTCGCACCTGAGAGAACATGACATCGTTCGCGGTGCTTTCAGAACCTGCGTTCTGTGGCTATATGCAGAGCGGTCGTGCCTAGAACGGCGCATATATCGATTTCTATGCATGCATGCGTATATATGCGTGGACGTGCGAGTGAAGATACGTACAGATGTCTAGGAATAACAATACGAGCAAAACAGCTTACAACTCCTTCCCTCACAGCATACATTTGGGTCTTCAATGCTCCGCTGCCTTGGTCTCAGCAGCCTCTGCCTCCCTCGCCTCCTTGACCGCCGCGATGACTTTGGCGTGGATGTCCGAGCCGGCGGCGACGATGCCGAAGTTTTCGCCCAGGGTCCTCCCGAGTCCGAAGTCGAGCGGGATGCCACGGCCGTCGGTGATCACACCTCCCGCCTCCTCAACGAGCACCGCGCCCGACGCGTGGTCCTGTCAACAAAGATTAGCTCCGCGTACAACCATGATGTACGGCACCATGGGGGCGGACATGCGCTCCTGTATGCGCGCATCCACCCCGAGTCGCGGATGGGATCAGAGAACTCACCCAGATCTTTTCCTTGTACCCCGACCCGACCGGCATGCGGAGGTACACCGCGCCATCTCCCCGCGCCAGCGCACAGTACTTCGCCTGGCTGTCCATGCGCACAGGAGACTTGGTGACCCCGAGCACCTGGGCGACCTTCTCGTTGAAGCTGAGCTTCGCGTGCGCCTTCTCCACGCTCTCGAGGAAGCAGAGCGTCTCGGGCGTCGTCACCGGGAGGATGAGCTTGCTCGCCGCGCCCGTGAATGGGTCCGAGAGGGGCAGCTGGTACGCGCCCTGGCCGGCGACGGCGACGAAGATGCACCCGCGGACGCCGTCGGGGTTCTCCAGCGAGACGGGCAGGTTCGGGCAGCCGATGACGCCGACGACGGGCTTGGCGTCGACGATGAGCGAGAGGCAGACGGCGTACTGCTCGCCGCGGAGGAAGCCCTTCGTGCCGTCGATCGGGTCCAGCGTCCACATCCCTGCGGCGCACGCTCAGCATCGTTGTCTCGTCTCCGGGGGCGCAAGAGGAGAGGAGGGGAGAGGGGTGCTCACGTCCGGTCTTGCTGCCGTTGTAGTTCCCGCGGTCGATCGCATCGAGGAGTTGCTCGGTGGTGCGGCCGTGGTCGGGGCCGAGCCCCCACTCCGCGAGCTCGCCCGGGACGAGGGGCGCGGTGAGGGTCTCGTTCGCGAGCTGGATGATGCGCTCGCGAAGCGCGGTGCCGGCGTCGACGCGCAGGTCCGCGGCGTCTTCCTCGCCGACGATCGGGTCGTCGGGGAAGACGCGGTTGAGGATCGTGTTCACGACCGCCTGGGCGGAGTAGTCGCCCACTGCGCACGGTCACCGTCCGGCCCATCGCAAGCAGAGCAGGGGCACTCACCGGTGACGGGACTCGAGTCCTCCTTCGTGACGGTCTCCTGCTTGACGATCTTGTTGAAGACGGAGGCGGTGAGCCCGCATGCGCGGCGGACCGCGGCGATGGCGATCTGTTTCTCGGCGGCGTATTGGGCCATTTTCGGTGTGTGTGGGTGGTAGGAGGTCGTCAGGTTATCGCGATGGGGGTAAATGGGACGTGCTGACCGGGGCCGCGGGCTTTAAGGCAAACGGGAGCATCGGGCGCGGACGAGTAAACGACGGAGGAGTTGTCAGTCACGCTTGTGCGACACGGGGCGCGTGACGGGCGCGTCGCGGTCCTCGCCTCGGTCCAACCACAGCCGCCCAGTTTGCGAGGGGGCTCACAGGATAGGTCAGCATTCCAAATTGTGAGCAGGCAGGTCACGCTTTGGATGCGCACAATTCGCGGCGGTCGACTGGATAGGAAGAGGTCACGCCGAGTGCTGAAAGCTTGCTAAGGCGAAGTTTGTGAGCCTCGTGCCCAGTTGTAAGTGCGCAGTGACAGTGTTTGACTCGACTTTTCACACAGATAGCCCAATAATCAATTCATCATTGTTGCATGCCGTGACATACTACGTGCGATGTTGTATTTTCTGGCGAGGCGTGTCTACGGAAAGCATTGGGAATGACGTCATTTTTTTCGCGAAACTCGCTTGCTGGCCCGTTGGGCGCTTGTACCGCCTTTCTTCCCACCCCCTCTGCAGTCGCCCGATTCTCTTCCGGGGTCACTATATGCGCTTCAATCTCCTTCTTCCAAAATGCGCGATACGTTTGCCATGAATTGCGCCGTTCGACCCCTCAAGCTTCAAGAGCCTCGTTTCATCGGCGGTAACTCACTACTGGTGTACGTACGTCGTTGTATGCGCTTCTGAAGAGCCGTACAGGCATGCTTGCGTGTTGCTCGTCAAACGCCGAAAGCCTTTGCCACCGGCGGACGTCTTTGGCAAGGAATTCAGACACTCCAAAGAACACCGCATGGACGTCAAGCGCGGATAGCAGAGCCTCGCGGTCCCCGACCACACATCCGCTAGGTTCGCGCGTCATTCTCCGGCGTTCCCTCCGCCCCTCGCATTGGTTGCATCCGCGTGTGCCCCTCTATGTGCAACATGCATAAGGACCACCTTGAGAAACCGCCGCGCCACGACGCTGCCCTCCATGAACCGTACTTCCACACCCTTTCCTTCCTCGCCATTCGGATCCAGACCGACGCCCACTTCGTCATTCCTTCCACCACAGAGCAGTGTGCTTTCTATGCATACCGCACTACTAGGCGCTGCCTACCTCCTCCCTCTCTTGACGGCTCTTTGGGTGTATTGGCGCAACCGTACGGATCATATCTCCATGCATGTGGCGACAGCATCTCATCATTCTCTAGACGAAACGACTTCCACCAGTCAACTTAATCCTGTGGCTCCCGTGGTCAAAGAGGTTGTCCCCGATGCGCTGGAAGCCGTTTACTCCGAGTTCGAGAGACTCGTCGAGGTTGCCCACTCACCGACAACCGTTAGCAAGACATACTCTGAGGCAAGTCTGATTCCATCTCACGTTCCAGAGACGCTAATCCTGAATTCCGTGATCTCAGGGCGAACATCCTCGCAGCCATCTCCATGAAGAGGTTTCATCGGAGGTAATCGGTGCGGCGGACGTGCACGAATCGCGGGAGACTCGCGCTGAGAGGGCGTTGAGCACTCTGCAGGACGCTATGGTGAGTGGTCTTTGTGTTTTCATCAACGGCGTCTTCATGTATGATTTCCCAGCTCCTTCCCGACCTACTGTCCAAACTCAAAGCACGGGACGATACCATACAGCGGATGAAAGGTCGCCGTCGGGAGGATGCGGAAAAGCGCATTCAGGCCACATTGCGCCTCGAAGTAAGTTCTTTCACTGTGGGCTAGGTCGCGGCTGAGGACTCACGAGAGCTCAGTCCCAGATCCGGAGCCAGTTTGGGATCATGACGCGGCAGTCCCAGGACATCACGGAGCAGAATCGTATCGTCGCGTCACAAGATGATGAGATCGCCACGCTGAAGGCAACCATTGCGCTCATGAGAGAGCAAGCCAAGGAGACCGAGAAGAGGTTTGCAGACTGTCCAGCCGACTACACAGAGTCGCAAGAGCGCTTCAGCAGTCCAAGTGATTCCCCGCCGCAAATCCAAGACGATGAGACGTCGATCTTCTACGAAACTAAGCGGGTGTCTACGCCCCGCGCACGTGCACGGTTCCCTCCGGAAGCTCAACCCACGTCTGCTCGCGAGCACTCTTCGTCGCCTGCAGATTCCGGCTCTCCCACCCGGTCAAGATCAAGGCTGCTTCGTTCTGCCCCACCGCTGCGGATGCCCTCATTCAATCTCAACGTTAAGAGGCGCTTCTTGAGCCCTACATTCCAGTATCTCCACATGCAGGCATCCGTGCTCACCTCGTCTTCCATCATGTCGCTCGTCAAGAACAACGTCTCCGACATGCGCACTCGCTCCGCTAAAGTGATCAGCTTCAGAAACCCGTCACATCCATCTGAACGCTTCGACGCTCCTTGGGAAGGATCCAGCGAGAACTCGGTGTCGTTTCCCAGTTCCACAGCGAGCTTGCCCAGCATTTCTCTGGGGAGCGAACTGTCGTGGGTGCAGAATGTCGGCGACGCCTTTCACTCCAACGCCGCGTGGGACGGCCACGAGCGGGTTTCCGACCCCTACCTCGCGCATAGTACGGCCTCCACCACAATCGACAGTAATTCGACATCGTCCTTCGAATTCGGTGATGACGCACAGCATGTAGCGACGCCTCCAGTGACTATCCCCTCCTCCACCGCCGCTGCCGACGTGACCCCTCCCCTACCCTCGCGCGACTACGCAGCGGCCCGCCCGCACCTCCCCGCGTCGCTGAGCGCGCCCCTTCGCGGGCCAGGCGTTGCGAAGGCGACGGTCTTCGCACCCGTGCCTTCGCGCGGGCTCGGGCTCCCGTCGTCTCCACCGCGGCCTTCTCCGCCCTCCATTCCGCGGCCTCCTCCGCCTTCCATCCCCGCGGCTGCGCTCTCTGCCGTAGAGGAGGAGCGCGCGCCTGCGCTGACGGGACCGACGCCGGGCAAGTGGCTCAGCGGAATTCCGCGCATGGGACGCAGCCGGCGGGTCGCGTTCGCGAACTTTGCGGATGCGTTCACTCCCTCGGGGTACAAGGAGAAGGAGAGGACGAAGGGGGCTGGGAAGGAGAGGGAGAGGGGAGCGGGCCCCGTTGATGCCGAGGTGGGGTCCTCACGCGTCCTCTCCATTTCGGGGTCGCGCCTTCCACGGCGCGCGCCGTTGAAGAGGCCCGTGCCGGCTGCGTTTGTGGAGGAGTGCGATGAGTAGTGTTGATTCTTCGATTTGACCTTACGTTAGGATCCGTGTTAGACTTCTGAGATCTACTTATATGTATGTCATGATGCACCCGCTCGCGGAAATGGGTCATGTGACTCAAGTCAACATCAATGCGCAACTTGCAAGAGGCGCCGAACCTTCTCTCATTCCAGTGTCCACACCCAAGCATGCTCGTATCTGCTGTCGTCTCTGGCACTACGAATTCAATCTGTATGGAGTCCGCAACGCATTTCCGGCGTCCTATCAAGCCAGGCTAGAATTCTGAGGTCGTGTCGCGTCCTCGTCGTGATATGCACCTTTTTTGATGCTGCGATAAAAAGCTCTGGTACCGACGTATCCCCTCTGGTTGCTTCCTACCCACCCCAGACCCCGTCATGTTTCACCAACACCTCGTTTTTGTGCTCACTCCCATCCGGCTTCCTCTTCCGACCATCTGGGAAGCAATATGCGCCCTAATCCTCCTTTGCTGCCTCTACCGCAGAACGCAGACCGCCAACGACCCCAAACCGCGTTCGGCCGAGGTGAAGGACGGGCTGGTATCTCCAGCGCCGAGGATGGGGAGGGAAGGCCCGGGAGACCCTCTCGAGGCCGTCTCCACCGAGCTCGAGAACCTTGTGCGTATGACGAAGACGACGACGGGCTCTCGCGAGGTACGGATTTCATTGGTTGGGCATTATTTTGGAGGAAGCTCAGACGTCCTCACTTTCCAGGCCCCTCGGAGCGTCTTCTCGGCCAGCGATGACGAGGAGTGCCCACGAGTGCTCGGGACCCCAAAGCCGCGCAAGCTCGATGTTGGCGGTCCGCACGAGACGGGCTCGGAGACGGGCTCGGAGAGCCGGCTTGGCGCGGTGGCGAGCCCGGAGGAGTCGGTGAGTCTGTCGCTTTCGCTTTCGCGCGGTGGTCGCAGGAGACGATGACGAGCTGCCCGCAGCTCGTCGCCTCGCTCCTGTCCAAGATCAGGACCCGCGATATGATCGTGCAGCGCTTGAAGGCCCAACGGCGGGAGGACATGGACAGCCGGCTCCGCACGACGGTGAAGCTCGAGGTGTGTACCGCCTTCAGCGAGTAATCGCGACTTACCTACCCCTCTTTCAGGCGCTACTCCGAGAGCAACTCAAGATCATGTCGCGCCAAGCGGACACGCTCGAGGAGAAAAAGCGCGAGCTCGAGGCGCGCGCCGACGAAGTCACGGGCGTGCGGCTCCAAGTCGTTCAGCGCGACGAAGACATCGCCACGCTCCAGCTCCGCATCGTCCGCCATGAAGACGAGCTCGCGGTTCTGCACTCGGAGAAAGAAGCGCTCGCGGAGCAGCAGTCCGCGGTCGCGGCCGCGCACACGGACGAACTTGAAGCCGCGGCCGCTCGCGTAGCGGAACTCGAGGCCGTCGTCGCCGCCCGCACCTCCGAGCTCGACACGCGCATGGGCGAACTCGAAGCGTGCACGGCGTTGCTCGAGGCACAGCGCAGGCTCGTGGCGCAGCACGAGGACATCGCGGCGCGGGCGAGCGAGCGTGCGCACGACCTCGAGCGGCGGTGCGCGCGGGGAGAGCTGGAGCTCCGCACCGCGGTGGTGCGCCTGCTGCGCGGGGACGTCGGCACCGCCGCGGAGATCACGCTCGCGCGCGGGTTCGTGACGCGTTCGCGCTCTGCTACCGTCACAGGAGGCCCGGTCGATGTTCCGGCACGCCCCAAGGGACCCGTCCGCGCTCAGTCGGTGTCGTTCTACCCACAGCCCGTCGTGCCTGGTGTTCTCGCGCCCGCGGTCGTGACGGCCAAGGTGGACCTTCGCGGGCGGTCGGCGCGGAAGCTCAGGGTGATGGCGAGACGCCTTTCTAGTCCCACTGCGAAGCAGTCCAACGCAGAGGTTGCTTCCGCTTCTGATCTCGTCCCCGACCCCGAACTGGTTTCCACCTTGGGACAGCCGCTGTGTACTGTGGACGTCGCTCCTGGCGGCGATACCAATGGAGGGGACAGGAGTATAGATTCCTTGGGTAAACAAGCTGAAGCAGGCACCAGTCTAAGCAGCCACTCTCGACTCGCCAGCAGCGAGTCCGATGCAAGCACGAGTCCCGCGCCGGAAGAGAACGCAACGAGCAAGAGCCCGACCTCCGAGGAGGAGGAGGAGGAGGAGGAGGAGGAGGAGGCAGCTAGCAGTACCTCTGAAGATGTGCATTCGCACGCCCGGGCGAGCCCTCCTACGCCCATACGCACTCCAAGCAAAATCTCCCGCATCCCCACCTTCTCCCCGCGCCCAGAAGACCTTGCCCTGTCTGGTCCGTATGACGTTCCCCCGTCCGCGCCTGCCGCAGCCGCGCTCCCGGATTCCGCTTTTGCCTCTGCGCCCCTGCGCCCGCCCTTTTCGTCGCTCGCGAGTTCAGCGCCGTCCCCGTTGCCCGTGTCGCGCATCCCCGCCATGTCCGCCATGCTCGTCTACGCCAGGCGTTCCCTCCCGCTCTCCTCTCCGCTCTCTACCCCCCACAGGGCCCTCGTCACCTCCCCGTCACCACCGTCCTTCCAGTCTCAATCCCGCTCCAATTCGCAGTCCCGCTCCAATTCACAGTCCCGCTCAAACTCGCAGTCTCGCTCCCACCCGCACTCAACCTCGCAGTCCTCTCCTCCAGACCCCGCACGCTCCTCCATCGCCGTGCGCCCCTCCGCCCATGCCGGGTACGCCGACCCCCGCGTCCCCTACAACCCCTACGCCGAAGCCGAAGCCGACGCCCACCGCGGCTCGCGGTCTCTCGCCAGCGTCCTCGACGACTTCGACCCCTACACGGCCGCGGCCGCAGCCGTCGCGCCTGTGCCTCCGGGCAGGTGGCCCGGGCCGTCGCGCCCGGCGTCGTCGGCGTCGGTGAGCTTCGCGTCGACCGGGAGGGCACCGCGCGCGTGCGAGGAGGCGGCGGTGGCGAGCATGGCGGGCGGGTCGGTCGCGCCGTCGCGCATGCCGCAGCCGTTGTCGCGCAAGAGCGGGCTGTCGGTGCCGTGGCGCGGGTAAGGGCGGTCGGGGTGCGGGATGAGGCTCGGGCGAGTGTCTGGGTGCGGTTGGTGTTTTGGAGGACTGTAAGGCTGCGTGTCCGGTGTGAGAAGTGGGAGAGTTTATGAGCATGCAACGAACTTTTGTCGAACCGGGATGTTGTGTATGCCTGCTGAGGTAGGATTCAAGTCAGTACCAGAAGGCTTCGGGGCATGGGATTCTCTGCAAGCGTCCGATATTGACCAACCGGGGACGCGTGGAATCCCGTGGACGGAGCCTGGCTTCGAACGTCCACCAAGTACTCCTTCAGACGCTCGCGTTCCTTGTCATGCGCAGTTTGTGTCCTCTCTGACAAGACACCGCCTGAAATACGATGTCCTACTTCTCGTCGCGAAGGCTGCCATACAAGGTCGGAGACGAGGGACTCGGGGTTCTACGCGGACTCGCAGACGTCGTACTCCCACTCGTCGCCGGCGCGTTGGATCCCGCATCTGGAGGGGCAGTTACATAATCAGCGCCGGATGATGCCGGAAAGCGAACACCAGCGTTTTGCTTCGCCGTCTTAGATTACTTAGGCCCACGTATGCTCCCATGCTATGGACGATATCGTGTCCGAGGCCGTGCAGAGCAAAGCCGAAGTATGATGGACTCGTGTGGAGTGCACTCCGTAATAACTCGGTGAGCGTGGCACTGACACATTGATTCTGTTGGATGCAATGGTAGCTTGATGGTAGCCGCCGGAACCTTCGTCGACATCAACCTTAAGCTTGTTGCAACCAGGTAGATAGCGATCTTGCGCAGTTTTTGTGCCAGAAGTTGCTGGCCCCAAAATGTAGGGTGGCGTACTACTTTTTCTCTTCTGCTTGTCCGTATTATCAAACCACTCCACGAGGCTCCCCACGGAGGCATTATGTGTGGGCACACGAAGGACACAGGCGACAGGTGACTATCATAGTTTGATAGAACCCATGTCGAAGACCACAGAGTCCATCATGTTTACCACGTGCACCCGGTATATATACGTCCCCGGTATGATCTGAAAGCACTCGACACATGATGAACCCTCCATCTCACTCGATAACAGTTCTCCCCTTGGCTGTCCCGGCATTAGATTATACACTGGGAGTTCTCCTTTTGTGCACAAATTTTGGGATGTTGTGAGTTTCTACTGGAGTGTCTGAGGTCGCCTACGCTTACCTTCTGGCAGATTGCATGGGTTTCTAATCCATCAGATTTTCACATATTTCAGGACATACAATGACGACAAACGCTTCATCAAGATATGGGCAAGTCACACTTTGACATATATACGTTCAAATATCGACCTTTACACCCTCTTCAACGCTGCCAGGTTGTTTTCGTCTTGTGAGCAGTCGTTCCTAACGGGAACTGAGTTTGTAATGTGGAGCTCACATACGCATTTGAAGCTTGACTGAGACATACACAATCTGTATTGCGCTCGAGGAAACGTGCGATGAGAGACTTAGTACCCACCTTACCCTTGCTGACACCACTGTTCAGATATCACTACACAATAATGAATTGGGCCAACCCGGCCGTCCTAGACGAGCAAATGCACCCGTAGGTCTCAGTCATCCTCTTGCCCCGAGGCGGACGCTCATACATGCTATGGAAGTGCACTCAGAGTACGTATTCATCGGTATACAACTCTATCGCCTCTCATGAAGCTACTCACAGCTTTTGACTGCAATCGCGGTAAGATCGTTTTTATTTTTGCACTGCTCGCCGTGTCCAAACCGGTATATACTGTCAGACTTTCACTCCAGTCTCAGTGGAGATGTGGGTCATTGTCCCCTTCTACGATGTGCCCCGGCTTATATTTGTGTCGATAGCTTCTTCATGCGCCGAGTCTGGCTTCGTAGGCACATTTCCTGCATATCTCATGTCTTCATTGCTCACCAGCGTTTTCAGTAGGAGCCCAGTTCAGACCGCTCGTGGTAGTCGCTGTGCGTGACTAAGACGTGGGGCATGCGTGCACATCTGACACACTGCTGTCGTAGTTTGTTTTCCTCTTGGCGTTTTACGGTAAGCCAATAAACCCATGCCCACACTTGTTCATTAGTTGAATTATAATCCAAGGATGCTTCTTAGGTGTGTACGATTTCATGCGACCATCCAACAACAAGGCTCTAATACACGGTACATAGCTGTGACCATCACCGGGTAAGACCTATCGACCCATTTGAAACTGACATGCGCTCAAAGTTCTCGTCCGCTCTTCTGCAGATTTCACGCGCCCAACCTCGCCGTGTGGCTTCATAATGGCGCGGTGAGACAAGTAGGAGAGGGTCGCTGAGAATCAGACTCGCTGACCCTGTTTCAATGCGCAATCATCCCAGTTCCTCGTAGGCGCAGGAAGTACCCTTTTCATCAGGAAACGCGAAAACCTCCTCCGGCTCCCCCGTGATCCCGAGGGAGTCGGATGAGATGCCGGAGATCCGGCCCTTTTGGGAGATCCCGATCTCCGGTTATCACCCATGGGAGACGTCCGTCTCCCCTACACGCCCAGTCGTCCGGTATAACTCAGGATAACCTTCGGCCGAAATATCCTACGACATCACCGCGATGTCCCGGTGATATTTGACTGGAATTGCTACAACTCATATCGGCGCCCATATATCTAGTTTGTCTCATTCGGATGTCAGTTGATAGCCCTCGCAGTGTTGTGCCGCTTCGACCTGCTTCGTGCGCCGCGGTAGCGGCTTTGTGCTCTGATAAACTGTGAAATTGGTCGTTGCGACTACTGACGCAGACCAACACGTATAGTATACAACTACAGGGCGCGGTCGTAATATAGCTACCAGAGGAGGGACGCAGCAAATCGATCATCGACGGAGCCATCGGATAGGTCACAGAAAAGCACGGCAGAACGGGTGTGCACAACACAGGAAAGCAACGTACGACTCACGAGATAAAGGTAGTTCGGCCCCGGGGCGGAAAAGAGGATGCACAAGATGAAGATACAGAAGGGGAGCTGAGGGAGTTCAATACCGGTAGGGTCTGGCGGTCGAAACGGACATCCGGACTCCCAGGGAGCGAATGCACGACTGAGGGATATACTTAGTCCGTGGACCAAGGAAAAGCTGATCGAAGCACATACCTATGTAAGAGAGGCTGCGAGGATAAACTTAGGGAAGTGGCGAATGGGAAGTGTGCTGGCAGGTAGTGGTCGAGAGTCATGTCGTAAGTCCGAAGCGCCAACACTGGTGCGCTGTGACTCGCGCGCGCATGGTCAGCGCTTCGGACTTAGGCTTTGGCTCTCACCACCACGTCCGCTCACAGGCCCGTTTTTCCTCATATCCCTCAAAGAATACAAATATATTAGCTTAGCGCGGAATGTCTAGTGAAACAACGGCCATGATCTAACTCCCGACCCGTGTGAAGCCTGATTCTGACTGAAGGCTGCCACTCATTGTTGGAGTCCCAAAGGGGACACCGGGTTGGTGTCGCAGACATAACCCACTGGGCACGTAGGAGCAGCTAAACGATATCCGAACTGGAATATCCTAGACACATTCCGGCGTGGCTCCGGGCACATCGCAGTGCCGATACCGTGGGGCCATCACTCGGATATGGAAGCGGTCCCTGCACGATCTCCAGAAGGACAAATCCAGTCGATTTATCCTAGGATAAAACGGTCGATTGGCCGTGTAGGAGCTTCGGTCTCCCCCAGGAGCAGTCTGTCTCCTCCAAGACAGCCCGTCTCCTCTGTGTCTCACCGATCCTGGAAGCGCTGCGCGTGAATGGGCAGAGCGTTCGTCGTGTCCGCGTCACGTCGCGCGGGCGTTATAGATGGTAGCGCGGCCGCGTCGCGTCGCGCGGGCGTCGTGGCTCGTCGCGCGGCAGTGTTGCGTCGCGCGTCGCTTGTCGCGCATCGCGCGGACCTCCTGATGAGCTAGTGTGGGACTTGTCCTTGATTGCAGGGCTGAACAGGGTAGATATATACCATGTAGTAACATGCAGTATAAAGGCTCGTTGGCACAGTGGCATGAACGGCCACAAGTGTTTTTGGGTGCGGGGGTTCTATCCCGTGCCCACGCATTTTGCTTGTTTTTCCACACTACCTCACCACGGTGTTGTGAAGCGTAACTACTGATTTATTTTCACTTCTTGAAGAACAATAACATAGTTGTGGAGGGGATACCCAGGTTGGGCGGGGCTTTGTGGATGTGAAGTGCAAAAATGCGTGGGCACGGGATAGAACCCCCGCACCCAAAAACACTTGTGGCCGTTCATGCCACTGTGCCAACGAGCCTTTATACTGCATGTTACTACATGGTATATATCTACCCTGTTCAGCCCTGCAATCAAGGACAAGTCCCACACTAGCTCATCAGGAGGTCCGCGCGATGCGCGACAAGCGACGCGCGACGCAACACTGCCGCGCGACGAGCCACGACGCCCGCGCGACGCGACGCGGCCGCGCTACCATCTATAACGCCCGCGCGACCAGCTATGACGCGACGCGTATGCGGTGGCGGGGTGCAGGTGGGATTGGTTCATCTTGTGCTAGACAACCCTCAGAGAGACACGGTCTCCTCGGTGAGCCATCAGGAGATGCAGTCTCCCCCATGGTCCCACCAGGAGACGATGTCTCCTTCGAGGAGCTGCCATCTCCTCTGAGACCCTGGCGGAAGTACCTTCTCCAGAGGGCGACGGCATCTCCCACGTGCCCGTTCCGGAGGTGCCGTCTCCCACGACTACCATCAGGCACTCCCGGAGATCAGGCTCCTCAGGGAGATTCAAGCGTTTCCTGATGTTCGAGATAAACGACATTATAATCACAAGTGTGCTTGTTTATGTACTGTACAAGAATCGCTCGGGAATGCGCCGGTAAGTTGTGAGAGAGCCCGATCTCAACGGCGCGACCATACTAAATTTCTGCGCAGAACTGATTCGGTGATCGACCTGCTCATCAAGTACGCGGTCACGACTGGTCAGTTCCAATCATCGTTGCATCCGAGAAAGAGAGACGAATAGTGTAATCTCGTTCATAGGTCTGGTGTTGTGGTAAGCCCACTGAGTAGACTGTCTACTGCACGAATTATGCTGATACGATAGGCAGCTTTGCCGTCGGCACAGCCATCATCATCGTGAGTCAATTCGTTGTATCCGCTGCCCCTCTGTTTCTTCGCTCTGGTCATACGAACGTCCCCCCTAGGCGTTCACCCTACCAGACACCATGATATGGCTCGTGGGAGACGTCGTCATAAGCAAACGTATGCCACATTCCATCCTGACCCAGTCAAAGTTGCGATTGACCACATTTAACAGTCAATGCTTGTGTGTTCCTCGTCACGTACGGCCCATGCATTCACCGTCTCGTAGGGCGCGTCGGACTGATCACCACGGCTTGTGCAGGCTGAACGCCCGGCGTACGCTCTTGGCCGAATTCGACCACGCGGCGGACACTGCGCTGGGAGGCGGACCCCGCTTCGCGAGATCAATCGTGTTCCAAACGGTGACCAGTCGTCCCGAGGTGCGTCCATGTCTTCATGGTGTATGGAACAAGGAATGAACGCGCGCCGCCGACAGGCCATGGCCGTGGAGCGCTCCATGGAAGGCGCACACATAGAGCTTAGGTCGATGCGTGCCGGTACTGCAGTCGTCGTGGGTTCAACGGTCCACAGCTCGGATGTTACATTCGGAGGGGACGGCAAGGTGTGATTGCTAGAGAGAAACACGCTCGTACGAAACTCAGTATGCAGACGAGAGCCGTGTGGATCCCGCCGGCGATGAGGACCGAGACTCTCGTGGAAATGATTCCGCATGGCTGATGAGGCATGTCAGCTTGAGCGTCAGCGACCGTGTCTCCCTTGTGACCCGGGGAGAGACGCGAGAGGAAACTCACTGGTCCCATGAGCCCCTGGTCAACGCGTCCTCCTCAAGTGACACCGCGGCCACCCGGGAGATTCGCATGTCCCACTTTCCCCGCGAGGTGAGGAGTGGCACCTCCACCGGGGACCGTTTGACACGTCGGGTGCCACTGTGGGCGCCGTTCCGTCGCCCTGTTCGCTGGAGAGCGCTCAGGGCGGGATGCGAGAGCGATTTAGACAGCAGCAGGGAGATGGTCGTAGGTGGGATGGCTCTGGGAACCGCGTCGCGCGGGACCCCGACGACGAGAAGGCCGCCGGGTGGGATGGGCGAGCTTTTGCTGAACAGGCCGAGCTTCTGTCACGTCCTCTCGTCGCCCCAGGCGACGAGCGCGAGCTCCCACATTTGGTAGCACGCCGAAAGTCGGCGCCGCAATAGGACATATCTCGCCGCAAAACGTCCGAAAAGCAGATGGTGATTGCAGGAGGGAGCGTGCGCATAGAAAACTAACGGACGTGGAGGCGCACCTTTCGCGATGAGCTCGAGCGTGACGGGCTCGGCGACGCGCATGCGCTTGCTGGAAGAGCGGCACGCGCACCCGGGCGACTAATGCGTGCTCGTCGTGGGGCGCGTCCAGAACCTCGACCGAGTCGCCAGCGCGCCGGCGAGTCCGCCCAAGATCGTCTCCTCTTTCTCCGACAGCAACGCGAACCCAGGCGTGTGCCGGAGCGCCTGAAAGACCCCTTTGTCGGTCGTGTACAAGTATGCGAAGGGGAGACCGTCCGTCGTCGCGTCCGTGAGCCGTTACGAAGAGCGACTGGAGGATGGAGGAGAGTGAGAGCTTGCACGCTAAGCTGCAAGTGTCCACATACGATATGAGAGCACCGCGAGAGGCAAATGCGTCTCCTGTCTCGGCGAGGTCACGGAGATACTTCGAATGGGTCGCGCGCACTGTTAGGGAGGTGGTTGGTCCTCGTCGCCCAAGAGTGCCGCCTCCACGGCCATTCCACCGTTGGACATATCCCCGGGAGTGAAGCGCGCAGATATGTCTCTTACAAGGAGCTATTAGGACACGCACCCGTTTTGCATGGTTCTTAGGTGGGTATTTCTTCCGGAAGCCGATGCGAGGCAGGAGAAGGTGGGAAGACAGAGTCCGAGCCTGCCAGGGCTCTCGCCGACCCAACGGGCGCTAGTACAAATTGTCGCTCACACGTGATATGGTCGGGTTGTGCCGCGAGCTGAGACGCAGAGGACCCGTGCCGGCCAAGCGTGGCCGTCCACCTCCCATCATCGAGAAGCTGGCCGTGGGCGGATAACATCAGGCCGTACAGAACGCGAAGAGCATCTACCAGACATCGGTGAGCTAGTTTGCCACCGACGAAACAGTTCTGCTCACAGCCATGTGCTGCTTCTTTCCTGGGCGTGGTTTTGGCCAACACGCCGGCCAGAGTTCTCCGTTATGAGGGCTCGCGAGTCCAGGGCAATCCAACCCAATTCTACCTCAACTGTGACATGTTTGAACCTTCGGTCACGGACGGTTCAATGCGGTGCCGCACATCATGCACCTTGGGGTGGGGTTTGATATCGAACTCACAGCAGACTTTCAAAATTGTCGACGGAATCTAACACCGCTGTCACCGCTCACACCGGCGTTTGGGAGGAAATCTGCTGGATGAATGCCACATTCGCTGGTACCTATCGACGACACACCTCAAATGAACTCATGGTGATGCGCGTGTCTTCGAATCGGCGGCGGTGTTTGGGGGCATTCTCGTTTAGGCAGGGCCACTCCGGCCATGTCCGCACATACTCCTCCGGCTGGAAAGGTACGTGCAGAGCCGCGAGCCACGTCTCGTTATCATAGTTCGATCTTCTTGAAAGGGCTGATCTGGAGATACGCAGAGTGCTCCGGTGGTAGCCGCTGCTGTGCCATTGGGACCCTACTTAACCCGTCTCAGTAGATGACCCCTCAGCGTCACCGTATTCGACATGGATCCGTCTGGCGTCCCTACTCTTTCCGCTTCCGCACCTCGGCTTATTCCTGCTGTGGACAACACTCTGGGTGCCTTCCTTGTCGGTACCAGCATTTCTCTGCTGTGAGTTTAACCAGTCGATCATACTGCTCCCGAGTTAGATCCCCATTATGCGCATCCCGCCAGCTTGTACGGGCTTCTGGTCCACCAGGTGTTCCACTATTTCCGGACGTTCCATGACGACAAGTCTTTCCTCAAAAAATGGGTGCATTATCATCTTGCGTATCCGGTGAACTAGATGCTAACTACCTCGTGCATTAGGTCGTTTTTGTCCTGTGAAGCGTTCAGTCGATCCGTAATTCGCTTGGGAAGTTCATACCCTCTTTCCACAGTGTCATAGAGAGTTACGTCATCGGAGTATCTCTTCAGCAAGTGTGAGTTTTATGCTGAACTTGCTTGCATCGTTTTGTCGCTGAACAGATATTCCTAGATACCATTACACGATCACCAACTGGGCTAACCCATTCATCTTGGTGGAGCCATTCCAGCCGTGAGTGTAGTTCCGTTGTCTCTTGAGTCTTTTATAATATATTCTTATGCAACGTGACGCAGTATCGTCAAGGTGCGTAGTTATCAGTTTCCTCACCTTCTGATCTCATATACGCAACCTTCAAGGTGTTGCCCGCGGTCGCGGTAAAATTCCTCGTCCGTTGAGACGCGTGGAGATTATTCTGACTAGGATCTCTTCCAGGCACTCACTCCATTGTCGGTGGAGATGTAAGTGCTTAATGCGCTGACGCCCCTGGATAGTACGTACGCAGCTGATTCCTGAAAAATGCTCCACTGGCAGGTTCTTTGCGCGCCGAGTTTGGTATCGCAAGTCACTTCTATACTTTTCACTGAACTTCACATCTAACTTTTTACGTCCTCAGTGGGTCCGCGGTACAGACCGCTCGTGGTCATCGCCGTAAGTAGTACGGTCCAAGGACCCCATGCACGCTGTACCGCTGAAAATGCATCGTCTCAGTCCGCTTTCGTCCTCGGCTTCTATGGTGAGTGAATCTTCGTGTACATGTGCGGCAAGACTTACAGGCATACATTTCGTTCAAGGATCCTACTTCGGTGCGTAATCTACAGCAACCACTTCAGAAATACCTCTCTCAATCATCGCGCAAAGCCATCGCCGTTGTCAGGTGGGGAATGACGATTTATACTACGTCTGTCCCGCGCTCTCTGACGTGCACTCGATCGCAGCTTCCACGAGCCGACCCCAACCGCCTATCTGCATCGGAACGAGGTGACACACGCAAAGTACCGTCCTCAATTCCTTACTCACCGTTCGACATCAGTGGCTATCCGGAATTGGCGGGGTATCGCTGGAAGTGGGCGACCTGATCACGTCGAGCACGCTCGTGTACGTGTTGTACAAGAGTCGCTGTGGCATGCGCCGGTAAGTCGCTTTCGTGCCATTCTCGGATCGAAGGATTGATTCCTTCTACAGTACTGACTCGATCATCGAGATGCTGATCAAGTACACGGTCACAACGGGTGAGCACTCACTCTGGTGGTGTTTAGCACGGCGTTAATCGGGCATTATTCTCCCGCAGGAATGCTGCTGTGGTGAGTCCATCGTCAGATGTGGGGTCATGAACCCGATTGATCGCGTGTGTCCCTTGTGGCATCACCAACGCAGCATCTGCTCGAGTGTTACAATCGCCATGGTATGTCCCTTTGAGGAAAGACCTTAATATCACGTCTCTGCTCTAATTCTGTTGTCTCGTGCTCCAGGACTTCAGATTCTCGGAAAACATGATCGGAATGTCCGCGGACGTAGTCATTACCATGGGTGTGTTCACGCTCTTCTCCCTTTATGAACGCCTGAATTCTCAGGCCGCAACAGTACACGCCTGCGTGTTCCTCGCAGCGTACGCCGAACTTCCGTTCTACACATCCCGGTTCACGTCGCTGAAACACACGCGCGCAGTTTGAACTCCCGAAGTGTGCTCACGAGCCTGGACAACGCCCCGACGTCCGTTTCCAAGCCTCAGCTGGACGCCCTCGCCCGCTCAGCCCGGTCCGAGATGGTCTTCCGAACACCGGAGCGTCGCGCTGAGGTAGGTCTGTCCCGGCAGGTGCGGGGACCTGATGTGCGTTGAGCGTTGAACGACTGCATGAGCAGGATTCCACGAAGCACGCGTTCGGCGGTGCGCGATCGGAGTTGACCTCGATCGCGCCGCTCTCCACCGTTGTGCCGTTCAGCCCGGACGAAACGTGTGGGAGTGACAGCAAAGTCTGATGTATAGCGGCGGAGAGTTCTACTCAGGCGCTGTGAGGTGCGTCTACTATCTCGCGCTTTGGACCCGTCTATCTCGATTGACCTGCACACTGCCAGTGGAAGTGCGACAGGCTGTGCGCTCTTCTGTTGATGAAGGACTTTGCCGGACAACATTTGCAGCCCGTTGCACGGATCCCATTTGCTGTCGTCGCGATATAGGAGATCGTCTCGGAGATCAGGCTTGGACAGACCTTGCGTAGAAAGTCTCGATGTGTCGTGGAAATGCGCCCAATGCAGAGATCACATACCCCTGCGAAGCAGCGGCGATACATCGTCGTAAAGCCTCTTTTCAGGCAAGTTCTTCTCGCGCGCGCTATCTCCACGCCGCACATTTTGTGGTGGTGCCGAATTCTTCATAGGGTTTCCTTGCTTACGCTTGTGCACGTGTGATGGTACTTCACATTGGGGCCTTAGAGCGCCCGCTTCGAGCGGCCGTCAACATTTCAACCGCCGACGGGTCAGCCTGGTGTGCCATGTACGTCTTCGCTGTGGGTCAGATAGTCCGAACCATCAACACCCACTGCCGGATGCTAGACCGACAACAAATGGGGCTGAATTCCATAGATGGGGGTGCGACGTACATGGCGTTGTCCTCCGCGGTCCACGCCTCGAAGGCTAGCTAACTTCTGGAGACAGGCCTGAGAAGGGCCCACTGAGTCTCCCGCTGAAGAAGAATGCTTACGACGCACGCGATGACCACGGTGCACTGGGTGGAAAGGCGGGCGGTTGGAAAGCTCACCGGCTTTGCGAAGACGTGGTGCAGTTCGAACTTCGACGAAGATGTGCTTGGCCACAGTCAGCGGATGCACAGCGCGGGAGTTTCTCACCAAATGCGGTAGGCAGATGGAGGACGTAATCAGGGCCGGTCTGTTCCAGGCGCCGGGGCCGGCCGCTGAAACGGCGAAGCACGCGGCCGTGAGGTTTATCCCCTCCCATCGAGAAGCTACCAGCTGACCGGCCAGGTTGCGAAAGGCCTCACAGGACGCGAAGAAGGATAGAAGTGAGCTTGAATGACAATGGTGAACCACTTCTACACCCGCGAAACACCTCAGCTGCTGACAGCCCCGGTCAGCTGCTTCTTCCCTCGGCATGGCGTCCGAAATCCAAGTTCTGCAACTTGTTCAGGCTCCCGTGGGGGCTCACTCCATAGCCCAGCCCTAGGCAACATATTCAAAAGGCGGTTTGAAGTGTCAGGTGAGTGCTATGCGCCAGAACCCTCAGTCGTCAGAAATTCGTGGATCGGTACGCGCGTCACGCTCCGTAGATCACGCAGACAGTTCTGACGAGTCTGAACTCACAGGGAATCCGCTGGACACTTCGACGGGGTCTAACACCGCTGTCACGGCGCACTTCGATGTTTGGACCTGCTGAATGAATGGCGGAGTTAGCTGTTACCCATCAGCACATCACTGTTCACCTCACATACGCTCATGTTCTTGTTGGGGTGTACCGAGCTATGTACTCGGACACGCTTTTTGGATACGAGTTCCGCTACATTGGAACCACCTCCGCCATAAAGGTACGCTGAGAGGTATGCTATATCGTTATCATAGTTTGATCGTCTTGCCCGGCCCAAGGTCCTGAGAAGCTTCCAATATCCCGCTCTTGAAACTATACTTAAACCGGTCGCAACGGTACACGGAGGCGCATCCCAACGCTACCACGCACGGACGCTGCCGCATTCAAGTTCGTCATGGATCCACCCAGCGCCGACTTTACGGCTCTGCCTGTTGTCCTTTCATCCATCACTGCCGCTGTGGACACCACCTTAGGTGCTTTACTCCTCGGCACAAGCGTCTCGCTTTTGTGAGCTGTATCTATGAATCCAGACGGTTTTCCGTACTCAATACTCCCCGTCAGTTTGTATGGGCTTCTCATTCACGAAGTGTTCCAATACTTCCGAACGTTCCATGACGACAGACCCTTCCTCAAAAAATGGGTGAGTCAAACTTTCACTTTCTTCGAAGATTAGAACGCTAAGAGCCTCGCGCACCAGGTCGTCGCCATCTTGTAAATCGTTCAGCTACCCCGCGCCCAGCATTAAATGCTAATGTCCTTCGTAGCATTGTAGAAACTTATGTGGTCACCGTAGCTCTCGAGCAAGTGTGAGTCGTGAGCGATCATTTGACGTTATTGCTGCGATTCTGAATCGCGAACCATAGTTATCATTACACGATCACCAACTGGGCTAACCCGTTCATCTTGGTCGAGCCATTTCAGCCGTGAGTGACACCGTCTTCTCCTCCATGCGGAGTTCTCACATGCCTCGTGGTAGCATCATCAAGGTGCGTCATGAGGAGCTTTGTCGGAACGTTTCCTCACGTACGGAATCTTCAAGATTCTACCCGCCATTGCGGTACGATCATTCATCCATCGAGTTACTTACACGATGTTCTGACCCCATCTCTACTAGGCGTTGACCCCACTATCGGTGGAGATGTGAGTACTCAATGCGGTGATATCTTTCTTTATACTCACGGGCAACTACGATTTCGCCGGAAGGTTCTTTGTGCGCCGGGTCTGGTATCGTAAGTACGCTTCTGTCTGTTGTAGATCTCTGCGCTACCTCTACTTTAGTTGGTCCCAAGTACCGGCCACTCGTCATCGTCGCTGTAAGTAGCATGGCGCAACCACGTACAGTATCCTCTGGCCGCTTACAATACCCAATCTAGTCCGTTTTTGTCTTCGGGTTCTACGGTGAGGTATCCCCTCCTGGATGCAGTTGCGGCTTCGCTCATAGTTTCACTACTCTTCTAAGCATCATACGTTGGTGAGCCGTTTACACCAGCTAGTCCGGGAACACTCCGCTCAACCACCACGCGCAGCTATAGCTATTGTCAGGTGAGATGAGTCGGCGCCCACCATGCCACTCGGACACTTACTCGACGGCAGCTTCAACGAACCGACCCCAGTTGCATATCTTCATCGGAACAAGGTGAGGCGTGCCCAGTGCCCGTTCTTACTCTTTTCTCACAGATCGCGTCATTTCAGTGGCTCTCGGGCTTAGGCGGACTTTCCTTGGAAGTGGGCGATCTAATCACCTCGACCACGCTCGTATACGCGCTGTATCAGAGCCGCTGTGGAATGCACAGGTGAGTCTCCAGACAAGCTATCGCGCGCCGGTGAAGACATCCTCTTTGCAGAACGGATTCGATCATCGATATGTTGATCAAGTACACGGTAACCACAGGTACGTGCCTGCGTTCGTTGCAGGTTTCAAGACGCTGACGACATATTCATCGTCGTGCAGGAATGCTCTTATGGCGAGTGAATACTCTAAGCCGTCACACATTGTCGATCTGACCGTACTCCGGGGACTTTTTCTCACAGGATATGCCTGAGCGCAACAATCGCCATGGTATGTAGTCCCAGCATTTGAGCGACTTATCTGACTACGTTTCCTCGCGCCCTAGGATTTCAGGTTCTGGGATAGCATGATCGGAATTTCCGCAGACATAGCCGTCACTATGGGTGCGTCGCGATCGCCCCTCCTCATGTGAATGCCTGACGTCTCACGCCGGGCCAGTGCACGCCTGCGTGTTCCTTGCAGCGTACGCGCGACCTCCGCTCTCGCTATCCCCACACCGTTCACCCCTCTGATATGCCCGACACTCCCCCAGATTGAACGCCCGCAGCACGCTCGCGAGCTTCGACGACGCACCGACGTCGATCTCCGGCAAGCCGTGGACGGACGCTCTCGCGCGCTCCGTGCGGTCGGAGATGGTGTTCGGAGGGCCCAGGAGTCGTGCCCAGGTACGTCTGCTCGCTCCAACCGTCCTAGAATACCCGGTGAACGAACATCGAACGCCGACGCGCGCAGGACTCTACGAACCAGAGGACCGACGGCGCGCGATTCGAGCTCAGGTCGATGGAGAGCGGCGCGGCTGGGGTCGCTTCGGAGACGCCCTACAGCTCGGATGGAGCTTTCGGGATGGAGAGCAAGGCTTGATGGCTTGGGTCGGACGGGCAGGCGTTCGGAGAGTCGCGAACTATCTTCCGGATTTTATTTGCGAATGACCAGAACATGGCAACACATAACACAGGGTGCGAACTCTGCAATCGAAGGCAGATCGGTACGCTACGAACTGGATAACGGTCCAACATACCTCTACGCTGAATCGTTTGCCCCTCCGACGCGTCTCTAGTCGCCCTCGGCTGCCGTGCTGTGTCGTTCGCCATCTGCTTGAATCGCCTCCGCGTGACTGCCGATCGCGTTCGCCGCCTGTGCTGACGAGGATATTCACCTTCGCTGTCTGTGCCGAGGGTAGGCTTGCTGTGTGACGCGCAGTGAACGGTCCGATGTGAGCCACAAGCAATACGGCCACCAAGGTAGCACCGGTGGCAGGGAAGCAAGGCTCGACAAGCTCGCAGACGAGGGCAGCAAAGAGGCAGCGAGAAACGCCTGGACGGCGAACGCCATGCGCCCGTGGGCCGTGGCCAAGCAGCCGCTGAAAGAGAGCAAGGAACACGAGCACGAAGAGGACAGTGGGCGGTGTCGGCTGGCGACAAATTTCTAGCCTAGCCCAAGTAGCGATTCGAGTAGTGCGCCATCCATACAGAGCGCAGTAGATGAGGGCGAGAGCGGAAACGGGGCACAGGCTCGGTCAGTGCGGAGGAGTCAAGAGGGCAGCGAATGTGACAAATTCACGTCTAGTCACAGCCCCGTGATGCAGTCACAAGAATGGGTCCGTGCGCTAGACGAGGAGACGCGCGCTTCGGGGATCCAGAGAGCTCTCTGGTCGATGACCTTCGTGAGTACTCCTGATTGTTCTTTAATCCTTCGGACCGATACATGAACGCGGGCATACACAGGAGAGATCGTACTTTCGGCTTGGGCCCATGCAGTGAAGAGCAGAGGTGGGGCGCTCTGCTCAGGCGTTCAAGATGCGTATACCTTTCGGGTACTAACATTGAAACTGCATATTACAATCGGCTGAAAACATGTCTAACCGCCGTTTACATAAATCGAGCATGTTTCTTGTGGCCAGGAGGAACCTCCTTTATAGTGCTACAAGTACAAGTACAAGAAGCCGCTTACTGATCTTCATGCTCACTCTGCTCGTTCGCCGCGGTCCCCGGCTGCACCCCCGTCCGCTCGAAGAGCTTTTGCAGCCCCCGCACCTGTATCCCCCACACCTGCCGCGCAAGCTTCACCAGCCTATCCAGCCACACCTCCACGATCTCCCCCGGCGAGACGATAAAGTCCAGCTCCCCCGCGCGCAGCGCGCGCCCCATCCCTTCGACCTCGCCGCCAAAGCGCGCCTCGCGCCACAGCGCGCGCAGCCCCGAGACCCACCCTGGCGGCGCGCGGTCGACGTGCACCCCTCGCGCGACCGCGTAGAAAGTGGCACGGGACCGGTGGAGCACGCGCGGCTTGCACAGCGCGAGCCGGTCGGAGATCGCGTCGAGGAAGAAGAGGATCTGCGCGGTGTGCGTGTACTCGGCGTGGGTGAGCTTGAGGACGAGGGTGCCGCCCGGGCGGAGCGCGTCGAGCGCGAGGAGGAGCTGGGAGAGGAAGAAGGCGTCGCGGAAGGCCATGTATGGAGGGCTCGGCGCGTCGGGCGCGGAGGAGGGGGACTCGGGGCGGTAGTGGCGGAGGTGGTGGCCATCGACGAGGACGAGGACGTATTGGTGGTCACGTAGCGACGGCGGTATCGGGACGAGAGGGACGGGCGGTGGGGCGCCGTCGTATGTGAAGTCGAGCTGAAGGAGGTCACGGAGGACGAGGGTGTACCGGCGCTGGCAGCGTTTCTCCAGGAGGACAGGGTACCCGCCTTGGAATATATCTAGGGTGACACCAGTGCCATGGGCCTGTCTGTTCTTGGTGAGGATATACGAGCTGAAACCCCCGGGAGCGCAGCTATAAAAGGAGCGCTTAAGACTCATGCGAAGGTGTGTGAATCCAGCAGGCTTACCCGATGTCGAGAAACTTGAACTCTCCGGCCGGAGGGACAAGTCCCACTCCAAAGTGGTCGAGCTCAGACATGACCCGCCTCATCTGCTCGAACCAAAACCGTTGCGTTTCCATGTCCGGTTCTTGTATGACTGCCTGTCGTTCCATGTACACCTCATCGAGGCCTTCGTTCCTCCAGCCCTGTGATGAGACAATGAGTGAAGGAAGTGAATATGCACAGATGAGGGTATCATACCTCTTTACGCAAACCAACCAGTTGCTCCAACCAAGGGACCTTGTGCGTGGCAAGGATCACGTCGCGTATGTACTTGTAATGGTATGGATATGCAGAGCGGTGGTTCACTTCCCCGTCGAGGGTGATGGAGGACGTGGCAGCAGTAGCAGAGATCTCGTTGCTGGAGAGAGTCATCGTGTTCAGAGTCAGGGAGGTATGTAAACGAAAGCGTGTCTGCGGAGCCTTTTATGAGGGTAGGGGGTGTCGATAACTTGTTTACCGCAGATACGTTTACCGCAGTTCGAGCCGCAGAGTGCCGCAGCACCCCAGGAAGCTCACCTGAGCGCAGTGCAACGAAAGTATGAGGTCTATTGAGGGCCATATTTAACTTGGAAGACACGTGCGGTGGGATAGACGTCGCGCAGAGCTTGTGAACGAGTCCGGAGAACTTGAAAGGTGTTGCGGGTGACAGACAAGCTTATCAAGCGCAGCCTGCAGGTTTCCGTCGGGGTCCCAAACCAATGACCTCCGACCGAAATTGTCAAGCGGCCCGGCGTGATGTCACCAGAGTGCGCTTCAGGAGCCTTCGAGCTCCGACCAAAACGCCAACTGCGGAGATGGAAGTATGGAACGACCAAAATGGGTATAGTTGGGTTCGAAACTCGGCGCTGACCAAGAGCCACCATCTTCAAGCAGCATAAGTGCCAGCGAACGAGCCTTGTTCGACGAAAAGGTGAGTGGGCCACCTCTTATGATGGAATTTTGGGTGTTGAGAATCGCGTTGCGGTAGTATGGGTTCTTTGCTGAGCAGCGTTATGAGCACGACAGAGACCCCTCTACCGTCTCTGGTCGTTACGTCCGCCATACCCTCTGCTCTGGTATGTCTCGGACTTCAGCTTGCCAGTGCTATCCTATGAATAGTAAATACACTCCGCACAGGTCGCTCACCAGGTATTCCGGAAGCATGAGACATACTCCATCCTCGTCCACGCCTTCCTCCTCCTCGGCCCACCCGCCATCATCGCTGGCTACCTCACCTCCGCCTCCATCTCGACCTCGACATTCGCGAACGCCTTCCAGGTCGCCTGCGCGACATACCTCGGCACCCTCTCCCTCTCCGTCGTCGCCTACCGCCTCTCACCCTGGCATCCACTCGCGCGCTACCCCGGTCCGTTCCTCTGGCGCGTCTCCATGCTCTTCCCTGCGCTCGAGAGCACGACAGGGGGGCGCGCGAAATCCATCCGCGCTCTGCACGCCAAGTACGGCGACGTCATCCGCGTCGGTACGTCCACCCGTACTCCCACCTGTTTTCAGCGCGCTGATACAGCCCTCGGGCTTTCAGGACCGAATGAATTGGACATCGTGGATGCATCCGCAATCCCGACGGTCTTTGGGATCCCGGGCGTGCCTCACGGCCCAGGTGAGCTCCCGTGGAACTGTCGCTCTACCCCCCTTGCTCATCACGGGAGCAGACTACATCGGGGGCATGCTCTCCGACCAGAACTTGCCCATGGTCGGTATCATGGACGGGGACGAACACCTCTCCCGCAGGCGCCCGTGGAACAGGGGCCTCGCGCCGTCCGCACTGAAGGAGTATGAGCCGCGCGTCCGTGCGCGCGGGAATCAGCTTCTCACACGGCTGGGGGAGCAAAATGGCGAAGTTGTCCTTGGGAAGTGGTTCAACTACTTCTCGTACGACTTCATGTGCGACATGGCGTACGTCTGTTCTGGCAGTACATGTCCGCCTGCGCTGACGTTCGTCACTTAGGTTCGGAGGCGGTTCCGAGCTGCTCCGCGACGGCGACAAGAACAACGTGTGGCATATGCTCGAGCAAGCAATGCCGTGAGCTCTTTGATTCAGTGGTTTAAGCGGCACACTCACGTGGGCATAGGCTGGCGACGTTCTTCGCACAGTTGCCCTGGCTCGCGATCTATGTCGGATATATCCCTGGCGCGGCGGTCCCTCTCAACATGCTTTTCCGCCACGCGCGCGCTCTTGCCCAAGGGCGCGTAGACCGCGGGTCGACTGCGCGCGACCTCTTCCACTACCTCGTGCGTCTTTGTGCATGCTGATGACGTGATGCTAATGGTCCTACCTAGCAGAACAATGAAGACCTGCAGCACAAGCCCGCGCCTCCTACGCGCCAGCTCGTCGACGACGGCATCCTCGCGGTCGTCGCGGGATCGGACACGACTTCGTCGTCGCTCACGTCGCTCTTCTTCCTCATCCTCACCCACCCCGATGTCTACGCTCGCCTTCAGGAAGAGGTCGACAAGTACTATCCGAAGGGCGAAGACGTTTTCGATCCGAAAGCGCACCGCGATATGCATTACTTGCAAGCTGTTATGTACGTCGTCTCGTCCGAGTAGTTCGCGCATTTGCTGACAACGACGCCGCCCTAGAAACGAGGCGCTCCGCCTCTTCCCGCCCGTCGCTGCCACGGGAATGCGCAAGGTCCCGCACGACGCTCCTCCTCTACAGCTGGGCTCGATGTGCGTCATCCTGGATCCACCTTCTCACCGCTGTTCGCTGACGGGCACCTTCCTCAGCATGGTTCCCCCAGGCACTGGGGTCCGCATGCCCGCGTTCACGCACCAGCAAGACCGGCGCTACTTCTCATTCCCCACCACTTTCTGGCCCGAGCGCTGGCTCGCCGCCTCCGGCACCATCGCGCTCCCCACCGCGCTCGCGCGCCTGCCCCCCACATCCGTGCGCGATCCTCCCCTCTCCCCGTCGGCGCTCGCCGCGCTCAAGGAACAGGCGGACGGGCCCTCCGCGCTGACGCACGTCGAGCTCGCGTTCACGCCGTTCTCGCACGGGCCGATGAACTGCCCAGGCAAGGGCCTAGCGATGCTCGAGACGCGGACGGTCGTGTGCGCGGTCTTGCAGCGGTTCAGGGTGCGCTTGCGGCCGGAGTGGGACCCGGCGGAGTACGATCGGGGGTATCTGGACTACTTCAGCGCGACGCGGCCGGCGCTGCCCGTGCTGCTCGAGGAGCGGTGAGCGGTGGGGGGATTGACACGATAGGTATGAATGAGTGTGTTTGTATAGCGAAATCGTGTACGGGGGGATGTCTGTAAGTCGGAAGGCGCTAGAGAAAGTGGATTGGAAGGTTTGGGGTCCAAATCATCATCTGGATAGTATCATGGTGTAGTTTGCGGACGAATTAATGAGGTACATATAATGGCCGAAGGAGACAAAGTCCATCGTCCCTTACGACAACGCAGACAGACGCAGACCTCAAGGCCTCACGGCCGAATCGCCGATAACGAGGCGCGTCTAGGTCTGGGAGAATGCGGACCGTGCCCTGGTGCCTGCGTTTGGATGTGTCCGTCGATTCATCAAGCGTCCGTTCTTCCACCACATCCACCATCCTGAGGCCTGAGGCCTGAGCTCTCTCCATCGTCTTCGCTGTTCAGCGTGAGGCTCGAATCCAGCCCATGGCTGTGATGCAGTCTTCTACCAGGGGTAAAATCAATGTTCGGGCGCTCCGCAACCCATCGGTCTCTTTCAACGCTCAGACGATCGGTCCCACAAGGTCAAATCGAACCCACGAACCCGTCGTGCGTGCGTTTTTTAGATGAGGTGAGCCTTGTTCATCGTGTGCTCCATTCCCAAGCCGAGCGGAGCGCGATGCCGTATCGAACACAGTGCCCCACGGCCGGCCAGCTCATGGCTGCCTAGCAACGCCCTAGATTTCAATGTCACGGCCTGCTTCGGTCAACATACGGTTCTCGTGCTCGTGATGCGACTACTCCTCTTTCAGCGCGCACTCTACACGTTCAATTTCGATTGGCGGTTGACCATATGGCTCGCGAGTCGCAAGTTGCGCGGAGGAGACGACTGGCGACGGGGCCGTCCTGCACGCTTCATTTGGGGCGTCCGTCTGACAACCTTCCGCCTCTCTCTCACCGCCGGCTCTCCGCAGGTCAATCCTCCGAGCCAGCTCGCTTGAGCGGTGGGCGGAAATGATCCGCCGGCTGTCACCTTTCACGTTTTTTCCTGTGGTCAGGAACCCTGTCATCGCATGCCCGTACATCTCCCCGCACAAAGTCCTCGGCGCCGTGGCATCCATATCAATCCAGCTTTCATCAAAGGCAAATGGGCCGTTCTGATCTGTGCCTTTGTCCGGGCTTCTCGACGCCACCGCCGCGGCACCAGTGGGTATATCTGAGCGACGCGGGGAGCCCGTCCCCGCTTGCGACTGCCTCGGTTTTGGCTCACTGATTGACTGACTGACTGGACCGGTCTTCCGACATGAACTCCTCCATGACTCCGGACGCAGCTGCGGGCGTGGACCCGTTTGCCGCTGCTGGAGCCGCGCTCCCAGCTCTGGACAACACCTTTGGTGCGCTCGTCATCGGGACATACATTGCTTTGATGTGAGTTCTGCGATTATGCTCTATGCGGGTCGGATGCGTGCTGACGCGCACGCGACGCAGCCAATATGGGTGGATGCTCCATCAGGGGTACCAGTATTACAGCTTGTACAAGGACGACATGCTGATGCTCAAGCTGTTGGTATGTGCTGGGATTCCTCTCGGGCTCACTCGCTCCTGATATCGCTCCGATCGTAGGTCGCCCTCGTGCTGTGAGTGCCTGTGTCCCCACGACGCGGCCAGCACACGCTCAAGTCTATGCTCCCAGTGCTCTTGAGACGTTCCATACATTACTTGGCGCGCATGCTGCGTGAGTGGACCACAGCCACCTCAATCATTCGCTGGTCGTGCTCATCCAAAACCAGGTACTACTACCTCGTTTCCAACTACTTCAACCCGCTTGCGCTTCAGTCCGCCGTGTGGTATGTTAGTTTGACTAGCATTTGTGCGTCTTCACTGATGAGCGTGTCCGCGCAGGTCGATCGAGGTGAGATCGAGCTGCCAGAACTTGACATTTCCGGGGCACTAACCGACTTTTTGTTCTTCAGATGATGGGCGTAACAACGGTGCGGTCTGATATTTTGTCTCTGTCCAATTACTTGGCTGATGCGGACGAAATGTATCAGGGTGCTACGATATTCTTTTCTCAGCTGTACGTCACTTCTTTTGTTGGTATCGTCTTGGATGCGCCTGATTCCATGTTACTAGATTCTTCCTTCGTCGTGTTTACAAGTGTTCGTCGGTGCTGTCTCGATCGGTGTTGGATAATGGGCTGACAATCGACTCTAGTTGGACGGAAGTTCATCCCAATTGTAATCTTTGTGGTACGTCCTATCCCCCGGTTTCTTCCCACCAGCGCGCTCTTACGCCTGAACAGGGTTTGCTACTTCTGTCCGAACTCGGTGCGCCCACCTCCTCTCGAAGCTGAAGCCCTATGTTTTGACAACATCCACTTTGCCTCTCCTAGGCTTGGCGACTGGTATGTTCTATCCGCACCATACGACTGATGCATCATCTAATCGTCGCTGATGTCTCTGGCAGCTGCTTCCGTCGACACATTCGTTAACAACACTCTTCATGACTCCAACCAATCGGTGCGCCATTTCCATTCAACAAATCGACCGGTGTCTGATCTACGGCGCAGTGGATGAACTCGGCTGGCGTCGGGATCTGCTCCCTCGCAGACTCCATATTGACCGCCACGTTGATCTACTCGCTGCGTCGGAGTCGCACAGGAGTGCACAGGTGCGTTCGCTCCCTTGGCGTATGACGGCGGCTGACACGCACTCTAGGACGGACTCGCTCATCGACCTACTCATCTTGTACGCTATCAACACCGGCATGGTCACTCTGTGAGTCAAACGGCAAACGAACACATCGACGGCAGGCTGACACGGCCCATCCCAGGATCGTGAACACACTCTCCTTCATTTTGGTACGCCGCAACTCACACGTCCTCTGATCGATCGCTCACCGATTGACAGGCTCTGACGATGCCGAACAACCTCATCTACGTCGCTGTCGACTTCATCGCGACGAAACGTGAGTGCGCCGCCGGCTCAGCGGCGTCAGTGACAGATGGCTGATGTCGGGTTCGATAATCCAGTGTACGCGAACACCCTCCTGGCTGTGTGAGTCCTCGTCAGGTTACTGCGTGCGATGTGTGGGATCTGAATCCAGTCCCAGGCTTGTCTCGCGGCGGTACCTGGCTGCGCAAACGACCGGCGGCGTCGTCCACTCGACGTCCATCGACCTGGGCCCGGCAAGCCGGAACATGCGCTCCGGAGGGTCGCACAACCACCACACCGGCGTCACGGTGGAGACGAAGACGTTCGTCACGTCGGCCAACCATCCCCCGTTCTTCCAGGGTGACGCCGAGTCGGACAAGTACAGTCACGCAGTGTAGGAAAGCATTTGGATCAGTTCTGTCACCTGTGCCGTTCGGGTGCGTTGTAGTTCTATGTTTATCGTATCTATTCTGCGCATTATATGTACCAGGGCGAGCTTGGTCTCCCCGCTGATTTGGGTCCATGTATCATCATTGATGTGCCAAAATATAGTGTTGTTGTGAGGACTCGAACCCGTGCTCAAAGCTTTGATGGGACAGAAGAGCACTCGTGTGACCGGTACCTTCAGAGAGTGTAACGGTGGTTGTCACACATTATGCTGCGCCTGGGAGTCGGCGGGACCCGCGCGCACACCCATCCCAGCACCGACCATGTCTTCGAACCCGGCCTCCGCTACCGTCAGACTCTCGGGCGACAGAATGCATATACTGGACATACGGCTTCAACAACGTCAGCCAGGCTGTCTCGGCTGGCAACATGGCGCGCAAAACGAGTCCGCCTCCCCAGCCTCCCCAGCGGCGCATATAGTCTCCTCCACGCATCCGACGTGACCCAGATATACTCGCAGATTCACCACCAGAACCACCAGTATCAGTATCAGCAACATGCACGCGCACATTCTCATCACTCGCCTCCCGTCGTCTCGCCTCGACGCCGTCCCTCCTCACCCTCACGCGACCCCATACACCGTCCTCCTCGCGCTTGTCCTCCTCGTGCTCCTCCAGCGACTCCTCAATCACAACGGCCTTGTGGTGACCGTCAAGGTTGTGCTCACGACTCTGTCCCCGGTCCTCGCCCTCGCCGTCGGCCTCGTCGTCCTCGCCTTCGACCTCCAGCCGTTCCTCCCCGCGACCGGAGCCGTCGTGGGGGCTGGCCTCGGTGTACTCCGGCTATGGCTCGTCAAGACGTCGCTCCGCCATCACGCGGCACGCCTCTCCTCGTGGATGGCATACGCGGAAGCCGACCTGCTGGCCTTCGACGCCGTCGCTGCTGGAGTGCTGTCGGCGCTGGGGAGGAGCGCGCGGAAGGAGGCGGCGGTCGCGCGGCCAGAGCTCGAGCTGGCAGAGTCGAACGTGGCTCCCGTGGCGCTGGCACGGGAGGGGTCGGCGTTGGACGCGGTCATCGGTGGGGAGGCGACGGCGTTGCGCGAGGCAGAGGGGGGCAAGTTCCGCGCGGAGGTGAGTACGAGCGTACGTTGGGGTTTACGCGTTTGGTGATGCTTTTGAACAGGTCAAGAGCGTTGTGGCCATGCGGACGGATCGGTCGTTGATGGATGCGGTGAGGGGGTCGATGGAGATGCAGGACGGTCGGGTTGTGGAGATGGACGAGCTGGAGGCGGAGTACGAGAGAGCGAAGGCCGAGGTGGAGGGGCTGCACGCTTGGGAGGCCCGGGTCCAGGTGAGTGTTCCACCGTTTATGCGTGCGCCTCCCGCGACTCAATGCCGCCGTGCACAGGCTGCGGTTGGGCGAATCCAGGATTTGGTGGACGAGCGGAGGCAGTTGTGGGTGAGGTTTGATGCAGAACGACGGGCTCGAGGGGAGCGTTACGGGGATGGGGATGGACCGGGATAGCCGTTTGGGTACGTCCTCCCGCATACTCTCTTAACGCGAGACCTCATCATTCCCTCTGGCAGGCAGCCGTATGGGAGCTACGGGATTGCTCTTTCGTGACCATCGGGTCGCTGGGCGAACGCTCATGGCGGGGTCGTACGGTGCGTGTCTGATTCTACGTTACCCAATGCATTTGTCGCTAATATCGGCCCTCAACAGCATATGTGTCTCCCATCGCCATGTAGCTGTGAACCTCCTATTGCATATTGTGAGTGAGGTCGCAGGCATAGACCCTTCCGGTGCGACTCGTACGAAAACAGTCCGTCGCCGACTCCTTTCACGCTTATTGCTCCCCGAGCCCTCGGCCGCGCAGGCACGCCACGGATCCTCATGTTCGAGTCGCTATATCCCCGTTCCCGGCCCACGCCCATCTCCGTCTGGCTCGCTGTTCGTTTTGCGTCTTCCGTCTTTGTGGTCTCTCTCTTGATCTACTCTCGGTCCCTTCGTCTATCCAGTGGTCCGGCCTCTTCTTTCACATCTGGAGCATCCATTCTCTGATTTTACACTCCGTGGTTATCATTCCTCCAGTCTGTGGATGTATTTCGGTGCCTACATGTCCCGCAATCGCATCTTTTGACGCTGGACACGCCGTGCTCCACGCCACCACATTGTAGTCTACGTGCGAGGGCGTCGCGCTACGGAATGACTGGGAAAGCGATCTCCGCTGAAACATCTGGACTGTCTCTGTTCTATTCTCTCGTGACATAAGCTCAGTTTCTCTTTGTCTCTCCCCCCTCCTTTTCGTCGTCCATCCATCTCATGCTTTATGCAACAATCGTCGTGATGCTTGTGCGTACCGGCCATCCCTCAGGCGCGGCGATGTAAAGCAGGCACCGCGATTCATGAACACGGGGACTGATGTCTTCAGGGCGGTTCACATGCACCGCCTCTTTAACCAGAAACGCGACTGCACACAGCTTTGAGTGTGGGTGCTATACACCAAACTTTGATTCGGCAGCGAGCGATGCTTGGATCTCGTCCCCTTCAATGCGCGCCATTCCACCATGGGCGCACTCTTGCTCGAAGGCGCGTAGACGGTGGGTCGACTGTGGGTGAGCTCCTCCACTACTTACCTCGTGCGTCCCCTTTCGAGCTGCACGCCGACAGCGTCGTGCTGATGGTGTCATACTTGTCAGAACAGCGGAGACCTGCCGTGCAAGCCCGCGCCTCCTCCGCGCCACCGGGGGTGTGTCAGTGTCACGCCCACGGTCAGTTATGGCCAGTCGCTGAGCGATCAGCACACCCACTCATGCCTCCGTTCCACCATCCACGTTCAACGCCGAATGACACATGTGGAAGAAACGCGCGTCATGGAACCGGACCTTATGCGCGAACTGGCGCTTATTCAGGGTGACGGGAACCCACAAATCATGGGCACGCGTTCTTGGCGAAGGGCGACAACATGGAAATCCCGATCGGCGTACGGTTGTCGGAGCCCTCCTCACTCCTCCAGGATTTAGCACATTAGTGACGACCGCTCCGCACGGACATGCATGCCACACTGCTACGGTGCAAAGGTTTAAGGTGATACATGTGTGTAGTGGGAATGTGTTCATGCTGACTGACTCCATAGAGATTCCGGCCGGGGTATGGGCACCGTAATCAATCCACCTTCACTCCGTGATTTCAATGCACATCTGTGGCGACTACTCCACTCAGAGTCGCGCATCCGAACGCGGCTGCAGGGCGAAAGTGCCGGTGAGTCATGGATTCGACGTTTATATACTGAGCATGCTTCGAGCACATGTGTAGCCAACATCCTTCCAGTACTCGACCCTCATAACCGTCTTCACCCCTACCCCCAGCCGTTTGACCATGCCCTCAAAAATGCAGTACGGTACGTTCTACATGGTTCACCGATACGCTCGGTGTGATACAATGCGTCTCTTGCAGTCCGTCTCGGCAACTCCGGCCTCAAGATCTCCAAGATCATTCTTGGATGCATGTCCTACGGTTCTAAGGACTGGCAAGGCTGGGTTCTTCCAGAAGAAGAAGCGATCAAGCACATCAAATTTGCGTATGTGTGCTTTCCACATCACGCTGCAACCACGACCTGATAGTATCGTCACGCAGGTACGAGCACGGAATCACGACGTTCGACACCGCAGACGTGAGTCTTTTTTCTTCCCTGGTTTCTTGTTAATGTTATCGAGAAAATCTGTAGATGTACTCCAATGGTCTGTCAGAAATTATTCTCGGCAAAGCCATCAAGCAGCTTGACCTCCCGCGCGATGAGATCGTCATTATGACCAAGGTAACTTCGCCTCTACTTGATGTTTGTGATATACATTTACGTCTCGATTGCAGCTCTGGTCTCCTATCTACAAAGACCAGAAGATCAAGCAGATGGGACCCTCTGAGGAGTTTGGCGTGATCAACCAAAAGGGACTCAGTCGTAAGGTCTGCGTGTTCTCCATCATTGAACGAGGCGCTATGTTCTCATGCCAGTCTGCAGCATATCTTCGACGGTGTGAAGGCTGCACTGGAACGTCTCCAGACCGACCATATCGATCTCCTTCAATGTACGTTGTTCCAGATGTTGATTAAATCGCTCACCATCTCACTGCGCATCTTCGTCAGGTCATCGGTTTGACCGTAGCACTCCCATCGAGGAGACGATGCAGGCTCTCCATGACGTCGTCAAGGCCGGCTGGGTGCGCTACATCGGCATGAGCTCCTGCTACGCATATGAATGTACGTCCCGCACGCTCCACTAACCTCTCCAGACTCTAACATCCTCGAATCCCCAGTCCACGCGATGCAGAGTGCGTTGTGTTCACCTTTTCAAACCCGAGATCTGCGACGGTGCTGATGCGTTCCACACAGACTACGCGATCACGAACAAGCTCACGCCGTTCATCTCGATGCAGAACCACTACAGCCTGCTGTACCGCGAGGAGGAGCGCGAGATGATGCCGACGCTCAAGATGTTCGGCGTCGGCGCGATCCCGTGGTCGCCGCTCGCGCGCGGCCTGCTCACCCACCCGTTCGACGAGAAGACGGCGCGGACGACCGAGGACTCGTTCATGGCGCTCTACAACCGCGTCAGCTTCGGCGCCGAGATCGTCGGGCGGTGCGTCTAGATTCCCTCCTCGGCTCTTCCTCGCCGTCGCCTACGCTCTCGAGCTGATGGGCTCCTGTCGACGCGCAGGGTCGAGGAGCTCGCGAAGAGGAAGGGCATCAGCATGGCGCAGGTCGGGATGGCGTGGATCTTGTCTCGCCCGGGCGTTTCGGCGCCGATCGTGGGCACGACGAAGCTGTCGAACCTTGAGGACATTCTTGGTGCGCTTTTTAGGCTCGCTCTGGTCGAGGGGAACGAGGCACTGACATCCCGTCGTAGGCTCGCTCGATGTGGAGCTCACGGAGGAGGAGACGAAGTACCTTGAGGAGCCTTACCGGCCTCTTCCGGTCTTGGGGCACTGAACTAATGCCGTGACAGATGGTTTTTGCGTGCCATTGTATACATTGAACCGTATTTCAGACAGGACCAGATGATTAGATTCATTGATGGATACACCCATTGTCCGTTCAGCGTTATCTATACACGCATCCTGCACACCGTCCACACAAATATATATTGATCATACCATACCCACTGTCGTCGGACATGGTGAGGTCGCAGGGTAACCTCGCTGTCCTCAGGCCGTCTTCCAACGATCCCTCCGTACGTCCGTAAGCCGTTCCTTCACCAGCCGTCGCCCGCGCTTGCTCAGCGTCGCCTTCTCGGTCGGCACCCCACGCCCGTACAAGACGCACCCGACGCGCGATGCCTCGCTCCGCAACAGCGCGAGCGCGCGTGCCTCGCACCTCCGGCGGAACCCGTGCAGTTCCCCAGCCTTGAGCGCTACGCCAAGGGCGTCAGAGAGGCACCAGGCGACCGTCAGGGGCTCGCCCGCTTCACGCGCCGGGACCGAAGCGCGGTCGCGGACTGCGGGCGAGTCGAGCTCGAGTTTGGGGGGCCAGGACCGCACGCGCCACCGCTACTATCGCGGTGCGTCGGTCGGTGCGCGCATGAAGACGGCGGAGGGGAGACGGGGGCGGACGCACCTGACTCTCGCGCAGCTCGCACTCCAGGTACCGGAGCCGGGGCGCATAGAGGATAACGAGGGAGAACGGGAACACCTCTTCGGTTATGGACCCAAACGGGGGAGGCTCCGTCATGCGGAGGCCGACGAGCTGCGGTCCGAGCGTGATGAGGACGTCCACAAGGGTGCAGCACAGTGTCCTCGTGAGGTGGAGGTGGGTTAGGGCCCCGCATGGTGCGCGCGATCTGTAGGTGTGCAAAGGAGGGGGGGTCCAGAGGTTGACTCGGATGCCTGCAGTTAAATTGGATAGCACGGAGACTGAGCAGGTCAGGACGCGGACCGATGGTAGGGTCGTGGTTGAGGAATGGAGCCGGGTGTCATCCGGTACCTCAAGCTCTTCGATATGGGGATTATGTTGGAGGAAAGCGTAGAAAGGGGCGATATCGGAGATGCCAAGGCATTTCAACTGGGGAAGATGTCGCGTGGAAAGTTGATCCAGTAGCACAGAGTATTGGACGAAAAGTCGCAGTGTGACTAGTTCAGGAAGTTGGACAACGACGTTGACGATGTCCATCTGAACTGCGGCTGGAAGGATGCCTTGCTCAAGGGGCATGACGCGAACCTCGCGGACCCTCTGCGCGAACCTGAGATCGCTACGGATCTTCGTCGCAAGCCGGTGAGTGTCCTCTTCTGTGCGGATCACCGCGATCCAGTTGGCGACAAGGTCTCTGGTCGCGTCGAGAAAGGAGCTGCACGTTTTTGACAAACAAACGAGGTCCTCCCGGCTGTCGATATCAGAGATAATCTTCAGCCAGAGCTCAACGGGGAGCGTCCGACAGGAGTCTGTGTGCGTAGCTGCAGCCGTTCTCGTCAAAATGATTCATAATAAGCATGTGCTCGGCTACGCACGTTGAGTGGTCATTGCCGACGATGACCAAATCCGAGAGACCATCCTGCGCCATTTGGGGTATGAGATTGCGCGTGGTGTCGACATAGTATCCATATGACCTCTATGAAGTAGGTCAAACTTTTCATCGGAACAGGGGTCCTAGCCCGTACGTGCTCACCTTGCCGAGTTCCGGTTTTACGAGCACACCGTTGAGAGAACAGAATTTGAACCTGACTAAGAAGAAGGGGACACTGCGGTGGTTGTAGGAGGCTAGTTATAGCAGGCAGTGGACGGTTGGGCTGGAGAGAATGCATGTTGCAATGAAGCGACGGTTGACGTCGTACGCGAATGTAAGTACAGGGGCAAAGCAGTGTCGTGACGTCGACGCCGTTTGCGTGGCGACTGGCGCTTAGCGCTTATCACGCTCGCACTGGACAATGTGACGTCACACACACGCTGCCTCGCGATCGATCCGAGCTCTGTGCACGACCATGATCTACTCGCGGAATCACTACACATACCACCGACATCAGTATCAGCAACATGCACGCGTCGCTCTCGTTCATTCGTCGTGCCTTGACGCCCTATTTGCGCTCGTGATCCTCGGTCTGCCACTTCAAACTACCGCTTAGCAGCCGCTTTGAAGCCTCGGGGCCTCGTCCCCGCCATCCTCGCTCGAACTCCCTTCCTATCGGTGATCAGTGCAGCCTCGGCGGCATTGCAGGGGTCCGCAGTTACTTGGGTGCTGGAGAAGGACACGGAGCTCCTGGGGCTGGAGCGTGTACATCCTTGGCGAGTCAGTGACCATTCGGAAGACGCCAAGCCGCGCCGGGGGGTACGTCCAACGGTCGTCTTTTGGGAGCATTGTGATCAGGTCCGGAGGACCGTGGTGTTGAGCACGGATAGTAAGTCGCTAGTGGAAGCAGTGCGCGATTCAACCCGGATGCAGGACGGTCTGGCTGGCGAGATGGACCAGCTAGTACGAAGATCGAATACGGGAGACTGCGTCAGTCAGTCGCCGGCGAGGGATTCGGTGGGACGGATGACCCACGATTCATGCACGTTATCTCTACGCGCATCCTGCACACCACCACACATTCATCGGCCATGCTACGTCAACCGGTGATGGGACGCTAACGCCGGGAGGCGCGCGACGAAGGGATATCTGCGAAGGGATCGCGTGCGAGCTCGTCGAGCTTGTACCACGGGAAGTCGGCCCGACACGAGAGGAGGAGGCGAGCGCGAGAAGGAGAGGAAGGACGCGTGATGCGCGCGGAGACGATGCGGAGGACGGTGAGACGACTGAGGCGACTCGGCGGACGGCGGCAGAAGGCTGATAGACGGAAGGCGGAGGGGTAGAAGCGGCGGTGGCAGACGGACGGTGGGCTTGGGTGAGTAGCACACACGATGTGGGGGGCGTCGAAAACTGTAGATAGAGCACGGATGCGACGGGGGTGAATACATGAAAAGACACAGGCCGTAGCAACAAAGTCCGGGGGTGTGCGGGATGGGCATACTGGCGAGAAACCAAGGTAGAATCGTCTGAACGAACGTAGTGAGTAGGACGAGCAGGTGTAGAGTAGAAGCCGCGCAACGGCAGCGTGGTCACGAGCTATGAGAGCGAGACGTAGGGAGGGTGGTTGGTAACATGGAGAAGATACGGACGGAGCTGGGATATCGTAAAGTGAGACCAAAGGGAACGGGAATGGGGCGGAGCGGGGAAATGCGGGGCATCGAGGAATACAGAAAGTTCGAGAAGGTTGAATCATGGAGCACGGGGAGGTGAGCGAGAAGCGTTTGGATGTGCGGGGAGATGTGAGACGTCCGAGGACGCGGTGGGCTTGGCTGGTGGCGAGGCTATCAGTCTTCTCGGCTCATGCGCGTGAGCAGCGGGGTGGTGGCGGCGATGTCGGCCAGCGCGCGTGTCGATGTGCGTTGCGCGGGGTCTTGTCAGCGATCGCGCGCGGGTGTTTCGGTGATATGGTGGTGCAGGTGTCGGTGACGGGGCGTTTGGTGCGGCGCGCGGGCTGGTGGATGTGCGATTGGAGTTGGTTCGCGTCGGTGGTTTGGTACGATGCGCGCGGCGTGCACATCACCGGTATCTGACATGGTGGGGTTGCAGAGTAACATCGCCGTCCTCAAACCGTCCTCCAATGATCCCTCCGCACGTACGTAAGCCGCTCATTCACCAGCCGTCGCCCGCACTTGCCTAACGTCGCCTTCTCCGTCAGCACCTTGTGTCCATACAAGATGCACCCGACGTGCGGCGCCGCGCTCCGCAACACCGAGAGCGCGAGCTCCTTGCACCTCTGGCGGAACCGGAGGAGATCACCAGAGTCGAGCGGCGCACCCGAGACCTTGTTAGAGAGGCACCAGGCGAGCGTGAGGGGCTCGCCCGCCGTGCGCGCCGGGAACGAAGCGCGGTTGTGGTCCCTGGGCCCCTCGTGGTGGTTTTTGGGTGGCCAGATGCGTGCGGTCGTGAACCCGCCCTGCGGTCGTGGTGCGTTTGTCGGCGCGCACGCAAAGACGGAGGCGAGGAAGGACGCACCTTGAAGAACTCCAGCTCCAGGTACCGGAGGCGGGGCGCGTGTAGGAGGATGAGGGTGGACGGGAACGCCTCTCCGCTCAGGAACCGGGCCGGGGTCAGCTCCGCCATGCGGAGGCTGACGAGGTTTGCTCCGAGCTTGTTAAGGACCTCCTCAAAGGTGTAGTGCAGTGACCCCGTGAGGTGGAGGTGGGTTAGGGACCCGCGTAATGTGCGTGGATCAGAAGGACGGAGAGTGTCCCAGATTGTGACTCGGGGATGGAATCGCGACTCTCGGATGCTTGTGGTCAATCCGACTAGCACGGGGAATTGGCAGGTCAAGAAGCGGAGTGATGGCAGGCTCGCGGGTAAGGAAACGGACCCGAGGCTGTCGTGCGGTACCTGCAGCTCTTCGATATTGGGATTACGCTGGAGGAACGCGTAGAAAGGGGCCAAATCGAAGATGGGTGCGTCGAGGCATCTCAACCGAGGGAGGTGTCGCCTGTAAAGTAGCTCCAGCGATGCAGCACATCGGACGGAGGATTGCTCTCTGAATAGTTCTGGAACTTGAACGAAGAGTCGCAGTGTGAATAGTTCAGGAAGTTGGACAACGACGTCGAGCATGAGCTCCATCTGAGCTGGGGGCGGAAAGGTGTATCTGATGTCTTCAAGAGGCAAGAGGGAAACCTCGTGGATCCTCTGCGCGAACCTGGGATCGCTACGGATCCGCGTCGCAAGCTGGTCAGCGTCCTCTTCCGTGCGGATCACCGCGATCCAGTCGGCGACAAGGTCCTTGGTCGCCTCTCGAAAGTTGCTGCGCGTTCTTGACAAGCAAATGAGGTCTTCCCGACTCTCGATTTCAGATATGACCTTCAACCAGAGCTCAACGGGGAGAGTCCGACGGGTGTCTCTGTGAGCTGCGGCGGTTCTCGTCAAAATGATTGATAATATGTGCATAGCCACGCACATTGTCTCATCTTTGCCGACGGTAACCAGATCCTGGAAACAATCTTGCGCCATTTGGAGGGTGAACTGATGCTTAAATTGCGTGGTGCCGCCACATTGTCCATACGATCTCGAAGAAGTAGTGGTTCAGGGCGAGTGGAAGAGTAGGTAGAAAGCCCTTCAGAGGCATGAGTCATGACACACTTGTCACTGGTAGTCTTACGCACAAAGCTACGTGCTCACCTCGCCAAAATAGATTCCGGTTCTACGCACAAGAGCGCAGAGTTTGGACCTGACTAAGACTAATGGGATACTGCGATGATAACAGACGGTGGTAGGGTGAAAACGTCAAATTTAAAGTGGCTGCCACGTTGCAGCTGTCACGGCCTTGCCGTAATGTCACGCGTATGCCCCGCCCCAGGCGCCTGCGCTATCCAGCGCTCAGCGACCATGACTCTCCGACAGGAGACTTTCTTGCTAGCTACACACACTTGCTTGGCCACCGCTGAACAGCGTGCGGAGCCAGTCGACCCTCCCCGGCGTATGTTCCGGAGACCACAAGTACCACCAGTATCAGGATCAGCAACATGCACGCGTCGCTCGCGGTCGTCTCACCTCGACGTCCTACCCCTTCCTCCTGCCTTCCCCCAACCACGCAATATCTGTCCTACTTGCGCCCGTGGTCCCCGTTCTGCTCCAAACCACCTTGGTTTCACGGCCCGTTCCAATCCCCGGGGCCTCGTCCCCGACCTTCATCGCCACCTTCGCAGTCCTCGCTACGAACTCCCTTTCTTCCGGACCGGCATTGTCGCACTGACTGGCCGCTTGGAAGGGCGCGGTAGCCAATTGAGTGCAGGAGACGGTGCACACGGAGCTCCTAGAGCTGGAACACGGTCATGGATGAGAGGCGAAGCTCGCGGGGAGGTACGTCCAACACTCGTCTTTTGGGAGCATTCTGATTAGGTCCGGAGGATCGCGGCGTTGGGGACGGAGAAGTCATGGGTGGACGCAGCGAGATATCCGCCTTGGATACAGGATGGTCAGGCTGTTGAACTGGACGAGCTGGACGAGCTGGAGGCGGAGAGTATGAGAGGGCGAAGAGGACTTGCGCGATTGACAGGCCCAAATCCAGGTCAGTGTTTCGTTGTCTACGTGTGCTCCTCTCCAACTCAACCCGGACTTCATCCAGGACATCTGCAGGCTCCGGTAAATGAGCGACCGCAGTCGCGGGCGCAGTGCGAAACCGCGCGGCGCGCCTGGTGGGAGCGTTGCGAGGATGGTGACGCACAGGGATGGTTATGATAGGGTGCTTCTGCAAGTCTTCGCGCATCATCTCTCACCCAGCGATTTATTCTCGTACTGCTGGAGACCGTGCGAGCCCGACCAGCTTGTGCCTCTCCGTCGGGGCACGGGCTTCGGGAGGCGAACTCTCTTGGCGGGGTCTTACGGTGCGTTGCGATTCTCCTTCCCCGATGGAATCGTTCTCCAACATTTTGCTTCGACAGTACGTATATGCGTAGTCGTAGAGCTCCTGCGGAGCTCTGATAGAACATGTTATGACGAGCACAAGGACGACGCCTCTTTTAGCGTTCTGTTGCTAGTCTGTTCACGCCAAAACATACCAGGCGAGGAAACCTGTGTCTCCGAGTTTGCCGGTCCCGTGCTCAAGTCCACGTCAATCCCCAGGTCGTGCGACGCGCACAGGCTCCGTCTTTAGTGCATCCCGTATGTACGTCCCCCTGCCTTTCACCGTTTTCCCCGTGGTCCGGTGTCTTCCCGCGCCCGATGTATGTCGTCTCCGATGTCCCTGCTCTCTTCCATGGTTGCTTCCGTTTTTGCATCCCTACTACCCTCGCTCCACGTCTCGCGTAGGCACTGCGGTCCATGAACGCGAGGTCAGGGGTCCTCGGGGTGTTCCACACGCACCACGTCTTTGCGCGACCGCACACGGCTTCGAGTGCAGGTACTAACTATACAATAGACACTGACTCGGCCGCGGTCTTGTGCGCAGACTTGATGGTGGACCATGCGCTATTCCGTTCTTGCGCAAGGGCGTGTAGACCTCTTCTACTACTTCCCTTCCGGGCTGCACGCCGACGATGTCACGCTGATAGTGTCATGCCTCGCAGGGGTGCCGTACAAAACTAGTTCGTCGACGACGGCATCCTCACGGTCGTCACGTCGGGGTCCGACACGACTTCGCCGTCGCTCACCTCGATCGATCTTCTTCCTCATCCTCACCCACCTTCCCCCGATGTCTACGCCCGCCTTCAGAAATAGCTCGATACCCGAAGGGCGAAGACGTCTTCCATCCGAAAGCGTAGTCATCCGTGCATTCACTGACGTCGATCCCGCCCGAGAAACGAGGCGCTCCGTCTCCCGAGGATTGAATACTTACGGGAGACTGCGCCAGTCGGTCACCGGCGACGGATTGAGCGGGACGCAGCGGTCTACTCGGCCTCATCTCTGCGCGTATCCTGCACACCACCGGCACATCTATCGACCATGCCACACCCACCGTCATCCGACAGGGTCGCAGAGCAACCTCACCGTCCCCGAGTCAAACCGTCCTCCACCGATCCCTCCGCATGTCCGCAAACCGTTCCTTCACCAGCCGTCGCCCGCGCCCGTCCAACGTCGCCTGCTCCGTCAGCGCCGCGTCTCCGTGGTGCCAGGCGAGCGTGACGGTCTCGTCCGCCCGGCGCGCCGGGTACCAGGCCTGGTCGCGGAGCCTGAGCTGGAACTCGGGGCAGGCGGTGGGTCCCCAGAGCCAGAAGTGTGGGCCCGCGGTCGTGGTGCGCGGCTATTGTGGTGCGTCGGTCGACGGGCAGGCATGGACGGGGGAGGGACGGACCTTGAAGAACCCGTGCTCCAAGTATCGGAGGCGGGGAGCGCGGAGGAAGACGAGGGAGAACGGGAACGCCGCTCCGCTGAGCAGGAACTCGGCCAGGGTCGGCTCCACCACGCGGAGGCTGACGAGCTGCTGTCCGAGCACGTGGACGACGTCCTCGAAGGTGCGGTCGGTTGTCCTCGTGAGGCGGAGGTGGGTGAGCGCCCTGAATTCCGCACGTGCTACGCAGTTGAGCGAAGGGGTGGGAGTCGAGATGTCGACGGGGTATTCATGCCGCAACGGTCGGAGGCCTCCGGTGAGAATGGGGACTTGACACGTCAAGAAGCGGTGCGATGGTAGGGTCGTGGTTGGGGTATCGGGCCAGTACACGTCGTGCGGTACCTGCATCTCCTCGATATGGGAATTACGCTGGTAGAAGGCGTAGAAAGGGTAAAAATCGAATAGGGGTGCATCTAAGCATCTCAGCCGAGGGAGGTACCGAGTGGAAAGTTGCTCCAACAGTACCGGATATCGGACAAAAAGTCGCAGTGTGACTAGTTCAGGAAGTTGGACCACGATGTTGACTATCTCCGTCTGGGCTGCGGCTGGAAGGATGCCTTGCTCAAGGGGCATGACGCGAACCTCGCGGATGCTATGCGCCAACCTGGGAGTGCCACGGATCCTTGTCGCAAGCTGATCAGCGTCCTCTTCCGTGCGGATCACGGCGATCCAGTCGGCGACAAAATCCCTGATCGCATATCGAATGGACCTGCACGTTTTTGACAAGCAAACGAGGTCTTCCCGGCTGTCGACATCAGAGATCACCTTCAACCAGAGCTCAAAGGGGATATTCCGAAAGGGGCCTTTGTACGCTGCAGCCGTTCTTCGTCAAGATGTTTCATGATAAGCATGTGCTCGGCTACGGACGTGGTGTCGGTGACCAGATACTGGACACTATCCTGCGCCATTTGGAGGGTGAAATGATGCTTGAATTACGTCCTGCCGCCACATTGTCCATACGACCTCGAAGAAGTAGCGGATCTCGGGGAGTGGCAAGGGAGAAAGGTCGCGATGATCGATAAAGTGACTGCCACGTTGCAATTGTCACGGCTGCTCCGGACTGTCACGCGTGTGCCAGACCGTGGCGACTCACGCATGTCACGCCTGCCCGCAGCCATCTCGCGACTATGGGCATGACCCTCCGATAAGAGACTCCCCTTGCCAACCACACATCCTTGCTCGGTCTCGACCGAATGGCGCACGCCAGTCATCCCTCCCCGGCGTATGTTCCAGTGACCATGATCTACTCGCAAGATGCACGCGGTCGTCTCGCCTCAACCTCCTTCCTGCCTTCCCCCAGCGACGCCATATTCGCGCCGCGGCCGGCCACGCGATGACTGTGTCGTAGGCCGAGGCAGATTCGCCCGCGCAGTCGTGTGCGGCGACGAGGGGGCTGCTGGAGAGGAATATTCGCGCGGGCGATGAGCAGGCGGAGTGCGGGAGGGGATCGCTAGGTACAAAGAGGAAGCGAGGACGCTGCACGCGAAACACGCCAGGCATCTGGTGAGCTGTGATGTTCGTGAATCGGTCTTCGTGCGGCCTAGAGCGCGGTGTGGTGGACGTTGGAGCGAATGTGGGTGGTCTTGGAGGATCGAAGAGCATCATCGGCATGGCTTCACCCTGCGCGGAGTGTGCTTCGGTGAAGGATGCGGGTCCAGGCTGAGGAAACGGCTCATGGTGAGTGATTCTCCGTTGCTCTTCGATAAACTGTCGCTCAGACCGGTTGAAGGCTTCACGTTTTCGCTATACACCCACTAACAGCAGGGATATGGTGACTTTGGGTATGACCTATGCTTCTTGTCGGTTGCGCACGTTCTAACCTGTCGGTCGTCAGGAAATGCTGCGCGTATGGCTCGCGCGGAGACCCTTCTTGGAGGGTTGTCTCTGTGCTTGCCCCTGGACGCCTCTCCTCTCCCAGGGTGGGCGTCGCGTTATCAGTGTCGGACACACAATGCCCGTTCGTGCCCCGCTTGTGTGCTGTGACGACGCCGACCGCGTGATTCACACCTCCGGCGACCGTGTGTCGCCAATCGCCGGAAAGAGTTCACAGCGCATATATTGTGCGCATGATCTCCACTTCGGCGGTTCGTCACGCATGAGCGAACATGCTCTACACTTTTCCCACCCACTCGATGCATTTATGTTGCATCCTCTCTCGTGACAGTTTTCTTTGTCTTTCTCCCAAGTCATCATTGTCTGTCTATCCTTCCGAGGCTTATCTTCATGTCATGCCCCGACGATCATCCATCATCTGCGGTTCCCTGTCTACGCCATCCTGAGTGATCACGATCGCGTACAAGTGCGGGCTTCAGGTGCAAGACCATTCCAAATTCCCCGCACACGCGATTCCGCAAGGCGTCTTCCGCCTCTAGATCCCACATCGCGTACCCGGCGAAGGCAGCTTGCTCGGGGATGCTGTGGGCGAAACGCAACACTGCCGCACGGCTAGATCTGTCTAGCTGGGGGGTCTGTCGTTCTGCAAACACCGGGGATAGACAAGCCCGCGACCCTCCGTAGGCGTCGGAACGCGGACGACATCTGAGAGCTCTCGAAATACCACATGTATGTGGTATTTGCAAAGCGGGTTGACGAGGTGTGGCACTGGCGAGTGCACCGCGCGCACCCTTGCGGCCTTTCTGTGCCGACGGGCGAACTTGGAGCTTTGAAGCTTGGAGACGGTGATGCTCGTACCCCCGCGTTATAGGATTACTTGGGAACCAGAACACGATAGATCATGTAAATGTAGGGCCTCGAAAGGCGCAGCCCCTGGATCGTGGGAGTTCCGGATGGATGTATTTGCGGCGCCCGCCGGGGCCCCGAATGAGCCACGTGGCCAGGGCCAGCTGTCCTCCTCCCCCTCCTTCTCGACCCTGTCTCGCCCAAATGGCACCAGGTATGAATACGACCGGAGCAAATGTCATGCGGAAGGCCATGCGAACGCCCCAACAATATGCCGTACGCCATCGGTGAGGAATCTTACCGACCGCCTACGCCGGTCGGATTTCATCTCATCACTTCGCTCGGCTGTGCGTAGCACCCAAGACTTCTGGGCGTCCTACTTACGTATCGCCGAGAGTCCGAAAATCGTCAGCGAAGCCCCGGCGTCATGTCACGAGTGCTCAACAAGTACACCTCTGATCGTGAGTCGTCGCATGGAGCGTCTGTCGACAAGTTGACCACTGATTATCGTGGAGCAGATCATCCGTGGCAAGCTTTTGCCAAAGTTGCCGCAGACAATCTTCCGGGTTCTGACCTAGGAATCCCCGGGATCGTTGCTCGCCTTTACGGGAAGTGCCCATGACACCCGTTGGACAGTACCGTCGCTTGTCGGTGCACTGGAAAGTGTTGACGACCGTTCACACCGTCCGCTCGCGGGAGCGTGGGACTGCTGCCAGTTTACCACACCCGCGCCGCTCTCCGGGCTCGAAACATTGAGGGACATCTCTCCATCATCCGTTCATCTTTCTGATGCCGTCGTTTCGGCACTCCCGTAGAAGCCACGGGGAGCCATACATATACGCACCGCAGCGGTCAATGCGCTCGCGCTCCGTAGCCACCCCGTCGTGCACCATGGACTCCTCCTCCGCCTCCCCTCCCGCCGTGCCTGCTGTAGACAGCACGCTGGGCGCGCTCCTCATATGTACCAGTATCGCGATGCTGTGAGTCTCCATCGCGAATCCCGATGTTCTCTGCGCTCAACGTCCCGCCTCCCCGTGGCCAGTATGTATGGGCTTCTTATTCACCAGACGTTCCAGTACTATCGGATGTTCACGGAAGAAAAGCTATACCTTAAGCTCTGGGTGAGTGACTTTCTGACTCGCACTGGAGAACGGCCGCTCACGCGCATCACCTAGGTCGCTTTCGTCTTGTAAGCTGCCCTTGACGCGTCCGTTTATCCCACGAGACTAACGCGCGTACTTGCAGCATCACTGAAACGTACACCATCGTTGTAGCTCTGGAAGAGACGTGAGTTTCGGTACGCCCTGACCGATACCTGTCGCTGAATGAGCGTCCCCAGGTATTTTTATACGATAAGTAACTGGGCAAACCCCGTTGTCCTCACCAAGCGGATGCACGAGTGAGTGTCAATGTGTATCTGTTGGTTTGACACCTGCTCACTCTAGTCGACCCAGTATTATCCAGGTGCGTCCATATTGATTTCTTCTAGTATGTGTTCTCATCCCCACCATCTCAAGCTGCTACCCCCGATTGCGGTGAGTTTGGTCCGTCCGTACACTTTGTTCGTGTCTGATCAGAATCTATCAGACCTTCACTCCGGTAGCGGTGGAGATGTACGTTCATGGCAGTTCTCTGCTCGTCGCTCATGCGCTCACGTCCGGGTTGACAGCTTCTTTATGCGCCGCGTCTGGCTTCGTAAGCGAATCACATCCGTCCCTTTTAGTGCGCCCATCTAAGCGAGTTGTCAGTCGGTCGTCAGTACAGACCACTCGTCGCTGTCGCTGTAAGTGGTCCACGACGAGTCCGGCGATACGCGCATCTGACTCGTGCTTATGTTTGGTCTAGTTCGCTTTCGTGGTCTCGTTTTACGGTGAGCCGACACCCTCTGTTTGAATGCGCGCAGCGGGTCTCACCGGCCGGCTCTCGTTCTCGTTCCAAGGTTGCTACATCGGTACGTAACGCTCCCCGATTCACCCAGAGACGCAGCGCTAACTCAGGGTCGACAGCTATTTCGGTCGTCGGGTAAGAGTAGCGTGTCCCTGCATGACAGGCATTACCTGATCCCCTCTTTCCCTCAGATACACTGCGCCGGACCCACTCGAGTGGCTTCGCAGGGGCGCAGTGGGTACCTTGCTTGGACACCGACATCACCGTCACTGACCCGTGCCTTCCACAGCGTCTCGCCGGTATCGGCAGTGTGCTCCTCGAAGTCGGCGACCTGATCACGACGAGCGTGCTTGTATACGTGCTCTTCTCGAGTCGCTCTGAGATTCGCCGGTGCGCATTTCGCTGTGGCCCTACGTCATCGCAGGCCTGATCCCCTCCTTAGCACCAACTCCATCATCGACTTGCTCATCAAGTACACCGTGACCACTGGTGCGTGCCGCTAGGCCTCTTCCGCGAGACTTCCGCTGACTTTGCGTTGCGCTCGCAGGCATGCTTTGCGGGTAAGTGGTCCGCTCAAGGGTGTCTGCGAGCGAATTGTGCTCATCGGCTCGCACGCATCAGTCTCTCCTTGATCATCAGCATCGTCTTCGTACGTCTGCCTCTTCTCCCCTTTTCCTCGGTGCCTGACGCCTGAAACCTCCGTCCATCCAGGCCTTCCTCTACCCAAACACGATGATCTGGATCGCGAGCGACGTCTTCATCAGCAAGCGTACGTCCGCCGCTCTTCTCTCCGAGCCCCCTCCCGACTAACGCCGCCTTCCCCGCCTCCAGTCCAGGCCAACGTCTTCGTCGCCACGTACGTCCGCGCACCCCTCCCCCGCGATGCACCCCTAACCCGCGCCCCCGCGTCCCGCGCCGACCAGCCTGAACGCCCGCCGCGGCCTCTCGAACGAGTTCAGCCACGTCACGCCCTCGGTCTCGAAGCCGCCGCTCGTCAGCTTCCCCTCCGGGCGCTCGATGGTGCGTGTCCCCTTCGTCTCTTTCTCTCTCTCTTTCCGCCCGACTCGCCCGCTGACGCGGGCCTCCCGCAGGGCGCGAGCAACACGATCGACGCGACGCGCTACGAGCTCAAGGCGATCGCCGGCGGGCCCCACCGGGCGACGTCGGACGTGTACGGGTCCGAGACCGCGTTCGGCGCGGACAGCAAAGTCTGAGATCTGAGCGGTGCGCGCTGCGCACGTGTGTGCGTGGGGCTCGGGCCTATCTTCGTGCGCGCGGGAGGGACGCGGTGGTGTTGTGCTACGTTATTGTACATACCCGATGTGCGGACAAGTATTCACGCCTTGGATCTATCTATCAGTTAGCCGTGGAGCGCTTTCAGGCGGCCGCGCCGCGTCCCATGTGAGCATGCATTCGCAGTGGACCGGCTCGTGCGCTTCCGCGCCGGGTGTTTGCTAGCCCGTGGCGGGGCGCGGCCCTGGATATCGGATCCCGCGCGCGGAAGCAAACGTGCAATCTTCCCTCGGGCTCTGTACGAATCGGTCGATCTGATCCGCGCGCGATCAAGGGCGAATGGTTCAGCCTAACCAAGTGCGCGCGGACGCTCGAGGTGGTACATGTGTAAGGTAGACGCGGTCAGGAACCAGCTACCATGACATAAGCAATCTAGGTGGCGTGGGAATGTTTCAAATCTCGCCGGCGAGTCATCGCCTCTTGAGAGGTGGTCAAAACATGTATTCCATAGACATCTGCACACAATCTTTTGCTGCTTCTGTCATTTGATGGTCTAACTGCGCCCTATGCATGTCCCAGATCGCTTCCCAACGGTGGCCAGGAGCCTCTGCGCTTCGCTTGGCACAGTGAGAACGAGTCCCGAAGAGCGTTAAGCTCCTCGGCGTCAACTGGCACGGGTGGGGCAGGCGGAAAGTTGTCAACCCCCACCCTGTGTAATGTCCCTTGTATAACCGGCTGAGTCTTCCATGATGGAAGTATGACTATCTGCTGTAATGGGAGCTTCAGAGGGCTGGCACATGCAGCAGAACACTGTTCCCATTGCCTTTCCGGACGGTACAAGTCGGGCCGGTACATCACGTGTTCAGCGTCTACTATAGACGCCCGTTTCAAACATTTCTCCTCGCCGATTTAAACCGTGCTCAAACACATTGAAACAGTGTTCTGCGACGTTTTAGAACATCTTCAATTATTGGCCAATAACTCGGTCAAAAATGAGAATATCACAAAAGTTCTTCCTAGCATTGAGAGCTAAGGATAGCTACTATCATTGTCAGAGACCAGAATCTTCAAACATGGGTGAGGGGCGGAGGGGAAAAGGCAGGATAAACGGGGGGCGCCTGCTTATGTCATGGTGGCTGGTTCCTGGCCGCGTCTACCTTAGGCGAATGCATGCGGACCGTGGACCGCGGACCGCGGCAGCGCATCGTGGGATGGGCTCGCACCGAGCTCGCCGAGGCTGAGTCGAGCCGAGCGCGTCAGACCCGGCTCGAGCCTCCCGGGGAGTTCACCGACATCCATCGAACGATTGACGTCATCCGTCGTCGTGGACTCGTGGAGCGGGGTGGAAAAATGGATTGTCATGTACTGAGAGGAGGCGATGCGAGGGTAGTATACTGTAGTATAGCAACGATGGAAGAAGACATGGCCGTCGCGGAAGAAATGGCAAGGGACCACGGGAAAACAGTGGAAGGCAGGGGAACCTGTGCGCATTCCACTGGCGTGGACTTGGGCACGGGACCCGGAAGCTCGGGGACACAGGTTTACTCGCCGTGCGTAAACGGCTGGTATGTTTTGGCGTGAACGGTCTGGCAACCGAACGCTAGAAGAGGCGTCGTCCTTGTGATCATCATAACATGTTCTATCAGAGCTCCGCAGGAGCTGTACGACTACGCATATACGTACTGTCGAAGCAAAATGTTGGAGTACGATTCCATCGGGGAAGGAGAATCGCAACGCACCGTAAGACCCCGCCAAGAGAGTTCGCCTCCCGAAGCCCGTGCCCCGACGGAGAGGCACAAGCTGGTCGGGCTCGCACGGTCTCCAGCAGTTCGAGAATAAATCGCTGGGTGAGAGATGATGCGCGAACACTTGCAGAAGCACCCTATCCTACCCTATCATAACCGTCCCTGTGCGTCATCATCCTCGCAACGCTCACACCAGGCGCGTCCCGCGTCTTCGCACTGCGCCCACGACTGCGGTCGCTCATTTACCAGAGCCCGCATATGTCCTGGATAAATTCCAGGTTGAGTTGGGGAGGAGCACGCATAGATGACGAAACGCTGACCCAGATTTAGGCCTGTCAATCGCGCAAGCCCTCTTCACCCTCTCATGCTCTCCGCCTCTACCATCCTGTATCCAAGGCGGATCTCTCGCTGCGTCCCCCAATGACTTCTCCGTCCACAACGCCGCGATCCTTCTCGCAAAAGATGACTATTGGACGTACCTCCCCGCGGAGCCTCTTGGCCTCTTCCGAATGGCCATCGACTCGCCATCGATGACCGCGCTCCAGCTCTAGGAGCTCCGTGTCCGTCTCCAGCACCCGATTGACTACCGCGCCCTTCCATGCCGCCAACCAGCGCGACAGCACCGGTCGCTGAGAGGAAGGGGGCTCGTAGCGAGGACGGCGAAGGTGGCGATGAAGGTCGTGGACGAGGCCCCGGGGCTTGAAACAGGCCGCGAAAGCATGGCATTTAAGAGCAGAACGAGTAGGACAGATATGGCGTCGCTGGGGGAAGGCAGGAGGAAGGGGTAGGACGTCGAGGCGAGACGACTGCGAGCGACGCGTGCATGTTGCTGATCCTGATACTGGTGGTACTTGTGATTCTGCAAGTCGATCATGATCCCCAGAACATACGTCGGGGAGGGCCGACTGGCTGCGTGCCGTTCAGTCGAGACCGAGCAAGTGGGTGTGGCTAGCAAGCGGAATCTCCTGTCGGAGAGTCATGGTCGCCGGATCTGCAGACGGGCGTGACACACATCACTCGCCAAGGCCTGCGCACGCGTGACATTGCGGAATGGCCGTGACAGCCGCTGGCAGTACTCACCCCGACATCCCGACCAGCCCTAGGTGGGCCCACCACCCACCACTATCTTTTATCACCGCAGTATCCCCCTCGTCCTAAAAAAGTGCGAATTTTCTGCAAGATTAGAGCGAATTTCGGCGAGGTGAGCACACAGCCCTCTACCAGTGTGTGAACTTTGTCCGTACTTCTCCGCTTGCCCAGAACAGCTACTTCTTCGAGATCGTATGGATGATGTGCCAACATCACGCAGTTCAAGCACCAGTTCGCCCTCCAAATGGCGCAAGACAGTCTCCAGAATCTGGTCACCCTCGGCAATGACGACACAACGTACGTGGTTATTCACATATTATCAGTCATTCTGACGAGAACCGTTGTAGCGTACAACGGTCCCCATCAGACTCTTCCCGTTGAGAGAACCGCCGCAGCGCACAAAGAAACCCGTCGGACTCTCCCCGTCGAGCTCTGGTTGAAGGTCATCTCTGAAGTCGCGAGTCGGGAAGACCTCATTTGCTTGTCAAAAACGTGCAGCTCCCTTCAAGATGCAACCAAGGACCTTGTCGCCGACTGGATCGCGGTGATCCGCACGGAAGAGGACGCTGACGAGCTTGCGACGAGGATCCGTGACAATTCCAGGTTGGCGCATACCATCCGCGAAGTGCGCGTTATGCCCCTTGCACAAGACACCCTTCCGGGCCGGGGGATGGTCGACATCGTTGTCCAGCTTCCTGAACGAGTCACGCTGCGACTCTCCTTCGACTATACTGCACGGCAGTTCGATCCACTGTCAACGCAACTCCTCTCCCCTTTGAGATGCCTCGGCCTACCAATCTTCGATTTTGCCCCTTTCTACACGCTCTTCAAGCTCGATCCTCATATTGAAGAGCTGCATGTACTGACTAGCAACTGGCCCCTTTGCTCACCCATGACCCTACCATCCCTCCGCGTCTTGACCTGCCCAGAAGACATGCTAGCCGACTTGACTCGAAGAATCCGACTCAACATCTGGTCGCGCAGCTGTCCGTCGTATGTAAAATGTGGGGCCCTAACCCACCTCCACCTCACGAAAATATCCACCTTGGAGGACGTCCTCAACGTGCTCGGACCACAGCTCGTCAGTCTCCGCGTGACGGAGCGGAACCTGACCGAGTTCTTAAGCAGAGAGGTGTTCCCGCTCTCCCTCATTGTCCTCCGCGCGCCCCGCCTCCGGTACCTGGAGCAAGAGTTCTTCAAGGTCCGTCCCTCCCCGTCCACACTCCCCCGTCCGTGCCTACCCGCCGACCGACACACCACGATAGCGGCCCATCCGAAACTACTCGCCCTGGCATCTCAGCTACCCACCCAACCTGCTGATCGGGGTCACCCGCGACGACGCGATGTTCCCGGCGCGCCAGGCGGGCGAGACCCTGACGCTCGCCTGGCACCTCGCCGACAACGCTTTGGGCGCGGCGTTCGACGAACGCTTGAATATGGCGCTCGACGCCGGCGACCACCGCCGATTCCGCCGGAGGTGCGAGCAGCGCGCGCTCTCGGCGTTGCGGAGCGGGGCGCCGCGCGTCGATTGCGTCCTGTACGGAGACACGGCGCTGACGGAGAAGGCGACTTTGAACAAGTTCAGGTGGGGGTTGGTGAAGGAACGGCTTACAGAGGTGCGGAGTGACCATTGGAGGACCGTCTGAGGACCGGCAGCGACGGTGCTCTGCATTCTCGCCATGTCGGACAACAGTAGCGTTCATGCGCATGCGCGCGGCCACGCGTGCGCTTGGCGCGCCTCGTACCAGACCACCCGGCCTCCACCGCCCCACCACCGACTATCCCCCACGCAGCGCGCGTCGACGCGCGCACCCCATGCCAGGCCGTCATCGCCGCCACTGCGCTCCTGCGCGCGCGCGCGAGCCCGACAGACAGACAAGCCGGCCCTTCATTCGGACATCCCACCTTTCCCCCGTACATCCTGACTCCTCTCCCTCCCCTCCCCACATTCCACTGTAGGACATTCCGTACCTCCCGACACCCCGCATCTCCCGCTCCGCTCCGTCCCCGCCCCTTCGGTCTCGGTTCTACGATACCCCGGCTCCCTCGGTACCTGCTCCGCGCTACCAATCACCTCCGACCATAGCTCGTGAGCATCATGCGGCCTCTACTCCACCGTCCCTCGTCTCTCGCCGTGTTTGTTTTGATCATTCTACCTCATTTTCTCACAGACATGCCCGTCCTCTACCCGCTCGGACTCTGTCGCTACGACTAGCGCGCACACGTATTTATGCTAGCAGTCTTTGCGCTCTGTCTGCAATTTTCACGCCCCCACTCAGTCTGCGTGCTACTCACCCAGTCCGCCGTCAGTACTTCCACCGCCTCCGCCGTCTTCTGCACGTCAGTCCTCTGCCGTCCACCCGGCTCCTCGCCTGGCCGTCCGCCGTTTCTCGTTGTCTCAGACATCGCCCCAGATTGAGCCTGCAGCTCGAGCGACAGCACACTCCCCATCAGAGTAGGTATGGAGCATGGTGCACTTCGTAAGCCACAAGGGGGAGACAGGTCAGTTAAAGGTTTGAAAGCACCCATCGTGACACGTTCTCTCGCACGTGGCTGTGACGACTCGCGTTTTTTGAAGGCGCTAGCGCCGGCTGGCACTCTTCGAATTCCCGCTTTCTGCGCGTCATTCGACCGTTGGCGACGGGCGCTCACGCACGGTCTACGCGCTGTCCTCACCACCCTCACGATCGAGCAGAAACGCCACTGGCCACTCCGGCTTTCTGTCTGGGCTCACAGCCTTTCATTTCAAGAGAATGCCAAGCACTCAATGTCCGGCACCCTCGACCCCTGAGTATTCAATATTCAGCTCCGGAAGATCGTGCTCTGCGGTCGGCAACAGCCCCCTCCATACTGCGCCCGATGTATGCCTCCGTGAGCACATCGGCGCCTCAGGTCACCGTAAATCTCGCGCGTTCTGACGCGCGGTCCTGCAGGACGACGACGCACACTTGGACGAACACGCGGTAAGTACTCGTTTACCCGCGACTTCACTACGCCCGCAGCTCTAAATGCCGTGGAGGATGCTCGAGGCGTACACCGCGAACCTCGCTGGGTGCAGTTCTATGCGCCTCGGCGCACGGCCTCGTTATTGGAAGTCGTGTGGAGACCGTTGGTTCACGGACGTTGCTGTACGCATAAGAGCGTCCGCCGATGTAGAGGCTGACGTGAATCATCCGCCGATTTCACAATGCGTTCGTTTCTCAAGCACCCGCGCGCGCTTGCCGCATGCCAATATACATTTCACCTCATCGTGGTAATTCTGTGAGTAGGTGATGGTCTACACGTTGGAGGCGTCGTGGAGGAGACTACATGCTCCGGGGCTGGCTGATTGGTTGGGCGCGCCGGTCGGTCGAGATCGAGCAAGGGGCGATGCCTTTGCCAGTCGCACACACACAGGGTCAGTACTGGCCAATGGCTGATCTGCGGGCGGGCGTGACACGCACCCGTCGCCAAGTGCACACCCGTAACACTGCGGAACGGCCGTGACAGCTGCGACGCCATGGCGTGCATGGTCACCTTGACATTCCCACCAGCAGCTATCACCGCGGTAACCCCTCCGTCTTAGCCAAATTCAAATTCTGCCCCCTTACGGGTAAAACTGGAACGGACTTCGGCAAGGTGAGCACGTATTCCCAGTGTGTAATGCCTCTCAAGAGCTTTTCCTCTTCCGCTCGCCCAGAACCGCTACTTTTTTGAGATGGATGATGATGCTGCGGCACCACGCAATTCAAGCGTTAGTTTACCGTCCAAATGGCACAGGATAGTCTCCGTGATCTGGCCGACTAGACGACGTGCGTGGCTACGCGCGTCTCATGAATCGTTTTGACGAGAACCGCTGCAGCGTTCAAAGACCCCCGTCGGACTCTCCCCGTTGAGCTCTGGTTGAATGTCATATCTGAAATCGAGAACCGGGAAGACCTCATTTGCTTGTCAAGAACGTGCAGCTCCTTTCGAGATGCGACCAAAGACGTCATTGCCGATTGGGTCGCAGTGATCCGCACAGGAGAGGACGCTGACGAGCTCGCGACGAGGATCTGTGATAATCCCAGGTTGGCGCATACCATCCGCGAGGTGCGCGTTATGCCCCGTGCACAAGACACCCTTCCGGGCCGGGGGATGGTCGACATCGTTGTCCAGCTTCCTGAACGGGTCACACTGCGACTCTTCTTCGACTCGACTGCACGGCCGTCGAATCCACTTTCCACGCAAAACCTCTCTCGGCTGGGGTGCCTCGGCCTACCGATGTTCGATTTTGCCCCTTTCTACACGCCCTCCCAGCTGGATCCTCATATCGAAGAGCTGCAGGTACAGGATATCCGCTGGTCACATTCCTCAACCATGACCCTACCGTCGCTCCGCATCTTGACCTGCCAAGTCTCCGTGCTATCTGAATTAGCTGCAGGCATCCGAGTCGACCACTGGACTCCCACCCCTTGGCACAGCTGTAGGGCCCTAACCCACCTCCACCTCAGGAGGCCATGGCACTGCACCTTCTACGACGTCCTCAACGTGCTCGGACCGCAGCTCGTCAGCCTCCGCGTGGTGGAGCCGACCCTGGCCGAGTTCCTGAGCGAAGAGGTGTTCCCGCTCTCCCTCATTCTCGTCCACGCGCCCCGCCTCCGGTACCTCGAGCACGAGTTTTACAAGGTGCGTGCCTCCGGGCCGTCCACATGCTTGCCCGCCGACCGACGTACCACGGTCCCAGCGCACCGTGCTCGAGCACCAACAATCATCGCTCTGGGAACTCAGCTGCCCCCCCGAATTCCTGCTGAGGGCCACCCGTGGGGACGCGACGCTCCCGGCGCGCCAGGCAGGCGAGCCCCTGACGCTCGCCTGGTATCTCGCCGACCAGGCCTTGGGCACGGCGCTCGACCTCCGCCGGTTCCGCCGGAGGTGCGAGGAGCGTGCGCTCTCGGCGTTGCGGGGCGAGGCGCCGCACGTCGACTGCGTCCTGTACGGGGACACGGCGCTGACGGAGAAGGCGACGTTGAACAGGCGCGGGTGGGGGTTGGTGAAGGAGCGGCTTACGGACGTGCGGAGGGACCGTTGGAGGACGGTTTGAGGACGGGCGGCGATCTCGCCATGCCGGACTACAGCAGGACACGCGTAGAGATAAGGCCGAATGTGAGAATGAGGAAGATCGAGGTGAGCGACGACGAAGTCGTATCCGACCTCAGCTTGGCGACCACGAGGATGCCGTCGTCAACGAGCCGCCGCGAAGGAGACGCGAGTCTTCGTTGTTCTACCACGACACCATTAGTATGACCGAATAGCATATTGAAGAAGACGAGATCCAAGCATCACTCGCGGCCGAGTCGGAGTTTGGTGTATAGTACTTGCACTCGAAGCCTTGTGCGTCGCGCTTGTGGTCAAAGACGTGGTGCATGTCGACCGCCCCGAGGACCCCTGCCCCTGCGCTCATAGACGGTGGGCCCTGTCTTGCATCGTCGCGCCAGCGGCGTGTTCGGTAGGCAGAAGTATTGCTCACACCGTGGAGAGGCGGCATGCTGACAAATGCGTATGCCCATTATGAACGATTGTTAATTAATGAAATAGACAGATGATGAAGAGGTAGGGGAAAGAAAAGGAGAACTGAAGTTATGTCAAGAGAGGATACAGCACGGACACCGCGATTCAGTGTAACAGAGCAGAGATAATGATCGCTCATGCGTGATGAACGTCCGAAGTGGAGATTGCGCGCAAAATATATGCGTAGCGACCTCTTTCCGGGTTCAGCGAGACGCCACTGCTAGAAGTGCGGTCAGCGTCGTCACGGGAGAGCACATAAGTGGGGCACGTACAAGCACCGTGTGTTCAACGTCGATGACGTAGTGCCAACCCTGGGAGACCACGCAGAAGTGTCCAGGGGAACGCACAAAGACAGCCTTCCAAGCAATATGCGATGGGAAGGCGGGTCTCCGCGCGAGCCATAGACGCAGAATTCCCTGACGATCGACGGGTGAGAACGTGCGCAACGGACAAGAAGAAAAAGACATACCCAAAGTCACCATATCCATGCTGTTCGTAAGCGTATGGCAAATCAAACCAGTGGACCGATCTAAGCGACAGTTAGGTATCGAGAGACAAAGCAACGGGGAATCACTCACCTTGAGCCGTCCCCTCAACCTAGACCCTCACTCTTGGACCGAAGCGCACTCCGGGCGGAGCGAAGGCGTACCGACGATGCTTTTCGATTCTCCAAAACCGCCTGCATCCGCTCCAATGTCCCCTAGACCGCGCTCTAAGCCGCACGAAGACCGATTCATGAACATCACAACTCACCAGACCCCCGTCGCGCTTTGCGCGCAGCGTCCTCGCCTCCTCTTTGTACCTCGCAATCCCCTCCCGCAGCTTGCGGATGTACTCCGCCTGCTCATCACCCGCGCGGATAGTCCTCTCCAGCAGCTCTCTCGTCGCCGCACACGACTGCGCGTGCGACTCCGCCTCCGCCTGTCGCGGGATCAGCCACGGCTCAACGCCGAACGGCCGTCGAAGACGACGGAGACATACCTCCGCACGGGCCCGCTCAGCCTCCGCAGCCCGCCGCGCCTCCCTCATCCTCGCCGCCTCCGCGCGTTTCTCGACCAGCTTCGCCGCCGCTGCCGCTAGCAGCCTCGCGTCCTTCTCCCTCCGCGCCGTTTCCGCCTTGGTCCGCCTCGCGTTGAGCCGTGAGGACCCGGCGCGAAGCGCGGACAGCACGAAATGGAGGTCGTTCACCCCAACTGCCGTACGCTCCGATGTCGCAGCGACAGACGCAAGGCCCGCTTCGATGCGTCGCGCCGTGCAACTCACGCAGCGCAGCTGGATCCAGAGGTAGACGAAGAACGATGCGCCGGAGAGGTGGGGGAGGTAGGGCTGGAGCTCGAACACGAGGACGGCGAGAGAGGCGACGAGAAGTATGGCGGGGGAGAGAACGGCGAAGACAACCTTGACGGTGGACTTGAGGCCGCGGTGGTGGCCGAGGCGTTGAAGGAAGAGGAAGAGGGTGAGGGTGAGGAGGATGGACGAGAAGCTCGGGCTTGGGCAGGTACGGGGGACGGGGAAGAAGTCGAGACGGGACGAGGGAAGCCGAGAGACGATGATATGCGCGTGCATTGTTGAGTAGGTCCGTGCTGTGTTGCTGAGGGTCCACGGATGAAGCTGGCTCGGACTATATGCGTGGGCGAGGGGGCTGGCGGAGCTGACAGGGCTGGCGTAGCTGACGGGGCTGACGGGGCTGACGTTTTCGCGCCTGTGGATCTGGGCCTCCCGAAGGCTGACGTCGCGGTCCAGATCCCCTACAACCCATACGGGAAGGAAAAGTCGGCATCACGTCGGACTGGATCCGGAGTAGGTGGAGATTGGGCCTGCTAGAGTCGGTGTTGGGCGTAGTACACTTCATCAGCCACCTGGTCGTCGTTCTTCAGCCATTTTCGAGGCGAGGCATGGGCTTTGGGTCGTCGTAGTGGAAACGGAGGCAGATTCGAACGTTGTGGGAGAAAGGGAGGACGCGTTTGAGAGCAAGCTTAAGGGCGGCTCAGGGCACATGGAGTCGTGACACATTCACTCGCACGTGCCTGTGACGGTACGCGCCTTGCGAAGTTTTCGGAGGCCCGGAGTCCAAGTACTGGCACGCTAGAGTCCGCACCGCGGGGGTAGGTTTGGCTTATGCTGATTAGATTGGTTGGTTGTACAGTACTTTCATACATGTCAGCGTCCAGCGCTGCGACAAAACACGCGGGACGATTCTAATCACGGGGACGACAGAACGAAACCTCGTTGGTCTCGAACGAGAACGCGGTGTACACGTTCTTCAGGAAGCTGTCCCCGAGCACCCACGTGTCCTCCCCAAGCCCCATGTCCCGCCCCGCGATCGCCCCGATGCACGTCGTCTCGTCGATCTGCCCAAAGCTGAAGCTCTCGGCGCTCATCGTCCTCCACCCCTGGTCGAACTGGAAGTGCGCGTCTGACGGTGCCTCGTCGCACGGGAACGAGTACAGCCCGTTGCGCTCGTCCCACAGCTCCGCGCCCTCGATCGACTTGTAGAACTTGGCGACGGCCGCGGGCGGACCGTAGACGAACGTCGTGCCCGAGTCGATAACCGCGGAGAAGCCGTGCGCGTACACGTGCAGGCCCCGTCCGACCCTGCCGTTGGAGATCTGCCAGTACCCGGACTCGCCCGTGACGGGGTGGACGTCGGGGGCGTCGGCGCATCGCTCCCCGCTCTGGAAGCCGATCTCGAGCTCGGAGGTGGTGTCGGTGATCCGGAGGCCGAACTCGGCGTCCGCGATCGAGCCTTGGGCGCGGCCGGTGTTGATAAACGGCGTCTGTCCCATCTTTGCGAGGGCTGGGTAGGCGAGGCCGAGGACGCCGTCGATGGGACGTTGGGCGAGCTCGTCGGAGATGGACTCGGCGGCTGCGAAGCCTTGGTTCTTCACTGAGATGCCCGCGACAGTCACTGTGTGCCCGCACTACGTTAGCAATCTTCTCTTAGTGTCCATGAAGCGAGAGCGCGCACCTGTGTCGGTGAACGTAGGGCCAGAGACGGCGGATCCGTCTTGGTAGCGAATACGGCCGAACTGGTCGTCGTGACGCTGGCTGGTGGAAGATCTTTCGGGATGGTATTTCGCCTTCTGGGCGCAGTTGGCTGCGGTGCAGTTGGCGGATGGGATCCATAGATCCGCGGACCCAGCTGGCGGAGAGTGAGCAGGCGGCGATGAGCGGCGTGCGTGACGCAACTCACTGTCAAAGTCGACGTTGAAGTTCTGCTGCGGGGTGCCGACGCCCACAAACCCTGCCCAGAGCCCGTTTTGCTCGTTGGTCAACGGTTCGGTGCCTTTTTGTGCAGAAGGCGAGACGAAGTGCTCGACGGGCGGGAGGATCCGAGCACCGTCCTTGAACGCGTCTGCGCCGACGTTGTCGTGCAGGTTGATCAGGTTGCTCCGGTATTTGCTGCAAACGGCGCGAGATCAGAGGTGTATTCCCATGAGATCCCCGCCTATGCACTCACTTGTGGTCGTATGCAACCTGGCGGATGGCCTTTTGGTGATCGAAGAAGCCGTCTTCGGTTTTGAGGAACTTCACGTTGCGGGTGGAGATGCGGCGAACGTGGGCAGTTGGAGCAGGTGCAGCGAATGCGCTCAGCGCAAGAGAGAGAACGACGGAAGAGACTGCGAGCATCGTGGTGAATCCGGGTGAAAGGTAGAGAGGATGTAAGATGGATGTTGATATTCACCGGCGACGACGCGGGGGTATTTATGCGATCTCGAGAGAGGGATTACTGGTGCGCAGCAGCGTCGGATGTTGTGAGAGGAGGACATCCGGAGGTGGAAGAGTGCTGCGGCGGATGCGGGTGCGCGGGGATTGGAGCTTGGCCTGGTCGACGCGCGAAGGGCGAAAGGGGCGGAAAGTCCCGTCCCGAGTCCCGAGTCCCGTTCCCCTCGGATATTCGTCATTGGTATGAAGAGTCGTCAGCGGGCGCGCCGCAGCAGATATTCCGCATGCAAGGTAAGATGAACGAGGCATCAGAGTCAACTGTCGCGACGCAGTTAGTCCTAGGGGTGCAAGAAAGGCGCTAATTGGTGTGAAAGATACCTACCAGCCTTGAAATAACCCTTTTTAGAGGACATGGGACGCCCTGCATAACTACTGGTGGAGAGTATCCCAGTCGGAGCGTTCCTCGTCACTGTTGGACGTTGTCCGAAAAATAGCGCTCAGCCCCTCGGCAGAAGCCGCAGACACGTGTCACTTCTCACGTGTGCAGATCTTATCTTCGCTGGCAGGATCGTCCTCCATTTCGTGCCGCCTTAGGCTTCGGGCTTCAGAAAGCCGACGGACCTTTTGAAGGAGAGTGCTCTCCGCTCTCTGTGTGGCTCTTCCGTGGCCCACAGGTCGCTCGGTAACTTCCCTGGCCTCCGACAATTGCACATGTGCGATGAACTTAACGGGTTGCAAACTCTTGCAAGGGGTTGAGATCGGAGCACGTTGAGTACATGTAGCGCCTTCAGTTATACCCACGTATTTCTACATATGCATGGATCATGAAACCTAACGCGGCGACCGAACCGCGTCGTGCCCGACCGGGCCGTTAATCCTTCTTCGCGTCTTCCGCAGCCTTCCGCTTCGCCACCATCGCCAAGAACCTAGACTTTATGATCTCCTGCAAGCACGGCACGCGCATCAGCTACTTCCTCCCCCGCCACCCATCTCGCACATCCTACTCACCGCATCGACGTTCTTCGCCACGCTCGGCCGCGTCGCGCCCTCGTCCACATACCGCCACAGCCGCGCGAGCCGCTCGCCCTGCAGCGCCGCGGCGAGTCCGCCCGGGAGAACGCCGGCGACGATCCGCAGCGACAGCAGCAGCGGGACGACGGAGATGTCCGCGATGCCCCAGCCCTCGCCCTCCCCTGCGAGAAAGCTGCCGTCGCGCGCGGGGAGGAGCGCCTGGATGTCTTCGAGCGCGGCGAGGAGCGGCTCGACGGGGCCGCCGCCGAGGACGGGGTACACGTGCTTGAAGGCGTCGTCGACCGCGCGGACGGCGAGGCGCGCGCGCGCGCGCCCCGCGGGGGACGCGGGGAGGAGGCCGGCGGCGGGGAAGCTGTCGGCGAGGAACTCGAGGATGACGGACGATTCGGGGATCTGGATCGCGTCGGACGAGGGGGTCTCGCCAGGGTGCAGCTTGGGGCCGCCGTAGACGAGGTAGGGAACCTGGTCGGGACCGTCAGAGGCCGCGAAGCAACATAGCGTCGTGGGAGAGGAGACGTACAAGGCCCTTGGTGTACACTTTCTGCTGGTACCACTCGGGCTTGTTGGAGAGATCGATGTCGATCAAGTCGTACGCCACGCCCGCTTCGTCAAGAGCGACACTAACACGCTGAGAGAAGGGAGAGTTCTGAGAGGAAGAGCCCGTGAGCGATATAATGACAGAGGCCGATGGAGAACACGTACGACGGTGGAGTACAAAGTGATGTTTTCCGAAGTCGAGGACATTGATACGAAACGGCGATGGGTGGGTGGTGAACAAAGCAGTCCTGAGGTGGGACTTATATATAAATATGGGGCTGCATGGATTTCAAAGCGTCACCTGCGCATCCGTCGTCGAATTGGGAATTGACCTGTCTCCGGTGCCGGCCAATGACGTGCTCATGTGGATAGGCAGTCAAGAAGGAAGCACCAAAGCCGATTATCTCGGAGTCTGTTCTCGTCAGCACTTGAGTGTAGGTCAACGGAAGCAATCACCGGCAAATGCGGACTGGTCCAAGTATTGGTCAGTGACAAAATAACGGAGTTGACTCACACGCCAAACTCTGCAGAAGATTAGAGACGGCGCAATGGCGGCGGGTGACGTAGTATATGCGCAAAACGTCCGAGCATGGCCATGATTATTCACCGCGAGCGGCAATGGCGCCGGGGGAGATGTGCATCGTGCCCGCCGGAGCCCGTCGTCGGGCGCACGACGAGGCGGCGATGCGAGGGTCGCCTCAAGAGCGTTTTTCGAGCGTTGCCACGTTCTCCAGCGTGTCGCAATTCACGGGGAGGGCGAGTACGGGCGTGAGGCTGACAGGGTGGATTTGGGCCTACCGGAGGCTGACGCGGCCTGTATTTCCAACGAACGTCAGAGTCGACGTCGGCGTGGAGCGTGGTGAACTTCATGAGCCAGATGGTCTTCGTTTTTCAGCCATAGTCAAGTAAAAACATGGCTTCGTGTTATCGTAGTGGAAACGGAGGCGGGTGCATACGTTGTGAGAGGAGAGAGGTCGAGGACGCGTTTGTGAGCACGGCCATCGTGACACGTCACTCTCTCGCACGTGCCTGTGACTACTCGCGCCCAGCGACGTTTTCGGAGCCCATGATACTAGCGCCCACTGGTTCGACCGTAGTCCGTGCACGCCTCGTCCGCGTCGGACAACCGTACGACGGCATTAATGAACTGCTCTCCTCCTTGGATTTCTTGCGGTTTCCGTCAAGCTTGCTCGGTTCTGCGTAAGACAATTGCCACAAGAAGATCGTACCTGCGCGCATAAGAATGCCCGCCGACGGAAAGGCTGACGTGAGTCCTCCGCCAATCTCACGATGCGTTTGTCTCTGAACCTTTCTGTTTGGAAAGCACCACACCTGCCGCGCAGATACTTTTCACCCCGGTGTGGTGATGTTGCGAGTAGGTCACGATCTACACATTGGAGACGTGGAGGAGACTACATGCGCCGAGGAGGGCTCAGCTGACTGGTTTGGCGCGCCGTTCAGTCGAGGCCGAGCAAGTGGGTATGGCTGGCAAGGGGAGTCTCCTGTCGGAGGCTCATGGTCGCTGAGCGCTGGATGGCTCTGCGGGCGAGCATGACATGCACTAGTCGCTGAGGCCTGGATGTATACTTCATGATGCGTGACACTGCGCAGTGCGGAACGGCTGTGACAGTTGCGACGTGGCAGGGTGCACCTTGACAATTCCACCAGCCCCACCGCCTACCACTGTCCGTTATCATCGCGGTATCCCCTTCGTCTCAGCCAAGTTCAAATTCTGCGCTCTTGTGCGTAGAACTGGAACGGATTTCGGCGGGGTGACCACACAGCCCTCTACCAGTGTGTATTGCCTCTCGAGTCTCAAGAGCTTTCTCCCTAATCTTCCACTCGCCCAGAACCGCTACTTCTTCAGGATCGTATGGATAATGTGGCAGCACCACGCAACTCAAGCATCAGTTCGCCCTCCAAATGGCGCAGGATAGTCTCTAGGATCTGGTTACCGTCGGCAAAGATGAGACAACGTGCGTGGCTATGGATATCTTATCAATCATTTTGACGAGAACCGCCGCAGCGCACAAAGACACCCGTCGGACTCTCCCCGTTGAACTCTGGTTAAAGGTCATCTCCGAAGTCGAGAGTCGGGAAGACCTCATTTGCTTGTCAAAAACGTGCAGCAACTTTCGAGAGGCGACCAAGGACCTTGTCGCCGACTGGATCGCGGTGATCCGCACGGAAGAGGACGCTGACCAGCTTGCGACGCGGATCCGTAGGGATCCCAGGTTCGCGCAGAGGATCCGCGAGACTCGCGTCTTGCTTCCCAGAGGTCTCGGATACGCACTTCCGATCCCAGCGCAGATGGGGCTCATACTCGACGTTGTTGACCAGCTTCCTGAACTACTCACACTGCGACTCTTCGTTCGATTTCCAGAACGAATGACACTGCACTTCTCCCACGAATTCTCTGCACCGCTGGAGCTACTTTACACGCGGCACCTCCCTCGGTTGAGATGCCTCAACGCACCCATCTTCGATTTCATCCATTTCTACGCGTTTCTCCAGCTTAATCCCCATATCGAAGAGCTGCAGGTACCGCACGACAGCCTCGGGCCCGGCTCCTTAACCATCACCCTGCCATCGCTCCGCTTCTTGACATGCCAATTCCCCATGCTAGCCAGATTAACTCCAAGCACCCGAACGTCGCCACCCGACACCGGCCCTTCACGCCTGATATGCGAGGCCCTAACCCACCTCCACCTCACGAGGGCAGCGGACGGCACCTTCGAGGATGTCCTCAACACGCTCGGACAGCAGCTCGTCAGCCTCCGCATGACGGAGCCAACCCTGGCCGGGTTCCTGAGCGGAGAGGCGTTCCCATCCTCCCTCGTCCTCCTCCGCGCGCCCCGCCTCCGGTACCTTGAGCTGGAGTTCTTCAAGGTGCGTCCTTCCTCGCCTTCGTCTTTGCGTGCGCGCTGACCGACACACCGCGACCGCAGGGCTTGTTCACGCGCGCACGCGCCTGGCCACCCGAAATCCAACACGAGGGGCCCACGGACCGCACCCACGCTTCGTTCCCGGCGCGCACGGCGGGCGAGCCCCTCACGCTCGCCTGGTGCCTCTCCAACGTCTCGGGTGCGCCGCTCGACTCTGGTGATCTCCTCCGGTTCCGCCAGAGGTGCGAGCAGCGCGCGCTCTCGGTGTTGCGGAGCGCGGCGCCGCACGTCGGGTGCATCTTGTACGGACACGAGGTGCTGACGGAGAAGGCCACGTTGGGCAAGCGCGGGCGACGGCTGGTGAAGGAGAGCCTTACGTACTTGCGGAGGGATCATTGGAGGACGGTTTGAGGACGGCGATGCTACTCTGTCAAATAACAGTGGACGTAGCGTGGTCGATAGATGTGTGTGTGGTGTGCAGGATGCGTGTATAGATAACGCTGAACGGACAATGGGTGTATCCATCAATGAATCTAATTATCTGGTCTTGTCTGAATTGCGATTCAATGAACACAACGACACGAGAAAAGCGTCTGCCACGACATTTGTTCGGTGCCCCAAGACCGGAAGCGGCCGGTAAGGCTCCTCAAGGTACTTCGTCTCCTCCTCCGTAAGCTCCACATCGAGCGAGCCTACGACGGGGTGTCAGTGCCTCGTTCCCCTCAACCAGAGCGAGCACACAAATCGCACCCAGAATGTCCTCAAGGTTCGACAGCTTCGTCGTGCCCACGATCGGCGCCGCGACGCCCGGGCGGGACATGATCCACGCCATCGCGACGTGCGCCATGCTGATGCCCTTCTTCTTCGCGAGCGCCTCGACCCTGCGCGTCGACCGGAAGCCCGTCAGCTCGAGGCAGCGGCGTGGGAGGAATGTGGACGCACCGCCCGACGATCTCGGCGCCGAAGCTGATGCCGTCGACGAGCCCCATGAACGCGTCCTCGGTCGCCCGCGCCGTCTTCTCGTCGAACGGGCGGGCGAGCAGGCCGCGCGCGAGCGGCGACCACGGGACCGCGCCGACGCCGAACATCTTGAGCGTCGGCATCATCTCGCGCTCCTCCTCGCGGTACAGCAGGCTGTAGTGGTTCTGCATCGAGATGAACGGCGTGAGCTTGTTCGTGATCGCGTAGTCTGTGGGGAACGCATCAGCACCGTCGCAGAGCCCGGGTTTGAAAAGGTAAACATAACGCACTCTGCATCGCGTGGACTGAGTATTCGAGGATGTTAGAGTCTGGAGAGGTTGGTGGGGCGTGCGGGACGTACATTCGTATGCGTAGCAGGAGCTCATGCCGATGTAGCGCACCCAGCCGGCCTTGACGACGTCATGAAGAGCCTGCATCGTCTCCTCTATGGGAGTGCTACGGTCGAAACGGTGGCCTGACAAAGATGCATAGTGAGGCAGTGAGCGTTCTAATCGACATCTGGGACAACGTACATTGAAGAAGATCGATATGGTCTGTCTGGAGACGCTCCAGTGCAGCCTTCACACCGTCGAAGATATGCTGTAGACTGGCATGAGAACAAAGCGCCTCGTCCAATAATTGAGAGTGCACAGACCTTGCGGTTGAGTCCCCTCTGGTTGATCACGCCGAACTCCTCAGAGGGTAGCATCTGATTGATGGTCTGGTCTTTGTAAATGGGAGCACAGAGCTGCAATTGAGGGGTAGATTCATGTAACAAAAAACGAAGTAGAAGCGACGTTACCTTGGTCATGATGACGATCTCGCCGCGCGGGAGGTCAAGCTGTTTAATAGCTTTGCCGAGAATAATTTCCGATAGACCGTTGGAGTACATCTACAGATTTTCTCGATAACATGAGCAAGAAACATGGCAATAAACACGACTCACGTCTGCGGTGTCGAACGTCGTGATTCCGTGCTCGTACCTGCACGATGATACTATTAGGTCGTGGTTGTAGAGCGACTTGGAAAGCATACGTACGCAAATTTGATGTGCTTAATTGCTTCTTCTTCTGGAAGAACCCAACCTTGCCAGTCCTGAGAACCGTAGGACATGCATCCAAGAATGATCCTGGAGATCTTGAGGCCGGAGTTGCCGAGACGGACTGCAAGAGACGCATTGTATCAGGCCGAGCGTATCGATGCACAATGTAGAACGTACCATACTGCATTTTTGAGGGCATAGTCAAACGGTTGGGGGTAGGGGTGAAGACGGTTATGAGGGTCGAGTACCGGAAGGATGTTGGCTATACATGTGCTCGAAGCATGCCCAGCATATAAACCTCTAACATGACTCACCTGCACTTTTGCCCTGCAGCCGCGTTCGGATGCGCGTCGAAATCCCGGGGTCAAATTGGATTGATTCCAGTGCCCACACCCCGGCCGGAATATCCACGGAGTCAGTCAGCATGAACGCATTACCACTACACACATGTACCACCTTTGCGCCGTAGCAGCGTGGCATGCATGTCTGGGCGGAGCGGTCGTCGTTGATGTACGTCTAAATCCTGAACCAGCGTGAGGAGGAGGAGGCCTCCACGACCGTACGCCGATCGGGATCTCCGTGTTGTCGCCCTCGTCCAAGACTGCGTGCCCATGATTTGCGGGGTCCGACCTCCGTCACCCGGACTGAGCGCAAAGATCGCCCACAAGCTGCCTGATGACTCGGCGCTCAAGGCCCAATGTACGAAAGCTGCGCGGGACGCGATGCAGGAGGAGGTCCGGTGTCGTTGATCGACGCTGGAAGTGGAACGGAGATATGGGTGGGTGTGCTGATCGCTCAGCGACTGGTCCCGAGTAACCGCTCCTGGTGGCGCGCTGGCAGAAGAGGCGCGGGGTTGTATGGCAGGTCTTCATTGTTCTGACAGGTATGACACCATCAGCATGACGCCGTCGGTGTGCAGCTCCGGAGAGGACGCACGAGGTAGCGGAAGTGTTTGTGGATCGCGGTGCCTAATTTGCATCGTCCCGCTTGAGGGACGTAGAAGCATCGCCACAGTTGTTAAAGCACGAGATACACAGACGACGTAAAGGAGGGGAAAAGACAAAGGGAAACCAAGCTGATGTCACGACTCACGAGAGGATGAAACACACAGACAGCTGGCCGGTAGAACAGGGCGTAGAGCATGCGCGTAGTATATGCGCCGTGGCGTCCAGCGACACACATTGATAACGGTACAAGTGAACTCTGGGATACTACGCAGAAGCGTCTGGGGCAAATATAGAGACAGCCTATGCGACGGGAAGGTAGACCTCCTGCGCGAGTCATGGGCGCAACATTTCCATTAAAACGTGCGGACAGGATATGAAGTGTAGGGTATACCCAATGTCGCCCATCCATGCTGTTCGTGAGCGTATAATGAAACCTCCAACGGTCTGAGCGACGGAAAACCACTTACCTTGGGCAGTCCGCTCAACCTGGACCTTCATCGCTCGGTGCGGAGCCAAGCTACGCCGACGATGCTTTTCGGTCCCCCAAGACCGCCTGCGTCCGATACAACTTCCACTGTACCGAGCCCTCAGCCACACGAAGAAGATAGCATGTGCATCCAAACTCACCAGATCCCCGTCGATTTTCGCGCGCAGCGTCCTCGCCTCCTCATTGTAACATGCGATCCCCTCGCGCAGCTTGCGAATATACTCTGCCTGCACATGAACCGTGCGGAGGTTACTCTCCAGCAGATCCCTCCTCGCCATAAACGACCGCTCGTGCGACTCCGCCTCCGCCTACGACACGGTCGTCGCATGGTCAGCCACAGTTCAGGGACTGTCGAAGTCGACGGAGACGCACCTCCGCCCAGGCCCGGTCAGCTTCCGCCGCCTGCCGCGCCTCCTTCATCCTCGCCGCCTCCGCACGCTTATCGGCCAGCCTCGCCGCCGCCACCACCAGCCGCGCCTCTTTCTCCATCAGCGCCGCGTCCGCTTTGATGTGCGTCGCGTCGAGCTGCGTAGACTTGGCGCGAAGAGCGGACAGGACGGAATGGAGGTCGTTCACCCCGGCTTCCGTGCGTTTCGATATCGCGGCGACAGACGCAAGTCCCGCTTCGATGCGTCCCGTCGTGCGACTCAAGGATCGCAGCTGAATCCAGACATAGATGGAGAGCGATGCGCAGGAGAGGTGGAAGAGGTAGGACTGGAGCTCGAACATGAGGACGGCTAGAGAGGCGGCGAGAAGTATGGCGGGGGAGAGAACAGCGAAGATGACCTTGGCGGCAGACTCGAGGCCGCGGTGGTGGCAGAGGCGCTGAATGAAGAGGGAGAGGGAGAGGGCGAAGAGGGTGGACGAGAAGCTCGGGCTCGGGCGGGTGCGAGGGACGGGAAAAAGGTCGAGACGGGAGGAGGGGAGCCGAGAGACGATGGTATGCGCGTGCATTGTCGAGTGGATGGTGGGAGGTTCGTGCTGTGTTGCGTCGGGTTCATCGCTGGAGCGGGCTCAGACTATATGCATCATTGACGGGGCTGACGGGGCTGACCTTTTCGCGCCTGTGGATACGGGCCGCCCGGAGGCTGACGCTGCAGTCCAGATCCCCTACGGCTCATGTGGGAAGGAGAAATCGGCATCACGTCGGACTGGAGTAGGCTGGGTGAGACGCCTTAGCGCGCGCGGCTATCTACGAGATTAGATAGCGCACCGGCCGAGACTCGCGAGGGAGATTGGAGGTACGAAAGCCCAAACAGCTTCTGGAGATTGCTCCTCCAGAAGCGGGCCCTTTTATATTCGCTAGCTACGATGTACATGAGTCAATGTGAGTCGCGCGTGCATTCGCGTGCTGCAGCGTTAGCTCGCCTGCTTGCACTCACATGTCGGGTAGAGTCAACGGAAATACAAAGAGCAATCGCACGAAAGGCGCGAGGCGTCTGCGTACGATACTGGAAGAAGTAACTACGTAGTCAGGGCGCTGGTACGCTCCAGGCACAAGAGGCAACGTGCAGGAGCGCGCGGTCACTCTCCACGGCCCGGTTGTACATGAGGCGCTCAAGTGAGCTCTTGTACGGCGCGCGGTAGCCTCGTGGCTGGGCGTCGGAGCCGCGCGCTGCTTACTAACACCGTGACTTGCGTGATTACTGGAAAAGGCAAATTTCCGTAACATCACCCCCCTCTCTAACATCGTGTCCTCACGATTCAGGCCAGAGTCCAGACGCGAAGCGGAACAGTCATCGTTCCTTTCCATCTGTCCCATTTGCGCGACCACTTATCCCATTCGTGATCCAAAGGGTCCGTGATCTGAACTAGACGCGCGCGTGGTCCTAGTAGACGGAAAGGTCGGGGGGCGGTAGGATTATGCTTGTGGTAGTCGTCGATTAGATCCTTGTACTTATCGAACAACTTTCCACGGGGGACCCAGGTGTTCTCGGAGATGGGCTTGTCTTTCCACTTGACGAGGTATTGCACAGTACCGGACTCGAACTTGGAGTTTACCACGGTCTCGGGCTCTTCGGGCTTGTCGACACCTTCAGGCGCCATGGTCTCTAAGCGCTCTTGGTTGTTGAACTCGGGGGCGAATGCAGGGGTAAGCAGATCTTCGTTGAACACGGGGTGGATACCACTGAGAGCCTTGGGTAGCTTCAGCTTGTATGCACTTGCGCCGACTTTTGCGAGGATTTTGAAGGGACCGTAGCGCTTGTGCTCCAACTTTTTGTTTGGACGCACAGTGGTGATGTTTAGCGCTTCCAACCACACGAGATCTCCTTCTTGGTAATCTCGTGCGGGATTGCGGTGTCGGTCGAATTTCTCCTTCATGATTTTCTGTGCTGCCTTCAGGCTTTCTGTAGCGGCTTCAGAAATATCATCCATGCGTGTTTTGAACTGTTCGGCTGATTCGCTCTTTGCCGGCTTGTGTGTCTCTACCCCAGTGTACGGATGGAAGCCGTGTGTCATGTAGAAGGGGGAGAACTTAGTGGCAGAATGTTGTCGATTGCGATATGCAAAGAGCGCGAGCGGTAGCCAGTCGACCCAGTCGTCTTGTCGGTGATTGATGAAGATGCGGAGGTAGTTCTTGATTTCTCGGTTCATACGTTCAGTTTGCCCATCTGTTTGTGGATGGTACGCCGTACTTGGGTTTCCCTGTATTCCTAACTTTTGGTACAAGCTCTTCGTGAAGTTGGATACGAACTGTGGTCCTCGGTCCGATGTGATCTTGCGTGGGAGTCCATGTTGCGACCAGACGTGCTTGAGTAAGATGTTTGCGTATCCTTCTGAGTCTAGTGCTTCGAGGCATGGAACTGCAATTACGTCCTTGGACTTCATGTCTACACACACGAATATGGAGTCAAAGCCGAGGCATCTTGGTAGGTGCGTGATCAGATCTACAGAGATGTATTCCCAGTTTCGACTAGGAATCTCGTGCGGATGCAGTGGGGCTGACTTGGCTTGCGTGCGTATTTTCGTTCGTTGACATGTGGTGCACCCTATGATGTACTTTGCGACGTCCTTGCGTAGCGTTGGCCACCAGTATGAACGTTGCACAAGATCTTGAGTCTTGCTCCGGCCCGGATGGCCAGCGCTAACAGAGTCGTGATGCGCGCCGATGATGCGTCCGCGGAGCGCTTTGTCATCAGGAATGACAAGCTTCCCCCTCCTATAGATCAGGCCGTCCTCGGTCTGAACGTAGTCTTCGTTTATGCCCACACGGTTACGTATATCTTCATCCATTTTAGACATTAAGTCTGTCACGGATGTGATGATATTCGTAGTTCCATCTATTGTAGTCTTGCGGAATAGATGTGGTTTCAACAGTACTTCGTTCTCGACTTCTTCCTTGTCGGCAGTGTGATCGGGTCGTCGTGATAATGCGTCTGGCTTCCCCATGGTCTTCCCTGGGTGGTGGCTGAGTTCGAGATCGTATTCTTCTATTGCAAGTAGCCACCGGACTTGTCGGGGACTTAAGCGCTGAGGGTTTCGGAAGTATTCTAGGTTCTTGTGGTCTGTCCAAACTTCTACGGGATGTGCGGCTCCAAGTAGGAAGTGCCTCCATTCGTCAAGTGCGTGTATTACTGCCAGCATCTCACGATCATAGATCTGGTAGTTCTTTTCTGCACTTGTCAGAGATCTCGATAGGAAGGCTATGGTTCGCCACTGCCCGTCTTGCTTCTGCGATAACTCGGCTCCTAGCGCGTAGTTTGAGGCGTCGCACTCGATCTTGAATGGATCTGAATCGTTGGGGACAGCGAGGACAGGTGCGCTCGTAATCAGTTTCTTGATAGCTTCAAACGCGCTCTGTTCTTCGTGTGTCCATTGCCACTCTACGTCGCCTGTCAGGCGATTTAAGGGTCCGGCTGCTTTCGAGAAGTCTTTGATGAATCGTCTGTAGAAGTTCGCGAATCCTAGAAACCCTTGTACGTGTTTCTTGCAGGTCGGAGTTGGCCACTCGGTGACACCGGCTACCTTGGCGGGGTCCATCTTGATAATTCCTGGCGCTATGATGTGTCCTAGATATTCAGTTTCTTGTACTTCAAACTCGCACTTCTCGGGTTTGCAGGTGAGTTTGTTGTCTCGCAAGATCTTGAGCACTTCGCGTACAACGCGTCTGTGTTCGTGAAGATCTTGCGAGAGTATAAGAATGTCGTCTAGGTACACAATGACCTTGCCTTGCAAGATGAGGTTGCGGAAGATGTCGTTCATCATCATTTGGAAGGTTGAGGGAGAGTTTGATAGTCCGAAGAACATAACCGTGGGTTCAAACAGTCCTCGGTTTGTGATGAACGCAGCCTTCTCCTCGTCTCCATCTTTCATGCGGATATTATTGTATCCCCATCGCACGTCGAGCTTGGTGTAGTACTTGGCTCCTTTGAGGCGATCAAAGATATCTGACATGAGAGGTAGTGGGTACTTGTTCTTTTTGGTCATGGAGTTCAACTTGCGATAGTCTTGTACCGGTCTTAGCTTACCATCCTTCTTTTTTACGAAGAAGAAAGGTGCTCCCCATGGTGACTTAGAGGATCGAATTCGTCCAGTGCGCAGGTTCTCATCCAAGAACTCATCCAGTGCTTGTTGGTGTTGTCGGGGCATTGGATACACCTTTCCACAGTATGGTTTCGCGTCAGGCAGGAGTTCTATAGCGTGATCGTATGGGCGTCGCTCGGGTAGTGTGTTGAATGTACTGTCTTCAAACACGTCCTTGAAGTCGTGATAATGTGCGGGAACCACTTCTTCAAACGTTGCGGGGGCGCGTTTCTTGCTCTGTTCAATGGCGATATCCATAGCTACTGAAGCTCTTCTTGCATGCAAGTAGGCAGGGACGTCCATCATGAACACGCGTTCACCTTCATCCAGAACGTGTTCGCAAGTGTGGGGACAGCGGCTGAACTCCACAGACTTCTTTTGCCAGTCGATCTGTGGGTTGTGGTGCTGGATCCATTCGTGTCCGAGGAATAGATCGGCCTTGCCTAGGTCGGTGACCAGTAAGTGCATCATTTCTCGGTGATTTCCGATTGTGATGAACACTTCTACGTAGTGGGTTATACTTCCACCTATGTTTGGTGTGCCGTCCGCATTGTGTACAGGTATGGGTCGGTCATAGGCACGCATGGTTAAACCAGCTCGTCGTACCAGATCGCGGTGTATGCATGATCCTGTACACCCGGTGTCTAGTAGGGCCTGCACACTTGTTCGTTTGGTGGTTTCTGGATTCTCAAGCTCTAGCGGGATGTCCATTTGTCGCTTAGAACCTAGCGCTCTGACCACGCTGAAAAGCTTGGGTCCGATGCGGTTGATGCCGAAAGTGTTGGGTGTGTTTTGTTCCGCTGCACTCGGAGTTTTCGTTCTTTTTTTGGTAGTATTGGAGAGAGAATTAAGTACAGATTCCCGTCTGCCGCGCTTCACTGGTGAAGACGCTCTCTCGGTAGGTACATAAGGAACAGAGGAATCTACAGTGTTCGCTAGGTCCGGAACTTCGTATACAGGTAGGCAAGCGAAACGATTCTTAGTAGCTATAGTACATTGAGGGAGAACGGAATTGATTACGAGGGGGGAACGGGGTCGTGCAGCAACTCCGTCCCAAACGAAAAACCCTGCGACAGGAAGTCTTCGGGCTCCTCGGAGACCCAGGCGCGTATAGCATCGACAAACTCCGAGCGCTCGACGGATTCCCACGCGCGCAGCGTCTGCGTCGGGCGGTTCGGAATATGCCAGGGTGATCCGCACGTGCCGGCTTGATCCTTGCGCGCGGCGCACTCGGGCTTGCGGCACTTTTGCGCGTTCAGCCTGTCGATGTCCATAGGTTGTCCTTTTCCTCCGTAGGTAACCCCGGTTGGCTCGCGTCGGTCCGTCCTAGGTTCGTACAGCGGGCGTGATGGTGCGGGCCTTGGTGGTGTTTCGTTGTGGTTCGCGCGCGAGTTTGTGTTGACCGTCGCGCGCGCAGTACTGGTGGTCGCGTGCGAGTCGCGCTGCATAAGTCCGAACTCGCGGTCTGCTTCGTCCAGGTCTGTGATGCGGGTCTTCCATTCCTGGTACGTCGCGGGGCGGATGTGTGATCTGTAGATGTCCTTGAGGAGGTCTTTGCGTGTCTTCTGTAAGACCATCTCAACGATTGTTCCGTCAGTGAGGGATAGTCCAGCCGCTAGCACAAGGCGCTCGAATTCTATGAAGAAGTCCACTGCGTTGGTCGTCCCCTGTCGGTACAGCGTGAGGTCGTGGAACGCTCGTCGCTTAGCATTCTTGTCTAGAAACACTGCGTCCATCGCATCCCAGAAAGCTTCATGGTCGGTGAAGTCCCAGCGACCGTTGACGTCGTGAGTGGTTCTGAACGCGTTCTTCCATTGTTCTATGGCATTCGTTCCGCGCACGAATGAGAGCACGTATCCGACAATGTCTTCTATGGGACCTCCTCGGGTTAGGAGCTTCATCTCGTTCCTCCAGTTGACGTATTTGGTTCTATCGCCTGCAAACAGTTCCGGTTCCTTCTTCCGGTAGTATGCCGGAGACGTGTTGGTCGCGTTTACTGTCACTGGGGGAACATTAACTTGGACAGGTACAGCGGTAGTGGCGTGATCGGAGAGGTGTCGGAGGATGTCGACAACGACTTGGAACTGTGCGGGGTCAATTTGTGACGCCATCGTTGTCGTTGTTGGTGGTACAGTTGGTGGCGGAGTTCCGTCTGGGCCTTGATCAGGTTCGGATGTGGTGTCGCTAATGTCGGGCGTTTCGGAAGGAGGTGTTGTGGTGGGATCAACAACGGTCTCGTCGGGGTCTTCGAAGTTTTCTTCGACTTCTTCCTCTTGTGGTGGGATGATCTCTGCCCAGCGCGCTGAGATGAAACGGCGGATATCGCTGGTGGTATCGTCGTAGCGCCGGGGACAGGGATTATGTTCGCAACGTTGGAGTTGCCTGGTACCCTCTGGTCTGTACGCGTCGTAGTCGTCTTCGACGTTGTGCGCGTGAAAGCGCCCTTCGCACCGGAGTGGTCGCGACACGTTGAGGAACTGTTGCGGAGCCTAGGAGTCGAGTGATTCGGGCAAGTCGGCGAAGAGACGGCTGAGCGCTTTTCGCGTGGGAATTGTTTAGGCGAGGTTCTGTCTACACGACTGTCTGAACCTAGTAGAGGGCGTGGAACACTAGCTGACGCTCGAGGCGTGGGAGGATGTGGAGGCTGTGGCGAGTGCGTAGGTACTCTAGGTACTCTCCAATGGGTAGGACGTATAGGATGAGGCCGAATTGGAGGTTGGGGGCGAGAGAATTAAAACGTAAGGCGTTCTCGCCGGGATCGAGGTTGTCAAAGGTGGCTACGCGAGTACGTCTCCTCTCGTTGTCTTCAGTGGATAAGGTGAATACAATGCGGCCGTTAGGGAGCCAATCGAAGCGGTAGAACACGTGGGTCCAGGGGCCTCCTTCGATGTATTGGTAAGCAGGGGCGGTGCCGGGAGCGGCGTCTACCGTAGTGCAGTCTGCTGCGAACCAATAGCTATCGTGCTCGCTCACGCGGTAGGCTGTAGTGGTGTCAAGGTCGATAGCAGAAAGCTTATCACGAAGAATTCCAGCGGGAGTTCCGTACGCGATGGGTTCGTCCGTCTGGACACAGGTGCGGGTGATGAGGGATTCGTAGTGCGCGGGAGAGAAGATCGGAAGACCTTCGCGGAGGTTGTAGTAGGCTTCGAAACGTTGCAGGCCGTAGCGCACGTCTGAGTAGTCACCGGTGAGATCCCAGGACTCCGCGTAGTTGGTGTTGACGCGGCGGAGGTAACCACGGACCGTGCGATCGTGTTGGTCGAGCGCTTCGTAGCACGGGCGCGGGAAAGCGGTGCGGTCGAGGTGAAGGAAGTGGTGGAGGTAGTTGGCTACCGGTTCGTAGGGTGGCGGATAGTCGTCGAGGAAGTTGGGACGGATGCGGTCTCGCGGTGGAGTCGCAGTCGACTCGTCGGCGAAGATGTCGGTGAGTGGGAGGATAGAGGGAGTGCTTCGCGCGGACACTGGAGGCAGGTCGCGTTAGCGGTGAGGGTGTAGGGGGTGTGGTAGAACCGTACTCGTGTATTCGCGCGCTTGATTCCGCGGCGAGTGGGGTTTTGAGTAGGTGTGGGGTTTGGTAGAAGCTGTTTATGAGACGCCTTAGCGCGCGCGGCTATCTACGAGATTAGATAGCGCACCGGCCGAGACTCGCGAGGGAGATTGGAGGTACGAAAGCCCAAACAGCTTCTGGAGATTGCTCCTCCAGAAGCGGGCCCTTTTATATTCGCTAGCTACGATGTACATGAGTCAATGTGAGTCGCGCGTGCATTCGCGTGCTGCAGCGTTAGCTCGCCTGCTTGCACTCACATGTCGGGTAGAGTCAACGGAAATACAAAGAGCAATCGCACGAAAGGCGCGAGGCGTCTGCGTACGATACTGGAAGAAGTAACTACGTAGTCAGGGCGCTGGTACGCTCCAGGCACAAGAGGCAACGTGCAGGAGCGCGCGGTCACTCTCCACGGCCCGGTTGTACATGAGGCGCTCAAGTGAGCTCTTGTACGGCGCGCGGTAGCCTCGTGGCTGGGCGTCGGAGCCGCGCGCTGCTTACTAACACCGTGACTTGCGTGATTACTGGAAAAGGCAAATTTCCGTAACACTGGGGCTGCAGTTTGAGCGACAGCCGTTAGAGTCGGTGTGCACTTCATGAGCCACCTGATCTTCGTTCTTCAGCCAGGTTCGGAGCATGCTTCGTGTCGTCGCAGTGGGAGCTGAGGCAAATGCATACGTTGTAGGGAATATGCGTACGTTGTGGAGGGAGAAAGGTCAAGACAACTAGTCCGGAGGACGCGTTTCCGGGTGCACCGTGACCGTGCACCGTGACAGTTTTCTCGCACGTGCCTGTGACGTCGCGCTCAGCAAAGTTTTCGAGTCAATGCCGCTAGCGCGCGCATATGTTGCTCGAGAATCGAGATCTTTTCCCGCTGTTCGTCGTTCGACTTCAGGAGGGTATCTCATCCCTACCTTCGCGCTCCGTCTTTAGGGGCGTGCATCTCGACATGCAGGCCTCACTATCCCTCGGCTCTCCGAGTCACCAACTGGTCTATCACGGCAGAGATTTCTTCTCCTGTCATTACGTGAGGCAAGGATCGCGACGCACTCACAAGTAGACTAAGATTTGGTCGCGTAGAGTTATTCAGGATTGTCAAAGGATGTGATTGCGGGACGTGTAGGTACCGAAAGACATCGACAGACTGAACGAACCACGGGACACGTAAAAGAAAGAATGGATATATCAAAGGTGAGAGAAGAAACCGAACCACGGAGTAGATAAAGAAATTGAACTGGGCAAAGAGACCGAGAATAGATCAAGAGAGAGACCATGGAGATGGAAGACGCGAAACGAGCGAGCCAGACGAAGATAATGTGGGCAGGGAACGGGGATATAGGAAGCGAGACATGAAGGTCCAAGGCGTGCACACGCTGCCAGGGCTCGGGGAGCAATGAGTGTGAAAGGAATCAGCGACGGACTCGTCTCCTACAAGTCGCACCGGAAGGGCCTATGCATAGGACCTCACACGCAATATGTGATAAGGGTTCCACAGCTACATGGCGATGGGAGACGCATATGCTGTTGAGGGCCGATGTTAGCGACAAATGCATTGGGTAACGTAGAATCAGACACGCACCGTACGACCCCGCCATGAGCGTTCGCCCAGCGACCCGATGGCCACGAAAGAGCAATCTCGCCACACCCATACGGCTGCCTGTCAGAAGGAATGATGAGGTCGCGCGTTCATAGAGAATGCGGGAGGACGTACCCAAACGGCTATCCCGGTGCATCCCCATCCCCATAAAGCTCCCGTCGAGCCCGTCGTTCTTCATCGAACCCGGCCCACGACTGCCTCCGCTCGTCCACCAAATTCTGGATTCGCCCAACCGCAGCCTGTGCACGGCGGCATTGAGTCGCGGGAAGCGCACGCACAAACAGCAGAACACTCACCCGAACCTGAGCCTCCCAAGCGTGCAGCCCCTCCACCTCAGCCTTCGCTCTCTCGTACTCCGCCTCCAGCTCGTCCATCTCGACAACCCGACCGTCCTGCATCTCCATTGACCCCCTCACCGCGTCCATCAACGTCCGATCCGTCCGCATGGCCACAACGCTCTTGACCTGCTCAGACAGATCACCTGTCAGCTACCAACCCCGCAAACACCAACGAACGCTCAGACGCACCTCCGCGCGGAACTTCCCCTCCTCCGCCTCGCGCAACGCCGTCGCCTCCCCATCGATGACCGCATCCAACACCGACCCCTGTGCCAGCGCCACGGGCGCCGCGGCCGACCCCGCCAGCTCGAGCTCTGGCCGCGCGACCGCCGCCTCCTTCCGCGCGCTCCTCCCCAGCGCCGACAGCACTCCAGTAGCGACGGCGTCGAAGGCCAGCAGATCGGCCTCCGCTTGCGCCCCCCGCGCGGAGAGGCGTGCCGAGTGGTGGCGGAGCGACGTCTTGAAGAGCCACAGCCGGAGCACACCGAGGCCAGCCCCTACGACGGCTCCGGCCGCGGGGAGGAACGGCTGGAGGTCGAAGGCGAGGACGACGAGGCCGGCGGCGAGGATAAGGACCGGAGACAGGGTCGCGAGAACGGCCTTGGCGATCACCGCGAGGCCGTGGTGGTTGAGGAGCCGCTGGAGGAGGACGAGGAGGACGAGCGCGAGGAGGACAGTGGATGGGGTCGCTTGCGGGTGAGGAGGGACGACATCGAGGCGAGACGACGGGAGGCGAGTGATGAGGATGTGCGCGTGCATGTTGCTAATACTGATACTGATACTGGTGGTTCTGGTGGTGATCCTGCAAGTAGATCTGGGTCACGTCGGAGGCGTGGAGGAGACTATATGCGCCGCCGGGGAGGCTGGTGAGGCGGACTCGTTGTGCGGGCCATGGCCATGTTGTCAGCTGAGACAGCTTGGCTGACGGTAATGCAGGCGCTACGAGTATTTTCTTGTGCACGATGGTTTGAGACGAGCAAGGGAGCAGTTCGATGAAGACATGGTTGCCGTTGGGTGGGAGGAGGAAGAGGGCAAGCGTGCCACGCGTGACATATTCCAATGGTCGTTACACCCTGGGTGTAACGCTCACATGAGTCACAACGGTACACATCGCCTGGGACTCCTTTGGGACTCCTGCTCGGCAATTGGAACTTGTCTGATCTCGGAGACGTCCAACACCAAATGGATCTGTGGACGAGGGCCATCATAATAACCGAAGAAATTAGGAATACACAATGCCTCAAACCCTCCATCGTAGGCCACACAAGCGGATAAACAAGTCTCCAGGATCGCGGAAAGTGACAAAATCGTCACCGCACTCCCTTCTGCTCGAACATCTCCCTCATCCCGTCCACCTGCCCCGCCCACACCGGCAGCGCCAGCTCCACCAATCTATCCAACCACTCCCCCACGATCGTCTCAGGGGACGCAACAAACTCGAGCTCGCCCGCACGCATCGCCCGCCCCATCCCCTCCCCCTCCCCGCCGAAGCGCACCTCCCACCACAGCGCGCGCAGCCTGGCGAGCCACTCCGGGCGCGCGCGGTCGACGCGCACCCCGCGCGCGACCGCGTAGAACGTCCCGCGCGCGGCATGCCAGCCGCGCGGCTTGCACAGCGCGAGGCGCCGCTCCGCGAGCGCGTCGAGGAGGAAGAGGGTCTGCGCGGTGTGCGGGAAGTCGACGTGCGCGAGCTTCACGACGAGCGTGCCGCCGGGCCCGAGCGCGCCGAGCGCGAGGAGCAGCTGGGAGAGGAAGAAGGCGTCGCGGAAGACTAGGTAGGAAAGGGCGGGCGCGTCTGGCGCGTGGACGAGGGGCTCGGCCGGGCGGTAGTCGCGGAGGTGGTGGCCGTCGATGATCACGAGGGAGTATTGGTGGTCGCGCAGTGACGGCGGGATGGGGGCGAGGGGGACTGGAGGGGGTTCGCTGTCGTGGGTGAAGTCAAGCTGGAGGAGATCTTGGATGACGAGGGTATAGCGGCGCTGATAGCGTTCCTCGAGTAAAAGACGGTAGCCACCTTGAGCGGTGTCGAGCGTGACGCCGGTGCCCTGAGCCTGGCTGTTCTTGGCGAGAATGTAGGAGCTGAACCCTCCAGGAGCGCAGCTGGGGGTGGATAAGATGTCTAGGTGTGTGAAAAACGCAGTTCGATGACATTGAGAGCCTTACCCGATGTCGAGAAACTTGACTTCGCCGGAAGGAGGGATCAATCCCACTTCGAAACTGTCAATCTCAGACATCACGGTCTTCATCTGCTTGAACCAGAAATATTCCGAGTTTGCTTGTGCTTTTGGCTGCTTCACGACAGCCCGTCGCTTCTTATACGCATTTTCGAGGTTTTCGCTCTTCCACCCCTGTTGCCAGATGTTTCTGATGAGCGAAGGGGTTTTAAATATCAGCTAACAAGGTCATCGCACCTTTGCACGAAGGGTAACGAGCTGCTCGAGGCACGAGATCTTCCGAGTGGCCAAGATGGCATCGAGTATATAGTTGTTGTGATATGGTTCGGCTGAGGCGGTGGTGTCAGGGATCATTGCGGAGGTGCGGTACGATGGTGCAAAGAAAGTTGATGTGTCCCGCTTCCTGCAGACGTGGGCGGTATATATGGTGCAGTGCTGCGGTAGCGTGTGCAATGCCGCAGAACGCAGGACACGGAGTCAAAACTGAAGCCCAGAGATCTTCATGTTCGATTCTGTCTTGGGACCCCAAAACGTATTGCAAGCAGCGTTGCTACATCTAGGTCTGGCGTCCGATAGCCTGGTGGCAGGTGAAAAGGTCAGAATGCGGCATTGGCCTGCTCATAGGGTGTACGGGGTCCCGGAGACCAGGACCCGGAGAATGCCGTCGCAAGGAGCGCGCAGCAGCCTGACACACCGGGGCGACCATCTTTCTAGTGCCACATTAAAGCCGAGAGAAAGGCAAGTAAGGTTTTCTCTCGCCCATAGAAACCCATAGAAATGCTTTTTCTGACCGCACGTGGATTTTAAACCTTATAAACGGCTCCCAGAAAAGCTCCCAGAAAGATCGTCGCCCCGGCGTGAGAGTGCGACCAGCTCGCGCGCGGTGCGTGCATCACGGCAGAGAATTCTACAAATCCCGACACGGGGTGGACCGCACGTGCGATATCAATACAACAAGACTACGGGACAGGAACGAGGTACGGCACTCCGTTATACGGGCGTGGTCTGAGCGTCGAACGATTTGTGGCCGCCGACCATGATTGAGACGGGACCGGCAGACTCCGAAACGCTGCGGGTCTGCTCGGTGGACGACGCGAAAGTGGGGGTGTAAGGCAGAGGCGTGGGGGCGTAAGGCATAGAGGCGGGGGAAGAAGGCTGGGAGAAGTTGACGTTGGTGGAGAGGTGGATGGAGACGTGCTCGAGCGGCGAGAAGCGGGTGTAGACCACGATGATGATCACCATCGGGTACAGCGCCTGCGCGAGGGTGTGTGAGCGCGCGCGCGACGTACGGCCGCCGCAGGGAGCACTCACGACGACGGAGGTGAGGCACAGCCCGAAGACTTCGTTGAACAGGGGAGAGGACACGGTTCGCTTCGCGACCGCGCCGTTGGGATCTGCGACGCCCGTGATCTCGAAGGTGGCGACGAGGATCTACGATGCGCGCAGGCGGCGTTAGGGCCGCGCACGGTGCGGGGGCGCGTTTACGCACCCAGACCATCGCATACGCAGCGCCGGACTCGATGAGCAGCAGGAGCACGCCAAGTGCGGGAGATCGCAGCGCTCGCCGTTCGCCGACGTACAGCGACTCCCGGTGCTTCCTGTACAGGGCTTCGATGAGACGCTTAAACGAGTACAAGGACGGCGTACCAAGCCCGGTATGCGATCAACATTGTCGGGATGATATTCGACGTCAGCGTCAGTAGAGTGAACGCCAGTCCGAACCCGTTCCGTGAGATGAACATCGTTGATGACAGATGAGACCGTTTGCCGGACAAGAGTGCGCCTATGATGCCGATCGCTACAGCAGCGGCCCGGTTTCAGCTTGGGGGCAAGGTGATGAAAAGAGGGATACCCGCGTTGCAACGAAAGGAAGAACACCCCGCAGATCACTCTTACAAGCTTGTTTCCGGGCCAAAGCGCGAATGCACGCCACCATACGATACCGTCACTGACAAAGGACTGTGAACGAGTAGCAACGTTAGCTTCAAAAGGGCGTGTTCCGACAGGTGGATCATGGACGTACGCTCGCATTGAACAAGGCCGTGATGACCCATCCGACCGTGACGGAATATAAAGGCAGGCCGTCCGCAGGGGGAACGTAATCGGGGTCGTTCAAGCTATTGGCGACGCTGAGTAGATCGTCGTTCTCGCGCGCGACACCTCCGAGCAGGAACGCGTAGTAGGCGATGGTGGATATGTACTGAAATGTTACCGCGGCGAGCAAGATCTTTACTGATCGGAGCCGGATGCCTTTACGGCTGCAGTCGTTGAAGTGAGCGAAAGATGCTTGGAGATCAGAGACAATTCGTACATGAGAACATATATCGTCGCCACGAAGACGATGGACAGGAGCGCTAAGGGAGTGAGTCAGTAACGCAAATGCATCCGAGAGTCAAGAGGCGTACTGATCATGCCGGCACATAGCCCCGTCGTAACAAACAGGAGAGGGAAGCCTGCAAGGACATCCGTTCGCAGAGCGTCCAGCGCAAAGTCATTGACTTGGACCATTTCAATGGCCAGGAGAGGACAGGTACGGGGTATGTTAGCTGGCAGCGTGGTGATACTCGAAGGGGAATATAAGAGCCCCCACGCGCTCCTCAAAAAGGCTAAATCATCCAAAACGTGTCGGTCGGTGCGCCCACGTTCCACCCTAATCGCGACCATTCTCGCGACCATTCTGTCGTCTCGATTTGCGCAGCTGTCTGCAGGAGTGTAAGTAAAGCCGACCAGAGTAAGCGATGAATGGGGAGCACACATGTGTGCTTCGATGGAAGAGACTCGCCCTCGATGACAAGCGAGAGGCGAATTCCAGGGTCGTTGGGTCGCCGGACTGACACGGCCGTTCATCCCCAGTTTACGGCACCGATATCCAGCAGTTTGAAAAGTAGAGGACGTAATTAAACAAGAGTCTGCTTACCTCACCGAGGCCGAAGACGCCACAACACAGTAGCCACGTGGTAGACGCTAGCATTCGCGGAAGCCTCGTGTTGAACGCGTTTGAATTCTCTGGCTGCTGTGATAAGACAAACTGACATACGTGCAAGTACGAGAGCCTCGGGTTGGCGGCCGTGCGGCCCCCGTACGAGGTGTCGGACCGGTCTCCGAACCAACAAGCTGTCTGCGCAGCAGTGGGAGTTCGTCGTACGCGGGAGATCGGCATATCAGCGTGTGGAAGTCTTGTTCTTTGCGCCAGCGGAATGCAACACTGAGGAATGCAACTATCAATCAAGTGCTCAGGCCCAGTGCTCCGCGTTGTTCGCATGACGGAAGAACGTGCTCACGATGCGACAGCGTCTGGACTCGCGCCACGAGCGCGAACACCTGTAGCAACAAGTTCCCTTTAGCTGATATCTCAAACATTTTGTGTCTCTAGGGACACACGGGGCAGATAGCCAAGTCTCACCGCGCAAGTCAAGGCTTCGCGGCAACTTCTGCCTTCTCTGACCCCACTGTGGCCGGTGGGGTGATGGAACGATGATCAGGAGGTACAGCTCGTGCACATCCGCACTCGGGATTTCCAGTCGCGTAATTTGGTCTTCTATGACATGTTATCAACATAGATCTGGCGAGAACTCGATCTGAGTACCCTGCCAGGAGCTCACCAGTACTAGTGCGCCCACGCAAACCACTTAGCGCTCTATCGTTGCTGCTACGCGGAGTTTCGCCGGGGCGCTACCTCGTTGGCACGCACCTGGCAGCGTCCCGTCTGCGAACGGCACAGACGGCGATCTATGGGGGAATTCCGAGAGCACATCCCGAAGCCCAAGCAAGCGCTGCCTCGTCTCGCCCGTGACGCGAGTTTGTTTGCGCGTGTTAGGATTAGAGGCTTCCTCGGTCATCCGCATCTGGCATCCATGACGTCACCCTCCGTCCTCGCGAGGCTTTCCGTCGTTGTGCCTCAGAAACAGACAACCATCTATGGAGTAAATCAGTCTCCGACAGACCTCTAGCTATGTCCTTTAAGACGCAGACGGTGACCACAACCAAGCCGGGAACTCCCCACCTCCGGCACTGTGTCGGTCCTTAGTTTTTGGAATCTGTACATACATTCCCCTCATCCATACGATCCCCGAGTGCGCTCGCGCTATTGCAGTGGCCGCTTCGCCTGAACACGCGTCGGGAACTTCGGGAGGACGTTCCATCACGATCACCTTCACGTCGACCAGTACATCACCACATACACCCTGATATAAACACGTTATCCGCGACACCGAATGGGTGCAGAGCCCGGTCGGCCAAGACGTCGAGTGCATCGGGCCACAAGTCGCGCCCGAGCACGACGCCGTCTGCGAAGCTGACGTACGGCTGCACCAGTACGGGGCGCCGACCATGGAAAGTAATGCAGAAAGCGCGTGCCCACAGAACGCAGCGCGCCCCTCCTGTCCTGACAAAGACGGAGAAAGTTCGCCTGAGTGGCTCCCGGGGACCGTGCTGCAGGAAGTCGTCCAGGTGCGGTCTGGTGTGATGGGCGACGCGGAACGGCCACCGTGCAGGCGCCAGTGCGGTCGCGACGCCGACGTTCATCGCCGATGGGCTGATCGCAAGGTGAATCCATACGCGGGCGCCGCGACCCGACGAAGTGCACGTCGCGGGGTTCTCGCAGACCCAGCGAGCCCATGCTGGCGATCTGATGTGTCAGTAGAAGCCGGAGATCGCAAGGGGCATGGTGTTTTCGGCACGAGCGGTGATCAAGAAGCATGCGTAGAAGGATAGATGAGGAGAACCGCGCCTGTTCTTCACTTCTTCGACGACTGGGGAAATGGTCACCGCTACCTCCAGGCGGCGTACGTACATGAGTGCGCGGAATGTGGTGACGGCGCCCTCAGTCAGGGCAGCTGCGGCGGGTTGGTTGTACGTGTACGCTGAACGAATGCGGGACTCGCCGAACAGAGCGGCCTCCATCAGCAGGGCCGGAAGACGTTGACTGGATAGAACGTGCCCGCCAAGGTCACGAGTGCACCTGGTATGTCAGCCGGGGCCGCTGCATTGTAGATACCTTATTGAGGGGGGCACCCCCGATACGAGCGGATGGGGAGGGACTGACGGCACCGTCGTGGTCGCAGGATGCGCCCGAGTGTTGACAGGGAAGCCACACCTCAAGGCCTCGCCCGCAAAGGCAGGCCAGCTGACGATGAACCGAGGCGGATTAGCGCTGCAGTATAGACTATCTGGGTTTAGATGAGATGACGGGAGCGAGAAGGCACCAGGTGACGGAGACACGGGGCCGAAGGGAGGCCTTCCTACAAGCGTCGGCGGCAGTGGCGGCGACCTGGCCAGAGTCACCCATGCAAGCGCACGTAACGGACGAGCGAGCGAGGAGCGCCAATGTGAACGGGGAGGGCCCCGAACGAAGTGACGAACACGCACCCAGCACGTGCAGTACGCGGTCCCGAATTCGGATGACGGTGTTTAGATGCCAGCACCTCGCCGCTGTTCCCTCTCAGCGCGCTCGCGGTTCTTCAATGCTCTCCGTCGAGGAGGACAATCGTTTTGACACGGGACGTGCCAAGCGCGCCCATCGCGAGTGATTAGGCGACGCACTGGAGCCTCGTGCCGTCGTTTGAGAAGTCGCCGTGACGGCGGACTCCGAAGAGCTTTCCTGTATAGTATCCACGACAGGGGTAACTATAAGACTCGCCGTTCGCATGAATGGGAAATGACTTTCTGGAACAGAATAAGACGCACCGCAGGCGCCCCGAAATCTACTTCCTAACTGCGTATTATGCCTCGTGTGGTAGGCCAGTTGGAGGTAGGTGAGGTGGGGTCTCGAGAACGTGTCCTGTGTAGAGCGTGGGATGGGAGAAGCCGAGCGCCCGCCTGGGGAATGGCGAGCCAATACTAGGCACGATCGCTGCCGCCATGCCTCACCAAAGTGCTGGGAGTAGGGGGGTGGATGCGCTTGGATGCGACGGAGGAGGAGGGAAAGATTGATGGGAAAAGAGACTCGCCGACGCGCGCCTCCCACATCCGGCATTTACGCTTAGTAAGCACGTGTTCGGCCGAGCCCAGTCCGAACGGCAGTGACCATCTTTGCGAGAGACATGAACGGGTGTGACATAGACAAAGCAAGTACATTATCCGAGAGCGGGGCGCTATCGAATCGTATATCAACTACACATACATATGGGTGTCGTGGAGGAGAAGGGGAACAGGATGTGCGAACGCGGGCGCGGAAGACGCAGACGGGAAATTTGACGTACCGTGTAGACGCAAACGCGGGGACAAGTCGCGAGAACTGGAGGGATACACAGCATGAGCCACAACGACGCGCACGAAGGAGGGCCGTTCCGTCGCGGCGCGTTACTAGTGTGTAGCCTTCTGTAGAAGTCGCTAGTGCGGGCTCTTTTTGAATTCACAGTCCGAGTTACTCACGCGGAGCCTTCTTGGAGCCTGACGCTCACCACAAGAATCTCGAAGGTAAATTTGACACCGCTGGTGGAAATACTGTTAGAGAATAGAGATACGAAGTCTCGAAATACTACAATCCAAGAAACAAAGCAAGATTCGACGTACTGGACGAAAATCTTGCCACCAGCTTCGAGTCGGGATAGCGTATTGTCAGTCCCGAGGGTGAAGGGCCAAGGCAAGGAGGCTGTGGTCTCAATGATGCGTGCAAGACCGAGTAGGTATGCGCTGAGCGTGGCAGAGTGTGCGATCGCCAACAGGACGGCTTGTGGGAGGGAACTCCGGCAACCCCAGCAGGATTTCGTCTGAACTACACCGATCGGGGATTCGGAGAGCTCACTCTGGCCAGCCACGAAAATCAAGCCTATGTGGCTGGTCTCCACAACAAGAACTGGGGGTAGATGCGTGGTGATAATGCTTGAGGTGGTCTCGAGACTCGAGAACGACCGGTTGGACTCGGTCGTCAAGCGAAGCTAAAAGCATCTGATGTGCCTGGGGCAGCGGGGCGCCGGCAGTGGGCAGCCGCGCGTCCCACTCCGCGCGCTCATAGAAGCCTGGCTCGGGAGACTGACCGCGTCCTCCTCCTCCCCTCCGCTATGGCTGGCGACGGCGCGGCCACCACCGCGTCGCTCGAGCAGTACCACGACACTCTCGACACTCTCGTCATCCGCACGACCCTGTTGTCGACGCTGTCCGGTACGCCCGCCGCCCCTGCGCCAACTGCAGCTTAGACTGACGGATCCTGTCAATCGCTGGCAGGCGTGGTAGTCGCAATGTCCGTCGTCTCCTTCGTGCTTCTCTGGTCCGTTCCTCTCCTCCTTTTCCCTCCTTCTCCCTCCAACATGCACGCAGGCGACGCGACCTCCGCCAACGCGCCGTCCAGGCACTGCTCGCCGCGACCACGATGCTCACAATCTCGACCGCGCTCTTCTTCGCGGTGTCGATCGTGGCCGCGTTCGCGACGGACGACATCATGTACCAACAAAGCGCAGGGCTCACCGCCAGCCCCGCTCGCGCCCGTCTTGTCTATGCCATGACCCTCACCGTCTTCAACACGCTGGGCTTCAACGTGAGCACCCGCCCGTCTTTCCCCCCGCCGACTATATGCGCTCATACTTCCCAGGCCGCGGTCGGCGACGCCGTCGTCATATGGCGCGCCGTGGCCCTCTGGGGGTACGCGCGCTGGGCCATCATCATCGCGGGGGTGCTCAACTTGGCGACTCTCGGTGCGTGCTTCTTTTCCTCTCGTCTTTGTTCCCGCGTGTTCAACCCTCCCCCAAGTGAGCGGATTTGTCGCTTTGGCATACGGCGCTTCCATCTACCGGGCGGCGAGCCGAGGCGCGGTTCCAGTCCCGTTCCATCTCCCCGAGTTCCTCGACATCAGAGCCGGGCTGGCCGGTGTCCTCTTCTCGCTGCTCACAAACGTCGTGGCCACCGCCCTCATTAGCGCAAAGACATGGTGAGGAACTCTGTCAGCTCGGTGCGCGTACGTCTCGTAACAAGTGCTCTGCAGGATCCACTGGCAGTCGGTTAGGCGGGGCTTGGCGAGACGGCGCGGGCTTCCACGCACGTTCCACCTCCTGCTGCTCCTCATCGAGACCGGGATCGCCTACTCGCTGTGTTGGGTGCGCGTCCAGCTCCTTCGCTCTCTCGTGCGCGCGTCGAACGCGCAGCCCCGCAGGTCTTCATCGCCGTCTTCTTCGGCGTGCACATCGCGCACGACGTCGGCACCCCGGGCCTGTTCGACGTCGCCGGCCGCGTCTTCATCCTCTCGTGCATCGTGCCGCTCATCGTGCGTTCCACCCGCCCGTGCTTCTCGTGTCGCACCGCACGCTCAGCTCCACGACGTTCGGTTCCGCACAGGCCGTCTACCCCATGGCGCTCATCGCCATCTTCGCTGCCAAGCAGTCGACGCTGCAGGAGGCGACGCGGTTCAGCACCGGGCCCATCAGCCTGCACACGCTCTCGCACGCGTCCCACGACGACGTCAGCGTCGATCGCGCCGATGACAAGATCGGGAATGAGAGCGAGGGGAGCATCGTCACACGGTAGTAACACGCACCCCGCGTCTCACTTCCCGCATCCCCCGGGTGCGTTCCACTCGGTCGTCCACGCGGACCTCTCTACTGACTTGCATCTCCAGGCCCGTCCTTCGAGCCTGCGAGGGCGCGCGCGTCGCGCGCTGCCATCGTCCTCGCCACCGCTCCGAGCCCGCACGCTCGATGGGGAACGCCGCTCCTGCGAGAACAGAGCGCCTCGTACTTGGGGCTTTTCCGGTCGAACTCTAAACGGAATCTACGGACCTATCCACCGACACGTAGCTGTAGCTGTAGGCAATGTCTTCACCTTGTATTTTACACTTTTTTTTCATTGATCTGCTCTATCTGGACGCGTGAGGCGGGACGCTCGCGTCTCAACCAGTGTGGCCGCGCCCGCGGTCTGCGCGCCGGGACTCCGCCCGCTGACGTCGAGTCTTGGACGTTCGGTACCATAAGCAGGGCCTCAGGCTCGGACGATATACTTGTCTGATGTCCGCGCTTCGCGGTTTCATGCGTGCTGACCCAAGCGCGGCGGTCTTGGGCACCGTCTGCTCCGTAGACCTGGTTTCTGACAGTCGGACACGAGCGAATCTGAGGCGGCGCTTGCACGTCAGTACCTGACGTCAGCTCAGAAACGGTGACGTGCGATAACGAGTCGGGTCACTGCGACGTCACGCGAATGTCACTGACACGTTTGGTGGTGGCAGGCGGTCGCTCTCTCTCTCTCGTGAGTCTGCATCCCTCGCATATGTATTTCGATGTTCATAGGGCCATCCAAACCGCCAGGCGTCCCACTGGCTTCAATTTTAGGCTCCTGCGCGTAATGCGTATGGCCGCAAGCCGCTGGCCAGATGCCCAGATTGTCTGCTGAGCCCTCCGTTGAATACGAAGACTCCACCTCATGGGTGAGTAGTTTTTTTCTGAATGCGCTGAATTCGCCGAGATGCGACTTCGTCTCGCCCCGCCTTCCTCTGGAAGCTTACTTACAAATACCAGGAGGCATCATCAAACTGTCCACGGCACCCTCTCGGGATCGCGAGTGATGAGATCGCTCCGGGTCTTGCTGAAGTCGGGTGCGGCTTACTGTCTGCTCTGGGTAATCAGACTCGCGCCAACCGCTCACCCCCGGATGCTGATGCTTCCATCATCTTTCTGACCCGCGCAGGTGTACGTCTGCGTGGGAGACACCATCCTTCTCACTCTCGCCAAGGGTGACCCGGCGTCCCTCTCCCCGACGCTGCACAGGTTCTACCTCGCTCACAACGTCTTCATCCAATCTTGTGTATGCCCGTTAGTGGTGCGTTCCTCGTCCTCTGATACGTCTCCCCCTGCGCTCAGGCCGTCGCCTCTGCGAACAGGCGATGTATCCCATCGGCCTCGTCGCCATCTTCGCGCGGGAGAAGCGTCCCGCGGAAGAGACGGCCGTGAGCAGCCCCATCGTCTTCCGGATACATTTCAGCACGGTGTCGAGCGTTCCGCTTTACCCACGTCGGCGCGCTGGGTGCTGAGTCCGAAGGACCAGCTGCCCGATCTGAACAGCGGGGAGACCCTTCACTCTCCGTCAGTCGCCTGAGTAAGAGGACTTCTATGCTACGGACTTTCGCGGACGCAGAGTACTATCCACTCCCCCGGACTCGACCTCACCGCATTGCCTCGGTTTCACGGACATCCTCCAGTTCTCGCGTGGGGAAGTATGACGTCACTCGTTTCGCGTCGGGTGTCAAGTACTCCAACGGCCCGTCGATAGGCGTAGTACCGAGAGACGAAACACACGGAAAAGGCTGCTAACGGCGCGAAGGGCGGTATGGTAGAAGAAGTTGTGTGCAAGACTGGCGTGATCTCCTCGGCTGACGCCTCGGCGGCTTGTCGCAGCGACAGTCACGCGGGGCCAGCTGGACTCCAATTAATGCGCCAACTCGCGATTACTACAGTGCACTATCGTAAGATCCAAATAGATTTAATGCCCATCACTCCTCGGCATACCGCCGAGACCCAGGTAAAGAGGTCAAAAGGCATTGTACTCCCTGACCGGGTTCTGACTGCCGTCCGTGCACGAGAGCGTGGCGATCTTCTCCGCTTTCGTTGAAGCAAAGACCATGGAACCCGTTCCCGTCGACTCGGCCCCGGACATGTCGCTCTTAAGCGTGACCCTGGTCAGCGCGGTAACGTGGTCCAAGACGGACCCCTTCAGTGCGAACACCGTGATCAGCCCGAACGGGTAGATCGCCTGGCGAGATGCGGGACACGGTCGTCAACGCGACGTCAATACCGCGCGGAGAAGATACGCACGATCAAGTACACGAGGCAGTTGTCGACGATCCAGCTGACGCCGCGTGCGTACGTGGCCGTCGTGTGGGAGGAGTCAACGCCGATCGTCAACGAGATGCCGTGGTAGACGACGACGAGGAACTGCAGTGAAGGCGATCCCACGTGAGCACCGGCACATGGTCCACACGGAGAACGACGCACCCAGACGAGGCAGTAGGCGATCCCCGACTCCACGAGCAGCATCAACGATCGGAGCGCCCGAAAGCCCCCGTACATCTCCGTCAAGCAGCTCCGCACGGTCTTCCAGTGACGCCTGGCGGACCGGTCAGCGCTGGGCGTGCGGTCAGCGGCCTTGGGTGCACGTACCACGCCTTTCTGGACACCGCCGCCATCGCGAGCAAGTTCACGGCGCGCGAGGCGAGGATGCAGACCATCCCTGCTGCGTCCCCGAGAAGGATAGGTACATCCGGCGCGTCAGACTCGGAAGAAGTTATCCGGCGTGCGGTTTCCACGGTTGAGACGACTCCCGCGACTGCATGACATACTTTAGCCCGCGTAAGGACGGAGACGAGGAGAGAGGTGCTCACCGAACGACACGGATAACAACGTACCACCCGCGGTGCACAGACGTCTGTCGAACGACCAGATCGTGAACGCGCGCCAGAGGACGATGCCGTCGTTGACGACAGACTGGACGGGCTTAAGAAACGGGCCGCAAGGACGGAGGAGGGCACGTACGTTGATGGCGAGCGTGGCCGTCATCGGCACATTAAAGCCTCTCTCCTCGCGCGCGAGCTGGGTTGGGTATGGGACGGACCCCACGTCGATGGTGCATTGCTGCAACGCAGAGACGACCGTCGCTAGGCGCATGGCCGCGCGCATCCTCAACGCGGCACAGACGAAGAATACTGTTGTTGACGCGTAGAGAACGGTTGCCGCGGCGAAAAGAAGCCGGGTTGAGCGGAGACTCAGGCCGCGGCGGCTAGGAACGCGTCTGGTGAGTACTCAGCGGCGACGTAGGTTCGAGCGTACGTACCAGAGTGCCCAAAACGTCATGAAAAACAGCGTCGTGCAGATGCCTGGGGGAAAGTCTTGTACATGGGTCGGGTCAGGAAGCACTGGAGAACTTACCGAACAGACCGGAAGACACGGTCGACCTCGGGAGGTATCCGTCATAAGCTCGTCCGATGCTTGCGAGGAGAGCGGGATTGCTGGGGTCGAGATTGAATGTGCAGGTCACCATGTCGAGCATGCGTCGCGGGGAGGGTCCTATGGGGTCTGCAGCGGTGCAAAGTGAGCGCGAAATGGAGGGAGAAGGCAGACCGTGCAGACCGAACCGCGGGGCTTAAGGGATCTATAAGTTATAACGTTTTCGCCGAAGCGAGACTGATAGAGTTATTTGCCGCTAGGCGATGCTGCGGTGCCTCTTGCGAGGGCCGCGACGCGATGCCGGCATGTCCTGCCACTTTGCGTGAGGGGACAGTGAACTCCGTTGTGTAGTACTACTAGACTTGGTCAGTCAACAACAGCGGTATTCGCCGGGCCTGTCGCCAAAGAGTACCTCTCACTGTAGACGAAAGGTGGGCGATGTTATGGGGGAGAACGCAGGCAGTGACATACCTCTGAGGAGCATCCGGAGGGCAACGTTAACGGCAACCACGCTCTGACCGCGACACCGCGACATCAATTGCGGAGATATTAGCGTAGGCGCCGGAAACGACGAGCCGCGGCCTGCCGGTGACGTCACGTTGGGCACGCGTCATTTGGCTGAGACCTCCGCACGGAGCGCTGTGAGACCTGTGGACCAAACTTCTACTTGGCTGCTAGCCGACACGACGCGATCGAAGGTCGCGTCTCCGGACGTCCGCTTGAGCGCGAGGCAACAGAGGGCTGCCACTCCGCTGCCCTCTTCCACCAAAGCCCTGGGAGTGGTAGGTGCGTGCGCTTTTGGTGCGCGTGGACGCGAAGTGGGGAAAAGAAAGAGGCTTGGGCCTCTGCGCGCTGACACGAGCTTTCCATATTCGGCGTCAATGCTTAGTAAGCACCGGTCCGGACGAGCGCCTGCCGCGTGTGTCTCGCTACACCCGCTGGCACCTCCCGCTCCCGCTCCCGGGCATCACGAACTTCTTTGTACGCGTACTCGCTCCACCGCGACGCGCGGTACTTCCACATGCTTCCGGAGGGCTTATTTTCCGAGCGCCGGTCCCCCCAGTGCTCAGGAGAAGACGAAGGAGCTAGCACGGAATGGGGTGTCTAGGCACGTTGAGGCGGCGTTCAACGTCCCGTTCTCGCGCAGGCCGACGAACTGCGTCGGGAAGGCGTCCGCGGTACAGGAGGTGCGCACGCTCATCTGCGCGGTCGTGTAGTGCTTCCGGGTGCGCGTCTCGCGTGCGAGTGCGAGATCGAGGACGTCTTGATCGTCAGGCGCCAGGAAGTGCGGGTTGTGTTGGAGCTGAGGCCTGAAGGACGAAGGGCGCGGAGTGAGATATGAGGAAGAGGGTGAGTATATGAGTACCCTGACACATATGGACTCGCGGGAGGTGATGGGCTACTTTTCTTCGTGTTTTCGTGCTCTTGTGCTCATATCGCCTTGCGCTCATGTGCGATCGGAAACAATAGCTCGGATTCTGGTACCAAGAGACACCGAGAACTGTCATGCAACGCATGCCAGCATGTCCCGGAACAGGCGTTCACACGCGCAGCAAAGATTTGATTGAGCATTCTGCATTGATGTTTGTTTGCCCTCCTCCCGTTGATATCCTCCTCATTGAACAGCCTCTCGACAGCATCTCCGTTCCATTCGCATCGCGGGTGACTCCATCTTTCTCGTCAGATCCGTAGTTCTCCGGTTTCGTATCAACGCAGCATACGGGGTTCGATTCACAAGCCTGCCCATCAGATCTCTCGTTCGACGCAGGGCGATAAAGGTCGATCCCCGTCCATGGGGAGCGCATCTTCACTCTCCTCCCCTTCGTCCCTTTTGTACGCACGAACCCTGTGGCGATGGCGCTACGTGCACGGGGCACGGAGCTGACGTTTTTGGCTTCGCCATGGGTGTCGACGCAGATCTACACGGTCATTCTTTCGGCGTTTTTCTTCGGTCAGTCCTTACGCTTCCTTGCCACCAATCATCGCCGATTTACTTGTGTCTCGCAGGAATTACGGTCGCTGTGACCGCAGCCACTTTGTTTTTCCTGTTGTTGGTGCTCCGTTCCTGGCTACATCCACTGCGAGAGCTGACCGACGTACGAACGATCTCTTCCAGACGTAATGGCCTGTCCCGCCGATCACCCAAGATTCAGCTCGTATCAGTACTGCTCCTCTTCGTCTCAACGCTGCTGTTCTTCCTCTTCACAACGGTGTACGACGTCAACCTGTACACATTCAACGCGGAGTTGGATATCGAGGCGCCGCTCTCCTCGATCCTCTAAGCTCAACAATTGCACTGGGGAGCACGTTCTCAGCGCGTGCAGTCCGGAGTCGCCACGGCGTGTCTGACGATCAGCGTGAGCCAATGGCTGCTGGAATGCTGCTCGATGATCAGCCTCAGTACTGACGACATCCCTTTAGATCTTCATCAGCGACGGCACCGTCTGGTGGAGAGCGTGCTGCGTGCTGTGGCCCGGAAACATCTGGGTTCGGTGCGTCTGTTTCCTGTCTCTCGCGTCAACGCTGGGTGCGTACGCAGCAGCGCGGCTTCCGCCTTGCGTATGATCACCGAGAACCTCTCGTGCAGGGTTGGGCCTGGTGGAGACGTACAAGTCTGCTCTTCCATTCCCGGACACGCAAGCGTACGATTACACTGCCCAACTATACGCTCGGGACCGCTTTGGGACCGCCGCGTTCACCGTGTCGTTGGCGAACAACGTGATCGCGACCGCGCTCATCGCGTTCAAAGCCTGGTAAGCGCTCGCGAAGGCCCGTGCCCAAGCTGACGCACTAACGACCGTCCTCCCAGGCGACACGCGCGCATGCTGAAGGCCGCGCTGGGGAGCGGCAGCAGGAAGTCGCGCGCGCTCAGGATCCTCTCACTGCTCATCGAATCCGGCGCGGTCTACTGCGCGTTGGGGGTACATCGCCGCGCGCGGGTTGGTACCGATTCTTCCTCTCTAACCTGGCGCGTCGCTCCCCGCAGCTCTTCATTTTCATCTCTGCTGTCAGCCGCTCCGCCGTCGCGGACGACACGAGCGTCCCGGTGGTCGGGTACACAACGATCACCAGCGTCCTGCTCAGGGGGTGCCTGGTCTACGTCATCGTTCGTGTTTCTGAACGTGTGCCTTCCGTGCGCACCGCTGAACCGTCTCTCCTCGCAGGGCCTGTACCCGATGCTGATCACCGTGATCGTCAGACACAAGCACTCGCAGCTCGCGAACTGCCACCCCGACAGGACCGGGGCCGGAGACTCGATAGTGTTCGCCTGGCCGGCGGCGGCGGACTCCAAGGCGAGCGCCGCGCACGCGGTGATATCGCTATCCCCTGTGGGGTTGGAAGCTTCCAGAGAAGAGGGACACTCGAAGTGTGGCTCTGCGGGGGAGCTCGTGCTTCCGAGGCCCTGCTCTACGTACGTCTCGGCGATGTCGGGGGAGAGGGTGCTCGACTTGCGAAGGCGACAGGACCAGTTTGATGCTTGATTTATATGCGCCTGATGACGTTCTGACTGGCGTTGCCGCCTTCTGTGGAGGACCTATCGGCCAGATCGCGTGACTTACAACGGCGACAAGTCCTCTCCGAGCCGTGTTGGGCCGCCCCGCTCATCTCTTCCACCCGTGTTGCTCTCGTCGTTGAACCTCACGAATGTCTCGAACACGCCTGTATGCCACTGCAGAAGCCTCGAGCATCAAGTGAAAAAAACCCTCACCTAACGAGATACCCATGTTTGGTGATCACAACTGCTATTCAGGAGTGTGCTCCCTCGAGCATGCTGTATCTCGACGTATATTCCGACGTTTCGGTATGCACAGAGTCCGGATTCAGAGGTGATCGCAGTGTAAGTTGGTTTACAAGCACTAGTATCACCACGTGGATCCTCCGAATACCTACGCCTTCTTCGCGATCACGCAGTACGCCTCCCACTTCAACACGACCTCCCCTCCCTGACCGCGCGCTCCAACGCCCCCTCAAACTGCGCGCCGAACTCGTCCACCCTGTCTCCCCACACCGTGCTCAGCATCCGCTTCGTGGCTTCCGAAACGCCTTCGCGTACTCCGCCGCGCCCGGCGTCCGCGTCCCGTTCTCCCGGAGCTGTCCCGGAGCCCTGTCGCCATCTCCGCGAGCGGCCGCCGGCTGCCGATGACGTCACTGCTGGTGATGTCGGGTACGTCTCATTTCGATGAGACGTCTGTGCGACCCTGGACCTTGGGGACGGGAGAGGAATGAGACGCATCCGAGCATGCGCCATCTTGAAGCTGGTTGGCACATCGTGACTCCGTGAGGCGGCATGTGCACGACGTCGACGGTGCGCTGCGGTCTGGAGGTACGCCTTCAAAGTGGCGGATAGGGCAGAGAGCGGGCCCGGAGATCGTCGTGGATTGCCCCGGGCTGTGAACGGGATGAACTTTAGTGTCCGCGGTCACGGGGCGCCATGAAATATTTCGGCTGGAAAAGTTCAGTTCACGCCCAAAATCGATGAACTTTAGGTCGAAATGCAGCATGTGCAGTACTCGCACCCGCCCACAATTCGCAGCTTCGCGGGCCGCCGGGTCCCCCTGCGTCATGATCGATCAACTCGCCTGCCGCCGTCATCCTCCTCACGCTCCCACAGCACACGATTTCAGGCCGCTCGCAAGTCTTCCGCCATCTTGCGCAGCCGCGTTCTCGAGACTCGAACGGGCCGCGTCCGCACCCCCCGCTCTGTGCCCTCGCACCACTTTTGGCCCGCGCTCCAGGACTCATTCGGAAACCATCCGGCAGTACGCGCCGCGTCGTGGGTGGTGCGGGATATGGCCCTCCTCGTGAGGCATTATATGGGTAGTCCGTCTTCAAAACAGGTGTTAGTTCGTCCGCGCTGACTTCTATCATAACCGTCTGAGTTCTGATGGGTTCAGCTGGATGTCAGCGCCGCGGACATCGCGAGGCTATCCACGGACACCCTTAGTATTTCTGATGATCTGTGGCGATCCGGACGCTGTAGTACCGCTTCACTCTCGGGCATAAAGCCTTTGTAAAATCATGTCTCGCACCGCTCGCAGTATGTGTATCTTTCTGAAATGAGAGTTGTTATTCGCTGACGATTTCAACCGGGAGGCGATGTGTCCCATGGCCTTGGTCGCCGTCTTCGCAATGAAGACGCCTTAGCAGGAGCGGAACCTGGTTGGCGGCTCGGTTACGATCGTGGTACACTGTAGCACGCATCAAAATGGATATGGCTTCGAGGCGGACAAGGGGCTAGATACGGGGCACCTCGGTAACCTGCAGGTGCCTGCTAACGGAGGAAGTCGGCAGTAGGTCCACCCGATGCGGTACAGTTGGGAAGGAGGTGCAAAGATTACATCTTCATGATGTGGACTCAGGCGCACGCTTAGCAAGAAGAGGTACGGACATCATGGACGTCAGACGCTGATGGCCGAGGAGGCCGATAGCTCCTGGTCCTAGCGTGTGGCACAAAACACGCACGTCACGGTCAGAGACGGTACCTAGACGCGGCGCTGTGTAAGTGTCATTTACTCACATTTGCATGCCCACGGAGTTTTCAACGAGATCTGCTTCCATGCCGCTGGAAAAGTGGCAGGTCCGCGCTACTCTGGTAGCACCTCTCACTGCTCAGCGCTCTGCAAAAATACTACGTTGGGTCGTCTGTGTGTGCGGAGAAATCTCGCAGGATTATGAACATATACTGAGAGTTCGACATGCTTGGTGGACCAATTTCTGCATATGGAAGTACAGCGTGTACAAGCCGTAATCGTGGTTTCCCTATGTGTGTGCGGCACATTCTTACGGTGTGAAAATCGTACAGCACTTGTACACGGAAAGAATGCTGGCCAAGCGGAGCAGGATCCGAAATAATTCGGTGTGGGAGATCGACAGCCCGACGAGTGGTGTTTTTAGTGTGCCTCTCACGGTGTCTTTGAGAGTTGATGGCAGAGTTGTCGCATGCAGTTACTGGAGGACATCAGCTTCGCAAGGAGATGGTTTCGCCGAGTGCATGGTGATTCGTGATTACTCGGAAGTATGGGGATCTTTTTCAAATCATGGGCACTGATTTTGTGAGGGCAGTGCGCAAAGGAAATAAATCGATTACACAATGCGTACTATGGCTGAGTCGTAAAAAATGGTTCATTATTATCGTGCACCGACTCCTGGCTCCGGATGTCGATTGGGTTCTGTCAGCGGTTCGATTGTATCCGGATCTACAGACTCCGGTCAGTGAGCCGGCCCGTACGCCGGCCCATACCCCGAAAGTACGGGTGCGGTTGCCTGATACATGACGGTGAACCTGGAGGCCGAGCAGCTGTCCGCATGTGTAAACGGGACCATACAAGGGGGGGAAAGCAGAAATCATTCGAGAATAGCTATGCAGGCTTCTCAGATGAGTACCTGAGATGAGAAGCGGACGTCTATGATCTGAATTCTGGCAGATATCACGGGTCCACTCAGATCACCTTCTCGACATATGTGGAAGAATCTTATCGGGTCTTCACGAGCTCATAAGTGACGACTCTCTAGCTATTCGGAGCAGACTGCGAGCCTGCCGCACATCACCCCCTCCTCACGCTTCATATCCTCCGTCGTTTTCAACTGACACCACAGTATCTAGGATGGGTTCGACTGCTGAAGATGTCGGGCTATTAGCAGAAGTCGTCCTACTGGTTGCGTTCGAAACAACGTACAAGGGCATCCAGCAGAACATCATATACTGCACTCTGTTCGGTGAGCAAGAGTCACAGCACCTGTATTCGAGGTACTACTGATATGCCACTACAAAAGGGTTTACCACAGCATTGGCCGCCACTTCCGCCTACGTTTTGCTGTACGGCTCTGAGATAACACCATCAAACATTTAGTGCTGATCCGTTTTTGGGCAGACGTAATGGCGTTAAAGATCGTTGTTCTCAACTACTGCTCGCCGCGACAGTCATTCTATACGCTTCAACAACCGTTTTTTTCGCCTTCTCGGTGGTCGGTATATTTCTGAATACGAACGTTTACGTCAACCCCTCGTATCTTAACTGTGACTGGTCGGCTGGGTTTTGCACTAGTATCAGTCACAGCCAGCTCAAGTTCTCTTGGTATATTGCGCTGGTCATCACGGCTACACTCATGATAAACGTATTTGCTGTTCTTTACTTCGTCTCTACATCAGCTAAGTTTAATCCCCTAGATGTTCGTCGGAGACTGTATTGTATGGTGGCGCGCCTGTGCTATATGGGGATACGATCGGCGAGTTGCTGCAGCGGGATCAATCCTCATTTCACTTTCGTTCGGTGAGCGTCCGCTGTGATTCTTTGGTGATCACTGTACACTCATCTGAGTCCCCGCCAGCCCTTGGTGTTGTTGCTACAGCGCACACCACCCCGACGACGATCACAGGAATCGAGGGACAATCGACCCAGTATTTCGTCCGGGATAAAGAAGGATTTGCAAGTGTGGTAATCTCGTTGTCGACCAATGCTCTGGCCACAATTCTCATTGCGATCAAAACCTGGTGCGAAAAAAGAACTCACATTTCTCCCATCGCTGCTGCTAATATGCGACATGTACAGGAAACATTCAAAGTTCCTCAAGGCCTACATTGCGAACGCCAGCAGTGCCTCTCGCGCCATAGGCACGTTGGTGATCCTCGTCGAGTCTGGTTTTGGATACTGCGCCATCTGGGTAAGCTCGACTTCAGTTATATCGCAATTCGTGCCAACGTTCTTCAACAGGCATTTGCTACGGCCATTTATGGGGCTGCCCTCATGCCCCAAGACGTTACGCCTCACTCTTTCACTGGTGTCGCCTCTAGCCTCACCCCGTTTCTTCCGTCTATCTTGATACCGACGATAGTACGTGGTAGAAGCAGTTCTTTATCCGTAATAGATGACTGATGAAACCACACTAGGCCGCGTACCCGATGGCGATAATCATCATCGTTGCCATGAGACGGTCCCCGTTGGACCAGCTCAACCGCACTGCGTCTCGGGCTCTCTCCTCGAGAGCGCCGGGGCATGTTTCGACCGACACCAGGGACAATGGGTCTTCAATCGAACTTGGTATGGTCGTCCACAAGACTATCCACATTTGTCGGGACGAGGGAAGCCCGTACGGAGTTCGCGCCGAGACCATTGACAGCCGTGACGTCGTTTGAGGTACATCTCGTACTGAGCGTCGGGAATAGTTCGATATTGAACCGCGCACGTATGTACAATACAGACGAACCGAATTTCTAGCAGCCGCGACGTACGATACTCTCGTCTTGATCCCAGGTGGGCACGCGTGGGTGGCGGCGACGCGCGGCTCTGACACCCCCGCACTCGAGAGGCCATATCGCAGCGGCCGCTGCTCCGTCCTCCGATCGGGGTACGCCAAACACCCGAATGGCCTGGATGATGGCATCCTGAGGCGGCGCATGGACGGGGGACGAGCGATGACTTGCGCGCGTTGGCCGCCGCTCGCCAGGCCCACAGAATACATCGCCCAGTGGGCACAGGGGCACAATGCGTCTCGGCGAAGATGCGTCGTCTCACAGCTTTCAGGGCGATGGTGAGGAAGGGCGCCTGGAGGTGGAGGCATCCCTCACAGACGATGAGCCTAACGTCTAGATGGCGACGACACTGACCCAGCGCGCCGCGTAACCCCAGAGGGTGACCGTACGCCACATGACGACCGCGTCGCCAACGGCCATCTACGGCACATTGGCTCAGATGGTAGTAGACAGAGAGAAAGATCCATGTTCACGTTGAAACCCAGGTTTCTGATGACGACGAGGGTCATCGCGCAGACCAGACGGGCGCGAGCGAGGCTGACTGCGGTCACTGGTCTGGTGCTTGTGATGTCATCCGTCGCGAACTCAACGCCGCGAAGAAGAGAGCGGTCTAGAGGGAGAGCATCGCGGTTACCGTGAGCATATATCGCGTCGCCCGCGTGCGCTTTGAAGCAGGAGCGAGCGCACGGATTGAAGAGAGGGACGCACCAGAGAAGCGTGAAGGACAGCACACTGGATTGCCCCATTGCCACTCCTAACATCGTTGAGGACAAGATCGCGTTTTTGACATAGCCATGGAGGTTCGTGAGCGGTGCTGAGGCGGCCTCGCCCTTTTCAGCCATATAGCCAACGGCGAGACGAGGGGGGAAAACAACAGACGAAAATGCGTGCGTTTGATCGATGGGCGCCTTCGAGTTGCCGCCGGTGTCCGGGGGCCACGCTCACGGTCCAACGCCCCAAGTTCAAACTTCGCGCCGAACTCGTCCACCCCGTCCCCCCACACCGTGCTCAGCATCCGCTTCGTGACCTCCGCATACGCCTTCGCGCGCTCCGCCGCGCCCGCCGTCCGCGTCACGTTCTCCCTCAGCTCCATCGCCACCTCCGCAAACCCGGCCTCGCGCACGCGCGCCTCGAAGAACGCCGGGTCCGCCCACTTTCTCGTCTCCTCTTCGCCGGACTCGGTCGCGGTGACCATCGAGCCCACGAAGTCCGCGAAGGGCGGGAGCGCGGGCGCCCCGGGGATGAGCGCGAGCGCGCGCGCGGTGTGCGGGTACCAGCCGACCGCCTTCCACGCGGTGAACGCGAGGATGCCCCCGAGGCGGAGGACGCGGAAGGCCTCTCGGAGGCCGGCGCGCGGGTCGGGGAGGTGGCAGGCGGCGAACTTGGTGAGGACGTGCGTGAAGTGGTCCGTCGGCAGCGTCGCGCTCAGGCTCTGCGGTGCGCGCGTGTGCGGTCAGCTATAGATCTAGAGCTCGTGCGGCACACAGGAGGCGACCTACCTGCGCGTCGACGACCTGCGCGGTGGCGCCGGCCAGCCGTTCTCGGTGATGCGCGCGGCGACGCTCTCGACCATAGGCGGGGAGAAGTCGGCGGAGGCGACGGACATGCACGCACGCGCGACAGCAGGGACGTGCTCGTAGAGGTGGAGCGTGACGACGCCGGTGCCGCACGCGTTGTCGAGCACGACGAGCTCGGAGGAGCCGTCCGCGGTGGAGAGACCGGAGAGGTCGATGAGGTGCGCGGCGAAGGGGCCGGTCATGGCCTCGCCCGGCTTGTAGCGTTCGGCGACTTGCGCGTTCTTCCAGTCCATGGCGGTGCGGGTTTGAGTGGAGGATGCGGGGTTGAGAGTAGGAGTACGGGCGAGGCGGAAGCTTGGTGATGGGGCAAGGAGGCGAAGTGCTCCTATCTTTATTCCTGGATCGAGTTTGGCCAGGTTTCGAGCAGCATTGCTTGCTAAGCGTGCGCGAAGTATCAGCATGACAGGAGAGTCCAAGATGCAATAGCGTACTCCTCTGTCCTCTCGACGGTTGGCGTTTAGAGCTCGGGCCGCCTCCGAGCTGGTACTGGGAGCGAACTCCGTGGACGGATGACATAAGTCTCACTCTTTCCTCGCGGTAACACAGTAGGCCTCCCAGGTGGTCACCACCTCCCCATCTCCGAACTCCTCCACCAGCACCGCCCTCAACGCCTCGCCGTACGCCTCGCTCACGTACTCCCGCTGCTCCTCCGTCCAGTCCTCGAACGCCCCCACCGCCAGCTTCCCGCACACGCCCATGTACTCCTCCACGCCCCTGACCCGCCACACGTTCTCCTTCAGCACCACCTCCACGTCCCTATACCCCGCCTCCCGCACCCGCGCCTCGAAGAACGCCGGCTCCGCCCACCGCAGCCCGTCCTCGGCTATCTTCATGCTGTTCGCGACGAACCTCGCCGGGCTCGGCATCGTGGGCGCGTCCGGGATCCGCGCAACCGCGCGCACCGCGAACGGGTACCACCCGATCGTCTTCCACACCGTGAACGCGTGCACGCCGCCCGGGAGCAGGACGCGGAGGGCCTCGCGCAGGGCCGCGCGCGGCGCGAGCAGGTGGAACGCGGCGAAGTTCGTGAGCACGTGCGTGAACGTCTCATCCGGCAAGTCCAGTTTCTGCCCTCGAGCGTAGCAACGTCGGGAGCCCGCACGCAAACGCAAGAGTGGGAAGGGAGAGACGCACCTGCGCGTCGAGCACCCTCGCGCTCACGTCCGTCCACCCCTCGACCTTGATCCGCGCCTCGACGGCCTCGATCATCGGCTGGGAGATGTCCCCGCACACGACCCGGAGCCGCGCGCGGGCCGACGGCGGGATGCGCGCGAGGAGGGTGTGCGTGGCGACGCCGGCGCCGCAGCCGTTGTCGAGCACGACGAGGTCGGTGGTGCCGTCCGCACGGTCGAGCCCGCTCTGTGCGACGAGGTGCGCGGCGTAGGGCGCGGTGATCGGTTCCGCGGACTTGTAGCGCTCCGCGACTTCACGCTTGTTGTAGTCCATCGGCGGGCGAGTGCGGGCGAGTTTGGTGGGAAGGCGAGAGAGGAGAGTGGATGAAGAGTGATTCGAACGCTGTGGTGAAGTATCAGCTCATCGGCGCGTATCGTGGTGGGCTTAGTCAGATGATATTACGGTTTATCCGTGATGTACGGTGCGTTTAGCAGAATCTCAGCTCGGGGTGTACAACGAATCTATAGTAAGACCATGCGGACCCCACGAGGAGCAGGCCCAGGATCGAGAGTGCGGGAGATGTGCATGGAATCTCGTCGGTGTATGTTTATCTAAGAGACTGCTACTATAATTTAGGTTGCGAGCGACGCTAGGTTGGCCTCGGGACTCCGACGTTCTACATCTTCGGACGGCTGTGTTACAACGACATGTGTGTTTACTTATGAGTAAGAAACTACATGGACAACGCCAACCGCGCGCGGCCCGAGTCTACGCAGACTCGTCGCGAGCGGTGCTGCCAATGATCTCTATGACGTCATCAAAGTCCGCAGAGTACGCATCCTCCCCTCTTCGGGCCTGGAAGAAACCGCGTTTGGGTTCCCCACTCCCGGCTTGCCCCGATACACGGTACAGTGAGCTGGCATCTTCTATGCGCGTACTGATCCGTATCGACACGGGAGGGCGCAGGGAAGCCCGCTCGGCCTTCCGCTTCTGCCTGGCAAAAACGGCGACGAGTCCGATCGGGTACATGGCCTGCCAAACGGAATCCCGGTTGCAGCTTTGTATTCAACTGGAACTGCTCTATAGGAAGACGCACCACCAGAGGATTGAGGCAGGACTCGATGAAGACGTTGTGCACGAGGTAGAACTTGTACAGGGTGGGGTTGGCGAGCAGCGCTGGATCGTCCAAGGGTCGGTTGAGCAGGAGGACGTCCCCAACGCAGACGTAAAGCTGTTCGATGGACCATCCCGTCAGCGACACGCCGGGCGGAGGAAGTGCGGATGGAGTTTACCCAGAGGACAGAGTAAATTCCGCCGGATCTGATCAAAGTCCCCAGACTACGCATCACCTGTGAAGTCGACGAGATTTGGCTGATGTCTTTGTTGTGCTTCCTGAATAAACGCGTGAGACGGGATCTACTGAGTCGCAGGTAGGTTCTATTCACCACGCTCGTGTCAGGATTAGCGCGGTAGCCAGGACGTTGGTGATTAGCGTGAGCGCGAAGCAGACGAGTGAGGCGTCGCTGCCTGCCAACAACGATGCGGACGGAGTCGGCTCTGGGGGCTGATCGACAGAGGACACGATCTGCAAAGCAGAAAAAACAGAAGAGACGACCCCAGCCACTGTTGCACACAGAAGTAAGCGACTGCCACCTCGAACAAGTGAGATACGGGAGCGATGCTCACCGAGTGTGGAGATAATGAGGATGCCGCCCATTACATATATCGTGACACTGGCGCCCCAAATCATAACAACTCGCCACCAGACGATGCAGTCGCTGACGATCATCTGTAGTAACATGACGGGTGAGGCTTTGAAACTGGAGGATGCAGATTGAGGGGTACTCACGCTCACTACAACTGTGTTTGTCACCGCAACGCCCATGGAGCGTACCTGTCCTAGAAGCCGTGTGCTGACATGTGCCTCGCTATCGCCGAGTGTGTTTCCGTACGCCCTTGCTGCGACGAGATTGCAACAAACGGCGGAGATCACAAGGCATACGTAGAAGACTATATTGGAGAGGTAGAGTGCGGCGACCGCGGTAAGAAGGGCTTGAACGGAGCGTTGGCGGAGCCCTCTTCGTCTGGAAAAATGTTTGCTTAGACTAGAGACGTTCGCACAGTTGATCAGGGTACGTACATGAGGGCACGCGTTGCAATAATGACAAGAACGCTCAATATGCCTGTCCTAAAGTCAGGATGTGGACTTGTAGAATCAACGGAGAGACTTACCGAACAATAGAGAAGACAGTAGCATCTCGACGAGGGAGATGTTTATTTGAGTGATGGTGTTAGGAAGAGAGAATTCTTGAAACGATGTGTTCACCATTCGGATGATGAGGCTTTACAGCTGGATTGTGTGCGACAGAAGAGTGGTTATATCATGCCGCTTCTACCAGCGTTTTCCTTTCCGATCGCACTACGCATTGCTGAGTGAGCACGAAAAGCGCCATCAAGTCCATTTGTGACGTACCGAATGCGCCACAAGCACTCGAGTTCGTTCAATCCTTACATTGGATTCCAGAGCCATAGCGTCTCGGAGTCACGTCCAAACGCATGCGAAAAGGGCACAAAGCTAACCTTATCATACCAGGGGATATGTGCGCGGTTCACAGGCGGTGCAAGTCCGTTTGAGGGGTGACTCGGGCAGAAATAGAGCGAGCATGGCCGCGCATTCCAGTGCTGTATGCTGGAAAGACATATCAAGAAGTTCAGTTCGTCAGCTCATCGTGACCCACACCTGGGCCGGGGGCGTACATTGTGGGCGTCGAAGACCTTGTCACAGCCATACGATAGGCATCCTTCGTACCGAACGCCGTACGACTCCGCCCACGATGGACGCCCCTCACCCGCAGTCCTACTTACCTCCCCGGCGGCCCGCCGGAGCGCGATCCGATTGCTCCACTCGCTGCAGCGCACAACTCGTACTCAAATAAACCTGTCCGGTGTAGCTCTGAACACAGCCGAACGCGCACTGCGCGATGGGTGAGGCGCGTCCGACGAACCGTTTGGAGAAAAGTTCCGTCTCGAGCCTCGGCGGAACCCCTACAAGATAACCTCTTAAATTGAAGGAGAACGTAAGCGACACCGCTCTGTTCAATGCCGGCGAGAGAAGATAGAGAAGGAGGATCATCAATGAGCATCAGTATTTCCCAAAATCTCTGAAAACCTCTGTGGAGAGGTTTGAGATGGTTTGAGATGGTTTGAGATGGTTTGAGATATTTTGAGATGGTTTGAGAGGTTCAGAATTTCTCTCACTTTGACTCTGTAATGAGGCATTGTGTGAGTGATTTCAGACGGGAGAGAAAAAGCAGAGGTCTAAGATAGGGCCATTTTGCAGACCAAATTGTCGGGTTCAGGACGAGCGGCACGCAGTTCACACACTGAAGAGGGAGAGAAGAAAATGGCTGAATTTCCGTAACTACTACCAGTACACATGCACACTAAATACACGGTCGTCGAGTCCCTGTGCAGCTCGGTAACATGCCATATCATCACGCACGCAGCCCGCTGCTGTGGGGCAGTGTGCTCGGGCGGCTGCCGAAGGACTCGCGCGAGTATCCGCCCCCGCGTCCGCACGAGCCTGACGAGCGCGTCGCCCGAGACGCACATGCACGCTGAGAGGTCGGGACACGGGCCCTGGTTTCACAAGCCATGCATGTGGAGCGTTGACAACACGGTCGACGCGAGGACGACAGGGGCAGGATGGGCTAGGCGGGTGAGGTCAGCGACGCGGGAAACGAGGGTGAGGTGGTCGAGGTGGACGACTCACAAGGAGCGGGTGCGATGCGGGCGACACGGCCAAGGTGGGTGACGGGCGATGCTGGAGAGGCAGGCACGATGTGCGACGTGGGCAGAAAGGGGCATAGAAAACTGGGGAGGGAGGGGGGTTGGGAAAAGCGGGTGAGAGGACTCACTAGGACAGAGCATCGCCGAGGGAGCTCCCTCACGCTGGAGGATTGCGCCGACACCCACCCCTGGCCCTCCGAGCCAAGCAACGTGAGCTGGGCGGTCTGGACGGGCGGCCGCGGTCTGAGAGGGAGCGGCGCGGAGTTAGTACAGGGAACCTCCCTTATCAGTGCCCCATCCGACCAAGACGACAAGCACTACGCACCTTTCAATGTGGCGAGCAGAACTTCCAGAACACTCTCACCCTTCGCGCGGAGTGTGGTGAGGGCGAAGGGGTGGAAGTGGAGGAGGAGGAGGAGGAGGAGGCGGGTGATTGGAGGATACGGCTGGGCAGCGCGCTGGCAGAGTCCGCTTGAGTCGAGGCTGAGATTCCCACGCCAGGCGCCAGCAGCGCATACGTCGGTGCACCTCGACATCCTCCTCGTCCTCCCGCCTTCATGCTTGTCTATTCCACCCACCGTCGCCCAGCTCGCTCGAACCCACTTCAGTACCACCTCCCTCCTTCGCAAGAAATGGCGCATTGAGGAGTTCTACCGCCAGCTCGAGGTCAAGAACAGTCCCGCTGGCGTGCTCCGCCATGACTGCGCCTCCGCCGAGGACGTGTTCCACAGCGACTCCTACACCCACGCGCTCTCCAACAACCGCCACTTAAACGGTCGGGGCCAAGAACCGCGGCACTACGGACACGATATATGTGAGTGCAGTCGAGTTTTTTTCTTTCCTTTCCCCCCGCTTCCCTGGCACCCAACGCTACCTGCTCTTCTTCTTCGCTGCTGTACCGTACTGTACGACAGAATCCCCCGTTGCGCCATACCGGCGTTGGACTACACGTGGAGCGGGACCCTCCACCCGCAGGTGCACCATCAGCGGGCGCTCGTGACGTCGTACAGACACAATGTGCTCCCCTGGTTCTCGCACCACCAGTTGAGGACAAGCAACACTACACGGTACGCAGCTCTCCGCCCCCCGTTGCTCTGAGTGCGAGACTGAATCATGGCCTATTGTCGCCGCCTCGTTCTTGTCAACCACGTCGGGCCTACCACCTCGCCCACACCACCGTATTGTTTGCCTCTCCCAGGTCGCCCGTGTCACTCACTTCGCCCACGTCTCGTTGCCCGTCTCTGCGCGCACAAGCCACTGCGCTCTTCCCGAACCCCGCTTCCTGCCCGCTCCCGGTGCGACATCTGGGCAGGACTCGCGAAGAGAGCGCGGGAGACGTGGGAGGCGGAGGCGGGTGATTCCTATTCACGAGGCAGATGGCGGTGGAGAGAGAGCGTTCGTCGAAGCCGCATCACTGCCTGCGTGTCCGGGCGAAGTACGACTTAACGCCTGCGCGCTGCCATCGGTAGTACAATATTACTGTAGTTTATCATGATATATTTCATTTGCACGCTCATTGCAGCCCTCTATGTCTTGTGTGCCGCCATCGATACCGGACCCTGATCATCTAAATCCTCTGATATTTGTCTGAGGTGTCTGCTCACCTCTCATCAATCTGAAAATTCTCCCACAAGATGCGTCAGAGATTTGAGAGATTCAGGGATCCTGTGAATTACTGATGCGACGTACATGAGTGAAGGCAGCGTTCGAGGAGCGACAATCATCGTTAGAGGCCTCGAGGTGGCGTAGGCGTGGGAGGTCAATTGGAAGTTGACGTGATGAACGAACGCCCCGGTGCTGTCTGCGCCCGAGTGGCGCTCCAGTCCGACACCGACCGGTCCCCACTCCCACGGACCCTGCTTTTGCCTGTGCGTGTCTCCCGTCGGATGCGGACTAATAATGAGCAGTTTCACCAGCCGAAAGCATGGTCGTTCTCTATGTAGATATGCGTAGATGGTCTGCACTCATTTATGTTCCCCAAATGGCCGGGTTAGCTCGACGTCCACCACTTCGGGCTCGGGAACACTCTCGACGTCCCGCCACGTGCCGAATGCCAGAGACTGCTGTGCCGCAGAGGCGTTATCGAGAGGGGACTGCTTTAGAGCAAAGATCACGATCACGCCCATCGGATACATTGCCTGGGAGAAAAAAATAAGAGGTGAACTCGAACGATGGGTCGCGAGGAGGCGTACGACGACAGATACAAGACAGGTTTGTATCACGATGAAGCTTGTGTTGTACGCGCTGAAGAACTGGCCTTGCTGCACGAATGGCGAGTGTTGCGCCCGGACGGATTGCCCGTACGGTACGGCGAACAGAATCTGCACCTTGCATTAGAATGATGCCACAGACCAAGCGAACGAGCATACCCAGATGATACAGTACGCAGCACCGCATTCGACCAGCAATAGGATCGATCGCACAGCACGAGAACAGAGCGGCGTCTCGGACAGGTACGTCCGGAGGAAACGCCAATGACTCCTGTTGATGATGGTTACGAAGTGACGAGGCGAAGAACAGAGAGGAGCTCGTACCAGGCTTTTATCGACATCAGAATCGTCGCGAGCGCGTTTGTCAGCAGCGAGACCATAACGCCGAGCATCCCAGTGAGATCCCCAGCCAAGAAAGAGACGTTCTCAACTAGCTGGATCTCCGCTGGGTGGGGCTTTATATGCGAGGTGGCTACAATGGAGATGGCTACGAATAGTTCAGATCCACCCTCTGCGCTCAGAAGTAACACGGACCACTGACCTGTAGACCCAATGATCAAGACAGCGCCGATCGCGATGACGATCTTGTTGTATCCCCAAATTGCGACCGCGCGCCACCACACGACAGTGTCGCTCACTGTGATCTAGGAGAACGAGTTAACAAGCAGACGAGGAGAGGCATCGTGCGACCGTACGTTGAGAGTGAGAGCTAAAGTCATTACGACGTGGAGATCGTTGTCTCTTCGCGCCTGAACTTCCGACTTGGCGTCTGCCGTCGACAGGACGGGGTCCAAAGCCGACACAGTGGCAGAGATTCTGCGGTTATTGATACTCTGCGTCGCCAGAGTGCATCCGTAGAAGACACATGTCGGGGCATATAGAACGACAGACGCCAGCAGAAGGGCGCGGATGGCGCGTTCTCGAACTCCGCGATATCTGCTTCAAATGTCAGATGGCGAGCTCAGGCATACCGATGCGCGTACAGCAGCACCGAGGTAGAGACGAGCGCGAACGCGGTCGTGGCACCTTTGACAGAGTCAGTTTTGCGCATGTGAAGTGCAGATTTTGCCACCTACCGAAAAGAGCGGAGGACAGCGCTGTATTCACAGCGAGCAGCTCCAATGAGCCGTCCACGAACTGCGCGACAGAGGCGACGTCAGGAGAGGAAGAAGAAGCCATGTGCGCCTTCGCTGGGGAGACCCTTGCCCACCACTGGCGCACGACTAGCGGGATGGGATATATACCGTGTCTTCTCCGGTACCTATCGCGGGGATACACGGTCCTCACGCGGATGCGGCAACGCCTGAGATGCACCATGTCCGACTGAAACGGATGAGGTGGCGTAGCTCGCCCGAGGACAGTCGGGTGTCTGAAAATGCACACGGCGCTGGTGGCAGAGGCGTGATCAGGTGAATTTTGTACGCCAGACGCAGTGGTCGTGCAGGGCATTGATCAGGATCTGAAATGAACGATGCGAGTCAGCGGTCGGCTTCCAGCTGTCTTCGTGGCGGGTCGAGAGATCCCGGAGGCGCTGGGAGCAGTGCCGCGGACTCGTGTCGGCGAAACCCGAGAAGTGCACAGTGCTTCCTGATCGGGGCGTGACCCCACCTGCCTTCCGACGCTGCGTCCGCCTGCCATCGCAAACCAATGGCCACGCCCTCCCTTTTCCAGTCAATTAGTTTGCGGTTTTCCTGCACAATAACGAGGAGATGCGTGTAAATCCTAGTGTCCGAATGAATAGTCGCCTACTAGTACAAATACAATAATATGACGGCGCTCGCAAATAGCTAATTGCAGTCATTTTGTGCTCCACGTTCCATAAACAAGATGCTGTCTGTCCTAGTATCAATGCTTCTGTTGACTGCCGTGGGTGCGTCCTCGATATCGGAAATCTGCAAAGTCAGGGTCATCGGCGTTGACAGTCGCTTCGCATCATTCCGCTTGGCGGCGAAGAGGGCAATGATGGTCCAATATCGAAGAGCGACGTCCGCGCTAAGACGAGGTACAGCTGCAGGAGAGCCTGAAGAGACGCGGTCGCCCATGCGTCAGAGCGCGTAACCTTCGCGTGACTGCCGTGACACGACGCGATGACGTCACACGGATGCGCCCTTCGATTATATTCTCAAGAGACATACATCTAAATGGCACTGTTCTGAGGACGAGACTCTAGACAGCTTTCGAGTATCGACGCACCCCGAGAGCTATTATCAACGTCAGAATGACGACCGTCCTCTGTGCCGTGCGTGTCGACGTTGAACACGAGCGAATGCTCTTGGGCAGATGCGCGCTCCAACGGCGACTGCTTGAGCGCAAAGACGATGATGACGCTCATCGGGTATATTGCCTGTAACGTGGACGTGAGATCGTCTCTACGTCAGAGAACGCTGCAAAGGACGCACGATGAGGGGACGAGGCATGACTGGATCACAACGAAACTCGTGTTGTACACGCCGAAAAATTCGTCTTCATGGACGAAATGCGCAGTGGTTGGCCTGAGTGACCATCCGAACGGAATGACGATCAGAATCTGGGCGAACGGTGCGGTGTCAAGTGCGGTTGAGCGAGACGGCGACAAAATAGCGTACCCAGATGACGCAGTACGCGACCCCACACTCCACGAGGAGCGCGATGGACTTGAGCGCGCGGGAGCCGATGGGCCTTCCCGCTAGGTATTGGCGGAGGAAGCACCTATGTTTGCTGGTTATGGAGTAAGCAGACGTGTATTGCAGCACCAATCAGATGTCTTGCCATGCCCGAATGAACATCAACAGTGTCGCGAGGATGTTTGTGAATAGCGAAATCGTGAAGCTGAGCGTAGCGGTGATATCCCCAGCGAGGTATGAAACCGGCTTCACCGGCTGTGCTCCGGCGGAGTGTGGGCATATATGCGTGATAGCTCCTGCTGCAAGCGCTGCGAGAAATGGTCAATCGAGTTCGTGCATGCACATCCCGCCACATACCTGCAGAGACGACGATGAGAGCTCCACCTAGTACAGAAATGTACCTGTTGTGACACCAGATAGCCGCGGCGCGCCACCAGACCACAGCGTCGCTGATCGCGATCTGAACCCTGTGTCAGAACCATGTATCCCGGGCACAAATGAACGTACATTGATAGTGAGGCAGGCCGCCATGGTGACGTAGAGATTGTTCGCTTTTCGAGCAAGATCGTCGAAGGTTACTGTGCCAATGCTCGAATCGAGCGCAGCAACAACGACGGATGTTCTTCGGTTCTCTATCGTCTCCGCTGCGATATTGCAGACGAAGAAAACGCAAGTGGAGATGTATAAGACCGCATTGGTGCTGATGAGAAGCTTCGTCGTACGGCAGTTCAAGCCGCGGTGACTGAAGACGAGGTCACATTGACAAAACCTGTCCCTGTGCGATGGTAGACTCACAGAAGAGAGTATACAGAAACGACCGCCACGATGGTCACGATGCCTACCAAGCCGTGAGCGGCGCGGTGATACGAGGAGACTACACTCACCGCATGACACAGAAGACAGCGCAGCGTTCATCAGCAGTAGCTGCATGGAACCATCCACGAAAGTTGCGACGGAGGCGAGTTTGGACGGATCCACTGCGACTGTGTGAGCCATGAACTGGAGCACGAAAGAGAGGCCTAGACCGACCTTGGCGGAGACGACCATATGTATCGCCCCGAATTGGACCCGCATCGGAAGCACAGGTAGACTTGAGACGACGGAGATGTCATCTCGAAACATACGGCACCGTGCGGCCCGCACAGACTCTCGGGGAGCTGCACCGACCTCCTTGTAGTTGGCGTGATCGCAGGGGATATGTCATCTGGGGACGCGAAAGTTCGCATGATGAGTGCCTTGCTTGCAGAAACATAAGGGAGAGTCGGCATGGAGAGCGCCCGTCCAAAACATATCGTTGTTATGAACCCACGCCTGTCACGGAATGCAATAACGAGGCATCCATTCAACTGCGTCGTCATTGTTGTCGTGCGCGTTCCTCTCACACGGGCGGACACGCGGAGGGTAAGAGCGAGATTGATTGTGTGGTACGGACAGGGGTACAGGTGCGCGTTCTGACGGGGGATGCTGGGTGTATGCGCGGCGGGTGTGATCTTGGGCCACAGAGAGGAGAGGGAAGGACAGGAACACGGGGGCGCAGCGAAGCGAAAGGGAAAAACGCACCACGGTGGCCTCCTCGCCCTCAACTTCGACCTCTGACCTCTGGAAATGCTTGAGCGCGACGATGCTGGCGGGCACGCGTAGTCGCCCATGTTCCCCCGTCGGCGAGAACGTGGATCGTGAGCCGCATGCGCAACATCTGCCGTCCCACCAGCAACTAGTCTGAGCGGGTGCACGCGAGAACAAGAGAGGAAGAGACACGCACACGTTGCCCCGCGAGCACGACCGACTTTCCTTGTCCACCGGGTCGCTCCGCTTGTCGAGCATGCGTGTGAGCTCCGCCTCCCGGTCCGATGGTCTACATTGCGCGTCGCCGCTGTCAGAGACACGCAGGGAGACGCAGCGCACGCACGCACCTACCGACCGGGCTCGCACTCGTTCGCCGGGGGGAGCTCGGGGTTGATGGTGAGCATGGCCTCGAGCGGCCACTTTGGCAGGATGTGGAACATCTCCCCGTCTACTTGCGCGAGCACACTAAGTGTGATGCGAGCTTGGATCGGTGCGTTGGCGCGAGGGGGCTCATACATTACTTACCGGGTGGAAAGGCTCGCTCCGGCCAAGGCTAGTATCGAGACAATGCGCAGGGAGGATGGTGGGGATGACGGCGACGAGAAGGGGGCCAGAAGAAGGTGAGGGTGAATGTGCTAGAAAGGATGGAGGAGGCGGGAGGCGGGGAGAGGGATGTCGATGAGGAAGGATATCGGCGGAGGCGAAGGCACCTGTACCTCACATCAATCAGGCCGGCTTAGCCCGTGGCACCGGGGGGGGTGGCCCGGGTCAAGTAGACCTGAAACCGTGCTCCCCCGCACGTTTGAATAATTCGTCCAATAAACCCGAGCTGTTTCCCAACAGGGAAGTGCTCGAACGCCCTCCCTCCCGAGTCCCCCAGCCCATCACGTGTCCCCATCCTCCAGATCTCCCATCAGTCCGCGTTATCTCTCCCGCCCCCGCCCGCGTTATCTCCCGCGCCCACGCCTACGTTATCTCCCGCGCCTCCCTGCCCTGCCACCCGTGCTCGCTGTGCCCGACAGTGAGCTCGCTGTCCCTGCACCCTGCCTCCCCCTCCTCTCTGTTTCCCTCCGTTCTTTTTGTAATCTACTTGTATTAAAAATGCGCACCTATTGGTACACAATTCAATGGCCACACCTTCCTGGGTGTGCCTGCACTGAGCCCTCAAACCTCCCCAAATGCGTGCAATACAGGAACATATACAAGCACTCAGCTGATCGGCTAAGTCCTGCATCAGATAGTTGTAGATGATGGCTGCTCTATTATAAAATCGCAGGTGGATAGCTAGAGGGGTGCAGGTATGATGTCATATGTTATTTCAGAATGACATACCCCACAGTGATATGGTATATGCATATATCGTCTTATGTACACCCAGAATCGTACCTAGAGGTCATTCAGAGCGCGTTTCAAAAAGAAGCAAATGAATAAGCGGTGTCGTGGTGAGGATATGACATATGCTCAGAAGGGGGAGTTGGCTCGAAAATGTGGCCTTCATATGTTTTTGTGCAGACGTTCTATCACTTTACATCTTCTTGCATTACGTTTAAATGTATATGGAGAGCTCAGATCGTCTTTTTGGTGCTTATCGGTGAAGGATTGAAAACAGGAAATGGTATGTCATTATTCCATGACATAGCGTATAGCGAGATAGCATGTGCTCCGATTATTATTCTGAAAGGCGGAATAGAACGGGGTGTTCTTCTACTCAACGATGCAGAAGAAATCTCGAAGAATGGTCGAGAAGGGGTTGAGATATGTCAGATGGGTCTAGAACGGCAGGTTGCACAAAGGACGCCCTTGAACCACCTTCACCGCTTTGCACACTTCAAGCTCATATGGCGTATCTCAACCGCTTCTCGACCATTCTTCGAGATTTCTTCTGCATCGTTGAGTAGAAGAACACCCCGTTCTATTCCGCCTTTCAGAATAATAATCGGAGCACATGCTATCTCGCTATACGCTATGTCATGGAATAATGACATACCATTTCCTGTTTTCAATCCTTCACCGATAAGCACCAAAAAGACGATCTGAGCTCTCCATATACATTTAAACGTAATGCAAGAAGATGTAAAGTGATAGAACGTCTGCACAAAAACATATGAAGGCCACATTTTCGAGCCAACTCCCCCTTCTGAGCATATGTCATATCCTCACCACGACACCGCTTATTCATTTGCTTCTTTTTGAAACGCGCTCTGAATGACCTCTAGGTACGATTCTGGGTGTACATAAGACGATATATGCATATACCATATCACTGTGGGGTATGTCATTCTGAAATAACATATGACATCATACCTGCACCCCTCTAGCTATCCACCTGCGATTTTATAATAGAGCAGCCATCATCTACAACTATCTGATGCAGGACTTAGCCGATCAGCTGAGTGCTTGTATATGTTCCTGTATTGCACGCATTTGGGGAGGTTTGAGGGCTCAGTGCAGGCACACCCAGGAAGGTGTGGCCATTGAATTGTGTACCAATAGGTGCGCATTTTTAATACAAGTAGATTACAAAAAGAACGGAGGGAAACAGAGAGGAGGGGGAGGCAGGGTGCAGGGACAGCGAGCTCACTGTCGGGCACAGCGAGCACGGGTGGCAGGGCAGGGAGGCGCGGGAGATAACGTAGGCGTGGGCGCGGGAGATAACGCGGGCGGGGGCGGGAGAGATAACGCGGACTGATGGGAGATCTGGAGGATGGGGACACGTGATGGGCTGGGGGACTCGGGAGGGAGGGCGTTCGAGCACTTCCCTGTTGGGAAACAGCTCGGGTTTATTGGACGAATTATTCAAACGTGCGGGGGAGCACGGTTTCAGGTCTACTTGACCCGGGCCACCCCCCCCGGTGCCACGGGCTAAGCCGGCCTGATTGATGTGAGGTACAGGTGGGCGAAGGGGCGGCGGCAGTGAGATAACGCGGATGGGGCCGTTGAGCGCTTGAGCGCTGATGCGTCTCTCAGTGTCCCCCCATCGCTGCTAGCGCTACACCCTCATGCACGACTATCCCTGGCATATCCAGCGAAGCGCAACGAAAAGGAACGCAGCCTTAACGTGCGAAGTATTAATCTTTGGATCAAAGGAGACGGGGGCCTAACTTACGCTCGAGGAGGGGTCTACCTGGCCATGGCACCGCATGAAACCGCGGATTTCCCAAGGTGGGGAATGTGCGCGGAATGAGCAAATTCCCGGCAAGTTCCTCGCGACTTTCACGCAGATTCCCCCGGGTTGGGAATTCTCACTTGGTTTCCCCCTTCCACACACATTCCCCTTTCATTCCAATCACATTCCTCACGTATTCCTTCAAAGTGGAATCTAGACCCCGTGAGGGTCACGTATATATTGGGCCATGCATTAATTAGGGGATAATCATCAGGCGTCTGTCGCGTCGCGCGCGCGCCGGGTGCAGACCCGCGCTTCGACTTCAGTATTCGTTCGCGTGGCATTGCGGATCGTGGCTGGACAGGCTGTTGAGTATGTACGCATAAGGCCTGAATAATTCATGTATCCTTGGGAACAGCGCTCGCATCGAGGAAAGACAGGATGCCATATCTCTGCGTGAGGAGCGAGACAAGCCCGCGCTGGCCTCGTATCTGGCCTGTCCGGTACGTTCTCCAACTTGCCCCCGCACATCGCGCTTCGTTTCCCCCTCGATCCCCGCGTCGGCTGTGCTGCGCCATGTCTGAAGACGGCTCCGGCCCTAGCGGGAGCGGCAGGAACTTCACTGGCACAGATCTCCCTCAAACGGTGATACGCACGCGCCGCCGCTGTACGGTGCACCGCGACTACACTAGCGCCCGCGTGCGGCCATCCACCTCGACCTCGCTCGTCTTCACGCACCTCGACCTCTCCACCGCGCGCACCCATCGCGATCAGCCCGCGAGCACCCCATATCGACGCTCCAGCATTCCAGGCTAGACGCGATGCCCACGGACACACCGCGGCGCAGTCCACGCACGACCGAGGCCGGCATGGTACGCACCCGATCCACGTACTCTACATATTCTCTCCTTTTCTACGTTTCATCCATTCCTTATTCTTTCCCTGCGCACCTGTACATTTACTTTCGCTCCTGTCTCCTACGTTTCCGGCTCAGACATTCATTCTCGGTATCGACCTCGGACATTTTTCGTGTCATGGCTTCGACTGTACATTGCTATCTACATACTCGCCCTGTGCGTCGCATGTACTTAGGCTCACGTTTTGCTTATTGATGACCAGTTCACTCTCCCGCTCTTTCTGTGCGTGCTGTGTGCTCACCTCGTCTCGCCTTCGCCTTCGCCTTCGACCTCGACTTCGACTTCGCCCACGCCCACGCCCACGCTTTCGCCCACGACTTCGATTCCCTTCGCCTTCGCCAGCGCCGCGCGTGCACGCGATCTCGTCTCTTCACCCCGCGTCTATTCCCTCCTCGTCCTCCTCGCGCTCGCGCGATCCCCCGATCTATTCTCTCTTCGCGCTTGCTCCTCACGCGGCGCGTCGTAGCTGTTCTCTTCTTTCACTCTCCGACTTCCCGCGTCTCACGCTTACTCGGGCTCGCTCACTCGCCCTCATCACTGTTGACTCTTCGCGGAGTTGACTGCACATCAACGGGACTTCAGCGACTGAACGGGGCGATTCAAGAGATCGAAAGACTCACCAGAGCACTCGAAAACCATGTTGAAAAGAACGCAACTGTGATCAACATCCTCCGCCACGAGAACAACATCACGCGGGCAAAACTTGACGTCACCACCAACCGCATCGCCTTTCTTGAAGAGTTCTTGGAGATTGAGCCCGATAACGGGGATCGGGAGGAGCCGAGGGCGGAAGAGCCGGGAGATGCGGGTGTCACGGAAGGAGATGGTGGTGATGTGGCGGCAGCGGCAGTGAGCAAACAGTTGTGTCGGGGTACGCGTGCCATAGTCAGTCATTTCGGAGCTCGTCAGGTACGAGTAGACGGCTCACCTCGTATCAGAGAGCAACCAACAACACCTTCAAAATCTGGTTGGGAGTTACAAATCTCTCCAAGATGTCCGATCTCCCAGGGATCCCTGCGCCGGGAGAAGAGGCCCCACTGGCGCCGACTGGGCAGCACACAGGCACTCGTCTTGTCAGGTTCAACTGGCTCCAGAACGCGACCTACCCACTGAATGCTCAGAGCATTGACACCCTGACAGAAGCCCTGAGAGCGCATGGGAATACGTACATTCCTGGCTTTGGTGACGACCTTGAGAAGATCTTTGATGTCGACCTGAGAAACCGCGTCATCACCAAGTTCAAATCCCTCGCGACCAATTGGAAGCGTGCAGAGAAGAGCGCAGGGAAGGCACGCGCACCTGCGGTGTCGGAGCCCATAGACGGAGAGGGTGAAGACGCGGGATCCGATGACGATCCTCCCATGGATCGCAAGGTTGCTCGTTCTCGAGCTAAACCAGTATGTCCCTTTAGTACATCAGTAATTCTTCCTCCGTCGGACTGGGTCTGAAAATGTCAGTACAGACCAATCTGACCCCTTTCTGACCTGTCCGACTGTCCGACATCCGACCTTGCAAAATTTGCCATCCGACATTGCTGTATCCTCGTAGTCTGACATTCTGACCTCAATCCGACCTCAATCTGACTTCTGACCTCAATCTGACTTGTGTAAACGGCATTCCTGAGCGGGACGTAAAAATGTGTATATCAAGTCCTGTATACGAGTACATAGTCACTATCTAATCGAGGTCCTGTACACCTTCCTGGGACACGGATGGTGAGCATGGCGGCGCGTAGAGCTCCCTCGGCGATGCAAGGTACGTCCGAATCTTCGACACCGCACTCGTCCACTTATGCACATGTGCACACACCTGTGGGAGGCTCCGGGCCCACCTCTGTCCGGCATCACCATCCATACGCGTGGCGGCCGCGAAAACGAGGGGGGCGGCGAGGGGAAGCGCGATCGCCACACCACGGTGCAGTGGAATGTGAACCTGCATGCCTCGGCAGCGACGATCCATGCAAGGCCGACGCGGAAGTTGGCCGTGGCAGGGTCCGTCGACGCGAGGGCCAGGACATTGCATCAGAGGCCTGAGCTCCACGCAACGTTAGCGCGGACCAGACGGGTGAGGCGGGGAGGCGGGAACGACACCAGCGAGATAGGTGCACAGGCAACGTGGGCGACGTGGCGGCAACATGGCGGCGAGGCGGGTGACGCAGGAGACGTGGGCGGCGACACGGGGGCGATGGGGCAGGCAACATGGAGGTGGTACGGTGGAGGTGAGGGTGGATGGAGGCGAGTCCAGCGCGGTCCTGTAACGGGGAAAAATAAACGGATGAAAACTCACGTCGTGGATGAGATAGAGACGGGATGAGCACTCACCGAAAAAAACGGGCTGGACGTCCCACTAGATGTCAACATCGCAGGCAGGAGCCCGCTGCCCGGGAGAGACGCTGTTCAAACGTTACGCGGGGCACCTGTTTGGGTGTCAGTCAAGCCTGGCAAGTTGCCTGCGCAGGTGCTCACACACGCCGTCAACGGCAAAGACCCGGCCGGAGACGTGGCAGGCGACAAGAGGAAGACGGGTGCGTTTGCAATGTCCCCAACTTCGCCGTCGCGCCCGGGCGGGTAGTGGTGCCCGTACCGCTTTGCGTCAGGGCCCGGGGGCGAGACGTTCGAGCGCGCGTGAGATGGGAGAAGCGATTCACGAAGCGTTGAGTACGAGTGTGCAGTCGAAATGGAAGCGGAGGGACTCACATGGGAACCTTTTTCGAGTGTTCTTGACTTCGGGCTGGCGACGGGGCTCCTCGACCTCGTAGGGGAGAAGCTCATTCTCCTACTCAAGCTTGCAAATGCAGATTAGCGGTGGGGGGATCGTGGCGACCTATTTGGGTGACGCGGGCGAGGTGGGTGAGACCGAGTGCAAAAGGGCGGGTGAGATGGGCGAGGTCAAGAGGACGGGCTACGAAGATGAAGAGGACGAGGTGGGAGGTCGGCGACGCGCTGGCAGCCGGAGGTGCGGCTCCGCCTCGGGGACCCGTGGGAACCAACGCGCGCTGCGGGCCGTCGCGTGGACTCCAGCGCCTGGCACTGCCAGCACCACTAGTACTGCTTCTTCGTCGTTGTCGTCGCCCTTGACCTTTCCTCCCCCGGGCCCGCCTCTTCGCCTGTCCCCTCTCCACGCCGAATGGTGCGCATAATGCCCCGATCCCTCCCCCGCCCGCCTCTCACTATCTTCCAACCAAACACGCCCCGTCTCAAGTGACCTCAATACATGTCCGCGAACTCGGCCATGCTCCTCGTCTCGCTCGATGGCGACGGAACACCTTGTCAAAGTGCGTACCCACCTCATCCGTCTGTGTATATTATTCACATAAATCTTTGTTCCCTTCTTCGCCCCTGGCATCTCCCTCGTTATCCACTTGCGGAACCCACACCCGCCGACCTTGGACATCATCTACTACCAACTTGGGACCACCAAGGAATAGACGGACGCGTAGAGCGATCCTCCACCGTGGACCCTGTCTCTTGCAGCCTGACTCTCGCCCAGAGCGCCTCTCGCGCTGGCTCGCACCCACCGATCCCCATCTCCATCGCCCACGCTCCACCCGCGATCCAGCCCGCGTCCGCGCCGGTCGAAGACTCCTCCAACTCCAACAACGTCCCCTCCCTCTCTGGTGCCGACACGAGCATAAACATGGCCGCAGTGGTGCCCCGCCACCGTGGGTGCCTCGCCGCCGCTTGCCTGGAGCGCGACACTGTTCCGACGGGAGAGCGACAGCCTGCAGCACTCGAGCGGCACGATGGTCCACAGCGCACACACGGAGCTCAGGTCAGCCTACACCCCACCTCGTCGCTTGAGATGCTAACACAAGCGTGACTCCTGGATGTGCGCCCCGACGTTCTCCTTCCTTTCTCCACACCTTGAACCGCCCTCCGACCACGGCTGCACGAGGGACTGCGAACGCGAATAGGACGACAGCCCACGCCAAATCGAGCCCCGCGCTCCCCCAGGGCCGGTCGCGATGGGGCTTATGTGCCACGCCCTCATCGATGTGCCCTTCCCTCCACCATCCACCTGGCCCAACAACGTGACGGGCCCCAGTGCACTTGCCCGCGTACCCTTGGCGTCGTCCGTGGGCCAAATCGGCATTTTGCACTAGCGTGAGTCGTTGAACACTGGTGTGGGCGCGTCGAGCGTGCGTCTCTGATTTAACAACAGCAGATTTGACGGCGACCGGCGGGACTCGGACTGCCGTGTCCGAGGTCCAGCGCTGTGACGTGGACTTGCACCCCGTCCTCGCGTTTTGCACATCCCGCCCCGGCCATTCCACGCACTCGCGCTCGCATGGCACCATGCACAGCCTGGCGACAGCGGGAATGGGAGCGTGGGCGATGGCATGGATTCTGTCGTACGAGCATGTATTGGACCACTTGTGCCTGTATCTAGGATGTACACTGTAGCATTAACACAATATATCATCGTTAAAGTCTCTTAATTGTGTGAAATTCGATGGTGTATACGCTACAGTGCAGGTCAAATGGGTGCTGAGCACCAAAAAATTCGGATGGTCGGATGTGTCAGATGAGGGTCAGATGTCGGACAGCCCAAAAGTCCGACTTTCTGACAAATCAGACAGAGGACGAATTACTGATGTACATCTCTGAGCGCGATGATTAGGTGTTTACATACCCTGGTGTAGAAGCAGGAACAGCGCAAACGTAAGCGCGAGGGTACCAAGTGGGCAGACTCGAAGTATGACGCCGCATTCACTGAGAATGCGGCGTCGGATGATGAAGACATGCCGGAGAGTGAGGTCATTGTTGGGGACAAGACATGCTATGTTAGCCGGCCGCCATGGTACCGATCGGCAATGGTGAGCCTTCGTGGGACACATATTGTGAAGGACAGGGTTGCTTACTTGCCGTGTTCTAGCACCAGGAGTGCTACGATGACCTCGACCCACGAGATGATCCTGAGCCAGACCGCGCGACTCTGCTACTCAAGCGCAAGAAGGGTCTGGTAAAACTCACTGCTGTACCTCCGAAGGCGCAGACACTGAAGACTCGCCTGCGCATGTGGATGATCACCGAGGAGGCACTTGAAGCGAACCCGCACTGGTTGACTGGGGGCCGCGTCGCACCGAATGGGAAGTTGTGGGGCGATGAAGAAGATCCTGTTGATGATAGCATGACGAAAGGAGGAGCGAAGAGGAAGGGAGAGTCGTCCAAGGATGGTGACGGTAAGAAAAAGAGGCGTCCTGCTGAGGACATGAGTAAGGTACGGGCGGCTGAGGCGAGTCGTGCAGAAGCAGCACGAGGGGCAGATGATAACGAACTCTTCGGGAACATGACACAGGTGTGGGAGACTTGATGCGCATTCACGTGGATTATCAATCTTGTACTAGTTCTTGTTCTAGGCTCTCGAACCAAGTATCATTGGGCTCGAGTCCTGTCTGTGCGCGCGCGCCGGTGAATGTGGAGTGTAGTGCAGTGGTGGGTAAACTCACGCGATCAAACGAGTGAACAACCCAGAGGTTTCGCCGCAATCCCGGCCCAGTCTGGGCCCTGATAGGTATGATCGCAACTGCAGCGGCAAGCCAGGTCGTTGGAACGATCTCGACCAGGTGATACTGTTCGGCGTATGCAACAGAAACACCGAGATGATCTGAACTGTCGGAGGGTGAGCAGGCAACTGGAAGCGTATAGCATGCAGATAAAGACGCACTACATCGACCACGGAAATGTTGGAATGTCTTCTCCAGCGACCATGCGCTCGACGGCTGAGCACAACACAGGGGCTTGTCCGGTAAGCACAATCTCGAAATGGTACCTGATACGACAAGGAATGCGCTTGATCCCATCAAAGTCGACACAAGCGTGCTGATCTGAGTTGGTGCGAGTGTCTGCGGTTGATCCGTACCGTATTACATCCTTCGAGATGAAAGGAAGGAGTCAAGTGCCCTTGTGTGCAAGGAACGTTGTGTCGTGAGGCCGCAAATCATGCTCGTCACCAATGGTCAGGTGGGGGAAAACACGTCTGAGATGATAGAGAAGGGGCAGGTAGAGGCGACCATCTTCAAGCTGCCGAAGATTGATGAAGGTCTTGGTACTTCGGCGCGGCGTGTTGATGGTTGATGTGCCGTGTGCAAATGCCTCAATCTGCGTCCCAAGCGTCCCACGAACCGCGCCTTGCTCTCGGCAGATACTTTTCAGTTCCGCGCGTTCATACTCGGTCGCATCAGGTGGCAATGTGGAGACCTCGAACATAAGTGAGCCCTCACGTCTAGAACCTAGAGAAACACTCACGAGCTCATACAAGCGTAGCTTGTACTGCCAGTTCCGCATCAATGTGAGCTCCATCTCGCCCCAAGGGCGACCATTCAGGTTGACGTCGGCGAGGATCCCGTTGAAGCGCTCATGTGCGAAGAGCCACCAAGCATACACGGGCCCGAAGCGTTCATAAAACACTGGATAGTGCAACGCATAGTGGCAGTTGGGCACCATGTGTACGCCCAGCCGGACGAGATCATGGCAGAGATCTTGGATGAACCCATGACCGCGCTTCACGTCGTCGAGGGTGATCTGTCTCGAGGCGAGAATGCGTTCAGCAATGGATGCGTAGAGAAATAATCTGTAGATACGGGGGATATCTCGGGTGAATGTGGGTCGCTTTGAGGCATTGTGTGGAATTGGTGAAGGCTCGGAGCGCCTGGCAAGCTTGTCATTTTCGTCGCGCCAGACACACCAAAGCACAGTGGTTTGGATGTTCACCCAGCGACGCCATCAGGAAAAACACAATTTGCATATTAGCCCTATTGTGCTCTAACACATCTATCCACCAGACTTTTAGCTCTAATGTGGTCTAACACACCTAATCGCCCGACGTTTAGACCAAATGAGAATCAGCACACCTAACAGCAAACACATTAGGTCCCACATCTTACTAACATGTCTAATGTGCCGCAAATTTACACACATTAGAAGATGTTGAGGGTGTTTGATACTAGTGCTCCTAATCCTGTAGTCTGGTACTAACGTCTTCTATCGGGAGCGATGATTGCCACGACAATTCACAACAGTATAGAAGTTCTAGAGGATGAAATATATTGGTAGAAACCAGCATAATCTAACTACACTGGGAACAAAGACGTGTTACAGGCCACTAGGACACAAGCAAGGTGGCGATGCAGATGAAGTGGGCGACGCGGGTGGGCCCGTCGTGCACGCACGCACACCAGTCCACGTGGCGCACCGTGGAGCTTTCGGCCCACGACAACGGCGAGCACGACGAAGAGCACCCCGCCCAGCACACCCGCGAGGCTCCACTCCTCCTCCTCTCCCGTCCTCCTCTTGCTTGTCCTCGTCGGCCGGTGCAGTGGGAAGCGCCTCTGCGACGAGCGTCAGGCTCTCGGTCGCTAGTGTGCGCTCGCGCCCGTGAAGACCAGGCGCGGCGGGCGTGGCCGCGAAGTGGGCTGCGAATGCGAGCGAGCGAGCGCAGCGGCGGCGGCGGCGGCTGAAGCGTTCGCGGGATCTGCATCGACGAAGCCTTGGAGCCGGATGGATGGCGGGGCGCGAGGACCAGAGGAATGACGAAGCGGACAACATGGATGTGGGCGAGGCGGGCAAGGTGAGCGAAGCGGGTAACATGGAGGAGATGGGTGAGGCAGACGTCGACGCGGGGGTGACGCAGAAGCGGACGGGCGATGTGGGCAGGTGACATGAGCGATGTAGTCGTGGGCGAAGTGCCAAGGTGAATGCGGGCGAGGTGGGCGACAGAGACGCACACGACACGACGCGGGCGAGGGCGAGGTGAGCGACACGTGTGGGCGAAGCGGAGCCCAATGAGAGTACATCGCCACCGTGGACGTTCCAAAGCCGTGTGGGCGGAGAGGTCATAGGGAATGGTTCAGGGGGTCGGGGCGCGGGAGGTGGGGAGACAAAGAGCAAATGTAAATGAGAATGGGCAAGGGAGCGTAGCAAAAAAGAGGGGAACGTACTGCAAAGGAGCCGGGGGCGTTGCAGGCGACGGCTAGGGGGAGACCAAGCACGAAGGTTGCACAGCGGCGGGCGGAGGTGAACCGGTGACAGGCGGGCGATGTGCAACCCAGCGGCAACGGCCGCGTAATACGGTCGCGCCGGTATAACAAGCCTCCCGTGCACGTCCTTTAGGTTGACGTGCGCGTTGTGGGGACGGTGTGGCGCGGCCGGGGCCTGGGGAGGTGGTGGGCGAGGCGAGGAACACAGGAGGGCAGAACGGGGGACTCACCAAGACCAAGGGGGCCGCAACAGCTCATCAAGGAAGCGGTGGGCGAGAGGCGCGTTTGCGTGCTCCTTGAAGACGTTGCGCCGGGAGGAAAAGTCGAGGAAGATGAGGACGGGAGGACGGGGAGGACGGGCAGCGCGGAGGCAGAGTGACATGCTGGCAGCGCCAGACGTGTGGGAATCAACGCGCATTGCGTGGGCTCCAGCGCTTGGCGCTGCCAGCACCCTCGTTGTTGATGTCCTCAATGCTCCTCATCGTCTTCTGCTGCCACCTTACCTGTGTTAATCTGCATCGTCCACGTCGCCACGTCGCCCAGTTCTCTCGTCTCGCCTGCGCGTCACCCATCTCGCCCGTCTAGCACCGCGCCCACCTCTTCCGTCTCGCCCGTGACTTGCACCTCGCCTTGCCTGCCTCACCCGTCTCACCCACCCCGTCCGTCTCACTTGTGTCGCCCACCTCGCCCGTCTTGCACCCGTACGTCCCACCTTGCCTGCGTCACCCATTTCACGTGCGCCTCGAACCTCGCTCGTCTCGCTCGTCTCTCCCCCGTCTCGCACTTCGCCTGCTTCGTCGGTCTAGTTCGCCTCGCCCATCTTACCCATCTCACCCACTTCGACCGTGTCACCCACGTCCATCGCCGCCTCCGTGTCGCCCGCGTTTTGCCCACGTCACCCTCCGTCTTAGCCCACGTCTCGCACCTCCCCCGCGTACCCTGCGTCGACCGGACATCTCCCGTGCCCACGTATCACCTGCATCCCCTGGAGTCCCCTGCATCATCCACTTCGCCCGTCTCACCCGTGTCGCTCGCCCGAGTTGCGCGCGTCCCACTGCGTTGCCTGCATGTCATCTGTGTCGCCATCTAGCTCTCGCCTGCCTTATTGCGTTAGTCTGGACCCATGTCACCCACGTCGCCACCTCGTCCGTCTCATCCGCGTCTCGCTTGTTGCTGTCTTGCTCTCTTGTGTCATCCATTTCGCCCGCTTCGTCCTCATCGACTGCATCTCATCCCTGCGTCGACCTGTCGCCCGCGTTTTGCCCTGCGTCACTTTGTGACGCCGCATCGCATGTGTCCGTGCCGCCCGCCCTGTCCACGTTGCCTACCTCTTACCTCGCCTGCGTCTCCTGTCTCGCGCTCGCGTCCGCAGCTCGCCTGCGTCTCGCGCCCACGTCCACATCGCCCACCTCGCCCACGTCCGCATCACCTGTGACGCTTACCTCACCCACCTCGCTCTTGCCCGTGTCACCCGTCTCGCCCGAGTAGATATGTCGCCCACAGACTTTGTTCAGCATCTTTGTTTGTAGTCTAATGTGTACCTTGTAGTATTATGAACAAGAATATACCTGCTTCTCCTTCACGTTTGTGTGATCTATTGAGTGATATTGAAACATATTATGAGCTTGATACATGCCTACTGTGTGTCAATTAGTTCTACAGACCTCCACAATTGCAGCAATTAGACACTGGTTAGACACTAATTAGAGCTAATTAGGACTAATTGGCTCTAAACTTCCAGGGACTTCACTAATTAGTGAAGATCCTCTAATATGTCTAAGTTGCACTAATTAGTTCAACTTAGACCCAATTAGCAAGTTGTGTTTTTCCTGATGGCCACTGATTGTTACGTCGAAGTCCGAGTTCCGTTGGGAACGAGGCCTAGACGTCGAGTGGTTATGTCCGTGAGAAGTCTCTTGATGCCGACGCGAGTAAGCACGGTGCACTATCGAGTGGACCGGCGAGCGAGCGAGGTAGAGGGCAAGCAAGAGAGTCGATTGGCACTAGGCCTGAGGGACGTAGCTATACAGGAGGTCGAAAGATGGGGAGCGCTATGCTGCGTCGTCCCTCTTATAAGTACAAAGGCCTCGTGGCCGCGGTCCGTGAGGGGTGAGGTAACGGTACGTATACAGCGAGTCCATACGAGTCAGTACGCATCATGGCTACGGCGTGTAATGAAGTAGGTCGTAGTGAGGTTGCCATGAGGTACGTGCATGTCCGGGATGAGGCTGCGCAGCAGCATGAGGCAGAGAGTGGTAGTACAGCAGTCCCTGAGGGCACCAGGCGTAGTCCATGACGGAGATGACGAGGGATGGAGGAAAAGGTCCGGCGTACGCATGGTGTCCGTAACATCAGCTCCCCCTCCCGTGAGGGTTGTCCCAACCCTCAGTTACCGAAGATGTCGTCGGCGTCGAGGTCGGGGTCTTCACGAGGGCGGTAGCCGATCTGGCGGAGGCGTTCAATCAGATTGACGATTACTTCGTGGACCGTCTCTTCGAGTGACATCTCGGGTTCGCCGTGTAGAGGGATACCCGTCCTTCGGTACTGGCTGTAGTACGTGAGGAAGCGCCGCCAGTGTCCCGCGTTGATCACACGATCGTCGACGACCTCTTCGCAGTGAGCATTGCACCATTGAGCCACGACGTTGAGGACATGAAGTTCGAGGCTGAGGCGAATGCCTGGGGCCACGTAGGGGAGGGCTGCGGCGATCCTCAACTCGATGTTCTCGGGTGAATACCGTACTGGCCAATCGAGCGTGTATATTCCGATGAAGTGGTTGGCGGAGAGGTATCCGCGGAGGGCGTAGCGGCTGGTAGCCCCTTCCAGGCGGAAGGGTTGGGCGACCGGGTTGTAGGCTCGTAGGAGCTCCAGGGGGGGGCGTCGTCCTCGTCCTCGTGGTCGCTGGAGGAGGCTTCTCCTCCTTCCGAGTCCGCGTCGTTGCCCATGTCTTCATCGTCGTTGTACGGCGGTGGGGCCTGGACCGGAACGACAAGTTCGTAGTGAACCTCGTCGTCCGCGTAGTAGTGGGCTACTCGTGCGTTCGGGGACGGCGTGGGTGGTGTCGGGGTAGGAGGGCGAGGAGGTGGGGTTTGAGATCCGCGAGGTCCGAGGGCGGCGATCATGTCGGACAGGGTCAGGCCTGGCGTGGGGGTGGTAGGTTCCTCGTCGTTGTCTTCTTCTTCCACCGGTGACCCCCATTCCATGGCTGAGCTCTCCATGCCCATCCATCCTCCTGCAACGGCGCGTGTGCGGTATTCCTCTTCCTCCCAGGCGGCTCTGTTGCGTTCGGCTTCGGTGGGGGTGGGTGACGCTTGTCCATGTCGTGTATAGTCCGTGTGTTGCTTGCGACGGGGGAGGAGATCGGCAAGGGCACGTCCAACCTGGTAAGTGGCTAGTTGGCGGACGGCGAGTTCAGCTCCTCGGATGAGGAGGTGCATGGTGGCGCATGCAGCTCGTTGCGCATTCTCCTTG